ACTATCGTCTCGACAAACCCCTTCCTTCCCCAGTTGTCTTGCCCGAGAACCAACCCTAACCCTTTAGGACTAGCTACCCTTCTGGATTTAACAAAAGACTCACGTTATTAGTGCGCGTCGCCTACTTATCTTTAACAGCCATAAGAGCCACCACTCTCTTAAGTTCTAAGAGCTTTACAAGGAGAATAATATCTATACGCTCTATATGCTGCCTCACTTATCCCACCTACTACAGCCACTTAATATTAGCTATTTCTCGCCTTTAAAGCGCGCGTACAGCCGTAAGGTTAAGAGCTTAATCTGCTACCATATCAACCACATTACTAAGCTTAAGTTCCTGCCAGCCTTTAAGGCAGCATTTAGTTAATTATTTACCTCAGCTAATATCTACTCAGCCTTTCAAGGCGCAGGCCTTATACCTCTCTAACCAGATATTATATTATTAAAGCTTAACGTGCAGCTCTATACACCTACTCTAACTACTCTACTAGAGGCTCTCTAGGAGGCTTATACACTAAGCAACGTACGTAAGCTTAAGGCTTAATTAATATTAATACGTAAGCGCATGCGACGGCATAAGAGCTTATTACTAGCCTCAATTATTAAGGCGATTAACTAGCTTAAGAAGGGCGCTGAGGTAATAATGCTTAAAGCTGAGCTAATGCGTGATCGGATCACCAGTCTTAAGCAAGCCAACGAGGCAGCGTCAGCGCGCAAACAGTGTAAAAAAAAGCATATATAGCAGCGTAGGGTCTTAATTAAGGGAGCTAGAGAGGATCTACTTGCTTAACATGAGGCTGATTAGCAGATTGCGCGTGAAGAGCGTCAAGGAGGAGAGCAATTAGGTGTTAGCCGCCAGGCTCTTGCGCGCTGTAAGAGGTGCAGAGAGACTAGGCATAACTCTCATACGTGTAAGAAAGGTACCTAAAATACTACTTAATCTACTCTATCAATATTTATATATTACCCTATAAGGTGGTTGAGATTTACGGGTGAAGAGGTGCGCAAAGTTGGTAGGGTGCGGCGCTCGCTTGTACGCGGCGCTCGCTTGTAAAGCACGTTATGTGATCTTCGAAATATGATTAGCTTGTTCCGCCTTACTCGAGTCCTTCAACAAGTCGCTGGCAACCAAAATCATTCATAGATATTTTTCTTCAGACATGGTGTGAATTTGAGCACAAGGCACACTACTCTGGCGCTTGAACGTTTCTCAATTGCTGTTGTTGTTGTTGTAGAATAAGGACACGTAGAATGCCTAGAATCGACACTGATGACAAACTTCCACATCTGGTGTGAGGAGGAAGACCTGGATGGTGGCATTGCACGAATGTTCCTGCACTCAGCATTAATTGTGTTTTATTCCGAATCTTACTAATGATACCGCTCTCCGTCTATGCAGTGAATCTCAACAGAGATTCGGCCCGATTTTGGTGCAGATCTAGTGACGTCAACTGGTACAACAACAAAGTCTCTATGGTGTGTACCCAGCGATGGCGGCACAAAATTCCTGACGAAGCTGTTCAGACGCTGTGGCCATATCATACTCCAACAACGAACCGGGCGTCCGGGCGCCACACGTGGCGTACCCATGCAGCTCAATCCGTTCGACCCGAACCAAGTGGGCCTCGTCGCAATGCTGTGGCGCATGACGATGCTTGGCGTCTAACATCTCGTCATGCCGCGTGGCAGGTAAACGCTATTTTCAAGAGCCTCTGGGAAGATGACGCGGCAGATAGCGTTTCGGTCGAGCCTCCTTCCATAAGAACCTCTGCGTCACTTCAAAAGGAAGGTACCATAGGTATCCTTCAAGTACGCTCCAAACACCGGCAACCTTTCCACTATCTCGATTGCGATAACAAATTCACGATTACATCCTCACAACCTGGTAGTAAATCAACAGATCCGACACCAAACGAGCCTTCGTATTGCCGCGATACAACAGAGCGCACTCGTCCATCCTATCCCACTGGATTGTAATCATTAAATTTCGTACAAGATGGGTCTCTTACACAAACTCGAAGAGAAGATTCTGCACAAAGACCCAAAGCACAATCAGCCCCACGGAAACCCCCCTCCCATGCAGCAACAATACCAACAACACATCGGACCTCAGGGAGGCTTTGGGGGACAACCTCAAGGAGGCTTTCAGGGCGGAGGACATCATAGCGGAGGCCACCATGGAGGCGGTGGTATGATGGGAGGAGGACCTCAAGCAGGTTTCGGCGGCGCGCCAGGTACCATGGGAATCGGACACCACGGAAGAGGGCCTGGCGGACCCGGTGGATTTGGTGGAGGCATGGGTGGACCGGGAGGGGGTATGGGGGGACCTGGGGGCCATCACGGCGGAGGTATGGGAGGACCCGGTGGTCATCATGGCGGAGGTATGGGAGGACCCGGTGGTCATCACGGCGGCGGTATGGGAGGACCCGGCGGTCATCATGGTGGGGGTGGACCTGGTGGCTTCGGAGGCCATGGGCATCATGGTGGAGGTGGACGTGGGGGTCCTGGGGGATGGTAGATTCTGAATGGCTGGATACATCAAATGTTGCGATACCCTCATATATAATCATCAAGTAACCATTTCTCACGCCGTTGTGCCGTCTTGGGTGAATATTGTGTAGCATATCTGACTCTCGAGAAATTTACGTAAAGCACAACATCAATTACGATGGACGAAGGCAAAAATCGCCCGAACATACGTGATAAAGTACCCATCAACCCTAACGGAAAGCCACTTTGTAAATAGTTTTAAATTCAATCCGGTCACTTCTGAGCCAGGTCTCCCAAAATAAACAAAGGCAGAGCTTCCCCGATGCCCATACATTTCCTTCAAGATTGCAGTGGCTTGGTATCAACCTTTCGGGCTATATGCACCAGACTCCACAGCAGGTATCTTTGGTCCCGGTATCCCCATTATTTACGAGCCACAGTGATGCCGATATGGTAAGGGGTAGACGTTGGGCAACCGGGGTCAGCAAAAGAGGGTATAGTGTAGCCTGAGCAAGCGGGGAAGCAGCCGCCGTACATCAAACCTATTTCGGCATCAGCAAGCATGTCATGCCGAGGAATTATTATTATGCATACCACAATTATTGATGTAGTCGGCGCACAGCGTCGTGGTGCAAGTCGTCGGCGTCGCGCTCACTGCTCGCGAGGTCGTAGGACATCCGGGGTCTGTGAATGACGGGGTTGTGTAACCCGGACACGCCGCGTAGCAGCCCCCATACCAACGGCCACACGAGTTGATGTAGTCTGCGCAAATTGACAGTGTGCAAGTGGGACTCGGTGGTGTTGGGGTTATCGCAAAAAGCGGCGCGACAGTGTTAGTGGGGCTGGCGGCTGCTGCGATCGAGGCCGAAACGGCGGCGAACGACAATGCGATCCGCATGTCGAAGAGTTGAGAATTTGGTAAACAATTTGAAGCCGTTGGGGTTACGCGCGAATGGCAGGTCCTATATATCTTCTCTGTTTGTGTGCACACGACCCTTCCACGGGCAGCGTCTCAAAGTCGACGAGGAATGCTTTGTAACGCAGCCAAGCGCCAATCATTCTGAAATTAATGGCTAGCTCAGTCGAACTTTAGGTTCAATTCCGTCCCTTACGTGAACCATCCTGGCAATCTGAGTTGAAGTCCCCCAAAGTCACTGGCCAGAATCATCCGCATGATGTCGCGAGACAAGGATAGGCTTTGTCTCTACGCCATCAAAACGCAATCTGCATAATTATACAAATGACTTTGATAGTACAATAAGTCAGCGGATCGACAAGAATGTTACGAGTCTTTGCGGAGGCCTTTCAATCCCAGAATTGGAAAGATGACACTCCTTGTCCCACGGCGGGTACAACATGACACTGAATCAATATTACCACCCCTCTATGCGCGCCATATCAGGCCACAAATTTAGGTCGTTATTGTCTGGGGAACAATTAATGTTTTCTGGACGCAAAATATAACAATCGCAGTCCCTATAAACGTTACTAGTAAGTCTCTCTTGATTCTCTTGTAATAGAAGTAAAAGCGTTATATAGCAAATCTTGAGGATGACCATCTTACTTATTTTGAGGTCGAATTAATAGCGAAGAGAATATTGCGTATCTGACTCCCATGGAAATGGTTTTAGGCTAGATAAGGACTCCGTAGCGGTGATCAAGAACAGTACACAGCCGATTCGATTCCGCAGGCAAACCCGCGAATTAAAGTAGCTAACCTAGATTCAGGTTACAAGTCATCGGTCATTAGTCTCTATTTCTCCCTACTAAGCTCACAGTCTTTATTAGCTCCTCACATTGCGTTGGTACCGAAGATTTCCACTCATCGTATCATCTCAGGCCACAATGGTCTCTCCAAGTCATTAAGTCACGTTTTTAGTCGCGGTTCGAGGAATGTACCGTCAACTCGCTGGCTTATTCTGGCTTATCACACTGAAAATACACTGATACTCTTTGTCTATAAGAGTGTCACCAATTATTTACTTTATCTCATTAGGCCAGAGGAATATTTCTAGAGTAAGACAAAGCTAAAGGTATCCGTGAACAGTCCATACAGCTGAGCACTGCATCCAAGACACAGGCAGGCGCAACCGGGCTATCACATAATTATTGTGGCTTCTTCGTAGGCTTAGGGTATGCAATTTGCATAAACCCACGTACATTCCATGTGAATGTTCATGCGTAGACAAAATTTATTGGTTGGCGTTTCGGTTTAATAAAGGAGCTCACTGGGTAAGACATCTTATGCAGCCGCAAGCGCAGCATAGCACTGTGCGCAGGATTTACATCTACTCACCGACACGCAACCTTGCCGTGCACGATTCCGCCTCCAAATAGCATGTTTTTCCATATGTACTAATTCGGAAAGATCGAGATCAGCTGGAGCGTGATCGCTACGCTCATCTTCAGTACGATCATCACGGCTTCTCTACAGCTTTTCGCAAAAGGGTGTCATCAGTCTTTGGGATAAACGCTGTTTCCACGCCCTGACAAAGTTGTTCTCGTCACTGGTGAGGTTGAGCCTGGGCTCGCTCTTGGGCGTATTTGGTAGTGATAGCATGCTTCGCTGGCCCATGCTAGTGCGCAAACTGTATAAGTCAGCTAATGTAGGAGGGAATATCAAGAGCGAGATTTTTTCTTGAATGAGCATGTCTTGCAGGTCGAGCTCATCCTGAGAATGGCGAGCCCGACTGGATCAGTGAGAATCGTCTTGAAACAATGTGCAGGATCGGAAGTGGTTTTGGTTAGCACCTTGGTTGGCACCATGTATTCGCCTATCAATATAGTTGGCCGGCATAGCGTCGCTGCATTTGGACTGACCTGTGACTTAATCACGCAGCCGCATTTGGACTGACCTGTGACTTAATCACGCAGCCGGGGATGCTCATATAGTTCGCATAAAAGGAACTAAATATACGTACAAAGCGGCTTTTATCGCGATATTTGACCGTAATGGAACACTCTCTGAGTGCAAGACTTGTACAATTGACAAGCACAACAACCCAGGACTCAGATCTATCGAACTGGTTGCCTTGCTTTCGAAGGGCTCATACATGATATCGAGTCTCCTTCTTCGAATCGGTATACCCGATCCCGTATGGGACTACGGGTCCGCACCGGGTGCCTTGGCTGTCAGGGATTATTCCGGTATGGATAAGAACGAACACTTTTCCAACTATCTTAATAAGGAAGGGCCGATCCGCAACTTAGCATTGCCCCACAGGCCCGGCTATACGCTGCACACTTCGCCGCTCGTCTTCCTCTTCTTGCTGTTCTTGGAACTGATATACGGCTGCCGAAGGTGACGCAAGAATCAGGTGCATTTAAGCGGCCATTCGTAGCTATCGCGTTGGACGTGAGATTGAAAAAGCCAATCGCGGTGCTGGTGTCTATCCTCGTAGGCCAAAGTTTAGCTATTGGCATGGCTCAGTTCGCTTGCAGTAAGATCTTTGTGCGGGACCATGCAAGCTATCTATCGATTGCTAGACTGTTAAGAAGAACTGTGAATCAATGGACGGTATAGGTGTCCAAACGAGCGCTGAAATTGAAGACTATCCTGATAAAGTGGGTGCGATGATCGAATACGGAACACGACATAAGGACGAGGAGAGCTTGGAGGTGGACCTGCGGACCGATGTTGAGAACGAGTTTCCGGACGCTAAATACAGATGAGAGATGACCTGACGCCAGAGGTACGCCCAAAGAGCTAGATTGCATGCCAAATATGGTATTTCGTGGCTGCGGAAGCGATGTTGCGTGTATGTCCCTAGCGTGCAGGTCTCTTGCTCGGCAACAGGGGTCGTGTTGCGGTTGCATGTGCTAGGTGAAGCCGTTGCAAGGACAGGTGGCTAGTTTGGATTTTATTCTTGAATGGAAGTAGTGTGGCGGGGCAAGCGTTTTGCGAAAAGCCGCTACATTGGCACCAGCCTGCGGCCAATTTAAGCGAACATCTCCCTGTCGCGTGCCTCGTTCACAACTCCAGACCCTTTCTTTCTCTACCCCATAACCTCAATCGGGTCAAAATGCCAATCCAAGACCCCTTCCAGCTCCCAAAGTCCGCACAGGATCTACCCCTCGCAAACGACACAGATGATACGTACTTCCTCTTCTTCATCTCGTCAATAAGTCCCGAGACCAAGCAGCCATGGTGTCCAGATGTCAGGGCCGCGCTACCAGTTGTTGGCGCAGCGTTCTCCTTCGAGAATGCGCCTGAGGTCGGATTTGTACATGTGGGGCAGAAGCCTGAGTATGTGAATGCGCCGAGCGCCTATCTCCGTTTGATACCCAACAAGCTAACTGGGGTAATACTGTAGGTGGAAAGATGTGTCGAATTTGCATCGAACTAAATGGAATGTGAATGCTGTGCCGACGCTGGTGAGGTATCAGCGCGCTGGTGCTGAGGTGAAGGAGACGGGTCGCTTGGTGGAGGACGAGTTGCTGGATCAGGAAAAGTTGAAAGAGCTAGTGGATGGAAAACGGAAGTCTGTCATTTGATTGAGACTCATCGCACCATAATGACGCCCTGTTTCCTCAACACGCCTTTCGTGTAGGTGGCTGCTCTCAACGTGGACACGAGCTGGGGTTTCTTTCTAGCGTACATCTACCACGACACCCGCGCCCTGATAAATTCAGGCGTGGTTCATAACTTCATACCCAAATTCAATAATAGAGTACATTTTAAGCATAGCTTACTGTTTGACAGAATACTTCACTTACAGTATTCATAGTCAGACATCACTATAAAGTTCGATATTCGGTTTCATACAAAGACTTTGGCATACGCGCGCAGCAACAGCCCATAAAACTCGACCTAGGGTGTCATTGTAGCAGAGATTCGCCATGCGTACACAGAAAGATCTTTCGACTTCACACCATTCCAACGGGCTTGTCCGGCCCTACCAGTCGGGCGTTCTCCGCGAGATCACTTAAAAACGGTAGGGAAGATGACTTGGAAGAAAAGCAGGCTTCTTAGCAAGGCCTTCGAAAGGGAAGTACATTTTCGCCAAGAGCTTTTGCACGATATCGTTGATCAGGTATTACTGAAAGAAAAGCAGGTTGATAGCCATGATGTGGCCAGAAAAACTGTCTACGTAGATGATGTGACCCTTAAAGAACGCTTAGAGCAGGCTGATAACAATCTGCAGGGTGAAGTTCTCGGTTTCGAATAAATAGAAGCGCCACAGATGCACGACATTCACTACCACGACGGTTCACAAAGCAGTCTTCGGGCTTCAAATAAACATACCGTTGCTACTATGGGCTCCACCACTCCAGAACCTTCGAAAAATACCTTGAAACATCATCGAGAGGAGCCAGTCGAAGATGCTCAACCCCACACAGAAAGGGTACGGCAGGAGAAGATTTCACCTTTAACTCCTCTTGACGAGGAAGTGACGCAGCATTCTCTACTTTCGGGGACAAAACCTGCTCGTGAAGAGATACGGAAGTTTAATACAACCAATGGTCCTAGCGGGGACACGCGTTCTGATTCTGATGTAACCCACTTAAGAGGACCTGTACCCAAGAGCCCTACAGCCAAGGATCAGGATCTCATTGTGGTCGCGTCAGAGACAAGGAAATCGAAGACTTCTGTGAAGAAACCAAGACGTGCCACTGCGATCGATGACATCTGGTTCCGAGAACACGATAAAGTCCGAAAATTGCGGGAAGAGGTACTTTGATCCACCGTTGCATCATGCGAACGAGAAAGTGGGAAGATAAGGAAGTACGCTGAGCCTTTGGCGGCCCAGAAGTATATTTTACGGAGCAGAAAAGCTCTAGTGAATGAAATTCCATCATCTTCCCAAGCAGCAGGGAAAGCCGAATTAGATTGGCCAGAGAGGACAGCCAGAAAGCAACACCAATACCCAATGGCAATGCACCAGAAGATGCAACGGTCCTACTCACTGCCAAACCCAATCTGAGCTTAAGATATTGCCCAAAGCACAAGGTGCCTCTGACATGACTCGTGACGAGGCGCTGATGCGTCTGCGTCTCGCTGGTCAGTTGCATCCGGCAAACTCCAAAGTTAAAGCAGCCTCTGAAATAACACATGATGAGGCTTTGATGCGTCTTCGTCATCTTGGTCAGCTTGCCCAGGCGGAGGAGAGTGGTAATGGCGAAGACGCGAAAAAACCAATAAACCAACAAAGAAAGAGGCACAATTGGCCTTGGAGATGTACCAGACCTCTGCAATTCGGCAACGGAGGAGTCTATAGTAATGGATAGACCTGCGCTGGCGAACGGCGCAGTCGGGCATTTAGGAACGGAAGAAGTCAACGTCAAGTTAGGGAAAGCTGGAAAAGGCATCAGCACGCCAGTTTCTCGGTGGAGATTCAATAACCGACAAACTTGATGCAGATGGCCCAAGTAAGATATCCCAGGCATTGGGCGCATGTGGAGCGATCCTAAATCAAGCTCCCAAGCTTGGAAAGGTGACTCCACAGTGTCATATTAATGCCCTCGGGAAGACTCTGAAGGGAGAGGACATGGAGAAATTTGGTGAGAACTCTCAGCTTCATCAATTGGGAGGTCTGGGCATCGCGTGTCCTATGGGAAACAGTAAATTGGCCGCGTTTGAAGGAATACCGAGAAAGCCCCCTATTATTGGTAAAATATCCCCAAACATCCGCAGTGGGGCGATTGTGAAGGCTTTGAAGGGACCGGGAAATGGCATAGGTCCAATCAGCGCAAAGACACACCTTGGTCCATTCGATGGCTTGGGCGACCCAGGTCCCATGGGAAATGACAAAAGCCAATAGAGACAGATGCTCAGGGGACCTGAAGGTGTAAATGCCTTAACTATTCTAAAGGCTAGCGGGTTCAGGGGCATGCGTGGGCAAGGGACTTCGAATCTTAGCGGTCCGAACCCGAATCTGAAAGGTGGTGGGGGTTTACATGGGCCAGGGGTGCCGAGTGCTGGTGGTCCAACAATGCCGACATTGGGTGACTTCCGGCACCCTATTTAATTAGGTTATATAATAGTATAAGAGCTCCTAGTGTTACTAGCGTCTAGACCACTTTACCTTACAGGAAAAGATTAATCTCACAGGTTCTGAGGGTAGGAATGGTCGGTTCAACAGCCCTTAATTCAGAAGCTGGCTTTGGGATATCTACAAGTAATTGATTAGGATTAAAGGGATATAAACCGCTTACTTTCCATCCTATAAGGATGTTTCTCTTAGTAAAAGCCCTTTCCCTTGTAGGGCTATATAAATAGGTGAAATGTTACTTACCAATTATCCCTATTCCTCCTCGCTCTAGACGTTCAACCTGGTCATGATGGGCTGCTTTCAGTGGGGCAAATACAGCGATATCACAAGGCTGTAGCCTGTGGGATATATGAGAGGGAAGACGACATAAGACAATATTATTTTCAAAATAAAACTCTAGGATTTTGAGGGTTTCGTGTGTCCTGAAGCCGTCACATGTTAGGATTCGTGGTTTTCAGTTAGCCTATTCTTTGGTTTGGGGATTGAATACACGCTTAAGCCACTCTAAGCTAATTTTAGAGTTGGTATATCCAGATTCAGAGTATGCATAATCCATCTAGGAGTAGGATACGTAGTCCAGTTAGCTCGATGAGTTGAGGCTGGCCAGATATATATTGAGCCTAGATACCTACCGCTGGCGCTAATACATTCGATTGCCGTTACTATGATGCGCCCCATACGCGCGCCTCGATAGCTTTGCAGGTTATTCTTACTAGTAAAGACTTTAACATTGCTGAGCATACTTAACATCACCCCTGTCTCGTCCATGTTATAGACATTTTCTGGTAAGACAGTCTAATCTTGTAGCACTTTCTAATTACCTCAAACTAGTGCATGACCTTATCACAGATTTTGTAATAATCCCAGTCTATTGCTGTACTTTTCCTTGCTTTAAGTTCTACATGGCGTTTCTTGAAAGCCCGAGCCCAGTTCTTACCTGGCGGCTTGGCTGGTTTATTGGTGCGTCACTGGCGAGCGACGCTGAAGCCTGAGGAAGGTATATGCTTTATTTGCATAGGTTGTCCAAATTTAGCCATTTACAATAAAAAGTTTACGATGGCTTTTCTTCACATGGGGTGGGATACTATTAACTTTAGGCCTTCTCTTCTTTCAAGCGTTTGCCATGTGCGCGATTATAGAGGGTAGAGCGAGCGATATCATAATGTTCTACTAGGGCGCGTTAAATTTTAATAAATATAATTAAGAGTAACATATATAACGTATCTAATAAGCGTGATGGTTATACAAGCGAGATGGTTACCATAAACATAATTAAGCCATTGTTGTCCTTTCGTAGTGAATTAGGGCTGGTAGGCACACAGCACCACCATTAAGCTCTTTTCGTCCTGAATACCCATAGATAGGTCTGATTAAAATCTCTGAGCCTTGCCACTAGGTTGATGAGTCATTATTAGCCTTATGGGCAGGTCCTTTTGCGCGCCCTTCGACTTCAGGCACACGCTTTGCACATCTTAGCTTAGCCGCTGACACGCATCATGCACAAGGAAGGCAGCAATAGATTAGTCATAGCTTATTCATAACAATTACGTGACCACTAGGCTGCAGAATTTTCATAATATCGATCGATAGCGACAGAGAACGCATTATCATCACCTTTTCTGAGTCTTTTGCTTTAGCGTGTGCTATCAGCCGCAGTAAAGAGCACCACAACTATATAATAAAAACCCTTTAATACTTCTTTGTCTGTACGGCAGTCAACTGTTAACTATTCCTATCTTGAATATTCGTTCGCGATGATGAGTTTGGAGCCTAATCCCAAAACAACGCCTACATCACACTGTGTTTTTCTCACTGGTGTAACCGGATTCGTCGGCGGCACTATCCTCTCTTGTCTCTTAAAGGCACATCCTAGTGTTCGCGTCAAAGCTTTGATCCGTGAGGAAAGGGATGCTAAAGAACTCCAATCGGTCTATTCAAATCTCATCCCCATCATCGGCGAACTTTCCTCGCTTTCTCTCCTCATATCTACGGCAGCGGATTCCGACTTCGTCATCCACGCTGGAGGTGACAATGTCCCCGCCGTTTGCGCGATGATAGATGGGTTGGCATCCCGTAACACCACTGGATCGCCCATGCCACGGCTCATCAGCCTAACCGGCCCGCGTAGTCTTATCGACCTCTCGAATCCCATCACTGGGAATCTTAGGGCGAGCAGCCGTCCCTGGAGCGATATCACGGACGCACATACAATACTGAACGTTCCTAAGGATCGGATGCACGCTGGTGCTGATCAAGCCATCGTCGCTCACAGTACTGCTAAAGGGGTGGGCACAATGCTGGTCTCGCCTGGGCAATTGTTGGGCCGGGGCAAGGGTCATCTGAAGAAGGAGAGCAATGCGGCGTTTTATTATGCAACGGTTAAGAGCCGTGGACGGGCCTTTGTAATCGGCGAGGGTACCGCAACATGGTCTTGGTCTTCCATTGGTGATTTGGGAGATGCGGTCGTGTTCCTGATGGAACAGTCACTGAAGAGTGGGAGCGAGAGACGCGGACAGGTAGGAGTAAATCAAGACGGCTACTACTTTGTGCGTACCGGAGACGTGAGTATGATGGAAAGGGCCAAAGCTGTCAGTGAGCGATTAGGTCTTGGAGAAGTAGAAAGTGTGTCGGTTGATGCCGCAAGAGAAATCCATCCGTTTGGCCCCATCATGTGGGGTTGTGGTGAAAGAACGAGATCTGAAAAGCTGCTCGAGCTGGGTTGGAGGCCGAAAGAGACCGATTGGAAGGCTTTGATGGAAGAGGGAGAGGGAGAGAGGGCATAAGGGTAGTATAAGACAGGAATACTAGTAACTACCTCTAATTTACTACCTAATTAGGGAGTAAGGGGCTTGTGTTATATAGTATTTCTTGTCTCGGCAAGGTCCATATGGTAATAAACTAAAAGTGCGCGTAAAATCTAAAGGTTATTCTATACGCTATGTTAAGCCCTCGGCTTGACAGAGGTAGCGCTAACCGAGAGGGGCGTTAGTATCTGAGTAGCCAAAGGCGAGGGTTAGTTCTCCGGGATTGAGCAGGGTGTCAGGGCACACGAGTGCGATGGAGAGTATTGAGTAGACAATCTGTTCCGATCACAATATATATGATTCAGGTTGAACATGAGTGCCATAAGAGCCCTCGTCCGATCCTATATATATGGGAATGCTCGACTTACTCGAGTTTAGCATGTCGAGCGGCCACGTGCCTTAGCCTCCCAATGGCCTCGTTGTATTCCTGCCTTGGCTTCATTGGTCCTTCGTTCCCCAATAGCCTTGTTCGGCGATTCTGAGGCTGGGGCCGTAACACGCTACTACATAGTGATACTTTTGGTCGGGGTAGCCTTTACGGCTTGGAGATATATTCACTCCTTACAGAACTAGCATTCGAGCCCTCCGAACTTTGAAGAAATTCCTACAGCTACGATTAAGCAACGGAAATCCGCTAAAGAAGCGATCGATAGCGCCAACGAAACGATCAACAGCATAACTAATAGACGCGGGTATTATAGTTGCGAAAGCTTTCCCAGGGGAGAAATACCTACAGAATAATAATATAGAAGTTATATATCGATAGACTTGCGAGGGAGAGGCCTTAGAAGTCGAACCTGTAGACTCATCCGTTTACGGCGTGTGTCCGGCTACCCAGGGAAACACATTAAACGACTAGTCAAATTAGACAATTGCCATGTCAGCGCACATATTCGAGGTTTGCAAATGTGGCAAAGCAATCGTGGCTGGAAGTTCAAGTGGGTTTTAGGTGTGCCACTACATATCCGGACTTAAGTCATGGCAAGTCGGATTCATGCGACTAGGCCTCGCTCTCGTTACAGCCACGCGACAAAGGGATAATTCCACGGCCATCAAGGAGCAACCTCGGCAATGAGTGAATGTTAACTAATCTAAAGCGCGACTTCCTATGCTATGTACCGCACATAACGAGACCGATTCAGCTACACAATGCCAGAATATCCTGTAATTGTGCATCTCCAAAACATGCTCTGTATGCTTGATTCATCAGCAGCCGGTCCGCCAGACCAACGAGGAAAGGTGTTGGAGTGCTCGCAGCTGAAATTCTTCTCTGGCTTCTCTAAACATGACCTAGAGTTCTCCTTTGTATTCCAGGAATAGGCACAGTGGTCTTTGTTGTCGGGGTGACCGATAAGCTCTTCTCCATAGTCCATATCCACCTGCAACCATACTCCGCCCCAATACCGTTCCCCCGTTGGAAGACGATACGGTGTCGACTCGATTATACGCGGCATAAGTTTTATACTGTGTGGAAGACCATCCATGTATACTGGCTTGAGATCCTGAATGGGAAAGTCTGCTTGGCTATAAGTGGCTACGGGTAGCCCATTTGAATCGGTGACAGTGTACCTATTGCAACAATCAGAGCTGTCTCTCATGGGACTGTCTCTTAAAACTTACATTATTCCGGTGAAAAACATCAAACTGTTCACTTGTATGGCTATGTCCAGGGTATACTCTTCCTTCGGCGAGACATCACCGAGCTTTTCTTCGATGCCGTAACTCATGGTACCACAGCTGTTCTCCGTCGTCCCAGCCACAGCCATCTGATTCCTCATGTCGTCTCCACCTATTGTGAATTAGCGCATGAATCAAAGGGTCAGTAGGAGCATACGAACAGCTATGGAGGTCATTCATCATGGCTTTACATGGTGGGATTTGACAGTTCGGCGTATACTTCGAGGTCCATTGGAAATAGTACCGATAGTCAAGAAAGTAAGTATAGTGCGGCCAAATGTCGTAGATCTCATCTCTCTCTACCATCCATCTTAGAGTACCGTCAGAAAGGTCGTTTTCACTGCAGAATTTGTCCGCAAGCCTTGAGATCCTATCAGTACAAGCTGGATTTTTGTTCGAAAGACCGCTCACCTATCCCAGAGGCCCATTGTCTGAGTTACATTGCTGTTCGTGCGACACGATATGTTAGGTTTTTTACTGGCCGCTTGTCTGGCCAATTTCCATGCCGACATCTGCTCGGATGACATTTGCACTAACAGCAGGGTTCCAATCAGTGAATGGCCAATATCAGTACTGGAGTGTGACGTACTGGTATGCAATTCAGGTGGCAGAGGAGTATTCTTGACGCAAGGACAGCTGTGTTTGAGTCAGATACCGCATATGACGAAGGGCTAGATCGTTCCAAAGACATCAGAGCGCTACTCACAGCTTCCATAAATCTCCGAACTGTATTATGATTAGTGAGTATCCCAGCAGAAATAGACGGCCTAGACTTACTCCTACGCATGTCGTTCCTTCTGAAGTAGTTGCACCGCCACAATTGGCGCAGTATGGGATCGATAGAGGTAAGTGACAACGAGCACTGGTCTCTTCAGGCGGCGCTGAATCGGTTCGTTGAGCCAGGAGTGCTGGAATCACTCTCACGGGCATATTATCATCAGTATGCATGACCAGCGGCGGATAAAGCGTCCACCATACGACTCGCGACAAGCGATTCCTTCTTGCACCATCCGTGCCAGGAAGGTTCTGTAGCGGTTGACCGAGAAGATTCATCTGTCCAAGAGTCAAGTCTCCCCACTCGGGTGGCATTGGGAGTGCGATTTCGTCTCTCGCAATGTTCATCAAAGACTCGAGCTGGCCCTGTTCCATTTTTTTGTACATGGAGGTGGAAATGTCGAAGATGCAGTCTTGCACAAAGCGTTTCCGGCGTTTTGAATCCGGACAAACATATTGATCGATAAGTTGAGCAATGTCGTTGTTGTCTTTCTCGGATATGGTGATTATAACATCTCCACGCTCATGGCCATTGGAAGGGCCTGTTAAAGTGGTTACTGGTGGTGCATTTTGTCGGACCACGACTGACTTCAAGGTGCGGGTCGGAACGGTACTTGTGCGTGGTATGTTCATACCGCGCACCAATTGAGGCACGAGGACGAAAATAACGAGAGGAAGAAAATGCATTTTGAAACCAAATTTTGTATGGGATTGAAATGGTTAGGGCGCATATAGGTCGAGCTACTGTGCGGCGACCGCTTTATGAAGAGCGATGTAAGAGCTGAAAACGAGCGATCTGGCTCCTACGGTTCTAAATCAACGCAATTTATCAATCCATTTTCCTATCTCAGAGTGGACTTCGTCTATGGGGTGGCTCAGCTACACCGTCGCCCCCACGAGGGCGTTAAGTGTATTTCTTGGCAGTAGTCATCTTCCGGTGTAATCGCTTCTTTCGTTCGAGGAATTGAAACAGGCGTACTCTTACATCAAAATTGCGGAAAACAGCCCGAAATGTAATTTCCAAGAATCCGCATGTGACAAAAATATAAATTTAGACGAGGCAATGTCTCCAAAAAGTGTGAACGAGAAGCCCAGTACATCAGGATAAAAGTCTACATATCTCTCCAGATGTCCTCATTCAAGAGGGAGCCCATCCTTTTACGATCTGATCTCCAAGATGAAGTTCACTCTTTTTGTTTCAGCGCTCGCCGTTGGCAGATGTGGAGCGGAATCGTTGACCTATTGGGTCGATGAGAGCTGCCTCACGCTCGAAATAGCAAAACCTTTCACGGAAGCTTTCATGGACTCTTTACACAATGCCAAACGAGCACTTGCAAGACTGGACGGAGATGGACCGTACATGAACGCAGTCTTCGAAAAGCTCTTTCGTGTCCCCAAAACAGACGCAGCAGCCGTAAAGAGAGTTCGCGGCCAGTGAGAATGTCTCAACTATGCGAACAGTTACTGACAATCCCACAGACATGTTTGACAGCTTTGGAAATGGTATGAGCTACCTGCCTGAGCGAAATAAGGCGGATATACGGTTCTACTGCGATGACGACGATTACGGTGAAGGGAAGCGGTGGACCATCACGCCTGACGATCCAGACGACCCAGCCGATGTGAAAAATAGCCTCTTGCCGCGGACTGGACCGAAGACTGGCCCAGGGTCAGAAGGTCCATTTCAACAGTGGCAAGACACGAAGAACTGGATCAGGATGGGTCGTGGCCATATGGGCTGCAAACATCCTGAGCCCGAGGACAACCGTGTGATGGGAATAGTGCATTTTAGGAAATTCGAGGTTGAAAACATGACGCCTGCTGATATAAATCCAGACCGGTGTACCGTAACCGTAAGCCTCGAGTTCTCCCTTCATATGATTATATTTACTGACTGCTTAGCTTTGCGATTTCAAGCTTTCGAAGACGAAATATGGAGTGTCGGAAGGCGAGGCTCCGGAATCAGAGGTTGATGTTGCAGACCTGCAAAAGTACCTCGACAAAGATGAAATCAGTATACAGAACTCGCTGGAGGTTCATGATGCCCTATTGTCTGGCACGCTCTTGCATGAGGTAAATTTCGTCCGATGAAGCTAATTCGCCACCTTGCACTGACTCCCCACCAGTTGACCCACATAACCAAACCCGGAATGGACAGTAAGTAGCGTTCATCTACGTTGCAAGCGTCTGCTCACATTAGCTAGCCGATGACCATACATACAATTACAAGAAAATGATCCAACTGACATCCGCCCAAGCTCTTGATAACGCCGAGACATACGCCATTTACGCGTTCATTGCTCGGTTGGCTGATTTCAAGTTCAGAGTGGATAATCTTGACGAAGGTACAATTCGGTATGACAAAGACCTCGAAACAGTTGGAGGCGAAGATCTCATGCCTGATCCTGTTGACTTGCCACGCCCGCCCATTATAGAATCTGGGCTGAGACCCGGAGCAGAAGCTATGAGGGATGCTACTATAGCCGTTTGAATTGGACACATCCAGGGAGTTCTCTTGTGCAGACTGCATTTTCAGTTCTTTTGATAGAAATATTTGGGCTTCATAGCTCTAACATGGCCCAGCAGCTCTGCCCGGGTGTGCGATTATGAAGGTTCGTTAAGGGAGCTGGTTTGGCTTACGTTGAATGTTCGAGAGTTGTAGTGATTAGAGGCGAATGAAAGTCTATATTGATGTGTATTATACCAACTCTACAAAAAGGTCTACTCAGAGGCGGCAGGTGTTGAACCCACGTCCGACACTTTGCGTCTGCTTTGGCGGAAAGCGGTGAATGGGGCAAAGAAGAAGGCAGGGTGGAACAGGGTCAATACAAAGCATGCGATCGCAATCATCCTGCATCAACGCGGTTAGCAAAGCACTCTTGCAACGGCAGACGCTGACTTAAATTCCATTAAGCAGCAAGAACTCCTTCCTCATAAGAGCATTTTACCCCATGCTCCCACCATCTTAGGCAGTCAGTAGATGCATCGAATCAAGATGTTCAAGTATGCCAATACGGCTACTCCGCCGAACACTATAGCTTCCTGCTCACAGCGTTACTGGCCTTGCTGAGGTCGTATGCGCTCTTCTCGTTCGACGCGTAAAGGGTTGCTCGCGCTTTGCGGTACCTCCACAGGAATGTGAGGACGAGCAAGCCACAAACGCTCATGGCGGTAACCTGGAAAGCGATACCCGCGAGGATGAGGCTGTTACCGACGTTGACGACCTTGATGTTGTCCGAAATTCCTCCTCCAGCAGCCACGCCTCCGCCAATGGCCTGCATCACGATCGAGGCGAAATCGCATCCAACGAAGAGCCATGGGTAGAGGCGGGGCTTCAACAGGCTGAACTCGGGTCCACAGTACAACACGAAATGCTGCAGCGTCAGGTAGATGGCGGCATCGACAAAGCTGGCCCAAGAACAAGACAGCAGATCTGCATCTCGAAGGCTGCCTTGCTCCACAGGTTGTCGTTTATGAGCACGCGACCGAGGTATCCTAGCGCTCCCAACAAGGTGCCTCCACCCAACATAAGCGTGTATGTCCATGTTTTGCTCTATATACCGATACCTAGCGATCCTACGAAGCAAAGGGCGAACAATACCAGGAAGAAGGCATTCGGGCCGAGTTTAGGATAGTAACTATACGTCGTCGCTCAAAGGGGACAGGCTATGGAGACTTCGTGGCAGGTTCGGTAGCTGGGACGGTTTTGTTTACGAGCAGCGAGAGCAGTGGGGATAGACTCGAGGAGGAAGAAGATGAAGATGGGTGAGACGGTGGACGGCCTCTGGTTCCGCATGTTGATAGATGCGGGACGGAAGCGGGAGTGGCATATCGAAAGTCGAGAATTGAATCGGCGCGTCTCTCGTGTGCGCGCGTTGAAGAACGTATACAGGACACCTCGCGGGCGTCGCAGAGGCGTGCCATCTCCGTTATTACGACGGAGGTGTGTCAGACCCGTGGAGAGGAACAGTCGCTTACCGTGACGCGAGAGTGAAATGTCGCAGCGCGGCCCTTCGGCGACCGCACTTCATTTCCTGTTTCGGCCACCAGATCCATAATCCATCCACGCGATTGGCCCACCCCGCTTTCCCAGCCCACGTGGATCCCCCAAGTCGCGCCTCACACATCCACGTTCTACAAATACAGCTCATGTCGGCTGGCCAAGGTGCGTTGTCGGCCCAGGTGACTTGACTCCCGGACCCAGGATACGGTTTTGATAATTGGAAAGCGGAAGGCCTCCTGTGTCCCGAGTCTGGCCGTCGGCAAGCGTGCCGCTGCGAACTTCGGACGGCACATGTGGATCTAGCATACTTCGATTCGCGCTTGTCGCTTGGAAAGGAGAAGGGGAGTCTGGACCTCGGGAGACAAAAGTATTGTGGATGGGGCAACTTGCCCACTCAATAATTCTCTCGTCGCATCGTCTCCATCTCCCGCGCGGCACCTCGTTCAGCAAAATCGAAAGAGAGGACAATTGAGCCATTGAACTGCGGGATTCTGGGTTAAAGGAGACCTGCAGACAGAATACACGCCGACCTCTCAGCGAAAATTCGAGCTTCAACCCGGACTGCGCCTCTCGAATTTTACAATCAGCGAACCCTGATCATCTTCTCAATACTATACCCACCTTTCCGCTCCAAGGGACCATCTGGGACTCCAAATTCCACCTCTATCCATACAACTGCAGACTCTTAATTCCTGCTCAAAGCTCCAACTCCCGCGGTCTTTCCTGATCCCTCCCCCGATCGAACCAAATCTTTCCCGGCCGGCCAAACGATCAACCATGCTGGAAGTGTTCTACCTCTTCATCTTCATTGCGTTCGGTGAGCGCGTGATAAACTGCCTTGTGACGGCGCCGGTGCATCCGCGGTTTTTCTACGGGGGGAGAGAGTGAGGTTGGGCTGGGCGGCGGAGACGTGGGGGTTTTGTACGATATGCACGATCTGCTTAACGTGGGAACATACGTAACCGTGATGCTCGGAAACGATGAGGTTGGGACTGAACAATGAAATGTTTGCAAAGCAGTTATGCAAGCGCTCTGATACAGGTTAATAGCGTGCGAGAAGCACTGTGGATTGCGCACACAGACAACCAAACAGAACTCGCTCGGCTAACCATGGATCCTGCGTCTCAATTCCTCTCCACAGTTACTTCTTCTACGGCGCATCATCCCACTGCTTCACCTCGAGCCCAGCGAAGGTTCCATCCGCTCTCCAGTCCGCCAGTAATTGGAAGAATGCGTCCGCCCCAGCAGGGTATCCCGCCATACGTGCTCCGGCCTCGCTCACCGTTCCCTCATTGTTGTAGTACCCCGGCGTGCAATCTCCAAAGAAGCCCGCCATACCCGCGGCGCCTTGGACAATTGTCTGCACCCATCCGTCTTCCGCTTCTTGTGTCGGCTCCACGGTGCGAATTCCTTGGGCCTTGGCGGTGGATATAATGTGCGCGAAGTGCTGCGCTTGCTCGCCCGTCACGTGCATAAGATTGAAGGTTAGCGCGGCCTGGAAGTACTGGACGAAGAAGGCGTTGGGGAAGCCGCGGGTGGCATAGCCGTGCAGCGTCGACAGACCGTTTTTCCACTTCTCCGTGATAGTCGAGGAGCGGCCGTGCATGCTGATACCCGTCTTGTGGCTCCAGTCGTTGCTCGTCTCGAAGCCCGTGGAAAAGATGACTGCGTCGACGTCGTACGACTTCCCGCCCGCAACAATGGCGGTGGGGGTGAGTGCATCGACGCCCGCGCCACGCGTGTCGATGAGGTGAACGGAAGGCCGGTTAAAAGTCTGCAGGTACTCGTCGTGGAAGCAGGGCCGCTTGCAGAAGCGGTTGTAGTACGCCTTGAGGCTCTCCGCTGTCTTCTGGTCCTGGACAATAGCGGACGCGCGATTACGCACCTCCTCCATCTTCTCGAAGTCAATCATCTGGAAGCGCGTGCCCGCAGCCACGGGGTCGGACCAGTCGAGCGGGTCCTTCATAAGCAGGCGCCCTACGGACGTCCAGCTGTCGTTTACGAGATCGACATCGCGCTCGGCCCCGTTGATGAGGCGGTTGAAGTTCTGCATGCGGGCTTTCTGCCAGCCGGGCTGCAGGCCCTGGAACCACGCTGCGTCGGTGTCTTGATTGTTGCGCACATCGATGGACGATGGCGTGCGCTGGAAGACGTACAGCTCCTTTGCGAACTCGCCCACGCGCGGGACAATCTGCACGGATGTCGCGCCTGTGCCGATAATGGCGACGCGCTTATCTTTGAGGTTTTCAAGACCACCCCGGACGTCACCGCCGGTGTAGGCAAAGTCCCAACGCGACGTGTGGAAGGTGTGGCCTTGGAACGAGTCGAGGCCCTTGATGCCCGGAAGCTTAGGCTTGTGGAGGGGCCCCGCGGCGGGGATGACGAAGCGGCTGGTGATCTTGTCGCCGCGGGATGTCGTGGTGAGCCAGGTGCTCGCATCCTCGTTCCAGCGCATCTCCTTGACCTCTGTCTCGAAGAGCGCCCGCTCATAGAGACCGAAGTGCTTGCCGATGCGTTGGGCGTGTTCTAGTAGCTCATCCTGGTGGGCATACTTCTCCGATGGCATGTAGCCGGTTTCTTCGAGCAGGGGCATGTAAATGTACGACTCAATGTCGCACTGGGCGCCGGGGTAGCGGTTCCAGTACCTATCCCATCGTGAGCGCGAGAAGCTCAGATATCAAAGTATAACTCACCAAGTGCCGCCAAAGTCGCCCGCCTTGTCAATCATTCGGAAGTCAGTCACACCGACCTTCTGCAGCTCAGTGGCGATGAGTTGAGCACCATATCCCGCTCCCACAATCACCACCTCCGTCTCTTCCACGAGCGGCTCCCTCTGCGTATCATTGCCCGTCCACGGGTCCTTCAAGTACTTGGACGAGTCTCCGTCGAGGAATGTGTACTGCGTAGTCCCACCACCCCGTGCAATACGGATATCCCTCTCCTGGAGATACTTCGCCTTGAGCACGACGGGGTCAAACTCCACCTTGGGCGCCTGCTCGACCACGGCGGCAGCCTCCAGGGCGGCCGGCACCGGGGTCTCGGCAGTGTTGATTGCAGCAGCCGGCATCTTGTGTCCGCAAAGTGTTGAGCTGGGTATGGTACTTGGTACCGTGACGGCGGGCTGGCAGCCCAGCGCTCTAGATATGATGGCACATTGTGCTGTAAACCGAACACCGAGCCCCCGCTCGAACGATGCTCGACCGTCTGGAGGGTGTCGCCATGGCTGGCTTCTAGTACACTGGCGGGAGACCCAATCACGAACTTACTGATGCTAACGAGGCAGACCCAAGAGAGCTAGTGCGCGGTGTTGGTTGTGTCTTACGGAACCCGCGCGTGAGAGTCAGTACCGGCGTCCATTCTGACTGCTGGATGTGACTCTGACAATCGACGGCGAGCGACATTTCCTGAGTCTACAGTCCGTCAGTCGAGGGAGGGTTGGTAGGTGCTCACAGCAACTCGAAGATGTGTGTTGATCGCACAGCCGTGGAGCGAGGCCCGGCGGGGTGCTTTAGGGAGGCGAGCCCGCGCCACTACGGTACCGAGCGCGACATCCAACACCAGTCCCTGCCGTCCCGAAAACTCTCCTTCAACATCATCGCACAAGCGCAACAGCGACAGCGACAGCTCAGTATATGCTCCTCGTGGATCGCCCGGTCTGACAGCTGACATCTGCGGGGCGTGTCGCTTGGCACGGCCTCCTCGGGCGCTGACCTCACTTCCGACAGCGTCACGCAGGACATCTCACGACGTCTGAAGCACAGCGCCGACGCCTCTTTGTGCAGCGCTTTTGTTGCGATCAGCGCCGGACATTTCGCAACCAGCAGTGCGACAGCGCGTCACCGAGGACCTGACGCCCAGCGCTGTGATTAGCTGAGGCCGCGAAATTAGCGACGGCCTGGCGCTTGTTTGCTTGCTGTGCTTAATCGCCGAGTCGATCGCTGCGTTAGCCGGGAAACAAAACAATAGACTGCATGCACGGTCAGGTAAACACAAAGAGCACACGTTTCAGCCATGAGATAAACGCATCAATTGCAGCGACTAGCCGTCTAAAATCAAGAATCGTACAATCAACGTACTGACAAGAACAAGAATTGGCGCATCGACGCCCGCCCACACCCAGCTTTTGACTTCCAGCGGTAACCCGACCGATCTTTCTGCTGTACCTAGAGAGAATCGAGACGACGCGCTTAGGCGTAGTCGCAGCCCCAGATGCCCTTGGCGTTGGCGCATCCGATCTTCTTGTAGTCGCCAGTGATGATGTCGGCGTGGCCGGTCTGACCGCCGTAGGCCCAGCCCTGCGACATGGTGTCGCAGATGCCGTTGAGGCCGGGAAGGTCGGGCCTCTCGCAGAGCCAGGCACCAACGAAGACGTGCTCGAACTCGTCGGGCTGTCCGGGGGCGAGGGTCTGACCGAAAGTTCCGGGGTTGAGCTCGTGGACCATCTCACCGTTGCCATCGTTGCAGGTCTTCAAGGCGTTGTTCTGGAGAGTCTCGTCCTGCTCGTAGGCGGGGAGACCCAACTTGGCGCGCCACTGGTTGGCAATGTCGATGTAACCACCGCCGGAAGACGGGGGGTTGCTGGGCTCCGGAGTAGGAGAAGGAGAGGGAGCAGGAGTGTAGGGCTCGGGAGATGGGGTAGGAGATGGTTGCTCGGGAACCTGGTAGGACTGGGGAGGAGACTCGACCACGACGGTGGTGGGCTCAGCGGGAGCGGGTACGTATCCCTGCGAGGGCTCCGGGGCGGGCGTGGGGGCAGCTGCGTCGATGGGCTGACCGTCAGGGCCAACGATGACGGTGACAACAGCCGTCTCCCAGACGATGTGTGGGTTGCCTCCGTGGCCACCGAAGTGAGGCTTGGGGGCAGCCATGGCAGAGCCCGCGAGGGCAAGCATACCGAGAGTAGCGTAGGCGTGCATTTTGAAGTTGTTTTTTTGGTGTTAAGTTGAGTGGATTCGACGAGGGTTTTTGATGTGAGTGGCTAAATTTGGTGATCTGGTTTGCTTTGTTGTGTTGGTAATGAATGTGGTGTCCTCAAAGGAACGTGGTAAAGAACGTGAATAGAACAAAGAGTGACTGGTCTCGTCGAAGTCTCAGACTTGTCGGCGGCAGGAGAGGAGCGCGCGACTGCTGGCTATATACGCCTGCCCTGCTGGGAGATTGGCCGGCGCCATCGCATGCTCCGCAAATCTGTGCCTTCTGGGCACAGCGTATGCACGATCCCATCAAAGTCCGTGTGCCCCCTGAAGGCCCTATTTTTCAGCGAATCCGGTGCCTGGGTAGCCGGACTGTCGTACTCCACTCCTCCAATTTAGCTCGCAGTCCACATGTGCGGTGTTTCTGGGCGCCATGGTGCGATCAGCGTATTCTCGGCCGTCCGCTGGGTACCTGCAGGTCCCGCGTCGTAGCGATTGGACGTGCATGCTCAGGGATTCTCGAGGCCTGCCAACGCTCAGCGTCATACGGCGGTAAGCAAGCGGAGCAGGCCTTAACTAAACTGTATCAAACTATGTACGCTGGCTGCTTCTCCACACATTTAGACGCAGCATGCGGCAGGGGTCGCTAAATTGAGGCCTGGAAGGCAGTCAGGGGCATCCCGCTGCACTTGGACCTGAGTAAGCACGCACCTGGCCAGGTCCGCCAAATAGAGTGTAGATCGTCGGACTAGCGCCTGATTTTATACTACGTTTCATAGACGTGTATAAGAGAAATAGTTAATTGGCCGATAAACCATCGGTCTGGGTGTTCGGACACCACGTTTCAGATGTGCGCTGTGGCGTGCGCTAGCGAGAGGGATGATTGATTAGAGTCAGGTACTAGCGCCTTTTGCACATCGCAAATTCAGCCGGCAAACTCCACGCTCGACCGGCCTAGGAGCATGAACCTGAGGTGAAATCATTTCAGGGCAGGGAACGACTGCTTCGCGACTTTTTGCGGCTCCACTGCATAACGGTGGTCCAGACCCTTCTCATTGGAGCGTGCTCATCTCGATCTTCTTGCCTCACAAAGAGAGGTCGGGAGATGAGCTGAAAGCATCTCGGTGCGGAGGACGGCACGATAATGGGAAGGTATCCGAATGCTGCCGAGGGGACAAGACCGCCCAAGTTGACTGGGCGAAGCTCCCTCAACGCTCGCAACGGGCACTGCAGTTATGCAGCAATGGTTGATGTGTCGTCCTGGTCTGCGAGACTGAGCGCCACGTATGCATCGCGTCTGTCTTCGTTGTCGTTCAGTCGATGTCGATCACCTTCGCGCTGTCGAGATATCTCCACACACGTCATCTTAGCGAAATTCAATGTCTCGTAATATGGATGGTGCAATTAATTGCGACAGGGAAGCACAGCTGGTTAACTTGCGTCCCGTGATCCCCACCACGCCTGAGCACATCCCAGCAAAGTTCTTCTTACAGCCCACTGTTTAGGCATGCAAAAGTTGTGACGCTTTCCGCTGCGCTTCGTTGTTGTGGAGAAACATGTAATCGGCGGCGCGGACTTCATGTTCGTCATAGTAAGCACAGTGTACATTGACCCTGACGGGCGTACGCCTTCCTGCTTCCGTGCGAGATCTCGGGATTCTCGCCAGGATGGCAGCGGAGTCGCTCCGGCCATGTGCAATATTTCCGGTGATGAGTTTCACAACACATCGTGAGGTTGGTGCAGTGTAGGTGAGACTGTGGAGGCTTGCTGCTCACTGTACTGTTCGGAGCTGGAAGCGCACTCGCTTGCGGACCTGCTGCCAGGGTGTCCGTCGGCCACACAGCCTACGTTCTTGAATGCGGACATCGCGCACCCTTGGAAAGGCGGTGTTTTCCTGTGGCTTCGCCGTGAGACCTCATTCACGATCACACATGCAGTGTAGTTTGCGCGAGGCACCAGGCATCGTCTCCGTCAGCAGTGTAGGCCGCTGTTTAGGCATATTGTCTATGCCAATCTCCTGCTCAGTAGCACCTGTCGACATTCCGTCTACTCCACAAGTTGATCGTCGTGCTGTCTTGCTCTTTCCCTCATTCGACAGCGCCCCATAGCTCGTAACGAACGGGTGGATCCCGCGGTCGATCAAGCTCCTTGATTGACAGCTTTCACTGACCCACCTCCGAGGATAGATGTTAGGTAAAACACTGGCATCAGAATTGCTTTGCGCCGGTGCATGTCCCGCAGGCTGCGCTACTGTGGATAGCGCCGGGACACAGTATCGATAGCAACGCTGCGGGGCGGCAGAGCTTTCTTTGCAGATCTGGAGAAGAGTCTCAAACTATCCGACAGTGATAGGAGCTTTGGTGGCTCCACCGGGCGTCGTTGGTGTTGTGGACAGGTGTGCAGCGGTTGAAACCGGCGGTCGGCGTTGGTGTGCGCTACCAGTAACTCTACAGCCGCTGTCCGCCCGAAGCCGGGAACTGAAGCGCGGCGCTTCGCAGACTTCTGGCGCTTGAAATCAACCCGCGTGTTTCGGAGAGCGTGGAAGAAAGGTATGTGCTGGATGTGAAGAGCAGAGGAACGAAGCGCGCGGGCGATGTAACAATGGCATCGTTCTCTCCTTCGATCCAGTTGACGCTAAGCCAAATTCAAGCACAGCTCTTTTTTACCCACCCTGCTCGTTGACTGTTCAGAATGGCCTTTTCTTCTCCAGCAATTCATATTTCCAGTTGTTTCATGTCTAGGGGTAGACAAAGGCACAAAGCCCCTCGTAGCTCCTCGCTATACTTGCTGCAGTATGTGCGCATGTACTCTACAACATCGCAGCCGCAAAAAGATATAGAGTATCGCAACAAGCCCTCCATATACGTTTCGGGTTTACGCATTAGAACGGCTTCTTGTCGGCACTCATACGACAGTACCTGCCTTTCTAGGCCAGTGCCAAAGTAATGTAAATTTCTCCACTTGTCTTATCCATCGAGAGACCAATTGTGGGTTCCGCCTTTTAAAAAACATAGCCGCCCGTTCAACTATGTCCTCCGTCTTCGTTACCGGTATAGATTTTGCCTAGATGCAAATGCGGAGCGGCACAATCTACACATCGGCTTAGTTTCCCCAGAACGTCGGACGATGCCCGCCAGCTTTACCTACGCGCTGTTCCCACAGTCTTCCCGAAAATGTTTCACACCTGCGAAACATTCGGTCGATCGTGAAGATCACCACTGGACGGTCCGTCTCAGATGTTAGCCGCCCGAGTATGGCCTCACAGCACTCACGTAGGAATCCCACGGGATTTCCAGATTGCTTTAGGGGAAGCACGCTGGCGGCCAGGAACTTCTAGCAGAAGCGCTGGCCCCGTGTATCCTCCCCTTAGGCATGAGCGGAGCTGAACCCACGGTGCGCCGCGTAACACCGGAACCGCCATATGCTTCAGTGTTCCGCACTCAATACATGCTTCTGCATCATGCAGGCCAACACCCGACATGCCGCATTCTCGTGGGGTAGCCACTCTTCTCACTGGGCCATGCATCGATCTTCATACACCCGGCCGTCAGAGCATCTCATCTTTGCGAGTTTACATACTTCGTTGTCAATGCTCGATGCTCGACGTTCGACGCATCCATTTGGCATGCCGACGCGAACATATGATTTGCGCGTATCTCTACTCAAGCAATGAAAAAGCCATCCAAATGAAACTGCTCACAGCGACCCAAGACACGGCCCCTCTCAGGATATCCAAAGTCCACCTCCACATCTGTCTACACGTTTTCTATACTCGTAACAAGTGTGACTGCACTCCGCTCTCGTTCTTCCTCTATAAGGTGATTTTCACGTCCCCGCCGTTCTATCAACGAAGCAAAGACCTACCGCCGGGCTCGCAGAGACTAATGTACATGTTCTTACAGCATACCCTCCTCATATAGTTAGACCGTACGACTTGTGAGAAAAATTCACCTCACCCACATGTAGTCTAAAGGCTTCAATATCGCGCTCGACACTGCTAGCTTATGGTACGCTGAGTATAATCTGCGTTTTCAGGACGGCACGGTCTGTTCATCTGCGCACTGCAGCTACTTGTGTTGGACTTTGGAGGTGTCGTAGAGGGAGGTGATCAACGCTGAGCGCTTATGCGAATGCAGTACTAGGCTGTGGGTGGCTTGTTTCTCAGTGATAGCGAGGTTGTAAGGCCGGGAGAGTGATAGTGTTTGATAAATGATGGATAGGATGTAAGGATGCGTGTCGGCAAACGTGAGCTTCTCTCACCATTCTCTTAAGCTTAGCGATAGTCTGTGCATTCGTTTTGGTAGTCGTGCGATCAGTCAAGCACTGCATCCCTGTGAAACGTCGATATAACGTATTGTTGAAGGACACAGTCGACATCACGTTCGTACGAAAAAATATATCACTGAAAGAAACGCTTTTCGATGTTACAAGAACAGAAAAGGACAAGACAAAAATGCCGGAAGGCCTCAACCCCCCAATCCCCCTCCATCCCCCCTCACCCCTCATCCTCCCCTAGGACACACCCCAACCTCACTTGCGCACGAGGTTAGGCATATGCCGGGCGAGTGACCGCCCAGCAAAGCCGCCCCGGCGCAAGTGAGGCGGGGTGTTCCTATCCCACCCAGCGCCCGCCACCTCCCCATCCCCACCTACAATCTCCACCTCCAGCACCTCCTCCTCTCCCTTTTCCGTCGTCCCAGAACCGTCGCTCTCCCCGGACGTCGAGCCTGATGCGCCGGGCGTCCCCGAGCGCACTGAGAGCTTGGCCTCGACGTCCCATATGAGGTCGTGGAGCAGCGACCAGCTGCTCATGCGCTCGTAGAGCGCGGCGTCGAGCTCCATGAGAGCGGCGTCAGTGCCCGCCTGCGCGAGGCGGGCAGAGCGCTCTGCCTCCGCGCAGTTGCCGCACCCGGCGGTCGTCTTCTCTTCGGCGGCGGCGAGGGCGAGGGCGAGGGCGAGGGCGAGGGTGGCGCGCGTGTCTCGCAGAGAACCCTGCGTGGATTCGAGGGCCAGCCGGGCGGCAGCAAGCTCGCGCTTGCGCTCAGCACCGGCTGCCTTCTCCTCCTGCAGCGCCTCCTTGAGCGCCGCGACCGCGGAGTCCTTGGCGGCCAGGTCCTTCTCGATGCCGTCCAGGACGGCGCGCACAGCGTCGACCTTGGTCTGATTGGCCAGAGCAGACCCCGTCGGCCGGAAGATCGTCGTCCAGATACCGGCCGTGTTGTCCTTGTTGGCCTCGGTCTTGGCCTCATTGGCCCGATCGATCTCCTTGTCGCCGACACGCACGACGGCGTGGGCGTTGCTCCAGGCTGCCAACTTCTCGGCTGCGGTCTTGGTCGAGGGCGGCCCAGGCACAGCGGCGGAGGCGGAGGCGGAGGCGGCAGGCTCCGGCGCCTTGAAGGCCGCGAGCTCGACCTTCACGATCTCCAGGCTGGAGCGAAGGTCGGTGATGGTAGCCTGAGCCCGGGTGCACTCGGCAGCGAGAGAGGTGTTGGACTGCTTCTCCATCTCGAGGTCCTGGGCTGTGACGGTGGCTTCACCTTTGGCGGCAGCGAGCTCATGCTGGGTCGTTCGGAGCGCCTCGGTGGTGCGAGCGACAGTGCTGCTAAGAGAGTTGATGTTGGCCTCGAGGCTGACGATGTTGTGCTGCGATACATCGTAGGCCGACTGGTACTGGGCGAGCTCGTGCTTGGCGGCGACAGCATCCATGTGCTTCGCGAGGGCGTCTGCTTGGTGCATCTGCGACTCATGCTTGACAGCTTCGAGCTCCTTCTTGGCGGCGGTGATACGGTTGGACAAGTGCTTCTGTGGGCGAATCATCTTCTTGCACTCGCCGAGCTCAGCCTTGACGGCGACGAGTTCGGATGCGGTATCCTGGGCTTCCTTCGTGCAGACTTCGAGATGACGACAGGTGACTGTGAGCTTCTCCGAGATGTCTTTCTTCTCGTCGGTGAGCTGAGTGAGCGTGTGCTTGAGTTTATAGAGTTCGTTCTTGGTTTCCTCATGGATGTCCTCGATGACGGTGAGCTTGGTGGCGGTGTACTGGTGTGCTGCAGCTTCGGAGTGCAGGGCCTGGATGTCCTTCTTGAGCGTAGCGATCTCGCCATTCTTCTTGGATACGGTGCCGAAGTGCTTGATGGCCATCTCACTCTTGCTCTTCTTGAGAGCACCGAGCTCCTCCTTGGCAGCGGCGAGCTGACCTTTGACGGCAGCAAGCTCGGTGGCAGAAGTGAACGCTGCAGCGGTGATGTGATCGAGAGACGACTTGTGCGCTTCAGCTTCCTCCTGAGCCTCGGAGACCTTGCGCTTGAGGACAGCGAGAACAGGGGCGGGGGCTCTGATGACGCGCTCACGAGGTGCGGTCTTCGAGGCGGCAGCAAGCTGGCATTTATCAGTACATGTGAAGACATACAGAAGCGGGGTGGGACTCACGTCGGCTTCAAGCTGCTTGATCTTCTTGTCGCGGGTGTCGAGCTCAAGCTTTGCGGTAGCGCGATTCTCACGGACGAACATGCTGTGCTGCGACATGTAAGTACACAAACAACAACCGGTGAGCTGTATTGCATATTCTTTACCAACACAAGCGAAATAAGAGGCAACTTACCGTCCTCTCATTAAACTCGATTTTGTCCTGACGAAAGTCGGCGAGAGCCTCGGCCTTCATCCTGTTGTGCTTCTCGATGTCGACCTGCTCGCGAAGACCAGCGGCCTTCGCTCCAATCTTCTTGCAGCAGCGCGGCGTCTCCAAGGCGGGCTCGATGTACATCAGAGCGGAGTCGCAATAAGATAGGCTGCCGCCCTCGCGAAGGAGATTGGCCTCGATGCGGTTGACTGCATCAGACTTGCCGGATATGAAGGTCACGACGTAGGCATGGGCCTTGAAAGACACGGCGTCGGTCATGGTAGACATTGTGGTGAGTGGTGAATGAATGATGAAGAGCTGGAGAAGATGTGGACGGTGTGGAAAGTATGTAAAAGGTATCGTAAGACGAGATTGCTGTCGCGAGACAAAGCTGAGCGTCGCGAGACGGAAGTTGGTGCTGTTAAGCTGAAAGAGGTGCGGTTAAGCAGAAGATGGTTTCTTGACACAAAGAGAGCTGTCAAGCAGAGGCTGAAGTCCGTAGACAGAGGCGTTGCGGTTGCAGACGATTTGCGGTCGCAAGAGTGTGTTGGCACAGAGACTCGAGAACGTCGGCGGCGCGATTATGTTGTCGACGCAGCAAACGCAGGTCTTGGCGTTTGCTCCGGGCAATTGCGCGAGTTCAAGGCGAGTTGCCGGAGTGACAGTGAATGGTGAATAGGGAGGCGCATGTTGCTGCTCCAGTCGACGGTCGGGCGGCGCGGCAGCCTGCTAAATCACTCGTACCAGAAGCCCGACACTTGGACATTTCGCGCTATTGAAGGCCGTCCCAACTCCAATGGAATACCTTAAAACAGATGCAGGACCTCCACTCAAGGGAAGGTCCGACTCCACGTGAAGTTGACCTTCTCCGGCTCTGTGCGTCCCTTCTTACTATGCCATGTGACAGCGTGAGACAGTGCCTCTTCCATGAAGGCATCGATACTGAACGTCTCCGCACATCCAACCTCCTGCAATTCGTAGATAACTCTTTTGATCCATTCTACGGCATCTCCCACCGGGCTCCCAGCCTCACACGGCATCTGAACCTGCGTGAGAATTTTCGCCACATCAGCTTCTGTGGTGCCCTCCACCATCTTACCAATCATGATGCGGCCGAGCATATGTGACGGCAGAGACTTGTGCTCGTCGATATGCAGGCGCCAGCCAAAGGGACTGGAAATGCTGGAGTACGCGACCGCATCTTCCAAATCAAACGAAGTGCCATTTCCATTACTGCCCTTGGGCTCTAGCCATAGTCCCCAGTGGTACTTCTGGGCCGTGGGGCGAGGTTTAGAGGCCGAAATGGTAGATGAATCTGACGCAGTGGGTCGAGTGTACGCGGCGACGAAGACCCGAATTTTGTTGCTCATGATTGATGAAGGCAGAAGGAATAAGGTCAGGTTGAGATGCAAGAACGTCGATCAAAGACCGGGTATCGGGGATGGCCGGTTTATATGAAAGAGATGTACAGAGGGACATGTAGAAAGACGAACGTAGCAAGACGGCACTTATCCGAGCGCTAGAAATGCAGCTGTGCAAGCGCTACCTGACTCACGCCGGCACTTGGGTTCTGCATTGATGATTAGCCACCATCACCCACGAATGGCACCCATTGGCCTGCTTCGCCGCTAACACCATCGCAGCCTCTCGCCTCATCGCATCGAGGGCCAGAGCCGCCACCCAACCACCAATCTGCGCCGGTTCGCGTATGACGGCCACTAATGCTCCGAAGTTTTCTAGAAGCCTTCCGCACTTACGGAACAGAGGTAGCGAGCATCAGATCAAGACGCCTCGGGTGAGATGTGTTGGGAGTGCGCAAGGCAGGGATGAAGATCGCAGAGGCCAGTATCCGAAGTCCCGGCTCGCTGCTTGCAGTTGCTGCCGCCGGTTATTGGCCTGTCAAGAGTTGGCGCGGCTGTATGGCTTGAATGGAAGTGCTTACAGCCTCTCGGAAGGCCGTATTTGCAGCTCGTGTAAAGTGCGGTGTGTCGGCTGAGGATGGTTGGGATCACCTGAGAGCTTTCAACCGACACGCGGTCGTCTTCCGCACCGCTTCCTCGGCGTTTCTTTGGGAGACCAGTGTTCCGAACTATGAAAGATGCGCCAGATGTCGGATTTGTGGGTGGACTTGCCTGTACGACTTGTAGTTCTCCACATGAGCGCTGACGGCATGCATGAGGGCCGCTGGGGTGCGACGCATAATACGCGGAGCATTTTCGAAGGCATGTTGAGGAGGAGCGGTAGGTCAATGACAAGTATTTGTAGTGAAAAAGCCGCTCACTTCTCCAAACTCAGGCAGAAGCTGAATGAGAGCAGGAAGACCATTGGAGGGTGGCATGTCTGACCTGGAATACAGATGCAATGCGTATTCCTTGCGTTGAGGTAAAGATGAGAAGGAAGAGAAGCGGAAGCTACAGAAGTCAGGATAATAAGGTGTGCAATTTTTGGGTCGGAAGGCACGAACTACTCCTACATGGAAGTGGTTCTTATCCAGCATAGTAGGTATACAGATGGTATCACGATTATATACAGTTGAGTATTAGGAAGCAAATGATACTTTGTAGACATCCCCCACAAGTCAAGAAGAGACCGGACAAGCGTGGCCTAGCTACCAAATGTACAGGATACACCAACGCGCCCCATCCATGGGCATGTTTGGAACATGAAACCAAAATCCGTAATATCGCTACCTCATGCCATTGCGATCCGGATGCGAGAAAAGCCGCGAACACGCAAATATCCACGTGGACAGGATTGAAACGAAAATTTGAAAAGCAAATTTCCATTACACATCCCTCACAGACCATCAGCTATATTTTGTCGAGAATCGTCGCCAGTTGGAGGCTCGAAGCTCAAGAAAAGCTTACCATAGCCAACCGCGCTTCTTGGGGGCCTCAGGTACGAGGGGGTCGGGGACGGAGTCGACAGGGACAGCAGCGTCGTACTCCTCGTCATCCTCGTCGATCTTTGGCGTGTCGTCCACAAGCTTAGTGACAAAGCCCTCCACCTTCACCAAGAACTTGTCATGCTCGGCAGCCTGCTTCGCCCAGTCCTCACCAAACGCCCTTTTCACCTCCTCATCATACCACGTCTCCAGCACCTGCACCATCAAGCCGCGCACCTTCGCACCGCCCTCATGCCGACGCGTATCAACCATGTTCCCGAACATGATCTTGCCCGGCTTGCGGCCCGGATTCATGGGTGTCCAACCCCGAAGCGCCGTACTGAACGCCCACTGTGGCTCCTGCACCGGTGGCTTTGACGATCCAGTGAGCCAGTTCTTGACTACGCGCAGCATGGGCTTGTGGGCGCGCGGGTCGTCGAGGGCGGTCGCTCCGTTCTTCATCTCCGGTATGGCGAAGCGGCGGGAGGTGGCGTAAGGGTCGACCTCCGAGTAGTATTGCTGTGCCTCGTCGTCCGGAACGTCGAGGTTCACGATGTCGCCGGTGTCTTCTTCAATGATCCTGCCGTCAGAGTCGACGCGGAGGATGCCTTTGGTTTTATCCAGACGGGAGGCCATGTTCCAGATACCGCAGTCTGTGGCGGACGAATTGGTCGTGGTGTCCTCCTGTATAGCTCCAGCGTTCTGCGGAGCCGGACTGGTGGGGAGAGACATTGTCGGAGCCGGGCTAGTAGGGAGAGACATCATGCCTTTTTCGTCCGTACTTATCGTATTCGAGATGTTTGAGTGTGGCGTATTGAATGGGTGCTACTAGAGTTCGTGGTGGTTTTGAGTCGTCGGGAAGCAATGTCGATAACTTAGCCTTCGGTCTTAGGTTGAAGGGGCTGTCTGATACAAAGTGGGTGAGGGTTCTATTGAGCGGAGTCCTGGGTTTCTTATGGGCAGTGCCGCGGCAGGATTGACGTGCGCTACAGGTACCACGGACTCAAGGGTCCGTGATAGAGAAGTGAAAGTTTGACTTCCATCGCAAGATTGGGCCCTTGCACAGTTTGCACTGCTTCCGCCATCCACCACCGCGCCGTGAAAGTCGCTGGGAGGACAGGATACGTATGCTCGAGTCCGGCCCTTTCTCACACGATTGGGACCTTTGCTCATCGTAACCTTAGGTGCCATTTGCAGCCAGCGCTCGTTCCATCAATGACGTCGATTGATTCGTGAGGCTCAAATTAATTCGTGTCCTCTTTTCGAGCATCGAAGGCCGATTGCGGCTTGCTCTGACAAAGACACAATGCCGTATCGCCCCATTTGTCTTGCGATAATAGCAGCGGAAGCTTTACTGCAAACATGGAGTCAGGCATGCAGGCAAATAACCTCTCCTAAAGCTAAGATACCTTTCCAGGCAAGGCAGAACGGATCAACGTGTTGCACATATGTGAACATCCTTACGCGCGCCTACCACGGCCCTGTCACCTCTACAACGACCCTCGTCGAACCAAATAGGCTCACACAGAGCTGTCTGGAGTCTCGCATACATGGAGGCATCGTAGACGTGGTGTGCTAACAGCGGCTGCCAATTCCCCAGTTTGGTGGAAATTATCGCGGAACCTGGCGTTGACGAACATTCAAGACAGTAAGTGCGAAGCATGGCGATAGCAAATATATATACTCCGGGAGGAAGATATTCCATGGGAAGATATTCCATGGGAAGAACATGCATCTCTAGTTAATGAATGTGTCGGGGGCTCAGAGGAACGATGCGTGATCACAGTGGAAAAGAAAGTGTTATGCTACAAAAACATGCTTCGAGGGACACGGGATATATATGAGGAACGCTCAAAGCTACCGTGTACAGGCCTAAATGAACTGAGACCGAGACTAAAGATATCGGAGCCAAGAAGGTAATAATTAGCAACAGTTTTCACAGTCCACGTACGCGAAGTAGCATGCGATACAACGGGCACAGTGTTGGACACCCGTGGTTGGCGCAAGAATGGCGCATGGATTGTAGAAGAGGTTAGTGTACCTTATGATGTCATCTGATCTCAACACCAGGGCATCCTCCAGACCAAGCACTTCTTGGCCCTGGCCATTTCCTTTGAGAAGGCTTTTCATGACATCAAATATTTTCCCGCCCACTGCCCCAACCGCGCCGTACCAACCAGGCATGAAGCCGAAAGCTAGTGCCGACACGCTGCATATGTAGCTTGGGGATCTCCATCCGATGTTCAACCGCCCCGCATAAACGAGCAACAACAGGACTAACACCATGCCTGCCAAGATACCCGTCAGTAAAACGGCCCGCTTCTTGTACAGAGTTGACTTGTTCCCTGCGGATTGTGCTCGTAACGAGGACTGGCGGCTCTGCGTTTTCGGCTGCTCGCATGCGCGGTAAACGACAATCCAGGGTTACGTCGGGAAGTTAAAAGGAAGCCATGCGGCCTCAACAAGTGAACAACAGGCCGGAGCCGACCGCAACCGAAGATGAGGTTCATTATAGAAGCTGCTCCGATTGCGGCCCTTGCATCGCTCTGTGCAGGCCAGAATAGCAGCACCATCCCATCCGAGGTTCCGCTATACGGCGACAGCCCTCCGGTGTATCCAAGCCGTGAGTAGAATTCCATAATTGGACGACAAAGCTAATATAATGTAGCCGTTGGTAATGGCACAAGCAATGAAGCATGGGCATCTTCGTACTCTCGAGCGCGAGCGCTTGTCAGGCAGATGACGCTGGAAGAGAAGGCAAACATCACGCGCGGCTACACAGGAAAATGCGTAGGTAACTCGGGTGCCATTCCCAGGCTCGACATCCCGCCTCTCTGCTTTGCCGATGCTCCAGATGGAATCCGCGGGCAAGAGTTCGTTTCAGCTTTCCCTGCCGGAATCCATGTAGCTGCGACCTTCGATCGCGACCTCATGTATCGCTATGGGCATGCGCTAGGTGCGGAGTACCGTGGAAAGGGTATCAATGTTGCCCTTGGCCCGGTTGCAGGACCCTTGGGCCGAGTCGCAAGAGGTGGGCGGAATTGGGAAGGGTTGAGCGCCGATCCGTATCTTGCGGGCATTGGTATGGGCGCGATTACCAAGGGTATTCAAGATACTGGCGTAATTTCAACGCCAAAGCATTGGCTTCTGAATGAGCAAGAATTCCGCAGGAGAGAGAGCGACTTGGGCGACGCCGTATCGAGCAATGTGGACGATCGCACCATACACGAGCTGTACGCATTTCCCTTTGCAAATGCCTTCCGTGAGGGTGCAGCTTGCACCATGTGCTCTTATCAGAAAGCCAACAACTCGTACGGCTGCCAGAACTCCAAGCTTCTCAACGGTCTTCTTAAGACGGAATTCGGTTTCGAAGGTTTCGTCGTAAGCGACTGGGGTGCGCACCACTCTGGAGTTGCGTCCGCCAATGCTGGGCTAGACATGGTCATGCCAGACGGTGGCTACTGGGGCAAGAACCTTACTGAAGCTGTCAACAACGGCAGTGTAAGCACTGAACGAATCGACGATATGGCCACCCGCATCCTGGCCAGTTGGTACCAGCTCAAACAAGACGAGAATTTTCCTGCTGTTGGCGTCTACTCCAACACTGTTAAGCACCAGCCCATCGAGGTGCAAGACGACCATCCAGAACTGATCCGTGAAATCGGCTCAGCTGGTACCGTTCTCGTCAAGAATGTTAACAACACGCTACCCTTGCACAACCCCAAGTTCTTGAGCGTTTACGGTTACGACGCAACTGTGAAGTCAACTCCGTGGCAAAATCCCTCCCGCTTTGGCGGTGGCTACGAAGTCAACTTCGGCTGGAACACACTCAACGGCACAATGATTACTGGCGGCGGTTCGGGAAGCAACACACCTTCCTACGTCATCAGCCCATTTCACGCCATCTCCGACCGCATCGCGAAGAATCGCGGAACCATCCGCTGGGACTTTGAGTCAGAAAATCCGTACCCGCCCTACGTCAACTCCGAGGCCTGCCTCGTGTTTGTCAACGCCTACGCCTCCGAGAGCTTCGACCGCACTACCCTGACCGACGAGTTCAGCGACAACCTCATCCAGAACGTAGCAGCGAATTGCACAAACACAATCGTTGTCATCCACTCCGCGGGTATTCGCACAGTCGACACATGGATCTCGCATCCCAACATCACCGCCGTGCTCTTCGCCGGTCTGCCAGGCCAAGAAAGCGGCAACTCCCTCGTCGACATCCTCTACGGCGACGTCGCGCCCAGCGGCAAGCTGCCCTACACCATCGCCAAGCAGGAAGGAGACTATGGCGCGCTCCTCAACTCGTCCGTATCGTTCGACTATTTCCCGCAGGACGACTTTGAAGAGGGCCTTTATATCGACTACCGCGCCTTCGACAAGAACAACATCGAGCCGCGCTTCGAATTCGGATTCGGACTTACGTATACCACTTTTGAATATGCCGACCTGTCCATCAGCCCAATCGCCAATGGCACAGCCGAGTATCCCAACCCCGACGTCGCCATCGTGCAAGGCGGACATCCGCAGCTCTGGGAGGCAGTTCTCACCGTGACGGCGAACATCACGAACACGGGCAACCTGACTGCGGCGGAGGTTGCGCAGCTGTATGTCGGGATCCCGGACGCGCCCGTAAGACAGCTGCGTGGGTTCGACAAGGTGTACATCGACCCGGGGAAGAGCGTAACGGCGAGCTTTACGCTGGCAAGAAGGGATTTGAGTGTGTGGGATGTGGTGTCACAGCAGTGGAGGTTGCAAAGGGGGAGCTACGAGGTGTGGGTTGGAGCAAGTAGCAGGGACTTGAGGTTGAATGGTACGTTCACTGTGGGTTAGGACAAGTAGTTATGGAAAGAGGAATGTGAAAGTCAACGTCTCGTTTATTGTGGTCGTCTTGATATAACAATCAGTGGGGACTCCAATGTCGTGGGGCACCTGGGCCCTTGACGTCGCGGATGATGCTTCGAGTAGTGTCGTTCATGAACTCGACGCGGCACTGTGCAACACCACGCAGAGAGCCTGTCTAACAACCCTCCGCCCATCACGCCGTCAATTCACAACGCCTTGATGCCTTCTTTCTTGCCATATCTTTTTCGGTCCTCCCATTATGACTCTTCCGTCTGGACCAGTCTCATGCGAACCGCAAAACAAATCCCTCTCTTACTTCCTCTTCGTCCCGGTAGCCGTAGTGTACGTCTCCGACGTATTTTATTGGCTAGGATACATCGCTTCGATGTCTATGCCGTAATCCGGATAATCGATGGCCAATATCCCCTCCTCTTGCTTGTTCGCAACCCTTCCCCCAACATCCGTATGCATCGAGCCTAAAACCCATACTCTGTACCTTTGCAAACGCAAATGCAAATGCTTATTGTGTATGTGGTGTCTTGTCGCGTTCCCCTCCTCTTGTACCCATGCAGTCTGTTCCTCGGCAAGCCTCCCTGGACAGGAACCGTTCCTCCACACCAAAACCCAGGTCCTAGTTTGCCTATTTCTTCACTACTCCGGTGCAGTGTTATCCACACTTCGATTTCGTCCATCCGGTCGGTGTGCCAGGCGGTAGTATTCAAGTCCATCTTTGTGCAGGCGCAGGGAAGTATATCTGTTGGCAGGGCTGCTGCTGTGGCTCCCCGGGATTGGAATTTGCGAAGGAACGGTGTAGCGGTTCGATTGATGGAGGATACTAGAGCTGCAATGGATGTAACCATACAAAGGCTAGCTGACTAAAGTTGACGTTCCTGGTAGCCTCCAGGGACACGGATCGAGCCTCTAAAGAGAGAAAGCGCAGCGAGGTGGGCGGATGATCACAGCAGGAATGCGCAGCCCTGAGAGAGAACTATAATAGATCGGCGGTGGCAGTCTCGGTGGCAGCTGAGAATATGGCTGTGACTGTGGTTATTACGATGGGCAGCTGAATGGAGCCAGGTACTAAGTGGATTGAATTGAAAGGGCAGCCAGAAGAGCGAAGTATGGATTGAGCAACGAATGCACTGCTGATTCGCTGCCGCCAGCGGGGCCATAAGTCGAATGTATCACGATTGGGTCATCAGCCACTGTGCAGTCATGACCTCCGGGACAACCGTCCAGAATTAACCATGACCGCGACGAGTCTCCCATTCATCCCTCCAGGTCGATCCACCGATGGAAATTGAGCGACAAGAGCGTACTAGCACCAGGCATCAGGCGACAGCAAACCGCTAGGGGTCTCAGGTGAGAGGTTGCAGGCAGGCCAGGCACGAAGCCCTCAGATTCCACACAACCTGCAACATGAGCCAAGAATACCCTTGGTCTGAACAGTCAGCTGAGCCCACCACGCAGCCAGCCATGATTGACCCGAGCCGAAGCCGCCACATGAGCTGGTGCGTGGTGTTTGGTGAGGCTAGCGGCGGAGCGCTCTGGCGGACTGTCTGTTGTCGATTGTCTAGGTAGAAGTGACTGTGAAAGGAAGAGAAGAGTGTGGAGAGCTGTCTGTGAGCATAGGGTCACATGAATGACAATCGAGCTATCGCTCGTCCACATTGCGAGGTCGGGATTGGCAAGGTTGAAACTCTTGTCGATGCGACTGGTCGTTCGGAAATAATGTGTGCTGTATGTTTGAACCCACTCACAGTGGGTCAAGCTTGTGCTCAGTCGCCCATTGCCTGCCGCGAGTCAGTGGAGTCGTTGCGCAATTTGGTAGGCGAGTGCTTACCCGCGCGTGTGCAGCTACGGGCAAGACATGCAAGCTATGCATGGCTACTTGAAGGGCTATCGAAGACGAGCGACAAGTTACGAGTGGCATTGGATTGTAAAAGAGATGTTGAAGCGACGGAGTGCAATATGTACACGGTGTGGGACAGATGCTAAGCGAGCACGTGATGTGTGCTGCGTTGAGTCACAAGCAGCGGTGAAGGTGGGGGCAACACGATCTTACTTTAAAATATGGTCTCACTAGTTCTTCTTGTGCGTTTGATTGCTTTGTAGCAAGGTGCAACCTGTATTGAAAGAGCAGGTTGCAATCATGTTCAAAGCATTGCAAGGGTGACCAGTCTTAGGCACGTCGTGCGCAGGCACATCAGGTGTGAGACACCTTATCATTGAGACTTGAACAAGATTCCACTAATTAGGAAATCGGAGCCAAATAATAACTATTTTCTTAATATGTCATGAAGCAAGCTATGCTGTAACGCAACTGCAGATTCTCCTCTAGCGAAAATTCAGAATCAAAGATGATTCATATTGATAAAGACTACCGTAGCTTCACGGTTCATTGTATTGGGTCAGTTCTGAATGTTATTCTGTCTGAACCTTGCTGCCATAGCCATAGCCTACATATGTGCCTGTCTTCCCGGTGGATCGTCTATGTCAAATATCTGCTCCAAGGAATTTTTTAGGTACAGTCTCAAAGATCATACAAACCAATAAGGATTCGCCTTCCCCTCAACACCTAGTTCTAAATTCACGTCCTCGATATGCATGTGCTCAAGTTGAGATGAGAGGTCCGCCTCATGCATATCTTGTTCAACGGCCTGCGTGCTCGCATTGTGGGTTGAAAGCCAATACGTATAACCGACCAGCCGATGTGTCTCCTCATCGAACATCCAGCCTTCGGGCTTCTCTGAGTCAGAATACCAATCGTCGAATGATGTATAGGTCTTGTCGGGGTACTTAATCTTGATGCTTGGCTGAGCTGCAGAAGAATTATCCTTGAGCAGAGAGTTTTGGAACTCTCCCATGTTTGGGTCACTAACAATAGCATCGAGACGCAGGAAATCATCGAGTTCTGCGAAGGCGAACCAGCCGCGGATAAAGATGGCGACCCGTTGGTCGGACTCACGGTACGGCGTTAACACATGCATCTGAGTGGGATGATGATACTCGAAAATTCGAATCCAGTTCTGGGCTAAAGTGGCATCGGAGATGGTTTGGGTGGGCATGTACTCTAAAGGTTCTTGCGCAATTATAGCTGGTTGGGAGGGCTGGTTCTCGATTCCGTGTTCTTGCGCATTCATGGTAAATTGAGAGAACTGCGTCTCCATCCCGTTCATTCCATCCCATTGGGAAAACGCGTTTCCATTCGGTTGTGTCATTTCGTCGCAATCGCCGTAATCTTCGTCTGTCAGAATGGGAAACCTGACGGGCTCGTATTACGGTACGATGTTGGCTTGGTGCTATTTGGGCTGCACACGGTTCCGTGCAGATGTACTGTCCAGACGATGTTGTGTGTTTATTCAGGGCTCGCAGGTGACTTCGGGGTTTGTGATCTCAAGAATTAGGGAGGAGAACTTTCAAATATACAGTGATTGTGTCCTTAGAAGGTCGGTGCTCGAAATCTTCCAATGTGGTGAAGACATGAATAACATACTTTCACAATGCTCTGCTGAATGTGCTTTGACTCAACCAGGCTTATCACGTGTAATTATCATATTGAATATCGAATTGAATGATGAACGACGCGAGAAAACCATACTGGCTCTACAGAAAATAAAACAAATATATCAATCAAAGCGCTAATATCTTCCAACAATAGATATCATCATGAAGATGAACCACGTTTGCCGCTATAGTGCACTCTTTCTTCGAGGCTGTCCTCGGATGTTTTTGACCGGAAGATTATCCTCACCATACGCTTCTGGATCGGCAGGTCGAACATAAGTTTCGGCATCCAAAGCAAAGATATGGATGGGCCACATGTCTGTGACGACATTTCGGTGCAAAGCCACAGAATGCCGCCGTAGCGGCATGCGTTCCTGTGGCGGCTCGAGCTCTCCCATCGCAGCCTTGTTCTTCATGCCTTCTTCATGATCAATGATCTTCTTTCGTACGGAAGGGTCAAGTATATCCTCACGCTCGAAGTCCGTGGGAGAAAGGACTGGAGTCGGCAGATCAGCCCAAATCTGCCTTGCCTGCTCAATCGAAAGCGTGTGGGGATTGAAGTGGCCCTGTAATGTAAGATGGTCTTGTGCTCTTTCAGAAATACCTTGCCGTCTGAGAGCTTCAGCTGATTCTCGCGCAGTTACTGCCCTTACTGATTGGCGTTCAGCCTCGATATTCGGTCTTCTTTGTTCCAGGTCCAGACGTAGCCTCTGTCTCACATCATTGACTTCGCGCTCCGGTTGCCAAATTTGATCGTTGGCTGTTTGGGTGCACAGACTTTGAAAGAATGCGGAGTCCTGAGCATCTTGTGATTCGTGAGGACGATCGGGCTGAGTCGCCAGCGAATGTGCTTTGCTGTCGATAGCATCTTGCTTCGACATCCCACCTCCCCTCTTTGTCTGTCTATACCCCCCTCGCTTGCTCCTCCGTTTCTTAGGCTTGGCTGGATCGGGTTGTTCCGTTTTTTCAATAAATTCTGTTTTGTCACCGGACCTCATTTCATCACCTAACCTCGTCTCTTTGATAGTTCTCGTCTGCTTGATAAGGTCCAGTTCCTCAGCATCGTCACGTTCAGCAGCGTTTGTATCCCCCGGCATTTCAGATACATTCTCAGCACTCAGGCCAGCCGCTTCCATGCGTTCCCTCGCTTTCTTTGCCACCCGATATTCCTTCTTCTTTCTCTTTTTGTCGGCCTCGTTCTGCTCAAAGCGCATTCGCTCTTCCTCTGACATTTGCATCTTTTTGTTTTCTTGCCTCGCAGCTTTCGAAAGTTTGTGATTTTGCCACTCTGAAACACTGTTGAAATCCCTCTTCCTAAGCCGCGAAAACCTTTTCTTTCCTGGCTTTTCCTCGATACCTTTCTCAATATGTGTGTCGCGATCAGCATCAACAGTACCTCCAGTAGAGCTGATTTGAGTCCCTTTAGCATGAAATATCTCAGGTGCGGCGGGACGATCTTCAGGCGTTTTGTCAGGCATCTCCTTGGGCTTGTCTTCAGGCCTGTCTTCAGGTTCGACGTGGGGCCGATCATTATACTGGTCTTCGATATGAGGAGAGAGCCTATATTCCTCGATATCTTCCTTCAACAGCTCTTCGGGCTGGGTTACCGTAGGCTCTACTCCAACTTCCGTAGACTGCTCTGCCGTGAAAATGTTTTGCTCCCCAAACACGAAACCGGAACTTTTTTGATCAGACCGTTCCAGCTCTTCCATAAATCCCTTCGCTTCCTTGTTCCTCTTCTTGTTTGCCTTCCTTCGTTGTTTTCTCAAAGCTTTTTCTTGCCGATGCCGGAGTTGATCCGCTTCTGACATTTGAGCCACCATAGCTTGTTCTCGAAGCTTTTGCGCGAGCTTCCTCGCGCGCTTCATTTCTTCCCACTCTTGATCTGTTGCGAAATCACCTTTTTTAGGGTTTCTTCCTCTGAACTTGGGTTTCCTTCCATCAAGAATCTTGTCAGCTTGGTCTTCATGTACATCGCCAACGTAGGAGGCCCCGTCGTCAGGATCTACACCGCTTCTGTCAGTGATTGTACTAGCACTTTGATTATCCTGAGTGTTTCGAGAATTCCCAGGTCCGAGTCTGAGAAGGTCTTCAGTCGATTTATGGGGACTACTCTTGACATCTGTTTGAGACTCATCATCAGGCTTAACTTCGGGCTCATCAGCGAACTTGTCTTCAGGCTCAACAGCCAGCGTGTCTTCGGGCGTGTCTTCTGGCGTATCATCGGCCTTATTTCCAGGCTCATCATCGGACTGGTGTTGTGTTGCAGGCACTAGGCCGCCATCTGCACGATAGACCTCTTTACTTCCTTTCCTCTGCAAATCTTTAGGGAGGTATATCTCGTCAGCCATGCGCTGGTCGAGGATGACTGGTCTGTGGCCCCCATCCTGCTCAACCTTTCTTTTCATTGGCCCATCAGGGGTACTATACAGATCATCTGGGTCGGAGTCGTATTCTTCTGCATTCCAATCGGAAAAAGTCCCCCCTCCTCCATTTCCACCCTGGTTCTCATTGCCACCTCCACCTCCGCCTGCCCCTGGCCCTTGCCCTCCATCCTCTCCTCTGTCACCGCCTCCTCTGGCATTTTCTCTACGTCCACATTTCTTGCGATGCTCTTCCGATTCTTCATGCTTCGGGTACCCTCTTATGATTGCTTGTCCACCATAAGGAGTGCAGTACCTATTCTCTCGCTCTCTGATCCTTCTAGCCTCTTCTAGTGCGCGAGTAACGTCTTCTCTTTTGGACTTTTCTTTGCCAGGTCTCACTACTGGTGTGTCTGGTACATCCGGCTGTTGCGACCTGGATGTCTCAAGGTTTGACTTGTCAACTGTGCCTTTATTTTTTCCTTTGTCTTGTATTTGCCCGCTTTCGAGTAGGTGAGGGGAATTCTCGGTGGTGTATAGCTCGATAGCGTCATCAGGGGGCCTCTCGTGATGGATCTCCCGGTTCTCATCCCCTTCGTCCTTGGGCTTTCCGGTGCCGCTCTTCCTACCTCCAGAATCTTTGCCTTTCGGCCTTACCTCATTTGCCTTCCTACCATTGTTAGCTTCGTTCATATCACTGTATGTTTTGTCTTTCACCTTTACATTTTCGCTGCCGCGACTTCCGCCACCAGCATCTCTGCCGCCTCTATTGTCTCCGCCACCTCCGCCATCACCGCCCCCACTACTTTTTGTTCTTCCTTTTTTGCTACGATGCTCTTCGGAGTTTTCGTGCTCTCCCCACCAAATGATAACGACGGGTCTGTTGCACCACTCACAAAACACATTTGTCTGCTCGATCTCTCCTCTGCGCATCTGCTCCTCCAGTAGACGATGATGTTCCGAATCCAAGTGCTTGTCCAGTCGACGATCGTTTTCCGGGTCCTCGTGCTCATGGGTATGTCCAATGAAATCCAAGGGTTGAAGTGGAAATCTTTCATCACAAACGCAGCAGTAGCCTTGCCCCTTCTTTGTGTCCTTGCCAATCATTTTCTGGAGATGGATTCTGAGTTTCCGATGGGTTTCCCAATCTGGTGAGGCTTGGGCGCCCTGCCATGCGGTGTTGCTCTCGCGAAAGTGCAGACCGCAGATTTTGCAATGGGGCAACTTTTCTTCCCCCGATCTGGTCCGGCGACCGGAAATTTCCTCGTCTACTGACTTTTGGCCACCGTGCTCCACGATCCCATTTGGCTGGCGCGCTTCACGATCATATTCCGTCCGTAGTACTTGCGCCTGTTCAAGTTCGTTGTGACGATGACGAGCGCCATGAGCGATTTTCGGACAGATACGATCACAAAGTTTGCAGTAGGCCCAGCGGTCGGGAGCAGCGACAGTTGGAGAGGGAGTGGGGGTGGGAGTACGACGCACCCATCCTGGTAGGCGCGGACCCATGGCTGCACGTTCAAGGAACTTGTCGCTTGTATGCCAGCTCTCTGATAACCCATAGGTACCCAAATTCAAAGGGTCTCTGGGCCGCAGAGGTTCTTTGTTCTCTCTTCTGCGTCGGATATTATCAAGATGCCATTCCGTAGCTTGATGCGCGCGCCATTCCCTGAGATCGAACCAATCCTCACACACACTGCAAAATTTCATAATAGCCTCCCCTTTATTCAAAAGGCCTTCCATCGCGGCCTGTACGTTCTGATCAGGGGCCGCAAACCATAGCGTTCGAGCCATTTCAGTGTCCATTTCGATAGGGGCTCTGGATATAATATAATTCAACTCGTCAAGAGTTGGTGGCCTGGCCCCAGTGGACTTCTTCCCCTCCCTCCGCGCGATATTATCGAGGTGCTGCTTCGAAGTCGGGTGCAAGGGCCAGTCTCTCCAATCAGGTGTCGAGTTACAGAGGTCACACTTTTTGACAAAGAAAGGCCAGTTTTCCCGGTCCAAGAAAATCTCTGTCGCATTTTGGAATTGAGAACCTTTGTCGGCTATCTCCCATATCATATCGGCTAGCTCGGTGTTGTCTCCGGTCAGGCTTAAAAATTGGTCGAAATCTTGAGACGATGGTTGTTGGTCATCTGTGCGTTCCTCTTTGCTCTCAGTTTTGTGATTGTGCTGCGGATCGTCGTCTTTCACAGGCTTTGTTTCCTTGGAAGTCGTGTGCTCAAGTACATTCCCTTCCGTTTCAGGAACTATATCAGGAGTTAATGCTGCCGGTGTAACAGCGTCTTGCACGTTCTCTTGGGTGTCTGAAGGTCCGGGGACGCGCGCCTTATCCGTGTTCTCATCTGTAGGCGTGGCATGCGTGTCTATTGAGGCTTCTCTGGGCGTAGTTTTAGGCGTCTTCTCGACCTCAATCGTAGTATCCTGTGTGCTTTGAGCTTCCAACGGGACGTCTTCAGACTTACCAATCACCTCCTTGGGAGACTCCGTCCCAGGCTGTTCAGTTCCAGTTCTGTTGCCCTGAATCTCGCGCCCGCCATTCGGCTCGAATGTAGCTTGATCAGACTTAGTTACAGTATTTCCGTCGCCTTGATTCCCAGGCGCTTTGATTTCGCCAGCATCAGGTGGCAAGTTCTTGGGTTCGTCACCCGCAGTAATATTGACTCCAAAATCTTTATCATCGGGGAAGCGATCCTTGGGAGCGATGAACTGGTTCTTGGGAGCTGGCGCACATTGACCCGGTCCGGGAACTTCGGGAATGTGCTCGTTCGAGCTATCATCGGACACTGTGGTCGAGTCTGACGAAGTACCTCTGCCGGTACCTTGTGATGGATTGAATCCAGTACCTGGTCGTGGAACATGTCCCAGGAGAACCCGCAAATTCTCATCTTCGTCTTCGGGGGTAATTTTTAGCACCCTTCGCGGTGAACTGTCTGACCCTGATGAATGAGGCGAATAAATATCAAGTGAAGATATGCTAGGCGAACCCGAATGAGGAGGCAGAGGAGGAGTACTTGGTACTTTGGGCGAGGCCTTTGTTCTCGAAGAACCAGTCGACTTGGGCCTTGATTCTTGCTGGCCATTTTCAGGTTCTTTTGGAGACTCTTGCTTTGGTGTCGGTGGTGCTTCTAGAGATTCTGGCTTTGGTGATTCTGGGTCCTTCTGTGATTCTAGTTCCGGTGTCGATAATTTCAGTGTTCCCACGGATAGATCCGGAGAATGCGAAGAAGGTGATGCAGGTGAATTTTCAGCCGATCCTCTAGCACCCTTCACGCCATTTTTTGGCTTAACATAGCTAGTTCCACCGGCATTCAAACCTAGACGGCCATTTGAACGCTGCGCTAGGGTTGGTGTAGAGGGGAACTGGTCAGTTGGCCCTGGAGGTGTATTTGTCTCTGATGCAGTTAGCCCCGGTGCAGTTATCCCTGCAGGCGGAGCAATTGGATCAGGAGGTGGAACGATTGGCGCTGGAGGAGTTGCTTGTATTGGACCTGGGGGAGTAGCTGTTGGTGGTGGCGGGGGAGATGGTGGTGGAGGACGAGGTGGTCTTGCAGGAGTCGGCTCTCCAGTGTCTAACCTCTGATCACCAGGCCCTCGACCACCACTTGGGCCTCCACTCCCACCGCCTGCGTTTTCAGCACCAAACACGAGCTCAGATCTGATTATCATGTCAGGTAGTCCCAGAGTACTCACAGTCACAGGCTGACCAGACGCAGTATCGACGATCCTTGCAGTCGCTGGATCGAATTTTTCCGGGATTGGAGCGTGCTGGATGTCTGGAAGGTGGTTGACATCGATTTCGATAACGGATCCGTCGACAGGCACAGGAACAGAGTAAAGGCGATATGTTCCGCGACCGGGTAGTTCAACTAGTCCGTGGAATGTAGCAGTGAGATTAGCAAACCTCCAGCCCATGAGCGACCAGAGCAATGCCGTAAGGGTGAGCAGCGGTATGTCTTGGTACCAATATCCCCAGACGGTCGCCCAGATGGCGCCCACTACTATTAATGCGAGCGAGACGAGCCAGCAGCAGAATTTGAGAGGGTTTATCAGCTTCCGGTAGCCGTGCCCTTCAGGAAGGTCGCGACAGTACAGTTCGAGAAGCTTCAACCCTATAGGAATAGATGCCAGAATGAAAATTCCGGGCTCACGATTTGTGTCAAATTTGGGACACTGCTGTGTATTGACAGTTCGGGCAGCGAAACACCAAGTCCAGTGCAAGAGCATGCCGAACAAAGTGGTCAGGAAGCTAGAAAGCCAGAGAACCCATGGCAGGCGTAGGAAGCGACGTCCCACACTGTTGTTCTGAATCTCTTTGAGCTGCTTGTACAGGCTCTGAGCCAATGCTTGCCGGCGAGTCAAGATCTCCTCGACCGTTGAAGCATCGTTGATTGGAGGAGCTGGGCGCAGGTAGGCAGTGCGCATGCCGAAATAGCCAGCAACAATCATCATGTTCCATTCGACACACATGTATCCATATCGCCAAATACAGAGCGCCGTCACCAGTAGCCCAATTTGCAAAGGAACCGCTCTCCAGGCCTGAATTTTATTCAACGTCCCTGGCGGGAGAAAGTCTCTGAGGTGTCCAAGATCGAGTGTTTCGTGATTCCAAACTGCAAGCCGAGTGAAGTGGTATGCTGCACTCCAACTCAGAATGGAGATCAAAGTGACCCAGAACCAAGGATGCGGACACTGTTCCGCCGAGATGCTGAGTTCGCACGCCACCCAGACCGCAAAAGCATCGCTGAGTACCAAGAGACCGCTTTTCCGAGCGTAGGCGTCAAATTCCCGCCGGGGGAACTTTGTGAGAAAATATGGTGCAAACCAATAGATGTACCGCGAAATTAGAAAGCCAATGAAGAAAGCCTCAATATCGAAGAAGCAGATGCCACCCAAGTCTGCATACAGTACTCTTCCAACCCAGGCAGTAAACGCAAGCAGGAGGATTCGTGCAAGGTCCTTGATGCTGTGGAATTTGTAATGGACGACAGGCAAGATATGGACGATGATGGTAGCTGCTATGATGAAAACGCAGCGGGTTATTTCTCTGGGTGACCAAGGAAGCCAGCGGACCTCCGCGAGCCGCCATGGTATCCATATTGTACCGAACCACCAAAGTGGATTGAAATTCCGCAACCATGTGGGCACGGCTTCATCGATATAGTGACGCACAAGACCGCTTACGACGGTCATGGCTTGGGGGATACTCTGATAAAGTGCGACCACTGGACGTGGTATCCAATCTAGCAGCGGCGGGGAAGGGTATCGAAGCAAAGCGCGCTTCATTGCTGCTGCTCTATGGACTTCGCGGGAATGAGTACAGACATCCCCAAACAAATCAGGTGGGAAGACCCAAGCCATTACTTTGCGGCAAATTTCCACTTTGTCTCTGAACGATAACCCGGGAATCTCAGGGATCCCGTGGATGTAGCCAACAACAACATTTGCGAAACCGTCTCTGAGGAATTTCCAGGGACTGTACCGGAAAGCCTGTGCAGCATTAAAGACCTCGAACGCCACGCTGGAAATGTCATTTTTGATCAGTCCCCAAGGATCATCCTGGAGAAGTTGCAAGGCTCTTGAGAACGTGACCCAGGAGAGAGACGGCAATGACGATCTGAATGTAACTACAGCGTCGCGCTTGGCGGTGCGATTGGAATAAGGCGGTTCAGACGGAGGCGGGTTGGGGTTATCAGTTGCTCGGCTAGACAAATTGTCGATAGAATCAGTGGTCGTGGTAGGGTGAATACTCCTTATGGCCGTATGATCCCAATCGGTCGTAGTCCAAGTCTGACACTCCGTTTGGTAACACGGCGTTGGATTGGTAGTCTGCGGAGGGTATATGTCGATCGAGAGGAAGTGTTTGGCACCGCCTCGGAAATGGTCAATTTGCGTGATAGTGACAATCGTGGTGACCGCAATAGAAGGTCGAGTGCGTGTTGGAACGACGGGAGGTTGTTCTGATTCTTTCGGGCTTTCTGGTTCTTCCGGTCTTCCTACTTCTTCTGATTGTTCTGATTTTCCTGGTTCTTCGGGTTTTCCTGGTTGCTCCGGTTTTCTTGGTTGGTCTGGGCTTTGGGGTCGTTTCGGCTTTGGTTCTGGAGCGTTGGGTCCTTGGAGCCAGTCATGGAGCCAAGACGGTAAGACACTGATCTCAGGTGCCGTCCAGAGCTCTGGAAGATAGCTTCCGTATCGATCGGTACAGTCCACATAGTTGATCCATTCAGGTTTGAAGTTTTGTCGTAACCGAAGATAACCATCAATATCGTGGTTGAGGCGGTCACATTCTTCGACGTTCCTAGGCATCTTCTTATTGGTCGAGGTTTCTATTCCACTCCAGATGATCTCGACCACTTTGTTATCTGAGTCCATTTTCTTGGGTTGAGGGTAAGGGAAATTGTTTTCGAAATCGGTCCAATTGATAGGGCTGTGATCAACGGGTGCTCGGATCTTGGTGATGTTTGGAAAGTAGTGGGGAACAGCCAGCGAGCCCACAATGGCAGCGTAGGCATATGCAGCCGGCATGGGATAGTCGTACACGAACTGCCCAGCAGCCACTGCGCCGCGCCATAGTTGTTCTGCCATAGTACCAGACAGAAGAGAATGAAAATTATGTCGCGTGCAACGCGATGTCGTGTATCGAGCGAACGTTAGATTTTAAAATTCGCGAAAAGGGAAACTTCGAAAATGCTGACGGCGGGCATGCTGGACGGCAAATCTGAATGACCATGTTTGCTTGTACATCATGTGGCGTCCGTTCGTGGCAGAGGACAAAGGCTACGCACAATGAGACGGCAAAGGGAGTAGCAAGCCATCGAACTTGCCGGTCCAGTTGTTGGTGTTCTATGCTAGATCAAAGAATGTGACAAAGAAAAGGATGCGCAAAGAAGAAGCCATGTGAGCTTAGAGACATGAGCAAGAATGACAACGGAAGCGCTGTGCTTGAGCGCGCCGGTCAAATCACGTCTACGACTGCGGAGAGAAAGTCAAACTCTTCGAGAGGCGCGTCACGCATGAAACTGCAGCGGAGGTTATGTTATCAGCGTATTCCAATCTACCACTGGTCGAGAAGACTCGCAATAAGCATCTTCAGTGCGGGAGAAGCGCAAATGAAACCGTTATTTGCAGCAAGCCGGTCTCCCTGCGAACATTTGGTAAGAGAGGACGCAGCTGCCGTACATTGGATATCACCAACGTTGAAGACGTCTTGAGCGCTTCTCGAGCCCAATCTGGCCTTTCGTCGCGTACTCTCGGTGTTCATAGCATTTCAATTACAAACAAAGGGATGATCCTATATTTAGCTCGTCAGTTTATGCAATTATTGCAACAAATGCCATGGCACACGCTTGTCACAATGAGTTGTCCCACAACAGCCATGCCAGTTACAAACTGTGTAGGCGTCAACGGTGGATCTGGGTGTCCCATCCCCGGGCCCCGGGGCCGTGTCGATACATGACTTTATGCGTAATGCCGAGCAGAATGGATTCAGGTATGCTTTCTTATTCCGAACCGGCAACTGCGTCTACGAAGGGTAGGCGCCAGTTTGTCGCTTCCCGAGCTGTGGTTTCCAGTTGAAGCGGACATGTCCTCCACTCCATGACATGACTTTATACCTCTTCCCCGATGTAGCCAATCATCTTCGACAACCGTCACATCACGCATCCATGTCTGCGTCGTAAAGACGTGAGACGTGTTCTCGGAGGCTGACTTGAAAGCTGAGGTTCATGTCGATCCCGAGCCTCAAGTTTTCGTCCAATCTACGCGCAACTTCACGCGTATTGGGAGCCCAACCAGTTGGCCGGTTTGATGCCGTCGCGTCGCAAACCAATATATAGCATTCGCAGCGATGCACAGGTCCCATCTCACGCCACACTCTGCTCACTCGCCATCGTATCCTTCCTCGCGACGGCAACAATCTCCCACGCTCTTCCGCCCACCTTATCCGCTCCCTGAACATTAACTTCCCACCCACCAAACACGCCCTTGTAGTCCTCCCAATCCGCGGTGGGTCCGACCCATACCACGACCCTGAGCTTGCGTGCTCCGTACTCGTGCAGATACTCCTCGACCAGGCCCACCCGTCGCGGATACACAAACATCCAGGCTTCCGCCTCCGCCGCGAGCGGTTCCAAGAACCGCGAGCCAGCCACCACACGGTGATGCGTGCGTGGTAGGTGTGTGTTTGAGCTGGGCTGGACTTCTACGCCGATGATATTGAAGCGGTAGGGTGGAGCGAGGAGGAGCGCTTCGAGGAGGCCATAGCCAGAGCCTATGGAGAGGATGAGGCGTGGTGCGGGTGGGAAGAGGGACGCGAGATGGGCGAGGAGCGGGGTGCTGAGTGCGAGACAGCAAGCAGAGTGGACAGTAGGGCTGTCCGAGAGCGATGGGAGGAGGATGCGATGCGGTTCGGGATCGTATTCGGGGTCGAAGTCGTCGGTCGCTGCCATCGTGGGTGTGGGGCATACGTAGTTCGCGGCGTGCGATTACTAGCTCAAGGGCGCGTGAGGAAGACCCGGAGAAACCGGAAAGTAAGAGGCATCGATGCAAACATGAGACCTGTCTTACGAGCCTCAAGCGCGGGTAATATGAAGGGAGCAGAAGAGGAGAGCCTGGAGGAAATCCAGCGACTGCGACGCGTCGGACGTAATCCGGAGTTTACGACGCGTCCGTCAACGCTTCAACACAACCAGGCCAGTCATGCTCTACACGCAGTCGTTTCCAAACCGTATAAAAGTGGTACGCAGGCAGCAATCTTGCTGTGCCGTGCTTGCGCGACGCTGGAGAGCCCCAAGCAGCCAGACGAAACCGGTGTTGGTGGTCATATGCAGTCCTACCTGCCCCGGGAAAATCGAAGTAACCACGAAAGTATGCCGTTCCGAAAGTATTGTATAGGCAGAAAGAAGTACATTCAGACCCTCAGCAGTCTTTCATTCCTCGCTCAAAGGAGCCACGCAGCTGCGTCAGCGACCCATCCCATCCTACCGCGCCCCGCACCGTCCCCCCTGCCCCACATAGCCGAACCAAGCTGCCAATTAGCCTCTATACCTCGAGATGTTTGCATCTTTACAAGTATATATACTATGTTTACATCAATAACGACATGAGTTCCTGTATAAATCGCAGGACTTTCTAATGCCCGCATGGCTTAGTGGTACAGCGTGTCACTCGTATCACATGCGTTATGACAAGATCCCTCGTTCGATTCGGGGTGTGGGCATGTTTTTGAATATTTTTGTAGTGTCCGGGGGAAATAGTGATTTGTTAATGCTGCAGTGGCAGGATCAATGCATTGTGGATTATCTTTTTGCTGTTCCTAGAAGAGCTAAAGTGTGTGCGTATGCGCCGGGGTGTAGGATGAGGCATTGGAAGGGTTGGGGGAGGGACGCCTGGGGTTCGGGTTTGACGGGACGGGAGCTCGATGGATTCAACCAACAATAGCAGAGTAGATACTAATGGCACGAATGTGTTCTTCTATCTATTCCGGCTTGCAAAGGCCAGACATGGTCGCTGTTCTGAAAGGTTACTCTGCCCGGCATGCCGAAGCACGAAATGTGTAGAACAACCTAGGTGCAACATCACAAGCCCGCGACACAGGCTCCATATGAGAGCACGAGGTCACATTGATTTTATCCTTCATTGGTACACTACTCATTAAAATGTACTCTCATACGTCCCCTCCCAAACCCCCCACGCCACCACCTTCCCCTCAATCTCCCTCACCACCTCCCCTTTGGTCGGCACTTTGTCCATCCTCCCCAAATCCAACTTCTCCCCCAACCCCACCAGCACAAAGAAATACCGATGCGGCCCATGCCCCCTCGGTGGGCGTGCAGGGATATACACCCAGCCCCTCCTGTTCTGCCCAACGGTCCAACCGTTCTTGAGCACCTTCACACCGTTCTCTACCCTCACGACTTCCAAGTCCACTGGCCCCAGCGACGTGGTGGTAGGTGGTATGCCGAGGTATATCCCATGCACATTTGCGTGGCCGAGCGGGGCGTCTGGGTCTTCGGCGAGGAACAAGTATTCCTTCACGCTCGGGGGCGCGGCAGGCCATGTGAAGTGCGGGATGCGGCCGGCACCAAAGGCGGAGTGATCGTTGGTGAGGCGCGCGCCTGCGGGGCCGCACTCGGGAGACTCGAGTCGGAGAGTGGGCTTCAAGTTTCCAAAGGGTATGGTGTTGAAAAAGAGGTCGGAGTCGTAGCCGCGGCGGCGGTAGAGGAGGCGGCCGAGGCAGTATTCGAGGAGGCGGAGGAGCCACATTGTGGGCGGCAAGAGGGCGTTTCTTGATATAGGATTCTTCGCGTGCTTTCGCAAGCAGCGGTGCAGGGTGTTAAGATCACATTGGGGGCGGTGTGGTGACGTGGTGAGTGAGGATTTATGTGGTTGTGACAGTCGCCAGCATCGCGGCCGCCCACGGAATTAGGGCTCGGCGTTAGCGTGGGACAAGTTTCGTATGCCTTTCCTCCTCGGCTTCGCATCTTACACGGCGCACCTTCGTCCCTGAAATGCAGGTGATATCAGAACCTTAGACGTTCAATACGAGCCGACATTCGCTCGTTGTTGCAAGGGTCGGTCTGTGGTGCTTCCTCGGGGCAGGGCGCCATCGAAACTCGAATCGATCAGCTCTTACACTTGCGACAAACAAATAGCATTATATAAACTACAGATCTTGATATAATCTCAGCAAATCCAAACACGATGAACACGCACAGCGCGGTATCCGCAACTTCGCAACCGTACAGTATACGTTACACCGCATGTCCAACAGAACACAAGACTTCGGGGTATGCCCCTGGCATCAGAAGTCCATTGGAGCCTATGGACACGGACTGGCTCAAGCTCGGCCATTTGTCCACTATTGTTTGTCCGCCCTTGGCTTTTCGTGAAGACTTCGAGCATTGGAAAGAGTTCTCCGGCTTTGGACGAGGGGTGGCTGTCACATTGACCACAGACACCATTCTGGCCGTCTTTACGACCTCGCAAGATTTCGCAGTTGACAGGTTTGAGTCCTCTGGACGCAGTGCTGCAATGACGGATGACTCATCGGTGTCCAGATCGGCCTCTTGGACACTGCCGATGCTTACGGACTCGCTAGTAGGCGTCGAGGTTTGATCGCCTTCATCTTCTGGGTCGTTGACAATCTTTCTATAAGTGCTCGGCGCCGGGATCACTTCATCTTGTACGGCGATTCCCTCACCATTTGTGCACTCAGCAGCGGTCTTCTCAGGCCCCATTGTTCCAAGCTCCAAGGGAGCCTGCGTAGCCGCCCGACTTTTTCTCGTCTTCCTATTCTTCAAGATGCGCCTGTGGCGCTCATTAGCCAACTTGCGCAGGTAACAGTCATCAGCGCTCTTGTGTCGATGGTAACGGCAGGGTGATTCCAATCGTTGGCGCCACTCTGAATCAGCCAGTCGCTCCATTGCCGCCTCGAGCGCAACCGCAGCAAACTCATGGGGCAGATTTCTGGTGACGCTGCGCCTGAAATTCTTCAGCTCACCATCGATGCACCGATCAACAACAAGCTGCTTGAGCTTGGAAGAGATACTCTCTCCGGTAAAGAGTAAGCATATCGTATCGACATCAGCGGCCTTTCCTGGATTCAAGTTCTTGCACAGCATGTCCATTACGCGGTCCGCGAACTCGGTATCGTTCATGAACGACGTACTGAACGTATAAAGATTGAATAGACCCCAACAGTGCATCCACGTGGAATTTCCTTCACTGTCAAGTGCTTCGGGGCACATATCAACGTCAATGACTCCGGTTCTCATATACTTTTGCCAGATCTTCAGCGGCTCTCGCATTTCGAGCGGAAGTTTCCCAATAGCTAGGAGTCGAGAACTGCGGGCTTTAGTGTCAGCTATTGCTGTGTTTCGGTGCTTGGGTCCAGCATTGGGCGTGACTTGGCCAGAGGAATCTGAATATCCTGATTCTGGTAACGGCATATCTTCCACCTCCTCGACGATTGGAAAGAGTGGTGATCCTGATTCGAAGCCGCCGTAGATCACGCTGTGACGATGTGCTTTTAAAGCTTCACTATTGTTGCTCCCGCGACTGCGGCCCCTGCTTGTCGATGACGGTGGGCTACTTCCCTCAAGCTCGACTGCAGGTGGTGGGGGTGGTGGTGGTGGCCGCACTGGCTCTGGTGGGTGCGATCTGAGCGGATTTGGCCGCGCCATTTTTGGCGGTGATTTATGCCGATGCGCCAGCGGAGGCGCCGCCATTGAGCTTGTTCGCGGTGGCAGTCTATACTCCTTCGCAAAGGCCAACAACGACAGCATACTTCCTTTGGCGTCGTCTGGAGACACCGGCTTGGAAATCGTCTCGTTCCCTCTATCACCGGCCCCTCGTAGTATTGGTATTCCTAGTTGGAGCATTAAATCCGCCGCTTCAGTTCCTTTTTTGAAGCCTTGAGGGCCTCCTATCACGAGTGGTGGACTGCCATGCATCGGCCGCTTCTTCGCAGTTGACACAGCTTTTACTAATTTTCGAGCCGTGGTGGAGGTTGAAGTAGAAGTAGAAGAGCAGGGATATGTTGATAAAGAGATTTGTGCACGAGACGGTATTGGACAGCGCTGTGAAGTCTCTTGGTACTGTCTACTGGCTCGTTGCTGCTGAGAAATGGGCTCCTGAGAACTATTCGAGTGCTGATATTGTGATGGACGTGGATACAGCGAGATCTTTATACCACGTCTACACCTTCTCATACGCCGAAGAAGTCTGTTTGTCCAATACAAGGGCATCGCGAAAAGTAATGGAATGTGGCAGCGGAAGGGACCAACGAGTACCACGGTGTTGTAGTAAAAGGTGCAACGGTGATGAAATGACCTTGAGGATGTTGGCACTTCACAGTGCATAACTTCCTATCTTGCGAGCATTGACTCGTAGTAAAGTACCACAACATCAGTGAATCACGATGCCACACGTCGAGTCAAAAGCAGCAGAAGCAAACACAGAACCCGACCAAAAGCCTCAAACAATTGCGAATTCGCTGTGCATCGCCGCCATGTCCAACCACAATTCTGAAATTCAGCCGTTTGAGTTGCTACCCCCTACAGTCCTTCTCGTTGCTGGTCAGGTATCCTCATCAGCCACTAGCCCACAAAATTCCGTGCGCCTACCCGTTGCATCGGCAGAAAAGTCTGCGTACCTCAATGCGCGCATACAGCCACTTGCTGTTCGCGGCAACGATGTCACCATTGAGCTACCAGACGTCGAGCCTGCAGCACTCCGACTTTACGTATGGTGGCTGCAGTATGAGAACGCGCCTCTCCACTTACATGAGGAGAACGGTCCTGTTGTACAGCCCCGCCAAACGCTTATATGGCGCGAATGCCTTGATCTGATCCAAGCGCACCTCGTCGGCTCAAAGTTCGGGGATGTAGACTTCCAGCGATATATATTGGGTCAGCTCGATGCTTGGCTGGATCCCCAGCAAAACCCGGACCCGGAGTTGTTGAATTACCTCTGGGAGAAAGATAGGGATGTGGGCGACGAGTTGATGTGCTTTGTTATGGCGCGAATGTTTCAGATGGGGATGGAGAAGGCTCGGATGTTGGTGAGTTGGATAAAGGGTTTGACTAAGGGCAAACGGATGATGAATTTTAGCGAGGGGATTAGGGAGTCTAGAGGAAGAGGACCGGCAACGAGCACACGGAAGACTTACCAGGGTCCAAAATCGAGTTCGGAGAAGGTAGAAGAAGTTGTTCCCCTCGAACCAACATCGCGAGACAGGACGCCGCCGGAATTGTACAGGAAAAGCAGGGCGGAGGTTCCAACTTTTGGTGGCGCTACGCAGGAAGACTGCGAATGCGCAGTCCCTGCCCCATCACAGCGGAAGCCGTCCAGTAGGAGAAGCCTCTCTTCCCCGAGCTCCGGCATTTTTACAGTCCCAGGACGCGAGCTGACACAGCGCGCAAGTACATCGCAAGCCCAGTTAGAGAACTTACCTCAGGTTTTGAGGATACATCCGAAAACAGTCGCAAGCACCAATAACACCAGCATCCATGCTGAGATGGAGAGACAGCGCATATTCAGCCCCCAGCTTCCTCCGCCACCAAGTCTGCACCCATCAATCCACAGGGCGATGCATTCCACCCCAACGCCAGCACGATCTCAAAACTCTCTGCGGACGCCGCAGGAAAAGGACCACGAGATGAGAGGAGGTGTACACAGTACCTCTCCAGCCGGCAATACCGCGACGATGCCAGACGCTGCCCTCTCTCTCCTAGACTTCTGGGTCGATCCTCCAGCGAACCCTGCTCTACAGTACACACCTCCGGACCGCTACATTCCTACATTTAAGCCTCCTCCGACTCCTCCGAAAGTTCAGCCTGCATGGCCGCAAAGCACGGTTCCCCTCACTCTAACAACAAAGCAAGTCCTCCACTCCTTCAGCGTGACCCGCACACCCACACCCCGTCGTCGGGCCACGCGCTCCTGGAGCGTGGTCAGTATCCATCCATCGTCGCACTACCTCGCATACTCTCCCCCTCCTCATAGCAAAATTGGTATCGATAGGCCAGCAAGGGGCATCATTGGTAGGAAACCTGTGCCGGAGGGTGGATTGAACTTCTTGAGGGGATTCCAAGATGGGGAGTGGTTGTTGAGGGTTGTTAGCATTAACAGTAGGGCCGGTAGGGTGGGTTTGGCGAGGGGTGATGAATGGCGAAAGGAAGAGGGACTTGGGCAGATGTGGAAGGGGCGGCCAGGGGCGGCGTAGGGAGGCCGGGATTGCTACAATATAAGGATTTAGAAGATGATTTCCACGCCAGTAGATGCCGATCCTCACACATCCCCCAAACCGCCCATCCCATACCCCTTCTACCCAACAAGTGGCACATACTCCTTACTAAACATGCCCTGCGGCACCCTCCTCCACTGGCCCCCCTCATCCAGCTTCCCCTCCACCCTCGCCCATTCCCGCCTTACCGCCTCCGCCTTCTCCGCACTCCGCGGCGTAATCTGCACCGGAAACTCCTCCGGCCGCACAAGCACGCCGTCGGTCAGGTTGTCTGCGTCGGGCAGGATGGGTTTCCCGGTGAAGTCTTTGGTGGGGGTGAAGTCGAAGGCCCAGAGGAGGCGCGCGTAGGCGAGGAAGAGGGAGCGCTCGGCTATGTGCATGCCTGGGTGCAGGTTAGTTAAAATTGTGGCAGCGAAGTGGGATAGGGTCGTACCCTGGCATGAGCGGCGTCCAGCGCCGAAGGTGTAGTGGTCGCGCTGCGCGAAGTCGGCGGCGTGCGCAGCTTCGAAGGCCGACTGGGTGTCGTGTGCATACCGCGAAGGGTCGAAGACGCGGGGCTTGGGAAAGTGTTCCTCGTTGTTGTGAAGAGCCCTGCTTCACTGTGAGTTCCTACATGTCCTGGATGAGGCGCCGACCAAAGCATCGAAAAATGAAAGAGAAGGAGTAGGAGAGGGGGACGATGGGGCAGGACGAGTACTCACCACACATTCATCATTAGAGTCGCGCCCTTCGGTATCCTATACCCCATATACATATCCTCCTTCATCGGGCTCCGTACCATGCCCAAAATCGGCGTTGGCATCCATCGCAGACTCTCTTTGACGCAGCCCCGGATGTACTGCATGTGCGGCTCGTCTTCCATGGTAGGGAGCCGGTCGCCGCAAACGCGATCGATCTCGGCCTGCGCGGTGCGCGCGACGTCCGGGAAGAGGAGCAGCGCTTGGATGAAGCCGATGAGCGTGGACCAGGTAGTGTCGGAACCGGCTTCGTGGAGCGACCCGAGGAGGTAGGAGGCTTGGGCATCGGTGAGGGTTTCGCCGTTTTTTGAGTGCGCTTTGGCTTGGGCGAGGGCAACGTCGGCGGCGAAGCAGGGCTTGTTGGGTCAGACATGTTCAAAACTGTACGAAGGAAGATTTGGAGATGGGCGTCATGAGGATGCTTACATTTGCAGTGCCCTTTTCTACATCGCGCTTGAGTTTATTCCAGTGGACTAGGTAGAGCTCAAGCTCCTTCGCATGCAGCGCCTTTGCCTTCCTCTTCACCGGCACGAGAAAATCTGGTAGGCGCTGCAGCACGGGGAAAATATCCAACAACTGCGCCTGTACCGTGCCGAACGTCGTCGCCCAGTCTTCCACGCACTGTCACTGCGTCAGTACACAACTTTCCTCGTTCATCGATACTACCATCTCGCAACGAAAGGGAGCATAATCTCACACCTCAAACAACGTATGCATATTCTCATCATCGATGCTCACCGTCCGAAACCCAAACACCATCTGCGTCGTCAACGCATTCGTGTACCTCCGCATATGATCGACCCAGCGCGCTGGACTGTCCAGAAACCCCAGCAGCATCTGACGGTTCTCGAGATCCTGGTATGGGACGTAGCTTATGCTTGCCTTGATGTTGAGGTGGTCGTGCACCAGACTGCGCATATACCGCCAAGTCTTGCCGTACTCCTGTTTGCACCATCAGCCTCGGAGACCCCTTTCATGCAATAACGCGAACGAGCCCAACAACAGTTGTAGGAAAATAGCGCAAATACTGCGCCGTCTAATTACCATCAACAACATCCTCATCCACCCACTGATCATCTGCCCGATATACAGCGGCGGCCTGCTACTAAAATTCCCGCTCCTCCGATCCAGCAACTCTTTCACCGCCTCATCCGAGGACAGCACGATCATCACAGTACTAGGCCCCAGCATCAGCGAGTAAATAGGCCCATACTCGTCCGCCCATGCCTTGAATTGGTGCCATGCCTTCGCGGCTGGGATCTGGTGCAGGTTACCAAGAAAGGGAAGCGTGGGCGGGCCGGGGGGAAGGTCTTTGGGGCGGCGGCCGAGGATGCGGTAGCGGTGAAGGATGGCGAGGAGGGTGGTCAGGGTGAGCAGGAGAGTGTACATTGTTGCTGTTTTGGAGGAAGAACAGGATCGCAATGGCGATGCCGTAATGGGGAAAAACAGAGCGGATTTTGTGTATATATATGGGATAATCCTGTAAGTGCTTACTCGCATGTGTATGCCTCTCCCTCAAACCTGCGCGCAACGATCGCCCATCTACGCGTCGCTGCATTGGCTCCATCGCTTACCGTCCTTCGGTAGAAGGACCGCGTACATCACACGCCGAGCTGCCGTCAACGGTCAGCGCAGCAGACGTTGCAGCGGACGTGCCTAGAGCCTGCCTTAGCATGCTGCCGGTAGCCCATGTAAGGCATGTCGCCAAGGTAAGCAGCGCCCGTTGCGGAAAATATTCCAGGGTTGTATGCACAGCTCTGCCCGGCTGAGGCTCTGCGTGCGGGGAACCTGGAGACGATAAACAGCTGATGCGATACTGATCGCCCGAACTAGGGAATGAAATGATGCATGTACTGCATGGCACGCTTATCTCCGGTGCCAATGGCCTTGAGAGATGTACGAGAGACGGTGAATTATCTGAGCGCGGTGGCCTCCTTCCGAAACTTCCTCAAGCGGCAGTTTTCAAGAAGGCGTGGATTATCCTGGGCTCTTACTTAGCGCGGTGTGGACGTTACTTTTCGTCCCTGCACGTTCAGTCAAACTTCCATATTCTGGCAGCTTTTCGTCTCTGCCGGTTGCCGTGGATCCTTACTTTTCCTTGGCACGTGGACTCTCCTCGTCTAGGTCTCACAGAATGTCCCCCCCGCACACTTGCCTACATGCGCAAAGACGCAAATCTGGGACATGCAAGCGTAGTAATCGATCGAATGAATGAATGAATGAGATATTGTTGAGCCTACCGCGACGACGCATTGATTACTCTGATGTAGTTGATTGGGCCCAGGCCGCTCCGCACACCCCATTCGAAGTTTCCTGTCTTCCCGACCTTACAGCTCATCCTGACACAGCTCAAGCATACAGACAATGTTACCTCTGCCTTTGCATAGCGCATCCTGGTATAACTCACGACTAGGGTCTGAAAATATCTCGAGCCATATGGCACAAGCCCACGGTACGCCCGAGGCACCGCACGAGAGGGTAACGGCACTAAGGAGCTGGGAGGAGCTGGGAATGGTGCTTGTAGTTACCGAGGCAGATCATAGGCAGTTTAACGTTAGAGATTAGAAGTACAATCAACCCGTTGTCCCGCGCCTCGCGCGAGTGGATCCTAGCAATTTTGAAATGCATAGATGGTGCAGAAGTACAGTACCTATGCCCTATAGTATTCCTACTTTCCAAGCCACACGGACTACCCTTACCAAACGCTAAGTCTTATATTGAAATACTGTTACGATCACAAAGGAACAGAACAGGAATCCGGTAGAATTTGGCGCGACGAGATTTGGCTGACAGTGGGGAACACCAGGTCAGTAACATCGACGCTGATCAGAACGATCAGTGACCAACATCACGTGACAAGGTCCGGCAGGAAACGAGATCCCTAGGCACTTAGGTCCTGGGATCTTGAAGACTCGGTGGGACTTCAATGAGGAATTGGAAGACAGTGATGGAACGACTAGTATATACTCGAGGACATTCTCTGAACGTTTCCTATTCTTCGTAGTCAACTTTCAAACTTACTTTTGTATCTAAATTGAAGCTACTCATATACACACGAACCATCAGTCTTCTTGTTAGGATCCGCTCGCGCGTGGCTGGGGCATCGGCTTATTGTACTCCTAGACCACTGTCAGGATCTCATGATCCAACAGGCCCGTAAGCTGCTTATGACGAAACGTCAACAGTTTGCCCCACCAAGGAATATGTAATGTCCCACGGTGGCCACGCGCCAAGCCTATGGGACGATGGGACCACGTGATTGGTCACGTGATTGTACCACGGGATCCCACACGTCTCACGCATGGGATTTCATGGGACCATGGGATTATGGGATATTATGGGATTTCTATGTATATAGGAACCTAAGTATGAACTCTCATACTCGTGTTCAACCTGTTTATCAATCTATCGTTTGGATTACACTTAGGCCATATTGTTGACTCGTTATACTTCGCAAAATACTATCGTATCAACAAGGCCCCTTCCCTCCTCAGTTAGTTGTCTTGCCCGAGAACCAACCTTAATCCTTAAGGACTAGCTACCCTGCAGGATTTAACACTTCTCTGGATATCGTTGTATCATACCACGGTGTGATATAGGGAATTCAATCCACTCTTTGGTACCGCCATCCTCACGCTCGAATCACTGAATACCCGCAAGGTCGACCGAACCCAAGTTTAGGTTAGTGGATCCCCCTTGTAACAAACACCTTGGTCTCTAGAATAACCTAACTGCTCACGTGTTGACGTTTTTAGCGCCGCGCTAGCTAGAGTCTGAAGACAGCTAAGGGCCGATCAGTCGACCCACACCAGGCCATCACCAAATCCACGCCTAGCTTCATCTGTCCAACAAACCCACCCACAACAAAGTCCGAAGAAGGTTGCGAGCTGCTGAAGGTTTGCTCAAACACCTGACCAGGCCACCGTCTGGACGATTAATATTCAAAAACAGAACAACTCTGCGCCGGTCAAATACGTCATCATGAGTCTTAATCAATTCAACTGTGAATCCGTCTCCGATTCCGAAACTTCCATCATTTACACGCCTACTGCAACTTCCGCAAATGTTACCGCTGGTCTCGTAGACCATGAGGACACATCCAGCGGTGTCCCGTCAGACGGTTCCACCGTTATCATCCGCTCTATCTCGTCGGGGCATGTAATCACACTGCTTGACGGGCAGGTTGTGCTGGCCTCCCCCGGCGGCCGTGGCTCCATCCACTGGTCGTGTGTGGAAACCGAAGGCTGGCTCGGTTTCCGAAATCGCATCTCGAACAAGTTTCTGTGTCACGATTGGAACGGAAGACTAAAGTGCTCGGCGGAACAGAGTAGTTCATGGAGGCACTTTACCATCACTCCGATACCAAAGGGGGGTTATGTCATGCAGATGTTAGACTGGTGGACACTTCGACCTGTAGTGATCAATCCAGAACAAGGGCTGCAGAAAATAGGGAGGACGGGAAATAAGTTGGCCGAGGGAATCATCTGGGAATTTATCAAGGTTGAATAGGAATAATGCTTGGTGTATTACACTGTAGCTGTGTATGAATTGTTTGAATAATTCAAGATTACCCTCTTAGTAAAGTCTCTAACCCACTTACTTGAAAAAGGCGTCGAGGTCACCGTGCAGTGTAGAGACTGTGGTAACGCACTCTACGCGGCTTCCGAACGAGGCTATGAATAGGTAGCGAAGATTCTATCTAATATGACATCCCCACACTTCCAGAGACCTGCTTTCTTCACACAACCTATAAGTACCGTCCAGATCCTCTTGTAACCTTGAATCCTGTTTGTCCTTTCATTCTCAAGTAGTGGCGGGGTCCCTCTCACAACGGGAACTTGTGCCGCTCCTCAACCAGGGCGTAATATCGATGATCGCGAGGACGGAACCTTGGGTTCGGAAGGAAGGCAGCCATGGCTCTCTTTAGCCGATTGTCGACAAGAGCTGATTTCTAGGCATTCTTCCGTCCGAGGAGGTTTGGGTTGATGATATGGAAGTTGAACGCACTGGGCGCAAGAAGTCGGGATCAGAAAGGCGACATACAGCCAGCCAGTGTCCGGAGCGCCAGAAGGCCTGTCCCATGTACGGTAATGGTTCTTTCAAAACCATGCCGAGCTACAGGTAGTATGCCTCAGATAATCACTTCGGAGGCATGTAGCACAAGCGTCGTTTTATGCGCACAAGTAGTCGGGAGGTCCGAATGTCCCGGATGGCCGCGATCTGAAGTTGGAAGTGCAAGTGGGTCGGAGTTTCCTTCCTGACCCGGATATAGCTGTGTTTGGTTGTATTTATGGTATCGAAACGTCACTGGAACAGCCGGTATAAGCTGTATGTACTTCTCTGTTTGGTGGAGAAGGTGGGTATTTTGCAAGTCCGACCCTTCGTTACCAGAGAGTACGAGTCGGATATAACGCAGGACGACGGCGTGGCTGTCACTTGGCGCGAAGGAGGGAATGCCGACCCAGAGTGGGATGCTAGGCGCGAAGATAGGAGTGGCGCAACAGAGTGGGACAGCCAGTTGCTTGTGGATCTGAACTGTAAGTCTCTCCAGTGTATCAGACTGAATGAGTGTGAGGTGACACTAATGAGAACAGTCGTAATCAGTGATTGGCTACTATCACTCCGAGGAAGGCCAGGGCATGGAAACTCCGTTTACTTGTCCCCTTGTCTTTGTGCACGAAAACTTCGGGCAGGTCCAGAAGAGAGCCGAAAGGACGTTGACGTTGCGAACTCCCATCCAGAGTGGACTTGAAGAAGGATGCATGTGACATGTAGCGTTACACACGAGCAGCCTCGATGGGCTCAAGGTGTGTTGGATGCCGTTCTTCCCAGCTCGACGTGGTCGTCGCCAATCCTTCGGGTTAGCCTAAAGGCCTTACTGAGACCTCCCGATCAGCGGTAGCGAAAGGTGGCGTGCGAGATTAGTCGGCAGAATGGTCAAGTCGGCGATGATGAACAGAAGTGACACAGCAGTCAGTGACGAGGACACACTATTTCCACGCTAGCATGCTTACACCATGCAGGCGAGGAAGCCGAGCGTCTGGGGACGGTACATGTAAACAGTAACGTGGAGTCCAATGTAGCACAGCATGATTTTCTTTCGCCTAAATATGCTAATTGCATCTCTACAGCTCACTCCTCGTCACCTCCATCCTCCTCCTCCCCATCAGCATACCCATCTAGCCCGTTCCCCTCCAAAAACTCGTCCAACAGCCCCGCAACATCCTCATTACCCAGATCCGCAAACGGGATGTGCGTCGCCCCCCTCACCCCCACCTCCCCCAACTTCACCACCTCCGCATTTCCCCCGTACTTATTAATCAGCCCCGCGACCCTCCTACTCTCCTGCACATAACTATAGTTCTCCGCCCTATGATCCCCCCACACAAACTGTATCCCCGGCACCCTAGCCAATTTCTTAAAGTCTTCCAGGGGGACAACGTACGGCCCGAACCCGCCTTTCCCAGCGGTGATGTTGAGGTTGTCGGGGTAGACGTAGCCGATCGACTCATATGTGACGATGCCCTTGATGTTGGTGCTGTTGGAGAGCGTGGCGGTGAGCTGGGCGCGGAGACCGCCCGCTGAGTTGGTGAGGTACACGATGTCGCGGCCTATGCGGCCCGAATCTGCAGCCACCGCGGCGGCGCGCGCGTGCAGTTCTACGTTGGATTTGGTATCGTACTCGACGTATCGCGCCGAGGTGGCCTGCTGCCACGCATCCTCATCCTCCGTCGGGAAGCGGACACCATCCCACCACTGCTTGTATCTGGGTCCAAAATTCCAGGCTACGAAGTTGGAAGTGTCCATGTACGCTGGTGTGTACACGGTGGCTTCGCACGCCCAGTTTGCGCGCCCAACGCGCGGCCCGTCCCACAGGTACACGGGGTAGTCGCGGCGGAGGAAGAGGTCCTTGAAGCCGGCCCCACCGGACCAGGTATTTTGCCAGACTTGGGTGGACGAGGAGTGCCACATCACGAGGGAGGTCTTGCGCGGGCGGGTGGGCAGGAAGTACTCCATGTAGCCGTGGTCGCAGGATAGGGTGAGGTTGGGGTTGAAGGGGGCGGACATGGTGCGGCCACCGATTTGGAAGCCGCCTGTGCTGGAGAGGGTAATGGGTTTGTGGGGGTTTGTCGAGGCGGAGTGCCCGGTTAGGGCGAGGGCAAGGAGGGGGAGGAGCATGGTTGTGGTTAGGGGAGGGGGAGGCCGGACCTCGCAGATAGGAGAGAGGCGGCAGAGTACTGAAGGTAATATGCACGGGTTTTGAGGGAATGCGATGCGTGAGCATGTCTTATGTACTGTTTGTGGTGCATGCTGTAAGCTGTCCTCGAGATGTGGAGAGGAAGCAATTGCCGAGACGATGCGTTGCCGAATTGATGAACCATGGCTCAGCCCTATGGGTCCCGAGTACTCTTACAGTGTGCATGACGAAGAAAGCACATGATCGAGAGTACTGCGGCAACCAGCTTAACGTCAGAAGATGAGCTGGTGGCTGTTCGTGCCATTGATCGTCTTCTTCTTGAAACAAAGTCCACCTGAGTTAGGTCTGGACATCGACTTCGAAGCACGCGATTAGTGAGGTCCTTGGAAAGTGTGGAAAGTGTGGTTGGTTGGGCGTATGCGATTCTCTTTTCCCATATTACCAAAGCTAGCAATGGCAGACATTCAGCCGCCGGATCGGATATAACACGGGCTGAGAATCTCCAGCGCAGCTCGAACCAAATTGTTCAAGTACGTGTAATTGAAGCAGAGAGAAGGTGCCGAAAATGTCAAAAGATATAGATATCCTATGATCGCACAAAGGCGCGAGATGATATCGATATGCTGGTCCAAATGGCGAACTAGCACACTTACTCCAGAACCAGAGACATAATACTGCCCACAACCCACTCACCATCCATATAACACCGATTGTTGTACTCGGAACGATGCAAATGCAAGGCTCTCCCTCCAGAACCAGAAACAGAAACAATAACACAGAAGCGTCAACGCTGCGAACGTTTTTGGAAGTGGAGGAGATTAGCAAGTCTGGTGCCAACACCCACCTTTCTAGCTTTTGAAATTTTTCCAGCTATCGGAGGAGTGGCGCTCCTCGTCCCAGTACGCTTGACTTTCGACGCAGCCTTATATGTACCCTTGTAGCTTGCTCTGGGCGCTACGTTGGGGCACGACGCTTGGGCTTCCGGTCGTTCTCTCGCAGCGAAGGGGTCGTGGATGGCGGGTTCACTAGGACGCAAAGCGGCCAGCTGAGGTTCCGTCGGTCGATCTGTCGAGAGGCTTGAGGAGGCGTGGGAGACGGGCTTCGCGTGTGCGCGCTGGAAAGCCTGGGAGGCCTGGAACGCCATGACCAGAGCTGGCGCCTCGCGTTGGGGTTGTTCAGCTGTGGCGAGAAACTCAGAGCTTTCGATACTGATAACACGTCTCGACTCGGCTTTTCTCGACACGTGGGCCTCGGGAGGCTTCCTGGCAGTATTTGTGTTGTACGGCATCGTTTGGTTGCCTCTGGGTGAGCTTTCGATGCCGCCACCCACAACCTCTCCGTGCCCCACCCCCTCCCCTCTGCCTCCCCCACCCTCCATCCCCTGCACCTGGTCCTTGTCATGGCCAGATTGACGAGCGAAGCGCTTGTAATTCATCCTCCAGTAGCGGTGCACATCCTCGTTGTGGGCTCTGCTGTAAAGCGCCCCACGCATGTGTCCGTAGAAGTCACGAGCCAAACGGATTTCATCCTTCCCAATGGACTCAGGGAACCTCTCGATACGGTAGTTGCGGATCCACTGCAACTCCCGCACGAGCGTGAACAAGTCCTGGCCGTGGAAGCCGTCCTGTCCATACGGTTTCGGAAGTCGGAATTCTTGTTCATCCAATCTCTGTCTGAAAGAATCATGCGCAAGCTTTCGCATACGCTTTTGGTTGGGTGTAGTTTCGTCCGAATTGGCAAACTTTATTAGGGGGTATATTACGCGGCGGAGTGATAGCCATCTCTGTTGCATAACGTGTTCAAACCACATGTTGAAACTTGTGGCTATCCATCTAGCTGGATCACGGTCGAGCGCGAGTGTTCTCTGGACATCTTCGTGAATCTCCAAGGCATGGAGGTCTTCTCGGTCACCGCGCACACTTGCTTCAGTGAAGTCATAAAATTCGTCGTTCTCATCTAGCGCGGCGGCGCTATAGTCGCCAGGAGACCGTGTTTGTTTCCAAATGCGCCGTATTGACTTTTTCATGGCATATCTCTTGTGGTGTTCTTTCCGAATGGGAATCGCCAGTTTATGCATGACCGCCATGTGTCGTATTGTATCTGCCCCTAAATGTTGGTTTAGTCGAACTCTTAGCACGCTACTCAAAGCATTCACTTCGTGTTTCAGGTCGAACAAGTCAGATAAAATCTGCCCGTGAAGCTCTCTCAGAGGAGCAAATATATCTGCACCGCATCTCATCAGTAACCTCAACGCAGACTTCTCCGGGGTGACGTACGAGGTGGAGTAGATGAGAACCATTGCGCAATGGAATCAATGTCTGCAATCAGGAGACGAGCAAAAAGAAGGCCCTTCTCGACGAGATATTCGCCTCTATGCAGAGAGGCGAGCTTCTCATTCAACGAGCGTTCATGTGCTTGGCTGACGCGCAGTCGCTGAAGAGCAAGACTATAGTCTGCTTCACGGATCGCTACAGAGCGCAAATCATTTCTAGCGCTGGCATCCACGAGAGCAACATCTCCTACGGTCGCACGGTCCACGCCACGAGCTATCCAGCGATTTCTGCCTCGAAAGGTTGGTATGACGTGCAGCCATTCTTTGCTATATAGAGGAGGGTCAAATGAACCCTGCACTTCTCCATAAGATACTTTTGTGAATGACGGTTCCAGTTGCAAATGGCATGCTGCGCGTTGAAGCTGATTGACTTGTGCTGGTTTAGAAGCGAAGTGTTTTCTGAATAAAGGTTTCGGCTGCAGCTGGTCTGCTGCGCAGGAAAGCTGATTGACCTGCACACGGGCGCGTCGCGCCATAGCCTGACCAATTTATCGATATCAAGCTCGAAGACCAAACGTATGAACTCAACCCATGGCCAGACAAGAGAATATGCAGCGTTGCTACGACGTCCAAGTGCTAGATAGCAAAGGCAGAGATTGAGCGGTGCGAGCATGAATTGTGGGCGTCCTACGCGGTCGAGATGCGGTCCGGCGTTCTATCTGACCGACGGTGAACGTAAAAGAACAAAGAGAGACATTGCGCATCAGAGAAAGAGGTGAAAACGCGCGATCTTGGGCCTCGCCTGGTCATTGAAGTGCACTCAGGAACGTCGACGCGCCGAAAAAAAGATCGGCTAGTCTCAAGAGGGCTTGGTATGTCACGTGTACAGTGCCCGGATGAGAAGGATGGGTGTCTATGCCGACAGGCACGTAACGCGAGATGCTGGCATTGTGTATACTTTCGGATGCATCTTGACCATGTCATAAAGGAAAGGCGCACGACAGGTCGGACTTGCGAATGCGAGAAGCCAGCGCTAGGATACAGCGGCAGGCTTGGAGGTCTTCGCGGTACACTTGAATATATGCAGGCCGATGTATCTAGAAAAAATCGCGCAACCCACTCTACGATCTTCTCCCGCGGCTCCGAAGAATTACCCTGCGTATGCCGCGCGTGTGTAGTGTAACGTGGAGTAGCTTGGAGAAGAATGTGGTACCCAAACGTTTTGCGATTAGTTGCTCGGCGCGTCACTCATTGGTGGCACCGTCCGGACTTTGGTTTGAGGCTGCAAAAAAAAAATCGGCACATAGAGTAGGATGCGCAGCGGTGAAAGAAGCTGGGGCACTTGGCGCGGCGGATAGGCTACTCGGTTTGGGCGAGCGGTGCTTCGTACGAGGCAGGTCAATCCCACGCGGATGCTAGTGGCGGCCTGATGTCGCGAGCATCGAGGGTACGGTACAAAGGGCAAGGGTCGCGAAAATTCGCATGCCACTATGTCATCGGTATGCTGTCTTCCGAGTATAGTACCAAGACGGTCAATCAGATGCACCAAGACGGTCAACAGGACGGTCATCAGATAGCTCCAAGACAGCCAAATAGGCCCAAGACAGTCAGATAGTACCAAGGCGGGCATGCAAAGACGTATTGTACCAAGACAGTCTATACTGATTAATGCATGGAGGTAGAGTATATCCCGAAAGATCGACAGCATAGGGATTGCGCAATGGGATGAACGTCGGCTAATTCACGAGACGAGCAAAGTGAAGCGAGCACTTTTCGAGTGTTGGCAACGGAGTTGGAAACCTCAGGATGTGATGTGACTGCGCTGCCTCGGGTATTTTGGGGAGCGGGATCGGCGTTGGATGGATGTGAAAACGCATCTGCAACGCCCGCGTGGTGTTTGGAACGGGCCGGCCGGGTGGCTGGGAAGATCTTGAATCGCCACGAACAAACGGCGGTGGTTTGACGAGGCAGAATGTGTAGTCATCGGCAGTAAGCTATCACACGGCGACGCTTGCGGGCCAAAGTCGGCGCGTCGCCACGATGCGCGTTCCGACATGGTGAGAAAATGCCGCAGAGCCACAGGGCCGGCAACAGGCGAGGCTTCTGGGGTCTGGAGACGTGGCAGCGCGGGTGCTCGAGCAGCGCCAAGCGAGCGGCGAGAGCCAGGGAGCCGCAATGAGGCTCTGTTGTTTGTTTTGTGCGTCTCGCGTTCCAGGGGCGTTATCTGGAGCAGCGTCGCGGGTATGGAGCAGCAATCACAGTGGCGCGAATGGCGACAACAACAACAAGGGTGGTTATTTCCGCGAACGGAGCGTGCTGTGGGGGTAGATGGTTCGGCCTGCCATCGGCGGAAGGCTTCGGGGTCCAAGGTTTTATTGTGTTATTACTGCTGCTGGACGCGGTGTGGGACAGGTCACGTGCGCTCATCTCGGTTGAGCTATATGCGCTGGTGGTTGACTCGGGCAATAGATAGGCCACGAGCCCGGGGGCCTGCCTCGGCACGCGACCCTGCAAGGAGGTGCGGTGGCTGGCCGCGCGAACAGGTTGGGGCGATGTGCAGTGTTTGGGGTGGAGAGATGGTTTGGAGTGGTGATACACGAAACAAACGGCTGCACTGTGAATCGTTGCGCAGCGCGCAAGGCTGGTGCAGCGGCTGGTGCAGGGCGTGGGCTGGAGTGCAGGCGGCGGCGTGCTGGGCGCGGGCGGGCGAATCAGGGCGCGGCTGGAGGGCCGTAAGCGGCCTAGCGCTGGCGCCGGAGACGACTGTCAACAGGAACAGGCCAGCTGCCCGTGCTCTGTCGTCGCTCGTCTGGGGAGCAGCCAGCAGCCCCGATGATTGTGCCGTTTGCGACCGGCCTGGAGCTGCTGGCGGGCTCAACAGCAATCTCAGCGTTCAATGCAGGGCGAGGCCGCGACCTGGCGTGACAGCGGCGGCGGTGCGGGCGACTACTGCCACCAGGTCGTCGGAGAGCGCTGGAGCGGGTCCTAGAGATTGACAATTTGCTTGCAGCTAGTGAAAATGCCAGGCGCGGAGGCGGTCAACCAAGTGTTTCGCAGCGGCACGCCCATCACACGCAAGTGCACTGGAAACCGCGCTCAAACAGAGAGAAGGGCCCGGGGCCGCCAAGCTGGGCCGAAGCTTGAATCGAGACGCAGCGTGAATCCAAAGCTTGAGGCCGGTGAGGGAGCAGGGCGGGCGTGACACACGGCTTGCACAAATGTGCTCGAGATCCGGCGCAACCGCACCCACGTCATTGTGCGGTCGAGGGCGCCATGGAGGCTGCAGCGCGCCAGTGCTGATCGCTGCCGCGCTTACCTCACCACCTCACGAACGGCCGCCGCAGGATTGGTCAATGGCGCGCAGGCGGCGGCGGGCCTGGGCGGCGGGCTGCAGCGCTGTTGGGGCGCCCGTGGATGCTCGTCGAAGCTCTCGGTGCGCGATTAAGGCTCTTTTCGCGGCTGCCAGGCACGCCGCGCGCGCGATGGTCGTGCAGGCGGCGGCCCACAGCGTGCGGGTCAGCGCCCACTCGTGAGCTGCAGCAGCGACGCAGGCTGCTGGGGCAACGGGCACCGGGCAGGGGTCGCTGGGCAGGCAAGGCTCGATAGTGTGGGTTTGGATCGGCTGGGGTAGCTCACAGCTGCACCCTGTCGCGGCGCCCGAAGCAGGCAAGTCGTCGGTAGCTTGCGCTATCGCGCTGGGTGTCTTTATTCGCGCAAAACCGAGACGGCTCTCAGCAAACGGCCAGTGCTTTCCATACGAGCTCCGGATAGGTCGGAAGGCCGCTCGACGCTCGCATCGGCGCGGCCTGCAGCCAGCTTAAGAATTTGCTGGTGGCCCGTGCGCGCGGCCGGGTTAGGCTTGTCGACGTCAAGGCCCTCTGATAAAGAGCTCCTTCCCCTCGCGTCCGGCTCCGAACACCTCTCTTGTGCCGCTTCCTTTGTCCGCCCAAGCAGTGCAGTGCAGCAGAGTGTGCCTCCTCGACAACAGCTACGCCGACCTCTCGCTAGTTGCCTGCAATTGAATGAGATAGCCTTTCCTTCCAGCATTCTTTCACCATGGCTCGTGGTCAGAGCGAAGAGATCGAGCGCAATGCCTCGGTCGCGACCCGCTCAAAGTCCATTGTGTCGCTGACGGCCTTCGAGGGCATGGACGAGTATGCCGCGCTGCAGAAGTACATCCAGTTCTACCGCGACCCGCGCGCTGCCCAGCTCGAGCACAAGCCCGTCGAGGAGAAGAAGCCCTGGTGGAAGTTCTGGTCCTCGGGCAACAAGACGGCTGCCGCTCCCGATGGCTCCGTTGTCCCCGATGAGGTACCTTTCCCTCGCTCGCCAATTGACGTCCCAATGCCGCCTGCTGACCTTTCCTGCAGATGCTCAACAGCGATATCCGCCAGGGTATCACCAGCGCCGAGGTCGAGAACCGCCGCAAGCGCTTTGGTTACAACGAGCTTGCCACGGAGAAGACCAACCTCCTCAAGCAATTCCTCAGCTACTTCCAAGGTCCCATTCTCTACATCATGGAAATCGCCGCCTTGCTCGCCGCCGGTCTCGGCGATTGGGTCGATTTCGGTGTCATCTGCGGTATTCTTCTTCTCAACGCTTTCGTCGGTTGGTACCAGGAAAAGCAGGCTGCCGACGTCGTCGCATCTCTCCGTGGTGACATCGCCATGAAGGCCGTTGTCGTCCGTGACGGCGGCGAACAGACCATCCTCGCCCGCGAAATTGTCCCTGGTGATATCATCATCATCGAGGAAGGCCAGACCGTCCCCGCTGATGTCCGCCTCATCTGCAACTACGACACTCCCGAGGACTTTGAGCGCTACCTCCAGATGAAGGAGGAGGACCTCTTCGACGACACTTCTGACCCCGAGGATGAGAAGGACGACGAGAACATCGATGAGGAGCGCCCCATTTCCCAGGGACACTCTCTCGTTGCCACTGACCAGTCTGCCATCACCGGAGAGTCTCTCGCCGTCGACAAGTACATGGGCGAGGTTGCCTACTACACCACCGGCTGCAAGCGCGGCAAGGCTTACGGTATCGCCCTCACCACGGCGAAGCACTCCTTTGTCGGTCGCACTGCCAGTCTTGTCCAGGGAGCCAAGGACCAGGGTAAGTTCCATTGCACTCAATTCCCGCCAATAGCAGCTAATCCATCGCAGGTCATTTCAAGGCCATCATGAACTCTATCGGTACTGCTCTTCTCGTCCTCGTCATGTTCTTCATCCTCGCTGCGTGGATCGGTGGTTTCTTCCGTCACTTGGGTATCGCTACCCCCCGCGGTGGAACCGAGAGCTCCGTCACCCTCCTCCACTACGCGTTGATCCTGCTCATCGTCGGTGTCCCCGTCGGTCTTCCCGTCGTCACGACCACCACGCTCGCCGTCGGTGCCGCATACCTCGCCAAGGAGCGCGCTATTGTCCAGAAGCTCACTGCCATCGAATCCCTCGCTGGTGTTGACGTTCTCTGCTCTGACAAGACCGGTACTCTCACTGCCAACCAGCTCTCCATCCGCGAACCCTACGTCGCTGAGGGCCAGGATGTCAACTGGATGATGGCCGTCGCTGCTCTTGCTTCTTCCCACAACCTCAAGTCGCTCGACCCCATTGACAAGGTTACCCTGCTCACCATCCGCCGTTACCCCAAGGCCCGCGAGATCCTCAACCAGGGCTGGAAGACTGAGAAGTTCACTCCCTTCGACCCCGTCTCCAAGCGCATCACCACGGTCTGCCACATGGGCGGTGACAAGTACGTCTGCGCCAAGGGAGCTCCCAAGGCTATTCTCAACCTTTCCAACTGCGACGAGGAGACCGCCAGGCTCTTCCGTGACAAGGCTGCCGATTTCGCTAGGCGTGGATTCCGTTCCCTCGGTGTCGCTTACCAGAAGAACGGCGGTGACTGGATCCTCCTCGGTCTTCTCTCTATGTTCGACCCTCCCCGTGAGGATACCGCTCAGACCATCGTCGAGGCCCAGCAGCTCGGTGTTCCCGTCAAGATGTTGACTGGTGACGCTATCGCTATCGCCAAGGAAACCTGCAAGATGCTTGCTCTCGGTACCAAGGTCTACAACTCTACCAAGCTCATCCACGGCGGTCTCTCCGGTACCACTCAGCACGACCTCGTCGAGCGTGCCGACGGTTTCGCTGAAGTTTTCCCCGAGCACAAGTACCAGGTCGTCGAAATGCTCCAGCAGCGTGGTCACTTGACTGCCATGACTGGTGACGGTGTCAACGACGCTCCCTCGCTTAAGAAGGCCGACTGTGGTATCGCTGTCGAAGGTTCCACTGAGGCTGCCCAGGCTGCCGCTGATATCGTTTTCCTCGCCCCCGGTCTGTCCACCATCGTCTTGGCCATCAAGATCGCCCGTCAAATTTTCCAGCGTATGAAGGCGTACATCCAGTACCGTATTGCTCTCTGTCTTCATCTCGAGCTTTACCTCGTCACCTCCATGATCATCATCAACGAGACCATCCGTGCCGAGCTCATCGTCTTCATCGCCCTCTTCGCCGATCTGGCCACCGTCGCCGTTGCCTACGATGTAAGTTTCACACGATGTTATTCCTGAACTGTCACTGACTCTCCTAGAACGCTTACTCTGAGGCCCGCCCTGTCGAGTGGCAATTGCCCAAGATCTGGTTCATCTCCGTCATCCTCGGCATATTGCTCGCTCTCGGTACCTGGGTCATCCGTGGTACCCTGTTCCTCCCCAACGGCGGTATCATCCAGAACTTCGGCTCCATCCAGGAGATTCTCTTCCTCGAGGTCGCCCTCACTGAGAACTGGCTCATCTTCGTTACCCGTGGTGGCAAGACCTGGCCTTCGTTCCAGCTCGTCTTTGCCATCTTCGGTGTCGACGTCATGGCCACCATCTTCTGTCTCTTCGGTTGGCTCTCGGGCGGTCTCTACCAGACCGACCCTCCCTCCACCTACAACTTCCGCGCTGACGGCTGGGTCGACGTTGTCACCGTTGTCGTTGTCTGGGCCTACTCGATCGGTGTCACCATTGTCATCGCCATGGTGTACTACCTCCTCAACCAGATCACCTGGCTCAACGACCTTGGTCGCAAGGACCGCACTCGCAAGAACCCCGCCATCGAGAACATGCTTGCTGCCCTCAGCAAGCTGTCGCTCGAGCACGGAAAGGACAAGCATGGTGTCGACCGGTACGTGCTTGCGGCACGTGCTGCTGAGGAGGAGGATGACGAGTAGATTTGAGATACCAGTGTACATGCAAGCTTTCTTTTGTATATTGTGTCAGGGGATGTATTGATGCATGTTGAATAACCACAAGGAAAGGCGCGACAGTTAAGACAAGTCTGCCTAGGGGACGAGTTGAAAGCGCCTAATTTCTAATTTACTGTCTGAACATTCATGTCTATGTCTCTATGTGTGATTTGAATGCAGTCCAACGGCCTATAACATCAATTGAGTGACCGGGAGTTAAAGTTTGCAGTAATTGCAGTTATTCGGCGAACCTGCCTCGCGAGAAGAGTGTCTGGCGTGGGAAAAATCTGCGGGCTGCGGGTTTCACGCTAAGCAAGAATTCCACGGGTGCAGGTAGGCGCTTTTGGCCATCTCCACGGCGCGCGGCTCCTATCGCGGCGCTACGCAAGGCGCGAGGCGAGACCGCCCGAGAAGCACCGAGGTGACTTGGCCGGGCTTGGTCAGATGTATTGGCAATGTCCATGGCGACGATTGCAATTTGCAAAACTATGTGGGAAGAAGGCAAAAAAAAAAAAAAATCGCGCAGGTGCTGTTTGGTTTCCGTTGCGGTTGCTTGGGTTTGGCATTGGCTCTGCGTCTGCGAGACTGGGCTGCGCAGTTGGGCAGGCGGACAGAGAGGCAGCGTGAGCATGTGCGGTGCAGCACAGCTAGCTAGCTCATTGTGCAGCTCGGGCGCTGGCGTCGTGCGTGTGCGTACTCGCCAGCCCGACTTGACTGCAGATTGCGATGTTCCAGTCTGCGCGTGCGGCTGTCGTTGTTAGGGTTTGCGTGTGTGGTCATGTGGAGGGCGGCCAAGAGCGATGCACAGCGTCGAGCGATTAGGTTTTGCGCGTGGGCTTTGCTCTGCTTTGGCGGAGGGACTCGCGAATTGCTTCTGCAACTGCGTGTGCTTGGGTCGTCGGTCTAGGGCGTCTCATTGGACGCGACGTCCACGACGGGTTGTGTCGTGCAGTGCATGCCCAGTGGTTGGGGCAATGGCTGGCTAGCGGCCGGTGGGGGATCAGCTCGACTTCTCCAGGGCTTCACGCGACTGTGCTGCGCTGTGTTGTCCTGTGCTGTCATATGGTAGGCGCACGTGTGGGTTCGCGGCTAGACATTTGGAGAGAGAGAGAGGTGAAAGTGTGGCTTTCTGTGACAATTGCTTTGCGCTCTTGGCTTGGGCGTGGGGATACGTGGTGGGCTGGATTGGACAGGGTTCGGGAGATGGGGTGCGGTGATGCGTGGAGGTGCATGTGAGCTGCGTCCGGGAACGGGACATGCAGCATGCTCTATGTCATCGCACGGCTTACCAAAGATACGTGCATGGAGGTCACGAGCGTCCGCTCTACTTCACGACTTCAACCGTTGCATCACGCGGATAATTGCTGTCTACGGCACCTGCGGCACTTGGAGTGGCCGTCCGTGTCATCTGTGGAGATCATGTCGATAGGCCGTGTTTCCACGAGTAGGGACGTGTCAGCGGGTGTCACCGGCAAGCTTTATGCCCGGAAATGCGTGGCGATGCTTACGCACTGCTTTATCGACATCGTTCAAGAGGCTGACTGAACGATGCAGTGCACCAATCGCGCGGGCGAATGCCGACCTGCGAGATGCGCTAGCTGCTACAATTGCACATCCCCAACCGCCAATGGCGTTGGACGCATGGTGATCTTCTCGTGGCGAGGTGGAATCCAAGTTTGGACGCTTTCTTCCCTTGTGAACGTGGGGAGTGGAGAATGTGATGGGGTGCCATCGGTTGCCAACATAGCGTAGGGATGAGAAGGAGGTGGGAGGGGGAAGATGATTGGTCAATTGGGCGACGTGACCAATCATACCCGATCTCGCTGTCGTATCGAACGCGTTGTTAAAGAGAAGTTTAATGCTTTCCGAATTAGGACTCTGACGTGGTGCGTTCCGAAAATCTTAGGTTTGGTTGATATCTCTTATGGCTTGCACAGGCATTATGTTAGAACGTATGCCGATTACGTGCGTGAGTGGGTGTGTTTTCAACATGACCATTTGACACTTGTGAATCTTTCGAAAAATCACTGTGAGGCAACACAGCTGATAAATCCTTCAAGGTACGATCCGGCTATTGACCGTTCTGTCCATGGTTGATCGCCATCACTCTACAACTCTGACCCATATCTTTCAACAAAGTTCCTTAGATCCCGTCGCGAGTCCGTCGGCGTGCCAGCCAGATACCTACTTTTATCTTTTCCCGTGTGAGCCAGTTCGAGAAGCTTTCGCGCGAGCCACCACAGCTCGACGCTATATTTCACGAAGCCAACGAGTTGCGTTTCGCTGATATTAGAGTGTGCGTATACGACGTCGTAGAGCTCTTTCCAGCGGTTTGTGGCGCGGAGGAGAGCGGTGTATGAAGAAGAGGCTAGGAGACTTGTTCGCGCGGCATAGATGATGGAGTGGAGAGCTGGGGGGCTGGGTCAGCTGTGCCAATTATTTCGGGCTACAGTATTGCCGTGAGGATTTGGCGGCTCATTGTGACCTGAGTCGCCTCTGGGTACATGGAGCGCAGGCGAGACGCTGGAGAAGAGGCCACGCACCAACTATATGTGTGGTCAAAACTTTGGGATCGATCGACATGGACATGGCATGCTCATATCCGGGCCAGGTATCCTGAAGATACAAGGATATCCACTCTTTCAAGCTGAGGCTCTGCCTTGTATCGCAGGCAGAATTCGTGACTAGCTGCGCGAATTTGCCCGGCGAGGAAGCTTCAAACAGTGCGTCAGCGCAAGGAAGGTCACCCGCCATTTCGGACACAGGCAGTTGCACGGCGTTGTTGAACGTGATGGTGCTTACACCGCCCGAAAAGAAGACTGCCGCAGCGGTTCTACTCGTGTCAGATGGTACTGCTACTTAGGATCTGTCATTGCGGCTCACCTTATCTTGCTCTCGTCTGCGACGAACTGTTCCCACGACATGCTTTGCAAGGGCATCGCTCGTTTCGATCTCACCAGACCCAGAGACCTTACCGCGGTGGATAAGGCTGGAAATCGGTGGAATAGTCCCCTCCGAGCTATTGCTCGATCGGTGGAACTGTACAGCAACGCGTTGATCAACACAGCGGCTTGAATTGTCTGAATGACCACTTCATCCACTTTGGCACCCGTATAGACCACGCCTTGTAGACATCGAAAGATATATTCCTCCGCCACGCTGTAGAGACAAGGAGCTGACAAAGCGTCGTCCGTGGGCGGAGAGTGTGCCGATCCAGCAAGTGCGACCGCGACGAGTAGTGGCAGGGAAGCGTGCTGTATATCGAATGTGGGACGGTGGATGAATGCGAAGTGTGGATGGAAATATTGAAAGTATGCTGAGACATAGCGCAGTAGAATGTGCGGAGTAAATACTTGACTGGCCGCATCGACTGGGAACTGGTCGTAGCTGGTATCGGTTGCACCCGTACTCAATTGGTGCTGGAAAGCGAGCGTTTGAATGATCTCGTCGACTCTAGATTGGATGCTAAGACCGTCGGACCGCATCCTGGAGTTCACTTTGCTTGGTTCGTCATAAATGTCGTACATCGGGTCATCTTCCTCATTGAACACTGTTTCGACAAGCGCGCCTGATGCCGCAAACGCATATGTGATTGATTCGAACCTGGGATCCGTGTAGCTCAGTAAGAAAGGCAAGGGGAAGCGCGATTGATCAGCACAAGCCTTGCTCACACGACCCTCATGGTTCGGCGTTCGATCAAGAACTGTCGTTACGGCACCCGGTGACCCTCGCACGTAAGAGCACTTAGCTTGACTCAATGAGCAGCGTCCGCAAGGTTCTTTCCCATCGCACTGAACCTTCTTTAGTTGGCAATGAATGCATGCATGACGCCTCCTTCCCCGTTGCAGTGAAGGCTCCAGATCGTTCTCGCCCTTTTTGGAGCACGTTTTGAAGTGTCGCCGAAGGGCATCGCTGCATTGCGTCAGTTATAGAGAGACAATTTCAAAGTAAACTTCAGTTAGAACTGACTGGCGGAGGAAACCACGTTCGCAGAACGGGCAATGTGACGAAGGATCTCGAGAATCTAGGTTCACGATTAGAATCTGATGAGTCGCACCATATGCCAGCTTACTCACGACCGCGCTCATGGCGCCGAAGATGGCTGTTAGTATTGAAAGCTTTTTGACATATCTTGCACTTATAGCTACGGTCTTGATTGAGTTCGAGGGCTGCGTTCGACATGTGGATCGACGGCGGTATCGTTAGGTGGGCGCTCATCGAGTGGGCTTTTCCCGAGTGTGGGATTTTGCCGAGCAGCAATGCTGCGCTCTTCCTGATGCGGACAGACGCGAAATGTATCCACCTCACCTTATGGCATCATGTCCTTAGATCTCCTCCTATTCTATAAGTTTTGAATTCAATTTCGTGTTTCGGGCGTCCTGCCTTGTCGATTTGCTGCGATCCCACTCTATGCTCGCATGATAGACTAAACCCCGAGCACCATTGTGATTCCCGAAGGAGCGAACGCATGGCTATCAGGGCGAGCACTGTTCGGGGTACCCTCCGAAAGTGTACAAATGATACCGATCCCATCTTTGTATCAACACTAACGCACTTGCTAGTCGCCTTACAAGGAGATTCGGCCTTACCGACTCTGAACTCACGCGCATTCGTAACGAGGTCACTGACAGCAAGTTCCCTGCAACGCTCCTCTTCGACAAGCCAACCGCTACCTAATCGATTTCTCGGAGCTCCAGCACCTACTTCTGTAGTCGAGCATGTCCTGTACGATCCCAACCCTAAACACAACTCCAACCGCTTCGTTGACTAGCCTAGAACAACCACCGATGAAATGGTCGCTTGGACCCGCCAATCATCTCTTTGGCCCCTCAGCTTCGGCCTAGCCTGTTGTGCCATCGAAATGATGCACTGTTCAGCGCCTCGATACGATCAAGACCGCCTCGGCATCATCTTCCGCGCATCACCTCGTCAAGCAGACGTTATGATAGTAGCCGGCACAGTCACGAACAAAATGGCACCAGCGGTCCGGCAGGTCTATGACCAGATGCCAGAGCCGAGATGGGTGATCAGCATGGGCAGCTGTGCGAATGGAGGGGGCTATTATCACTATAGCTACAGTGTTGTGAGGGGCGTTGATAGGATTGTACCGGTGGACATATATGTACCGGGGTGTCCACCGACGGCTGAGGCATTGCTTTATGGGGTGTTTCAGCTGCAGAAAAAGATGAGGAAAACAAAAGTGACAAGGATGTGGTATCGAAAGTGATCTTACAAGGTCGGTTAAACTCGCCTCGCATGCCCAGGAGAGACATACTTATTACTAGCGAGGTATGAGGGTCCAACATTTGGAATCCATATAGCCTAGGCCTGGAATGTATGCATGTAAGATATCAACGCGTACCCATGTGCCAACGTGGAGAGTGATCGATCATAGGGATGGTTTGTAGAAGTCAGAGAAAGGAAGGTGATGGATCATGAGAGTGCTGTGGGTAAATCGGACAACACGAATTGATTGATCGAAAAGAGGACAGTGATCAATCAATAGCATTGTAGTGAGTGATAATACGAAGAGCGGCGAGCAATTATACGAGTGGCAGTAATCCGCCAGGAGAGAATGGACTGCGGAGATAGAGAGATAGAGAAAGAGAGCGATCTACTCGAAGCTCAATCGCGATTGATTTTTTTGGGTTCGTCTGATTTGCTGCACTGTAATTCTTCTCATCCTGTTAACCTCCCTGTGACAATCCTGACGTATCTCAATTATGTGGGCAGCCGCGCTAGCCTTGACCTGACCAAAGTCAAACTAACCCTCCATAGGCCTTTCTATCTTCTAGTATGCCATAACCTCATCCAAAGGTCTGCATGTTCTGGCTGAACTCTCCGCTTTGAGATATTGAGAGGAGAAGTCTACATGTTAAGGCCTTCTACGATCCGATGATAGAATTTTTATTCTTCGCCCTGTGACAATCTAGATACATGTTCAGGATATCAGCCGCAAGAATTGTCTCAAATGGTCAACCAGATTTGTGGCGCGGATTTTTGTTGTTACAGAGTCTGTAGGAACTCTACCCTCCTGAGAGGCGTGTGATACAAGTGAAGAAATAAGGTTTCAAGGCTCTCACACAATACATGTCTTACAATAATATCATCTCGATTACGCAGCTAGATTGATATGCATGCAGTATGCTGGAGGGGTATCGCACCATTCGTGGACCCTTTCGACACCTACCTTGGGCCCGGGTAAAACCAATATCAACCCTATTGTGGAGTGTGTCAGACATCGACTGCGCATGATCAAGAGCGCATTGGGCACGGAATGCAATCGCGTGCCTTTCTTAATATTAGAACGTATCCGAGAGCTATATTCGGCCTTGCGATTAGTGACAATACTGTTGGGCACCAACTGCACGCGTATAACTTTACATCAGGTGACTGGGTCAGAATACACTCATCTAGTTTCAAGCACGGGTCAAACGGAACGTTTGAATGGCTTCTCTACAGTGTGCGAGACGCACAAATCCCAAGGGTACGTCGCTCGTCGAACGCCCCAATGTCGTATACTGACGCGCTTAGATTGTCTTCAACATCCCCACACAAACGCCTCCAGGTCAGTACCTTATGCGTATGGACGTGCCTTGCGCAGGAGAAATCAACCAGTGTACCAAGCACGGCGATGTACTGACGTAGCGCTATCCGTCGTGCGGCAACTCAATGTCAGGAGTGACTCCGCTAGCGTGTTTCCTGGAGGAGTGCAGATGCCGCAAATATTCTCGCCTGACGGGCCTGAGATGGAAACTTCGGCGGAGATGGCGGCGTATGAGTAGATTGATGAAGGGTATGAATATCATGGTGGGACACTGTGGGAGGGAGAGAAGATGATTGCTGATATGACAGTTAATGTTAGGAAGAATTTTGCCAGTCACTTTTGTTAAAGATGACTCTGACGTCAGAACCATGGCCATAGCTACCCTCGCCTGTAAGTTTGCCAGTTAAAAAAGCTTTGAAAAGCTTTGAAATGAGTTCCATGATGCGTAGCCAACATCCGAAAGTGCGTCCCAAGGCGGCAGGGGCGGGATCTACAGTGACGCAAGGAGGTTTGGACGCGTTTCTAATCCTTCTCACTCGCTTTCGACCCGCTTTCTGAAACAAACCAAGGACTTTGTGCCATCCGCATGTCATAAACTCAATATCCATTTTAATCCTTTGGCAGTCTTCTTTTGTCAGGCGCAACCCCCTATCTTCCTGGCTCGCCGCTCACGGCCGAGCAGTACAGATATTATCAGCCACCACCACGACGCTCGCGGCCCTCTTGGTGCATGTCAGTGGCTTTTCAAACATGACCTCGGAGATTGGAGCAACAAGGCCTCCATCTGCCAGAAAGCCCCTCCGATTCCATTGACTAATATGAATATGGATGAAAGTGGCAATATAGTCGAAGGCCCCACACAGTACGAGGAGCCGAAACCACTTGAGGACCTGCTACCTGATGTTACCACCACCAATATCGGGATAGGCAAAGAAGACTTCATAAAGCTGCATAAACAAGCCGTGCCACCAGAATTTGCCATCAGGAAGGCCAGTGAATACAAAATGTCCACGGACAACAATCGTAAGAATTGTAAGCTTTCCTGTATCGGGATGAAAACACCATGCGAAAGAAATTGGCCAAAAAGAAAATAAGAGAACAAAACAAGAAGATGTAGCGTGACGCATGGAGATCTGACCTCCCAATGATTTGCAGTTCTGATCTCCGACTATACAGGCGAGGCGTTTAAAAAGCCAGACCAAAATATTAAAGGGAAGCTTATATGATGCCCTGTATCAAACTGGTGCATCGTACACCGTAATTTATGAACTCTCGTGGCCGCAAGAATCCATCCATTTTCGCGTATCAGGAGCTGGACAGGGCAGGTCTCTGCCCGATAATTGGGGCGGTCTATATGCCTATGCGCGGCAGAATGCATATGTGTATTAGGGCTCACTATGGAGATCGTTACGGAAGCCTACGGAAGATAATGGACGGAAACAGGAACATAGAATCCAATTGCGCTGATGGTCTGATAATCCTTAAGATTTAAGATAGACACCTTGACTCTCTCGTAAAACTAAGCAAGCAGATCCTGTATGACAAAAGGTCGGACAAAGAGTCTTTCATGGATGATCCTGTGGTCCCAGAGCCACCCAAACTCGCCCTACGAGAGGGCGAAGGTGTCGCATTGGATCTGACATCCGAGCTGCCTCATCTGAGCCAAAATTGAGTCGAAATAAGAAGACAGACAAGGCGAGCTGAAGAATTCTGTGGACAGGCTGAATTTGATCGTTGAGGCTCGGTTGATCGGACAGCAGCTGCGGGAACCTGGCGATACCAAAAACAATGAAATCTTGGGGCTGCTTCAGGAGCTGCTGGGGGGGCTACCATGGCTATTCCAACATACTGCCTGAGCTCACCATGGCTGAACTCAATTAATTGTTGCAGACCGATAAGAAACAGAGCGCATTTATCATCTCAATGGTTGCACGATTAGTGTGCGACCTGGGTCTGTTCTATGGGTTGCGCAGTCAGCTACGTTTGTTGTCGCCTCACTCAGAGGGCGGTATCAACCCTGCCCTCAAGAAGGAAACGGGCCCGACGCAGGAGTGCGCTCAGAGGGTTTGTATCCTCTCTACGAACTCAGAATGTGTATCGGTGCCAAGCATGCATGGAACATCTTCTCAGAGGCTCGGTACTTTCAAAACCCCGGAGAGGTTCGACTATCCAGTCGATAGGAAGAGAACACAAGTTACCACGTATGTAACGCAAACACTTGAACAGAACCTCGACACGCTGTGGGGCAATACAACAATCATGTCCTGCAGAATCTCTCAAGCACCACATATATCAGCAGAACGGAACGCCGGAACAGCGTTCAAGGCCCGGACTAAGGTCAAAACGAGAGGAGAAGCGGAAGTGCTGGACACTGAAGCCAACGAAGCAAAGGAGCCCGATAAGACACCTTCCACTAACGCCACGCCAATGCTTCTATTCAAGAAACGAGCAGCGAATGTCTTCTCAACCCTTTTCTACCGAGCATCACGCGGTCAACAGCCCGGGGAAATACCTTGAATTGAGTTCACGCATGCGATGGGCGCAACTGACTTGAACCCGAGAAGCTGTACGCCTCGGTCTGGCGATTCGCGCCTAAGGATGCGGAGACTTTGGGAACGGAGAGGGTGATCAATTTCGTGAGCCACACCCAAGCGGCAAACTACCCTTCCGTGCAGCTCATCGGTATGTACGCAGGCTAAACCCCATGTCTGGATTGGATGCATCCTCCTTTATCTTGGAAGCATAGGATCGTAGTGCATCTAGCGAGGGAGTGTTTTTCGTGAGCGTCGATCAACGTTACCCTTGGGTGCATCAAGTTAGGAGGGGAGACGAAAATTTCGGACCTTAGATGAGATGCTTGGTGAGATTCCATACATTCTTTTGCGTCGCCTGGGGTTGTGTTGTTCGAGCTATTGATCTGTGAAGTTTTGGACAGTGATTCCGGATGATTGAACACGCATGTCGTCGTGTATGCAATAGGCATGTAAGAATCAAATTGACCCGTCAGATGCTGGAGGGCGTGCTGATTTGGTCACAAAAGCTTTGCTGGGATAAGTATGGCTAAATGCTGTTGACATTCACATACGACCATAGGACACTGAGAACTAGGCTTCCCGTCCGCTCAGCCATATATAAGCAGTGTACCGGCGGATTAGTACCTAAGTCGGTGACGATTAGGGAATCCCCGCTGTTGTATGTTTTTGCCAAATCTTTTGTGGGCGTCTGGGCCATCAGATGCCCGTAGCGGAGCGCATCTCGCATCGATGTAGCTCTAGCTCGTTTCACTCTAGCTAGTGCCTCTAAGCTTACTCAAGCTAGCGTACCCAGGTCGACTAGTTTTGTTTTTGATCTATCTGCGACGTAAATGTCACCTAGAAAGATGCACAGGCACCGCAGGACACAGTTTGCAAGCAACAACACAAGGGCGCCATGACAATTCATGCTGAACCATGAAACATCGCAATTTAGTGTCAGATACTACAGCGTATTGTATCTGATATGCTCGCTGCAGAATAGTAGGGGTAATGGTAACAATGCATCTTGCACTATCGCCCAAAAGACATCAACACCACGACATACCACAAGAGATATCTCGATCCAGCACGGATCAGCAAAGCTTCTTCTTCTAGAATTTTCCAGCGCATGATCTCAAATCAAGTCCAGACGCCCCCGATTACCGACCGCCTAGGCGCAGTCCACGCATCACCCACCCTCTATATACGAGGGCAGCACTGCAGCAGTTCCCCGCCCTCGTGACGCTTCCTCGCTCTTCCCATTTCACCCGACCGGAAACCTGGGGTGCGTTTCCTTAGCCCCCGCGGCATATACCCTGGGGTGCGTCACGACCGTCTGGGCGGCTGATTCGGCAAATGAGTAGGCGCCGAGCCGCAATTGAGTGCTGTGTAAATTGAGGCGTCGCTGCATCGCCAACCACCGTCCAGATCGCACACTTGGCGGATAGTGCGCCCGGTTTGGATAGATGAAGGCGTGTGGGGTGGGCACATTATATCGAGGGCCCAATTTGGGTGATGCGGTATGACGATCGTGGGAAGCCGGGCCGGGTGGAGTCGAGCGTGTAGGACAGCGAGCTCAATCTATCACAGAGGTCTTGGGGGGTATAAATTGAACGCAACGTGTGGAGGTCGAGGTCGTTGTGGCAATCGCGTTCAACTCTCGGTCGACGATCCTTGGCTTTTACATACTCTTCGTTTTACGACCAGAAGCTATTCCAAGATGAAGTCTGCTATCGTGCTCCTCGCTGCGGCGACAGCTGTGTCTGCGCACTCGACATGGCAGGACTTGTGGGTGGGCTCTGCAGACAAGGCGACCAGCTGCACGCGTGTTGTCAAGGACAACAACCCGATCGACTCCCTCTCGTCGAAGGACATGTTCTGCGGTCGTGGACCTGCCACGCAGTCCGGTGTCTGCGAGGTTGCTGGTAAGTCTATCAGCTCATCATAGTCCAAGTGATATACCTAACGAACTGCAACACAGCCGGCACCGCCCTCACCGTTGAGATGCACGCCCAACCTGGCGACCGCAGCTGCAGCAACCCCGCCATCGGCGGCAACCACTACGGCCCCGTCTACATCTACATGGCCAAGGTCTCGGACGCGAAGTCCGCGCAGTCCGCGTCCTTCTTCAAGGTCGCCGAGGACGGCTACACTGGCACTACCGCATCCTGGGGAACCGAGATCCTCAACGCGAACTGCGGAAAGCGGGCCTTTACCGTACCCAAGAGCCTCGCTGCTGGCGACTACCTCGTCCGCGCTGAGGCGATTGCGCTGCACGCTGGTGCGGGGAACCCGCAGCCGTACGTGTCGTGCTTCCAGGTCAAGGTTACCGGTGGCGGTAGCGCGAACCCGTCTGGTGTCAGCTTCCCTGGTGCTTACAAGTTGAGGTGAGTTCATATTATGATTTCGAGGAAGTGGATCTTTGCTAATGCAAAATAGCGATGCTTTGTTCACTAAGGCCATCTACGACTCTTCCTTCAAGTACGTCAGCGTTGGCCCAGCTGTGTGGACTGGTTAGAGGGTGCGAGATTGTGTTGCGAGCAGGTTATGGACCGCTTCGCCCTTCTTCACTGTTGTATTCATTAGCATTCTTGGATCGCTCATTGCATCCTGGAGAAGAGATCTCTCAAGCAATCAATTGCATTTGAACAGGAATCCAGCGCCTAACCGCAATGCGCGCTCGTCAAGACATAACCCATGCTATGGAGATTCCAAAACGCCGACCTAATGCACCCATCCCGATTTTGAACGCCCAAGCCGAACGAATCTACTACTCGCTCACAGCACCCCTCAGGTACCAAAACATACCCAGCCTGTACAAAGCCTCCCTCGCCTCGCCAATCTCGGCCTGCTCCTTCTGCACAATCGCCAGCGCCTGATCCAGCGCTCCCTTGTACGCCTCTTGTGTCTCCTTGTCGCACAATCTCGCAGTGAAATCCCCATACGGCAGCCAGACCTTGCCCTCTCCGTTGCGGCCCCCAAACATCTGCCCGTAGATGGTCTCGTAGCACACTTGGTAGAAGAGCTCGGTTTCGGGGGTGGTCGGCTTGGTGACGCGGCCTGCAAGCTCCATCAAGTCGAATTGGAATGTTTCCCTTTGCTTGTTGTTGTTGAGAATGTGGTGGATGGTGGTATCTTGGGGAAATTGAGTTTTCGGGTTGCCGAGAGTCTCGGAGTACTCGTATGCGGATTGGATCATGTTTGTGGTTGTGTAAGTGCAGAAGTGGTATAATGGTCTTGAATGTTGTCTTAGAGAATCGAAGGTCTTGAAAGTTGTAGGTTTCCGTAGATCTCAAGAGTGAGAAATGTTTGATGGGTCGTATTCTTCTGGGAAATCTCACTGGCTCCAAAGAAACGTTGCTGTAGATGCCCGATTATTAGATCCACCTAGTGAACTTTATATTTAGCGGTGATGTTGCCTCTGCAACGTCGTGTCATAGTCATGCCGTCACGCGAGATTCTCCGACGTCACCACGCGAGTCCACCCGACCCTCAGACCAGAAATTTCCTGAAACCCCAACGAAAGCCAACGAAAACGCATCACCACGCCACACCGCCAACACCAAACCCACTCTTTGCTATGACGCTTTGACGAAATAATTCTGCAATGTGTTTTTCTGCGCTGGTTTCTTCTTTTCTGGTGTCTTGGTTTCCGCTTTCTTCCGCGAGTTCTCACCGACGCCCATCAGCTTCTTGAATTCCTCCCACTCCTGGACGTTGATGATACCGCCTGAAGCCTCTTTGTGGCCCCTGGCGAAGCTTTCGCCAAGCCGCGCTCGAAGATCTGGATCGTCTGCTACTATACTCTCTAGTGTTTGGATGATGTTGACTCTGTCGTCACCTATTCGGGCTCGCGCATGCTTCGCAACTCTGCACGAGAAATTGACCTTGCCTGGGAGATAGCCTTCATTCGCACACATGACGATCTCGAGCTTGTCCGATTTCAAGAAGCCGGCCCATCGCGTGGCGACGACGGGATGTACCTGAGCAGCCGATCTGATGGTGAGTATAGCGATGGTCGCGTCGCGCGAGAACTTGGGCGGTACATGCGACCACTTTTCCGTTTCTTGCTTGACCTCGAACTGTGCATCGCGTAGCTTTTCGTTACTCAGTAGCGGTTGTGGACCCTCCACGGAGATGACAGCTTCCCATGCCGCCTGGACGTTATATGCAGCTGACCGTCGCGGCGCGTTGACGAGGCCGACTGCATCGTTGATCGCCTTCTTCGGATTCCTCTTGAACGTTGCAGTCATATCTGGAAAAGGTGGTTGCCACTTCAACGTGTTGCCAAGGTCACCGTGTGTTCCGAGAGCCGCTAGCCATGAGATTTTGTCTTCCAAATCTTGATGCAATGGCAAGCATATGGCGTAGGTGAGCAGAGCGCTCGTTGCTACGGGGGGACAATCGTGCGCTGTCACAAACTCTGCCCCCTCTGGAAATCCGCCCTCTTCGGCGAAGTGGTGATCAATGATAAGGCATTTGTGCGATGCATCGTAAAAAGGACCAGTCTTCCGGCTTCCCTGGTCTAGAACGAAGATGTAGGCTGGCGATAGTTCAGTGACAGTACTGCGGGTGCTTTCGTCATGAACATTACTTCCCTTTGGTGGGAAGTATACAGATATTAGATCGGATGACAGGCCAAGAGATGTGAGCGTGTGGTGCAGAATGGCTCCGGAGGACAGGCCATCTGCATCCTTGTCCGGAAGAATAAGAGTTGGCTTTTGGGCGCTTGCACATTCCCTGATGATCTCCCTCGCACGCTCTATCTGTGCTTTTGGTGCTGGCCAGACAATCTCCCCGTCTTCATCTCGTCGCGATGGCGTAAGATGATACTCTGGGATCTGCACTTTGGGTTTCTTTGCCTTGGCAGGGGAAGCTTGCGTTTCTGCCTTGCGTTTCGCAGGGCTACTCATCATGTATGTGGTATGAAAGGTGTGCGGTGTGGACACAAGTAGAAATGAAGTGATAGGTCGATAGGCGGTGTGATTCAGGCCACGTGAAAGTCTTGGAAGGACCCGCGAGACGAGGGACATGCTCTCATGTAGTATGTGAGCATGGTGTAAGGAATGGTAGGGGCATATGGCCGTCGAGCCAATGAGTCGATGACGTCTTGCTACAAAAGATTCGCGCTAGTCCGCTTTCGCTCAGCCTTTCGAGATCTCGCGACGGCTCGATCGAGCTCAAATACCTTGCGACAAATACCCAGGTCTATGTAGGATAGCCCTTGACGAAACTCAACGCTATTTGCTGTTGCTAATAAGGTGTACAAGGGACACTGAGCGTAGTCATGCACAAGGGCCGATGACGTCATCGTACAGTGAGGCTCACCTCGGCCCAAGCTCTCACCTCACGAGCTGCACGGACATTGTCACCTAGTGTAACAACACTTCCCTTTCGCATCGACAACAGGGGACGATACAATAAACACAGCACACGACAGTTTGCCCCGGACCATTCAAAGTAGTTATGTAGTCATCGAGTCAGCGAGTCCCAGTCATGCAAACGGCAACTCCAAATGGCAACCTCAAAGCGGGGCGAGCCGTGGTCTCTCCTCAGACTGCGGGGTAGCCGAGCGCACAAAGTGACACACCGGCGTGTCTGTCATCCCTACTTTCTGGACATATATTCCTTGGCTGTAGTACTCGCTGTTTTCAATTCCTTCCAAACCCCAGCGTGAGCCTACATCATACTGTACTATCGTTTGAGACGGGGAAACATAATGGCAGAACAAAAATCCACAGCAGGCCAGCGCCTTACACAGATCAAGGACTTCCTCACCATGAATAAAACTGCGACCACAATCCCTTGGGATCCGAACAGCACCAAGTTTCCCATGAGGAAAGAGCTGCCAAAGATACCGGGAGCACCAGATGACGCTGCATGGGTGTGGGGTAATGATGACAACGTCAGTACTAATTTCACCTCAATATGCCGCATGGCGATGCTAAAGATGGTAGATCGGACGTTTGAACCTGCTTACGCCCTCGCGCGTAGCTGCTGCTGCGAAAGAGATTCGGACTGGCGAGATTGTTCCTGTGAAGTATGATTGCAACATGAAGAGGCACTCGTAACCAAACACGTACTGATGTGAGACAGCCTGCCACTCAATGTGCCAAACCAACCGGCTTTTGGTCGGGAAATCTTCAAGCACGAGATCAAAGTGCTCGCCGAGAACCTGGCCTACGATGACATCTACCACCTAAACACGCAAAGTGTAGGCCTCCCAGCTCATCTGTATATCTTAAATCTGACCATACCAGGGCACACAATGGGACGGCTTCCGCCACGTACACCTACCCACCTACCCACCATCTCTTTCCAACTAACACATTCTCAGTTCGCCCATATGGCTACCGGCAACTTCTATAACGGCGCCAAAGGCTCCGACATTGTCGGTCCCTCCGCCAACGAGAAATGCTCCATCCACCACTGGGCCGACCACGGCATCGCGGGCCGCGCCGTCCTCCTCGACTACCGTGCCTACGCCCGCTCCAAAGGCATCACCTACGACCCGTTCGACCACCACGCTATCACCTACGCGCAGCTCGCGGCCTGTGGCAAGGAGCAGGGTATCGACATTCGTCCTGCTGCGCAAGGCGGCGATATCCACATCGGCGACATCCTGCTCATTCGCAGCGGCTGGAAAGAAGCCTACGACAGCAAGACCCCCGAGGAGCGCAGCAAGGCGGCGCTGCGCACGCACGAGCCTGGGAACGATGGACAGCGGTGGACGGGTGTAGCGCAAGAGGAGGAGATTCTCGACTGGCTGCACGACAGCTACTTCGCTGCAGTGGGCGGCGATGCGCCGGCATTCGAGGCGTGGCCCACGGAGAAGCCGTGGCATGTGCATGAGTACGTTCTTGCGCTATGGGGAATGCCGCTCGGGGAGATGCTGGATTTGGAGCGGCTTGCGGAGAAATGTAGGGAGAGAGGGAGGTGGACGTTTTTCTTTACGAGTGCGCCGGCGAACGTGCCTGGTAAGTCAAGTGACTTGGGGGCGGTGCGGAGAGAAGTGAGAACGAATGCTAATGAGTGTGTTACAGGTGGGGTTAGTTCGCATGTCAACGGCACTGCGATATTCTGAATGGTTTAACGTTTTTGTTATTGGGGGCGCGGCTGCAGCTAGGTGCTAAGGACGCCGAGGAAATAAGAACCAAATAACATGCTGCTTCTATCGCTCTGTTTGTTCCATCTCATAACGTCATATTCGTGCCGATTCGTTTAGTTCTCATCCAACCATGGGAACTCCGTGCAAGCGGTGAACCTGCCGCTCCCCAAGCAACACTTTTGATAGAGGTCAAATTCTGCCCTTTTGGTGACGTCGCAGTTCCCATTTCCGATGTAGGGAGCTCCCGATTCGGCGCAGCATTCCACCTCGAAGTCAGGGCAGTTGCAAAATGCGGACGCGAGGCCAGCGGTGGCAGCGAGGGTGGCGATGAAGGCGAAGAAGCGCATGTTTGCGAGAGGCTGATGGAGCGGTGACTGATTGGCTAGTGGAGGAAAGCCGGTGGGGGCGAAGCAGGCTTAGTTTGACTCGATTGCGTGCTTGCCTGAGACGTTCACGATGTGTTCGCTATTCTTTATACCTGTAGGAGGATCCACACCGACTAGTCAGGCGTACCCGTCTCTGCCGGAACTCGACGAAAGAGGCTGGCCGGCAAGGCATACGAGAAGGATGTAGTGGCTTGCGGCTCCTTCGCCAAAAGCACAGAGTCCGATGAGATGACCGAAGTCATGTGGGACAAGCGCAGCCTGACATAAGGCTGCCCGTCGCCCAAAGGGATGATCTTCTTTTTCTTCGATGGGCGAGTAGCGCAATGTCTCGCAGACAACTACCCGTGGTTGCGAGAGACGAAGCACTTTCCCGGTTAGTATGTTACTATTCTGGGACCCGAGTTAAGGTTATTGGAAAATAGTTCTACCTTCGGCTTCGCCGGCGTATCGCACGAGTGAAATCCCTTCGGTCGAGCGACTGCCACGAGGTAAGCAATACGAGACAGAAGCCAGGTGATTGCGGCTGGTCGGCCAAGAGCGTTTGATCCAACGTGAGGTTGGACGCCTTGGTGGGAAGTTTCGCACTCCTTGTTGGAGCATGGCCACCAACGTTTTCTTGGCCCCCAAGCTAGCTTGTGCCCTGCACCATGCCAAACTATTGATGTCGGCTCGTGTTCTTCTCCTCGGCGATAAAGGCAAGTCCAGAGACCGCCTTGAACGAGTTTTGGTCGCCAGCAAGAGTTTCAACAAGATCATGGTGCCTATGGTAACTCAGACCCTATTCCGTCTAGATCTTCTCGCACGAAAGTACATGACCGACTTCCTCTTAGGGTGCACACACACTCCATTAGAGACTACGGAACTCTTCTTTTGGAAAATCTTCGGCCAGAATAGCGACCGCATCGCGCAAGGTCCATACTGACAAATGGGTTTAGCGGCTTCGAGAGCGAAGGCGTGCCGAAGTTTGAAGCTGCCTATTCATAGAGTACCGCAACTTCAAAGATTATTTCGTGTGGCCCAGTGTGAATCGACTCTCAGTACAGAGTCCGGGGCCGATACGGAAAGCTCCAAAATCGCACGTAGCGTAGCCCACTGAAGATACCAATCGTGTGAGGCGCAAGGAATCACATCGCCCTGCCAACATAATTGTGCTGGGAACAAAAGTCCCCTGCTCGAGAGTATGGAATGCAGACACTCGCAGAACTTCTCTCAATCTCCGGTTATCAGTCACTAGGAAGCCCTAACACATGCCAAGAAGTACCATCATTGGTTTGTGGACCATCCCCTAGACGGTCACGATGTGATTTCGTACAATTGAAGCCGTCTGACTCGACAATGTCTATCAAGACCCCTTGGAATAGCTTTGGCGTATCATGCAATTAGAGCGACAGGTTATAGGCTATATCATTTCCCTCATCCAGGACAAAGGTCGCAGTCTCGCCAGACAAGCCTGAACTTTTCGGCATAACATGAGGCAGCTGCAGTTTCCCTACCTGCAGGAGTGCTCTGTTCTACTTGAGCGAGTACGTCGAACATGGTAGCAGATTATTGAGCCTCCAAAGTACGCAATCGTTTTGGGTCGTCACGGCCTTGTGCAAGCTATGCTTCATGTTCGCGAGGAGTTCCAACGCCCATGGGGTATATGGGAGCCATTATAGTGTTAATTACATACTGATCTTGTGGCTTAATACGATGTGTTAGTCTGTGTAAGTGCGTTCGGCACACTCTGCTAGACCTCCCCTTGATTTGCTTCGGTACTCATCCTCTTTTGGTATCACATCTGGCAAATTCACAAGGAGGTTCATTCGGTCCCTCGCTGGCATGGTGAAGTTCTGCACCGCACTCTCGGTTACAGACTCTTCCCACGTGTCTGATGTATCTTCAGTTTTGAATGAAGATCCCACGTGGATGGGCGAGCATTCAAAGGCCCTGAGAACGTAGTGGGGATCCGAAGCATCTTCATCGTGGCGGAGCGCTATATGCCCGCTTCGCACGCGAACACGCGTTGAAACGAGACACGCTCAGCAATTGGAAGATAGTCGCAACACCAATAGACAATGCGAACAGTTGGGCAGATGCGCGTGAAGAAGCGCGAGTGTCGCCAGTGTGGACGCTTCTGGGGCGGATATCTGGCGATGCGATTTTTCTTGGCACAGCCAATCACGGCTCGCAAGCGCCGGCAGCACGTGCGCTCCCATTCGTCACTTCCCCCGCTCCATCTCTGCACATTCTCCAGCCACCAGCAAAACACCCGGTCCGCTCTGCTGCACAAGATTTTTACGCATGTCACCGTGAGGCAGACAGAGGGTGTCGGAGCTAATCATGGCTCGCCTCTCGAATCCGTTCGCTTTCACGCCGCTACCCGTCATCTTCGTGGTGACGGGCACTTACATCGCATTATTTGCTGCCTTGCTCACGGTCCACCTTACCTTGCCGGATGTTCCTCATACTACCCCGGCCGGCACAAATCTGACGCAGGCCTGGATCGACTTGGAGCACATCACACGGAGACACCATCCGTACAACAGCCATGCCAACGATGACGTACGAAAGTATCTCCTGTCACGCGTCGAGGACATCGTAACATCCCGGAACCTTGGCAGCGACCGCGTTGAGATCATTGACGACAATGTATCGAATGCAACGTTTTCAGCTGGCAACACTACTGTTTATTTCGAAGGAACAAATATCATCGTCGCCGTTCGAGGATCGAAGGATGAAGAAGCATTTTACGAGCCTAACGGGGACCCGTTGTCAAGTACGCGTGCATCAACAAATGGTGGTGTGCTTGTCAACGCCCACTATGACTCCGTCAGTACCGGTTACGGGGCGACCGATGATGGAGTGGGCGTTGTGACTGTATTACAGCTACTTTCCTATTTTACCGAGCCCGAGAACTGGCCGCGCCGAACAGTTGTTCTACTTCTGAACAACGGCGAGGAGGATTTCTTAAACGGAGCCAAGGCCTTCATGCGCCACCCCATTTCTCAGCTTCCGCATACTTTCCTCAATCTTGAGGGCGCAGGAGCTGGCGGTCGGGCGACGCTGTTCCGGAGCACAGACACAGAAGTCACAAGCTTCTACAAGGCTGCCAAACATCCTTTCGGCACTGTTGTCAGCGGCGATGGGTTCAAGCAGGGCTTCATCCGAAGCCAGACCGATTATGTTGTTTTCAATGGGGAGCTTGGACTCCGCGGGCTAGATGTAGCCTTTATGGAACCACGGGCGCGCTACCATACAATCGAGGATTCGATGCGGGAGACGTCGTTGAATTCCCTCTGGCATATGCTGTCTGCTTCCGTTGCTACAGCGTCAGGACTGGCCTCGGACACCAGCGACCGGTTCAGCGGCTCAGACGAGGAACGTCAAAAGGGCAAGGTCAACGCTGGGAGCGGCACTGATGCCGTTTGGTTCGATCTCTTCGGGAAAACATTTGTGCTGTTGCAACTGCACACTTTGTTTGCCCTTTGCGTTACGTTGCTCGTAGTTGCTCCTGTCACTTTGATTGGACTGACTGTAGCACTTTCAAAGACTGATAAGAACTATATGCTTGCGCGCAAGGAATACGTGCATTCATCTGACGATGATGAGCCGGTGCGTCTGTACGGCTGGCGTGGCTTCTTCCGGTTTCCCGTGAGCTTTGTTGTGGCTACGTCGATTGTAATTGGGCTGGCTTATCTTCTCCAGAGGGTCAATCCCTATATCGTCTACAGCAGCCCGTACGCAGTTTGGAGGTAAGCTTGTCTGTCGCCCCACCGTCAACTATTGTACTGACACTTGAGTTCTAGCATGATGTTCTCTGCATGGTTTTTCTTTGCCTGGTTCGTCCTTCGTGGGGCGAGTGCAATGCGTCCATCAGCACTCCAGCGCCACTATACACTGCTATGGCAGTTCATTGGCACTTTCATCGCTCTTATGCTCGTCACCATTCTCGCCCATAATTTCCACCTCGCAGGTGGCTACTATGTGATGTTCGCCTTCGCCGGGACATTCTTCGCGCTGCTCATTTCCTACGTTGAGCTGTTTTTCCTCCCGAAAAAGTCTGCCTACGCAGTTCATTTCGACCAGACTATAGAAACGTCTCACGATCAGGAACCAAGCAGTCGGCCGCTGTCTGGCACCACCAACGGTACCCGATCGGAAGAACGACCTGCTGAGGACGACGATGCCACGGAGACAACGTCGCTCTTGCGCAACGATCGGACAAGCTTCAGAAGAAATTATGGCAGCCGGCGACAATCTATCAGCGATGGCACAGAGACTGATGAACATCACGCGCCGGCAGATCTCGGCCGCCCATACGAAGGAGAGCAGGAATGGAGTGGCAAGCTTCCGAGCTGGCTGTGGTTCTTCCAGTTCCTTCTAACAGTGCCTATGACTCTGATTCTCGTTGGCCAGATCGCACTCATACTAACCTCAGCCACGTACCAGACTCCAGCAGATGGCAACTCGACGCTGTTGATCTATATTCTGTTCGCGGTTCTGACAGCTATCCTTGCTGTTCCCGCGGGCCCTTTCCTTCATCGCTTCACGTACCATATCCCGACTTTCCTATTCCTCACTTGCATAGGCACGGTCATCTACAACCTTGTCGCATTTCCATTCTCTCGCGATCACAAATTGAAGGTTTATTTCCAGCAGCAGATCGATCTCGACACTGGAGCGAATACGGTGTCGCTCACTGGTGTCGATGGTTACGTGCAGGACATCATCAAGGAGATACCCAGTGCGCAGGGCAAGGATCTGGGATGCACGACTCCTGACGTTGCGACTCGAAAGGAGCTGACCAAATGCTCGTGGGCTGGGTTGCCGGCCAATGTTGTGCCCACCTTGTCGCCATACGGCAACAACACCACACCCAAGTCCTGGCTGGACTACGAGGTGCAAAAAAGCAACAACTCCAATGAGGCCACAATTCGTGTCGTGGGGCAAAACTCGCGGGCCTGCAAGTTAATCTTCGACACCCCCGTCGTTGATTTGGCGGTCGCTGGCGTTGGCGCGGTTTCAGATCCCCGCTTCAATGTGACCGGCCAGCATGGGACCCGCGAGCTCCGCCTGTGGCATCGCGAATGGTCACAGCCCTGGAACGTTAGCGTGTCTTGGAGCGACGACGCGAATGTGACGTTTTCTGGACGAGTCGTATGTCTGTGGTCCGATGCGAATGCAGGCGATATTCCGGCGTTCGATGAGGTGCAGCACTATCTGCCTGTATGGGCCATCGCGACAAAGATTGCCGATGGACTGGTCGAAGGGTCCAAACGTTTCAAGCTGTAAAAGGCCATCCTGCTCGCCCAAGGCCTCTGTGGTCAATGCTGCATGTGTCTCCTTTTTCCTTTGCTGCGATATCCTTTCCGGCTGCATATAAGCAGGGCGTCTGGTAATGCGTACTCGACACGTCTCCTTCATGTTCGTTGCGGCACCGTCATCTCATTCTTGTTCTTCCATTCCTTGATCACCATTTTTCCTTGCGCATGTTCATATTCGTCGCGGTTCATCATAGCATATTGTTGCGCCTGTAGGCCTCCAATGACATCGCCTTTTTCACGACCGATTTCGCATCACGCCGCACACGCGCTTCTTGATGAACAACTGCTATTGATCGCTTTCAGATTCAGAACATTGTATTGCATCCACCTACGTGCCAGTTACGCCGCTTCTGCAACCAATTGAACAAAACCATCGCTGGCGAACGAATAAGAAGAAACGTGCACTACGACTTACTTTGCTTTAACGACACCATGAGCACCATGGTAGATAACGTCCGCGATTATGCACAAAGCAACCCACTTCATGTTGTTGCAGGACTTATGATTGCGTTGCCGGGAACCTATCTCTACATTTCTGGAAAATCTCTCTGCGCTACTGGAATCTGCACTAATGCGACCATGTCAACTCAATCCCTTTTGGAAAGCGTTACCAACAGCTTATCAGCCTGTGAGGCGTCTTCTCTGAATCAGAACTTCTTCCTGCCACTATCCAAATGGAGCGACAAGCCTGCGCCAACGTTCGTGGTCCACGTCATCCGCGGCGCCCGCAACAATGCGATCCTAGTTCTAACTACCATAGGAGAAAAACTGGGGCTCGACGTCCAACAAACATGGCGCACTGTTGAAGAACGCTGGGTTCCATATTGTCCACTTTCGCGCGTGGTGTCAGTCGCGATCACCACCGCTTTGCCAGGAGCATTTCTAGCATTCATACGAAGATACCCTAATTCATGGGCCGCGCGCCATCAGACGAAGATTGCAAACGCACTGCATGTTTGCGCTCTTGTGACAGTCGCAAACCAGCGATTCTCCATCCAAGACTTGCTTGTCGCAGCCTTAGTCGTCGTCTCGTTTGAGGCGTTGCAACAAGTGACCCACGAGTCAGAACGGCCGTTCGCCGTTGAAACCCGCTTGCACGCACACGGTGTCGACCACTCAACTATGACCGGATCACCCCGGCCTGCAAATTTCACGCGCAAACACTCGTCTTCGAATCCGGAGGCGCTTTCGCTGTCTAGTGGGAGCAAGGACGCAGAGATTGACAGAATGAACAAGCGGCTCGCAGAGGCCAGGAAGAATGAGAAGGCTAGGGATATCGATCTGAAGCGCACAAAGGCTGAGCTGAACAATGCGCGTACAACGCTGAATGAGACTTTCGCTGAGTACGCGTCGATGCGCGATGAGCTTAAGACGATGAAGCAGAGGCTGGGCCGAGATCACCAGGCTGAGGTCTATCGAAAAGACATCGAACTCTTCGCCCTGCGCAAAGCAAACGAACAGAAAGAGAACTATATCAAAGACCGTGAGGGTAAATTGGACGACGTTCATCGACATCACAAGACCACGTTGGAGCTCAAAGACGCTGAGCTACGAAACCTCAAAGACCGAATCGTGTTTCTGGAGAGGCAAAACAGTCCAAGATTTGATGACGGTAAAATCGATAGCGCGACCGGAAGCGACTCGCAGGCTGCACTACAGGTCAAGTTCCTTCGCGTTAAGGGCAGAAACTCCGCCGAGATCGAAGAACGGACGCTCGATGAGAAAGACGATGAGATTGCCAAGTTGAAGGCCGACCTTGCTGACGCTGTTGCTGTCAGCAAGACTCTGGACAACATCCAGATCGAGCTACGAAGAGCATGGGATGCGACATCCGAGGTACAACAATCCCTTAACGATGAGCGGAAACAGCACGCCCAAACTCAGGAGAAGCTCCGTGAGGCCGGTTTAAAACTCGAAGAAGAGCTCAACAAACAGGCGCAGCGACCCTCACCGAGTCACAGATTGTCCACCATCGAGGAGCAGAATGCGCAAGAGCTGGAAGCCATGTTCAACGCTGCGCAACAAGACAACTCCCGACTCTACGGGGAGGTAGAGGCCCTCGAAAAGCGTGTCCGCGAAGCCAACGCCCGCGTCTTCATGTCCGAGCAAGGCGCCGAAGCACTGCGCGAGCAGCTCCGGCTTGAGAAAGCCATTAACGACGACATGGAGACTGCGCGTCCGAGCTTGGTGCACCGCGTGCACTTCCAGCGCATGGAGGGCCAACTGAAGGAGAGTCGCGAGCAGCTCGAGGACAAAGACGAGGAGATTATAAAGCTGCAGAGGCTTGCTTTAGAGCAAGATGCCAAATTCGACGAGCTCATCAAGGCCAACGAAACCTCTGCCTCCGCGCAGGCTGCACTCCAGCAGGAAAACCACCGCCTCAAGCAGTCTATCAAAGAGCTCGAATCTACCAAGGAACAACTCATGCTCGACCACGAGCGCCTCGCCCGCCACCGCGCCCGCAATCGCACCACCTCCACCGAAAACACTTCCGCCCGCTCCAGCGGCGCAACCCTCATCACCGAACCCTCCACCATTCCCCCAATCCCGCCCATTCCCACCGACGACGAAGACCTTCCGCTCCCCGCGCGCCCCGTATCCATCGCCCGCTCAAGCAGCATACAGGGAACGCCCGAGCGCCTCCTCCGCCATGAACCTAACCCCAACCGCCTCAGTATGATATCCACGGACGTCCCGCCCGCGGAGCTGCGCCACTCGCGCCGCAAGTCGCTCACGCTGAAGGGCTTGATGCGCAAGATTGCGCGGAGGGACGACGACGAGCCGAAGACTTCCGATGTTCCCAGCCCTGTGGTAACGAGCCCGCGCCCGAAGACGGCGCTCATGCCCAAGGATAGAAATGTGATGATTCGGCCGAAGACGGCGGCGCCGGAGGTTGCGGGGGAGAAGAAGGAGATGGATTTGCGAAATGAGAAAGAGGGAGAGAGACCGAAGACGGCGGCGCCGACCAAGGAGGCGATTGGGCATCGGAGGTTTCTATCTGAGGGAAGACCGAAGACGGCAGTTACGGGGATTAGGAAGGGGGAAGGGAGGGCGGAGGGGGACGCTGTGGAGTGGCCTAAGAGTCGGGGTTGGGGTGCTTCGTAAGTTTGAGGACGAGTTTGAGTGCGTGCTGTGCTAACTTTCTGCAGGAGGAAGCTCGTGAGGAGGTCGATGGCGTGATGATAACGACGATGAATTTACTACAGGTGTGATGATTTGAATGTTGTGGGCTTTTTTGTGTGTTTGTGTTGTAGGTTTGGCGCGCTTAGGATTTAGCAAGATATCATGGTTTCGGTTGGAGGCGGCGTTGTGATTTGAAATCCCAGACTATGTCGGTCCATATTGTTAGACGCAAGCTCTAGATTAATAGATCCCCATGCTACCATCATTTCAAAGATCTCATGGCTCAGGGGTGGTATGTTTGTGGGCGATTCATCGCATGTTTGTAGCACGAACACCGAGAATAAAGTTGAATGGCGGAGGGTGGAAGTTATGTCACGATGAGGTATGCGGTAATAGTTTGGCAGAAACAACATCGGCAGTCTTGCTCACGAGAGTTGCCCTAGGTTAGATAATGTGGGTACCTTTCAGAGCTCGCCCTTGCCGGGCTGCATACTCAAAAACGACCGCTTTGGGCTTTCTAAGGACAGGAGAAGGTGGGACGGTGGAAGAAAAGGGAGAAACAGGACTCTGGGGAACGCGAACTGATAAGAAATCCTAGCTCTGAGAACTACCATCCAAGCCTTTCCTTGACGCGGAAGCTCCTGCATCCGGATTCCACCGTGTAATCAGGTTTTCCAATCCAAAAAGACCCAGTCCCCAAGTTTACCCCAGTCCAACCCATAGTAACAGAACTTCCAGCCTATCCATAGTCCAGCCCAATGTTATCTCAAACCCTGCGATCTATACTCGACTCGAGTGTTCCAACGCATGGACTACATGAGACCAGCTCCCACAATTCCATCTTCCGCGCCCAGTATCCAGAAACTTGCCTAGATCCAAATCATAGCACGTTCAGTCTGTTCCTCCCACCACATCCCATGCAAACATTCCCACTAAACCGTAACTCCACCATCTTTCCCCTCCTATTCTAATCCTTCAGCTCTACTCAAACGGCCCCCAAACCTCCACATGATCGACCAAAAACGTATCTGGGTTCAGCACCTCCATGCCCACGAAGACCGCACAAATCCCCCACGTGTGCCACCCAGCCTCCTTCACCGTCTCTTCCCTGGCCTCGAGATTGTACACAACCTCGCCGTTTGCAGCTGGCGAAACGCACTCCCGCTGGTACGGACTACATACGTCGCCGTCTCTGACTTTGAGCCCTTCGAAATGCACTTCCCAGCTGATCATGTCGACGGAAGACACGGGATGGTCGAGCCGCGCGATGCGTCCGATCAATGCAGTCAGACTGTACCGTCCGGGGGCGGGGTGATATGCCTCCTGAGACACGCAGATGGAGCGTGTGGATTGGCATGTGCCAGAGGGAAAGGAGGGCGCGGTGGCTTGGAAGGCGTGGGCGCCGCTGGCGGCGTAGGTGGTTTTGTTGGTGAGAGTGTAATCGATGGGGCTACTAGAGGCGTAGGACGGGTTTGGCCTGACTTTCCAGGCGGCGTAGGGGCCGGTGGTTTCAAAGTCAGGGTTCACGAGGATTTGGCGGGTTGTGGAGATAGAGGAGGGAGCGGATTCGATAGTTGTGGAGGTGGAGGTAAAGTCCGTTTCGGCGGCGTTGAAGTTTGCCTTTAAGGGGGAGGTGGTGGGTCTGGTGGATGAGGTGCTGCCCGTGGAAGAAGTAACGGTGGTAGTTGAGACCGGGATCACCGTGCTGGTTGTTGTGGTTGTGCTTGTGAAAGTGTAAGAGATGGAGGAGATTGATGATAAAGTTGCGCCCGTTGTCACGGCCGACTTAGAGCTCGTGCTGGAAGTGGAAGATGCGCTAGACGTCGTCGGTGAAGCACTAGACCGCGTGGATGGCGTGCTAGTTGGCTTCGCTGTGCCAATTTTAGAAGAGTAAGAGTTAGCCTGCGTCAAGTTAGAGGCGGAAGACGGAGTGCTGGACGCCCTCGATGTGCTACTAGTAAAAGACGACGAAGACCTGATAGACGTTGATGTTGTAGCTGTGGACGAGGAAGGTGTGGTTGACAACGAGGGAGTGCCAGTCCTCGAGGTTGTAGAAACGGGCGACGTGGTAGCGTGCGCAGTCGTGCTGGAGCTCGCTGAAGTGCTCGATATGCTGACGGTAGATGAAGACGAGGGGGTCGAAGTGCTCTTCGTCGACGAAGTAGTGCTGCTTGAGGAAACCAGACTGCTGCTGGATGACGATGCTGAAGACCTGGTCGAGGTGGAAGTCGTCGTTGCCCTAACAGGCATCACCATACTCGTGCTCGTGCTCGTGCTCGTGCTCGTGTTGGTGTTTGTCGAGGCTGTGGCAGAAGAGGAGCTAGACGAGGCTACTGCCGAGGATGTCGGTGACGAAACAGCACTGCTAGATGAAAGTGAAGTGGTGCTAGTCACAGATACTTTAACCTTGGTCGTAGAAGTAGCGGACGAGGAGGTGATGGAAGAGGAAGTCGTCAGCTTGACGCTATTGATAGAAGACCTGCTCGTCGTAGAAACCACCGGCATGATGGATGTTCTCATGGACACAGCGCTGCTGTAAGAAGACGATATAGTAGGAGCCACGCTGCTAGACGAAGATGGTGTAGTGTAAACCTCCCGCTTGGTAGTCGAGGTTGTCGTAGGAGCTACATTGCTGAATGAAGTCGCCGTAACAGTAACCGTTGCCGCCGTCGAGCTCACAGGCTTCGTGCTCGACGCCGGCGGATCAACAATATATATGTTAAGTCGATTCGATCCACCGCAGATCTCTGTGCCATTGCCCTTGCATGACATGTCGCACCCCGTGAGATGCGGCGCGGTCCCGGCGGCAGGAGCGGGCAAGACAGTGTCGCGGCCGCAGAAGCATTCTGGCAACCTTGTTAACTATGCGCACATTTATTTATACGAGATGGATGGCTAAGGACTGATTCAAATGTAGTAGCAGAGCGCGCTTGCCATAAGACTAGATGCAATGAGTGCCGGTGAGAGAAAAGAGGCTCTGACGCGGAAAGCAACTGGAAGTAAGTTGGCAAAACAGGAAGAAGCCACTCACCCTGGCTATACTCCACACCCGCATAAGCAGTCGATCTCTCATTTGACGAGAACCCAGCACTCCTGCACGCATCAATACACGTGCCGACCGTCAGTGTTAGTCCCGCCAGCGGCTCAGCGGGGAGGAGGCGGCTCTCCACAGCATCGGGGTAGCAGCCGATATATTTGAAAGTGATATCGTCGCCCCGGCTTGTTATCGGAAGATCAGTGGGGCCCCTATGTAGAAGTGTGATATTAGCATGACAGAAAAAGGAGGCGATGGGATGAGAAAGGGATACTTACTGGTACACATTGATCCGAACCGGTCCACCACACGTCTCGCCCACATTGCCAGTACACGACATCCCACATTCGCTATCGTTCACCATCTTTACAGCGTTGATCTCCCAGTCGCAGAAGCACTCGCGGCCCCATTCTGTCTTGCATTAGCCCCTGTCCTCTCCTTTCACCCTCGACCCTCCCCCTTATGTGAATGACACATACCTGTGCCAGCAACATCGTATCCCAAACTCGAACAGTAACTGATACACTGCGCTGCGCTCTGATCATCCACCGACTGGAACACTCGCTTGAGCGCGCGGTCAGCAACGTTATCGACATAGCAGCCAGAGTAGGTCCAGCCGTTGGGTAGGTTTGTTGCATGGCTGACGGCACGGAGAGAGAGAGAAATAGACGCTGCAGATGCGGTCGCGAGAAAAAAAGCGAGGAACTGCATCCTTGGTGCCCTTTCTGAAGAGGGCGCAAAAGAGGAGGGGAACGCCCAAGGCCAGTGTCAGTGGCAGATAGCGAGAGGGCGAAAACGAGAAATGGGGAAGATAACAAGGCAAGTAGATTTTGACCTGTGGGCAGGGCATTATTAGATTTGACGGTATGGCTAGTTGGTAAGTTGGTAGCGGTGGGTGGATTCAAGTGGATCAACGCGTGTATCACGAGGATTCGTTGAACAGACGGATGTGGCAGCCCCCAATAGTGAGCCAAACATGATTGAATGGCCGTTGCAAGCACCTCCAAGTTCATGCTGTTCAGAGTCCGCAGCTCCATCAAGTCCATGTAAGCATGGCTCACAGCTTTAACCCTGCATCGAAGACCTGTAATAATCGCTCAGTCAGCATGTATCCGATGTCCGTTCTATACTCTGGCGAAACTCACAAAGATCCTCTGAAAGTACCTCTCCAACGCCGCCTTTCCGCCTGAGCCAAGTTCGGCGACGGTTCCCACCCATCCGTCCGGCCTCAACACCAACACGGCCCCCTTGTCGGCGCGGACGCCATACCGCTCGTGCGCGCTATGGTCGCCGTCGTAGAATACGCGACCACATGGCATGCCACTCAAAGTCTCGTACGCGGAGGGTCCGCCGGGCCCATCGAATATCGAGATCCACGACACAGGCATTTTCGAATCGACAAGCCAGTGCGATTGCGGGATAGATTCCGTGAAAGCGGATAGATACTCTTTCGTAAGCGCAACGTTGCCCGCGAACAGGACAATGTAGAACCGCGCGATGTTGGGCGTTACCGTCTGCAAGCGCGTAGCTTCGAACGTTGCCGGCTTCTGAAGCGTCACGTCCGGCGCGCGTTGCCCCGGTTGGATTACTGAGTGACTTACGGATTGTACGACGTTTAGGTATGTGTCCGACTCGTAGTAGATGCCCAATCCACTGCTGAACGTTGCTGCTTCGGCCATGACTTGGCCCAACACTTCATTAACGTCGGCGTTTGGATCGCCCTGCCAGCTCTCAGGCAGCTGCATCGTCATCAGCCGTGAGATATCTTTGTCGTAGTTGATGAGCCTCTGGACATTTGGCAGCCGTTCTGCTTCGTACGTGTGTAGGAGGTCGGGGTTCGCCAGCCCCTGAAGGACGAGTGAGAGCTTCCACCCCAGGTTGACGGCGTCGTGCATGCCCGTGTTCATCCCTTGAGCAGCGCCTGAGGAATGGGTATGGCATGCGTCGCCGGCGAGGAAGACGCAGTCTTTGCTGAAGAAGTTGCGGGCTATGCGTTGACCAACAACGTACACTGTCCACCAATCCACCTGCTTGAACTTGAGTGAGAAAGGCTTGACAGATGCGATGGCTTCCTTGACCGCTGCCTCCTCGTCAAACACCTCGTAGGCCTTCCGTCTTTCTGGCGTGAATGCGTACCCAATCCGAGTAGCGCCGTGGTCCAGCGCGGCCCACAACACATTGCCGTGAGTAGGAGATTCGATGGCGCAGTACGTTCGTGGTTTTGGGAGATCCGTCTCAATGACGCCGTCCACCCGTACCCATTGGTCCTCGCTCGACGACCCATCAAACGGAATATCCATCAGTCTTCTGACAGAAGACCGTCCTCCGTCGGCCCCAATGAGATACCTACACTTCACCACCCTTTTCACGCCCGTCTCAGGATGGAGGATACCCGCGATCACCCTATGACCGCCCTGATCCACGTCCTCCAGCACTTCCACACTCTTCAACTCCCATGGCGCCTCCAGCTCCACGCCCTCACTCTTCAGCGCCTGCCGAAAAATCTCCTCCTGATACTTCTGCCTCAACACAAGCGCAAAGTCCCACTTTGTATCCTTCATGTTCTCCATGAAGCTCCACCCCCTTCCAGGGAACTCCTTACCATGTCTATCATAGTTCACCGTCTCCCGACACGCAAAGCACTGCTGCGCCAGCGCCTCGGCCAGCCCCAGCTGATCCAGCATCTCCGACGAGCGCGGGAACAGCGTGATAGCGCGACCATACTGGTCTTGGCTGGACTTTGGATACTTTTCTATGATCTTAACTGTGAACGACGCCTGGGGGAGATTGCGCGCGAGCTGCAGCGCGGTGATAAGACCTGTCGTTCGTGTTAGCGCGGCTGTGATTGGATACCTGCAGCGCAATGCGTACCCACGGGTCCACCACCCACCACAAGCACGTCGGCGTATTCGATTGAAGGCTCGGTCATATTGGGTGTCTAGGGGGTGGCCCTTGCAGTTGAGCCCCAGTCGGGCCTGCAGCTGCTCCTCTCCGCATTTTATCGAGGGCGTGAGTGTCCAATCGAGGGTTTCCGTCGGAATGGGGTCAGCCCTTGTCGCGCGATAAGCATGACGAGGCCAAAAGAAGCAGGCGCAGCGGGGCGGGAAGCGAGAACCTGTATGCAGCGTGACGCGTGAAGGAGGAGAGATGGGTTACGCGACGCAAAGATGGGGGCGAGATAAGGGCGGAGATAGATCCGTATATCCGCAGCGTTCTAGATGACATCAATTGATGCGTAGGGAAGCTGACAGTATCTCTTAACAGCAGTGTGTGCCAATAAGGGCAAGATGTAAATGCAACACAGCACTCGATGAGAGACAAGTCCAGGTCTACGATGTCAGATCGTGGGGCAGATCAACACGCAATACATTGCCGAATTGCTCTCTCCATACTACAGCCTGCGATAACACATTGGGTGCCTGTTTGTAATAGTTCATGTAAAGCATAGCGACAACCATGTCCTCCTCCGGAAATTGACCTCCCTCAGACCCTGTGTAGTCTGGATGTTCAGGTTACCGTCTTAGACTTCTATGCACAACAAGATCTACGGTTCTTCAACCTACCTTGTTGGTCACGATGACGAGACACATATAGCAACTAGAATCAAACCAGCATACACTACAACACAGCTACATTTCCAGAAGGAAATGTCGGCCAAGATATGCCAGGATATACGATGATCTTTAAGTACCAGAAGAGCATCATGGCCTAAGTTATCAGAGGCTCCAGATGATCTTTGTTCAAGTAGTTTCAGCTGCTCATATACTCCCCCGCTCTCACCTTCCCATCATACCCCAGCACCGCCTCCAGCAGCACCTCCGCCCCAACCGCACAATGCTCTGGACTTGTGTACTCATTCGGATTATGGCTCAGCCCGTCTTTACTAGGCACAAAGATCATACTCGACGGACACACACGAGATGTCCACGCAGTGTCGTGGCCAGCTCGACTCTTCATCTCCATCACCTGCGCCTCACCGACAACCTTCAGCGCCGCATTCCTGCACGCCTCGATGCACCGTGGGTGGAAGATGGACTGCGGCATACCCCACGAGCGGGTGATGGCGTACGACGTGCCGTTGTTCTCATCAGCGATGACTTTATCGAAGGACTTGAAGATGGTGGACGCAAGCTGATCCACCATTTCGTCAGTGGTACAACGCACGTCGATGATGAAGTCCACGCCCGCAGGTATCGTCGCCTGGCTGGAGGTATCGCTTTTGATGACACCCACAGTCGCGACCCCGAGCGCTGTGCTCAGCGCCGCATCCCGCACCACAGTGATCAGTCTCGACGCGGTGACAAGGGCGTCCGCGCGGTTGGGCATCGGTGTCGCACCGGCGTGCCCTTCTACGCCCTCGACCCTGACGGCGAACCATTTCATACCCTGCACGCTGGTCACTATCCCCACAGTCTTTCCTCCTATTTCTAGCAGCGGGCCTTGCTCAATGTGCAGCTCGAAGTGGCACTCTAGCCCGTTCTCGCGATAGTCGGCTGGAGTGGTGCCTAGGTAGCCGATATCTTCGAGGGCGTGTTTCATACTTATGCCGTCTTTGTCTTGCAAGTCCCAGCAGGCTTCGAGAGGGGTGGAGGAATGCGTCGACCACACGCCAGACGCCATCATAGCGCCTGGGAAGCGCGCGCCTTCTTCATTTGTCCAATTTACCAGCGCGATAGGCAGATAGGTTCTGATGTTATTCTCATGCAGTGTGCGCAGGATCTCGAGCGCAGACTGGACGCCTAGAATGCCATCATATCTGCCCCCTACGAAGACTATCAGTACATTGTTCAGATTCTCGAATTACGTTCCTTTGTACCTGCTGGCTGCGTATCCATATGGCTCCCCATCGCAATCGGCTTCGCACCCTCGACCTCCCCCTTCCTCACTGCAAAAATATTCCCAATCTGATCGACCTTCACCTCACAACCCAAGCTCTTACACTCCGCAACAAGCCAGTCCCGCACTCCCTTGTCCTCTTGGCTGAGCGTCAAGCGACACATGCCCGTCGACGGCGCAGCCAGCGCGCCCCATGACGAACACGTGCTCTGCAGCGTGTCATTCAGCCTCTGCGCATTGATCTTGAGTCCATGTGCGGTCGCCATATTACCGTCGTGAAGACAGACTACTCGCACCGCTGCGGTGCTGCCGACGCCATTTGATGTGCCCGTCGTAGATGGGGACGTCGCGATGGCATCCTACATGCTAGCGAATCACAACCGCGAACCTTCTCCGTCGGGCAACTTTGCAGCCAATGATGCAGAGTCGACTACATGTTACGCATTAGTCGCACGTCTGCGTGCAAGCGGGCGATAAGCCCGACGATGCCGACGGAGGAAGACGAGTATTCGGCGCGGGGCGCAAATGAGGGGCTGCGATAGAGGTCGCGCTTCGGGCTAGCGCGGGCTCTCAGTACATTCATTGGGTGTCTGCGCCGCGAGGGGCGCGCCGTCGGCGGAGAGGACTTGTATGTATACCTGGGCTGTGTCTCGTAGAGCTCGTAGAGGTAAGGTCGGACATGTCTGCTGAGTTTGATCTGATTATTGTGAATGGCGTTGTGGTGACGGATACGGAGGTTGGTGAGTACGACATTGCGGTGAAGGATGAGAAGATTGCAAAGGTGGTTAAGAGGGGGGAGTTGGGGGATGTCAGGGCGGCGAGGATGATCGATGCGGAGGGGGGATATGTGATGGTGAGTTAGTAGTATCACAGCATGCGATCATTCACTGAAGTTGAACAGCCTGGAGGTGTAGATGGCCACGTCCACCTGGAAGAGCCGCCACTATTCGGCAAAGGATCGTCTGCAGACAATTTTGAGACCGGTACGACTCCCCAGATCTACTCTTTGGACATTGACTTAGTCAATCATTTCAGGCAGTAGATCAGCCGTATGCGGCGGCACAACCACCATGGTTCCCTTTGCACCCCAGAAAAAAACCGAAGACACCCTCCTCGACACCCTCTCGTTAACGCATGCAAAAGCCAAAGACAACTGCTACATCGACTACTCATTTCACCTCCTCGTGGGCAACCCCTCTCCGCGCGCGCTCTCGGAATTCAAGACGCTCCGGGAAGAAGGCATCACCAGCCTCAAAATCTACATGACTTATGAAGCCCTCAAGCTCAACGATAGCCAAATCCTCGACGTCCTCCTCGAAGCCCGCAAAAACCAGATCACGACCATGATCCACGCCGAGAACGGGGATTTGATCGACTGGATGACCGCGCAGCTTGAGAAGCGCAAGATGTTCGCGCCGAGATTCCACGGGCCCTCGCATCCCCCCATGGCAGAGATCGAAGCCACTCACCGCGCAATCTGCCTCTCTGAATTCATGGATTCCCCAATCCTCATCGTACACGTCTCCACCCCGCAAGCCACCGCCTCCATCGCCGCCGCCCAGAAACGCGGCATACCAATCTACGCCGAGACCTGCCCGCAGTACCTCTTCCTGACGTCTCTCGACCTCGCGAAACCCGGCTTTGAAGGCGCAAAATGCGTCTGTTCACCCCCACCCCGCGAGTCCGAGGCCGACTGCGACGCCATCTGGGCCGGCCTCGCCGACGGCACCTTCACCATCCTGTCGTCGGACCACTGCCCGTTCCGCTACGACGACGCCGTAACCGGCAAGAAAACCTGCATTACAGACGACTACCCCGAGGGCCACTTCAAATACATACCCAACGGCATCGCGGGGATCGAGACGCGGCTTTCGCTCGCCCTGGGCGAAGAGCGGCTCAAGCTGACCAAGTTCGTGGAACTGACGGCCACGAACCCCGCAAAGTTGTACGGGCTGTATCCGCTCAAAGGCGGACTCGTCCCTGGCGCGTCAGATGCTGACATCAACATCTGGTATCCACCGGGCAAGATGCCGAAGTTTGAGCTGAAGAACGAGATGCTGCACCACAATGTCGACTACACTGCGTTCGAGGGGCGGACGCTGAAGCAATGGCCGCGGTATACGGTGTTGCGGGGGCGGGTGGTGTGGGATCGGGAGGGGGGCGGGCTGGTGGGGGAGAAGGGGTATGGAAGGTTTGTGAGGAGGGAGGCGAGTTCGTTGGCGCGGCCGAGGTTTGAGGGGGAGTGGGATATCAAGGAGGACGGGTCGTTTGGGTTCTTCTAAGGGAGCATGTCTAGAATGGAGGGTAAGGTAGTAGATATGGGCATGATTGTGTGAACAGAACGCATAATGAGAAGACGAAGATGAAGGCGTATTAAGTGGCTGATGGATACCAATAATGCGATAAATAGCTAGTGTCTGTCGACAGCATGCACTGTGCTTGACAAGAAAATAATATAACTTGTCGAGCTTATGACCATCCAAGGTAGACTTTGAATTTACAGTTTTACAACCATATGAGAAGGTGAGTTACTACAGGATAGGCTATGGTCCGAGTCTCCAGTTCTTGTGTTAGCCTCCGTGATGTGGACGCAAACACTCGCCTTTCGCAATAACGGTGAGGAACATGCTGGGTACGGATTCAGTATACGTACCTAGAGAGATAACCTCTATAGGTATGTCCGTCTGCTGAAACGGGCGTGTCTATAATACACCTACTGTAATATGCAACACTGTGCAACTCCCGTCCCCAGATCCAGGCGTATCGTATAGAAAGTGTAAGCATCCATGGTATGCAGATACGCCAAACACCAAAGTATGCATGCGCTACAGGGGATATCCAAGCATGCCACCAACTCCGCTCAACTTTTATAGCATGCCCTGAAGTCCGTTCGAAGCATAAGCCATAGGCTTGACGTTCGGATGCGGCACGGCGTCGAACTGTGTGAAGTTGAGCTTGTACTCGGGTCCAATCTTAATGAAGGCTCCCTTGTTGCCGGTGCTGTCGCAGTAGTGCGGTGCCGAGAAGACAGTGATGCACTTTCCGTCGTGCTCCACCTCGTAGCCGTCCATGCGCACCTCGTGGGAGCGAATGATGGCCTCAAGGCCGTTGTTCTCGCAGAAGCGCTTGGTAACATCGGGCCCGAATTGAAGGCCGACACCGCGCTTGGAGGGGCCACGGCCAGGCGTGGTCTGCGGATCTGTCCAGAGCATCTCCATCATCAGTCCTGACTGCCCGGGCTGGCGCTGCTTGAAGCGGTCCAGTTTCCTCACGTCGTCGAGAGTAACTTTGTCATCCGAGAACAGACCACCGTGGAGTACGAAGTACTTCTTGCCAATGAGCGTTGCGAGGGGAAGGGCGGAGAAGGACTCGGAGAAGAGCTTGAAAACGCGGTCCTTGGTGTATTTCGCACGGCATTCGCCTTCGAAGCCGTACATGCGGTTCATATCGTCGGTCTCGTGGTTGCCGCGGTTCAGGAAGAACTTGCTGGGGTACAGCCACTTGTAGGCGTAGAGCAGGAGGCAAATCTCGGTAGACCAAGAACCTCGATCTACGAAGTCCCCGTTGAAGAGGAACATGTGCTTTTCCGAGGGCTTGCCGGCGAGCTTGAAGATATTCAAGAGATCAAAGTATTGTCCTGTCAGAGTCAGCGCTGAGCTCGTGTCGCAAAGACATAGTTGGACCTACCGTGAGTGTCACCGCAAACGGTGATCTCCTGGCCCTCTTCGACATCAACCTCGACCATGGTCGGCTCATTCCGGACAATCTCCATAACCGCTATTATGATCTGGTAGACGTATTTCAGAGCCAGCTTCTTGCCGTTCTTGAAGCGCTCAATCATGTCCTCGACGAACTCAAGCGTGATCTTGTCGCCCAGTTTTGCGCCGTCGTACGACGAGTCGACCGCCATGTGCTCAAGATCCAGACCCTCGGCTGCCGACGGCGCGTCTTCGACCTCGATTGCCTTGAGGAAGGCATCGCGCTTTACAATCCTCTCGCAGTCGGCTAACCGGACCTTTGCCGTAGCATCGCTGGGGGCCTTCTTGACTACCAGCTTCCAATCGCGCAGAGCCTCGCGGTGGTGCAGGATTGCGGTGTTGGCAGAAGCGCGGCGGTAGAATGCCTGGGTTTCGTAAGCCGGATGCACATGCAACAGGCAGCCCGTGTACAGACAGCGCTGGGTTTGGGTTTTAGCAACGTACCTTGACGTTGTTCGGGTCGAGCTCAATTGCCTTGTCGGCGTCGTGGACCGCCAGACCGTACGACTCTAGCTTGATATTTGCCTGTGCGGATGTCAGGACCGTGGTCGCGTGCGGGGCACTCTGTACCGACCTGTGCACGATTTGTGTAGAACGAGGGCTCCTGGTCGTAGGCCTCGATGGCCTTGGTGTACCACTCCACGGCAGCGGGCCAGTCCTGCTTCTTGAAGGCTTCATTGCCCTTGTTTTTCAGCTCGGTCGCCTCAGCGAGCGAGCTTCCCATGGCGGCGACGGGGACTGGCGGGGTGGATTCGACCTGTCGGCGCGCCGGGGGCAGAGCGGGAAGGCGCAGAGGGCGACGCACAGGGAAAGAGCGGCCGGAGCGCTGCGAGCAAACAGTAAACACGGAGAGTTCTCGCGGAGGCGGTTGACAGGTACACGGCAAGACGCGCAGCTCATAAAAACTCTCGACACCGGTCCCCACGTTCCATCATAACGCCTCGCCTCATCCCGCCACCCGCAGCGTCAGGCCAGCTAGCCAGTCAGCGGTCTCCGCCGTCCCGAACAGGCAAAGCTCACCGCGACCACCATGGTGAACCGGGGCCGCGCCGTCGTCAAGAAGCCCTTGGGCAAGTACAGGGACGCCTGGGTCGACGACGACGACAACGAAGTGTCCCCGCCCAGCTCTCCCGAGTGGAACAAGGACAACGGCGAGTTGTCTCGTCCGCAACGAGACAAGACGAGCTTCTTACCTGGACAAGGTCGCCAGCCGCGGAAGCTCTCTAGCGAGGCGCCGTCGAGAACCCGCCAAGACTCTCAGAGCCCTGAACAAAGCGCAGCCCGCCGCGAAGCTCTTGCGCATCTGTTTGACGACGACAACACAAACGCCGAGCACCAAGACCAGCCCGTGACTGCTGTCCAGCCCGCCACTGCGCTTCCGCTTTCCGACCTTCTCAGTAGCGTGCCGCGAGAACACCAGCAAGCTCCCGTCCGCGACAGCCAGCTCCCCGTCTCACCCAAGCCGGTCCGTAGGAAGAAAGCGCGCGCCCGAAAGCCTGCCCCAGTATCCAACGCGCCCGACGTACAGTCGATCGAGCAGCAGGAGGACATCGACATCATCGACGACATGGCCAACGCAAATAATTTCGTCCCCACCAACCAGCTCCGCAATCTGCGCGCCTGCATGGTGTGCTCCATCGTCAAGACTGAGAACCAGTTCAAGAGTCAGGGCTGCCCCAACTGCGAGTCTTTCCTCCAGCTCCGCGGCGAGGACGAGCAAGTGCGCGCCTGCACGAGCCAGGTCTTCGAAGGCCTCATCACCGTCAGCAACACGACCAAGAGCTGGGTCGCCCGGTGGCAGCGGCTCGAGGGCTACGTGCCGGGCGTCTACGCCGTGCAGGTCGAGGGCCTGCTGCCCGAAGACGTGATTTCGGCCGCCGAGGACGCTGGTGTTCACTACATCCCGAGAGATGGATCGGTGAACGAGGCGCTTCCCACCGATGCTTGATTGGGATACATGAACGGAGGTTTGGACGTGGGAATGGAAAAGAAAATGGAGTTTGGGAACGGATACAATGGCGGGTAGCGGGTTCGCCGGATACAGTCGCCGACGAGCAGGTTCGCTAGATGCTTTGGCTCATCAGAGCTGTGCGCTGTCTAGCAGATTTTGCTTATACACTTGCACAAAACAATCGGGTTGGAGCATGCAGCATTTTCAGCAACGGAGTCTCGGCAATACCACAAGACGGTGTTGGTTTTAGGAATGTTTGTTTGGATTTGGAAGGTACTCGACATGGGAGTCTGATAGTATCACACGTACCAGATTGTCAACCCATTGGAATGAAGCATCTTCCATTACGCCACAGGTGACAAAGCCATGCGTCCTATTGATGTGAACCTACGTGGAGAGAGCCACAGATCGGACACTGTCAAGACGCGCGGCTGGCGGCACGTACGCCAAACGTAATTCGGGTATATACATGGCTCATGCTGTCGACGAACGTCACGTCCGTCTCCAGCTTATTACAACGCAGAGAATTGAAAAACGCCTAAAAATGCCGCGCCCAGCGGAACATGCAACCTGCAACGCCAGTCCTCTCACACGTCTGTCCTCTCCATGTTCCTATTCACACGCCCTACACAGCGCCCCAAGCAGCCGCCAGCGCCGCTGCGAGCACCACCGTGCTCAGCCGCGCCAAGTGCTGGCCGCCGGCGCCCCTGTCCACGGTCAAATCCACCACCGCGCCCGGGTAGTTGCACCGCAACTCGCGCCCGTAGGGGTCCCGGCGGCCGTAACTCAGCGCGCGCATGGGCGGCTCCGGGCACGCGAAGCCAAGCTGCGCGGGACAGCTGCGCACAATGTCGAAGCACAGGTCCTCGCAGGGAAGCAGCTCCTTGTACGGCCCGGGCGCGATGGTGGTGTCGATGGCCGGGATGCGGGACTGGTTGTAAGCGGTGCGCGTGCGCAGCGAGGCGTTGTACCCCGTGGTCGCGTTCTCCGCCGCCGTGGAGTCGCTGTCGGGCCCGTCGAAACTGTTGCTCGGGAAGAAGCTCAGGCCGTCGACGGCGGGCAGACTGCCGTTTGCAAAGGGCGTGTTGATGTTGCGCGGGTGCAGGTAGGTTGCGTTGGCGGTCCAGTCCTCGCACCGCGGGATCAGCACGCTGCACAGCCAAGATTTGTAGTCGGCCTCGCAGTCGGTGCAGTTGCGGGCCAGACTGTACTGCGCGGTGCCCGCGGTGTCGCAGGCGACCTGCGCGAGGGAGTTACGGAAAGCGGACATGTATTTGGTGGCGAGGTCGTCGTAGAAGGAAATAAGGCCCGTGTCGTTATTTTTCCAGAGGGGGGAGGAGGGCACGGCGTAGGCGACTGTGGTGCATTCTTGCAGGCCGAAGATGACTTGGCAGGTGTCGTCTGTGTGGGGTTAGGCTGGTTGATTGGAGGGAAGGGATGAAGGGGAGGGGAGGGTGACTTACCGGCTTTTGTCCGCCATTGGAAGGACTGGAAGACGCGACCGCCGCCGTTGGTGGTGGTGCCGTCGATGGTCATGTTGGAGGTGCCGTTGAGGACGAGGAAGCCTGTGTACTTCATCGAGGTCTTGAGACCCTGCACGTTGAACATGCCCTTGGGGAGGCCCTGGCCGAACTGCGTGGTGATGGACGTCGTCACTGACAGGTTGTTGGAGGAATCAAACTGTGTTTTCAGGCCGCAGTACGAGCGCTCCAATCCCATCATGGGGCTCCACGCGTCATCTGGGAAGGCGTAGATGTCGAAGGGCATGTTGTCGCCTTTGTGCTCGTCGATCCACTTGTCCACCTTTGCGGTGTCATTGAAATCGGTCATGTTGTGCGTGATGAAGAGCGTGGAGTCGCTGTCCGTGTCGACCATGTAGATGAAGTTGGTGCTGTTATCGTAATTGTGGTAGTAGCCCTGGTCCGTGGACACTGCAATCTCGAAGCTCCAGCTTCCGGTCCATCCTTGGGTGAGTGCAGGAGCCGTGACCGCAATGTACACATCTTCGTTGGTGGCGAGCGTGTAATTAGCATGTCCGCCATCGAAGGTGGAGTTCCCTACTGGCCTGCCGCTGGAGCTGGGCACTGCTGGGGCACTGCTCGTAGACGTCCAGACCCAGAGTGTAAGTTGGGGCACGGGATCTGTGACGAGCTTCACAGTCGGAGTGGGCTGTCGACAGGTGTTTGCGGATATCCAGAGCCGGCTCTGAGCTTGCCTCTTCACCAGATCGCTCTCCCCATCACCGTCCGAATCTGAACTCCCATTGAGAGCATCTTCTAGCCCCCGCGCAATCGAAACCTCCTCCAGCACTGACCTCTGGCCCAGCTGGTTTTTCTTAAATATGAAAGTCTTCGTATTATTTGGCGCAATCTCCATCGGCTTCATCTGGTTGTTTTCCAGCTCTGACGGCTTTAGAGCATCTTCCTGCCTCCCCACCAAGCTCCTATCAAAGTACGCAAAAAGCGGCGCATAGAGCGCATCGACATTTTCCTCCTCTTCTAGTCCGTCTCTTATCTCTATAGGGGGCTCGTCTGGTGACGCGGGCGGTATCGACGCTGCGAACTGGCTCGGCTGCACGACTTCAGGAGGGACGGGTATCTCGGCAGCGTATGCGAAGTAGTTTGGCTGGAAGCATATCCAGAGCACCACAACAAGACATGTTGTGATCGCAAAGGCTAGCAGCCTCGATTGCAGAGGCGAGAGCTTCGGCAGCTGCATGAGTGCGTCCGTGGCGGTGCGAGACGGTGGTGGGTGCGACGCCGGGACGCTTCCGCGCCGCTGCGCTGGGGTGACGATCGTATCAACGGGAAGGTGCGTGGCATGTATCGTCCAGACGGGTGCGAGCGGCCCGCAATCTCACACGAGCAAGGCAAACAGGCGTTGTGGAGTGGTTCCTGGCATCGCAGCAGTGCTGATGCGTGTCGTTGGAGATGCGCATGTCTCGCCAAGACTCGGGCATCTGTAAGACATGGATGTTTCAGCTTGGGGCTCGTCGGGGGCATCTCGAACAGGACGGCTCCAGAATGATGACGGAGGGCAGAAGGTCTTCGCAGCACCGACTTGCAGGTCGACTCACTGTCTGAAGGGTTGCCTGATCGGTGGCTACACAGTCGGAGTCAAGTTCCTTGCGTAATGCCTAGCCACATCTGCAGACCAGCAACGACACATGACGAGGAACAGCGCGTATGTTCCACTCAGAGCGCGTATGTTCTACTCAGACGATTCTCGCCGGCGTCACAGCAGACCGCGTCCCACACGCATCACGGCGGCAGACCGACATTCGAATCCGCATGCACCAGCCTCGGCGGGGCGACCATCGGCAGGACCCCACGTGTGCGCCGCAACTGCCAACAACACGCCTTGCCGCTTCGGGCAGAATGTCAACAAGGGTGCGAAGCCTGAATCCCATCCCCGTCCGATCGCTAATCAGCCTGCCACCCCACCACACCAGGCGTCTCACGCTGATTCCTGCATGCGGCGCGCTTTATAACGGCGTCAGCCATGTAATGTAGCCAGCGCAAGCCACCATGTCGCCCTACCAGCATCTGTTTTCGACAAACGCCGTCCTCAATGTCTGGCGCAACCTGCGCACCCGCGACCAGAACGATCTGCTTCTCTCGTTTCACGTCCAGCCCGACGACGTGCGCGCTGCGCGGGACCCGCGGTATGGGAAGGGGGGAGTGGTGGAGACGACGAGCGATGAGTCGGGCAGGAAGAACACGGTTGTGGACGGGCGAGGCGCGATAGATGGGCGGAGCATCGGCTTTGTGGTGCCATGGCGGAGCATGCAGGCGCAGAAGAAGGAGCTGCGGGAGAAGGAGAAGGAGCTGGCCGATGCCTTGGTTGTGCTGGCGGGAGAGGTTTCCTTTGCGGGTAAGCACACATTCTAGTGAAGCCTGGGTGGACTCAGTCCATGTTGCGAATGCTGCTGTCTCTATGATCACGGCATGCGCACCCTGCTCGCAGCCTTTCGTGGGCTCAAATGAAGAATCCCGCTGACTTCACCAGACCTCCCGCCCGCCCTCCAGTCCTCCCTCACCCAGAACCCCCTCATTCAAGTCCGCCACCTCGCCGCCGGCCTCTCCCGCCAAATGTCGCGCGTCGAAGTCCAAATGGCCGACAACGAGCCCTTCGCGACGGGAAAAAACCTCTACAGCGGCGGCGAGCTCATCCGCAAATACCTCCCCGACATCGAGACCCTCTTCCAGCAGCGCCCCACCCCGCAGCGCATGATCTTCGAGCTGCTCCTCGAGCTCAAGGATCTCGTCTATGCCGGCATGCAAGCCTGCGAGCGCGAAGTCATAGAGTGGGACCTCACCAACTTCAGTTCCTTCGAAGACCTGGACGAAGCCCTCGTCCGCGCCATCACGCCCCTTCCCTCGGACGAGACGGCGCGTGCAGGCTCCTCGGCCGGGCCTCGCAAACTGCTCCGCCGCAAGGCCTCGAGCATGAGCATCCTATCGCGCCCCTGGCTCCACGACGAGGCAGAGATCCTGTTCCACCTCGAGTCCCTCGACACCACGGCGGCGGCCATGTCGCACCTCGCCGTACCCATCACCGACTTCGCCGCCAAAGCCGCCATCACCCTGCGCCGCACGCTGCCTCGCCAGGTCCTCAACGATCACAGCCTTGTGAAACGGAAGAGGACGGGGCGCTGCGCCGAGTACGCGCGCTGCATGAAGTGGGCGGGCACCAGCTGGCGGCAGGGCGGGGGGTGTCGCCGGGGGTGTAAGAACGAAGACGAAGATCCCGAGAGCTTACCCAGCTGGCACAGTAGCAGTCGGTGGTTTGATGAGCGGGGCACGTATATGGTTGGTGGGGGGAGGGGCAGTGTGGAGGGGAGGGCGGCCGTGCCGACGGTGAGGGAGATGTGATTTTGGGCGCGTGCTTGGGATGGATGGACTTGGAGTTTCGGTGTTTGGGCGAGACGATACCCTGGATTTACTTGTAGGCGACACAATCTATCTCTTTTGTGGTTGGATTGGCGGAGCTTGTGCGACTTACGGTGCGTGTCTAGGATGTCGACTCAGGGCGACGCAGCTTCACTTGCTCGTGGCATGCTGCACAATCATCCTGGCTACTTTACCATGCCCCAAGGATAACTCAGCAAGCTTTCCGAGGAAGCATTGTTTGAGACAGAGAAGGTGCGCCTAGCATGCCTTGTTGCATATGGAACTGTAAACAAAGGAGCATGTGGCTTGAAGACGGTGTACCAGCATACTAAGTGTTGTCAGTGCCTCATAGGCCAAGCTATCTGGCCTCGGTAGTAAGGACACTAGGATGGAAGGTTTTCGGGGTGGGAGGACATGCACGACGTCTATCCTCAGCGCAGGAGCTGGAGCAAAGGCCCAACGACGGCTGACAACAGCGAAAAAGCGTGAGGCTGCATTGTGCAACGGCATCCACTTCATCCCGCCTAGCCTGAACGGAATTCACACTTCTGATCCAGCTTCCCGTCGTCCAGCTCCATCTGAAAGCAGCCTAGCCACCGCCGCCCATGTGCGTGGATCCTGTCATTCCATTACGCGCAACCCTGCACGTACGGGCGGCCCCCCACGACAGAGCGGGGCAGCGGGGTAGCTATGGCGTGCTCGACGCGACCATGCGCGTTGAGCGAAACCGGACAGCCACACCACACCCACGGGAACAAAGATGGGCTCGCCCAGGGAAGAGAAGCAATCAGCCGCCAGCTTGTGCCCAGCAGATTCAGATGGTTCCCGGAGCCGTGGCCGTGGGCGCTGCGTACGAGTTTGCACGTAAAGGCGCTGGGACAGCTCCTCGCATGCGATGCGACGCATGCGAGCCACTTCACACCACGGCCTACGCAAAGCCCAGCTCGCGCATCAGTGAATGACGTGATCGGAAAGGCTTTTTATGCAATACCGCTGGCGCCAGTGACGGGACGATGGTACCGCGGTGCGGGATATAGTACTGCGAGGGGTCCCAGGGTCTACTGACAGCTGTGTATCTTTCCCCTCCTTCGCAATTTCTTGTCACAGACCCGTCACGATGGCTGAGGAACTCTCCAAGAACTTTGAAACGCTGCAATTGCATGCTGGTAGGGTCTCATTCGGTATAGAGGGGAAGGGCGAGAGCTGATTGATGCGCAGGACAGTCGCCGGATCCGACGACCAAGTCGCGCGCTGTGCCGATTTATGCCACCACCGTACGCTCGGATTGATATGGGCATGTATGAGAGGCTTGGGCTGACCAAGGCAGTCATATACTTTCGATGACTCGGCGCATGGCGCGAGGCTCTTTGGCCTCAAGGAGTTTGGCAACATTTACAGCCGTATTATGAATGTGAGTCTACATTTCACAGGGAAACCATCAGAATTCAAGCAGTTGAGCTGGTTTCCATACTGACACCCGCAGCCTACTGTCGATGTTTTCGAGAAGAGAATTGCGGCGCTCGAGGGCGGTGTAGCAGCACTGGCAGCATCATCAGGACAGGCCGCTCAGTTCATGGCCATCCTTACGCTGGCGCACGCAGGAGACAACATCGTCTCGACTTCGAACCTGTAAGCTCAAGACCATACCCTCCACGCCCAAACATCGACTAAGAAGCCCAGCTACGGCGGCACCTACAACCAGCTCAAAGTCGCCCTCCCCCGCCTGGGCATCACAACCAAGTTCGTCAACGGCGACAACCCCGACGACTTCAAAGCCGCCATCGACGAAAACACCAAAGCCGTCTACATCGAGTCCATCGGCAACCCCAAGTACAACATCCCAGACTTTGAAAAAATCGCCGCCATCGCCCACGAGGCTGGCGTCCCCGTCGTCGTCGACAACACCTTCGGCGCCGGCGGCTACTTCGTGCGGCCCATCGACCACGGCGCCGACATCGTCGTGCACTCGGCCACAAAATGGATCGGCGGCCACGGCACCACCATCGGCGGCGTCATCGTCGACAGCGGCAAGTTCGACTGGGGCAAGCACGCAAAGCGCTTCCCGCAGTTCAACGACCCCTCGGAGGGCTACCACGGCCTCAAGTTCTGGGACACCTTTGGCCCCATTACATTCATCATCCGCGCGCGCGTGGAAATCCTGCGCGACTACGGCGCCGCGCTCAACCCCTTTGCCGCCCAGCAGCTCATCCTCGGGCTCGAGACCCTGTCCCTCCGCGCCGAGCGGCACGCGTACAACGCGCTCAAGCTCGCACGCTGGCTCGAGAGCAACCCCAACGTCGCGTGGGTGTCGTACCCCGGTCTGGAATCGCACCCCTCCCACGCCACCGCGAAGAAGTACCTCAAGCGCGGGTTCGGCGGGGTGCTGTCGTTTGGCGTCAAGGGCGGGGGCAAGGCGGGCAGCCAGGTCGTGGACAACTTCAAGCTCATCAGCAACCTCGCGAACGTGGGAGATAGCAAGACGCTGGCTATCCACCCCTGGACGACGACGCATGAGCAGCTGAGCGATGAGGAGAAGGAGAGCTCGGGGGTTACCGAGGTAAGCTTTTGTAATCATTCTTTGCGACTGGCCTTTGAGGGAAGCGACGCTGATCAAGCTGTGAAAACAGGATCTCATCCGCATCTCCGTCGGCACCGAGCACATCGACGACATCATCGCCGACTTCGAGCAGAGCTTTGCCGCGAGCGCGACGAAGCCGGATGAGAAGGGCGCCCCGGCGAATGCCGAGAACGCCGGAACCACGGAGACGCAGGGCTCGCTCGCGGGGTCGACGTAGATGGATTCGTCAACCCTGAGTTGTGGAGGAGTGCCCAATATACCACGTGGACGGGCAGGCGATGTAGTACTAACTGGCGACGCAACGCACAACAGATTCTTCTCTACACACGCGGGAGACACGTATTCAAGCGCTGGATGTGCATGATCGGGGTAGGGCGTGCAACCGGCTTCTGCGGTTCTTGGGCATGGCGCGTTAGATAGGTCTGTCTGTCGTTGCGCGTGGTCGTGTCTAAGACTTCGCGTCCATAGAGCATAGTAATAGCATCAAGCTCTAGGCTCGTCCCGGCTCTTTCTGTACGAACGCGTGTTTCACGGAATGCATGACTGACAGATGCGGTTCCTCATGGTATACAGCAGGCCCTGAAGGTGCGTGCGGCAGAGGACATGCCGAAGCCCTGCTGCCAGAGTGCGTCGTCACAAGCACGCTGCTGTGGTAATATCCTGCCGATACTACGATAAAACCAGCTTTCAGATAAATCACCATTAGCCATCGTCATGGCATTCTTACGTGTAGGATATGCTAAGATTAAGCTTATGCCACAAGTCCCTAAGATCCCAGACATCCTTTCCCCCGTAGTAGCTAGAGCGCTCCTAGTCCCACATTATACTCAAACGCAAGTCCTTGCATGTTCTTTGAACTACATCTTGCAGTTTTCTATCCGCCTATCGACGCAGAAACACACTCTGGTCGGTCTCTTCTCGCTCCATCCCGCGCAGTGCAAGTCTCCCTATCTGCAGAAACGGCCGCGTTTCCCGTGTTGGCCCTCTTCTGGCCTCTCCTCGATGCGCAGCGGATCCTGCTGTCCTAATTGTTCTAGAATAATGTAGGTCCGTTTGTCCTTGCGTTTAGCGAGCACCCTCCTCGGGTGGTTCCTCCGATTAGTATTGGTACGGGGTGATACCGGGGTCGAGTGTCGTATGCAATCTATATCTTGGCGGTTTCTGCCTTTCTCGCTAGGCATTGTCAGCCCTATACTTCGTGCTCTTCTCAGCAGGGTGTACATTTCTTCGCCATGTCCTGTCCTGTCCTGATTTCAATGGGCATTCTCTGGTTTCGCGCTCTTGCGCAAAATAGCCACATGCTATTGCTACCTTACACTAGGTTCCTCTATAGCCGTATTAGTAGCACTTATAGCACTACTTTAGTCAGCATTGTCTCTGATATCATTGACATTAGAAGACCACATCCTACTAGACTAAGCTTGTCTGTAATCTTGTCGGCGTCTTCAGCCTTGGTAAACTTAATGGTGATAGACGATGCTATGTTAGTAGGTATATCCCCAGTTCGCCATCCAAAGTGCTTGATCTCAGCTTGAGGGATAAACGGCTTGTTGTCCTGTAAGATCTGGGCTCCGTTTTCTTCGAGGGTATCCACATTGAGCGTGCTAGTGCGAATTCCGTGTACAATCACGCTGTACTTTGAGATCTGTACCGTTGCACGTGTGCCGATGCAGTGGACCTAGTTATTCGCGAATTGCTGCAGTGCTTCTACCTCTTTGCCGTTGGCTATCTTTATGCTACTGTCTCCGGTCTTCAGCTAGTTGGATAAGATAATCTTAAAACGTTCAATATCATCGTTTTCGCTTTGTCTGCTCGATCTCCATTGGTACTGTGAGCTTGCCGCGCTAGAAATTCTCCATGTTATACACCAGAGCTATCATATCTCATTTTTGGACTGGTCTGCTTCCAGGATCCGGCTCTTCACCGCCCGATCGCGCAGGTCGAGATCCACATAGACTTGACCGGACTCTTCGACCGATCAAGCGAGGATTTGATGGGGCTAGAGGAATGCTGCATGGTTGTATAAATATGGTCGATGTTTCGAATGGAGTGCTTTGCAGCCAGAAAGATACCAAACGGCATTTTGAAGAGCCCTACTGAGGGTTCGGAGACGATAAAAATGGCGATATGCTTGCGACGGCTTTGTGGAGGCATTTAGACGAGACGGTCTAAGATTCCTGTGCTCCACGTCCCATTTCCCGTCCTCTCCAGTCTCCGGTGCTGCCAGCTCTTCTGAGCTTGATCCCTAAAGAAAGGACGCTTAGCGCTGCCACCTCAGCAGCAACCTCTTCGTGTCTCGGACTCAACCATCTTGTTACTCGCTGCGTCGTTCCAGCGCTCCGTTGCTGCTGCGAACTATAATCGGTGACCGCCCCGTTCGTCGGTCGACATGCATGGTAGCGGTTCGCACGTGCGTGGATATAATGGATGGCCAGCTTGTTATGGGCTCCGTGAGAACATCGTCCGACTGGCAGGCCGGTACGCGATTTCGATCCCAGGGCGGATGTTGTAGGGCTGCGAATATAGCTCCGGGGGTTTACGTGCGCTGCCTATGTCCTTAAAGCTGCGTATTACAATTAGGTGTGTCGTAATGATGGTAATGAGACTTTGGCTGAAAAGTTGGGGGCCCTTTGTTGCGTTGTTTATGGTATCGGTAGTTGGGGCAGCGACAAGCCGCACACTTCCATCCCGTACGACTTATCGATGACACAATAAGGCAACGGTAACGAAGGGTCTTTATTGATGTTCCTACGAATAAGCAATGGTACCTATTTGGGGATTCCATTAACGATGGGATCCACTCGGCCTATTGCCGTACAACAATTAGCGCCGTGTCAGACGAAACGCCCCTGCCAGGTTTGATGTAAATGAACTGCATCCTGCGATCTTCTAAGGCTGACCGCCGAGACATCTGGATCCGAGAGCCCCACGCACGGCACGACTTCCAGGACCTCCGAACCCAAGAATCTTTTGCCCTTGTCTTCCTCTTATTGTTCTCAGTTTCGGTCGGTCCTCAAATTTGCCAAACTGGACTCGCAGACAAGATCCATCACAGCTCTCTCAAATGAAGGCAGCAACAGTCGGTTCTTCAGCCTTGCCGACGCGAAACCGAATGACATCATGAAGGCCTTCTCCTCTGATCACCAAGGCTATGAGTTAACAGAAATTGGCTCATCGCCACTTCTGGAACACCCGTCGCCGAGAAGGACCGGGAAAATTAGAAACGTCATCCGCAGACCTTTCTCGGATTTCAAAAAGGACGTTGCCTCTATACAATGGGGTCGCGACCTGGGCCTCTTCGTATGGTTGGGTGGTATGATTTCGGGCCTGACGTTCCTAGGTCTCAGCACGTATTCGACTTCAGTTGATGCCTGTTCACCTGATGGTGAATTCACATTATGGCCCGGTGATTTCAACTACTGGCACTCGTCCAACTTTTTCCAGATCAACTTTGGATTCGGCAGATTGACTTTTGCGCAGGCAAAGGCTATTGATGTTGTTTGGGATGTCGTAAGTGAGATTCTGAGACATGTGTAAACCTAGACCACGAACTGAGATGATCAGGTCGTTGGTCGCGCGGGACAGGCGCTTTTGGCTATCGTATCGTGGCAGGTCTTCGCTAGATATCTTACCACTTCCATGGGGATCCAGCCCGTAAGTTCTTCAGCGAGGTTACCCGAGTTCAGTCCTTGGCCTAACATAATCCTCCTGTTGCAGGTAACATTCAACACATTCAGCGCAATTTTCCTTCACAATGAACCAACCATAATGTCACTTTTCCGTATATCCCGCGACTTTACGACGCGGCAGCGCCTGCGGTCGAAAATTGCAATGATCTTTATGCTTGTCACTATGGGATACATACTAGCCTTCCCAACCATTGCAAGCGCCATGACGGGTTATAATGGGAATGTTGCAGCTTTTGTTCCCGATAGCAGTGGAAACTTTGTCAAGTTCGAAAGTTTCCAGCCCGTTTTGTATGTCATACACGATGGTGATCGAATCAACAAAACCAAGGATTTCGCAGTGACACCATTCGCTTCGGGTCACAGTATGTGCAGCTGCAAAGCGAATAGATTCTCAGCTTACAAACTATAGACCAGCCTTATTTGACGCATGACTCGATCAATGGGCTCGAGAATGACAATTTCTACATGGCGGGTTCGCTTGCGTCAGCTGACGCGCCTGCATACTACTTCGCATGGAATGTATCGCTTTGTACGTCTCAATGGTTTTGTTCAAGCCTTTAGGTTTACGAGCAATAATCACATGCTGATGATTTCCAGACGTTGAAACGTATGGATTCCTGGGGCTTGGTAGCGCAAACTCAACTGACGGAAAGACCAAATTTCTCAACCAAACGCTTGAATCGCCGCCTCTCAATATCTCTGCATACTACATCCCTGCTCAATTTTCTCATTATTGGTTCGGTCCAGTATTTTATGGCTATGATTATAGACTGAACGACAATTATCCGTTTCGTGACCCTCGCAACATGAGATGGACTTGGGAACAGCAGGTAGTAAACTATACCTACGTTGAGAACTCTGCCCAGTGCCAGGCAACCAAAGTAAGCACCCAATTTGATCCGGCGCATTGCGCAAGACATTGATTCATTCTAGGATTTTCAATGGGGTTTCTCGTTCTTACAACTCTTCATCGCCACAGCATGGGTGTTTGTATGGAGCATTGGCATGTTCACCATGTGGCTGAAGACGCACAAGCTTCGTTCCGCACAAGATCAGCACGAAATCGCGGGTGAATACAAGGCAATCCTTCAACTGGCCTCGGCGATACATGACAACTTCCAATCGTGCCCTGAAGGCGGTGATACGAACCCAAACCGACTCACCGAGAGTGATCTAAAAAACCGCATCAACAAGGTGCTGAAGGGGGGAGTCATAATGTATCAGAAACCTCCTGACGTTGGTCAGGTGAACTTCTGGGAGGTTTTCCGACAATGGCTCGCAAGGGAAAAGTGGTGGATACCAGTGTGCCTAGTCGTTCTCACATTTATGGGAACGGGATTCATGTTGGAGATGACCTTTTGGATATGGTCGTTCGGGCCAGGCGTGGGCATCATTTGGGCAATGTCGTTTTGCTCGACCCTGGGGAGTCGGCTACTTATGGTCGTGCTGTGGAGCCTGCTGTTCCTGGTTGTCGCTCTCAGCTTGCGGTTGGCCATTTCCTTGTAGGACAGGTCGATGTTACCACTTGAAGATGGAAGAACACACGCTCCAATTGCAGCAAGACTGGTTGATGCAACAGATTGTCTTGATTTTCCATGACGTGAAGTGAAGGGCTGTGCATGCGTAGCGCAGGAAATCCCATCCGCCCGTTCAGACTGTTCTATTCTACATGCGTGCTACTTCTCGCGATGACTCCGAGATTGGTGCCGCCGCATCTATTCTATGTGCGAGCACGGACGGTGCTCTGCATACTTTGTGAGGTGTCCCAGCACACCTGCCTTCTGGCTGATCCAGGGAAAACGCCCTGGTACCACATGCTCCATCCGCCCAATCCCATCATTACCAAACAGAGAAAAAAAGAAAGAAACAAAAAATTCAAGGAGCGCAAAACCGCAGCTCCTACAATAAACCACACGTACATCCGCCCCTCGCAACAAGCACCACAATTCCAACCCACCCGAGACAAGACCAACCCCGGTGCCGATCCTGCGTGACGGCATGGCACTCTGCGCGTGCGGCAGAATCTCGCGGTGCGCATCTGGACGCGGAGCCAAGTGCTTGGTTGTGCTGCCGCGCACACGGAGCACGCCCGCGCACGCATGAGCCCGTGTCAGGTGCGGCGATCTGTGAAGTTCTGTGGGGAAGAGATGGTGCTGTGGACGGGATGAGCACCGTCGGTCCAGAGCAGGGTAGCACTTCACGGCACAGCAGCACACACGGGGAGATTGAGCAAGCAGTAGAGTTCCCATTGACCGAGCCAGTTACGTTCAGACATTCATCACGGACTTTCGTCCACACTCCCTCCTAGCACTAATAATGACAAAACCCTCCATCGTCGAATGTACACCCGCCACCATCTCCTCGCCCAGGCCCGTCTATGCGTCCCCGTGTACCGTCCCATGTACCCAACTCCACCTCCGCATCGCGCCCCCCTCCCACACACAGTCTCCTAGAAGAGAAACAACATAATAGTAAAGGGAGCAAACAGTTGATTGATCGCCCATAACAGGGCCTATCGGTAGAGGCGTCCGCCATTCGGCTTTGCTTCGTACCCATTCCCACGTCCCATCGCATCAGCAGCGTACAAAATACAGCATTCGCGGAGCAGACCTAGCAATAACAAGACACAGCAGATAAAAGAAATTACGCGTTGGATAAGATAAAATGCCTGTCGAGGCTTGTGTTCTTTTTCGTTCGTCGGTTCGGTACGGTACGAAAGGAAACGGTGTCCAGGGTAAGGGGTATGAGAAAACCGCTGACGAGCGGCGCGACGTATTGTCAACGAGGCAAACAGATAGGAAAGGAAAACAACAAGTCAATTGCAGCGTCGCGTATTCGTGGAATGGTATCGCGGACGTCGGAACTTCGTGACTGAACGCCGGGGCAAAGCAAGCGCGCCATGAGGTCTCATGCTCAGAAGCATCTAGACTCCGAGCTCTGGCACGCGGCGCGAGCGGTGGCTGCCGTCGGCGCGGCGGTAGCTCATGCTGGCGCGGTCCATGGGCTCTTCCATGTCGGGCGAGCCGTTATCCATGACGCCGTCGTAGCGGTAGGGCGGGGCGCTCGGGTTGGGACGGGCACCCTGCTGGAGGCGGTCGTCGAGGTGGCGTGTGTCAAAGGTGCTGGAGTAGGATCGCTTCTGTCCAATGCTGGCTGTAGAGGGGACCTGGGGCTGTGCATTATATTTGGCATGAGAATCCAGGTAGGCGTGGTGCGGAGCAATCTCAGAAGTGGCAGACATGGGTGCAGACATGTTGTTGGGCGGCGACTGGTACGAGGGCGACACAGGATCCAGCTTGTTCTGGGTATTGACGTCTGCCAAAACCGTTCTCAAGGGTGCAAGAGCGTGACCGTTAGACATGTGGGACGAAGAAGGCGTGGAGACAGGCGCAATGTGATTTGGACTCTGGAGAGGCTGAACCATTTGCTGAGGCCGTCCGTAATCCATAGAGCCGGAACCAGAGCCGTAAGAGGGCATAAGTTGACTAGGGCCAGGGTACTGCTGGGGAGACTGTGCGATGGAAGAACGGCGGTATTCGGCAGCAGGCTGGCTATATTCTACGGCGGGCTCCTGGCGCACAGGAGCTGGCTGCTCGTAGTGGGCTGGTTGCTGATAGCCTTGGTTGTTCATGTAGCCGTACGATTGACCCATGTGCAGGTTAGACTGACTCTGGTAGCTGTGTGCCGGTTGGTGAGATTGCTGCGAGTAAGGCGTCTGCGGCGGCTGCATCAGAGGAGCCGGCGGCTGAGGAGGTGCGTACTGGGATTGGTAGGCGGACTGGGGCGCGTTGTACTGAGGGACCTGGGAGTACGAGGTGCTCTGGGGCGGAGGCATCGGCTGGTAGGTGCTGTTGGACGGGTAGGCGGGCTGCATCTCTTCCATACTCTGGCGGCGAGGCGGGGCGAAGGAATTGTTGCTTGCGTTGGACACGGAACGTGGGCGGTTGTTCTCATCAAGGGCCGGGTTGGGCGTCGGCATGCCCTGCTGCTGGGCGTAGTTGTCCGGAGTGGCCGAGGCGCGCCTGGCTCCGTCGTAACCACCATCTTCCTCGTAATCGTCCCAATCCTTGTTGGACTTGTTCTCGCGACGCCTCATCCTCACGTCACGTCGAATGCGGACGCGGCATCCCTGCTCAGCGACCATGCGGCTTAGTGCAGTGCTCTCCGACAGTCCAGGGAACTTCTTGGCCGAGAAGACGACGAAGGGAGCCGACTTGACCTCGAGGCGGTGGGAGACGTGGGCATCGAGGCCGCCCTGGGTGTGGGCGTTGACCGAGCGGTCCTCGGGGTCCATGTCCTTCTGGTCCTTCAACTCCTCGTACAGAGCGAAGCTCAGGCGGTACTTTCCCTCGTGGCGGACGGACAGGTCGGGGAAGATGAAGTAGCCGGCCGGGCTGGGGCGGTCCAGGTAGGCCATGCCAGCGACGGGGGTGCCGGTGAGGACGGGGAAGCCCGTCGTGGCGGCGGGAGCGCGGCCGGGTGCAATGGTGCGGGCGTTCTCGAGCGTCGCAAAGAGGAAGAAGTTGGCATTGTAGCCAAAGGTGATGTCCTGCTCGCCCTCGAACACCTTGAGCTCGACAATCGGCGGCGGGTCGACGGGGCGACGGTCGGCGCTCGACTTGGCGCCGCTGCCGCAGGCGCGGGCGCGCTCAGGCTGCTGGATGACCTGCAGCGAGTAGCGGATGCTGCGGCCGTCCTTGGTGGTGCGGACGGACGAGCTGCAGGTCTCGTTGGGGACGGCGATGGTGGAGGCCATGGTGGGCTGCGTGGCTCTGGTCGTGGTCAGCCTTGCTCGGTACGCGCTGTGGGCTGGCAGCGTCGCGCCCGCGGGGAAGGCACGGCATGTGCAACCTACGTCGTCGACCACAACGCCGGAGCAGAGTTGAGGGCAAACGGCAGTCGCGGCGAGACAGCGCGGGTTGGACTTTGGGACAAACGGTCAGCGTGCCTCTCCGACGCCTGCGCGGCGGGACTGCGCCCGTGGCATCGGCATCTCTCCCAAGGCCACGCTCCTGGGCACGGCAGCGTCTCGACACGCGCCCGTCCGGACGAAAACGACGAAAGCACTCACTTTTAGCTGGCGATGGCTAGATGGGACCGCAACAGGTCGGCGGGTCCTGTCGGCGGGCGCGTCTGCTCGTCGACTCGCTGTGGGCGACGGACAGGCTGGCTTGAGCGGGCTGGCAGAGCGATGGTGCTGGGAGGGCGGCGCGAGGGCAGCTGCACGGCGAGGAATGGGGGCTGGCGAGGAGGGGAGGAGAGAGAGTCGGTCTCTCGCGGCGTCGTGGCCGCTGTGCGCTGCGACCCGTCGCCTTCAGTGTCGTTGGTGTGTCTGAGGCCGTCGAGGGAGAGGAAAACGGGGCGAGGGCGGGTGGACGGGGGCTGGCGCGGCACCCCAGCTAAGCCTGGGAGAGGGCTGCTGGCTGCGGTGCTTGGGGGCAGCCAGGATGCCAGTAGCGCCGGCTGAATGTGCTCTTTGTCTGCCCCAGCGCCTTGGTCCCAGCCAGATGCCAATAGACGGGCGCCCCCAGAGCCACCCCCCGGCATCCCTGCCGCGCTTCGCCTGCTTGCATCCGCCGCCTGAAGAGACGGCCTGCACTGGCAAGAATAGCCTGGCGACGGCGGATGGCGTGCGCGTGTGCTCGTCGCCGCGCACCCAGAGACGGGCAGCGACACGAGAGCCGTTGGCATCATTCAGCGCCGCTGCGGAGGCCTCTGCAGAGCGCACCCAGCCGCGGCGGACCCAGAACAAGCACTGTGCGCCGCCGGGACAGAGTGGGCTCGCGAGGACCTGAAGGGGCCAAGCGGGCTGGTAACGAGGTGATGGGACCCGCTCTGCCCGCAGCGCTCAGACGACCAGAGCGCCCTCCGCGGAGCGCCCTCGCCAGCACCCGCCAGCATCGTGCAACGCGGAGCACCGTGTCCAAGAGCTTCAGTCGACGGAATGACGGCGCATCCATCCCACCGATGCTCGAGGCAGGGTCGCGACACACTGCGGCATCGGCGTCGACCCTCGGGTCATCTGCCCATGCAACATGGCCTCGCTAATGCGCAGAGGCGACTGCTGCTGCCGGGTGCTGTTGGGTGCGCACACTACGCAGCGCGCAATCTATCCATCCACGGTGCTGCGCGGACCGCACCCTTCTGCGCGCCTTCTGCAGCGCTTCTGTCGCTGCCCGTCATGCGCCATTGCCCACGCCTGGAATGCGTGCAATGGCACCGAGTGCAACCTCGTCGAGCAACGCAGGGCAGCGGACATGGCATTCCCGCTTTCCTGCTCTCAGCAGCTGCCGGGAAACACACGGGCGACACCAACACCCTCAAATCAGCCCATTCGCCTTTGCTTTTAGCAGCCTCGCTGGCACTCCAGATTGCGTGCAAAGACCCCACCGCGCCCTCGCCGCGTCTCGCGCAGCACGGCCGATTGGAAGCCGCTCCTGGGGATCTTGCAGTGCGCCTCTTCCCCGTCCCTGGTCCGCTAGCGATGCCTGTTCCACGGCTGCTCTCCCGCCTCTCCCGCGCCACTGATTCGCCCGCCCCGCCCACGCCAACGGCCTCTGGCGCAATTTCCCGCTTGCTTGCAACAATCTCAGCGACTGCAACAACAACCTCGGCGGCCCTCAGCAACGCGGCTCGAGCCACGGTGAGTGCCTCTCTTCTGGCTGTGCCACCGTGGTGTTGAGCCGCCCGACTCGTTGGCCGCCCGCTCGTCGCAGGCGTTGAGCCATTGCCTCTTGCGTCCCCGCCTGCGTGCGCCGAGTGCGAGCACGCCCGATTGTCACGTCGTCGCTGGCTTTGTCCCTTGTCTGCTCTGCTGCACAGCGAGCTCGTGCAGTGGCCCATCCAACCGACCGCGCGCGACCCACCAACACCTCACATGGCGTGCAGCAAGCCGTCGCGCGCAACCCCGTGCTACTGCTTGACAGCCATCGCCTGCTCTGGCCGCCTGCGTTGCGCCGTCACCACGTGTTGCTGTCTCGACGCTCCGCGCTCGCACAGCTCGTCGTTTTCACCGCGGCGCACTGCATTGACGCGGTTTCACCTCGCTTGCCCTTGCTCGACACCACAGCTCTGTTCGTGCCTGCCGCTGAGGCTGATGACTGACCGTGAGACGATGCCCTTCTCTCCTCCACCTCGGACGGCGTCGGACATTCTGAGACGCTACGGCATGGACCATCACTGTAGCGGATGCAGGCCATGTATCTCCTGGAGAGTATTGTCGTGCCATGAGCGCAATCTCCGGTCGCTGAGTCTTAGATGGTGGGAGCATTGATGAGATAGGTCCAGGAGAGTGTTCCGTTCCGTGCTCAATGGCTGGGAGTTGGGGAACACTCTCAAAAGAAGCATAGAAGAAAATGCGGTCCAGCTCTGCACTTGACGGTGGGACCTCTCCCGCCGGACTCTACACTCTCACCGCCAGCAGTACAAGTACGGCCACTGCTATCACACCCTTTGTTGCTCCCTCCAATTACATCCACCAGCTCAACGGCGTCCTCCCTTTCTAGAATATAGTGCGTGCCGCACCCGTCTGGTCGGGAAGTGACACCAACTCATGTTTCGGAGGAGAATTTCATGGATTTGAATCGCATCTCTGGCAGCCATTTTAAGTGGCGGCCGTCCAGTCTGATGGTGGACACTGAGATCCCCGTGGATCTATATCAACAGCTTGGCAAGGTGAGGTTGTACTTTCAATCCTACTATCCTGTTTACCACAAGCCGGAAAGCACCTTCTCCAAGGTGGGGACACCGCCTCTGCGCCGTAGCAAACGAGTATTCGTTTGTTCAGTACAGTGCTGACAGTTGCAGTTCCGACCGAGTTATCGTGGTTGTTGCTCCATGATTTGAATGAGCATCATCCTTCCGCGACTATTGACAGTGATCAATTGTAGACGCCATGGCCATTTCATGCATGACTTCAAAGTGGCTTCCACCTAGTCGCCCCTACACGGTCCAAAAGTACATACAGAAATCGTGTAGCCCTTACTTCGCGGAACTAGCAGAACGGCCTCCTCGTAGCATCTCGTTGGTAAGCACATGCCCGCCGACATGACCGTTGCAAGCGTAGAGAATCCCAAATGGAGCTGCTGCCTGCCAAAGACTGCCCTGCAACGGATCGGGATGGGGGCCCATGCTGGGTCCGCCCTCCATACATACCACTTACAGTCCTCGCCAAGTCTATACATCGCCAAGCACAGTATACCAGTATGCATCGCCAAGCACAACGTACCGGCATCCATCGCCAAGTCCTCGATCGCCAAAGTCGCCAAGTCGCCGTTGCATATAACAATCCAAATCTGAAGACCCTCGAGACTATACAGGAATGCCGGGGTACGGTGACATACCCTCTCATATACGGCACAACCTTCGAGTTTGAGAAATCAACAGAGCAAGTGTTGGCCGCTGTCAAAGCTGGAGCTAACTGTCGAGATGATGACCAAATCCTCGCCCTTCCGCAAGGAGAAAAGCCCGTTTGGGAGATCGGTGTGAGGACGCTACGGGGAATTGCGGATAAGAGTGGGGCTTGAAGATCTGAGGGTATTCGGATCATGGATGCGTTTGTGGTATACTGCTTCGTGTTCCAAGGAACAGGCATGACGAGATCATACCTTTGAAATCAACACTGAGGAGGCATGCTGAGCGGACCGTGAATGGCTCCACCTGCTGAGCTTGGGCTCAGTGATTGACGTAAGAACCTAGGAATAGTTCTGCGCTTCCCGTATTCTGCTATGAGAGTCCCGCAATGTTTTTGGCATGTATATCGAGATGTTTCCTGGTGAAGCTGGTCTAGTGCCGCTCGCACGGTTCTCGAATCGAGGGTTCGATGATCGTATCTCACGCCATCCCACCCGTTGCTACCGCACGCTTCGCGAACTCTCCGCGGGTGGATGGCCTCGCGCAATCTTTTCGCGGGTGGGGGCCGAATTGGGCATGGACTTGTACGCCACCGCTCGGGAGGAAGGTCGTGCATTGCAGAATCGCCCAGAGCTGGAGAGATGGCGGCTGGGCGTATCCGATCTGCAGCGGCATGTCACTGACTCTGCGTGCGTCGTGGAGCTTGTATTGGCGAGCGTACCGTCGTCTAGGCAGCTGGGATTTGGATCCTTCAACAGCAAACAAACAACAAACAAAATGACCTGTCCATACGTGCTGTTTCTCCAGTCCATAATCCCGCAGAAATACATGCACATGCTCCACCACCGCACAGATCGACTGTAGATCGCCCTCTCCAACTCTCGCCTATCCCACTACTCCCGCCCCAGCCCAACACCACCCGCCATACCACACCACTCCGTTCAGCCGTCGTCTTCCACGCAGGCATGCCACACGTCCTGCTCCTCGGGCTGGACCCCCTCTCCCCACCCCCCGGCGCCTCCGTCCCCCCGCACGTCCTCGCCTCCATCGCCGAGAAAATCGCCATCGACATCGCCCGCGCCGCCCGCAGCGGTTTCTTCATCACAAGCCACTACCTCGACTGGCGCTCGCCCTCGACCGCCTTTGCTGCGCTCGAGAAAACCCTCGTTGACGGTCCAAGCGCCGAAGGGGCGGAGGGGTGGGACGCCGTGATGATCGGCCAGGGCCTGCGCATGTGGAAGGATCCCGAGTTGTTTGAGGGCGCGGTGGGGGTTCTGAGGCGGGTGTGCGAGCCGGCGAGGGTGAAGGTGCTGTTTAATGACGGGGCGGATCGCCAGTGCGCGACGCTGGAGCGGGGTTTCGGCGTCAAGATGGGAGAGTAGCGGGGTACGAAGGGGGGAGATGCGCGGGTACGCAGAGAGGTGGGACTGATGGGGCGAGCTTTGGTTCTTTGAGCAAACCGTAGAGAGGGGTTGTCTGTGGCGTGGCGGCGTGATGAAGGTGAGCAATCATACCGTGTGCCAGAATAAGCTTGCCTTGTTTTTTCTGTCGTCTGGCTTGTCGTGGTCCGCCCGCCGGTGGAGCATAACAGGCAAAACGGCATGAGTATAATCGGGGGATTTCGCTTGCTGGGTGGGCCAGCGCACACAGGACTGCCACCGTTGCGCTGCGAATTGTTGGATGATGTCCCAGAAGTAGAACGTTGCGCTGTATGTTAGCTTCCACTCTCAACATGTATTGCACGCAGTGAAAAGCCCGCGTCCGCTCTGATAAGCCGGCGGCAGAGGGGCCGCACTGACAAAACTGGTGCTGTGAATATCTAGGATAAGTGCTGTTTTACATCGTTCAATCGTGATGAGCGATTGATATCAACCCGATTTATCTAGCATACCTCCCATCATATGTGTCTATGGCACAAGCCATGATTCTTCAAACGAATGACTGCTGTTCAACCACCGCCCATCGTACCCGCCATCTCGTGACGCCTCCTAATTCTGGTAGCACTTGAAGCTGGTCGCACGGTTGTTCATCCCCCCCGGTAGCTGCTTTGCCCCCGGCGCATATATATCCGGCGAACTGTCCCCGTTGCAGTTATTGGAGCTGTCCGCGTTAGCAATGCTTTTCTCTCCCTGGGCAAATACGTACCTCCAGAGCCGGCAGCGATGCCCATCTGGCACCTTGACAGAACTAATCACGTCGTTCCACTCCGTGCCACCCAGCCGGTCTGTCGTGAAGTCAATCATGAGTGCCTCCCACCAAGGTGAATGCTGTGACTACTTACAGCACTCGCTCTCCGATTCCAGACTTCACGTCTTTGAGTTCCCGCTCCAATTCGCTTCCGTGTAGCCCGTCATGCTCGTTTTCTCCTGAGCAATCTGCTCGGCAGGAAGGCCGTGGACAGACGCCGCGAGAGAGGCGAAGAGGGCGATGGGGAGGACTGGAAGCATTATTGATGCTTTGGGATTTAGTTTTGGAGTGTTGGTTCGAGCTGTGTGCGTGGAGATGCTGGTGAGTGATTTGAGGGAAGCCTAGTGAGGAGAGCGCAATATATACTTTGGCTTTTCATGGCTGGTATAAAGGAACATTCAGGCCGCCCGTTCCAGTGATATGGCTGCTTATGTGCACACTGTACAAGTGAGCAGCCTGACGGAGGAAAAGGGCACATTCCCATCCAGTCTCTGCTTCTCTGGTGGGCTACTTATGGTACACCTGGTAGCACACTATGTGGGCAGTTTCTTGCTGAGAATCTGCGCTTTTACTCCTTGGGTGTAGCGTCAAATAAAGCGTCTTGCAGATACACGCCCATCGTGCTGTATCCTGCTCTTGCTCGGCCAGCACAAACCGCAGTAATCCCAGACACGTACCCGCCTGGGGAGCACATCTAGCAATGGAACTTCGGAGAGGCTCGGCCTATGCACTGCTTGTCTAGGAGGAGATGTTGAGGCAAGGGGCGAGCAGTTGCTCACTCATTCCCCACCTAGTCATTCCCTCATTTCCAATACCTCCATCCACTACTCACAATCGGCCACACTTACTTCCTGTCCCAGCCCTCAAAGATGGACTCTGTCCTTCTCATTGTCTATTAGAAACATCGCCTCCCAGCTGCGAGTCTCAACAGCCGCGTGTCACAAGCCCAAACTCATGATCCGCGCCAGACAAGTAGCGCTTTACATCGTCCATTTCAAAGCCTCCGCCTAGTCTTGTACTCCCCGTGTTCGGAGAGCGATCGACGTGGTGACGCAGGTGGCCACGCTGATGCTCGTCGGGCTAGAAATAATGCCGGCAAGGTTCAAGATCAGCACATTCTTGCGATCCTGTGTTTGCTAGCTCACTGTCCCGCTGATCATACCGGGGTGGACGGGCTCTATGAGCTGCTCTAAGTGAGCGGGGACAAGAGATGGATCGGAGTCATTGATGCAGAACAGGCACGCAATATCACAGTCAAGTTTCAGGGTGAGCAAAAAAGTGGCAGAGCGTATGGCATTGGAGTAATTTCTAGCTGCTGTGATGCGCGAGGCATCTTCGATGACCCTCCACTCTCACACCTTTGCAATCGGCTTTCGCTGATGCAACTGATAGTTTGGGCGGCGCAGTCTGGGCGTGTCTAGGTTGAGAAGAGAGGTTGGAATTGCTTGCACAGCAGCGCTCGTGGTGACCTTGATAGGAGGGAGGCAAGAGGGCAAAAGCCTTTCCGCGACTGCCGACATATCAAGCAAACCAACTGACGGGACCAATAAGCTTTCTGAATCTAGTCCTAATGCCCAAAGCATTAGAGCTGGAGCAAAAAACAAAACGCGTGTTGCTCCCGTCAACAGCCTTATTAAATGACTTAAACAGGCAAGGCCAAGCGTTTCACCTTGCAAAGGACTGTTGTGTAGTTCTACCCACACGACAAGCCCACGCGTTTCTTGCATTTGGTTCATCTCATTCGAGACTATCCAGGAGACACCACGAGGAGGCGCAAGAATCCGACTTCTATCTCCCGTCCCACTCTTGCCGCCGCCAGCCCGCAGGCCACGACGCGTTCTTCGCCCGAAGCACGAATTGTCGGATCCGGACCACCAGTAAAAACCCGCCGTCGCTTTCCCCAGAGACGAAACCACACTGCACTCCGTTGCTCTTTTGCCCAGTGTAAACTCGATAAAGCAACACAGTAATCTTCCCGGAGGATGATCTAAAGAAATTTCATTGATATTTCATTCAAAAAGCTGCAGGTGGGCCCCAAAACGCGGGGGCGCAGAGCTGCGGTAACCAAAAAGGCGTGGGGAGCACGCGGGATCGGGTCGGTCGTTATGGAGGGCGATCGATCGATCGAGCGTGGGTGCGCAGACGTAACACGTCTCCCCGGCGGTCCATACCGCCGCGCGGGCCTTCGTATGCGAGCATATGAGGGCCGGTCTGCACTGCCATCCGGAGATGGGCTGCAGATGCGAGGGTGCGCGGGAGCCGAGTGCCAGGGGCCTTGCGGCCTGTCGGGGTATAACCCCATATCTGTTGGCATCTTCCGCTGGGAGCCGAGTCTGGATGGAACAAGCGTCGTCGGCTCCCGGCGGCGGGGGGATGCCCCTGCTCGAGCGGGCTCGCAGAGAGCGGACATCTCCGGTACGAGGTCAACAAGAGCGGATCGTTAGAGACATCGCCCCGGAAATGTCCAAACCAAAAAAGTAATCATGTTTCTGTTTCGACGTGAAATCTTGACAGAAGGATCTTGACAGGTCTCTTGACAGTTCTCTTCATGAGGATCTGGAGGGGTCTCTTGTAGACAAAATCTGTGCACACAGGGTAACACACTTGTGACACACGCGTTGGGTAGGCCAGCGCCATCAGCACCGTGGCTGTCCGCGCTCCGATACACCAACTAAAAAAGTTCAGCTTAAAAAGCAGTTCTCTGGAAAGGTTCTCTGGAGGGTTTCCCTGGAGGGCTCTCTTGTACGGCGCTTGTACTTGCCACATCACACTGACGCACTCAGGCAGTCCTCGGTGATCTTGGGCCAAGAAGCAAGGCCAGGTTTTCCGATCGCGATCACAGCAAACAAGCCAGTGAAAGCCGACCGGTGGAGACATGATGTGTACCCAGTACAACGACATGTACCCTGGGTCTCAATGCCACGACAGACCAAACAGGTCTTCGCGCAGAGTTCCCATGCAGCCACCGCGTGAAGACTCTAGAGAGTCGTCAACGCGAGTGGCCACGGGTGCGCCTGCCCCGCGTAGACTGTACACAGTCGCAGCGGCTCGGCAGCGGCGCATCAACGGCGGAGGATAGGATGGAGGGTGCGTCTGAAGCGTGTTGACTGCCAGGACCTTTCGGCCTATCACGACTGCATAAGCAACCGCACATCTGTGGCATCTTCCGCGGGGTCTGCTCCAGAATGATTCCACAGGGCCGGCATGCCGGGCAGACATGACGACGCTGAGGCTCAGTGTGCAGCGCGGACCCGGCGGCGGAGGAGTGTCCTCATCATCAGACGGCCTCTCCTAACAGGACAGGAGGAACGGCATCGCGGGATCGGGGCGGCGGGAGGGCGGGATTCGTGCTTCGACAGGAGGTGGTGAGGAGAAGAGGAGGGGTCTGGGATGGCGGGGGATTTATAGGGCTAGAATGCGGTGAGCTAGGCCAGGGGGCGGCGGCGTATCACGTTGACGTACGCGGTGGGGCGGGGCGGCCAGAGCGCGCTAACGCTGTGCCAGCTCACTGCAACAACAGTCACGCGGCGCTTGCACCGCGGGCTACTTCGCGTCGAGAAAGAGGCGATTGCTCGCGTGGGTGAATCGAGACGTTGAGATTCGCAGGCGGAAAGCTGTTGCCTGGGAGAATCAGGAGGAGAGCCCCAACGGAGTGTCGGGATCCAGGGAAGACCTGGGGTTTCAGCCCGGTGTAGAGGGGCCGATCCGTCATTCCTCCCAGGCTGCCTACGTCACGTGTAACGAGCGCGAGAGACTGCTCTCTGTCACGGTGAAGGTGAAGGTGAAGAGTGACCAGTCTCTCCTGCTTGGCATCTCGCATCCTCTACTCCACCAGCGGAATCGAGACTCCTATAGAACAAAAATCTGCACCTGGCTGCCTGGTCGTGTTCCCCAGTCGCACCTCGTGCGGCCCGCTTTTCTGCCAACCACGACCCGGATCACATGCGGCTGAACATGGCACGGCAACGCCCGGCTAACACGAGCCGTAAAGATTCGTGAAGTTCATCATCGTCGGGACATCACACCTGAATTATTCTATACTGAAATCCAGGTACGGCTTTCGATCTGTGCTGACTGTCCCGCGGGCCTAGCATCGACGCATTCCTCAGCGAGGTCAGCGGAACTGTACCTGTATGTTCGGATGAAGATGATGGATAAGGAAACCATGGATGAGGTGCTTGGAAAGTAGAAGAGTTTGCCACGCGCGGTGAGACTTTGGAAGAGGATTCCATGGATGTAGCGCTAGGAAAGTCGATTGCGTCCCATGAACGTAATGGGATTCCCTGAGGTCATTGAACGTGAATGATCGTCCATCATTACCCGTAACATATCTAAGTACCACAGCACCTACGCGAAGACCGAGCTGCTACAAGCCTGCACAAAGTATCCCGCATGGTTCGTCACCACCCTCCCACTCGGCATCGTAACCCTCACAACATTCTGCCCAACGCCGCCCCCATTCGCCCACAGAAACGTGAGCGGAATAGCATCGCCCGCGTTCAAACTCACGTACGCATTGCCGTCGACGTTGCCGCCGCCCGTGCGTGAAGACCGGATGGCGGCATTCGCATCGTTCCACGCGGAATACGCAGCATCCCCGGTCCACGCATACCCGTAATTATCGACCTCGTTCCCGCGCGATGTAAAGACGTGCGTCCCAGTCTCCTTCGCAATGAAAAAGCCCTGGAGCAGCAGCGCGGCGTAGTCGGACGCAAACGCGCGGCCGTCGGACAGCGTGAGCGTGGTGCTGCCGGACGGCCAGTTGGGAGTTGCGAAGGAGAGCGAGGAAATAGAGCCGCTGAACTCAGCGGAGAGGCCCTTGAAGTAGGTTGAAGTGAAGCCGCCGCCGTCGACGCGGTTGGCGTCGAACGAGTGCGTGTATTTGCGGTATTGGACGCCGTTGGAGGCGATTGTCGTGGCGACTGCGTAGGCGGTGAGGGTTGACGTCGTTGTGGCCTCTTCGGAGACGGTCGCGGACTCGGTGGTGGTTGAGGTCACTGTCGTTGTTGCGGTGGCAGTAGGAGTCTCGAAAAGAGTGCTGGCCTCTGTGATAGTTCCCGGAATCAGAGTCACTGTTGCAGTGCTGGTGGTAGAAGGTGTGGGAATGGAGAGACAAGAGCATGCAGTGGAGATGTACTGCTGTGACCAGTCCTTGGGAATCGCACTTGGTTTGGCATAATTCGCGGCTCCACGCTTGCCTTCCGGAGCTGGGGCTGCAGCGTCTCCTGGTATAACGCCAGTCGGCGCCGTGTAGGTGTAAGCGCTGTTCAGGCATGTGATAGTAGACGTCGAAGTCGTCGAAGTGATCGTAGCATAATCGGTCTGGGATGGTCAGTATCGTTTTGAACATCGTGAGGATGCACCCTACCCTCGTGCTGGTGGATGTGATGGTTTGAGTATCCGTGACAGTGGCGGTCTCTGTCTGCGTCGAAGTGACTGTGTCCTCGGTGATTGTGAGCGGAGTTGTCGTAGTCACACTAGCGGGCGTGACTGTGGCGGTTGTCGAGCTGCTATGTGTTAGTATGAATGAATACGTTGTCCGCTGTGTACTACGTACAAGGTCAAGGTAGGAATAGACAAGAAGCTAGAGCAGTACTTAGTAGCAGCTGCATCTTTCTCCAAAACATGAAGTACAACGTCGTTGACTTTGCAAAACAAGTCGTTGAGAACCTTCTTGTCGATAATCGGGGACGCAGAGACTGCCACAGGCAGAAGAAGTGCAACAGATCCGCGCATCTTTGCTGAATCGGGCAATCTGGACTAGCGGCGAGATATTTGCTTGCTCTTCTCACAGATCAACTGCGCGTAAAGATCTTTCAGCATTGTGGTGCCCGTCGCATTTATACTACAGAAACATCCAAGTGAGGAGCGGCGAGCCCGAAGCCAGGGCATGTGGCCTCGCTTCTCCCCGTCCCAAACGAAGCTGAGAATTGAGACATCTTTTCACACCGCGATGCTGGGCGAGCGTCGGCGACGGTCTTCCCGTGACGCGCTCCAGAGCGAAAGTGGTGTAGAGTAGCGAAGTCGGTGGACCACTACCTAATTTAGCAACTGAAGGCGTTCTCTAGGATGAATTAGGACTGGATGGGACGGATCGGGTGTACTTGCGGGCGCTAAAACCCCAGGACCCCTGACATCCCAACCCATTCAGCTGTGTTCTAGGTCGACCTCGCCAAGTTCGATATCGAACTGCAGGCAGATTTTCGTCCCTGCAGATACACGTGTGTTTGTGGTAGCTGCCGGCGGGGTAAAATTCCTGTTGGTGAGTGAGAGATCACCAGTTTTTTGGTCTGTTTGCAAGCGATGGAGCAAATCGCGCGTTCGTGGAAAAATTTTGCCCATGTCGTGGGCGCCTTCATTTTGATCGACATGGTAGTAGCAGTATGGTAGTGACATCCTTGGATTCATAGACCCGGTAGGACTACCCTCTCTCTCTCACACACACGGAAACCGCCGGAGTTCGCGCGTGTGTCACCAACATTAGCTACCTAGCTTGGGTTAGGCGATTACATACTGAGCAATGCTATTCTTCCTGCAGAGTTAGCTACGGATTTAGATTACATTTACAAATGTGACGCGCGTACATCCTTGTACTTTGACTCTTGACATGCCTGGCTAGCTGATGTGGTGGGCTATACAGTGATCTGGATTCTAGAGACCCACTCGAATACTGCCACTGTTCGCTTATGCTTGTCTCCGCGGTCCATTCAAACCTAGGGCGTCTAAATGGCACCCTACCAGCGTGACTCGTCGACATTGAGATCGACTAAGCGTCACAGATCACTATCATTTCCAGAAGACTGAGTAAGAAACCCCAGACCACTGATTTGATTGAAGAAATGCTCAAAGCAGTGTCGTATACTAAAGCTACAATCCGATGCGCCATGAGAGAAGTATTGTACGCATGGCCGGTATACACATCCTCCACTCCACGTTTCAACTTCTATCTTCAAGCTGGAAAGGACATCTAGTCTTGAAACTAGATTAAGCTACCTTCCGCACGTCTGTATACTGGATGACAGCCGAACACGATTTCCCATAGAAGTTAGATCTAGAACACTCAGCGAAATAGAGCCAGGGCAAAACCTCAGTTTTGACTCACTGTGACAGCAGTCCTGCGACCTTTCTGACTTCTACGTGATCTGGTGAAGGCTTGGGCTTGCCTTCTCTTCCTCTAATTCCAACCATCCGTTTCCATTGCGGACTCCGGTGATCGACTCACCCTTTTCTTCCTTCTCAATAGTCCCGTAGCTGTCTGCTTCCTTTCAATTGATGCCGCCGCCAGAGTTTTCGAAGGTGTTGGTTCCCGAATCATCAAAGCCGTCTATGACACCGGTTTCGTACTTGAAGGCCCCTCTGCCACGGCGCATCGTTGGAAAGAAAATGTCGATCCTGCTGCTCTCAGTATGCCTTCAGGCTGGGCATGAGTTGTAGAACATCTTACTGCGAACTCTGTTCGTGGTCCTTGTTGGTACTAAACAGCTCATGCTGGGATGGGTCGGCCTCGTTGTTCGTAGAGAAGCGGAGCAGTGGAGCAATTGCGTGACACCCCTCTTTTAGCTTGATAGGAATATTTGTGTGAGAGAAACGACGGCTGGTATCCTGCGGTGCGCCGGTCGGAGTACTGATGCTGGTAGACACTGTATCGGTATATATACACTGGGCGGAGCTGTGTCTTTGTTTGTTGAGATACTCCGATGAAGACTGGCGGTCGATTGATAATAGATCTGTGAAATCTTCTGCGCGTTTTACGATTTAATTGACTCAGACAACGATATTGCGAATGCTGCTTGTCTTATCAAACCTGAGTACAGGCTAACCGATGTCCACGACACTTGTCTCGAGTTAGTTTTCTTAGGATATCGTTCCCAATTCAGATTAGATTCCTCATTAACAAAGGCGCAATATGATTATGTCCGTACCACCGAGCATAATCCATTGCGGTGTGACCTTTCCCGTCGATAGCGTGCAACAACTTCGGGCTGTGCCTCGTGAACCTCGAAAGCAGATTCACAAGTATGACCAGATCTTTCTTCACTGCTAGCATGAGTGCGGTTCGACCCTTGGCATCGCGTGCCATGAAATCAGCGTTACGCTCGAGCAACCATTTCACTGCAGATATGTCGTTTCGCTTGACAAAAATGTGCAGAGCTGTTTCGCCTCGCTCGATTTTCGCATCAACGTCGGCCTCCCCGTAGTCCAGGAGTATTGCGGCTATCTCAAATCTCCTTTCAGGAGACTGAAACAATGCTATCGTCATCGCGGTCTCGGTCTGTCTCCCTCCTGAGATTGCAGGGTCGAATAGGGCGTTCGCATCAGCGCCATTTGCCAAAGCAACATCAACATCGTTCGTTGACCCTCGAAGAATTCCTTGAAGTAAAGCAACGTCGATATTAGTGGGAGGATCTCGTTTTCTGGGGTTGTATTTGTCTAAGAGAATGTTCGCTGCTGAGAAGTGGAAATTGTCCAATGCGTAGTCTCTTGCTTTCTTCCCAGCGGGACTACTTGTATCAATTCGAGCATGTTTATGCTTCCTGAGAGTCTGACAAACTCCAACAGATCCTGTAGCCGCAGCCAAATGTGCTGGTAGAAGCCCAAAGTGTGTTGCAATTGAAGCGTCGGCTCCTTTTCGTAGTAATTGCTGCACCACCGAAGTATTTTTCTTTTGACATGCAATGTATAATGGAGTCCTTCCAAGACAATCTTGTTGATTGTACAGAGACGGCATGTCCGACCCAATCTTCAGAGCCCTCTCCAGAAAGTACATCGTATTTGGCTCATACGAGTCCAGAACTCTATGGAGCGTGGTCCTTCCCAATACGTCGGTTCGCCCGGACAGATCACTCATCTCAAAACCACTGGCCCAAAACTGCCATTGTAACGTATGTTCTACCAGCGTATCCGGCATATATGGTACGGGGTTTTTATCCACGGGTGGGAACCACCTATGAAATCCAAGGTCCTGTGATTGTTCGGTGATACTGGTGTCTTCTTCGCCTAGAAAAATCTGTTTCAAGCTGGCAACCAACTCAGTTTCATGCTCTTCACACAAAGAGCGGCTTGCCAATGCACAGGCGAGGAGCTTCTTCCGTAAGATATCATCTTCCTCGAGAAAAGAACCAGCTACGTCCACGAAACCAAAGCCATCTAGGCCATTTCCTCTCATAATCTTGCAAAGCTCACAGTCTACTCTCTCTATCTGAAAAGCCCACCAGAGTTGAAGTCTGGCGGGAGCACCATGTATTCCAAGTTGTTTGGCTACGCTATTGAGCGCTTCAATCTTGTTTTCTATGAGCGAACGCACATGTCCTTGAGCTTCTTGTAGCTGAATTTTACCCTTCGGAGGCGTAACCTTGTTAATTTCAAATCTGTCCTCCGGAAAAAGCTTCAACAATTCCTTTTTTTGCCGGTCGAGCCATTCCAAGGCCAATTCAATATTTTTTTGACAGAGAATCATTTCCACTCTAGAGCACAGGTCAGTCAACATACTCGGAATGGCGCTGCACAGATACTATACATTTCGTTGATCTTGTTTCTTATTTCTGGCGTCCTTAGCCACTGATCCAGGTCACCTTCGGATTCGACTGAGTCTGTTGGCGTATTGAAAATTGCTGCCGCCTCTTTCTCTTGTTTTCTGGGGGCTCTTTTCGGCTCTGAGCACGGCAGCCCCTTTTGCTCGCATCGATCGCATTTTGCGGGCCATGCTCGGCATATAGGTAGACACTGAACAGTCAGCCAAGCATTCATTTGGTTTGATCTCGTGTGAAAATACTAACCTTTTGTTTTGCTGCACGGCAAGATGTACATCGTAACATGCTCAGTGAGCCTCTGTCGCGAGTGACTCGCTTTGAAACCCTCTGGGCTTCTACACGGGATATCGGCATTGGAGAACCCATTGTTGCTCAGCGACGTCTTTGGTATCGAAGCATTCACCTCCCAAAACCCTGGACGGTAACAAAATGGTAGTAGAGACAGAATTTCAGACGGGCTGCTTCGCAATACTGTCGACGAGTGGACCAAAGGTGTAAAGTGCAACGAAGTGCGACAAAGTGCGCGGGCAATGACATTATAGTTTGCCAGGCTGTTGTGGCTTGCGTTGTGTCACCCCCAGAGGGCTGTGTTGCATGGGGGCTTGCGTCTAATAGGGGGCGCACCTTCGCACTTGACAATGTACCATCCGCGTCTTGACCGGCCCGCCCGCATCAGCACCAGGATCACGTCGTATTCACCAATCGTCGACCTCGGCTGACGTTTCATGTAAGACTACGTTCATTGGACGCGCATCTTCGCACGTCTGCAGTCTGGTGTCAGAGCCTTAAAGCTGAGATATTTGTGACGTTCAATTGGCTACGCACCTGCGCACCTGAGAGCCTGTATCGCACGCGTTGCATGGTTCATCGTGCGCGGTCACCGCGTATTTCTCGTGCACCGACTCCTGTCAAACTAGCCCTCTACCAGGTTCTCACATCGGCTCGTGATAGGCTGCGCACCTTCGCACTCATGCACGGAGAGACATTGGAATCGCCAACCTGAGAGCTGTCCACCCCAGCATATCCACCTTTTGGTTCGGGAAAAGGCGATCAGCCACACTGCCAGCCTCCTGTGACTGGCTGCGCACTCCCGGGTGCGAACCTTGTCGAGGAAGAATCGAGGAAGCCAGGCCACTTTGTTCGGCGGGCGGTCATACAATAATGTGGCTGCAGAGCTACATTACTGGCTGCGCACTTCAGATGCGAGCAACTTTCAGTGCAGCATACCGGCATCCGCCTTGCTCGGCGGGCGATCATACAATGATATAGCTGCAGAATCGCTTCCTATCACTGGCTGCACACTTCAGGTGCGAGCAACTTCAGTACAACATATCCGCCTTGTTTGGAATGGCCATCAGACGTAGCGTTCCTGCAGAACCGCACAATTTCTTGACTGGCTGCGCACTCCAGGTGCGAGTGTGGCCCAGGACAGCATACCGTCTTTTTCGATGCACGTTAATCGGTCAAAGCGTGCCTGCAGACTCCCCACCTTGACGGGCTGCGCACTTCAGGTGCGATTCTAGGTGTGAGTACTGTCGACTCGTTTGCATCTGCGCCTCATTTGCAGAGGACGGCATCTGTACTTATAAAGTCTGGGTACTCAGTCGCCTTTCGACAGTACCACGAGTTCCACATCCCATTGCGATCACTTAGCGAAACGACCTGCGAACCACCCGACTTCAACATGGCACCGTTGTCAAATCTTACAACATCCACCCTCGCACTCTCGGCCACAAGCCCATCGCCGACCCACATCCAACCGTCAAATCTTCCGACTCTTTATGTACCAGACACGAAAGCGCGGAATGCCGTCATTTTCGGTACGATTGCTACAGTGCTCACAATCATCGGGATTGTCATCGCGGGTGCAACTCTCCGTATTGCGTACCAGACTCGTCGTGTGGACAACGATCCAGGCTCTAATAGTGCTGAGACTGGAGGCACAGATATGGACATGGAAATGGCCTCCATTGATGACAGCCACGCCTTGTCTCAGACATTCACTGTGGACAGTACCGTCGGACGGAGCGAGCCTTGATGCCTTGGCTTGGTCCAGGTATGTCACCCTTCTTCCATACTTGAAAGCTCCACTGACATGCATTCAGACTCGGTGCAATTATGTGCGTGAGCTTTGCCGATTAGCCACGATAGCGGCAAATGTTATCACCGGGTGCCACATCGCCATGCCAATCCCGCGATGTATTTCGAACGAACTGTAAGCTAAGGATGAGGGAATAAAAGGCTTTAGCTTAGCAATACGATTTGGGGGTGTTCTCACTCGGCATGGTTGCTCCCCTGCGGAGTTCAATCGAGACATCTCCGGACGTTGTTTACTATCAAATGAATAATCTTCCACTATTGCTCTACATTGCGGACTTGTCGTCAAAACGCTCCGGCCAGGGTCTTCAGCACGAAGCCTACGGCAAACCGGCCACCAGGATATCTATCGTTCGAACTTCATGCACTACGCGCGAAGCATACGTGTTAGTTATCGACTGATAGGCCAACTCATCTATCAGCCACATCTCCACAGCAAATACTCAACACTCTTGCTGAAACCACCTCATCACGCCCCTGTAGACAGCGCCCCCAGCGTAACATTCCCACATCCCGCATCGTATTTCTGCGGCCTCGCAAACGTCACTCCAGCCTGGCTCCCGATCGCAACCTCCCCCCAGCTCGCCTTCTCAGCATCAAACTTCGGCCACCCAAGCTTCTCTAACCCTTCCTTAGGATCCTCCACAAAAGCGGCCAAAGCACGTTGAAATAACCTCACGGTGTTTTCTTGCGCGGCCGTCTGCGGAAGCCCACTCGCATCCACAGAGCTATTCAGCAACATGTGCAGCTCAGTCCCGTGATACGCCCTGCTCGTCGGATACAACCTTGTGTTATCCCAGTCACCAAAGTACCGATACACCCACGTCGGCACACCCGCCTCCACACGGCGCCGCGCCTCATACGATGTTGGGCATACGAAGGACTCCAGCAAGAACTGCGCGGCCTGTGTGTCGCTGACGTTGCGACCCTGCGCGTATGCTGGGATCACGTAGTAGCCCTGCTCGTGGTCGTTATGGCCGTGGAAGTAGGGCAGCGGGGCAAATCGCCCCGCTGAAGCGAGAGAAGCGTAGTCCGCAAAGACAGTCTCGTTGTCGATTTTGGGGTAGAACGGGGGCGTAGAGCGGACGGGGCTGCCGCCGGGGCTGGGCGCGATTTTGGACACGGCGGCAGAGATGGTGGAGAAGGGGAGGCCGCGCATGCAGGCCAGAGTCTTAGATGCAGGGGAAGAGGCATTGCCGCAACCCAAAGAGGCGGACAGTGCGAACCAGTTGGCGACCTGTCTCTCGGGAGTATTCATTGGGAAGCTGAAGACGTTGCCGGACGTTGAGACTAGACCGTGGACAAGGGCGTTCGAAGTGTAGGCGTAGGACCACCAGTCTACGCCGACGCCGCCGGAGGACTGTCCGCCAATGACAATCTTCTGGGGGTTGCCGCCGAAACTTTGAATGTTTGCATGGACCCATTCTACGGCGAGGCGCTGGTCGCGTAGGCCTAGGTTGGTGTCGGCGCCGGGAGCGCCTGGGAAGCCAAAGACGTTGAGGCGATAGTTTGCTGAGACGACAATAATGTCTTCCGTGTCAGCGAGGTACTGTCCGTTGGCGAACGGGGTGTTGGTGTTGCCACCGGCAAAGCCTGTCAAGGTCAGTTACGAAAAATATGGAGTCGAAATGCAGACGATCAGTGACTTACGTCCTCCATGGAACAAGATGAATACTGGTTTATCTGCCTTGTGAGACTTTTTCGTTGGTTTGGCCCAGATGTTCAATGTCAGACAATCCTCACTCCGCTGCTTGAATGTTAGTAGAAGCTAGCATTTGGCCGGAATAACCTTACAGTAGTATTGGCAGCACCCGTGAAGTACGCCAATATCCTCAGCGCTTGAGCAGTGAACCCCGGAAACGCAGGCTGGACGGCGGCCTGTTGGGGGCAGTCGCTACGATTGGTCAGTACATGCGCACCTATCTCACGAAGCTTATACGCACTATCCCTGCGCCTAACATCAGTAAACCGATCTGAGGCACCAGATAAAGTTCTTACAAAATGATCTGCCTTGTACGAGCCGTTCCCCTTATACTTCTGTGGCGCCGCGAAGCGCAAGTCCCCCAGTGGTGGCGTCGCATACGGGATTCCCAAGTACTCCCAGACATCATTGACTTTCGCTGACCGATGTCCGGTAATAGGTCCATTCTCTGTATCCACCGTCTCAAACGAAGTTTCTGAGGCTGCACGTACTAGACCGGAGGCACCAAAAGCACACAACCAAACCGCGAGTGCTGCGAAACCGCGCATCTTGCAGCTGCACGCGAGGACAGATTACCGGTAAGCGAAGGAGGAGGTACAAAGGGACCGCACTTGCAACGAAGCAGGCATGGTTTTCTTCTGCCAATTGTACCTTCCGCTCAAGTCCAAGACTGTGGCGGCGAATTAAATTGCCTTGGTGCGGAACAGGCAAAGATACGCGTGGGGTGCCGTCCAGACTGGCGGTGTTGGGATCGCACCCATAACACAGCTCCATCCCTTGTTTGGCAGGCGGAGGCTGGACGGTCGCAAGATGTCCAGACCACAAGTTTCTTTGCCGCGAGTTACCATGCAATACCGCATCGTGTTCTCCCCCAAGCTGCCAAGTCGCACACCTACGTCAGCCGCGGTAAAGACCCTCGGAAATAATACATCGTACCCAACCGTGCCTCCGCGCGTCCCGCACCCGCGATCACCAGAGGATACAACTCCGACAGGCGCATGCATACAAGACGAGCCCCTAGCCCTGCTAACTACCAAGAATTGGCAGCTCGGCGCAGCATACCGATAACCCTGCCTCCGGGATTGGTACCGGTACGATGGTCCTGGCCGTCCAACCGAGAGACGCGGCGGCGACGGCGCGCGCTCCAAGAAGTGTAGGAAGGGCCGAGGACATGCTCAGGGTGCATGTACCTAACAGCTCGGGATATGGGGAGCGAGAGCGACAGGTATGATATGAAGACTGGCACAAGCGCCTTGCAGCGCGAATGCACTGCTTTTCGATATGGCTGTCAATGTGGGATTCCCGGCGGATGGTGCAGAGAATCAGGGTTGGAAGCTGTACTTGACGTCTCTGATCATGGTTCTTTGCGCGGGACTGTTCGTAATCGCGAGGGTCCTCACACGTGTGCGCATCTTTGGACTCAAGGCCGACGACTATGCGATCATAGCATCTCTAGTGAGTCCAGAGAATAAATAGAAATCGAACGCATTGTCCTGCTAACCTGGTTGCATAGACTTTTTCCATCTTCCTGTCCATAGCCATCCAGCTCGCCGTCGTGCATGGCTACGGCAAGCACGTCCGCGACCTCAGCAAGCCCGAACTACGGACGTGTCTCAAGTTCTTCTGGCTCGCGCAGACGCCATACAAGATTGTTGTGTGTTTGAACAAGACGTCTGTCATTCTGCTGTACATGCGCATCTTCATCGGGCACCGGTTCCGACTGCTTTGCTCCTGCGCCCTTGCGATTGTCATCGGCTCCGGTATTGCGACGGTCTTCGCTACCATCTTCCAGTGCGTTCCACTCGAGCGCTCGTGGAACAAGACTGTGGAGGGGAAGTGCATTGATAGCTCGGCATTTTGGATTGCGAATGCTGTGATTAACATATCGACGGATGTGATAGTGCTTGCGCTTCCCGTCCACGAGGTCATCAAGTTGCAATTGAGACTGCGCGAGAGGATCATGCTGCATAGCGTGTTCTTGCTGGGTGGATTGTAAGTCCTCGAGATCCCCTCGCCTCTTAGTGACTTATGCTCTGCACGCAGACAGACTGGATGCAAGTGTTGACCAGCGACAGCGTAACTGTAACATCCATCCTCCGCGTCACCGCCGTCGCAAACAGCGTCCACAACCACAAAGACCAAACCTGGGAGTTCATCCGCCGCGGCGTCTGGACCCTCATCGAAGCAAATCTCGGAATAATCTGCGCATGCTTGATCGTCCTTCGCCAGCCACTCGCACGCCTGTGCTCAAAAGTCTTTGGCGCGACAAAGACGGGCACGAGCAAAGGCTACCGCTATGGCTACAGCGGTAACCTCACAGCACTGGGTACGGCTGGAAGCTCACACCGCGGCCTCCGCACTTCGTCCGCCAAACAGCATTGCAAGCTCGACGACACGAGTGACTGGGAGGACGCGCGAGAAAACTTCGATGAAAGGAGGCGAAGAATTGGTACGGAGGATATGTGGGCAGGGCGCGGGTCGTTCCGGATGACAGCTGTTGCGTGTCGTGGGGACGTGGAGACTGCGAGTAGAAGCGACGAGCGGTATATCTTGCCAGCCAACGAGGCAGGAGAAGACTTTTGCCAGAGCCGTTTGGAGGGTGAAGATGGAAGGGCGAGTTGGCCGTTTGACAAAGAGCTGGGGATTACAAAGCAGGTGGAGATCCAGGTCGACTCTCACCCTTCAGCGCGGCAGGCCCCTTGAGGAGAAAACGATGACGACAAAAAATCTCAAGATCTCAGAGACTGTTCTTGATAGCTGTGCAGGTTAGGGCACATTTCCCGAAGACAGTCTCGATTTGTATTGATGCGCAAGCGAGTGCACCCCCTCCACTTCCTTCCACACCATTGGCAGCCTCGCGCACGTCAGGACTGAGGCGACAGAAAGACATAGCCTAGATGAGAGCTCGCCAGGATTAAGGAGACTGTAATACAGCTTCCAGCCTCGCGCCTTGCAATCCCACGATCGATATGGCGAGAGAACCATCAACCATATATCACATAACTTGGAAATATTTCTTTTGGCTCGCCCCCTATGCCGCCGGTCTGTAGATTGTGCCATGAGACTCTGGGGTTGATAATGCTTTTATTTAAGCCATTGGTGCGAAGATAAGCCACCGTTACAGCTTGGCTTGTATCCAGGGTTGCACAGAAATATTGTGTGCGTTGAATTGTGCAGATGAACTCGGGTGGCGCTGGGTTACAAGCATGAAGATAGAGCCCTCTGTGGATAATCACTGTCAGATTGTGTTGCCCGTAGATGCACTGTACATGCCGTCAAGACTAAGACTACCATACACTTTACAATAATCCCGCGATCCGCCATCCCACGGTGCCAGTTCCATCTCACAGCCTCTTTCTACCGACTGAACCTCAAGCCCTACCCTGCCTTGCCCAGAACCGCGCCGCATGTACACCGCGCACCGCGCACCTCGCGTCTGGCACTCCGAACAATGACATAGCCGTAAGCCATCGCCTCAGCTCCAGCGTAGACATGGACAACTTAGCAAGATAAAACGAGTCCCAACTCGCGCCTGTTCCCTGGAATCCTCGTCCCAGCCAACGACGTCCACATCCAGTATCATGTCTCCACCCCTCATTTTTCGACCATGCCCCCCTGACGCGCCACCTTCTCCGCGCGGCCCCGTTTCTCAAAGAACCACAAACACCAACCCCAGGCCCAGACGAGCGCCTCGTGAAACTCCTCACAGCAGGCGTCTTCCACTCCGACATGACCATCCTCAGCACGAGCGCCCCGCCCACGGCATGCAAGCGGCGGTCGTGGGTACTCAAGGGGGCGACGATCAAAACAGGGTACAATGGGACGATGGAGGCGTCTAGGAGTGTTTGGGGTTGATGGCGAGGGGGTGCTAAGGCCCAAGGCGGAGACGGGGGAGATTGGGAGGTTGCCAGAGGTGCTGAGGGAATTGGATGAAAGGAAAATTAGGGATAGGATGGTTTTATTGCTTGATAAGGAAGGAGGGGCGTAGAAATGATGGTGGCGGTGAGCACGTAGACTCTGCGCTTGTCTTGTATGGGTGTAATTCTACATGGCAATAATCTAGTCTAGCTCTAGTTCTATGCAGAACAAGCAATCGTACACGCGCCGAAGATGCATAGATGGTGGTCTATAGCTTCGCCTTCGCCTTGCCGGCTGCCTCCTCGGCGAGCGCCTCCTCGTAGCAGTCGTCGAGTTCCTTTCGGAATGCCTTCGCTGTCTGCGGGCGCTTCAACTTGAGCCTGTTTCGCGTTAGCTTCGATCTTTGCAAGAAAAGGAGTCGAAAAGGGTACTCACGTCGGCGTCAAAAGCTGGTTGTCTACCGTAAACGGATCCAAGAACAACCTCACCGCCTTCACCTTCTCGTAGTTGTTAAACTTGTTCTTCTTGCCCACACGGTCAAGTTCCTTCAGCACCGCCTTCTCCACCTTCTTATGCTTCAGCGCCGCCTTGAGCGCCTCAACATCGCCAACCGCAATCTTCTCGCCCAGCACTTTGCTCGCAAAGGCGGGGAACATGTCCGGCGCAACCCCGAATATGGCAACGAGGAACGCCTGGTGGCTGTCACCGTGTACGTACGCGGTCGCAATCCACCCGCAGTTGGCGAGATACACGTTCTCGATGCGCTCGGGGGAGATGTACTCGCCCTGCGCGAGCTTGAGCACATTCTTCCTACGGTCGATGATCTTGAAGCGGCCGAGCTCGTCGACGGAGCAGATGTCGCCCGTGTGGAACCAACCGTCGGCGTCGACCGCCTTGGCCGTCTCCTCCGGATTGCGGAAGTACTCGCGGAACTGCGTGGTGGACCGCATGAGCAGCTCGCCGCGCGGGTACGGCTTGTCCATGGAGGAGTACTCCATGTCAGGGACGTCGAGGAGGCAGACTTCCGCGCAGGGGGCGGGGCCACCGCAGGAGCCGGCGGAGAAGTCGCCCTCGGATTGGACGACGCCGATTGCGTAGGTTTCGGTGAGGCCGTAGCCCTGGGAGAAGTTGTTGCTGAAAACGATGCGCAGGAATTGGAGGAGGGAGGGGTCGATGGGCGCGGAGCCGGTGACCATGGTCCTGACGCGGTCGAGGCCAAGGCCAGCGGCGACTTTCTTGGACCATATGCGGTCGTAGAGCATGTGAGTGTTGCTAGGGTTTTGCTTGTCGTGGATGGCGGCGAGCTTCTTGGAGACAACATGGCGAGATAGTGCACCTCTGGCGCCGGCCTGTTGGACGGTCGCGTCCTTGATGGCAGACCCGAACCTGTTGTACAGTCTTGGTACACCTGCGACGAGGGTGGGTTGCAGAACCTTGAGATCGTCCACCAACTCTGCGATGTTGCCGTGGAAGTAGCCAATGCACGAGCCCGTGCTCAATGCACTGTGCTCTCCTAAGCGCTGGTAGATGTGGGCAAGCGGAAGGAAGGAAGCATAGACACCGTCATTGGTGCCGCCGAGCATAATCATCGAGGAGCTAATTCCTCCCTGCGCAGCTCGGTGTGTCAAGACGACTCCCTTGGGGTCTCCGGTGGTGCCGGATGTGTAGTTGATGGTGACAATGTCATCGGGAGTAGGAGCGTTGTATGGCAAAGGCTGCTTCTCGCCCAGAGCTTCTACATCTCCGATATACTGGACGGAGACACCCAAGTCAGTCGCCATGGCGTTCAAGAGATCGCTTTTCGAGAAACCAGCTTGTTCGCCAGCCGAGAGCGGATCCATGACAACAATCAGCTTGAGGGTCGGTAGGCGCGGCTTCAGTTTCAGCAGGGTAACTACATGGTTCAGAGAAGTGACGACACAGTTCAGCTCTGCGTGGTTGATGATGTATTCAACGGTGTCGGGACCCAGGGTTTCGTACAGGGAAACAGTGTATAGGCGCTGTGACATGCATCCCAGATCTAGAGATGTTAGCCTCCTTCAACAGTGTTGATCGCCAAGTCCCAGCATCTAGCTCTCCGCAAAAGCCTAGAAATCCAGACGGTGGTCACTTGGTCACAAAAAGGAGTATCTTACCAGTGATCTGCCACTCGGGCCGGTTCTGGCACCACAAGCCCACGCCATAGCTCTGGGCAGTCACGCCCGCCTGCTTGTGCAGGTGCACGAGACCCGCGCCGAAGTTCTTTCTCCGTCGCTGGACGGTCTGGTAGTCTTGCCATACGTATGCGCCAAAGATCTTGGTGACGGGATCGTACGGACGGTGGCCCAGGCACCTGTTCTTGGGGTATCTCGCGGCTGTGGCACTCAGTTAGTAAGCCACAGCGACATCTAGAGTACGTCCCACGTACCAGCCGCCTCAAAGCCGTCGTGGGCCGTCTTGATGGCGGGGTCCAACGTCTCGAGCAGCGGCTTGTCTGCAAATCTCCAATGGCGGTACACAGCGCTGCGTCCTTCCGTCTGTGACCCGGGCAGCGGAACGCCGTAGGGCTGGCCCTTGGGTGGCGGCACTGCGTATTCCTGCGCACGCTGCAGCTGGACGTCTCCTGTCCCGAACATGGTGACGTTCGTCTTCGGAGTCTCAAGGTATATATCTGGTGGGCGGCGCGAGTTCTCCGTGTCCAGCTATGGAACACACACGTAGCGAGCGGTGGAGGTCGACGACGTAGTTCCGGAGCAGTTACAAGGAGCAAATGCTGGAGTCGGGCTGCAGACCTGCTCCGCGCGTTAGCAACCCCAGATCCTCCCGAGGCCAGCGTGGGTGCTCGGCGTGTCCGATGACATACCTGTTACGATGTCTTGGCTTCCTTCGCTGATGCTGAGCGAATGCCTGTACTTCTCCAGCTTCCAGCACAGAGATACCCAGGGAATAAAGACGCGCGGTGGTAGAACTAGGAGATCTGGAGAAGCTGGAGAAGCTGGAGCGCAAAGGAGCCGCGGCATCCAGCGCTCCACCTTTTGAAATGCACACTGATGCGCTCGCCGGTCGCATAGGGACGCTAGCCCGCGAGCCGAGGCACCGACTTCGCAGCCAATCACGGCGCGTGGCTGACGGAGTTTCCGAGCATGCGTTTCGGCCATGCCAGCGTCGCACAGCGACAGCCGCGCTGAGCACTACGAGGCTCTGCTGGCCTCCGCGATGCGCCTCCAATTGCAAGCTTACAGTGCACAGGCTCACATGCCACATGTTGCTTTTCACATGTTGCAGGGGCGCAGCAGCACGCGGACATGCAGCGTGAACCAGCTCGGAAGCCAGGCCACATTGGGCAAGCTGCCCCAGATCCACTTGGCGTTCGCGCCAGCGCTGAACGCTCCACATGCAGGTGCTCTGACCGTGGATTTGTCCTGGACGACACAGTAAGCACATATCGCAGCGATTAGATTGTGCTTCAGAGTAGGCTGTGTATCTAGCCATAGTGTGCTACTTCCTGCCACATGGGAACCCACACCTCGCTTCCGGTAGTTAACTCGCCAGAGCGAGATTTGCAATCCCCTAGATTTTTCTCCACCAAACTTGCGTCTAGGAACACTCCAACCAGGACGTGGCATCATAGTAGCAACAATACCTATTTGTTGGGTGTTGGACAGTAGCACGCACAGCAATATCTGTCTCACAGCCAACAATATTTATCACTTCAAGATGCATCCACTGAAGGGACCCACTGGAGACCAGGAATTATGATAGGAAGGGGATTGGCCACCTGTGTCGCGTGGAACTCCTCGAAGCTATGGACACCGTCGCCTCGACTCTCTGTTCCTCCCCCGAGGTCATGATGGTCTCTGGGCTTCTACGCTACGCTGCGGTGACCCCGGTCAACAATATCTACAAGCTTGATTGCGGGCATCATCTCTGCATCGAGTGCTTAGAGTAGTAAGAGCACGGATGCAGACATATTTTTTCGACGGGGAAGGCCTTCCTATTCACGTGGACCGAGCCATGGAGAGGGAGCCCTTCCGCGGATTTACATCTGCAAGGATTGCCATCTGCACTCTTTCGGTTCTACTGATGCCATAATCCAACGCTTAGACAGTGACGATGCGTTGGAGACTATGTACTACATCGCTGGAATCATCGGCCGGGTCGCCTTCCATACGCTGATGCAAGCCGGCTTGAACAGCGAGATGTGCCTTGTGACGATCCAGGAATGATGGCGTGAATGCGTCGAAGACGTCAACGAGCCCTACGATCTTTCTATTTGGACTTTCGCCTCGACACCCGCGAGCGGATTGACAAAGGCTTTCCAGCGACCTTAGTAACTACGTGCGTCTGGAGGGAGGAGGAACTGAACGGGATCTTTTCAACTTTACGACCCACAACGCACATGGATCTTGAGGAACCTGTCATCACTTGGGCACTCATCCAGGCCAAGCACTTCCAAACCACATGCAGTTTGCTCCCTGCGATACAGAACCGCAGTCCCACACGTTCAGCATTATCCACCCGACTCCCCTCTGTTCCAATGCTCCCAGGCGCTATACCCCGGTGGGATTATTGCCGACATAGTGCTTTTCTTTGTCACGGGGTACTTGCGTTGGACATGAAGAGGACTTCGCAAAGCCAGGTAGGCACACGCGCTCGCTGGCGAGCTACACTTGTGCAAAGATACTTGTACGGATGATGACGGAAAGAACTGGCGCAACCATACTCCCATACTTCTCAAGCAACGCTCGACTTGATCAGTGGCTGGAATTTGCTGTCGACTTCTCGCGGGGCGCTCAAATGCTCCCCTTACGCCAACTTTGCATCCTCCACTATATATATAGTTCATGGAGGTTTACATCGCCGGAAGGCACCCCTGGACACCTTGCGAATCCTCAGGGATGCCAACTTCACCGCCCCATCTCTTAGACAACACCTTCGCGCATTGGCCAACAAGAACGACAAGTTGATGGAGCGGAGGATGGAGCACAAGACCAAAGAGGAGTACGAGCGGTGGCTGTAGATGCTCAGGTTGATGAAGTGGAGGCAGGCTCTCAGGATGGGGAGCACAGTCTCCCAATTGTCGTCTACACACCGCCGGGGGCCCAGGCTACTGCTTCTGGCGACAGCTCTAATCTACACTCGCCCTGAAATTGCGATCCTAGAGATGCGAACTACTGATACATGCCTGAGGTCAAGCTCGACGAAGCTTTTAGGCTCAGGAAAGCCGGGAGTATAGAGCTACTTGGGAAGACTTCAGATCAGTCTACAAGCCACGTGACGAGTACGGTTGGATGATTTGGTCGCCGAAGCGATGAAAAAGGTAGACGGAGGAAGATTATGCAGATGCGATTCGGGTCAGGAGATTTGCAAATGTTGGAGGTTATGAGGAGCGGAAGCTGATGGATTGTTGTTCGAGCTGTTGTGGTGGGATATGTGTGAGATGTTGTGGTGAGAGGCCTGCTACAAGAGGCTGGTGCCAGGGACTGGGCTTAATAACCTTCGTAAGAGTAATGTCAAAAATGTTTAGGATTTGGTAAGAAATGATCTTGATAGTGAATCGCGCACACCGCGCGTCGGCAACCGAGAAGTATTTACAATGCAACCCTCAGCTAGAAAAACACATTTTGTCTGACCTGAAACAGGCAAAGCTACCACAACGCCGTTGAAATGATAGGGGAACCCTTTCGTCTTCGTATCGACCGTAAGATTAGAAAACCAGATGAGCGGATCCTCTACGACGACTTCTTCTCCTCCCTATCGTCTTTCGCGTCTTTCTCGTCCTTCTTTTGTGTCTCCTTGACCTGCTTCTTCGACTCAGACTTCGACTCCGACGGGTGCTGCTGCTGCCTCTTCTTCTCAGCCGCCTTGCGCTCGTTCATGCGTACCTCCTCAGCCTCAACCATCTCTGCAGTACGTTAGTCAACCATCCCAACACAGTAATTCCACACTGCCAAGCTTCGCGGCAGGACGAAGCATGACAGATGCAGCACACGTACCTCTCCACTGGTCCTCGCCCGCATACCGCTCATGATGTATCTTCTTCTCAATCATGTGCTTGTGCTCGGGATCATTCGGATCCAGCACGGTGATAGTCTCCCACCGTCCCTTCCCCTTCGCAGCATCGTTGCCCTCGAACGCAAAACTCGCGAGCAGCGCCGACAGCGTGAGGCCCTGCGCGTACATACGCGCCTGCACGAGCTTCTGCGCGCCGGACATGGGGCTGCGGTTGACGGCGATCCAGGAGCCGGCCATGGACGCGACCCAGAAGCCGAAGAGCAGCGGGTACCGGTTTTCAGACGCCCAGTCCTTTGCGCGCGTCATGGCGGTCTTGTTGGCATTGTAGAGTTCTTCGCGGTGGCGCTCGCGCTCGAGTTCACGCTGCTTTTCGGGGTTGTGCGAGATGTCGAAGGCGTTGGAGGCGCGGTCGGCGGCGATGACGGCTGGGGCGTCGTTAGCATATTGTAATGGTATTAGAAGCTTGGGAGGAAATTTACGTACCGACGAAAGAACCGGCGGATGTGACGAGGAAGGCGCGGAACGGTATTGAGAGCGCGCGGAAGCTGTGGTATCTTCTGCTCGCACCCACGACCGCCGCGGTGCCTATCCCCAAACCGATGAGACCACCAATGGTTCCACCCTGGACAGTTGCACTGTCGCAATGTCAGCCTCAATCCCATCCGCATATCCATCTCATGCACTCACTTGTAATGCGCCTGCTCCTCTTCTTTCGTAAGAATCTTCATGGCGTTTTCTTTATTGTGCGATAGCTGTCGTCAAATCTCGAATCGGACAACGCAGTAGGGTCGCTGGTATAGAAAGTGTATATGCAGTGTGTACAAAGTGAGGACTTGACGTAAGGCTCGGGGGCGACGTCAACTTTATAAAAGATAAGTGAAGCAGGCGGCGGCCGGGCGACGGCAACAATACTCAATGGTGACGTCGCCGAGCGCCCCGAGCTAAAGCCTAGAGTCGGCGGCACCACCCGGCTTACACGATGCACCTCGAACGAGTCCGGTCAGTTCATCACGCGACATCTGAGTGCATCGGCGTCTTCAAGATTGTTTGTTTCCAATCGCCGAATTCGAGCATGTGTTTAAGCTAACAACTAAATACCAAAAGCTGGCAAAGATGTTTCTACACATCCCAAAGCTACTATGGAGCTCCGAACAGCTTCCCATGACGACACTTACTACCTCCACAGTCCACATCACGAACCCATAAACGCAACGCGTCCGCTGCCGTTTGAAAATGTTCAAGTAAGCATCCATAATTTTCGTCAAACACCCGAGATCCGCAAAACGCTCGGCCTAATCTCGAAGATGCCGAAGCGGCATCGCGGCAGTTACGGCACGCCGCAAACCCGCAACACAAATATCGACGCTTCCAGCTCCTCCCTGATCTTGAAAAATGCCATAAAACAATTTTGCTATGATGCCGACTCATGGCGTTGCTTATTTGTCCCTGTGAAGACTTTTGTGCCAAGTTGAGCGAGCTCCGAATGCTAACCGACGCGACACCGAGCATGCCCGATGCTCGCGACCAACTCGGGGCTGGGAATTCTCGCGATTTGAGAGATGCATCGCATGAGCACCGACTTCACGAAAGTTGCAAACAAGACAAGAGATATAGCCAGGATGCCATCGATTTTGAAAAATACCTACATCCCAGACGAACTCGTAATCATGCCACCATTTTGCCCTGTTTTGCTCAAATGAAAGGATACGCATACAACGTAACAAGTATCAAGTAGCTCCATTAGGCTCATACACCTGGCGTCCACGGGAAACTTGCAACAAGTCTGCTTTGACTGGAGATCCGCCGTGATAGACAAAGGAGGAAATAGAAAGGTGATGTTTTCCAGGAAACGATGCTAAACCAACCGACGGTAGGAAATGCAGTATTTTCGTTTCCCAAGGGCTTCGATCAATCTTTTCGACATGGGCGTATTTTGGGCATATCCATGATACCTTTTGGAGATCGAGGACGTAAGCGAATGCGAGCGCGTCCATAGCTACGTGCGATACCCAAACGGATAGTATGCTGCAACATTTTGGTCGATTCTAAGAAAGAGGTACCGGATTGAGATCGTTGCAGCTACCAATATGTTGGTAGGGTCGGCATGGAAATCAGCGGAAGCCACCATAGGCACTGCCGCCTCCGCTTCGACTAACGCCGGAGTAATTGCGCGACATGAGACCACCCGGCGGGCCAGGGCGGGTCGCAAGAGCCGGGTTGCAGCAGAGCATAGCGACACGAGAGCCGTACTTCGAACCGCGGAGGGAGACCATATGTTTGCGAATGTGGGAAGCGACCACCTCACGGTGGTGAGCACCGCTGTTGGTGAGGATGTACTGAATCAGGTAGTTGCCGAACTGATCACCAGCGACTGTTCCTTGTTAGCAGGAATCACGGTCACAGATGCATCTACTTGCTATCAATCAACGGCATGCGGGGGCGATCCTGACGGCCTTCGCAGACCCTCTCGAGGTACCGATCGAGGAAGTCATTGCCACCAATCTTGAGGCACTTCTCGATGACCTTGGATGCATACTGGTCAACGCTGTAGTCTGTTGCAAATCGAAGGATATGATCGATGGCTCGGCTGCGGTCGGCGGGAGCTCCATGCTCGCAGATGTGCTGGATGCACCAATTGCCGAATTGGCCATGGGAGATCACATCGATGCTGGCCAGCACCTCGTTGATACAGGGACGCTGCTGAGCGTTAGCTTGAAATTGTCACACATGTTCTCCGACATACCTTGTCTTCCTCAAGACAGTTCTCGAAGATGTTCTGAACGACCAGGCTGCCAGTCTCGCCCAGAGCGACTTCATGCCACATGCCGCGAAGGGCCTCGTTGACATATCGCATAATCTGAGGCGGAGAGTCGCTCCAGCGGAGCTCGAAGAGCTTCTGCCACACGTGACAAGCGTATCGGTGGATGACGGTCTCCGGAATGCGTCGAAGAAGCTCGTGGACCATAGTAGCTTTATACTCCTCAGGAACGCAGTCGAACGCCTTCTGCACGACGTGGCAACCGAACGGGTCCATGCTTAGAGTGAGCGTGTTTCCTCGAATGGCGCCGGCGATGGCGATGACCTGCGAGGAGCCGTTAGCAACGCTCCTCATAGTCTCGAAGTTGATCACGTACCTGCTCCGGGGTTCCATGCTCGAAGCAACGCTGCACGAGGAAGTTGCCGAAGCGGTTGACCATAAGAGGATACGCCTGAGCGATGATCGACTCCACGATCTCGTACTTCTGCTCAGGTGTGCCGACCTTGAGTTTCTGCTGCAAGAAGATGGAGGCCTGCTGGTCGTTGTTGCAGATGATCTTGTCGACGATGTACTTCCAGTTGCAGCTCATGTTGCGGTCTAACAGACGGCGATAGTTCATCGGCTCAACGGGTGCGACGTACTGAGATCCATTGCCAGCATCAGAAGGCGGCTGTAATTGATTAGCTGCATAGCACAAGCGTCGCTCTTGGATTTGGGTTGACTCATACCTGGGAGTTCCAAGGCGATGGGCCCATGGCGTCTCTAACGCTGAACTCGGACGCCTCAGGCGAGAGCCTAGTGCCCATAGGTCCGACGGGCCCGACAGTCTCAATGAGACTGGGCTGATAGGGTGTGTACATTTGCGGACCCACGTACTGATTGTACATCGGAGGATCGAAAGCGGATGTAGGGCGGGTCGGCGGGTTGCTGCCACCGCGGAAGCCTTGATCAAGCGGGAAATGGGTAGGCTCATTCAAATAGTTGTTTCGACCACGGTAGGTCTGCTGAAGCATGGGAGGACGGGCAGGAGCCTGCATGTTCGGAAAGCCTTGCTGAGGCTGAGCAGCGGCGTTGTAAAAAGGACGGGTCTCGTTGCCCCAAGCATAGTTGGTACGGTTTGCTGCATTGAATTTGTTCTGCAGCTGCTTGAGGGTTTGTTCAGTCACCTCATCATTGTAAGTGTAGTCTGCTTCTGATGACTGTCCAAGATGCTCGACGGTGGACTTGGCGACGTGGGTACTGTGGAGCTCCTGGTTCATGCGAGCCACTTCGCTGCGCGCCTCTTGCAGCTCAGTCTTGAGCTTGCGTAGCTCAGCAGACTCGACCATGACAGAGTCATGCTCGGTATTGGGGGTTCCGTTGATGTACTCATCCGTGGCCGGAGTCAACGGGAAAGAGCCGTTGGAAGAACCGTACAGGTCGTTGGGAGAAGACCGCTGCTCATTGAGGCGTTGGAGCAAAGAATCGACAACGGAGCTATCTCCATGATTGCCTTGCTCGATTTTGATCTTCCAAGATGGTCAGCACTGAGATCCAGTAACAGCTTTGGAAGAGGGCGCGATGGGCTTACCTTATAAGCATCGATGTTCGGCTGCGGTGGCATCATCTGATTGCTCAGGGTCGATGAACCCAGCGGACGCTTCGCACCCTGCATATTGGACGTCAACATGGCACCGCCAGGCCACACGTACTGTGAGGGGTGTTGACGAGTGCGAGTGCCTACCGGCCCAAAGCCAAGTACCTCTGGGGAAGTATCAAGCCTCAGATCGTTGGGCACGGGGAACCGAGAGACGGCCTTCCGCGGCGTGGGAGAGCCATCCGAGGTAAGATTGAAGCTCATGTTGCTGTCGGTAGTGTCGGGTATTGGTAGATTGGCAAATTCGATTCGAGAGATCCGAGATATCAGGCTCGAAATAAGATGCGAAACACAATTGCGAACAGTCCCCGGTTGGCGGCGTAAATGGCCAGAGTATATAGGAACCGGTGGTTGGGCAGAGTAAACAAGTCAGATACAGCTTGCGTATATACTTGCGGACGGCTGCGGCTAACGTCTTTAGTGGGCAGCAGCGATAGCAAGGAGCGTGAAAAGAGCGAAAGCCGCGGCGGGCCTACAAGAGAAGGAAGAAAACCGAGTGCTGAGAAGAGGTGGAAGGTGGAGAGAGGGAAGTGAGACGAAGGTGCAGAGTGCTATCAAAAGGGCAGGCGCGACAATGGAAGGCGCGCCACGGCGACGTATAGCTTCGCGTCGAGACGCGTAGAATTCGGCAAACGAACCTGCTTCACTGCGCGATGGCCGGTTCTCTAGTGATGCATGATCGACGCGGGACTCGAGAGACTGTGTAGTGAAGGTGAGAGAACGAGGCTGGTCCTGACTGAGCTGTTCAGCTCTATGCTGAGCCACCAGGTTGAGTAGTTGATTACGAGGTCGAAATATTGTTTCTAGTCCGGCTGCTTGAGTTGCCTTTTGAACCTAAATGCTGTAGACGTATGCCAAAATCTCAAGAGACAACCGACGACGCCTTCACCGTCCAGTTATGGTCAAAGAACCCTAACGCAAGTGCAACTTCTGCGCCTTTCCACCTCGCCCTCTTACCCAGTGCCACGAAGTCTGGCTGACCGACCCCAGTCACCATGGGCACCAGCCTGGCAGCTTGCGCCAACGCGTCCTCGTCACTCCCCCAGAGCACGAGTTCCAGCCGCTCGTCCTGCAACCGTCTTAGATATGCAGCACCAACAGAGGAGGTTACGGGACACCTGCAGAGCGAGGTGCGTGGATGCGATGGTACCTTGGTGGCGGATGATGAACGGACCGTGGGTGCGCAGTACCGTGGTCAAGGAGCCCAGTTGTCGGCCTCGACGGATCCGAGCATTGTCGGCGATAGTGGCCAGAAGTCAACGGACTTCATGATCGCAACGGCAGGATCATCTGCGCTGGTTTTCTCGAGAATAAGCTCAACGCCATCGATCGTCAATAATGTGATGTCCCATATCGCAGGATCGAACTCCAAGCACAGCACTTTTGACGTAGTGATCTCAGGCCTGTTCGGCGTGCACTAAGACATCTATAGTGGGTGACAGGACTCCTCCAAAAGCCCGCACGTCTCCAACGAGCCGAATATCGATCTGGTGTGTACCCAGAAACAGGTGGAGAACTGGCGGTGCCTTTCGAAAGGCGAAGTAATCACCCCCAAAGTAATAAATGTCATCGACCCTATATTCGAGAATGGCATCCATGTACAGAACAAGGTGCGGAGTGATGTTCCCAGACACTGTCAGCTCCCCACGCGCCCAAGCTTGATACTGCACTGCAGCCCAGCCATATATATTGTAGGGAGAAACCAATCGACATTGAGGTATGTGACGCTCAAGTTAGCATTGGCAGCATGAGACGACGAAGACGTTTGCGTTCCTTCTGTGGACGCGCTTCGGGGTCATATCGAAGCGAACGAGAACCCCCTACATACTCGAGAGGGTCAGTTGCTTCTGCGGAAATGTCACTGCCGATTATCAGATCAGATCAACGGATCATGCAATGCTGCCGTCCCTCTTGTTCCGATCTGAAACGGCCCCGAGATCTGCCACGAGCTGCTGAACGAGAATTGTGCATGCTCCTCCCGCACGCTCAGCGGAACCGACACGCGTTCATGTGGCGGGAGGGTGGTTTGAGGTGACACGCGACGGTAAAGTACCACCAAGAGCCAACCCCACCACACTGCGAAGATGAAATAGACTGGCGTTGCAGAATCGCGATGCCAATAATAGTGACTGTGACATGCAGCGTTCGCAGTGTGGGGGTGCAACGTGATGGTGGCGTACGCGGGGCTGGGACGTCATTGGGCCAAGAACAAGCCGCAGCTCAAGCGTGAATTGCGCGCCCCTGTCGCGGAACCATGGATCCAATTCGGGCGCGGGATGTTCAATGTCGCTAACTACAGCCGCAACGGCGCTGCGCCAGCCAACCTCCCTTCCCAGACGCTACGAAAACCTCTGCGAGAGCCCGGCCGCCCACGTGTACGACACTGTGTCCCGCAGGGAGAGATCCGCTTTCAGGCCACCTAGTCTTCCGATCCCGATCGCATCGCATCGTCCCAGCGCCCATGGCTTAACGAAACAACACGATATCGCACGACGAACGCTCGATCCCAACCGCGATGGCTACCGCGGCGCTACCTGATTTGAATCCCAAGGAGACTTTCAAGTTCCCCGCCTTCCAGCCCGACCTGCTACCGACGCATGAGGAGGAGCCGTTCGGCCTCACATCGCGCACTCCTAGCCCGAGTCGCAACCACCAGCCCAATGGACACACACATACCCCCGACCGCTGGCAGCCGCGGAAAGACCAGCGGGCGAGAGGGCATAGCTCAGCGGCGCATGGCCCCACCACCAGACACGGAAGGCAGAAGAGTCTCAGTGAGGCAATCAGGACGATACGGACGCGCAAAGCGAGTGTCAGCCAGAATGCGCACGAGCTCGCAGATGCACTCAAGGCGCCAGTTTCGCCCACGCTTGTTGTATGTGGTTGGGATAGAAGATCCTCAGGCGCATTGCTAATAAATACAGATGCTCTGCGGCGTATGGTACATGACGTCCATCTTTTCCAACACCTCATCGAAGGCGATCCTCACCGCGCTCCCGAAACCGGTTACGCTCACGGTCATACAATTTGCGTTCGTCTCTGGGTGGTGCTTGTTCCTTGCAGCACTAGCCCGCAGATATCCCCGCATAAAGCAAACCTTACCCTTCCTCAAATACGGCATCCGTCCACCCACGAAGGAACTCCTCATGACCACGCTCCCGCTCGCCGTATTCCAGATTGGAGGACACATCTTGAGCTCGGACGCTACTAGGAGAATACCCGTGTCTTTGGTCCACACCATCAAGGGGCTGTCACCACTGCTCACCGTGGGGGCGTACCGCATCTTCTTTGGAATCCGCTATTCAGTCCCCACTTACCTTTCTCTGATCCCGCTCACGCTTGGTGTGGTGATGGCCTGCTCTGCGGACTTCAATGCCAACTTCATGGGGCTTATCATGGCCTTCGCGAGTGCTATCTTGTTTGTTACCCAGAACATTATTTCTAAGAAGCTATTCAACGACGCAGCTGCGGCCGAGAAAGAGGGTCTTCCGCCCTCCAAGTTTACAAAGCCTGACAAGCTGAACTTGCTTTGCTACTCGTCTGGGATGGCACTGCTCCTCACCCTGCCTCTATGGCTATGGTCCGAAGGCTTCGGACTGCTAGCCGACTTTCTCAGTAGCGCCTCGATCAATCTCAACGATCACCCCGAAGCATTCGACCATGGGCGCTTATTCCTGGAATTCATCTTCAACGGCACCTTTCATTTCGGTCAAAACATTGTTGCTTTCGTCCTGTTGTCTATGATATCTCCGGTCACCTACTCGGTTGCGAGTCTGATCAAGCGCGTCTTCGTCATCGTGTTCGCCATCATCTGGTTTGGGAAGCCCATGACCAAGATCCAGGCGTTCGGCTTCTTCATGACGTTTCTTGGTTTGTATCTGTATGATAGGACATCGGACGCTGCGAAGAAGGACAGACAGGCTCGAGCGCTCCAGTCCAAAGCCCAGGGTACGCTGCTACCGCTCACCACCGACAAGCTACCTCGCGGCAACTTTACCGCCAGCCCAGCGACAGTGTCCGCCGGCACTGGAGCCTATCCGTTATCGAATGCTCCTATGGAAAGCCGCGATGCAAAAAGAGACGATAACATAGGCGGTGTTAGGCAGAATGCACATACCCCGCCGAGCTGGCTACCGCCGGGTACCAGGCAAGAAGATACCTGGCGGCCGGGTGGTATGAATGGAATGCCTAGCGGCGTTGGTGTCGCTTATAGCTGATGATTTGTTTGCGCTTGTTGTTCGGGCGGTGTGTTTGAAATTTGTGTATTCATATTGGGACGACAAGATATTCAGTTTAGACGCATGGGACGGGCGTTCTAGCGAGGGCAGCGCCATCTCGTCCTGGATAGGTTCGGGTTTCGTGAGCCCTGAGGCCACAATCATGACTATTTCTCCACACTCTCGTGAACCGCTTGCTGTCGGTGGAGTGCCAGCTGTCTCGCAGAACGCATGGGGCCAAGTGCAGCCGACGTGACGGGCGCCAAGAGCAGGCGCTGGCGGGCTGCATGAGCCCGCACGTTGTGGAAATTCTTCATGATGCACGAGACGCTCGAATCCGCGCGAATCCAGGCCATGTGTCTTCTCTGAGGCCTTGCTTTCATGACCAGCGTGATGCACGCCTTCCGTCATGAGCGCGGCAGCAACCACCTGCATGGGTTAAGCGAGGGCGGCCAGCGAATCCAGGCCACTGCGGTCAACCAGCCGCGCCCTCGGAGGACACGGACAGGTGACATCAAGGCGGCACCCTTTCCCCTACCACCAATTATTCCTTAGCCCGCACCGTGACCGCCTGGGCCCAGCAACCATGGCCGACTCTCTGAAGGTCAACGGCAATGGCCGCCCCAGCAACGTCAAGCACCCCTCCGCGCCCTCCCTAATGATGAACGCCCACTTCGCCGGCGTCGGCCAGGACGCCTCGCGCGAGGAGTACGAGCATGGCATCCAGGTCATCGACGAGGACAAGCTGTTCAAGTGAGTGTCTGCCTGCTTCCTGGCGCGGCGGCGCATGCTAACGGGCCGCCGCAGCACCAACCTGGGCACGTATCTGTCCCTCGAGAAGATCATCCCCGCCGGCTTCAACTACCACCTCATATCCGTCTTCGGCTCGCAGTCCACGGGCAAGTCGACGCTGCTCAATTATCTCTTTGGCACCCAGTTCGGGGTCATGTCCGAGCAGGAGCGCCGCCAGACAACAAAGGGAATATGGATGAGCAAGAACAAGCGCGAGGGCGGTGACAGGGGCATGGCAGACAACATCCTGGTCATGGATGTTGAGGGTACAGATGGTCGCGAGCGTGGAGAAGACCAGGATTTTGAGCGCAAGAGCGCCCTGTTCGCGCTGGCGACGAGCGAGGTGCTGATCGTCAACATTTGGGAGCACCAGGTTGGCTTGTACCAGGGCGCAAACATGGGTTTGCTCAAGACTGTATTTGAGGTCAACCTGCAGCTTTTCGTCAAGGATAACAAGTGTGTATGACTGGCCTGTGTCATGGGATGTGCTAATGATCTGCAGAAACACTCCGCGATCGCTTCTATTCTTCGTTATCCGCGACCACCTCGGAACCACCCCTCTTGCCAATCTCCAGAACACATTGATAGCAGACCTTAACAAGCTCTGGTCAACTATCTCGAAACCGAAAGGCCTCGAGCAGTCACGGATAGAAGACTACTTCGATTTCGCATTCGTTGCGTTACCCCACAAAATCCTACAGCCAGAGAAGTTCGAGCAGGAGGTGGAAAAGCTGGGCACGCGCTTCCGCGAAGGATACAACGACCCCAAGAAGAGCGGCTTGATCGACGAATCCTCCCTTCCTGTATTCCTACCGCAATACCACCGCCGAATCCCCGCCGACGGTTTCTCTGTCTATGCCGAGGGTGTCTGGGATCAGATTGTGAACAACAAGGACTTGGACCTACCAACGCAGCAAGAGCTGCTCGCACAGTTCCGATGCGATGAAATCTCGAGAGAGGTCCTGGTCGCATTTGATGAGAAGATCACTCCACTAGAAGACAAGCAAGCAGAAGATGCGCGTGCAGGAAAGCCATCGGTCATCCCGGATCTGGGAGCTGCTATGAACGCCGCCAGATTGCAGATCCTTAAAGACTTCGAGACCAATGCTAGTCGGTACCACAAGGGTGTATACGCGCGCAAGAGTGCGGAACTTGTCAGCAAGGTCGACTCGAGACTCAAAGCTCTCTTCCAAAAGCAGCTCAGTGCTGCCCACAAGTCTGGGGTGGAGGAGTTCAGCAATGCCGTTAGCGGAGCCGTCAAGAGCGGGCAAAAGAAGGGCGCGTCCTATGACTTTGCCCAAATCGTAGAAAGCGAGAAGAAGAAAGCTTTGGAGAAGTTCGCAGCAGACGCACAGGCTATTGTGGTAGAAGGTGCAGCGTGGAGCACTTACAAGCAAGAGACGGATCTGTACAAGAAGGAATTGGACGTAGTGTCAGGTCGTTTACGTAAAGATGAAATGCGTCGTCTAGCCACGCGGGTCGAGCGCTGGGTGCGGTCACGTTTGGATGAGTCGATCGGTCTGGAATTCAACAAGCTCGGCAGCGGCAGAGGTGGTTCTGGAGCGCCTGAGCATGGCGAGCGCCCTGCCTCCGAGAAGGATCTCTGGGATCGCGTATGGACCATCTTCACCGAAACCGTGCAGGATGCCGAAAGGCGATTCACAGACCGAGCGCGAAGCTTCGATGCTAGTCCCGAGGAAGTTGAGGTCGGTTTGTGGAGGCTGCGTCGCAAGTCATGGGGTGTGCTCCGTGCAAAGATCGATGAAGAAGTCATGGAGGGGAACATCCTCTTGAAGCTTAGGGAGAACTTCGAAGACAAATTCCGCTACGACGACTCTGGCGTTCCCCGGATATGGCGCCCTACCGACGATATCGAGGGTCTCTACACCAAAGCCCGCGAGTCGACAATCACCCTCATCCCGCTGCTGTCGCGGTTCAAACTCTCAAAAACATCTGCACCGCCCCCGCTCGATGCGTGGATCGGCGACGCGCCTGCTTCCGTATCGCCTGCTGACGAAGAGGATCTCGCGCCTATTGGCGGCGTAGACGACGACGAGGGCAAGAGCCTCGAGGAGGAAATGACTACAATCAGCGATGCGAAGCAGGCTGATCTTCTGGTCCGCTTCAAGAAGACGGCCGACGGCGTGTACGTCGAGGCTAAGCGGAGCGCGATTGGCGGCATGACGCAGGTCCCGCTATACTTTTATGGTTTACTCCTTGCGCTGGGTTGGAATGAGATTGTAGCCGGTAAGTCCCACGCCCACCCTTTCTCCCTCAAATACGTGCATATGCTGATGTGTGTGGGACATAGTTCTTCGCAACCCAATCTACTTCCTCTTCCTCATCCTATGTGCTATCGGCGCGTACGTTACCTACACGCTCAATCTATGGGGTCCTATGGCACGCATGGCGAATGCAGCTAGCGCTCAGGCGCTGGATATCGGGAAGGAGCGCCTGAGGGAGTTTTTGGAGTCCAGCGAGTCGGGGCGCCAGGCGATGGCTATGGCGGATCGGCAGACGGGGGGGTCGGGGAGGAGGGAGGAGGGGGTTAGGCTGCAGAGATTGGACGGGGAGGGGAAGAGGAAGGATGAGGATGAGATGGAGCTTGATGATATTTGATTGTGTCATACATGGATGTGCCAGCGTGGGATGGGTGCGGTCCGAGGCGGTTTTCTGTTGTGGATTGGGTCAGGTTGGACGGGTTGGGTATGGTGGGGATGGAATGACCGGTTAGAAATAGAAGGTTTCATGGGTAATGAAATGGAAACGGTTATGATATAATTGTGTGTTGATTTTGAGTACTGAGACTTGCTTGGCTGGGTGAGGAGTGTAAACGAAGTGTAGCATGGTGGTCGTGGTTTTCGATTCTGGCTTGGTGCAGTGTGCGTGTTTGAGAGGGAGTTTGGTGTGTGTGGAGGTGCGAGGTTGGTGACCGTGTTGGTGTAGGGGTGTTATGTGCTGGTGTCTGGAACTGTGAGGGGAAAGATGGAAGGGTGCCTGTGCGATGGGATCCACTGGTCTCTGGCGACGGTGAAGTAGAAAAGAATCAGTGCTTGTGAGCGGGTAAGTAAATTCCGGTTCTTAGTCAGATCGAGCGTACATTTCGACTGCTCGCGGTGGGCTAGGATGTGTAAGTCGAATCACCCGTCGGGTTGTGGCAGGATAGGAAGGTCGAGTTGAGGATTGCTGATTGGGTAGGTACCCCGCTTCGTACGGGAAGCAGGCGTGTTTGGTGCCTCATCCTTGTGGGGGTTGTCTGTTGCTGCGCCGCACCGCCTCCATACTCGTACAGGTGCCTTTAGGTTCCGGTGTTGTCGTGGCTCATCATCTGTCCCTTCCCATTCCTGAGTACATCTGGGGGCTGTACAGATGTCCTATCAATTACGATCCAGAAAACGACCACATAGCGTGGATAGGGATGCTCTCGCAGGGAAACGGCACCCTACTCCGGATCTAGCGCTGGAAGAGCCTTTGCAGCCTTATGAGTACCAGCCGCTCGACCACAAGGCACAGGAAATCAGACTTCTGAGGTTACTGCCGGCTGGAAACCCGGACGAGGAGATTGAGATTCAGATATTTCATGCGCGGCTTATTGAACCAGAGAGAGCGCTAGATACGAGACTTGGATTTGAAGAGTTGGAGAAGACGTTGCCACCAGGGTGGGAGCTGCACACGACCTTGGAGAATGGTCGCTACATATTCCAGGAGGAAGACAGTTTGGAAACGCAATGGACCCATCCCAATCCGGAGATCGACCAGGGGTTATATCATTGCGCATCGGTTATGGATCCTTACTCTGATTTTAAGCCTGCGTATGAAGGTAAGTCCATAGGTTATCCTTATCCCCGGTGACGTCTACTAGAAGTCATTTCAAACGTTGGACAACTGTACGTTAGGAGACGCAGACCGAGGATAAGATTCCTGTCTACTATCACAGACCAGAGTCGAAGCAAAAGAGAATCTATATACACAGATCCCGGTGCAGGTTCACTGACAGACGCAGCACTCTCTTACTGTTGGGGAGAGAACCACATCACGGCGAAAGCGCGGGTTCTACCTATGAAGACAGGCAGAACAACAACACTTGAGCTACGGCCAAATCTAGCGCTTGCTTTGAAGCACTTACGCCAAGATACTAGCCCTCGTATACTCTGGATCGATGCAATCTGTATTGATCAAACGAACGTGTCCGAGCGTAATCATGAGGTGAAGAAAATGGATACAATTTACAAGCTCGCTCAAAGGGTAGTCGTTTGGCTGGGTCCAGCGAGTGAGTCGAGCACCAGAGGTTTAGAATTGCTTGCAGCTCTAGGGGAAAAGATTGTCATTACATCGGATTTGTATAATCTAGACGCACCGATAGCCAACAGAGAGAACTCTTCGAACTCATTCGTCGAGGATGTTCACAAACGGTTCGAAACTTTCGAGGCCGATCAGCAAGCCCCATACGACTCAGACCATCTCCAGGCTATACTGGATATTCTTTCTCGGCCGTGGTGGGGCAGATTATGGTATGTGAAAAGAACGTCGCTCCAACAGAACTACTAATTTATTGAGTACTATGCTAGTGAGTACTCCTATCTACATAAAGACATCCTCTGCAGCATCCAGGCTCAGATGGGATATGAATCAACTTCAAAACATTGGTTAGGCATTCGTTTGAAATTGACAAATTGTATCACAAAGAGCTATGTATCTTTCTTGTTGTGGTGCACGCAAGCTGACTGTTGTAAACTTCAGGGATTTGGCAGGAAATTTGTCTCGCCAACTCGCGGAGTATAGTGCAGAGCGGATCAAACTTCAAGTTGTGGGTGGATTTACGGAAGGCGATCCTGTTTTTGGCCAGCAAGTTGCCACAGGGACTCAAAACGACGGAATTTGTACATTTCTTGGACCGGGGCAACAATCTTGCCGTTTGCAGCGGTCCGCAAGATGATCTGTTGTATATTCTTCAACAGACGAGATTTGCAGAGCATGCTAATCTGCATGATCGCGTTTTCGCCCTCCTTGGCATGGCCGACCCCGAGAACGCAGCGTTGATAAATGCGGACTACAGTCGACCTGTGTACGAAGTATTCCGAGATGTTTGCTCTGCTCACTTACAGTTATATAGGGATTTCAATTTCTTGAGGTATTGCGAATTATCTACTCACGGACAAAATTCTGGCCATCCCTCATGGGTACCGAATTGGTCTGCGTGGCGTCCTGTTCATATTTTCGGTTCGCAGGATGCGTCCGGAAAATCGCAGGCCCTAATTGATGCTCTAAATGGTTCGCGCCTCAAAGTTGATGGTGTGTTGTGCGGAATTGTGGAAGAAGTGAGCCATGTGGCACCATTAGAAGGACACCTGCGCGAGACTACGCGGATTTGGGAACAATTGGTGGCAAAGAACGACCCGCAAAGAATAGAGCGATTTGTAGAGACCTTGTCATGCGATGAAACCAAGGAAGCCTGGCCCAATTATTTTCAATATCCAAGCTGCGAGCAGTACAAGGTGGCCTACTACAATAATGACGAGGAGCCGATCGTTTCTGATTCAGTCCGAGGTCGTTCTGTCTTCATATGCGACGATGAACGGATGGGGATATGCCCTGCAGGGGCTAAGGCAGGTATGTGTAAAAATTTCGTTAGTCAAACATTCGCTCTCCCCTTGACTATCCCTTCGATCAGTGCCGGATTCAGGCTGTCATTCACCACCTAATATATCATTCTCCATTAGCGCTGATGATCATGAGCTTACAATTTAAATACAGGTGACCTGCTCGTCGCCGTTCTCGGGTGTGAAAGCCCGGTTATACTTCGTAAATGTCCTTCGGATCACGAGCCAGCAACTTATGTGGTAGTAGGCGTTGCATTCGTCAGCAGTCTCAAGCACTCGGCAGCTTTGTTAGGATCTTTGCCTTACCCATTTCGAGCATCCACGGCAACGGACTGGGAAGGTTGTGTTATGCCAGAGTTCAAGGATCTGGACAATGGCACGATTACCTACGATGATCCGCGACTGGGCCCTCTGCCAAAGGGCTGGATATATGCCAAGGACTTCAACGAAGACCAGCTAGAGGCCAGGGTTTTTAAGAGCAGGGAAACTGGGAATGTAACTTATTTTGATCCTAGACTGACACCGGAAGAACTTCGCAAGAGGGGGACTAAAGTAGAAGAGTTCATTCTTGTATAGGTGTCTGCTCGGGGCTGGATTTCTTCTGTAGCATTTGGTCCTCTGTACATCATACGTAATGTCGTTTTGATATAGGAAACGCCAATGGAACGTCAGCAGATGTGCCGTGCATGAAATTTACGAGCTGTCATTCTCTCAGAGTAACGGGAATTGATCGTAGCTTAAGTACGCTCGCAGAAATACCCCCTGCCACAGGCTGGTTCTGCAATCGTGGAAACGCTGTGATATGACAAGGTTTACCGGTATTGTCTCAGAAATCTCGGAACTCCTTGGCACCGCTGACCATGTCCTCCCCCATCTTGCGGACCTCCTCCCCATGCTTCACCCACGCTGCACTCGCATCTGTCCACTCTTCCTCCCCAAACTTCTTCCTACACCACTCCAGCACCTTCCCCAACTCTGCGCGCACCCTCTCTGCAAGTTCATTCCCCCCTTCTGCCCCTTTCTTCTTTCTCCACCTCTCAACATCATCAATCAGGCGCTCCGCACCTGCCTTATCGCCGCCATACACAAACTCCACAAACCGCGCTCCACCCAACACCTTTCCCTTCATCGCCTGCACCGTGTCCAAGTCCAGCCGCTCCTCCCCCTTGTGCTTCGGGACCCACCCATCGCTCGCATCGACGGCGTCGCTAGCCCACGCGCGTGCATTCGGAATGTCGCCCTCGCTGCGATGCAGGATGGAGTGCAGAAGCATTCCTTCAATAGCGGGCGGGGCCTGCATGTGGCGGACGAGGAAGTGCGCGGAGGGTAGGTCGGCGTTGAGGAGGTGTAGAGCAGCTTCTATAGTGGGGTGGAGGAGGAGGGATGAGATGACAGGGGTGAGGGACGGGTGTGTGGGGTGTGGAGGTGGCTTCGTGAGGTGGACGGTTGGGAGGAGCGTGTCAAGGAGGGAGGAGAGTGTGTATTTGGGTTTGGTTTCGGCCATGGTGCGGGTCGTGTAGTGGTGTTTGTATAGCTTCCTTATTATTCCTGATGGGTTCTCTTCCCGTTTTTGTGTCGTGCAGATGTTGACAAACAAAGTTCGTAAGAAATGAAATGCTTTCGCTTGTTGTTGAGCCTGGTGGAAGCTCGACGACTTGACGGAGTCGCGCAGGAGCTTTCGTTCAACAGAAAGGAACATCAACTTGCCAGTTGATTTCGATTAAGCAATTAATATTGGTTTTGTGGAAGTTAGTCCGGCCTGTCGTCTTTGTAGACTTACGACGACAAGGCGAGAGTGGGACGATTACGTCATGGACTCGAAATCAATTGTATCCTAAGATTGAACGCATCAATGACTTCTGGAAACATGTTCTGGTATAATCAGTGAGCGCAGGACTGATCTGGTCAGTTACGGGCCACCTGTTTATGCAATCGTGCAACAGAGTCGTGTTCATCTGAAGTACAGCTCTCATGATACCGTTGAAAATCCGCCAGCTTCCCAGCTATTATTACGGGTTATGTATAGAGCGCCAATCGGTTCGAATCGTCTACTACTTTCTAGAGTTGTCTGCTGCGTCAGAAGGTGACATCGAAACTGTTTAATGCCATTTTCCAAATTGGACGATTCATCGAGGACATTGCTCCAGATGAATCCGTTCTTCTTGATCTTTTCGCTGCGGTGTACAGCACCTTGTAGTAAGCTGCCCTGCCTGCAAAAGTTCTCAGGATTGCACTGCGGATATTCAACAAACAGCTTCTCTACATTCGAGATGGCACGAAAATATGTAGACCATTCTCTACAACAGGCCGGCGCCAGGAAAAAACACAGTGCAAGACTGTTTCGAAAACAATCAGAAGTCCCACAGATTTATAGCGATGAGACATGCTTAGAACGGAGATAGTTGGAATTATGAATTCGTGGTTTGCACAATAACAAAAGTGACCTTGGAAACAGTCAACCCGAAACGCCATCCCCGTGAACCTCGTGGTATAACCCTTATTCGTACACACTTCTCTCCCAATAAACAATAAGCAAAATTTCCAATCTATCGTCGCTACCACCCCAACCGCTCAAAAACATTTGACCGCCTGACATCCCTCTTCCGACTGCCCCCCGGCAACGCAGACGTACAATCCACCAGCCCGTCCTTATCCACCCCCAACATACTCATCTTCGCCATGGCCGGCACAAACGCCGCACTCCACGCCCCCTGACTCGCCGCAAAGCCCCTCATTAGAATGCCCGTGACAGGATGATTCGCAAGACTCTTATCACTCGGAAGCGTGACGGGCGCCCTCCCGTTGATTGTCTCCGAGTAGTACTTGCTGTCCCACTGGCCTGGGGTGGAGTCCATGGTGAGATTGGCTTTGTCGGGGACGCTGATGCGGTTGCGGGCTGCGGTGTGGGCGCCGATGAGGGCGGCGAGGTCGATGGCGGAGAAACCGCGGGCGGCAAAGCGCTTGATGAGGTCGGAGGCGGCGGTGTTGCCCGAGGGGAGGAGGCCGGCGGGGGAGGCGTTTGAGGAGTCAGGACGGCCGACGAGGACGGGGACGGTGGGTCCGCCGGGGCAGGTCTTAATGGCGTGGGCTGGGAGGGTCAGTATATGCGGGGTTTAAGACCGAGTACAAGGATGTGCATACCGGCAGCGAATTGGATGAGGTCGGCGACGCCGACGTCTTTCTCTGTGGCTAGGTTTCCCAGGTTTCCGCAGAGACGGGCGAGACCGGTGTTCTCGATTCTCGAGCACTCACCGGCTAGGATGAGTGATCCGTCGCAGGCGCCGTTGAAGCAGTCATGGAAAGCAGATCTGATGGCTGCGCGAGCAGCGTCTGTGCATTGGCCATCTGCCAGGAATTGCGCCGTGAGCGTCTCAGAGATCTCGCTCCATACATCAGGGCACACGGTAGTGTCCTGTGTCTTGAAGCCTATGAATCCGCCCAGGAGTTTGGAAATGAGTCCACGTTTGGTATTTGACGCTCTTGCGGTAGCATCGGAGAATTGGAGGGCCTGAGCAGTGCTTGCCGCAGCCAGAACAGCAACGAGCGATGTTGAAATATACATTATAAAAAAAACAGGATAATCTGGTTGTGAAGCGAGAGACGGGACGACGTTCAGCCTGTGGAAAGAAAGAAAACGGTCAGTCGGAGAAAGCGAATGTCTGATTTGATAGCTGGAGAAAGCAGCAGTGCAATAGCAATGTTTAATACATCTTGAGAATTCTGCGAGAAAGGTGACAAGAATAGAAACAGCCTCAACAATCTATTGACTTTGTTGTGGAGGCGATATGCTGTTTTGTTTGAGATTGGAGCTAGTGACTGGGTTTGTGTTAACCCTGTCATGGTAAACCCAGGCAGATGGTGAGGTTGCAGTGGGGAGTCAGGTAAGCAGGTTCTGGGGGTTTCACTCATTAATCCCCTTCCGCAAGCATGCAAGCGTATGCCAGTCCATCGAGGTTCAATGTGGCTAGCTCTCAATCCTACAGGTAAAAGCGAAAGCCAACTCAAGTGCGACTTTTTGGTGGGGTTCAGGTCGATTCGCAGTCCAAACAACCTCTACCACGTAGCTTCCTGATGGAGCTGTCAGTTACTGCGAAGACTGCTGCACTTCCATCTCTATGATTTCCTTGACAGCATCTGTTCGTATTGCCAAAGATCACGGCAGGTATGCCACAAAGAGGGACGTGTGTTTGTTATGGTTTTGACTCGCGGGTACGTTTTGAAACAGGAGAGATCGTATTCCCCTTCCTCGACAACGAGACCGGTGGTCTCAAGATTCGCGTAGGTGAGGCTAATTCACTAGTGGCGATCGTGCGGCTGCACGTTTTCTAGCGACGGCAACTAGTCACATCTAGCGTTAGCTTTAGGGCTGGTATTCTATCGCGAGATCTCCGAATGCATTGCGTACGAGACTATGAGATTGGTGGAGTGGGAGTTACCAGTACCATAACCAGGACTCTTCGACGTTGGACCATTGAAGACAGAAAGTTTCCATGTTCGGAGGCATACCCGTTGTGCTTGAAAGGTTCAAACTCTCATCTTCAAGACCCACCCAAATCGATAGTGCACGCAGACTGCCCAAACAATCGAGTTGAAACAGCGCACCTCCCCATTCAGATCTGACCATGAACCCTATGCATGCCATACCTCTCCACCTGTCCCGCTCTGTCCAATGGAAACAACTCAATTAGATGAATCCCGTCCGCAAACCCAGACGCACAAATTCCACACCGGACATCTGGCGGAGAGCCGAACCGCAACCCCCAAAACCAGCTAGTTCCAAGTAAAAATAACGATCTGCTCAGGGTCCACCTACCCCGTGTCCACGCCTCGCGACCTGACGATCATCGAGCTTGGATCTGTGGCGGTGCTCAAAGCGTGTACTCGTGGATTGAAACGTACCAATAACGTCTACTAGGTGCCTATGCACCATGCTGGTAACAGAACCCTTACAACACCACGACATTCTGCCACTACCAACACAGCATCAAGACAGGAGAAAAGACACCATCAGTAAACATCCGACATCATGGTATTAACTATCGATATGCCACCCATCCACCATCCTGTCCAACGCCCCCAATGCTAGTATTACGTCGCAGCGCCGGCATCGCATCGCATCGCGCATATCCAAAACCACGTCCTCGTTCGTAGCGTAAAGTGCAACAAAACCTCGATACTGCGTTATGCTTCTATCCTCAAACAACAACAATCCCTTTCCTCTGCTTCATTCGAAGGCTCGGCCGCTCACTCCGGCGGCGGCGTCGGCAACTTCCTCTCTTCATCCGCGCGCTTCCCATCCGGACTCGGCGGACTCACAATTGTAATCGGCGTCTGGGGGCCCTCCTCGCTGCCGTCCCCACTAACCACGCTGCCCCTCCTGACCCCATCCTCCCCTTCTTCAGGTATAGTTGGGCTCATCAACCCGCCGCCATCTTCACTACGCGCGCTGCTCGCGGTAGATGCCTGCTGTCTCCGTCTCCGCCTCCTCTCACGCTCAGAATCCGCGTTCTCTCTTCTCCTCCGAATGACTAGCGAGCCGTCTTTAGCTACGGAGGAGCCAGTCAGACCCTCCAGCATCGCCGCCGCGCGGTCCGCGACATCCCCACCCGCAGCCGCGGTCGCGTCCGTAGGACTCCTCACACTCTCACCAACCACACTCTCTCCGCCGTCCGTACTCGGACTCAACATGCCCCTACCACTCCCACCCTCCTCTTCTTCCTGTGCTTCCTCCTCCATATTCACCCCAATCTCAGGCATTTTCTGCCCACTCGCAACCCTCACCTGGTGCCTGTCCTTTAAGCGCGCACGGCGCCTGCGATCCCTCTGATCTCTCGCTTCGGGCTTCGCATCGCGCAGTTTCTTGAGGAGGTCGTCCATGGCACCCGTGTTGGCAGGGGATTTTGGCGCGCCGTCGCCGGTGTCGTTGGCGAGGGAGGCGGAGGAGAGGGGGTTGGGGCCTGCGGCTTTGCGGCGGATGTTGGCTTCGTTGCGGCGGTGAAGTTCTTCGAGTTGGAGGTTCTTCTCCTTGGATTTCTGTATTTCGCGTTAGTGGCATAGGGGAAAGTGACAGGGAGGGGGAACGTGCCTTCCACTCTACGACGAAGTTGGCCAGCTTGGCGAAGAAGTCGCGTCTGGCGCTATCGTCGGTGGGGTCTTCGCCGTAGAAGGCCATGATGTCGTCGTACGACTTGGCCATGTCCTCCAAGAATACCTGCAGGTGCTCTGCCTTCTGTCGGGCCTCCTTCATGTGTCTCTGCACTATTATAGCGACTTTGTCTTCGGGGTGGAATTTGGTCGGGTCGGAGAGGTTGCCAGAGTCAAGCGACATCTGGATATTCTTGATGTTGTCGATGTATTTCTTCGCATCCGTCTGTAGCTGCTCGACGTTGATCTTCTGGGCTTTGACAACCCCGCTAATCTCTTCAGTGAAGTCTTCCCAGCCGGGGTACTGGTTGCGGACGATGCGCTCGACAAGATCGGCGAAAGTGGATTCGTTCTTATCGTCCTTCAGCATGCCTAATCGGCCTAGGGTGGAAAGCTTGAAGCCGGTTGCTTGTTTGTTTGCGTCGTTCATGAAGTTACCAATGTCAAGGATGAGACCCAGAATGCTGATCAAGCTGACGGAGCTACGCAGGCTGTCTGCCACTTTGGAGATTTCGAGCAGTTTACTGGAGATCTCTTCATACTCGATTTGGTAGGTGCGAGTCAGACTGAGAGCCCGCATCCTACTCTTCCAGTAGTGGTGCAGCTCGTATGCCGTGTACAGATAGATCTGATCCTCTCGCGTGAGATCCTCGGGATTCTGTTCACGTTTGCTTTCGCTAGCATTAGGTCCAGTCCAGTCCTTCGAGAACGGGGCCATGAGCTTCGCGACGTTATCTGGAACATCGCAGAGGTCGTTCTTCTGCAAGAACTCCATCACAACAGGGTCATCAAGGATCTTGGTGTCGCAGTGGATGATCATGCTCGTAAGCTCTTCAGCCGGGTACTGCGAGAACTTGGACATGCTGATCTGGAAGGTATGCATCAAGTCGCGGGAGATGATCTGCTTCTTCTCGTCCTTTTTGGCCGCCTTCTTGCCAATTGCCTTGATCTCCTTCGCCAGGAACAGCTTCTCGACCTCGTCCAGTACACCCTTGTTCTTGAGCTCCCGATACTTTTCCTCTTTCTCCTCTGAAGTCATACGTTCTGCCCAAACCGTTGAGCTCGGCGAATCGACCTTGTCCCAATGCAACGCCTTGAGCTTCTTCTTTGGTCGCGGCCCCGACAAGTGTACAGAAGCAGGACCAAAAGCAGGTGCCTTCGGGAAGCCAGGCCGTTTTGCACCTGGCATCGGAGGAGGCGGAGGTGGTGGCGGAGGCATGCTGCCATCGAGACCAGGCATAGGAGGCGGCGGAGGAATGCCAGGCGGGAAGCCAAGCGCACCGGGGGGTGGAGGCGGCGGCGGAGGCGGAGGTGGCGGCGGAGCACCGTTCATGCCAGGCATGGGCGGAGGCGGGGGTATATTGGCAGGGAATCCAAGCTGCCCAGGAGGTGGAGGCGGCGGTGGCGGTGGTGGGGGAGGTGCGCCAGCTTTGGGTGCCTCGCTTTGACCTTCAGCTCCAGCCATCTCTGCATCTGGTGTGGCACCTTGACTTTCGTCTGAGTCGCCGTATTGTTTGACTTTCGATGCGATCTCGTCCAGCAAGCCCTCGGGAGCGCGACCTGCATTGCTGAGCTTAGGCTTGTGCATCTGGATGAGTCGAGGCTTCTCAATGACGGCTTCTTCTTCGTCATCCTCAGCAAGGTCCGGCATGGCCTCATCCTCGTCAAGGTTGCCTCCAACAGGCTTTCTTCGTACGACACCGCTCTTCGCTCTTGATGTGCCGAGAGAGCTAGGATCAACACCGTCAAAGTCTCCATCGACCTGGCCCTCCATTCTTTCTCTGAGCTCTCTCAGCTTTTCGCTCGGCTGTACCTGACCTAGCACCTTGCCCTCAAGAGTAGCCTGCGTCTTCGCTCTTTGCAACTGAATCTCGAGGCGGTTCATCAGCCTCTCGCGATCCAAAATGCCTTGCATTTGCGCAGGATCGCCAGCACCCAGGCCTTCCTTTCCTTTGTTCTTGGCGGCTGAAGCTGCAACGTCTTGAGCATCCCTAAGCATCAAGTACAGCTCACGTGTCTCGAGCTCGTTCCGTTGGAGTTCCTGGGCTCTTATCCTCGAAATCTCCGCTAGTTCGGCTTTCATCTGCTCAATCTGCCTGCTTCGCACGGCGATGATGTTCTCTTGTTCCGCGAGCTGTTTCTGTAGCTTGTGCACCAAGCCATCAGCACCCAATTCGAGCTGGGCTTTTGCCTCGTCGCGCTCGGCGATCGCAGAATCTGCAATCTGTCGAGCTTCAATCGCCTCGTCTCGTACTTGTCGCGCTTCCGAGTCGGTATACAGCTTGTCGAGCAAAGACTGCACGGTGAAGTTCAGACTCTGCTTCAGGTCCATATCCGGCAGACGGCGGTCCATAGCAACGTAGCTGAGCATCGAATCCACGAGCTGAAACATCTTCAATCGGTCTTCGCCGTTGGTGTCTCGAATGATCATCAAATGCTGCATCGCCGAAACAAAGTAGTCCTGCTCTCGAGTGTTGATGATCTTGCTGTTGATCGCATCCGCGATTTGGATCGGGTCGTTGAGGTCCTTGCCTTCGCCCTCCACATCGTCGGCCATTGAGTTGTTCTCCGTTTCCAGATACTCTTCATAATCGACAGCTTCATTCGTCATGTACCGCTCAATCTGCTTGTCAATAACATCGTACTGAAAGCCCTCCATCTTCTTGAAAATGCGCTTGATGCCGCATCCGGTGAACTGTGCTCGGATATGCATCCTGAGCTGCAAGTCTCGATCTGGGCCATCTACAATCATGTTGATGAGGAACAGTGTAGCGATTGCGTATTCCATTAGCAGATTCTCCACACCAATACCTCCGCTGCGGACCTCTTCAGAAGCGCCGACCAATGAGCCCATCTTTCCGCGCCCATCGACTGTGACTTCCACGATACGCATCCATGCGTCGAACCGTCCATTCTCGCCATATTGTGTCTTGAGAGCATCGAGCGCCTGGAGAACCTTCTCGTGACCAGCACCGCCGCCGAAGTGGCAGAGAAAGGTCAGGACGTCTGACACTACTTTTCGCGTGTTCAAGCGCGAAGAGATGAGGGACGAGGCCAACGCTTGGATGATGGATGGGTACTGCAGCGCATTGTCGGCGCCGTACTTGTTGTTCATCAGCGCCTTCAAACACTTGATGATCTCGTACTCGCGCTCCGTATCGTTTTCCGCCTTTTGCAGGACCGAATTGGGTGGTGGTGCTGGCCCCTGTCCTTTCCTGCGATTGATCTTGGCCAGCACATTGGTGAGCGCAATCTGACCCTGCGCCTCAATAAATCCTCGCACCCAGGCAATTGGCTGCGTTCGGAGGCTAATTTCCAAGCTCGACATCTGCTTCAACGTGATGGAGTTGTCCATGACCTTCTTGACGTACCACTCGGGTGAGCCCTCCTCTTCAGCCCTCGCCAACACGTCTGGATTTGCGCCTCCCACATACGTCTGCCGCTGTGTCTGTCTCTTTCTTTCTTCGTGCTTGAACTCGGCCAGCTTGTCCTGGTGCACCAATGTCCACTTCTTGTCAATCTTGTAGGCCTCCATCTGCCGCCGCGCTTGCTCTGGCAAGCTCTTCCACCCTCTCCTTTCCATGAGTTTCACAAATTCCTGCTCCACGACATGGTCTGGCGGTCTTTGTATCGCGAAGCCATTCTGCCCCTGCTGCCCAAACGACGACGTGGAAGAGAAAGCAGAGGGTTGGTTCGAGTGTAGCAAGTAGCGGTGCGAATCGCGGGGCGTGGAAGCAGCCATGGGGAGGAGGCTGCCGGTGTCGAGGCCGATGGAAGAAAAAGTGGACTGAGACTGGGTCTGCTGCGGGTAGTAGACATTGGAGGTGCGGTTTCTGGAGTCATTAGAGTAGACGCTCGCCTGGTCCGACGACGCGCGCGTGTTGTTGGCGGAGTCGGTGTACGAATTGTAGGTGTTGCCATTGCTGCCTCGGCCTGCCGAGCCCCACTGCTGGATGGACACGCCTCTGTCGCCGGGCTGGGACGAGGCCATGGCGGTGCCGGTGCCGTGGGGAGGCGGGCGCGGCGGCGCGGCGCTCGCGTACCCGTTCTGGGGCATCTTGGAGGCGTCGAAGACGGGGTACTGGTGGAAGTCGGCGCCGCCCTTGTCGAGGTGGTGCGGCTGGGGCGCCGCGTACGAGTCGACCAGGCGCGGGGCGTTGGAGTTCTGCTCAAACGAGGGCACGGGGATGCTCGAGTACACGCCGGCTTGCATGGCCAGGCCCTGCTCCGGGCCGAGGGACAGCGGGCGGTCGACGGAGGCTACGGAGCTCGAGTGGCGGTGGGAGTGTCGCGACGACTGCGAGCCGTGGGCGCTGCCTGGGGGGCTCTGTGTCGACAGATGGGTTTCATTGCCGGGCTTGTCCTTGTCCTTGTGGTGGCGGCGGCCGAAGAACTTGCCCGCGGAGCTCTGCCTCCCCTTGTCCTGCGACGTGCCGGAGAACATCGTCTATGCGTCGCGGCGCCGTTATGCGATGCGGCGGCGGCGGCTCGACGTCGTGTGCGGTTCCCGCGGGGGCGCTGGCGTGGAGGCGTCGACAGCCAGTGCTGGCGGCCCAGGGCGCCTGAAACGTCGTGTGCGGGGCGGGGCAGTTCGCTGCGTCTGCGGTGCTGGCGTGGTGTCGTGTCGCCGTGGGCTGCGGTGCGGGTCGCTGATGCGGTCGGGAGCCTCGAGCCTCTAGTGGCCGCGGGAGCCAACTACGCGCATTAAGGGGCTCTGCTGAGCTTCCAAGCACCCTCGCGACAGCCTCGGGGTCGGATGCAGGTACCGCAGCGCTCTCGCAGCTGAGGAGCGCAAGTCTCGTGCAGTCGCGGTCCCAAGAACCCGCATTGGGCGGTGGAACGCCACTCCACGCGCCCCTGAGGCGTGCTTGGATCGCTGCGCGGCGCCGCTCCGGCCTGCGCTCCGGCCTCCTGCGCCGCCTGCACCCCCATCGCAAGTCTGTTTGGACTTCACCTCGTTGACGTCGAAGCCTGGAGAAGCCGCACGACAGCCGGCAGTCGAGCACAGCTGCAGCTGCCCTCCCCGCGCCCGCAGCGTGCCCACACACACACCGTTTTCCTTGTCGCCGCGTACAGCCCCAGCGCCCCGCCCACGGCTGCCCGCCTACCCAACGCGCGGTGCTCGTCAGCCGGCGACCATCCACCATGGCCGGCTTCGCGCACTTGGTCAAGGTGAGTGCCTGCCAGCTGCGACAGACGGCTGGAGTCGGGTGCCCCGTTGCGCCTGCTACGTCCCAGTCCAGCTCCAGCTAGCCACTCCACCCCAGCTACGCAGCATAGCTGAAGCCCGCTGACGCCGCACCCACAGAGCCTCCTCGTGCCGCTCGTGCTCGCCGCCATCCTCTACGTCGCCCTCGCCTACGCCATCATCCCCTTCGTGCGCCGCCACCGCACCCGCTACAGCCAGTACCTCCCCATGCCCGCCGGCGTCGCCCAGAGCACCGCGTCCTGGCGCACCAAGATCTCCGATGCCCTGACCAACCTCTTTGTGCCCTCGAGCTGGCTGCGAGGGAGGCGGGTAATTGTAGACGGGAGCGGCGGCGAGCATGCCGAGGAGGACCTTTTTGACGACGAGGAGGGCGAGGGCATGGTGGGGTTTGACCCTGTCGACGAGCGTAGGAGGGAAGCGCTCGAGCAGAGACGCAGCATGATGGAAGATGACCGGCGGCTGAGCCGGGAGCTCGAGCAAGGATTCAAGGACGATAGCGACGACGAGCACGAAGATGAGCGGCGGAGATCGTTGTCGCGGACACGCGTTTCCAGTGGATATTGATCATTGAGTGTTATAGACTTTTTTGCATGTACGTCTTGCATACACATCATATACCCCTCTTTTGGCGACGTGCCATCAAGGCCCTTTCCAATCTCTGGCTTGATTTGTCCATAGTATACTTAGTCATGCTAAGATCCCATTTCGCTTTTCCGGGCCCATCCAACATCATCGCTTGACTAACATTGGTGCTCCGCGTTGTACTTCCCACCACTATTCCCAATAATAGAGACGATGACCAGCATCAGTTTGAATTCTAGAATTCAGCAACCAAAGTGAAAGATACTCAAAGGAGATGAAGATGTGGGGCCGGGTCCATGGCGATTCAAAACGAGACATCTCACCACGAAATCACCAAAAGAATCTTCGTCCTACTGTGACGATGAGACTGGTGGTGCTATCCACACAGCCAAGGCTGGAACTGTCTTCAGCCCATGTGGGGGCGGAGAACATGGATGCAGCCTGATGACCCGAACTCTTGCGCAGCCTTCCCTCGCTGCAGCACAAGCAGCGACCCAGAGCTTCCTGTACTTGGTCGCCGTATACTCAGCGTAGCGATCCCTACCTCTCTTGAACCATAATGTCTTCCAGCAACGCCGAGGAAGGCAAGCTGTCTGATGCCAGCGGCAAGTTAAACCCCATGGTGGCCTGCCGATGGAATATAGAAGAGGTGAGCTTCTACCTGTCAGATGTCCAGGCAGAAGACTGACGTCTGGAGATAATGCAATACGGCCTGGAGACATACTGCGCTCCGAACGAACATGGGATTACCGGACAGGAGACCATCGATTGCATACACCACTCGTTTCCGATAGTCCAGCGCATGCTAAGCCAGAACCTCGTCTTCGACGAGCGCGACCCCGCGACGCGGGGCCTGGGCTACATCTCGTGCTCCCTCGGCGGCGTCCCGCTGCCCGCGTACACCGTGTACGACTACTTTGGCTGGCTCCTCTCCGTGGCCGCGCGCCCTCGCCCAGACGCCACAAGCAGAAACTACTACCTCCCGCTCCTCTCCTGCTTCGCGAACTGGTGTCTCGAGATCGCCGCCCACGCGACGCAGCAGAGCCACGCGCCGGCCATGGTCTCCATTGCCGTGTACGAGGAGCACACAGTGCCGGCCCATGGCGCGACGCTGCCGTGGCGGCGCGGCCTAGTCAAAGAAACACACGCCTTTCTCGGTGCGACCATCCCCGATGCGCGCGCCTTCCAGCGCGACTCCAACCGCGCTACGGTGGTGAACCACGGACGCCAGCTCTGGATGGAGGAGTGCGGTTTGGCTCCCAAGGACGAGGGCCAACGGCGTGGTGCCGCTTTCTTGGACCCCTTCCAGGAGCCCGAAAAGGGATTTGGGCGCTGCGCCGAAACGTTCTTCTGGATATTTGCGAGAGAGTGAGTTATAGCTTCCATCTTCCACCATAGGTGCGTTCCTGGACAAGCATTAACGACGCCAGGCGGAGCCTTGCGCAGCGCTGGATCCACGAACTCAAGGGCGTGGCGTTGGTCGTGCGATCGCAAGGTGAGCCCACGATTCCGATTCGTGGGTATGACGAGCAGGCTGTTGTGAAGGCGCTGGCGAATCCGTGCAATGCGTCGTGTAGGTACCTGGCGGAGCAGATTGATCCCGGAATGTTGTGGGGGAGAGATGCGTGGAGGTTAAGTTTCGATAAGGCGCACGTTTGCAAAGGGCTTTGGTAACTATCGGTCATATTTTCTTTGTGCGATGGCTGTGACTCTCGAGAAATAGGGACAAGTTCTCGATGTAACGTGTTTCGCACCGACATTGTGATATATGCGAGAGAAAATTGTCGAGAGTGGGAAAGAACGACGCGTGCGCAGTAGTCGTGTGAAACTCGGAAGGCATATGTTTGTGACCACATAAACCCTGCTATGTTGTCAGCATCTACCAGGGCAGAGCCTGGAAATACGTTGTCCAGATCACAGCTATGCAAACATGAAAGACGGAAACTTCTTTGGAGTTCAAAGTTATGCATTTATCATGGTCATGGTAAAACACCTAGAAATTTCCCATCAATCCGACTCCATTCGAACAACTAGGAAATACACGTGGGAATCATGCAACAATCAAACACCGCCTATTTCTTCGCAGGCTCGCGCTGGCCGTAAGCCTTCGTCGCGTAGTCGCCATTGTGGACAATGAGATCTTGCGGCCGGTAGTCGAAGCGCCCGCTGAAGTACGAGTCGAGGATAGCCTTGGTGCCGTCGGCGTAACGCTTCTGTGCGTCGATCGAGGTACCAGACATGTGGGGAACCATGGCGTTGCCTCCGCCCCAGGGGTTCTGGGCATAGCGGAGCGGGTGGTCCTTGGGCGCAGGCTGGGGGAACCAGACGTCACCTCCGTAACCGCGGAGGTGGCCGGACTTGAGGGCCTCGGCGACATCCTCCTTGACGACGATGGCGCCGCGGGCGGTGTTGACGAGCCACGAGCCCTTCTTCATCTTGGAGATGAGGTCCTTGTTGAAGAGGCCGCGCGTCTTCTCGTGCAGAGGGCAGTTGATGGTGACAACATCGCACTGCGCGAGCATCTCCTCGAGCGTGTCAACGCGGCGGCAGCCAATCTCCTTCTCCACCTCGGGAGCGAGCGGCTGGTAGTCGAAGTAGAGGAGCTCCTTGCAGTCGAAGGGCTTGAGACGGCGGAGCACACGCTCACCGATACGGCCGACAGCGACGGTACCGACGACCTTGTTCTCGAGGTCGTACTCGTTCTTGGCGACGGCAGCGACGTCCCACTCGCCGGCAGCGATCTGCTCATGGGCGGGGACGAAGTTGCGGACGAGGGTGAGGATGGTCATAACAACGTGCTCGGCGACGGACACGACGTTGGAGCCGGTGACCTCGGCGACAGTGATACCGCCATTGGTCTTGTTGGCGGCGTTGAGGTCGACGTGGTCGGAACCGATACCAGCAGTGACGGCGAGCTTGAGCTTCTTCGCCTTGGCGAGGCGCTCAGCAGTGAGGTAACCGGGGTGGAAGCTGCGGATCCGGTGTGTTAGCATATGTACAATTTCCAAATTTGTCACAGATGCGGGGAGATAGTGGGGCGGGCGCGATCGGATACGCGTATGCGGGGTAAGCTGCCAAAAGGAGCATTGACTTACGGGGTGGTAATGATGACCTCCGCGTCGACGAGCTCCTGGTCGAACTTGGAGTTCTCGCCCTCCTTGTCTGAGGTGGTGACAAGAGTGTGTCCCTGGTCCTCGATCCACTTGCGGATACCGAGCTCGTTCTCGGTCGTTCCTAGGAGCTGGGGCTCCTGCTCGGCGTGGATACCGCCCTACTGTTGTCAGCTTTGAGCGGCCTCAATGGGGATGGGGTTGGCTTACATCGTACAGTACGAGAAGTACTTTACCCTGTTGTGTGGAAGTTGCTGTTAGCGTTCGGATCGCATTTGGCTGGCGAGCGAAGGAGGCTCCTGGAGCGAGGCGAGGACCGGCTCGTGCGGAGAGCAGGGAGGAGGCAGGACGGGCAACCCGTGAAAATGAGCGGAGAAATACCATTTTGTGTGATGTGAGAGCTTGGAAGCTGAGAGAGGTATTCGAAGGTGTTTATATATCAAGAGACACGGTAATCCTGACGCAACCCGGATTAGTGGAAACTCTAGGATGTGCTGCCGGGGTTGTAGGGTACCTCTTGCAGTAGTTCGTGACGTATTTGTAAAAGTGCGTCCTGGGGGTAAGGGGGTTTATGCACAAAGGAGTTGGTGTGGGATGTAGGACAGTGGACATACGGATGAGAGGGGTTTATATAGCCTACTCAGGACAGCTTCCGCCTGCACATTTGGGCCCAAGCCCAATCTTTGGTCATTGAATGTGTTACGGTTAGCTTCCCCACTCCAGCTTGCAGAGCGTTTTCGCAGACGAGTGGCCCACCAGGGCTGCGGGAGTTGCGGTCGTCTTGGGAATGCCTCTGATCGCAGATGGTGCGGGGTCGCACCCAATCGTACTACGCGTCCAGCGGGACGCGCTTGACGAGCTGCCCACCCTGAATACCCGCTTAATTCGAAGCTTGACCATGCAATTGCATCGATAGTGTCAGTACCTGAGTGGTACGCGCGAGGAGCTCATCGGCGCCTAGTTGTGACGCCGACACCGCATCCCTGTAACTCTGCGAGCTCTCGCAGCATTGAGGGGTAGCTTTCCAAGCTAGATTCCGAGGACCAGCTCTGCGCAGAACGACATCTGCCACGGGTGTTGCGTCTGCACATCGTGATACTGAGGTCCTGACATCCGGTGTTGCTGCTCATTCTCGAAACGGTGCTGGCGATTTGCCGGCATTGACCGGGACAGCTGCCCCCATTGAGAAAGACAGCGCGATGATGCGGCGTAACATCATCAGTAACAGCAGCGCACGGCAAGATGGCTGGCCTAGAACGGCCAGAAGGCGGGATTTGGCAGGAGGAATACGCGGGCGTTGTTCGCAGCGGAGCGCGGGCGGCCCAGCTTCGCCAGAGCGATGTATCTCCATGCTTGCGCCGTTGAAACTCGGTCGTGACGCGGACTTGACGCGGGGTGGCCGCGGGAAGTCTGGACGACGCTCGGCGGTACCGCGGCGTGCTCGGTGATGGGCTGGGGTAGAGTCGGTTGAGACGGCCATGTCTCGGTGTACCGCTTGGATCGCGCCGAGATGTCTTGCACTCCACTCCATCGCTGGATCTATTGACACGTTGGGGCTACGAAAGAGGGGCAAGCGACGGCTGCGCTGCCGATCAAAGCTAATCACGGCCCCAGGATACGGTAAATAGGACACGAATACCGCAATCTTCGAACGCTGTTAAATTCAGGACGGGCGTGTGCTGTCCGCACTCGCAGCTGCTAGAATCCAGCACCGCCGCAAGGCAAATAGTTGACGATATCGCGAAGTATTGCCTTTTCCGGTCATTGTTTGTGCAAGCAAAGATCTCTACTAGTCCCTCGAGAGAGCCCCGATTTCTTTTCCTTTTTGTTCCCTTCGTCTCCGTCCCACCTCCATTGTAATAACACATCTCGATAATCGTCACTCACCATTGCGCTCCATTTCATATGCCCATTGAATTCATCTCCAAGCGGAGGTACACGTAAACTTCGTGCGATTTCATTTCCCATATTTGATGCGTCATTGCAACCGGGATACGGGCGAACGCCAAACTGGACTATGCACCAACTGCTAAACCAGAATTCCTGTCAATCCGCTTTTCTTCGCTGTCAGCAATTTTTGTCTCTATTGCAATCCAACTACTGTCGTCATTTTGCATTTCCCGGGTGTTTTCGCACTTTAGCAGCCCACCGCTCGATCTCTCAAATTGCAGAACCGTCGTTTCTTCAACGATCGCAGTAACGCGCACATAATCATGGTCGTTATCAAGATTACCCTTATTATGCATCTTGTCGAGCGTCAGTGTCTATTACTTCACGTCCCTTGAGGGAACGTGTTTGTATCGACCCCATGGATGGGAACAAGTTGTCAATCTGAGTTTTTCTACTTTATTCACTCTGAAACCATCTTTTTAAAGCGGGTTTGATAAGATTTCTACGCATGGATCACTTGCAATACTTTCACCTCACCTCCCTGCGCAAATGAGAACGAGATCATTTCCCCCCCAAAGTCCATTTTCGAGTGTCCAACCACAAGGCGAACACTGTAATCAAACAGCCATTGTAGGTACACACAGTCAAATAACAGCAGTCGTCGAACTCGAAGCGGTTACCCGAGGCCCTGGAGCTGACCAAGCTCAGCCATAGACCGCAGCATCTGGCCAAGAATTTCCTCCAGCCTTCCCAGCAATACTACATAAGGCTCGATCAGTGTGTATCCAAACACAAACGGCGACATCGGATCAAAAGCTTCCTCCAATCTTTTAAAAGAATAAATGTATTTTCGTTCAGCTTCTACAACGGATCCCACAGAAACCCTTCGGCGCTCAGTTCCCAAGATCTCGAAATGCTGTGGCCAGCGCGGCGACGACTCCCGTGGCATTGACTCCAGTAGTCTCTGCCGCATCCACCTCTTACAAAAACTTGATCGTCCTGCCGACCATCCGTCGTGCCAAAATCGAATCGAGCGCCACGCTCCATGGTCCGTCGAATGCGGTCAGCAGCTCGACACACAGCAAGAAGATTGCGATGAAATTCAATCGAGCGACAGGATTGTTGCCGTTGAATTCTTGGTCGGCAGTGTATCGCAGCTGTTTCAGATGGTCATCGATACTCAAATCCGCCACTTTCAGTACCCAGCTGGATTGGCACTCGCCCTGCGAAGCTTCTTCTGAAGGTCGCTTCTGGGCCTCCAGGCATCACGAAACGGAAATGGGTACTGGTGTACTATCGAGGGACTGCCTCGTTGGCCAACATCCGAAGTCAACATGCCGTCGAAAGTTGAAGGATGCGCGTTAACGTATTTCATGAATCTGTCGCAGAAGTTCTATGTTGGTAGGATCTTCTCTGGAAATACTTCAGTCTGAAGTATCTGCGCAAATGTTTCGAAGATTGCAATTTGCCTAATCCCCAGAACTTCCATGCCTCCTTCCTTGTGCAATTCGGGCATTATGGACCTGGCTAGAGGATACTGGTCTAACCTTTTATGGAAGCGCAGGTATCGATTGCCAAGGCGTGCGCCCCTACCGCAACCCAGGCTGCCTCTGCGAGGGCGCGGAGGCTTGTCACGGCCGGCTTGAACAGATCCATACTCTCAAAGAGCAGACAAGCAATCTTCATAGCCCTTTCGAGATAACTTGGTCCTCTTGGAATGAGTTCGTCGCCTTCGAAAGCTACATCCAGACCATCTGCCAGTGCATCGAAAGCGTTCATATTGGAGGTATTCGGGACTGTTAAGCTGATGTCAAACGGCTTGGTGGCGTTGCGATTGTCTCCAGGCGATCTTTCATGCCGGCTAGTTCTGCTGCGAAGTTCCGGTGGCCGATAGAAGATTCGGACAGATCGGATCCCTCAACTTCAGTGTAGCACGCTGCGACTTTCTCGTCGCGCTATATCGTGTCCTGAGAGCAGACCGAATGTCGTGCGGTGGGCAAGCTTTCCGCTCCACGATGTCTACCACCCCATTTTTGGAGGACTCCAGATCGACCAGGGTTTTGGCATCTGTTTTGGACATTTTGATCTGAGCCTTGGCCGTCGAACAGACCCACGACATGACTATCAAGGCACTGCGTTAGCACACTTCCCAAGGCGAGAAAAGAACCAGACGATGTGCAGAAGCGCTCAGCCGTTCCGAAGAGATGGGTGGCCTGCGGCATCGAATCGTGACAGGGCAAGACTTACATGTCCGCTGGGTGTGCTTGTTCTCATCGCATCAGTCTCGTACCCTGAAATGCTTGTTGATAGCGCGCAGAATGTGATCCAATTCACATTGGCCTTGGACGGCTTCGGCGAGATATGACGTCACCGCTCAGGATGACCGACCTTCACTTACGACACTCATGGAAGTATTCATCAGCTTCCACGAGCAGACGTCAACCATCGCTCTGAGAAACGCACGTAAGATTCTTGAACTTGGGAGTAGAGAGCGGTTTGAATATTGCCCGAAAGTCCATGACTACTGAACCTCCATTCACACTTTTTGTGCTCGATGAGAATATCGACACTAAGGTGAGTGCAGTTCTCTTAAAAACGTCCATTGTACACCCGACCAACGACCACTAGTATCTGGACAGAAGTCTCAAGCTCACCCATGACTGGGATACGAATGCAAGATGGGACTTGTGGGTTGCGACCGACTCACACGAAGATATGCCCAAGGCGCCAGGCGAAAGGCAGCCTCTACCACAGGCCACAAAGCCACCACTAAAAGGCTTGTTTAGGTCACCCTGGATTGGCAATATTGTAGAAGAATGTGCCAAATGGCTACAAAACGCTCCAGATGAGAGCGCGGTACAGAAAGAATATTTCATTAGGACGGATACATCGACTCTGCCTGATGAATTCCTCCGGCACTTACCAGGTTCCATATTGTTCATATCCTTTGTATACCTCGCAAAGCAACAAAAACTTAATAAAACCAGAAGCTATCGTTCGAACGACCCTAGAGTTCGGACCAGAAGATCTCAGCAACACGCCTCCGGTCATAAGACTGTAGGGTCGCTTTCTGCCGCAGGTCCATCTAGCAGTCGTATAGGTGTGCAGCCGCCTGTGTACTGTTTTTCGAGGCTAATTTGCGGAGGTCACGCTGTTTATGCCACATACATTCCGAGAGATATTTTCGATCCATTCTCGTGCGGTCATTATACAACAAAGTAATGATCTTACAGACATGCACGCAGTTGCGATACGGAAAGATTTCTGCATTCGACTCGAGAGCCGATTTTGACTTATGCTCTATCCGTCTCTGTTAGATTTATTTCACTCTCCAATTTTCAACTCGTCGTCAACAGCATGGACCATCAAGCTTCTGCCACAGTGATGATGGATCTTTGACATCTTCGGACTTTAGTGCCTCGTCTCCACGTCTGCAACGCATATCAGCACCCTCGGACGTGAACGCTGCTTCTCACTGTTTCTCACCACCTGATACGCCTGCCGACATCAATTTTGATGCCCCCGACACATGCTCTTTCATTCGTGTTTTCTGACCAAGTATTAGCGTTAGCATCATGTCTGATACATCGCTAACGCAGGACAGCGATACCTTCGTGATTACACTGAGCTACAACGTGGACGATATCCTTAACCCGTCCGGAAATGGAAAGCCTGGCATCCACTTGCTCTGCTCATCGGCTTGCCTTAGCCAAGCCTCTCTAGTTTTAAGGGCTATTTCGCGCTAGACTATTTCGCTGAAGGCCAGAATCTATCGTCTATCTCACCTCACATAATTCCGCTGCTCGATAGTGATATCGAGGCTGTACACCGACTGTTCAAGGTCCTGCACTTCGATATGAATATCTCAGAGTATCTCAGTTTGCCTCAGTTTGCACCGAGCCAGTCGAGTCGCAAGATGTATATCAAAACGACCATTCACCGACTTCGCTATCGTCTGTGACGAATACGACTGTCGAAAGGGCGCTATGCCATGGATCATGGCTTATTATCTAAGAGCTCTTGCTCGCTGCCACCCAGCATGCAGGATCCCCGGCGGGCATGTCGCCCCCAACACACCGGCCTCGAGCAGCTTTCTTCGTGACGTATGTCCTGCAACTTCCCAAGAATGCAAGGAGGTCACTCGACGACTCATCGTGGAACACAAGGGCCCATTCGACGTTCTCTCTGCTATGCACGGAACAGACCTAATTCCACGTACACTCCCCGATCGTATTGTATCACAATGCAGCATACACGGCCGTAAATCTCCCCCAGCCTTCACTGGTTTCAAATTATACGATACATGCTGGTACCTGTCACAGAACAGCAACTGTCGCAACAACCTTGCTACGCAACCTCGCCGCGTGGAATCTGCTAGCCCTACAATTCGCGTCTATCAATGGAATTCACAGTCGCTTAACCTATTTTGCGACTCTACCAAATGAGCAAGACGAGGGAAGCGTGTGTTCGGCTATTTACCCCGGCTGTTATTGCTAAGAGGTAATAAGCCTGCGATTCCGGGCCGTACGGAATGTGACGCACATAGTCTTTCGTTGCGAGGGTATGTGCTTATATTGTGCTCGTCTAGAGGAGCTGGAAGGCGAGGACACTCGTTGCGCGAACCATTCCACACGCACATCGAGCTCGTAGCCGCGTCGCTGTGTGGTAGCAGATCGGAGGTGAAGTTGCCCAGTCGATTTTGGAAAGTGATGAGGCCAAAAGGGGTCATTTTTTCAGTCGTATCGTGGAAAGTTATCTACTAAGGTACTACTCTGGCAGCATCTACTTAAAGTGGCGTGCGATGACTGTTGACGGGTTATATTGGAAATGCACAGATTGAATGGCGTTGGAAAAGCGAATTTGCATCTTTAAGTCACTAGCATCGACATGGAACAAAGTCTTTTTAGCATGATACGGCCTCCTCCTAATCGAATTCGAACAATCGCCCCTTCATGGTCGGCTCATATGGCGGGATTTCCAACGGCTTCGGCGCGTGGTCTTGATTGCAGTTCACTTCCGCCCACCTGAGCCATCCACCATATGTGCCTTCTTTGCAGTCCGTTCCATCATGCTTTCTCCACCACATTCCTAAAGTGTCCGCACCGAACAGCTTCGCCGAGAAACTGTGCCCTAATTTCATGCACCAGCTCTCAGCAATGGCCTTCTCAACGATGGTTCTCGCCAGCTTCTGGTCTTCGCTCTCTTTCTCTTTAGCACCAGGTAAAGAAATACTGAAGAGCTCATGCTGCTTCTTACTCGTCCAATTCGTAAGCTGTTCGTGTACGTAGGTGTGGTCGATCATGCTGTAGAACCAACACTTCTCCCGCACGTACTGAGGCCCGTTCCAGCCGTCCTGCTCGTCAAGCCACCGCTGCGCAGCACCCAGACATTGGATCTGAACTGCATAGTCTGTCATTGCGGCATCGTCGATCACCATATTGTCCTTGTCCTCTTCCTCTACAGTAACTTCCTGCGGCACTCGCATTAGCGGCACATGGCTGACAAGCGGATGCTTCGAAGCGCCTTTCGTATTCGTTTTCCCTTTCCAAAGTTTGAGCAGGATGTAGTGGGCCCGTTCGATAAGCGGGTTATCCGGCGTGGACATCAACCAGAAGTTTACCGCTGAGATTTCGGGTGGCTCGCCCATGGTAAAACCCGCGAAGTCAAAAGGTGAATTCGTGTTCGCAATTCTTGTAGTCCAGAGCGAGTCAAGATTTCCAAAGTGCAGTACTCCAACGTCCATATACACGCCACCATACCGCAGCAATAGCGGGAACCGGACGAGATCGGAGGTGTGTTGCGCTGCGTAACCCCCATCCAGGTTTCCCTCCCGGAAAGCGTCAGGTACTACGGACGGCGAAGTGACATCGATGAAGCGCGAGACGTTCAGCGGTGAATTAGGGACTGTATCGACAATGTATACGGTCCAGCCAAGTGGATTATACCGGCGATGCCAAGCAATGACGTTACGCAGGAGGTACGGCGGAAGCGTGTGAATGCCCGTCATCCAGAAAGCGAAGATAGACTTAGATTTTGAGTGAGGTTTGGGAAGCTCAGGAGAGCTGAGTGAAGAAGGGAGCTTGTTCAGGTCTATTGGGGGCCATGGGTCGTATGGCAGAGAGGACGTCCCTGAAATTGGTGGATATTGCATCTTGGTAACGGAAGAAGAGCGTGATTGACACTGCAGAGGGCGAACTTTTGCTATTTAGAGAGCAGATTACAATATTGCGCAGTAAAGAAAGTTAAGCTGATATCTGAAGCTGTGACAGCTCGAGATCTGAGAAGGCTGCTCATCTCGACTCATCTTCAGACGCTTACCAGATCGGGCAAGGGTCAGGCTCACAAAAGTGGGACCGTATATGGCCTCTTCCCCATTGGCGCACTGCTACAAATGCAGCACATGAGGTTCCATGATTGAGCGTGTATACAATAATGTGTCCGTATCTCCTACGAACTTTCACAGCTCGGTATAACAACTTCCGGGGGCGGTGGCGGTGGTGGCCAGCATATATCTGGCGGGGTGCATGGATTTCCCGTTCCATTGTAATCAAATGACACCTCGGGGAACGCCTGCTGGACTTCCGCAGAGCCTTTCAATACGCCCTCTCCCTTTCCGACGAGCATTTCAAAAAAGTCTCCTACAACGGTTCGCGATACTTGTAGAAATCTCTCTGCGGTTATGGCCCCTTCCCCACCAGCAAATCCATTTGCCTGCTTCAAGAAAATCAGGTCCGAGTAGTCGCTGTGATTTGTGTGGCCCACGATGCGAAGACTTTTCGTCCAAGAAGATTGGAACGACTCGAAAAGCGGCCAAGTGGGATCGTGGCCTGCGAACGGATCATGCATATCGCTTGAGAGAAGAAGCGTTGGAACACGAGTGTTGAGCGAGGACGAGTTTGACCCCCCGATCCCGAAGAACGTACCGTCGATGTTGATCGCTCCGAGAAATTTCTTGCTGTGCGAAGTAGTCCGGTTCTTTTCAACAAGAAGTTGGCTTACCGCCGCGCTTCCACCCAGCGAATGCCCAAAGAACGCAAAACGCCTCAAATCCAGTGGGACGCCTAGCTCCTTCGAGATTTTTGGCAAGGCGTCAAGAACGGCGGAATTATCAGCAAGGCGATACGCCTGAACGTCGTCAATCACTTCTGGACACGGGTTCCATAAGAAGCTTTTTCCCACGAAGCCAGTTCCGTTGGGATATTGTATGTATGGCGCCTCCCACGGATGGTCTACGGTGACGACTGGGTATCCTCTGCTTGCCATCTCTGAGATCAGGCCGGTGAAAAACCGCGTTGGCGGACCTGCCATAGCGGGTCCGAAGAATAGCGTTGGAAGACGCAGCTTGTCGTGCTCTCTTCGCGAGAGAGGTTTCCCATTCATAGCTAGGGTAGCGGTGATATTGCTGAAGGTTCCGTGTGCCACCCCAAAGTATACATCGTAAGCGGTACCCAGTTCATCCCAAATGTACTTCTGTGCCGGCGCTTCGTCGTGTGTTGGGTAGTAAACATTTACCAGCACCGACTTGCTGACACCTTCAGGTGCAACCGTATCATTCGTAGTCGTGTGTCTGAGGACGTAAGGCTTTGTGCCGACATTATATGGCCCTGTTGGCGGCGGAAGACTCAATCCCGAGACTCGAACAATGAAAGGGACGAATAGATATAAACAAGACAATACCATTATTGCAGTATCACTAGACCACGAAAAGAGGCTGAGGAGGCAGCAGCCTTTGTACTTGCTACTCGACGTGGACTGTCATCCTAGCTAATCCCAAACAGGAAGCTCGCAATATACTGACATTTGTAGCCAATCGCATGGGCCCTCGGATGGTCTGCATCTTCGGGAAGCCTCGTTCCTCGCTCCATGCCCTTATTTCCACATTGACGTAAATCTTCTAGGCAGCAGCAATATACCTGCACCTGGCACAAAAGTCAGCGAGAGGCCTCCAAGCATAGTATCAATAATTCCAAATACTTACTGTTGCATCAATCTTATCCCAGTCTAATCTCATTGACCTCAAGTGCTTTTGCGACCTGTGTTATCCTCTGTATGAGTTGTCGTAGGAATACAAGCTGACGTTTGGTGCACTTGCCTTGGTGTTCGCCCGCGCTGCCCAATCGGTAACATCGACACCACCCTCTGAGCCAGCTTAGATATGGGCATGAGGTCGGGCGGCGAGGAATGAGATTGTCCGAAGTGACAGGCCCGAGGCCCTTAGAAAAGGCTAAGCTTGTAGATTTCCTTTTGGTAGACTTGGCGAATCCGCGAGTTTTGCTGATCAGGTCCAAACATCTAGGTCCGCCACAGCGCCAACGTGGACTTTGGATCGTCGATTTCAAGGGGTAAAGAGTGTTGAAGGAGTCGAAGCCTTCGCCAGTGTGGCTTGAGTGGTCGATGGACTTGGACTGTGGCAATCTGGCGACAGAATCTTTACCGGAGGTGGAAGGGCGTGCTTGTCGGAAGCGGAGGAGGAGAGTTTCTGCGGCTGGTCAAGATCCCATCATTGAATAGGTAATGCAAGAACGGTCGGGGTGTTGTGCTGTCGGAAAGGTGGCTCGGTTCGAGAGTGCATAATCTCTGTTGGGCATTGCAAGCCATCACACACAACTTCAAAAGCCTCATATTTATTGTTCGCGGTGGTTTTCGATGCAATTTCTCATGTTCACCACTAGAAAAGAATTAAGAGAGTCTGATTGCGAACGCACGTCTCAAGTGTTCATGAAGACGAGCGACAGACAGTTTGGAAGCCGGTGAAGTAAATTTTGCGAGTAGAGCGTTCCAAAGAAGTGGTGGAAGGATCGCGGTCGGTGAGATTGTTAAAGGTATAGCAAGCAGAAAATAAGCTGCTAGACTCGTTCAATGGCTTGTTTATATCATCTTCTCTAGTTCATCTACTTCCTAGTCGGTAGGCAAGGATAACATGACGTCTAATGAGCTCTTTGTTTGCAATCAGGCTTTATCCGATTGTCCTTGTCCAAGGGCAAACACAATGCATTATAGCTGCTTCTATTTCCTATCGTATTACATTGTGAGGCATCCATTGACCGTCCTATGCAGCGTCATGCTCCGTACATATGGAGGCCATGTACCTCAATATCGCCTCATTTACTCAGACTGCGCACTCAATCAACAGGCGAAAGCTAAAATGTTTTCCAGACACTCCAACCCCCAAATCATCACTGAATCATTGGATTCAGGGCCCGGTGCCTCCGAGAGGCTTTTCACTATCCTTAATCGCGACGACCGTTTCAGGCTCGCGGAAGACCCGACTGTCGAGGCAGGTAACCTTGATAATGACATCCACCCCATATTCCAGCACGCACGATTTCTAGGAGAGAGCGATCATCTTAAGCAGGCACTCCAGCTAGCATCACTCTATCTTACTACACCCACTCTGCTTGAATTCTATCTGCCGCTTGTGTTCGGAGACCACGTTACGATTGATGGAAGATTTCACAGAGTTTTGGTTCGACCCCACGATTCAGATCGAGAGCACGAGACTCAAACTATTGAATTATTTCTGATGTGCATGTCGCATACTACCAAGTGGGAATGGGTGGACTTCGAAACAGGGAAAAAGTGGGGCAGCACACAGCATTACTTCGACGAGTCGCCCAAGTATCGTCACACAGAACAGTGTCCTACCCTCGAATATAAAGGAAAGACGTATTTCCACAACGAAGACAAGGGTTATCTAATCAGACTCAATCGAGGCATACTTGACTTCTACCTTGATGAAGAGACGGGGTACGTGACGCGTTCCCGCTGTGAGCAATTCCGTCACGACTTCCAGCTCGCGCTTCTACTGGGGCATGAGATTGCACACGCGTTTGGTGCGATGTGTCATGACGATTTAGCAGAGCCGTGGCTTGCGGTGGATCACCCTAGAAATGAGCTGGGCTTTGCGTGGGAGAACTTTGTCTTTTGCGCCCTGATCGACCCGGTGGACAGAGAGCCCAGAGGAAAATACATCCATGTATACAGAACGTGGCAGAGTAGAGAGTTTCGTCAAAATTATAAGAGTACCGAGCAGACGGCAGTTCCAGTTGCCTGGACGGCGCAGTGGTTCCGTAGGAAGACGTGGGGGACCATCAGAATGTATGGCTATAACGCAGTGAACCTGCCTAATCCCACACTCAAGATCTATTTTACGGCCTGGGGTCGCTACATTGTGTTTACTGATGATGAAGACGCGCGGGCGGATCTCGATTTGGCTCGGTTTAGCGCAAGTCTGAGTCTGAGCTATCTGTTTGTGAAGGGAAGCCCCAGTTCGGTTGCTATGGAGGATATCAGTGGGGCTGCGTGGATGCCAATGATTGCCTCAGCGAAGCAACCGCTCATGGCGACACCACAGCGTCGCTTCGATGAAGAGCTTGTGGATGATACGTGGTACCTTCAAAATGCCAAAGCCCGCGAGAAGGCTACTTGGCGAGTACAGGAGGTAGCTGAGAAGAGGTCGAAGAGGCTTGCGGAAACGAGCATGGTCTCGATAGCAGCCGGACTCATGAAGGCATCCAGACATGCAGCCAGACTCATAAATTCATCTGCACTTGTAGTCAAACCCAGGCCGCAGAGACTGTCAGTGGCAGCGGGGCCGATGTGTTCGAGCAGCAGTCATCTTCCCCTACACACGTCAGAAGCCGCGCTAAGCGTTTACGAAATGGCGAACATCTCGACCCATTCCTGCCGAGCAAGAAGGCTCGACGAGGCTACTGATTCGAGACGGATTCGACGATACAGCAATGCCTCCTCATTCTCTAGCATCTAAGCATAGCATCAAATCTTGCCTTCCGCAACGCATATTCCTTGTAGTGTCTGCATCTCAATTAGCGTATACCCTCTAGCATACCATAGTACCATGTCCAATACATCCAGTCTCACCAATATCTCGTCTCCCACGTAGTTCCACAGTTCACACCCCAGTCCCTGCACCTCATCTCCCCTTTGCCATACTCAACCGCCCAATGCATCGCCTCCACGATCAATACGTCCAGACCGCCTTTTCAATTCTATCCCATGGTGTTGGTGAGCCCAAGGTCACGCAGCCTTACACCATGGGGAAGACACGGCAACCCGGCATGCCTAAGTTTCTATTTTCGCTGCTCCCGCCTACGTGCACAGCCCCCGAACACTCGAACACGGCATACCAGGCCTAGTTTCTTGCTGCAAGACCGGTAGCCTGCATACACGGCACGCCCAAAACGTTGATCTGCCCGGGAATGCTGCGATCAATCGGGTAGACATGTCATTCGAACGCTCTGGTCGGAGCAGACCTTCGGGCGATGGCGTACATGTAGTGGGAGAAAGTGGCGAGACTGCGCGCCCACATCGCCGGAAAAGCCGCTTTTCAATGCGCGGTCGCAGCGCTGGCCTCGCATGTCGACTTATCGATAGATTCACCTCCAGAAGCGTTCTTACTGGCTTTGTGTAGGTGTATGCTGTGGAGAGATGGTCGCATACAGCAGGTGACGGTTCAGACCCACTCCCCTCGGTTTACCGGTACCAGTAGGCTTAGCCCCTACCGGTAGCGGATAAGAAAAAGCCTTTTAGCCCCCAAACACTCCTCACTCGATATCCGTGGGCACGGCAGAGGTGGTTACACAGCTAGATGCGTAGCGGGAACGACAGGATACGGCAGGCGCGCAGGAGGGCTGGTGAGTGTTGCGGGAGCGAGTGACGATCGTTGCCCAGATTGGGTAGTGTGTAGGTAGCAAGAGACAAGAATACAGTACCAACAGTACCGTAGACATTCTGATTCCGGCACCTTCCTGCTAAGCGAAATCTCTTGAGGCAGACTTCTCCATTGTGATGAAACCTTTAATGTATCACGTCAAGTCGTTCCCGCTGTTACACTCAGCACGCGACATTTATCCGTTACAGACCACTGTGCAAAAAAAATTAGTAGACAGAACCTTATACAAAATCTACGTATACCATCGTTACCACGCAATCTCCACAGGCCACTCGTTCTCCTCGCTTGCGCACATCATCCCTCCCGCATGTCAGGCTCCCTTCAAGGCGCATTTTCCCCTGCTGACTAAACCTCTCACCCGTCTACCCTACCTCCCACCACCACAATATTCAGGTTTAAATAAATTGAAATTAGGTTTGGCCGACGTATACTATTGCGGTAACCTGCAGCCCACGTGACACGCACATGCAGGGGTGGAGAAACCGCTCCCCTGGAAATGTGGAGATCATCTGCAGGTTTTCATCTTGGATGAAGTAGTCGCAGATGCAGGAGGGAGGCTTAGACGGTGCGCTGTGTTGCAAAGAGGCAATTTTGATTGTTGACTGCTATATTGGCGTCTGAAAATGTCGTGTCATGTCATCTTTTCTCTATTCCATCATCAGTCCGAGGAGCATCTCGGAAAGATCATCATCAAAAGGAGCATTTCTGGGGTCCAAGTGCCTCGGAGCATTGCTGGTTTAGGTCGCGTGCAGAAGCGAGGCGCGACGTAAGTGTCAATTTGTATGGGGCGCGATGGGCGACGTTGCGTAGGATGGAGACGTCGCTGGTGACCTTTATTCAGGGCAGAAGGGGTGCCTGAATCGTGATGTGCCTGAGATGTGGCGTCGAAAGGAGACGGTCAGGTTCTAAGTGGGGAACCTGTGTGGATGATGACATGCTCGAGGGACCTCGGTCGGCTGGGTGACATTCCAGGGTTGGTTCAAGGGTCGGTCCGCGGAGGGTTGCTTGCTGCCCATGAAAGAAGATTCATGGACAGCGAGATTAGGGAGGTCAAAGCGTGTAAAGAACTCAAAGAGAAACACTGTAATGAGGATGGGTTACATGCCTTCAAACAGCCTCCGTGTGGAAGTTCCTGTTCGCAACATCTGTTCCCAGAAATGCTATGTACAACCCGATTAAAATTGGCCCCCAAATGATTCCACCCTAAAGTTCCAAGTAAAAGTTGACAAGCGAGGGTATCAATACGAAGAAGTAAGCAATGAGTACAGCAGCAGGAAGCTGCTGGTACGCAACCTGAATGCAACGCTCAAGGACATGCCAGACATGCAAGAATGACAAGGTCTACCGATTCCTCCACCCGCGGGCCAAATTCCATCGTGATTCAAGTTCCCGTGCTCGCGCTGAGGCTTCCTTTCGCTTCTGTGCGGCCATCTCCGCCTGACTTTGCGCATAATCTGGGAGTTCGTCGTCCGGTGGGCGCTCGGAATCAGACAGGCCAAGTCTCTCCAGCTCCAGGTTGATGGTATTTAAATTGGGTCGGAGAGGGGAAGATGGACCGTTCATATCGTACGAATCTCTTCGCGGAAGAGCTGAGCTTGAGATCTGGGGAAGCGCTGAGCTGGATACTGAATAGTCTCTCGGGCCCTGTGGTGGCATCCAATCGTAGTCAGGTACTGGTACTGGCACAGATTGGGCAGGAGTTTCGCGAGCCAGCAGTGGTATCCTGTCATTCTGGGTACCGCGCGCAAATAGCGACCCTTGGAGTCGCGGTGTTTCCATTGGCGAGAGAGCGTCGAAGCCACCAGGAAGTCCAGCAGTGGCTTCTGCAAAAAGGTGGAAGTCCGTGGTATCGCCAAACGCAGCGTGTGTTTCAGTGGGCGAAACCCATGTGTGTGGTCGAGGAGCGTCCGAGATGGACTCGCGAGCAGTTGATGATGATATTGTGCTTGATTCCGGAAACGTTGAACCTCTTCGTGGGCGCGGGTCTATTGGTTCGAATGGTGTGCCCAAGGATACTGCGCGTTGTTGCTCCGTGACTTGTGGTCGGGGCGTGTACGCTTGGTATTGAGGGATATCAGGGTAGTGTGCGGCCGCTGAATGAGCGCGCTGCATGTCCAGTGGGTGCGGTGGACTATATTGGAGCGGCGAACTGGGCATACTACGAGACTGGTGGTGGTGCGGAGGCAGCCCGGGACTAAGATTCCCGTTGGAAGAAGTGCGCCTATGAGTGTTCAGAGGCGCAGGCTGAAGATGCGATGCGTCCGAGTGGTCGTAGGGCTTTTTCTTTATTAGGTTCAGTAATCCGGGTTTGTGTTTCTTCTTCTGTGATTCAGGGGATGGCGGCAGCGGCTTATCGAGCTGCACGGTCGTCGTTATTGAAGGTACTGGCGGTTGATTTGCCGAGGCGGATCGTGTAGCGTGGTGACGGGTCGTTGTAGCTTGGTAGGCGGACTGTTCCTGACGGCGTCTAGTGCTTGGCATAGCGAACCATAACTCGGTTTCGTCGTCGCTGGTAGCACTACGGGATCGATTACGGGGTGTAGCCATGCGGTCGTCTTGTTTAGTGTCGGGGGACACTTGAAGAAATATAAAGCTGGACGAGATAAGCGACTTCGCCGTGAACGACAGATCTGGGTTGCAGGTGGCGAGAGTCGTTGGGCCCGTCAGCAGCTGAGCGTCGGGTATCATTCTAGAAGTAAATACTATCGAAGCTGGGCAAGTTGTATTCCAGGCTGGCGTTGTGCCAGGGTGCAAGCTGGGTCGGCACAGGGGTTGCAGTAGCGGTTGCAGGTGTTGATTATGGGCTTCTGCATGCGGCGGTATTCAGCCAAATACTGTGGTCCAGAGCCGGGCTGTAGATTGGTGGAACGGGAGCCAGTGAACAATGCAGGAACGTGGTATGTGTGGGTAGCTTAGGACGCGAGGTTGTATATGGCTGGATTAGAGAGCGGCGCAGTCGTTGTACTGTAGGCGTAGGCGCAGGGGTGCAGCACCATGGGCGATGACGGTGATATGTATTCGGCAACACACCGTCCTGGCAACCATTCCCCCAGTCGTCGGAACGGAGCAGTGAGCGGGCGCTATCAGGGACCCAAAGCGTACGAAGAGGCCTTTGCGGAGATTGCTGCGAAACCGCCCATTTTTCAAAAGGCCGTGACAAAGAGACCCCGTCTGCAGGATCTCAGGCCAACACTGCGGTTGGCTAGACAGGGAGCATACTCCCGCGAGGCTTCAAGAGTTGGGATTCGCGCGTATGGAGCCCGCCTTGGTCAGTCCGACGGCCCTGCGGCGGCGACCTGATGATGCCTGGCGACAGCAAGGCGACGCTCCGGCAACCCTCGCTCACGCGCACAGTGCCGCAGCTGCTCGCCTCAGCGGGGCACAAATGCACAGCAGCACCCTCGTCGTGCTTGGCCGTGTTCCGTTGAGGAAAGGCGAGGTCGACGGCGATTTTGTGGTGATCTGCCAGGGGACAGGTGCACTGCCTCCCTGCCGACTAAGAATAGGCCCGCTACGCCCATTGCGACTAACTCCACCCGAAATGTTCCTCATCGCTCCCACAGCGATGCGACCGTCACGGCGCCGCCGCAAAGAACAAACGAGATTGACAGCTGCTTGTTCGAGCCTTTTCGTGGGGTAAATTGCTGGTGATCACGGCCGTCGTCCGAGCTCGCGCCATCACTCCTGTACGAAAGACTACCAAATAGGCAGCCCACCGTGCGTGGTTGCAGAACGCCCGAAACACTGTACCGTTTCCGTGCCTTCACAGTTCCGCACACTTCGCACGAGCGTGAAATGACACTACAGCCTCAGAGTACTCCTAGCAGCTGCCATGCCCGATCTACGCCCACCCAACACCTTGCCATGACCCGATCAACAATACCGAGCCTGGCTGTACACACAATGAGGTGCTTTGTGTCCTTCCCACAGCCTCGTCGACCATTGCCGCCCTGGCAGGATCATTAGGGGCATGTCTAGCGCACTACTCCATCAGGGGGCATCCTTTGAGGTCTGGGTCATCATCCCAATGTGCCGAGCACAAAGAATACCAACAAACAGTAAGGCGGTAATACGAGCCACTGAAACGGGAAACACTTCAAGAGGAGCAATGGTGACCTAAAACGAGCAATCTTTGTTCGGATGAAACCATTGCAGTCACAGTAATCGCTGACCAACACGCATTTACCTCAGCACAGTGCACTTGCCGACGGCGTATGCCCGTATACGACCCGCGGCTGAACGCCATTGCCCATTAGTCAGTTCGCACTTCGCTTCTTTCGACTTCGCTTTTCATTGCGAGATGCGACTCCACAGATGAACGTTGATGACGTAGTGATTGATCATCCCGCCATGAAAGTTGAGTGCAGAACTACCAGTGTCCATATCATAATGTTAATGCTAGCTATTGATAGCATTCTGTCAAGACTCATCATGAACGAGCGATGCGACAACAGACGGGAGATGATCGGTGACTTTGAAACTAGACCTGTTGAAGAGAACAAACAACAAATCCTACGAGGCTGACTCGCGGCACGAACATGTGATTCAGGCTTTGGAAAAGGACAGCACCCAGAATGGATAATAGCCTTCGAAGTTTGACTATTCCCTTTTTGACGGTGTTTTATGGACTCGTCCAACACGTTGTGCCGCTCAGGATCATCTAGCTATAGTGCGACCCCACAGATACGCGAGTTGTTTGTCTCGTCTGATTCCTTCGCGTCCCCATCTACAAGACTCGGCGAGAAGGAGCTTCTACGACCCGTTCTCCGGTGGGGCGTTGCGGTGAGCGATGTCACGCAAGAATGTACGGACATAATTCGTTACAGACAGTATCTTCTTCAATCTGCTCTCTCATAATGGCCGGGAGGTGTTTCCTTGACAAGCAAGAGCTCCACATCGTCTATCAACAACTGAACCGCGCTAGGCGGCTCCGTGGCCCCCAAAGTTAACCTCCGCACGCTAGGTGGAGTTCATATTTCATCACGGATGGGCGGCTTGCTTTTACGCCCGGCAAGGTACACCAATGCCTCGAGATCACTTTCCATATGACATGCGCACTCGCGCGACTATACATTGCAGCGTACCTTGCGTCATATGTACTTATACCGAAAAGCCCAGAAAAATCGAACAGGTTCGAAAGCAGGGAATCTATTAATCACCAGACTGGTATTGGTACATCCAGGCGAGTCTCGGCGAGATGGTTACATCTGTCCCGACCGTAACTCAAAAACAGGAACAGGAACAGCAATAACCACCACATCACGAGTGGAGCCTCTTGACCAAACGAAGCCACCGTTTCCAAGCATGTTTCGAATCCACAAATCCACTTACGATACTCCGTTTCAGGCAGGCCCCCAAAGCGGCCATCAACTCCGGAGCCTCAGCGCCATCTCAAAATGTCCGCACCAAGGTCATCGTTCACGCTGTACGCTAATCTCAGCTTATCTCGGCTTCCGCACCAAACATCATCGCTCGCAGCTTTTTCTTGTGTAATGCAAATGTTCCTAAGTGGGGTCGGAGAGTGCGTGGGGCCGTGTTGGGGGCCCGGAGATTGGGCACGCCCCGGAGTTCGGAGGCGTGAGGTCAGCAAGAGAGGAGTTGATGTAGGGCTGATGCGATCGCGCGGATATAGTTAGGCGCGAGATCGCGGTGATTTGTCTTGTCGAATGGGCGGTTTTGGGAGAGTCGGGTCATGTTTAACTATGGACAAAGCGAGGTGGCTGAATAGGGAAGTCCGTGATGATTGCTGGGTCATCCTCGTGGACTTCACACGCCCGCTGTTAGTGTTAGTTTGATGTTGAGAGTGTTCACAGTATTTGCTTTGGCCTGGCGACTCATGCACTGAGCTAAGTCACGATTTGAGCACTCTGTCTACGTTTCGACCACCAAGCGTAGGACTGCATTTCCCATGAAAATCTCGCAAGCGCATCGACTTCTTTCTCTACCATATCGCCATTGATGTTCTAAAAATCCTCCTGATTGGTAACACCCTCCAACTCACCGAAATTATTGGCAAGGTTCGCTCTTCGCGCCGAATGACAAAAGCATGCGAGATAGAACGTCCTCTGAATAAAAGCGTTTCGCTCCCTGTTCGGCAACATCAACACAATGTCCTGAACTCGTTTTCATTCCATACACGCCTGAAGAATTGTTTCATCCTCTTCAGCCGACCAATCCGCATCTATGCCACTTGCCTCCTCGAGATCCTCACCACCCGTTCTTTCCAGTTTCTCCGCACTCTTTTCTTCCGCACTATTAGCACTTGCTCCTTCCACTTGTCACTTTTCAGCCTTTCCCACCAATAATTGCGGAACTTTCCTCCCGCTCACAGCTCTTCTCGAGTTCGCTAGCAAATCTCACGGAAGTCGCTCTTTCTATAAGCCTTGCTCCTTCCACAGCCCTCGTAATAGCTCATTCTTCTTCCTGGATACTTTCTCTTTTCACGTTCTCTGCAATTTCTCCTTCCACCTATTGATTAGTCCACACTCCCACAAATCTAATCTCGACCCCTTCTAAATTTCCTCCCATTAAGCCCGTCGCATTCTCTTTCAGGCCCACCTTCACGCTCTTCAATACCAGCTGCCCAGTCCCCGTGCTCCTCTGGCATGTCACCTGTGTGAGCCATTTCTTCGCGCGTGTCTTCAATCTTACCTCTCTACAAGTCCCACAGCTTGCGCTGCCATCCTTTGTGATCCCGCACCTCAGCAAATGGCACCCTGCGCCTCTCTCCGTATCGCTGGTACACGTCCTCTCCATGGATTATTGATTTTCGAATCCCTGGCGGGGTCTCTCCAGGCTCCTCAAAATCAACACCGAGGTCATACGAAGGCTCAAAGCCTGGCACCCATAGCATTTGCATCGCAGAGTTCTGATTGGGCTAGCACATTTCCGGGCATCTGAAGTGGATTTGCTTCAGCTTCTCCATGTTCGTTGCCTCTGGGATGACGATGCCGTCATTTCAGTCATGCGAATGAAGGAGTCGATGTAAGTTGATTGGAGCAGACGGCTGAGGACCCGGTTATCAACGTCGTCATTGAGGGAGAGTGTCTCAGCCAGGATGACGATGGCGCAGCCATTTACGATGCCGTATTTTGTAATAATGGCGCCTGGAGGAGACAATTGATAGGTGACGCACTTGGGTTGGGCCCAGTGAGGGTGGACAGGGCGTGGGGGTCGCAAGAATCAGTCATGTTGCGGATTGAAGGGGAGGCTAAACTTTCACGGCTCCGAGATCTCCACATGAAATGACCAATGCAAGTAAGATATACCAGAGTGCGCGCTATTGAGCTGGCTGACGGGGACTTCACAGTGCGGACTCCAATCTCAGTGCGACTTGTGCTTCAAAAGGATAGATAGGTACCCTTATATAAGCTGGAGTCATGATGTTTGCTTCCATGGCTTGCTCTATACTGAGAAGGGCGAGCTTGAAGAGCTTTCGTCAACATTGCCGTGTGACTTGCGATAATCCGTGACAATGAAAAATAATCTTCAAGGTCGACACATAATCAGTACTATGACTTTACATTCAGAATGAAGGCCGTTCAGAAGGTCAGGAATTCGAGTGTTACCATGATCGCTATCAAAGTATCATATTATCGATGCAACTCCTACGAGGCATCGCTATCGCCAAACTGCACCAATGACCCAATTCCAAGTACCTAACCAGTATCTCGCAGCAACCCAAAGGTTATTATACAACGTCTCCAGCCTTCAACGCCCGTATGCCAAACCCACGCAGCAGAATCCGAGGCCCACCACCGCCTGCACGGCAACAACGCCCTCCAACAACGCCCCGCCCGCTCCTGGACCCGTGAGCGGCAGCTCGGCGCCGAAAATCGAGGCGCGCTCAATGGCGGCGTCTGGGTGGTCAAAGATCGCAAGAGCGGTAAAGAATACATCGAGAAATGCGCCCAAGACACAATGATCAAGGACGGGACCATCCTACAGGAAATCACTATACTAAAATATCTCTCGTCGCCCTCGCATGAGAATATCACCAAACTGGTGGACCACTTCGTCGACAAGAAGCTGTGCAAAGTGAGCATCTACCTGAAAGAATGCAGCATGGGCAGGCTCGAAGCACTGATCGAATCGCGATACCAAGGCGGGGAGCTCTTCAACGAGCTCGACGTCTGGGAGTGGTTCATCCAGCTCTTCTCCGCGCTGACATACTGCCACTACGGGCCCGACCCCACCGCGCGCTTTGCCTACAACCGCCCCGAGGACTGGGAAAATGAGTGGGACAGGGTGTTCCACTGGGACATCAAGGTTGAGAACATCCTAGCCCACGAGGCGACGCCCAAGGGTATGACGACGCAGTATACGCTCAAGCTCGCAGACTTTGGGTGCGCGGTTGCGCGAAGGTATATCTGGGTTGATACAGCGAACGACCGGAAAAAGACGAGCTGGTGCACGAGGAGGTGGACGCCGCCAGAATATCCACAGTTTGTGGGGAGGTCTGATGTATGGCAGCTCGCTGCTGTCGTGGGATGTATCTGCAATTTGATGAACGTGCCGTTCTTTGACCATGCAGCGCCGGCGCCTGGGTACTCGGTTACACTCAATAATGCGATTGTGGAAAGTATGAAGAAAGACTTCAGACAGAGGCCGAAGGCAGATGAGGTGCTGGGACATGTGAGAGGAAAGTACAAGGTCAAGGCGGAGGTGCTGGAGAAGGATCCGAGGCCTGTGCCTGATAAGCTTGATAAAGTGAAGAAGGACAGGAGGGAGAGACAGTTAAAACGAGGACTTGAGAAGGGGTCTAAGGAGCAGCAGCAACAAGCTGCTGCGGCTCAGGCACTCAATCGGCAGGCACAGGTTGTGGGTCAGTGGGGTGTAGGAAATGATGGCTTTGGGGGTCCTGGTCCGTTTGCGGGTGCTGGATGGGGTGGTCTCGGTGGACGGGGCGGTGGACCTGGTAATATGCAACCGTTTGGTAGAATAGGTCGGGGCTGGTATGGAAGTGGTGGGGGTATGTACTAGTCTTCGCAATTTGGGGGACCCCCAAGTGGGTATTATGGTGGAAGTTACAGTTCTCCATTTGGAGGTCATTGAATTGGAGGTTATGGGCCTGGATCCTTTGGGATTAGTCCTCATAAATTTGAGCCGTACGGGTCTGGAAGATTTGGTGGTTATCCGCCGTACGCTGCCCCTCCTCGATTGCGGAGGCGGTCATTAAAACGTTGTTCTCGGGTGTCAAGACATAGATCCAGCTATAAATATTTTATTGTTGTATGCGTACGATTTGTGTCATATGTTTGTCATGTACTGGGCCATCCCCACGACTCTTCGAGCTGCCGTATACTTGTAGTGGGAGGGAAGCCGTGCGAGCGCTCACAGGCAAACCACAGGTCGCGGAGTTGCTCCTGATCATCTCGCGCGGCGAATCGATCGCCGACTGGATATTTTAGCTACTGCACATGATGTGACATATGTTTTGTTTGCTTACCCAGCGCGATCGCAAAGCAAGCGACGAAAATGCAAGGAAACACTTTCAGGTTCGATAGCGCCACACCGCATAAGGTACGGACGTCTTCTTGGACCATTCTCTGAATTTTGGATCAGTGACGCTCATGAAGTGGATGACAGGGGACATACATCAACAACTGCGCGTGACTGCTTGTGCGAGGGCCCTAGCTGTGGTATTGTAGGGTCGTGCACAACAAGGAGCATATGCGCAAGGGTATTGTATTGGTTCCCCATTACTATCACGCAGCATCAGCAATCAAGTATTTAGATGGCTCAAGTTCTTACCGTGCGTCTTCTGATGATACCTGATATCAGGGAACATTCTCCCACTTCCGTCTCTATCCTGTCGCCAGAAAAGTGGTTCCTGAAACCATCGTCAGCGAGATTCTTGAACCCGAGAAACAAGCCACACATACAAAACTATCAGGCCGTTGTGTTCTCCATACTTTATTCTCGTCCATCAACTGACTATACCGTAGCACACTGTGCCTATCTTCACCAAAAGCGAAGTTGCACACATCCCCGAGATGTGCAATCGTTCGTGTAGCCCAGATAGAGTCGTCTGCGGGACCCATTGAGCGGTCTGCAGGAAAGATATGCAGTTGGAAGGCTCGCTGTGTCATAAGCGATATCCATAGCTCTTGACGAAAAGCGGCCCAGTAAATCGCTTGGCGGAAGTTAGGTCCAGTGGTGCCGACATACGACTGCTCAGCTGCACGAATGATGGCCTGTGTGCCAAAGAGATGACCTTGCGGGTCCGAGCCGATGATGGAGATGTTCATCTCTTCCATGAGTCTTAGTATGATGGTTGCGGCAAGGAGCGACTCGTCGCGGATGGCAATGTTGTCGTTAAGCGCTGGGATCAGTGTCTCGAAACAGCGCTGATAGTAAGCATCGGCAACGTATGGATCGAAGTCGCTAATTCGACTCAGTTGTCGCGCAGATAGTGCAAGAATTGCATTCATCAAAGTGTTGTTGGTCTTAGCGCGCTGGACAACGTGCACGCCGAAGTGACATCGGTTGTCCACCATGTCAAACTGGAACATGTCAGTAGATGATACGGCTGAGCGAGTAGCCATACAAATAAAGCAATATTGTCGACGTAATGTTGCAAGAGCATGGCTTCTTGTTCACTCTCCAGTGGCCAAAGCACTCGTGCGCCTGGTGGTGGCTGGTAGGTAAAGTTGCCCGATTCATCTGGATCCGTAACGCGAGGTGAGACCGGCAGGCTGTAGGATGTAGGTGCTGGTGGTGCACTATAGCTTTGTGGAGGCACCCTCGGTTCAGAGTTGAGCAAGGATAGAACGGTCAGACCATCTGCTGGACTAGTAACCGAGGGCGACTGCTGAGTGATAGCACAGGAAGAGTGTTGATCCGGTGAATGGTTCGGTGGGGTAGGCGGTCCACTGAACCCATCTTCTGCATACTGAGAGCGTATCTCATGTGATTCATCGAGAAACTGTACTATTTTGCTTCAGCGCCATTCACCTCATGGCTTGATGAAACGTACTGCGCGGAGGAAGCGCGACCCATGGCTGCGCTGTGCTAAAGCTCTCTTGGATGGAAGATCGGCGGAACCTTCTGCCTGTCTCATATACACAGCCCTTCCTCGCTTGTTCGCATCGACTGCACTTCGGCTGCTTCCCGTCGCCTAGTAATTCTTAGCCAGTAAAGGCGCTTTTTCTGGTGCGCAACATACATCGATAGTGACGTGAACGGCAGCGATTACTGAGGACTGGTAAGCACAGAACGATAGCGTGGAGGACAAGTTACCATGGCATTGGAAGGTGAGCCTATGATGGGTCGCGAATGGGCAATATGGCGTAGTCGGGGTGAATTGCCCTCTGTGTCGGCAGGCGACAGTGATGTGCGAACGGCTGCTGCGCGCGCTAACTGGCGGCAGCGGGGCGCCGGACCACGAATTTTCGGTGGGCACCTCTATGCCAGCCGTGACCAACAAAAATGTCGCCGTTCGTCAGGCGCCAAACTTGGGCCATCAGCCGGTTGCATCCCGACACTGTCGAGGCAGCTGGAATCCGAAGTTGGAGCGGGGTAACCCCCACCACGCGACGTGGTTGGAAAGAGGAAATCTTCGCCTACACTTTCGTCATGCCAGATCCTGATGGGGTGTCTTTAACCCGAGAAGGATAACATATTAACACCGTGAAGGAGAAAGGCTTTCATCCTTTGAGTTTCTTTTCGAGTTGCTGATCCTCCATGCGCTGTCCATGCGCATATTGATAACCCACTGCGCAGCATCACTTGCAAGACATCATGCCTCATGCTGAATCGCCAGAGCCAGAAATCCCCAGCTTCGATGGCAAGAAGCTGTATGTGAACGATGGACTGCTCCATCCTGAGCAAGTAGGGCCTCTCAGACAATCTTCTCCAGATCTTCCGGTTGAGGAGCTTCGCAAGCGTTATGAAGAAGATGGCTACGTGTTTCTGAAAGGGCTGTTACCCCGCGAGGACGTCCTGAAGGCCAGAGAAGAGTATTTCAACAGGCTTGCCCCCAGTGGTGTACTGAAACCCGGAACTGCACCAGTCGAGGGAATCTTTGATGATGGCAAGGATGCTGCCGACTATCCTGGTATAGGTGCCGGCGCATCTCCAGGGAATGGCAGGCCTGGAGCTGGTACTGCAGAGGTGTTCGTCGATCTCGCATTGCAGGCGCACTACGACGAATGGTATAAGGAGAGATTCTGCAAGCATCCGGTGCTCAGAGATGCAATCGCACGTATTTCGGGTTGGGGCGAAGACACACTGCCAGTGCGAAGGAGTCTGCTAAGGAACAATACGCCTGGCAACAAAGCAATTGGAGTGCATTACGACCAGATCTTCTTGAGACACGGAGAGCCAACCAGCTTCACTGCATGGGTTCCTATGGGTGACATTAGTTTGACTGGGGGAGGGCTAATTTACCTCGAGAATGGTAGGCGGTGTGTGCCTAGGCTTAGAACTACATTACTGATGAGCGCAGGCAATAGTTTGGGTCGGGAGATTGAAGCTGACTTTGCCCGGAAGGCGAAGGAGAGCGGGCTTTCAGACGAGGAAGCCAAGAATGCTTTCAACCAAAATATGCTCTCCACAGGCCTACTCGCCGATGGGCCGAAAGAATACAGTGAGACGTTTAGGAAAAGGTGGCTCGTGACTTCTTATGAAGCGGGGGACGTTGTCTTGCATACGCCGTACACTGTACGTGGTCTGGAACATGTACGCCAGCTATTTAACAAGTCGACAGATCCATGCGTCAACAATCAATTTCGACCCCTGTAACGTCATTCGCGTCGGGACGGACCTGCGATTTGTGAACGGAAGCAGACCTTGGGACAAGCGATGGGACAAGGACTATGAGTTCAATGACGGCGTTTAAGTAGGAGTTTTACAACAATTAAACACCTCCAAGCGATGGAAGCTGCGATCAACAGATGAGACCATCATCACGCGATAACGAGAGCGAGGCCACTTGTGCGCCTTCCTTCTATTGCAATAACGTATTCGTGAGCCTAAGTGCGCACAACTGAGCACCGACTTTAAGTCGCTGTACCGAAGGTGACTTGATCACTCGCAGCACGACGTTCGACTTTGGCTGTAATTTTTCAGACTCTGAGTTACATATCTGGAAGGGCAATTACTGCAAAATGAGTCGACATAGCTGTATAGGGAGCATCGATAAGGATTTTGCTCGAAGTCTCCACGATGATTACCAGCTCATGCTCAGTCAATCAAACCGATCGTGAGTTTATCTATCAACCGTCTCTCTAACTTCTAACAGTCAAGTGAAGATACACCAAGTCAGAATTCTTCTGATTTCGTGACCTTGAAACCCGAAAACCGAGCTCGGATGACGCTGGACACCATCGACGAATCACAAACTCCCCAGCTGTGTTCGGTCCGACAGGTCAAATCTTGGTATACACAATCAAATGCAGAACTATCGGCACTTCTAGAGATGATTTCTAGTTCGAGTCTTTCGGCATCATGGGCCTCGTTCTAAAGGCGGTGTGCGCCTATGTCCTGGTATGTTTCACACCAGTGCACAAGTAACGAGTGCTCACCCATACAGTATGTAATCTCACGAGCCATTTACAACGCTTTCTTCCACCCTTTGGCCAGATTCCCGGGACCGAAAGCATGGAGCGCTTCCCGCATACCCTATTTGTTCACCCTCGTCACAGGGCAGAACTCGTTCCGCATCAAAGCGCTCCACGATGAGTACGGCCCAGTCGTCCGCGTTGCGCCCAATGAGTTGCACATCAATGACCCTCGCGCATGGAATGACATCTACATGAGAAAGGACAGTGAGATTCGTCCGCCGCAGTGGGGAATGCGACCACCAGGGATCGAGTCCTACAATGTCATTTCTGGTGTCGGCTCCGACCACGGTCGATTTCGCAAGGCGCTGGGTATGGCTTTTTCAGAAGAGGCCGTCAAGGAGTACGAGCCTACCGTGCGGTCATATTTCAATAAATTCACGGCGCGCATCGATGAGCTTATCGCAAAAAACAAAGGATCTGCGGTCGTTGACATGGTGAAGTGGTCGAACTTCACCACCTTCGACATCATAGGCGAGTTGGCATGGTCGAAGTCATACGACTGTCTGGACACAGGTGCCGGACACGCTATCATGGGTGTACTCTCTCACTTCCAGGGCGTCATCATCGCGGCTGCTATAACGTACTACCCGTGGATCAATAACGCTCTGATGGCAATCACTCCGAGATCTGCCTTCGAGGACCTGAAGATGATTTTCAATGACGGACACGAGCGCCTCCAAAACCGCATTAAGCATGGGCCAAGTGGACATCCGGATGTCCTGGGACATCTCGCAGAGTACAACAAGCAAAACCCTACCGCCAAGATCACGGACGATGAGATAGAACAAAACGTGTTCTCCTGCTTAGTGGCTGGGTCTGAGTGCCTGACCACTGCGTTCTCAGGAGCATTTCACTATCTGCTCGTATATCCCTCCAAGCTCAAGCGGGCCCAAGAAGAGGTTCGCGCAGCATTCTCCTCCGAAGCGAGTATCAATGCAACCGATGCAGCGAAATTGGAGTACCTGAACGCCGTAATAGAGGAGTCCCTTCGCCTCTGTCCTCCACTCCCAGACATGCTTCGCCGCCAGCTCCCCAGCGAAGCACCAACCACCATCGCAGGTCGCGTCATCCCACCCAACACAGTCGTTTCTGTATCATGCTACTCCATGTTCCGCAGCGCATCGCACTTCTCCTCCCCTGACACCTTCGCCCCAGAGCGCTTCCTCAAGTCCGCCGACGAATCGGAAAAATGGTCACCCGACTCGCCACTGAACCACAACGACATGGCTGCCTTCAAGCCGTGGGGTGTGGGCCCTCGCGAGTGTCCCGCACAGCCTTTGGCAAGGCTCGAGATGCGGCTGTTCCTGGCAGTATTGCTGTATAGATACGATTTAAAGGTGGCGGAGGGTAGCTATTTGACAAAGTGGACGAGTCAGCAGGTGTTTGAGACGTGGCAGAAGGATCCGCTGAATGTAGAGTTCAGCCCGGCAGTATCATCTTCGGTCATGGCTGCGGGAGTAGCGGAGGGTAGCTATTTGACAAAGTGGACGAGTCAGCAGGTGTTTGAGACGTGGCAGAAGGATCCGCTGAATGTAGAGTTCAGCCCGGCAGTATCATCTTCGGTCATGGCTGCGGGAGTAGCAGCGCCTTAGATCGTGCCCAGAGCTCAGGTTTGTAACACTTTTTGAATGTGTCTCGATGGTTTGCACTTGAAGAATTCCACAACTTTCGCTTCCCTCAGCTGGTCAGAGCCTTGCGAGAGCGAGCGGCGTATGTTGGTGTTTGGTTCAAGTAAACGACTAGGGTACCATCGATAGAACAGAAATCATAGCAAGAGCCCACCCCTCTTCTTCGCTTCCAACCTCGCCACCACCATCCACCCTTACGACGTACAAAGCGACCTATGCCGTCCCAGCTCAGGTAAAAGCCCAACCGGAAGCGCCGACTCACTTTCAAAGCTATGATACCCCTCCACAGCTTGCGGCATTGGCGTCTCATTCACACGTTTACAAAACTTCACACCCCGCCAGGTGACCTCACACTGCACTTCCTTGACGGTTGCCATGTGCGGAACTAATCCGACCAGGGCTGCCTTGAATCCAAATCGGCTACCGTTACAGTACATGAAACAGCGAAAGAGGTTGGGAGCGAGGTTCTACGCGCGTGGAAAAGAAAGCAGGAAGGGTAGGCGGTGCATACATTGGGCTTACTAAGATGCCGAATGTGCGCCCTACTACGCGCTTTCGTCTTGCTGGCATTGGATTTCATCTTGCTGCAGATGTGTGTGAGATTGAGGCCTGCGATATCGAGGACGGCGAGGAGAATGGCCGGCGGCTTCAGCCATGGTTTGAACGTGGGATTGGGTGGGATGGTGGTGTAAGTCTTGGATGTCTCAGCGCGGATTATATAGAGAAGCCGACGAAAAGGCTGAGGCTATAACATGGAGAACCTTCGTATGAAAGGGAACACGTGATCAGGCTGAATGTAGGGAGCTAAACATGATCGCCGAATTTGGGTTTGAAGAGGAGAAGAAGAATCGAGTACGCAAGCAAAACGCTTAAGGTCGCTAAGCTCCATGCTATCCCACTATCTTCGGCCTCATCCAGGACCGACGACGCGCGGAGAGTGTAAAGCCTCAGCCTTATTGAAGGACACTTCGCAGATACGAGGCAGACCGACGCCCTTTTCGGGCAGTTCATGTTTTACAACAACAATTTGTCGCCAATGATGTTGAACAACTTTGCTCATTCGTGGTATGCAGGTCCTTAGGACGAAGCCTGGGAGATACCGAAGGCGAGGACGGCTGCAGGGACCGGTCGTACAATCCCCTCAATGTAGCTGTTAAACACCCCGCCTACCACCGTCAGAGCACAGCAACGACGCGGGCATTCCTTGAAGCTTTCGCTCGCGTCTGCACTCTGCCATGAGCATGCCCAGAATTGGTGGGAGGATGAAGAAGGGGAGGCATCGCATTACGCGGAAGAGCTGACGCGCGTTCCTGTATGGACCACATATCGAATCAGCTATGATGTCTGAACCACGCGTAGATATGCGCTATGCCTCGCGTGGCGAAACGGGAGTCAATATGATACTGTAAACTGACGTATTGCTGAGAGATATGCGACCCTGAAGCCTCATCGTCATGGTGTGCGTAACCCAATCCAAAATCGCATACAAGACATGGGTATCATATGAAACCTGACCAAGACCAACGTTTACACTAGCGTACACATCAATCAAGCCTTAAAGCATTTCAATTAACCATCGACTTAGAAATCATCTTCTTCCTCCGTATTCGCCAATAGCTTCCTTTCTTGAAGCTCTTGGATCTTCTCACCCAACATATCCCGACCATATCTCTGTGCAACCTTGCTAGCGAGATCGAGCATCTTGCCATTTGCATCTCGCATGAGTGTGACGAGTTCCAGTGCTTTCATACCCCTATCTTCGCCTGCAAGACATTCCAGACCAAGGAGCTGTAGCAGCGATCGGTCAATCTGTACCTCCAGGTTGACCAAATCTTGTTTTTGATGTGCTGTGGGCCGTGTATGTGATAGCGAGTCGAACAGCTGGGCATGAAGAGCTGAGGAAAGGACGAAGTCTTGTTCGTGCTGTTGCTGCTTATTCTCCGTTTTCTTAGCAGCACCTACGTCCTCGTCGTCGGACATTGCGTCCACATCACGATCTTTGCCTTCTCGGCTCTTGTCTATCGCTGACGAGAGAGGAATTTCGAGCGGGAACTCGCTGAGCATAGGCGGTGGGTTGGTCGGGTACTTTTCGCTCCCCTTGATAATCATACAATGGAAGACGTGCTTTCCATCTGCATCACGAGAAACGCAAACAGGCCAGTAGCTTTCTTGCTTACCACCTCCTGCTAGACGCGCCATGCACTTCGTATCTAGCATGGGTACCCATCTCGCCTGGCCGTTCGTGCGCCAATGGAGGAGTGTTAGCAGGACACCGTCCGAATCGTAGATATACGGATCGCCGTCCGCAGAGAAGAAGACAGATGTTAGCGAAGAGTTAGGTGGAAGGGCGACGATGTCCTCCGATTGATATATCTCGTCCCGCTTCACGTTCTCGATTGTATAAAGCAATTGAGATGTGCCATCTCCACCTACGGGCCCGTTCCCGATAGTCAAGACGTAGTCGCGCCATGCCGCGCACGTTACTGCGGGCGAGGCCTTCTGACGATAGACGCGGATCGGTAGGCCGAAAAGCGAGTATATTCGAACATAGTTCGTACTTGTGGTCACAACAACGTATGACTCTGAAAGTGCAATTGCTGTTACAGACTCACCAGCTGGCAAGTTCGTGCGCCAGTCTGCTCGGTTCGTCCATGTTTCATGCGGCCTGTAGTAGATCATAGCAGGAGTATCATCTTTTGGCTGGCAGCTGAACAAAGTGCCGTGTTCAGTAAGCGCAGCTTTATCGTACCCAAACACGTCGGTGAATCTGAAGTTGTGGTGCGCGTGCTCGTCGTAGAATTTGACTTCGGCTGTATAATGTGACCCTTCTTGACTTATCGTGGAGACATAGCCGACGAGTGAGCAGCATAACAGGCGTCGATTGCCGCGCCAAGGGGTGCCACCGGGTTGGAAAGGTTCGTGGATGTACGGTAAGAAAGTAGGAGCAGTAGGTCGTCGTTTACTGATGGACTCGAGTGGACCCAAGTGTCCATTCGTGCGCTTGCCATGGCCGTTAGTGTAGCCAGCACCATCGTCATCGATCACGAAGCCATCATCAACCTCATCCGGCATATCATCATCATCGTCCCTGAATTCATCGCCTAACAGGTCATCGAGACTGTCGGCGCTTCCAGCTCTGGCCCGGCGTTCGGGCAGAACGTGCTTTGACCCATTTGTGAGCTTAGCGGTAGGGTCTCCAGATCGACCTTCGGAAGGATCGTGCAAGTATGGCGCAGGTTGGACAGGTTTCCGCATTACGTCCACATGCTCTTGAGGGACGAAGTCGGTATGAATGTATAGATGACCCTCGGAATTGGTGTATGAGAGGATGTTCTCAGTGGGATGCCATGCCATGGCTAAAATGGTGGCTTTGACATCGTCATACTTCTTCAATCTCTTTTGTGTCTTCGCGTCCCACAGGCATAAGTTGAGGTCACTCGAAGTCGTAGCTAAGAGGGCGCCATTCGGTGACCATGCTGCCGCAGTGATGTCTGACGTATGCTCGGTCTTGAACGTCTTCTGTTTCTCCCAGTCGTTCGTTGACATGACTTGGACTTCGCGAAGAGCGGTCGGAGTTGCGAATGCTTTCCCGTCTGGATGCCACATTACCCTCGCGCTTGAATCTGCCTCAGGCTCCAGTCTCTTGATCATGTTGTCCACCTTTTTCACCAGTTCTGGCTGCTCAGAGTCCATCGAATAGATATAGATGCTTCCATCGACGCAGGACACGGCAAGCTGTGTGCCGCTCTTGTTAAAGGAGACATGTTTGACGGAGCGGTTCTGATCGCGTAGGCGCTTGACGATTTGTATGTCTTTCGTGTTTATGACGTGTACGACGAGCTCGCTACGTTATGTTAGCAACTTGCCCAGACATCATGTTCCAACACGTACTCGCTCGCGACCGCAACCCAGCTTCCATCCGGACTCAGCGCTACATCTCGGACGGGCAATGTGCTTCTCCAGAGTATGTCTCCACCATCGTTGGTCCCGAGGGAGTATTTATTTACGGTTCCATCTTCAGCTCCGGTGATGAAGAACCCATCCTGCTCCACGTATTAGCACAGTTGGTTTGGTATTCTTGTGTCCCAAGTCCACTTACCCCAGCTGCGATGGACAGGTTGTTTTCCTGACAGTCATCGATGTTGGAGGGTTCTTCGTCGGACCCTGTGGTGAAGACACGGCAGAAGTTATCGACGCCGGCGGTGATCAGCTTCGTGCCGTTCGGAGTGTACGCGAGGAACGTGGGGCCAGGGGCATCTTCACTATGGATTACTCTCTGAGATCTTGTGAGGCTCCAGGGCAAGACTTACGGGCATATCGGCCGCGCAATTGCTGCGGAAAAGCCATGGTCGGTATCGAACGTGTGGATGTTAGGACTGCGCGTTGCCCGGCTCAACTGAGCGCGTGTGAGGAAAGCGCGACGCGTAAAGTGGAAGTCGCGGCCCGTGCACGCGTCAGGCGAAGCCCCACGTCAATCCCAACCCCAACCTTCCTCTCCGCCTCTCGACTGCTCAGACGAAACGTAAACCCCCCCACAGATTTTGACATTCGTATTCTCATGATCTCAAGTGGCTATATTGTAGGTTAACATGTGGGCCTTTCCACCAATGGTATGGAGACGAGGCCGACGTCAGCCTAATGGGCATCTTGACGGCCAGCCAAACATTGGTAAATGTTCACACTGAATGCTCGTTCAATGTGTTTGTATCTTCTTGTTCCAGCTCGCGCCATGTGAATCGTTTCCATCGTTATGGCACCGGCGAAAGAGATTAACACCGATCACGTTTGATGGACCACGGAAGTATCATTGTCCTCCACAGTGTCTGCTAATATTCGTCCGCGAATCGCCCGCTGAATCAGGCGTGAGCAGGCCAGAAGAGCTCAGCTCACGGCTCGCAACTCAGCCTAGATCAGCCGCATTAGACATAGCATGGAGGCACGAGCAGGTCACAGCCATCAGCAACACCAACCCAATGCAGTGTCCTCTACACGTAGCAACTGCCTACCACGAACATCTAATTGTATATCGCCGGTTGTTTCCGTACTCTCTAGATCTGCATTCAATGCGATCCGGATTTACGCGGAGTTACCGTGAATTAGGGCTCCAGTCAGCTTTAGTCGTGTACAACAATTCTCCCTTTCTGGATGGAATAATGCTGAACTCCATTACAGCAAGAATGAGCATATCCTGGCTTCCTCCGAAACCTTCCCTAAGCGTGGAAGCTATAAAGGAGCTTCCCGAACCACCACAGATTATACACACTAACAAATCTTTGAACTTCAGTGTGAACCCAAATCATCAACCAAGACTTTCCTCATCATGGCCCAAACACATCTCAAAGTCGTCCTTGGTGCGATGACCTTCGGTCCGGAAGGTACTCGAAGCGGCCAAGTGACGAGCCTCTCCGATCAAGCAATCATGCTGGACGCTTTCCAGTCTGGTGGCTATAGCGAGATCGACACCGCACGGCTGTACAACAACGGCCACTCCGAGTCAATGCTCGCGCAGAATGACTGGCAGAAGCGCGGCCTAGCTATCGCGACCAAGCTTTATCCGACGAGAGGGGCTGCCAATGCGGACTTCCGCAGAGCAGCTTTGGACTTTCCCTTGTACGATCACTCTGCCGCAGAATTGAGACGTGGACTAGAAGAAAGCTTGAAGGCTCTGGCGGCGGAGAAGACGGGCGTCGATGTGTTCTACCTCCATGCGCCAGACAGGAACACGCCTTATGAGGAGACTCTCAAGGAGATGAATAAGTTGCATGAAGAGGGACGGTTTGGGAGGTTTGGCTTATCAAACTATCCGGCTTGGGAAGTGAGAAATCCTCCCTTCGATAGTATCCATAGATGAATGCTGACACTTCAGGTTGCGCAAATATCCGAGATTTGTATCCGCAACAACTGGGTCAGGCCGACAGTCTACCAGGGTGTCTACAACGTCTTCAGCCGTAAGATTGAAGACGAGCTCGTCCCATGTCTCCGCCACTACAAGATTTCCTTCTACGCCTATGCCCCACTCGCCGGCGGACTCATGACTGGAAAATACTCCCGCGACCAGACCAACTTTGAGCCCGGAAGTCGGTTTGCCCCGGGAACTATGACGAGCCGGACCCATCGCCCAAGGTACTGGAACGATCTCTATTTCGACGGGATTGATGAGGTGAAAGCTGCGGCTGACAAGCATGGCTTAACGCTTGCGGAAGTGGCCCTGAGGTGGTTGAACTGGCACTCAAAGTTGGAGAAAGAGATAGGTGATGCAGTGGTAGTGGGTGCGAGCAGTATGAAGCATTTGGAGCAAAACTTGCGGGACCTGGGAAAGGCACAGCTGCCGGAGGAGGTCTTGGAGGCGGTGAACAGCGCGTATTCGAAGGTGCAGGCTGTTGCACCAGCTTATTACCAGTGATGGGGATCTTAGTTGTCTTGGCTGTCTAGCAAAGCTAAAAGATGAGATCTTGAGCTATATGAACAGCCTTGGATTGGAGGAGGGAAGGCGCCTGCTTTAATTCAGATCTAGTACTATGAAGATATGTATCGTATAGCAACTTGATCAAAGGAAGTAGGAGCTGTGTGACTATATTTCTTACCAGTTTACAAACCGTATTCCACGTGGATTTGCGAGCACAAGTACACAAGCATACGATGTTGCACATAAACGGCTTTATAGACCCAGGCACGTGGACTGCTCGTGGTCCAGGCCTACGGTCGGGGTCATTCTCCCCAAAACGCCGACCGACCCATGTCACTCCCCAAATTATCGCCGCTCTCACCCATCCGACAAGTGTCCTCGAAGCACAGCACCACCAAACCAAGTTCTCACCCTGCGCCTCTTTAAATTACCCTGCACACGTCCCTGCACGAGCCTCACGACCAGCCAGGCCTATCTTCGCCGCCCAAACCCTCCGCGCACCGCCGCGCGCACACCACAATGTCTAACAGGTATGCCGCACTCCCTGCACCCTTTCACCCTTCCTACGTAGCTCACACGCGCCCACAGATTCGGCCGCCCCTCCGCCCAATCCGACCTCTTCTCCTCCTACAATCGCAGCGCGTCCCCCTCCAAAGACAAAAAGAAGCCCCGCTCGCCATACGCCGCATCCCCCTACGGCGGCAGCCCGAGCTACGCGTTCCCCTCGTCCTCGTCCGCACCGGACGGTCCGTCCTTCGGCGCGTATCCTGGCGCAAATGGCAGTGGTGCAGGTGCGAGTGGGACATACAGGAGCGCGACGCCGAATTCGCGAGGGCAGTACAGCGCTGCGACGTTGGATGAGTTGGAGAGCCAGAATGATGACCAGGCAGGGGCATTGATTGGGAAGGTGAAGATGTTGAAGGATGTACGTCCACTCCGTATCTTTTCCCTATATAACAGAACGGTGCTGACAGATGCACGCAGCTGACCGAAGCCATCGGCGTGGAGATCCGCGACTCAACGACGCTCGCCGAGAAGATGAATGACCAGTTTGAGAACTCGAGATTACGGCTACGCGGGACGATGAATCGGATGTTGAGGATGGCGGAAAAGACCGGCGTGGGGTGGAAGGTGTGGCTGGCTTTTTTTGCGGCGGTTAGTGTGTTGTTTTGGTATGTGTGGTTGTTCTAGACACGACCTGTACATGAGGATACAAAAGACGAGGACTGTATGATGGTGATGATAGGGCATGCAGGGTGGAAGGGAGACAAGTGGATACGCTTTGAGGAGTTTGGATTCGTGACAGCGATTAAGCATTGCATGCGAGGCGTTGGGCGTTGGAAGACTGCGGGGGTTTGCATGTGCTCGCACATATCAGAGACATGGTTATAGCATCTTGCGGGTAATGTGGGACGAAACCTTCGTCATTTATTTAAAATGCGATTGCTATTGTTACATGACTTTGATGTCGTTCTGATGCCGTTCGTATGCGGTGATATCCAACCCTCAGTAAATCCAAATTCATCATCGACGCACTCTACCGGTCGCGCGCCTGCTTAACACCCTCCTCCACCGACAACGCCGCCCTCTTTACCGATCCAGTGTCGATAGAGAAATGCGATCCGTAGCGGTCCTACAACAGTCAGTATCCATCCAAGCATCACACCTCACGAGAACATACCTGCTCAGCGCCCACACCCTGTGTGCTAGCCAGGTGTCTCGCTCTCGTCCACCCGTCATGCCCAAGCCCGAACCACGCATCGTAACGATCCTGCTCCGCGCCGGACACGCCACCCTGCTGGTTCGCAAGCCACCTCGCGGCGGCGGCAACGGGGTCGCTGTCGAGGCCGAAGTGCGACGCGTACCGATCCTGCTCCGCGCCGTTGCCTTTCTTGCTAGCGAAGTTCTTCAAGCCCTCCCTCACGCGGTCGGCGGTGCCTTCGGGTACCTGGAAGTGCGATGCGTAGCGGTCTTGCTCCGCGCCCATGCCGAGGCGAGAGCCGCCCTCAGTTTTGGGCTCGGTGGGCGTGGAGGCGGCCTTTTCGGTGCTGGTGAACCAGGCCATAGTGAGTTATAAAAGTGGAGTGAGAGAGGTAGGTTTGAAAGTGGTTTGTCGAGAGTTCAAGTATTGATTTAGGTGTAGAAGAGAGATGGTCGGGGTGTGCTGCTTCGAGTGGACAGAAGGCCTGGAGCTCTTAAGCTGGGATGAGCGGGGTATGACGTAGGCGCGGACCTTAGGTGGACTGACCCGCAAGCGCGTGTTGCATCTCTCCCAGCCGCCTTCCGTAGCATATGATCGGAGATCATCATCGTCCCGAAATGTTCCAAAGAGCAATGGCGGTGTTTTCGAAAGTCAAACGTTCTAGGTGGAAGTCGAAGTCAATGGCTGCCACGTCTGCGGAGCTTCTAGGCCTCTGATTGGCGGGCCCCTCACGCATGATAAGACCAGGATTCCAGAGAACTTGGCCAGCTTATCCTTACAAGCAGCTCACTTAAAATCCATAAGATGTTATTGTTGGATGCACTGTCCTGTTGTATGACACTACAGCTTCAGGGTTTCCTTCTCCATCTGAGGGCCTCCTTGTTCATCATTAGCGCATCCACGGTGTCTTTCGGTTTGCCTCAACTGGAGTAGATTCCCAGACCTTCCATGCTTCTAACAAACGGTCTCAGGTCCGAAATGGATAGTGAATTAACTTCGAGCGTTCAATGTTTGCATGTGTCAAGCTTTTCTCTGGACGATCCAGAGTCAACTCGTCAGCACTAAGCAACACGCCGTCAAACACAGGCGTGAACTGCAATCATTGAAATACAGCTCTGTATCACTTCATTTTCCTGGAGGTGACAGCCATGGTTTCTCCACTCTCAATGCATATGTGGGTGTAGGGTATGCCATACTGCTGTTACTGTGCTGGATCAGCTTGCAAGTGAACTTCCCAAGACTCGTCGTTCGCTCAATTTCCTGACACAAACAATCTTGGGCCGTGGTTTCACGGTTCCAAAAAGACCTTCTAAGCATACCAGGTCCCTTTCTCTCAGATATGCAGGCATACCACTCGCAATGCAGATACCTGCACGCCGAATATCGCGATACATCCACTTGGTTGGTCTCCCACTCCTCCAACGTCCACGACTTGGCTGGTCGAAAGACATACGTCCGCATAGCCCCCCACGAGTTTGGAATAGCTAACATCCAAGTCTATCGCACCATCCACCGCATAGGTTCCGACTTCAACGAAAGCCCATGGTACCAGAAGCAAGTGCCTCCCCAATACACTGACGAGACATGCGGCGTTCTCGGCATCTTCAACAACAAAACTACCTGCCGACGCCGTCGACTCTTCGAGGCCGGCGGCACCAGGAATATTGTTGCAGAGTGGAAGCCGCAGGTTACTGAGCTGGCTGACCTCACCGTGCAGCGCATCAAAGCCGATCTGGAAGCCGGCCAGGGCGATGTCATGAAATGGTGGATGTTCCTGGCCTCAGATGTTACGGGGGGCTTTGCGTTCGGCGGGCCCTTTCGAAATCTAAAGAATGGCACCAAGAGCGGCTTGGTGCAGGATATCAAGGCTGCAATGCCGATTATCGGTGTGCACACAGAACTGCCCTGGCTGAAGCCCCGTTCTAGACAATATTCCTACTTGGGGCGGGATTACGTGGAGTGTGCGACTTGATCGCTTCGTCGACTATGGATGGGATGCTGTGCGAGCGACCGGTGCTTCACTTCCGTGAGTGCCCGCGCGTTACACTGCACCCGAGCACGGCCGAGGCGATTATGAAGATGATGGATACATTTGCGATTAAGCCTACGGAGGACAAATGTCTTGTTGTACCCGAGTGAGTGGCAGGTAAGCTGTCCAAAGATGGGGACGCCGTTGGCTTGCCACGCTGGGCGCGTTGCTGGTACGGACTGATTGTCGGAACACATGTCACTGTGCCGGTTAATTGCGAGCCTGTTTGTGTTATCGATGAGTACTTAACCCAATGCGCAGCGTATCTATGTATTTACCTTCTTCCGCACTTACCTGACCAGCCCAAGCGTACACTCCAAAACGGTACCCCTTTTCCCAATCTCTACTTTACTTGGATCCATACTTCATCTCAAAGAACTAAACATGTGTATTTGCTGCGACGATCTTGAGGAGGACCAGAATTTGTGCAATTGTTACCACGAATGCGATGACTGCGGTGGATGTTACGACTACCCATGCTGCGATTACTGTGTGGTTCAGTGATGGGATGGGCGGAGCTAAGCAGGGCCATACGGAACAGTAGTTGCTTTGACATGGAGTCATTTATTTTGCTTGATGCTGTAAATATATAGAGGGTTGCAACAGAACGTGACTGGACATTAGACAGCCATCATAGCGTTACGTTATGGATTCCACCCTAAAGCTAAGTAGTCTTCTCAGGATTGTCCAACATCTCATTTTCAGGTTTTCTTAACACCAATCAGAATGGCAATGAGGCAGTCAACATTGAGTAAGTCAGACCTACAAACGCTCAGCCACCAATGTGGCACGGCTGCCATAAGCATATGCCACACTGCCAATAAATGGTACCTCAGGTACCATGTAACATGCATGGTAGAGCGCCGCCTAAGCAGGCATTTCAGCTGTGGAGGCTTGCATATATGGTCATGGAACCATGATCAATGGATTGGTACCATCATGGCTCCCTACGATCTACCTTCCGCGGATGATGTTCGCAATGCAGCAGTCGTACTCGCACCCATTGTCCATAGAACACCTATCCGGACTTCTCCAACCTTGACAAGAATGGCGAATCAAAATATCCTCGGCTCTACGAAGCAGCCCTCGTCGCCGCAAGTCGAACTTCAGTTCAAGTGTGAGAATCTCCAGCACACTGGATCTTTCAAGTTCCGAGGGGCCTGTCACTTCCTAGCCAAACTCGAGTACCAGGATCTAAAGAATGGTGTAGTGGCGTACAGTACAGGTAATCCAACGCCCTGCCCAGCATCCCAGCACTCCCTAAAGAATCCCAGGAAACCACGCCCAAGCCGTCGCGCACGCGGCCCAGCTCGCCAGCAAAGCCCGCAACATTCCCATCCCCTCCTACGTCGTGGTACCGTCCAACTGTCCCCCAAAGAAAGTCGCCGCAGCCCGCAGCCACGGCGCCTCCGTCCTGCTCTCCAGCACCGATCCTAACTCCCGGGTCCTCCTCGCCGAGCACATCCAGCGCGCTACCGGTGCAATTCTCATCCCGCCCGCTGACCACCTTAACATTGTCCTCGGTCAGGCGACGGCAGTGCAAGAGTTCCTGCAGCAGGCATCCCAAACGGGAAATCCACTCGACGCCATCATCGTCCCGAGCGGCGGGGGAGGCTTACTCTGCGGCGCCATCGCAGCGTGCAAGCCTCACGGAGTGGCCGTCTTTGGCTGTGAGCCCGCCGTTGGAGGGCCCGGATTGGCCTCTGCGCTCGAAGTCGGTACACGCGCGCTCACGCTCCAGGGACCTGGTTCAATCGCCGATGGGCTGCGGTCGCTGACGGGCGAGGCAAACTGGGAACATATTCGTGCCGAGGGGAATGTAAGACAAGTGCTCACTGTTAGTGAGGTGCAAATCGAGCAAGCGCTCAAAGTGGGTGTGAAGGAGCTAGGGTTTGCGATCGAGCCGAGTGCTGCTGTGCCGCTGGCTGCGGCGCTATTTAGCGATGCGTTTCACAGGTGGGCGGCGGGGGCTCATAGGCAGGTAAGAGTTGGTGTTGTATTGACGGGAGGTAATGTCAGCATGGAGGACTTGGCTGCTTTAGTACCTGATTTCAAGATGGTCGCTCGAAAGTCGTAGGAGTAGCTTGTAGTCGTATCATGCGGCGATTTGCCATGAATAAGGCAGTATTTGGTTATAGACATTGGAAATGACTGATTAGGAAGCGGTTGATTTCTGGGTGTTTGCAAGATTAGAGATGAACAATCAGGCTTTCGCAAATAACTTTCCTAGCACGCGTAAGTTTTCTCGCCAATCCTATGGGGCGTATCGCGCGTGAGCTGACAGAACATCGCCGACATAGCTACGGCACAACCGTACTACCAATAGCTACTCCGGCCCCCACATGCTCGTCATTGGCTCAAAAGTTATTTTTCGATGTCAGTGAGAGTTGATGTGCCTTAGTGCTTACGATGAAACTGTACGTTCAGCTTCATGGTTGGGTTTTATTGTGCGTGGCCTACAAGAGGGTGTTACACAGCCATGTGAAGATGGAGGCCTTGCACTATAAGGATATCTAAGCCCTAGGGACCGCAAATGATACAGGCATTTGTTTCGCAGTCGCAGTCTCGGAAATAATGCAAGACTCAGAGAAAAAAGAGAACGCTCTGGGGTACTCGATCGATGTGTCTGTCGGTGGGTCTCAAGATTCCATACAAACCGTACAGAAAGAGCCCATCGTTCGACAAGATGGCGGAACTAGAGCTTGGTTACAAGTCATGGGGTGCTGGCTTCTCTTTATGAACACATGGTATGCTTCGAATTCTCGCGATCAAGTCTATGCTCACACGCTGTAGGGGACTAACGAACTCGTTCTCAATATTCGAGACATACTACAATCAGAAGTTTCAACACATCTCTCACTCTAACATCTCATGGATTGGATCGATGCAGCTGTTCTTGACACTGTTCGTTGGCGTCTTCGCCGGCTGGCTACTCGACAGAGGTCACTTGCGTATTGTCCTTGTCACAGGAATCGCCTTTGAAGTTGTTGGAATAGCGATGACAAGCCTTTGCACAACTTACTGGCACCTACTTCTCGCACAGGGTGTCTGTGTGGGGATCGGCTCGGGAACACTGGCATTTACTAGCGCCGCCATCATCCCATTTTACTTTGCCAAGCGGAGGATGCTAGCTGCTGGCATTGTTAGTACTGGAAGTAGTGTTGGTATGTGACTTGTACGGAGTGGATGCTTGGTATTTTGCTAATTGAGATCTACAGCTGGAGTGGTATACCCACTCATGATGCGCGAACTTTTCGACAAGGTCGGGTTCGCGTGGGCTGTACGAGTACTGGCATTGGTCATGCTAGGTGGGCTCTCAATGAGCCTCGTCATCCTAAGACCGCATTCTAGTGCGAGGAAGGAACGAGCGCTGCTGAGGAGCGATCTGCTTCGCGATGCGCCTTACACTATCTTCATTGTTTGTAAGCATTCGCCTAAACATTGGATTGAACCAAGACTTAGCTTCAAACAGCTTATGCATTCATGGTAGCCGGCGTCTACGTCCCGTACTTTTTCATACAGAGCTACGCACTGGATCTTTCTATCGACGAAAGCATGACCTTCAACGTTGTCGCAATCATGAACGCCGCGACCTTTTTCGGCCGCTTCCCCTACAATTACCTTGCGGATATGTAGGTACACCATCATCCAACAGATATAATATATACTAACCAACATTCAAGTTACGGCGGCATCGCAGTCCTTGTCCCATGCTGCTTCGCCACATCCATCATCCTCTTCTTCTGGCGCTTCGTCCACACTCTCGGTGGTCTCATCGCCATTAGTGCCACTTTCTGCTTCGTTACTGGTGGATTAGTTTCCCTGCCTGCAGTCACCATTGCGAATCTTACAGAGGACAAGTCGGAGTACGGAACGCGGATGGGCATGGGGTACACAATTGCGGCCATTGGCGCTTTGCTGGGGAATCCTATTGCGGGGCTTGCGCGTGACAGTGATAGTATAGACGTGCTTGAGAGATGGCAAGGCGCCTGGTTCGTGGCTGGAGGTGCGCTGCTCGTTGCTACTGCATTGATGATTTGGGCGAGGGTTTTGCGCGCGGGTGTGAATATGAGTGTTAAGATTTGATTCTCGTTTAGAAGTCGCTGTTACTAGGCACTATGAAGTTACTAAAGCGCCTCAGACTGGGAACTAAGGGTCTTACGACTGTATTGAAACAGAGAATATGTGTTGATAATGAAGGAGTGTAGTAATCTATCTGAACGCAGCATTGCTTAATCTCCTGCCGCATACACCTATACCGATAGAAGCACCACAGATACAAGCACTAAAGAGCGTCCGCTAATCACACCCCTCACCACACTTCCACCGAGCGAATGTCTGTCCACACCATACCCTACCCTTTGGCGCCGAGTGTATTTACTTGCATACAATGACACCATTCTGCAACTTCACCCTCGTAAAGCTCGCATCATTCCCTCCGCTCTTAATGGTAGCTACTTTTTGGCTAGCATTGGCGTCCTTGAAGATATTGCAGGTGCCCGAGCCGCTGACAACAAGCGCGCGGTTGGCAGGCACACCGCTGCCTAGGTTGCCGAAGTTCTTGGAAATGCTGATTTTGGCGCCGTTCTTGGGGATGTTGGCTTGCACGGCGGTGTCAGTGGCATCGTCAGAGAATTGGACACGGATGGCGGCGGTCTGAGTGTGTTAGTTGGAGTTGAGGTTGAGAGAGAAGTGGAATGTTGGAGGAAGGGTAGGTATGAACAGGGAGATAACGGACCTGACGCTCTTCAACTGTGACTGGAGAGGCGGCAACAAGTGCGCCGAAGAGGGTGGTGAGGATTATTGTAGACTTCATGGTGGCGGCTGGTTAGGTTGTTGAAAGTAGAGGTTGCGGCGGTCTGAAGAGTGGCTTCTGGAAGTGAATGATTATGTGTTGCTGCTGAATTGGTGTCCGTTGATTGTGCCGTAGACATATCTTATATACCATCTCCCGAGCCGCATCTTCATCTTCAGCCAGAACAGTTATGACCTCTTGGTTAAACGCAAGGACTGCGCCCATCGCATCTCACCGTCGTGCAAGCGTCAGCTTGCTGCTTTGCACCCCACAATTTAGAAATCCATCGTACGATCAGAAGTCAAATTACGTATCAACACCACGACAGAAGGAATCAGGTTCATCAGCAAAGTCATCATGATGGTAGACCTTCAAACGACGTTCTCGCACTACTGCACGTGTATGTGGCACGAGTGTGGCGTCCGTTCTGACTCCGTCCCTTGGCCAACTTGGCCTTAGGTAAGATGCCCACAATATGTCATGCTCTTTCGTAGTCGAGTGGAGCGTGGTAAAATCGCTTCGTGCGCTGGTTGGTGTGTTATATGAAACGTAGATTGGGGTCCGCTTAGTGAGCTTGTTTGGAACCAAAGTTAGGTCACCTGTAGCTCGCAGGAAACCCATAAGAAAAGAACATTTCTCTCTTTTTAGCCTTAACAGGAATCGTCAGCAGGAGCTTGGTTTGGTGCGCAGGTCTCACAGTTGTGCGACGAGTAGGAAACTGTACGCAACTGCCGAAGGTCAAGACGCTGACAAGACCGACAGCTTATTATCGTAGGCCTGGATTAATTTTATTCTCGGATTTTTCAAAGGGTACATGCAAAATTGCGAAAGTATCCAGTACAGAAGTACGCATGTAACACTGAGTCTTGTTGACGTTAGCAATGTTCCGTCTCCATCTCAGCTGCGCCAATATGAACATCCACCTGAAACATTTCATGTCGCGGTTTACCCTGTTAACCTCAACACCATGGCTCGGTCCAGCATCGCTTACCCATGCTCTGTACTACATCGCTTCACGCACACATATATATACCACAATAGCTAGTATTCAATCAATCTTCAGTGCCTAACAATTTCTTCTGCCCAAGGTGCGGTTTATCCTCAACCGCAACATTTCATGGTATCAGTGTCTAGAGCGTTCCCAGTTTCACGGCACGCCCAAGAGCTATTCAGGTTACGATATGTTCCCAAATATACGAGCAACAATTTTACATTGTGGCGTGCAGATGTTGGATTTATCAATTCTAATCGAAAACCCAGCAACCCTCCGCGAGATCACGAGCATATTGCTTTCCACGAGAACATCCTGCGCTTTCGGCCTCGAGCAATCCTCCCTTAGAACTATTCTTTGAGACCTATCACTATGAGCATTTCATAGCATTTGTCGGTAAACGATCCGTAACAAGACATACCATTAGATGCAAGTCCTGCACCTTCCAGAGCAAGGGTTGCACAGACATGTGCAGACAGCTCGCTCTCCAAGCTCGTTGCGAACCTCGAAGAGCGGGTTGGAGGCAGCATTCTCCGGGGCAGCAACCGGGGAAGCGAGAGCCGTCAGGGCGGTGCCGAGGAGGATGAGGACGGTGGCTTTGAACTGCATGGTAGCGGTGAAACGGCGTGATGATGACCGAGGATTCAAGGTGGAGCTGAAGGTGCTGTGGAAACTTGAGCAGGAAGAATTGAGAGATACTTTATACAAAGTGTTAAGAAGACGCAGCGCGGTTGGCTGGTGACCTCAAGACTCCTCTATCTCATGCGAAGTCTTTTGCCACTTCCTGAAAGGGGAAAGTTGAGGAGGTACCAAGCAAGCCAAGCGTGGATAGCAACCCTTCGACTCCTTCTCGCGAGAGAACGATATGTGAGGTAATCCCCAAGAAGAATCGACTTTTCATGATGTTTAGTATGGTATTACTACAACCTTCGTGAGGGAGTAAGAGATACTGCTCCAGTAGAGTTTGGAATTGATTGATGGTTTCAAGGTGATCAAATGTTCCGATTCGACTTGAGGTGGAGGACATATCCGTGTCCGTATGCCTGCATTATCGGCACATTGTATCCGAACAACTACCAAGACAACCACAAGATCTGCGCCAATGTTCTATGTAGTCTTGCAGGAGCGCTAGTCAATCCTTCAAACATGATAAAGAGCCGTATTGCGTTATGTTTACGCGACAATGTCGTGAGAGATAGGTGTTTCGCGCGAGAATAACCTCAAATGCGGCAGGTGACTAAGGCTTTGCCGAACCGACGTAAGCGATGGTGTAGTGAACTAAACACCAGTCTAGTTGTAAAGAACAGACCCGAATGTAGCAAAGGTCCTCGCTACATTACCCCACTCTCACAGACACACGAAAATGATGATAATATCTATATTTCATTGCAAACTATACACCCTGTCCCCCATTGCCACCATACATACATCCCGAGAAGCCACCCGCGAACTCCAAAAACCCAGTCAAAGCAGTGAAAGAGGTATCTTGCAATAACGATTGAGAACATGCCCAAATCACGACGAACCCAAGCGCAAAAAAGTGTCGTCAAACATAGTCATGCAAATTCCGTACAGTTGTCCGTCTCTCTAGTCGTGGCCATAATGTAGCCATCCTTTTCAAGTGAAAGCTTAAACATTGACGAGTTTAAGCCGCGACCTGCACTAGCTTTTCCACGGGCTGGCCGTTCGCCTTGTTCATGAGCGCATAGGGCAGGCTCTTGACGATGCCGCCGGTGACGGGGAGCTGGGTGCCCACGCCGCTGAGGAATGTGTCAACATCGCGAGCGCACATGCGGCCCTCGTTGATGCCCCAGACAATGAGAGACTGGCCGCGGCGGCAATCACCTGCAGCGAAGACACCGGGGAGGTTGGTGTTGTAGTGGCCCGGGGTGGTCTTGACGTTCTTGCGGGCATCGCGCTCGACGATATCAGCGAGCACGCGCTCCTCGGGACCCAGGAAACCCATAGACAAGAGGACGAGCTCGGCGGGGAAGAATTGCTCGCTGCCCTCGACCTGCTTCATGTCCCAGCCGCCGGTGGCGGACTTGGTCCACTCGACGCGGACGGTGTTAATACCCTTGACCTTGCCCTCGCCGTCGTCGACGAACTCCTTGGACATCACGCAGTACTCGCGAGGATCCTTGCCCATGTGCGTCTTGACTTCCGAGTGGCCGTAGTCAGTGCGGAAGATACGCGGCCATTGAGGCCACGGGTTGTCACGGGCACGCTCTGGCGGCGGCTGGGGAAGGAGCTCGAAGTTGACGACCGACTTGGCTCCGTGGCGGACGGAGGTACCGATGCAGTCGTTACCGGTATCACCGCCTCCAATAACCACGACGTTCTTGCCCTTAGCCGAGATGTAAGCATTGTCGGCAAGCTCGGAGTCGAGGAGGGACTTGGTATTCTTGTGCAGGAACTGCATGGCGAAGTGGACACCATCGAGGTTGCGGTTGGGGATGGGCAGGTCACGAGCGACAGTCGCACCAGTGGCGAGAATGACAGCGTCGTACTCAGCACGCAGGGACTCCAGAGATGGCTGGCCCTCCGCACCGACAGCGACACCAGTGACGAACTTGACACCCTCGGCGGCGAGGAAGTCGACACGGCGCTGCACAACCTTCTTGTCGAGCTTCATGTTGGGAATACCGTACATGAGCAGACCACCAACGCGATCGGCACGCTCGTACACGGTGACTTCGTGACCACACTTGTTGAGCTGATCAGATGCAGCAAGACCAGCAGGGCCAGATCCGATGATGGCCACCTTCTTGCCAGTGCGTGTCTGGGGCGGCGAGGGGATCATCCAGCCCATTTCGAAACCACGATCGATGATGGCGCACTCGATCGACTTGATACCAACAGGGTCCTCGTTGATACCTAGAACGCAGGCACCCTCGCAAGGAGCAGGACAGACACGGCCGGTGAACTCGGGGAAGTTGTTAGTCATGAGCAGACGGTTGAGAGCGTCGCGCCACTGGTTTTGGCTATGAAACAGTTAGCATAAGTCATACCAGGAGTAAGGATGGGGTTTCTATTACAAAACAAGCTCATTCCATTTAGGAATGATGTTGGAGATCGGGCAGCCAGTGTCAGACTGACAGAAAGGTACACCACAGTCCATGCAACGAGCAGTCTGGTACTTGAGTTCATCCTCATTGAGACGTTGCGAGAGCTCGGACCAGTCACGAGTGCGGGTCTTGGGGTTGCGGTACTTCTCAGAGCGTCGCTGGTACTTCATGAAACCCTTGGTCTTGTCAAGAACAAGAGCTTTCTTCTTCTCAGCCTTGGCGTCACTGACGCTCTCTTCGATGTCGAGAAGATCGGCCTTTTTGTCCTTTGCTTCGTGCTGTTGCTTCAAAGACTCCTCGTGGGACGTGCGAACAGGATTTCCAGGGAGGATTGCAAGAGGGTACTCCTTCCTCTTCTTCTCGGCTTCCTTAGCAGCCTCCTCCAAGAGGACGCGCTTGTAGTCGACCGGCATGATCTTGACGAAGCGGGGAAGGGCGCGAGTGAAGTCCAAGAGGATGCGGGCAGCAAGCTCTGAGCCAGTGTAATGATGGTGGTCCTCGATGAGCCCACGGAGAAAGGCGATTTCCTGGGGATCCTCAAGGCCAGAAAGCTCAACCATCTCCTGATTGACCTTCTGCTCGAAATCTTGATGGATGTCGAGGACATAGGCGATACCGCCGGACATACCAGCAGCAAAGTTGCGACCAGTAGATCCAAGGACGACTACGCGACCACCAGTCATGTACTCGCAGCCGTGGTCACCGACACCTTCAACAACGGCCGTGGCACCGGAGTTGCGGACGGCGAAACGCTCGGCAGCAACACCGCGGAAGAAGCAGGTACCCTTGGTGGCACCGTACAAGCAAACGTTTCCGATGAGAACGTTCTCTTCAGCCTTGAACACAGCCGTGCGAGGCGGGTAGACGATGATGCGACCGCCGGAGAGCCCCTTGCCGACATAGTCGTTGGCGTCACCCTCGAGCTCCAGAGTAATACCAGGAGCCAAGTAAGCACCGAAAGACTGTCCAGCAGATCCACGAATGTTGGCATGGATTGTGTCCTGGGGAAGGCCAGCTTCGCCGTAGCGCCTGCTGACCTGGTAGGATAGGGTGGCACCCAAGGCACGGTCAGTGTTGACGATATCGCATTCGATACGTGCGGGCAAGCCCTTCTCGAGAGCCAGCTCGGACTCGGCAATGAGTTTGTTGTCAAGACGCACGTGGAGACGGTGGTCCTGCTTGCGGACGTTGAAGGTGGCCACACCAGGTCGAAGGGTATGGGCGGGTGTCAGGATGAGCGACAAGTCGATATTCTCAGTCTTGGCAGTGCGGAGGTCGTCGCGGACACGGAGAACCTCGCAGTGGCCAACCATCTCGTTGATGGTACGGAATCCGAGCTTAGCCATGATGGCACGAAGTTCATTGGCGACATAGTAGAAGAAGTTGATGACGTGCTCGGGTGTACCAACAAACTTCTTCCTGAGCTCAGGGTCCTGGGTGGCAATACCAACGGGGCAAGTGTTCAAGTGGCTAGGAATTGTTAGCATAGCTCAGTCAATAGCTTGGAGGCAAGATTGCTTACCACTTCCTCATCATAATGCAGCCCATGGCGATGAGAGGGGTCGTAGCGAAACCCCACTCTTCGGCACCAAGGAGACAAGCGATAGCGACGTCGCGACCAGTGCGGAGCTGTCCGTCAGTCTGAACGATGACACGTCCTCGGAGATCATTGAGGACCAAAGTCTGATGAGTCTCGGCAAGACCCAACTCCCAGGGAAGACCGGCGTACTTGATACCAGTCCAGCGAGAAGCACCGGTACCACCATCGTGACCAGAGATCAAGATGTGATCAGCCTTGGCCTTGGCGACACCAGAAGCGACGATACCGACACCGGTCTCAGAGACAAGTTTGACGGAGACACGGGCGCGCGGGTTCGAGCACTTGAGATCGTAAATCAACTGCTTGAGATCTTCGATGGAGTAAATGTCGTGATGAGGCGGGGGGCTGATGAGGCCGACACCAGGAGTAGAGTGACGGGTCTTCGCAATGGAAGCGGAGACCTTGTGACCGGGAAGTTCACCACCCTCACCAGGCTTAGCTCCCTGAGCCATCTTGATCTGAAGCTCATCGGCGTCGGCGAGGTAGTTGCTGGTCACACCGAAACGACCAGAGGCAATTTGCTTGATGGCAGAGCGCATGGTGTCACCGTTTTCCATGCGGAGAGATCGCTCGGGATCCTCACCACCCTCACCGGTGTTGGACTTGCCGCCCAATCGATTCATGGCGACAGCAAGGGTAGAGTGAGACTCCATGGAGATAGAGCCGTAAGACATAGCACCAGTCACGAAGCGACGGACAATGTCGGTCCACGGCTCGACCTGGTCGATGGGAATGGGGTTGCGATCCTCAAAGTTGAAGTCGAGCAGACCACGGAGCGTGCAGTCCTTGATGCGCTCATATTCGTTCAGGGAGTATGCCTCGTAAGACTTGTCGTTCTTGGTGCGGACGGCATCCTGGATGTTTGCGATAGCAGTCGGGTCGTTGACGTGAGCCTCTCCACCGTCACGCCAATGGTACTCACCAGTCTCGGTAAGGCCGGGAACCTCAACGATGCTGCGGGATGGGAACCCCTTTTCGTGAAGCGCGAAAGCATCTTGAGCAAAGTCCTTAAAAGTCGCACCCTTAATGCGAGTAGCGGTTCCCGTGAAGCAACGGTCGACAACTGAATCATCGATACCAAGGGCCTCGAAGATCTGAGCTCCCTTGTACGACTGCAACGTAGAAATTCCCATCTTGCTCATAACTTTCAGGATACCACCATCGCAGGAGTGCTTGTAGTTGTCAATGAGTTGCTCAGGTGAGAGCTTCTTACGGATCAAACCCTCACGGTGCATCTTCAGAATGCACTCGATGGCAAGGTAAGGGCAGATGGCGTCAGCACCGTAACCGACGAGAACGGACATGTGGTGGACTTCACGAGCTTCGGCAGTCTCGATGACAAGGGCGACGCGGGAGCGGGCCTTGCTACGGACAAGGTGATGGTGCACCATACCAGTGGCGAGACAAGCGGAGACAGCCACTCGTTCGGCGGAGGTAGCGCGGTCGGAGAGCACGAGAATGTTGTCACCGCTGTCGATGCACTCGGTGGCAGCATCGCAGATTCGGTCGAGCGCATTCATGTAACCATCGACACCTTCGCTCTTGGGGAAGGTGATGTCGATCGTCTTGACTGTCCACCCAGGGTAGAGGCTATGCGCGTTGTTCAATGCCTTGAACTCCTCCAAAGAGAGGATGGGTGACGGAAGAAGTAATCGACCGCACTGCGACTCGTCCATCTCAAGCAAATTACCCTGAGGGCCAACGTATGCCTCGAGCGACATAACAATAGCCTCTCGGATAGGGTCGATGGGAGGGTTCGTGACCTGGGCGAAGAGCTGTCGGAAATACTCGTACATGAGGCGGGGCTGCTGCGCCAGGCATGCGAGAGGTGCGTCATTCCCCATAGAACCGAGAGCCTCCTTGGAATCGGCGGCCATAGGCGCAAGGAGCAGTGTGACCTGCTCGAGGGAGTATCCAAATGCCTTGAGGCGCGGGTCCTCGTGCACACGGGTGTCGGTAAGAGCAGAGCTAAGATCTACACCCTTGTCGAGGACCGCCTGCTTGATCTTGGGCAAAGTCAACAGGTTCTTCTCAACCCAGGATCGGAAATCGTGACGAGCTGCAACCGTATTCTTCAGCTCAGAGTCGTCGATGATGCGGCCAGCAACGGTATCAACGAGCAACATGCGGCCAGGCTGGAGACGGCCCTTCTGTACGACTCGCTCAGGCTCGATGGAGATTGTACCGACCTCTGAAGCGCAGACAATTCGATCGTCGTCAGTCACGTAGTAACGGCAAGGTCGGAGGCCGTTACGATCAAGGTTCGCTCCGCAGTACCGTCCATCGGAGAAAGTGAAGAGGGCTGGGCCGTCCCAGGGCTCCATCATGCAGGCCGCCCACTCATAGAATGCCTGTTTCGCAGGGTCCATGGAATGGTTACCTTGCCATGCCTCCGGCACCATGAGCATAACAGCTTCAGGTAGCGAGAGAACACCGTTTATGGTGAGCAATTCGAGCACATTGTCGAATGCAGCAGAGTCGGAACCTCCGTCCTCAACGATCGGGTACAGAAGGTCGAGTTCATCACCAAACATCTCCGACTTCATGACGCCTTCTCGGGAGCGCATCCAGTTCTTGTTACCACGCAGGGTGTTGATCTCACCATTGTGGGCTGCCCATCGCAAGGGCTGTGCACGATCCCAGCTAGGGAATGTGTTAGTGGAGAAACGCGAATGAACAAGAGCAAAGTGCCCCTCATAATCGACTGAGAGAAGGTCGTGATAGTATTCGTAGACTTGCACAGGTGCAAGCTGGCCCTTGTACACAATGTTCTTGTTGCTCAAGGAGCAGATGTAGAACCAGTTGTGCAGGCCAATAACGTGCGTGGAGCGCTTGCGTAGCACATAGAGCTGTCGCTCGAAGTACCCGGTATCAAAAGTCTTGTCGAAGTCCGGCTTCGGCTCCTTGCCCTCACCAAACGCGGTCTTTAGCACCACAAACGGCTGCAGTATGATTGGCTCGCGCGACAAAGCAGCCGGACCAAGCAGCGTAGAGTCCCGCGGGACCACTCGCCAACCCAATACTCTCAGATCCAGCTGATCAGCCACATCCTCGAACATCGCCTTGGTCTCATCCAGCGCTGCGGCATCGGGCTTGAAGAAGAGGTTACCAGTCGCATACTGGCCCTGGGGAGGGAGCGTAAAGCCCTGCTCGCGTCCGAACTCCTTCACGAAGAATCGGTGGGGGATCGAAGTCATGACACCAGCACCGTCGCCATCACGTGCATCGGAGCCCACGGCACCTCGATGGGTCATGTTGCATAGCAATGACCGTGCTGTCGATTGTAAGTACTCGTATACAGAAGCCGAGCTGAATGATCTTACCATCCGAAACGATTTTGTGGCTCGCCTTGCCCTTGATATGGCTACCGATTGTTAGCACGTGCTGGAGTCGCAAACAGTCGAATCATCACATACGCAGCAAAACCGACACCACAAGCATCCTTCTCCAACTCAGGGTCGTAGAGACCCTGCTTCAAGGGCAGGGCGCCCGCCCACGATTTGTTCTCTGGGCCATCCTGATAAGGAAAGACGGAGCTTTCCTCCTCGACTATCGGCGTTTCCTGGGGTAATTTTATATCTTCGGCGAAGGAAACGCTACCCATTATATCGGCGGACGGCCGAAGGTTTGTGGTGGTGGTTGGGTCGAGGGAGTGCGGGTGGGGTATCTAGGACCGTAGTGGGGGTTGAGGTTCGCGTATTTGGCTGGTAGTTGATGCTCTGATACTGTAACAAACAATTAGCGATCGCGATCAATCTCGACGTCTCGGTAGGTTGTGGTCAGGTTCGCACGGCTCCCAATTGCCTCGCGCAAGTGAGTGGAAAGAGCGCCCCGAGTGGGTGATATTTTCTATCGTAATCGCCCAGACGCCCTGTTGCAAGCAGCCACTATAGCGGAGCGAGCAGGGCCCATGACCGGATCTCGACGTCTCAATGCGGGTCTGATGCCAATGACGCTATGCTAGCCTCGGCGGCGACCGACGTCCGCAAAGAAGCACAAAAGTGCTGATAAGACGGGCGGCGAATGGGAAAAGGCGGGGTTGTGCTCTGTCCACACCGGGCGCTCGCTAAACCCCGGTGCACAACCAGACGTATGCAGCGCGCAGGCTGTATGGTCGAGGTGGAAGCGCGAGTGTGAGGGCGGATGGTACAGGAAAGTGCAGGCTGCAGGCTGATTCCGAACTTACGCGCAGTGGAGGGTCAGTCGAAGACCGAATGAATGACTCGTGGCGTCCGAGCAAGCAACTTCCAGCAGGGTGAGGTGGAGAGAGAAAGAGAGGCGTGGACGGGTGGGGAGAGGCTTATGAAGGGAGGGACCTGGGTGGGGTGCTAAAATTCGCTGCACTAGAGACCTTCACTATTGCTGTGCCAATGAGTGATTCTCGGCTGGGCGCTCGAAGGAGGCCTGTCTACCGCAGTAAGAGACGTCTCCACTTTCTCACTCGGAGCTTAATTGTGTGCTCCGGACTCGGGCGTAGTGCTGGGTTGCGTTCGCATGTATGGGGGGCGGGAGGCACTTGAAGCGGCACATGTCAAAAGCGTCCATCTCGTCACGAACAATGGAAACTACAGGTGCCCTATTGGCCCTCTCCAAGCTGCTCAATGGCTTGCAAACCATCACGCCCTGGTGGTCCGACCCGCTGGAGAAGCTTGAACCGCTGTCTGTCCATACAGATGCGCGCCGCATTGACTACAGCCCTGCAGCACTGTCGTGCGTGGTGAACTTTTTGCCGGCTACCCCACGAAATTCTGCCACCCTCCACTGGGCTGTTCCGCTCTCGGAGCGAATGAGAGCGGCTGGCGGCGAACTAAGAGCCCACCGCCCGGGCGCGGGCGAGGCCCTGGCGCTGCCATGCCTGCTTTCCGGTATGCACTGACGATTGCGCCAGCTTGTATTGGCTCTCGTGTACTTAGTGCGGCGCTGGCGATGCTTGCGCCGTAATAAAAATTGGAGATTCGGATCTTGCCCTTATCGCCCGCTGCTGCTGCAATAGCTTGCCTCCCATAGGCCGGGAGATCGTGAATCCCCCGCCTGTCTCGAGCGGAACATCCACTGACGGGACAGGACCGCGGCCGTCGTATACATCATTGTGCACGGAGTACAACGATCTTTCTGCCAATCCAAATGCTGACGTAGTCTTGCCAGGCTCATGTGGTTTGCTCTGTGTAGGAGCAGATGTGATCAGCAAGTTCAATGACAAGTCTTCCGGCAGGACCAACATTCCGCCACGCACGCTCCGACATACCAAGCTAATCATCTCATGCTCGGAGCAGACCGGAAGCTGGCTTGCTGCATCTCCGCCCACGGAGAGTCTTCGCGTTCGATGGTTCATAGTGGCTGACAGTAAATTGGACTTGTCGCGGTCATGAGAATTCGGGATAGACTATCAAACGATAATTCCAAGGACGTACTATACACTGAGTCCCTACAGGATGAGGTGTGCTTCAGAAGTCAAGTTTATTGTGTCAGCCGCTGTAATTCCGTGAGTCAGGAAGAGGCCGCTCTGCCTAGGCGACCGTACTCGCCTATGTCGCTCAACTCGCCGATATCGCCACGGTCTTTTAACCATCAGAGATGACAACGCGGGCATTTCCGCTGCTTCGTTGGCACTGTACCCGCTGCTGGCTCTCGCGGCATACTCCTGCCCGGCGGGCAACGTGTCCCGTTTGTGAGGCCAATACATTTCCGTGTTGGTTCGAGGCAATGGATTGCCTTGGGATTGTAATACGAACGCTTCCGGCAACGGTGTCCTCTGCTTGACGTGAAACTTTCTCGTAGGTAGAAACATCGCCCAGCCGTGCCATGGGGTGGATCTCGCCCGGCGGAGATCTCTCTACATCAGGATCTTCCAAATAGGCCCTCTGATGTCCGCGTGACCCACCGTCTGCATCTGCCTTCATGCTGCTTTGACTGGTGCATTTACATCGCCACGGCGGATTGGCGGACCGCACAGATGGTCCTGCTGCACGCAACTTTGGGCTCATCAAGGCTGCTGCGGTAGGTCTCTGGCCGACCATCTCGAAGCCTTGGGTTACCTCTGTGTAGGTACCATTTACCGAACGGGCGGGGTGGGGTTAGGGGTGCAGGACTAAGGAACGAATCAAATTGGATGCTGGCCGCACAGTCCGCTTGGTATAATCAATTACATATCGCATGAGAGTGCGCACGCGATGTCGTTGCCATGTAAGAATTGAATGGATAAGCAAAGTGCGACGTTGGAATAGTCTTGCACTCAATCGCGCTTATGGTCTCTGTGCGGAAGGAGCTTTGGTTGGATTCGGCACCCACCACTCGTGGCGTGTTGCTCGATCCGTGATATTACGTAGGCAAGGGTGCACATCTAGACGATGTGCGACCAGGAGTATACTTGGCATGACCAACGTTTACCACTTGCGTACCGTGGTGCGGACACAATAACCTACTGAGGATGGCTGAGCGTGGAGAAGGTGCTACCTGCAGTGGTCGATTGGGGAATTACACGGCATCCCTCTGGACCTCACAATATGAGCATGGTCCCTCATTATCTTGGACTGGTTTTTGAGCGACTTTGACCTAGTAGACACATTCGCAGAAGATGCGACAACTGTCGGTACCACATTGCATTCATGATATCCACTAAAGTGTGCGTTCGTAGGACGTGTCCATGGTATGCGAGCTACGCGCCGCGCGTGTAAAACATTCCCATCCCCATCCTAGTATGCAGCGTTCGAAACCGCGCCGAGACTCCGTATACAATCGAGCCGGCCCGCTAACCAATGCCGAAATACTTTTTTATGACACCGGCCCTTTGGGAAACCCCCATCCAAGTGTGGGCGTGCAATGCTCGTAAGCGCGTGGAAGAAGACTGGTCCCTGTCAGTTCTGGAGTGTGGTAGGCAAGGAACGGCGGGGTGTCATACCGAGGAATGGGTCAAAGACCCTCTAGTCCTTCATCTCATCGTCAGGGTCGTTGAAGTCCTCGTCATCCTCCTCGTCCTCATCTTCACCAAGCTCCTGAGCGGCCTTGGCAAAGTCGATGTTCTTACCACGAGTGCGGCTGCCAACAATGTTGGTGGGGTCGATCTCCGCCATGGTGTCCTCATCCTCGGGTTCTGCGTCAGGTGTCAATAAACATAAACAAATCGACGGGGCGCGGACGCGCGCAAACGCGATGGGTTACCATACCCTCAACGGCCTGCAAAAACAAGTCAGCAACTTTGCGCATACAATCCTGACGCTGCTTAGGAACGCACCTCAGCCTCATTGCCGGACTCATCGCTGGAGTCGTCGTCTGCAGACTCCTCCATAGCCTCAGTGGCCTTGCCCTTGCCCTTGTCGGCGACCTGGGCGGGGCTATCGACGCCCTCCATCTGGTGGTCCTCGGGTTGAGCAGCCATTGCGGTTGTAGTTTGTCTGGTTGATGCGGATGGTTGGAGTCGGATTGATGGTAGCGCGTGGAGTGGATGCGACAGAGAGGATGGTGGGACTGTTTGTGTGCTGTGAATGCGAAGTGAGGCAGTCGCCGCAATTGATGTTTAAAGTCGCCCTTGCCCAGAACGGTTAGGGCCGACATCGCTAGAGCAACCGCGCTTTTCCAGAGCCTACTCGCCCTCGAGGCGCTTGCCTCCAGATCTCGGCGTTTGGAGTCTGACACGGGCACTCAGTACTGGTGGCTTAGGAGTGTTGTTTGGATTCCGGCGTGATAGGTCATCGGTTAACCTTGCTGGTGGCATGCGGTGAAGACTTGACCGCTCTGGACGTTGAAGAGTAATTGCTGAACAGATAACTTTCCAACTCCATTCCTTACGATCTCGTACCGTTTATTGAAGTTTGGCTACCGCCTTTGATTAATTTGCTAACATTCACTTGAAAAGAACGATCAGAATTGCCCAAGATCTCACGGTAGTCGGGCAAGGCGAATAGGTTACGTTGACCCGACAGATTGTATTTCAATACACGTCAAAAATACATTGAACTCATCAATTCTGTGAGTTCCAACACCTAACAATGCAGAGGGTACGCAATCAGACCATGGGTAACAAAATGAAGGATGGCTGCTATTGATGGTCTTGACGCATTGTCTGAGCGCTAAGCTCGTGAACGCAAGCCTCGCCCTCTGTTTGTAGCTTCTCCAAGGAAGTTGCGACCGTAGATTGAAATATAATCATTTCGGGATGAGCAAATGATCCCATGTAGACTTGCCAAAGCTCCGCACAGGTAGCGAAAGCTTGTTCTCGTGTCGCCACGAGACAGTCGAAATTTCTACCCAAGCTTCACATTTTATACACAGACATAGTATATGTGGGTCGTGAAGCATGCCCAGTCCGAACTCGCTATTTCATTGTATGTGCAATCGGGTAGAAGCCCACGGGTGCTCGTTCGGGGAAGCTGCTTGGCAAGGCACGGACCACATTCAAGGCAGCTCCTGCCGCGTCGAAGTTGCGTTGTCGGCCATCAAGCTCACCAGACCAGCATTATAACGCCTGCGCTCTTCCGGTCAGAGACACCTTTTACCCAAGCTTCTACCCTTCCGTCGAAGCAAAAGACGACGCTCCATATCCCCGACCCTTCCACGAATCCTCCACAAACACCCTCAATATGGTATGCTTGATGCGATCGCCATCTAGAGCTCCACATGCTAATCTGAGCAGTTCATAGCACGAAGCGAGTATGGTGAGTGCTACTCTCAGAGATCCCGCATAGAGCCTGCGCTGACCTCCAATCCCTAGATCGTGGTATCAAGTCCGTAACCCCGCCATGTCCCTCTTCGAATCGCAAGCTCACAGCGACCCAGCACCTTCTCGCCCGAGGGCCGTCTCTTCCAGGTCGAATACTCGTTAGAAGCTATCAAGCTCGGTTCAACAGCAATAGGCGTACGTCTACACCGAATGGCATCCCGCCACCCTCGATTCGTACGGCATATATCCCCGCAACAGCAGCTTACCCATGATATAGGTGGCAACTGGCGAAGGTGTGATCCTTGGTGTAGAGAAGCGCGTTACCTCCACCCTCCTCGAGACCTCTTCCGTCGAGAAGATCGTGGAGATCGACCGTCACATCGGCTGCGCCATGTCCGGTCTGCAAGCCGACGCCCGGAGCATGGTCGAGCATGCACGGGTCGAGAGCCAGAACCACGCGTTCAATTACGCCGAGCCGTTGAGGGTGGAGAGCTGTACGCAGGCGATATGTGATTTGGCGCTGCGGTTCGGCGAGGGTGCGGATGGTGAGGAGAGCATTATGAGCCGGCCGTTTGGTGTTGCGCTGCTGATCGCAGGATACGACGAAGATGGCCCCAGCCTGTGAGTAACGGAAACATCGGATATGCTTGCTGGAGTCGTGAGCTGACCGGGAGCAGATACCACGCCGAGCCCTCCGGTACCTTCTACCGCTACGATGCGAAAGCTATTGGCTCCGGTTCCGAGGGCGCACAAGCCGAGCTGCAGAACGAGTTTCACAAGTCGCTTACCCTGTCCGAAGCAGAAGTCATGGTGCTCAAGACGCTCAAGCAGGTCATGGAGGAGAAGCTGGACAGCAAGAACGTGCAGTTGGCGAGCGTGACGAAGGAGAAAGGATTCAGAATCTACACGGACACGGAGATGGAGGAAGTTGTCGGAAGGCTGCCTACGAACTAGCGGATTCATTTGTTCGGCATAGTTCGAGATAACGCAGTAGACGATGGGATATGGGAGCACCTTCAAAGCGACCTCTTCCACATAACGAATGAATAGACACATGTCTCAACGTCACAAGCACACTATCTCTCGAAACTCTGTCAGCCTAGGTGTGTAACCCTACAAACCGTTGCTGACAGGTGCGGGTCTACTTGCTAAGCCAAGCTGTCTCTCTTCAAGCTCAACCAATGCATGGGCCATCAGTCGCTTCCGGTGGTGAAGATAAACGACGCATTAAAGGGCTTTTACTTCCATTGAGAACCAGAGCCAGCCAAATCTGTGGATACTGCATCACTCCCCTCGAGTAACATAAGGCGTTGAAGCTGCGTTAAGCAGCTGCAACGTGAAATTGACGGCATGTTACTCTCCTTGGCAACAACCGTACCGCGAGGATAGCTTTACATTTGAAAGTAACCCGAAGGGACATTAAAATTCCCGCACTTTCCCTAGAAACAATGCCTTCATACTGTATTTGATATCGTTCAAATCCATAGTTCTTGTCCGGTGGGAAAGCAATGCTGCACACCCGCCCGGCCACCACTTGCAACACCCTCCCAAATCCCGATCCTCAAATAAGCAGCTATCATTCATCTCAAAACCACATTCACCTTACCCCCAAGTCTTCAAGTTCCAGTCCTCCACACCCATACGTCGTAGCTCAATTATGTCGCGCCCCCCTCCCATTGGCCCGACCGTGCCAAGCCCTCACCTCACTTCTTCCTCGACCTCTCCAACTCCATCACCACCGCCAGCCCGTCACACCGACACTCGCACACCCGCATACAACCGACACGATGCCTTCACCGCACCACGGCCGCGCGCCCGCCGCTTTTGTACGTCGCCCGCTGCACAATGCGGCCGCAATGGCTTGAGCGAGGCTCCGAGGCTTTCTAGGAGCTTTGCAGCAGGGAAGGGAAAGGGAATGAGTGGAGGCTGACAGCAAGCAGAGCCAGAGGAGCCCGTACCAGGCGTACAAGAGTCCGTTCGGACCTCAGTAAGTGGTCCTACTTGGGGTGGTGGGCGGGATGAGGAGGATGCGAGCTCAACGGATGACGATGGTTGACGACGTCCAATGCACCGCACCTCTTCTTCTCCTCCAAGCTGCCTTGCGACATCAATTGCACACGCAAGAGCGCTGCTTATATCCCGCAGGTACAAGCCCGCCGCCCACTTCCACGGCATCACCGCACGCCACGTCGCGAAGTAGTACGTCTACCCTTCCTCTCTACAGCACGCCGGGCCCACCTGCCGCCCTACCACCCTACATTCCGTCCCATGACCGGCCTCGACACCAAAAGCAACAACACTGACGGTATCACAGCGGCACTCTCGCAGCCGGCTTCGGCGGCGTCGCCGGCTTCTTCGCGCTCTTCTTCTTCGCCGAGGTCCCGCGCGTGCGCAACGACATCATGATGAAGATCCCCATCCTTGGCGACTACTTCATTGTCGAGGTGCCCCCGGAGGACAACCCCTTCTAGATGCCGAATCTCGAGAAGGATGGAGAGGGGCTGGGGGAAGTGTATCATACATGGACTACGGAGAGGTGGTGGCGTGGTGTATACTAGACCGCTCGTGAGCTGCGGAATAGACTTGTTTCTTCTGTTCAGGAAGTGTGCTGCTCTGCGCTGGATTGGTTCATTTGTGTGATGGCTCGCTTGTTTGGAAAGGCATTGACTACATCAGGACTCCGTCTATCCACCCCGACCCGACGCGCCATGCGCAACAGAAATGCAATGGTATCCTTTTCCTTGTATCCAAACGCCCAAACGCCTCGCCCATGCTGATATCGCAGAGAAAAAATGGCCACATGCAAGGACCAAAACATCAACGAAACTCGTCCTCCCACCGCCCACCGGACATTAAACACTGCCCTCGCCCTCCTTCCCTTCCCGCCTGGCCTTCTTCCTCTCCTCCACCTCCTCCCTCCACCCCCTCCCCCACACACTCGTCGCCCACGTCAAGCCCGCCGCGGCAACCAAAAACCCCGCGCTTATCGTGCTAAACCACCCCACCCCAATCTTCCTGACGGCCGGCAAACACGCCGCTGAGCCCGCCGCCGCGAACAGATACCTAAAGGCATAATTCCCGGCGACGACTTCAGCGCTGCGGGCCTGCATGACGTCCAGGCAGTACGTGTTGAGCGAGGGAAAGCAGAAGAGCTGCGCGACGCCCTGGACGAACATCATGACGACGGGCAGCGCGACGCCGCCGACGCGCTTCTCGACGGACCACCCGTAGACGAGCATGCACGCGGGGATGACGATGCCGATGAAAGGCAGGCAGCTTCGCAGGCGATCTTCCGAGACGCGCGTGCCGCGGAGGCGGATGTATTTCTTGACGGTGCGGTCCGCCCAGCGGCCGCCGACGAGGGTGCCCAGGAGGTACCCCGCGCCGGGCGCGATGTAGAAGAGGCCGGACTGGAGGGGCGACGTGAGCTGGAAGCGCGGGTTGAGGACGTAGCGGATGGGCGTGAGGAGGGAGTACATGTTCCATACGAGGGAGCTCGAGGCGACCGCCTGGGAGCTCTATTAGCTTTTCCTGTGCTTCCTTTTTGTTTAGAGGGATCGATGGATGGGACGACGTACCACGGCGAGTAAGTTGGGGTAGCGGTACAGCCGGATGATGCGCAGGGGATTCAGCCACGTCCACAGCGTGTGCACACGCTTCGCGCGCGGCAAAGCGGCGAGCTCGTCTGCGCGGCGGTAGTGGATGGTTTCGGGCTGGAGAAAGAAGACGAGCAGCGTGGCGGCGCCGGCGAGCGCGGTTTGCAGCCAGAAAATGTCGCGCCAGGAGCGGAAGGTGACGATTATGCCGCCGATGAAGGGACCTGTGGGAATTAGTGAGGTGCTGGGGAAAAGGGGAGGAGAAAGGAGACGCACCGAGGGCGGGGCCGATGAGGGTGCCTGAGAGAAACCTGGGCGTGGGTTAGTGGGACTTGTCGAGATCCTGTATCTGAATCTAGATTGTGGATGTTTCCTGATGCAGGTAGAGTAAGGTCAGTGAGCTTACCATCCCAACGCAGTGCCCCGCTCAGTAGGCTTGTATATATCCCCGATAACACTCGACCCAATGATCAAGAACGCGGTCCCCTGGAACGCAGTCAAGATCCTGAAGATGAAGAATGCGGCCAGATTGGGCGCCAGCGCGGTCCCTATGCTCGCTGCTGTGAAAAGCGTAGCACTGATGACGGAAACCTATAGCCTTTCCGTCAGTCATCGTCTTTGTAGACATCACCTGGCCAGCATGGTCTTGGTAATTGCGTTCATTGCGGTATTGCGTACCCATTTTCTCCCGTATATCGTGCCGATGGGCCCATAGAAACACGGGCTAATACCCATGAACAACATGTACATGGCGTTGGACAAATTGATAATGGAGCCATCGCAATTGAAGGTTTCGGCGACCTCAGGTACAGCAGACAGGACAGTCGTCGACGAGATGGGTGCCAGAAAGCTACAGAAAGAGAGGACAGCGGTGATGATCTGCTTCCGGCGCTCGGTGAAGCGGTTGTAGACTTCATCGTTGTCGCCTGTGGCCACATACGACACATTGGTCATCTCATGGTTACTGAAGCTGGACACGGTGTGCTGCAGCTGGAGGCGGTGGTTTTCCTCGCGTTCGGATGGAACTATGGAGGCATACTGCTTCTCAGCATCGGCTGACTGTGGTGGTCCATTCTGCGTTGGTGCTGTGGACGAAGACGCAGTTGGGGTAGCCATTTTGGGCTATCATGGGTTCGAACGAAGACTAATGCCAAACAAATATATGTTCAAGAGAATCGTCCGAGCACGCGAGCATGGACTTTTGGCTGTGGACCTGCGGAGCTCCTCCAGAAGCGACCCAGAGTTTTGTTATACTATCAAAAACCGGGGGCAAAGTGACTCAAGTAGACTGGATCGGCGAACTTGAGCGGTATACAACACAGCGTGCATTTTGACGAATCATTATACCTGTCAGTTCAAACACTAGCGTACAGACTTCTCCAAAATTTGCAGGTTGGGAGAGGTTTGCCGTCATAGGCGGCCCAAAAAGGTCAAAGTGTCGCTTTTCCGTGAAGATTGCCGGCCGGCGCGCAAGCGTTCCGCGCTGTCGGCCGTCGGAGTGAAAGCCGGAGTTTCGGAGCATCGCCGAAATTTGGGGCTTTCGGCGTGGCACCGCTCTCACCGACAAATATGCACAATCTGATTGGAGTGAAGAAGACTTCGCATGGCCACGGTGCCACGTTTTGTGGCGCATGGGCGGTACACTTATCCAGATCGGCGGAGCAGATAAGATCAGATGGCTGCAAGTTGTCGTTCATGCTCTTGCGACTTCGGGCTTAGGTGCGATTGCCGCTGAGCCATCAAGATAGCGCCTATGACGTCGTTCGCGCTATGCGGCTCCCACCACTGCTCAGAAATACGATGGAGATAGCATGGCTGCAGCTACTGGTTCCTGCCTGATTAGCGTAGCCAGGTACAAGTGCGGTGGAGAGATGTACAGTATAGTCTACTATTTGGTAGGCAGCGTGAGCCACGGATAACTATGTATTCAAGTTGGAAAGCCGCATGCGAAGAAGTCGCCTTCAGCGGAGGAAATGCCATAACGCCTGTTCTCGAGAACTGCCCTTCCTGGGATGTCGAGGATGAAGTCGCCGTGAACGCCTTCAATGCAAATGTACTTTTGTGGCTCTGCTTATTATATACTGAGTCGGTCGAGGCTCAGCCTGTCGACGCTCCGGTGGCGCTTCACCATGCCGAGCTTGTAGAACTTCTCTTCGCCCGTGGCGGTGCGACCGCCGATGTACCACTTGTCTGCACCCATGACTTCGTGGAAGCCTTCTGACGAGCTGTCTGAGCCTCTCCGGCTCCTTGCGGAAGCGCCTGGTATTGGGAACGCTTTGGTCGTTGCGGGCGACGTCGAGCGGTGGTACGGAGCGGCGTGCTGTCTGGTCGGCTGGAACTGGCCCGAAGCTTGCACCGCAGCAGTGGTAGCTCCTGGCGCGGGAGGCCCGGCCTTTGTGGTCATTGTCCGCGACGTGCTCGCGCTCGAATTCGCATTCTGGGGCGAAGGGGATGTGTTGTGAGAGTACGTGGTTGCTGCGGCCGCCGACTGCGAGCTGGCAGCTTTCTGTATGGCGGACTGAGCGCGGAATGCGGCGAGGAAGTTGGAGAAGAAGGGTCGGTTGGTAGACATGGTAGCGAAGACGTGGGCCGTGGGCGAGGGCTCTGGGGTCCGCGTGCACGCAGAAGCGCACGGTGAGATGGGCAAGCTCGGATGTCGCGGGCGGGCGGAAGGATGATGCTACCGTGGACTGGCCGCTGGCCGTGGTTGTCGAGTCCTCATGCAGCTGCTCGAGGGGCCTTTCCACGCTGCCGTGCAGCCGAAGCCGAAGCGTGGTGGTTGCTTGTCACGTCCGGGTGACGTAGGGTCAACGCAGCGGGGTCGCGGTCGCAAGAGTGTGTCTGGCAGCCGCGGGCGGAGGATGGCGGGGTAGCGATCAGCTATAAGCTGGCGCTCTCCAGGTGCGGTCTTTCGTCGGCGGGCGCCTGGCCTGCAAAGTCTGGGGAGACGGCACGACGTCTGGCGCGCAACTGACGGCGCCGCCGCGGGAGAAAACGGAAATCGGATGCTCGTGATTCGATGGCTCGGGCTGCTCCGAGATATGCGCCGAGCCGACTGCCCACTCGCGCCTGGTAGAGCTGCCCCGCGGTGGTTGCGGTCACTGGGACACGGACGGTGCTGGAGACGGCTGTGTGCTGTGTGCTGTGTGCTGCGTGCTGCGTGCTGCGTGCTGTGCAGCGCCGGGGACCTTGCGTCTTTTGTGCTGCTTGGGAGCTGCGGCTGCACGATTCGCTCATGGTTTCGCACCAACGACGCGGGCGCCCGCCAACGCGCCTTCGCCCTGTCGCCAGCCCTCGTCTGCAACCCGGCAGCCAAACATCTGCGAGCACATGCAGCCTACGATCCGCCGACCGTTCGCATGTTCTTTTTGCTGCATGTCGCCCGCGGCCACCACCACGGGGCGTGGGTCCAAGATCACGATGTGCCATGTCTAGCTGCCTGGCCATCTCCATCACCGCCCTCGCCGCGAATGAATTTGATTGATGCATCTGTCTGAACGCTCACTCACCCTCGGTCAGCGCGGCAGGAACCGGGTAGCTGACAGACGGGGGTCGCTGTTGCCTGTCGCCATGCACGAGACGCTTTATCAAGCTGCGCCCTCCTCCAAAACCCTGTTGTTGAGTCGTCGGCCGTCAATGACTGTTCCCGGTGCATGCGCATTCGAGAGCTGTCCAGCTTAGTCACGTGGACGCTCTATGCCGACTGTAAACGACGAGGGCTATGCGCAATGCCCAGCACTAACCGCGAATGCTCCCACGTGGTCACCTGGATGCGTCGGCTTGCCTTGTCTCCGACGGCTTTCAACGCTATCGCAAGGAGCCGACTGTTTCCCGTGCTCAACAGCCATCGAGTGGGCCGTGAGGCTTGGACGGTCACGTTGCCTCGTGATAGGATGACGCCCGACACTTGGAGTCTTGCTGCGTTGACAGTCCAAGTAGGAGACATCTGACACTGAATCAATCCGAGATACACCATCTTCTCTTGCTTTCAGTACCTACTCATTTGTACCCAGGAAGCCTGGCGACCAGCGCGTCCCATACGGCCAACCGCCGCGCCGTTCTCCGACTCGGGTTGCGACTGACACGCACTCCTTCGACATTGCGTCAGACATGGAAGCACGCATGCCCAAAGAGCACCATCTTTGTTGTCAAGATTCTTCTGCACCGTTGACTACGGCTCTCAAGTCATCATTGCACAAAATTCCCAACAAGAGATATAACACATCCCGCAACGAGGTCTGGAACGACGACTGGTCTCCTTCTGCTGGCCACTATCTCGAATTTCATTACATCCAGTCACTCGCCGTTGCTCCGTTCTTAATTCGCCGGATCCGCTGCTCGTCACGTCTCCGTCCATTCAATTCACTATCACGTATGCACGTGCCCCACGCACAATGTGGCTTTATCATAAGGGCCCGAGGACCTTTACTCCACCGCCATATCCATGACAGAACCCCCAGATCCGCCTTTACATCCACCCACTCGATGTCAACGCTCACATCACACACTTCGCTGCTTCCCGCGCTGCCTAGCAAAGTCTCCGAGTACAGTGTGGACGTATCAACGACCCATAACCAAGGATATCTCGGACTGAATGCAACCATGCCTTCCTCCCTAAAAAGGTTTCCCTCCAGGTTCGCAACCTTCGTCAAGCGCCTCCCCTCCCTCTGGGCATCCACCCTTCCCGCCTCCCACGACGCCACCCACACCACTACCCCCTCTCTCCCCGGCGGCTACGCCAACTCCTCCGAAGCCCGCAACTGTCTCCTTTTCAACATGGACAAGATCGACATCCCGCCCCGCCACCGCGATCTGTTCCTCGCCGTCAACAAGCTCGTCCGCGACTACATGTACGGGCCGCGCTACGACCCCTCCCACGACTATGAGCACATCCAGCGCGTCGTCAAGAACACGTACGAGCTGTACACGGCCGAGAAGGCCGCCGGCCGCCTCCCACAAGATCTAGATGTCACGACCATGTACCTCGCGGCGATGATGCACGACGTCGGCGAAACGAAGTACCTTGAAAAGGGTCGTACACAGGAAGATGTTGTCGTCGAAAAGATGCTGAAATGCGGCGCATCCCCAGCTCTTGCTACCGCCGTCGCCACCATCGCCCTCAACGTCTCGTACACCCGCGAAAAGTCCGCGCACGACCAAACCCTCATCCACGCCATCATCACCGCACACCCCGAACTTGCATTCGTGCAGGACGCAGATCGGCTCGATGCGCTGGGGCCCAGTGGCCAGGCGCGGTGCTTCGTCTTTGGGGGCGCGAATGAGGGGCGGAGAGCGCAGAGCATACACACTGGCGTGCAGTTGCATCATAAGCGGTTCCGGTGGTATGTGGGTATGATGAAGACGCGGGCGGGAAAAGAGAGGGCGGAAAAGGGGTGGTCGTGGATGACGGGTTTCGCGCAGGAGTGGGGGGTGGATACGGACGTGGGGTGTGTGTTGTAGGGGTGGTGGGGGGAGGGGGGAAGAAGAGAGGGCAAAGGGAGGAGGATCTCACGGCTGGCTGAGGTTTCTCTAAACTTCGACATGAGCGCGGTGTACGAACGGCCGTGGGACGAACCCGGGGTGGAAAGAAACGAGATACGGCGATAGAAATAGAGCTCACGCATTGGATACATGACATGCATCATATTACCCATCCCATCCCATCCTATCCCACCACGCATCCTCACTTTCTCCTCCCAGCAAGCATGCATCCGCGTTGGTGCAGTCCGATGGGCGTCGTTCCTCTCTTCTCGCACAAGCCACCTCATGCACCACACTTCGACCACCACGCCCCTGCGCAGCGAATCGCAGCCTGTCTCCGGCCCTGCGGGATTCGTGCGTGTGAAGGTGGAGATTGGGAGGACATCAACATGCTGAGCATGAGGAGGAAAAAGGATGAGCAGGGCGGCGACGTGGAAGCAATCACACACAGCGATAGATTCTCTCTATGCAAGGCAGACATTGTAGGCTGGGTAGCTACGGCGTGTGCTTTAACTTTTACTTTGTTTCGAGGCCCCAGCGGCGCCGGGATGCATACCGCCCGGACATGCACAGGATTACCCCAGGACCTTGGGTCCTCGCAGCGCAGGCGCCTGCCCGTGCTCCAGGCTCAGTCTGGACCCCGCAGGCTCCACGGCGTCGCCCCGCTTCTGCACAGCAGCCATCTTGTTCCACACCAGCTGGATCATCGTGTGGCCCGGCGTGATGCCCCACTGCTGGCTGCCCCAGCGGAACGGCCAGATGCTGGTTGCGTCGCTGGAGCCCGGGGCGGGGACGAGGCGCGCGTCGAAGTAGCAGTCTACGTCGCCGGAGCAGAGGAACACGTAGGGGAAGCCGTCCTGGGGCTGGTCAGCGCAGTCCACGATACGCGAGGCAGCGTACGTAGTTGGATGCAGTGGAGAATGACAAGGGGTGGAATGGAAAGGGTAAGGTGGCGTGGCTTACAATCGTGTACAAGTCGTCGTATATGTTGGCCTCGTACGGCTCCAGACAGTTCCACGCATGGTCCGTCCCCCCGTAAATACTCTCCGTGTTGCGCTCCTGCGTCTCGTCGCTGAATGTGCAGTTCCCCTCTTTCGTCGAAAGGGTATAAGGATAGTTGTCCAACCGCGTGAACACGCCGCAGGCGGCGTCGCTGGAGGGCGCGATGAATTTGCCCTTGGGCGAAAGACAGCCGAGGGAGGAGGCGGGCGTGGCGGTCGTCCAGTCGGAAGAGTTCCACACAGAGATGGTGCCGGTGCCGGTGAAATTTGCCGTGGCAGTCTGCGCGACGGCGGAGGTCACGAGGGTGAGCAGGGCGAGGAGGGTTGTCATGTTGAAGGAGGGAGGGTTGGCTGGAACGGATACAGATGCCGATGGGTTATCCAGTGAATGGCGATGATGCTATGCTCTTAAATACGTCTGCTGGCTTCACCTATACATTTCGCGCTTTAGTACATCCCGGCGAGGCGTCTAGGTCGGCGATGGACATAAACGGAGGAGGGAGGTCATTAGGGACTGGATGTGGGCTACCCTGGTCGAGCAAACAACCTTCCCAAATAGGTCTTAAGTGAGCTGCACTATGTGCTTTCTGGGTAGCTCGCGCTTCGCCCCATACTACGTCGCTTAAGTCCGGAAGTCTTGTTTAGACATCAAGTCTGCATGGAAAGCACGACGAAGGTCGTGCTTACAACTTAGTCGGTGGTCATTTGTATTTCTCCTGCCGCATGAGCTTAAATTGAGCTGCTTGTAAAGACGAAGAGCGCTGTCAGTAGTTTGGGTTGCTGTGTCAGAATAAAGATCCGCACCGGGAACATGGTAGGCGAAGTCGCACGAGACGGACGTGACGAGGCAAGACACTAAAGTAATGCCGACAAGGTACGTGCCGAATGAGAAGGACGACACGGACATTGTAGGCACTTGAGCGATTGGCATCTACCCTGTTGTGTCTGCAATCTGGTATGCCAGCCATTTGTCAGGTTCGAGTACGAGTCCTCATAAAGCACGTGAATGTGATTGTAAGGGCCATGCGTGCATTGCTCCGCGGCTAGGTGCGCGCTCCCTGGTTGGGACGTAGAAGTCGCCTTTGTGCATTGACGACTAGCAGTCCATTGCTTTCGCTGTGAGTGGATGCGCGGCTGATCAGATGGTATGGTAGGAGTTGAGAGCAGTAGTGGGAGGTCACAGTAGAGGACGTGGAGTTCGCAAAGTGCTACAGTAAGCAATCCGCTTAACTCGGAAGATGTACGCTAAAGTATCAGCGCTGCCCAACCATCTCGGCGAGGTTATACACATGCTCACGTATACTGAACCACCAGGTACTGTCCAAAGAGTATAGCGGCCGACATTGAAATCAACCGCGACCGCCCAGTATGGTAGCTGGCCCTCGACTCGACACTGTGGCCGGTGAGGTTACTAGTCTCTCAGCGGCTCGCAGAGGTCCCTCTATAAAACCCACGCCCTGTATTGCTCTACCACCTTCTCTAGCGTGCTCAGTCTGCATTGGGCTCCCCTCTACCATCGAATATCGCACTTGGATCTGAATCATCCTTTCGAATCTCAAAGCACTTCGATATTTTGTGCACCACCAAGCCACGAGTGTAAGCCTCATCCTCCATCTCTCAGCAACTATCCGGCTGCCTACTAAACCTCCCCTCCAAAGTGCTTGTTTATCTTGACACATCTTGTGCGAAAAGTATACACTTGCTTCTTCAAGGCCAGCATTTCCCCGACACAATGGCAGGCTCGAACTTCAACACCATCTACAACGCCCCCGAGTTTACCCACGAACACCAGCGCGCGTACGAAAAGATGTTCTACGGCATGAACTCCGAGTTCGCAAACATCCAAGACGGCTACCTGGACAAGGAGTAAGTTTTGTTCAATGATTGATAGACTGAATGTACACTTACACACATGCAGCTACGACCGCCCAGTCGTCTTCGGCAACGGCAACAATGAACAGCTCGCCTTTGCGCCCCAGGGCAACTTTGAGGAGCGCGACCTCAACTACAAGGCCGTTGACGCCTACGCTCGCGCTACTAGGAAGTCGTGGGGTCGTCGATTCACACAGCCGCTTCTTAGCTTTCCGTCTCGTGTTGCCTCTATTGCCATCCCTGCCGCAAGCTACCTAGGCTCCGTTGCGGGCAAGCCTACTCAGATCAAGCCTGTTCTGGGCAAGCGTCGTCGTTGCGTTTGCGGTGATTGCGACGATTGCACCACAGGCAAAGAGCGCTGGGTGCCTCTCGGTCCCGTTGGCCAACCTGCTAACAACGTCACCAACCCCAACATCCACGACTACGTGCGTCCCCCTCGCAAGTTGCGCTTCGGGGGCTGGTTCCAGGGAAAGGAGGACAACTCGTGGACCGTGGACCCGCGCACCGGCCATCGCATCCCAGCTTAGGTGCAGCCCCTACCACCAGAGTGATGTAAGTCTCGAGACTATGGTGTACTTCCTACTCCAGAACTTCTCGAACCGTTTACCAGCCAAGAGAAAAATTCATCATTAAAATTCTCGGATCACGTTGACCCCGCTAGCCAAGGTCACGGTGAGATCAAACAGGTCTCATTGATTTGGTGTACTTGGCTTGGTTAAACAAAACGGCAATCCCCATGTTTCCAACAACCCGACCATGATTTACCAATTCATGGACATCGTTCATCGGCCAAAAGCTTGCTTTCACGGATCCCCGGCTATCACTCAAGATCCCAATGCTCTCATTAGGCGGGAGCATCGCATCCGAGCGAACATTTCACGTTAAATGGTTGTTAATTGAAATCCTTCTCATTCAGAAGGTTAACATACTTGTCGCTCGATGGCCACAGGGCTCATCCTCAGGCTAGAGGCTACCTGTGTTTTCTCAATACAACGTGCTTACAAACGAATAAGTTCCAATGGTGACTTGATCTGAAACGGCATTGCAACTAGATGTGATAGGCTACTATGACAAGTGCCCTGTGTATCCGTCAAGCAAATTGAGTTCTCTAAGGGACGCATCGAGATGTATATCAAGTCGATGATCCGCACAACACCCAAAGCAGCGCCTGTCGAAATTCAATTGCCATAACGTGAGGAAATTAGAACATAGAAGCACTACATTCATGCCACTCTACAAGCTGCTCACAATATCCAGGGACTCGTTTTCGCGTGAGCAAGCATCCAGTCGCTAAGCCAACTAGGCGCTACAAGGGACGTTGACTTCGCCCCCAACCCAACGGAACCGAGTAGTGGTGACTCAACCACACCCCGCCCCTACCATAACTATATATACGCCACAGCACAGTCATCACAACCACAACAACAAATTCCCTCACCGCACGCCCGGCAAAGCTCATTCAACGTCATCACAACCATGTTACTAAATCTGCCCGACGAACTCCTCGTCGCCATCGTGAACGCAGTACGTACCACAGCCTTGTCCAAACAACGCGCAGCATCCACTATGCTTGCATCACGTGGTCCCGCCCTCGTCTCGTCATAATCTAACAAATTATAGCTTTCCTCTGCCCCGGAACTCCAATCACTGGCCTGCACATGCACACGCCTCTACGGCATCACGCTGCCGGCATACTACAGGGCTTTTGCACGTACCAAAAGGTGCGATGCGCTCGTTGCGGCGGCCGTGCATGGGAATGCTAGAGCTGTGGAATTGTTGGTCAAAGAGGAGGGGTGGGTGAAGGGAAGTAGTTGGGGGAAGGGTAGGGCGATGTTTAGGGCGTATGCTGGGGGTAAGAAATACGGTAAGGGCAGCGCGCTCGTGGCTGCTATTGAATCTGGGCGAAGAGACATCGCACTTTTCGTCCTTGAGCACGGAGCTGACCCAAATGCGGACGCGGGATCGGTTGGGAATGCGCTCGAGGCGGCGGTCGATCGGCAGCAGACGGAGATCGCGCAAGCGCTTCTGCAACATGGCGCCAATGTAGAGCACATGTTTAATGGAGAAAGGAGCAATCGATCGGCATTGCTGATTGCGGCGAGGAAGGGATACACGGAAATTGTGGAGATGCTGCTCGATCACGGAGCCGATCCTGATGCGGCAGTGGGACACGAGCAGATGTTTCCTCTGCATACAGCGGCGGCGAAAGGGCATCTGGGGTGTGTGGAGGTGTTGATTGAGGGGGGGGCGGATGTGAATTATCGAAATGAGAAGCATGGGCGGGCGTTGTCAGCGGCATTGGAAGCCGGGCATGAAGATGTGGTACGGTTTCTGATCGAGCGGGGAGCAGAAGATAAAATTGTGGAAGGTTTGGACAACAAGTGGCTCCCCGGTACGGCGTTCAACATCGTTTCGAGAGAGAGGAGATGGCGCGACCTTTTTGAGATTTTGCTGGAGCGGATGGACTACTCGAGCCACATCGCTGGAAATGCTTTCGTGTCTGTCGCGCGCGATGGTGAGGCGGGCATGGTCGAGCATTTCTTGCGTAAGGGAGTCGATCTCGAGAAACACGGTCCGCGTGCCCTCGGCGTAGCGAGCATTAAAGGCCATCTCCACATCCTCCAACGCCTTCTAACCGCTGGCGTCGACGTCAACCAGGAAGTTCCAAAGCGCGGATCCGCCCTCCTCCGTGCCGCAACCCTCGGCCAGGTGGACTGCGTGAGAGCTCTCCTCGCTCACGGCGCCTCGCCCAACGTCATCTTCGGCACGCCTCGCCATGAATGGCGTGGCTACTCCCGAGCAGTCTTCTGCAGTACGCCGCTCCAGGCAGCGTGCTGGGGCCGGGGGTATGCCGATAAAAGCATTGAATACAAGGACATCGTGCGAATGCTACTCGAAGCGGGCGCAGATCCCAACGTCTCTGGCGCACGCTGGTTCCACCCGCTGAATCTCGCAGCCTACTGCGGCAACGCGGCCATCGTGCAGCTGCTGCTGGAGCACGGCTCGGATCCATCTGCACGAGGACCTGTGTATATGGATAACGCACTCCAGGCTGCTGTGAAGAGTCGCAACACCGCTATTGTCAAGCTACTACTCAAGCACGGAGCAGAGACCGCGGGTTCGGGGGCGCTGCAGGCCGCGTGTGGAGCGGCATATGCCAGCGAGGGACAATTGGAGACGGTGAAGCTGCTTCTGGACCACGGTGCTGACCCGAACGATAAGAGCGATGCATACGTATGTACTGGTTATATCAATGCGCTGGCGGGCCAACCTCCGGGATCGGTATTCTACACACCGCTGGAGGTTGCGAGGCGTTGGAATAATAAGTGCAACGATCAGATCATCGAGCTGCTGTGGAATCGGGGAGCAAGAGATGGGGATTGGCGTTGGGAACCGAGACGTAAGTATCATATGAGTGCTTTCATTCCTTCGCTGACATATTCCATAGCCTCTGAAGAGCTTGTCCTCAATGGTACGCGAAAATTTGCATGCCACAGGTGTGGAAGAGTGGCCTGTCGGCGAGTACGAGGGTCTATCGGCGTTTAGTGAGTGATGCTCATTTCTGAACTCTGTGCGTTTTCGGTCTGCGTGTACAAATTGCGAGACTGTCAAGGAACTGTTAATTTTACATTTTCGTCAATTGCTTCGAATGATGTTCAACAAGAAGTGACTCGGCCCCTGGAGAGGCTATGCTTCGGAGCTCGATGCAAAGACAGACCAATAGCTGTCCATTGGGGCTAGTTCCATGTATTTGCCCCTCTGAAGAATTAAAAATGAAAAAAGTAAAAATAATAACAATATTAAAACCAAAATTGGTAGGCCACATACATTTCTGCCAACCGAGTGTGTGTCTTGTGTGTTGTTGCATCATGGCGCCAGCTTGGCCAGACAAGGGTGAGCGAGCGAGATCGCGTGACGTCATCGCTCGATGTCAAACGTTCGCGACTCTTGCACCTCGCGTTCCGAAGCCATCGCAGCATCGCCATGCCTTTCGAGGCGCAATTGCAATAGTACTTCGAAACATGTTTCCCACAGCTGCACGGCATTATGCCGCCCAGCGCAGCTCCGTTCACGTGCGGAGCAGGCTACAGGGGGTGCTGACAAGGTGCGTGTACGGAAAGCTTAATTGTCGATCATCGACGAGTTAACAAGACGACAGGAATCCCAGACTACCGTGGAGCGCCTACGCACCACCGGGAAGCCGATATGCTTCGTTACAGGCTGGAGAAGATAAGTCGGGGCATATAAGCGCGGGACCGGATGAGGGCCTGCTGTTCTTTGACAGTACGTCAAGGGAACTGTCTTTCACCGCAGCGGACAACCTGTACTAACATGCTAAGATGTGTTTCCACTGAAGATTCAAAAACTCATCAGCCCTACCCTCGAGAGCGACACATCGTCCAGTTTCTTGAACCGCGTCATCAACCCTTTGGTCACGGGCACCGATCCTAAAACTGTCATCGACAAAGCCAGCGCTAAAGCTAACATCTCAATAAAAGCTACGGAGACACTTTTACGATTAAATGAAGGTGGTGCCTTTGTCAAGTTTACACACGATGGCAGCACTTCAACATCCAAAGTCGAAAAAGTTCTCAAGCAGTACCTCAAGGAGCAGCCTGTGAAACCGTGGTGGAGTCCGTGGAGACGAATGCACGTAAGCGTTGTGCAGGGACGCCCATGGGTGGAGGACCTCTTCCGCATGCCCTCGCCCCGGCTCCGCGTCGAATTTGTTCCTCCCGAACCGGGTGCAGAGGCTGTCGAGCTATCTCAAGAACAACTCTATTCTTTCTTTCGACAATATGGAAAGCTGCAGGACATTGTCATTCAGCCGCCTGATTCGAAGGTTTTACCTAAGTTTGCCTACTTGGACTACTCGAAATTGTCAAATGCGATTATGGCAAAGAATTGTCTGCATGGGTTCGTGGTACCTGAGGCAGAAGGAGGAGGGAAGACGGGAACACTGCTGAGGCTCAAGTACGAGCAGAAAATCAAGGCTCATTGGATTCGGGATTGGCTGGTCAATCATCCAAGGATAGTGATCCCGATAGTTGCGGCGCTAGTAGCGGGTATCACAGTGGCTATCTTTGATCCGTAAGTTGGTGCTGAGACATTAGTATGACGATACTGACCAGTGCCAGGATACGTACATTCTTCGTGAAGGCACACATCACCAGAACTTTGCACCTCCAAGACAACAAATACTACAAGAAACTCGTTGGCTACGCAACGGACTTCATCCCTTGGCACCACAAGGTCGATGATGATACTGGTATGGACGTAGTCTGGGATGACCGCAAGGACAATATCGAACAAATACAGACTTGGCTTATGGAAACTGCCGACACGTTCATCATCGTGCAAGGACCCCGTGGATCTGGAAAGAAAGAGCTGGTCCTTGATCAAGCCCTCAAAGACCGCAAACACAAACTCGTTATCGACTGCAAACCTATTCAAGAAGCTCGCGGAGACAGCGCCACAATCAACGCTGCGGCAGCATGCGTGGGATACAAGCCAGTCTTCTCCTGGATGAACAGCATAAGTGGGATGATTGATATGGCAGCGCAAGGTGCGACTGGCGTGAAGACTGGGTTTTCGGAGACGCTGGATTCGCAACTTGCGAAGATCTGGAATACGACAGGGAATGCCCTCAGGCAGATTGCACTGGATCAACGGCACAAGGCTGATAAGGATGCGCATTTGGGTGACGACGAGTGGCTGGAGGCACATCCCGAGAAGAGACCTGTTGTTGTCATTGACAACTTCTTGCACAAGAGCCAGGAGGGTGGTGTGGTATATGACAAGATCGCTGACTGGTAAGTTAGCCCCAGCACTATCGACCTCATGTCGCTTATGTTGTGGCTACGCCGGATGGTCAACTGGTCGCTAGACTTTTGTGTGTCACTCTTTCGACGCGTTGCTAACAATCATCCCAGGGCCGCACGTCTCACGACCGCCAACATCGCCCACGTCGTATTCCTCACAAACGACGTCTCGTATAGCAAGTCTCTCTCCAAAGCACTCCCAGATAGGGTCTTCAGGAATATTCCCCTTGCGGATTGCAGCCCGCAGGTCGCAAAGAAGTATGTCCTACGACACCTAGACGCCGATGTCGCCGACGATCCCGAGCCGAAGGATGGCTCCGAGAAGCAAGTTCCCTCCCAGACCCGCGATGATCTCGGCGAATTGGACACTTGCCTCAATCTTCTCGGCGGCCGTCTCACAGACCTCGAATTCCTGGCCCGAAGAATCAAGACTGGCGAAACACCCATCAAGGCAGTCAACGCAATAATCGATCAGTCCGCAAGCGAGATCCTTAAGATGTACATCTTCGGCATTGCAGATGAAGAGGGCGACAAGAAGTGGAGCCCTGAGCAAGCTTGGCTACTCATCAAGGAACTCGCAAAGAACGAATCGCTGCGGTACAACGAGCTTCTCCTCTCTGACGTGTTCTCAACCAACGGTGAGAAGACCGTTCGCGCGCTTGAGCAAGCGGAGCTTATCACCATCGTCTCTTCCCCCTCCGGTCGCCCTTCCCAAATTCGCCCCGGAAAGCCCGTGTATCACCCAGCATTTAAGCGGCTTACAGAGGACAAAGTGCTGAAGAGTCGCTTGGATCTTGCCATACTGAAAGAACTGACTAAAGTGGAGAGCGCAACGATTGAGAAGTGTGAGACAGAGTTGCTGAAGCTGAGCGAGATTGAGGGCCGTCCGGCCATGTTAGCGGGTCGGGTACAGTACCTTTTGGCGAAGTTGCAGAAAAGCCAAGAGAAGGTCGAGAACTATGAGGGAGAGATGGGTGTATTGAAGAAAGTGTTGGGGAGCGAGCACTGAAGTGGTTGCGGGCACAAGTTGTTGTGAGTGTCGTATACATGATACCAATCTCCTTTCAATCGCAGTGTAAATGTATGGCCAGGCACGAGAATGCTTCAAAAATCTTAAAGTCAACGGCGTCGTGTTCCATGCCTCCCGCAAACTACTTCCTATCACAATTAACCCATGAAGTCCGGAACAATTCTGCCCCGCATGGGCTAAATATTGTGCCGACTGGTCGGGCAAACAGCAAAGATTTCGAAAACAATTCTCAAATGGCTTGTCAGAAATTCTGATGTCTCTGACCATTCTGACAGCGACGTTGAAACCCTTCGCTTTGCTGGTCGTTGTGTTGTCGTGCGAACGAGATGCCCCACCTGACGAATGCCTCGGCAAGGATCGGCTGCGTGCATCCCAACCTCTCCTCCATCGATTAGGTCCCACTTTGGCATCTCAACTGCGTATGTCATCATCGTATTTGTAAGATATGCGGAGGCACTTTTGTCGACTGCTACATTTACGGTGTGAATGTTGTCCCGGCTAGTTACAGTGGATCACCAAAAGTCCCATATAAATGTCAAGCTCTAGCATCCCGAGGACATATAACACCATCAGCAATCCACCTAGTACGAACTTAGACATGTCAAACATGTCTCGCAACATCCTTATCACTGGAGCTTCTGGCTACCTTGGCGGCACCTTCCTCAAACTCCTGAAAGACGCCGGCCTACCGGCCCACAAGATCTACGCCGTGGTCCGCTCTGACAAGCAAGCTGAGGCCGTCGAGCAGTACAATGCCTCCCCACTCTCCCTCGACGTGTCCAACACGGACGCAGTATCCACCGCCATCATAGATAACAACATCTCAATCATATACCACCTGCACAACCCCCTCGACACCAGCACACCCGCGTGGATCAAGGCCCTCGCAACCGTGAAGCAGCATACCGGCCAAGATGTCCACTTCCTCCTCACCACAGGCGCCAAGCTGTTCTCCTCTCACGCCGGTGCCCCCACGGACCCTTTCTCTGACACAGACCCTTCTCTTCTCTCCATTCAACAGTCTCAGCCAGGAAAAGCGCCAATCGACGCGATGGGCCTCGGCGCGCATTGTAACAACCTCGTGATCGCAACTGCAAAAGCGCACGGCGTCAAGTCTTATATCTTCGCGCCATGCATTGTGTATGGCCGCGGGCTGGGCTTCGGAAATAAGATTTCCATCCAGACGGTTGCGGTGGTGAAGGCGGCGGTTGCGACGAGGCGCGTGTACAAGGTCGATGAGGGACGTCCTACTTGGCCGGTTTGTCATGTCGAGGACAACTCGACGCTGTACATTGAGATCTTGAGGGGGATCTTGGAGGGCAGGGATATTGGAAGTGGGGAGAATGGGTATTTCCTCGCCAGCCCGGGGAGCGTTGCGTGGGACGACATCTACGCTGCCATGGGCAAAGCCTTGAAGAAGAGGGGAGTCGTTGACGATGAGACGGTTGTAAAGGCCGACAAGACTGCCTTGGAGAAGATGGGAGAGGGGATGGACTGCCCAGCGGACTTTGTGCCGATGCAGTTAGGCGGGCTGTGCACTTGGGTGCCTAAGCACGGCAAGAAGATTGGATGGAAGCCGAAGTATGCCGCGGAGCATATACTGGAGGCTGCGGATGCGGAGGTTGAGCTCATTCTGGAGCATCTGGAGAACGCGAGGAGCTATGCGATTCCAAAGGGGACGCCATTGAAGCAGTGAACCACGATCGTGTCAGGGCCTATGCCAATACGGGAGAATATTGTGGTGGATAATATCAATATGTACGATGGAGCTCATGCTATGCACTTGGAAATGATGAAACCAGACCAGGATCGACGATCGCAGAAGCCCAACATCGAGTGGTCTACAGAATCCAGAGCTGTAACATGTGAGGGAGAGGCGTCCTTTTCCGAGCTGTCAGCAGCGCACCTAATCTCCGGAGACTGATGTCCTAGGTGTAATCGAGACTTTTGGCGTAGTCACATCTGAACCTTGTCTAGGCTGCCTTGTTGGGCATGCATGTTATCAGGAAGCCACATCTATTCCTGACTATAACGGCCCGCGCGAAAAGGTAGAATGTGATCTAGATATGCTTGCTTGGTAATCCCGTTCGCAACTTCAAAACAGGAAGTCCGAGTGTTTGCTTCGATCAAGGGTTTTTTTTTTTTTTTCGAATGATTATCTGGTTTTGGCATGTAAGGTTGATGTGTATTCCGTCCATCTGTTTTTCAACGTGATTTCGAAGCTACGATCACAAGGGCAGGCAGTCGAACATCGTTCGAGATCACTGAATCCTTCTTTCTGACTACCTGTCTTGATCTGGATCGGAGATCGCACTCACGGTACTTTTGAAGGGGTCAGCACCATCCCTAATGGTATATTGATACTGATTGAACATCTCCTCCCCGACCCAAATCAACATTGCATAACGAACAACATATTCGGGCTCCACGCCATGTCGTCATATGCGTCTGTAATCCGGCAGTATTTAATAACACACTCAATTAAGCTCGACGACTCCGGTAGCTGGGCCTGATTAGCCGACGATTAATATCACTGTCACGCGCCACTCCCCCATATTAATTACTCTATACCCCTCCATATTACCTCCGCCCAGCCATGGTGACAACAACGTCGCATGCACAGTGCAATACTGCCTTCGCCGCCTACCAGGTCGCGTCGCGAGTGCGGCCCATTCAGCCGCATGCGTTATCCCCGGGCGCAGCATGATGTCGTCGCCGCGGGGAATCGATATCGATGGACAGTAGATAAATTGGTTGCACGTCCGCGATACAGCGCTCACTCGCTACCTCCGCTGACATTCTTCCCCGAACACGATGAAGACCTTCGCTCTCCTCTTGGCAGCCGCGTCGGCGGTTAGCGCTCACTGTATGTTCATTTGGTGAACCAGAGTCTGAGATGGAAGTGATGCTGATCGCGAACAGACACTCTGCCGACCATCAACGGCGCCCCTGCTTGGAGCGCCGTCCGCCAGGCCAAGAACTGGCAGAACAACGGCTTCGTCGGCGACGTGACAAGCAGCGACATCCGCTGCAACCAGCTCTACGCCGGGAACGAGACCGTGTCTGTAGCCGCGGGATCCAGTGTCAAGGTCAACGTCAACCCCAACGCGTACCACCCCGGCCCTTTCCAGTCGTACCTTGCCAAGGTGCCCGAGGGCCAGGATGTCAACAAGTGGGACCCCACGGGAGCAGTGTGGTTCAGGATCTACGCTGAGCAGCCCAAGTTTGGATCGCAGTTGACTTGGTTGAGTATGTCATCTCCTTTCCTCTCATCCGGCATACTCATGGGCAAGAAAGCTAACAAACACAGGTGCTGCCAACTATGACATCAAGATCCCGTCCTGCATTCCCGCAGGCAAGTATCTCATGCGCAACGAGCACATTGGTCTGCACGTGGCCCAGAGCTCCGGCGGTGCGCAGTTCTATCTTAGCTGCGCCCAGATCGAGGTCACTGGTGGCGGGTCGAAGACGCCGACGAACCTGGCGGCTTTCCCGGGTGCGTACAAGGCGAGTGACCCGGGAATTTTGATCAACATCAACTACCCCGTTCCTACGAGCTATGTAAACCCTGGACCTGCTACTTTCACTTGCTAAGCGGGTTGAGGAGGATGGAGTATAGAGTATCGAAGCATGTATGAAGGATGGAAGAGATAGAAGTAACATTATGTACAAGTTGCATAAACGCAGAGAATAGAGAATGCTGTAAAAGAGTAGATTTTTTAGAGAGGCTTGAATTGTGTCCAACACCGCGCTGAGACGAGGTAATGTAAAGTACATACTGACGGTGGGATGCTGCTTAGGGCCCGCAGCTGCACGTTGATACTTTCGCCAGCTTTCGCGTTGGATTGCCAAGTGCATGGGCCGTTCATACGCGGAAGCGATCCATTTTGAGAGGACCAATGACTACGCAAACGCTTGGCCGTGAGTTTCTCGACCCCTCGACCCATCTCTGTATACCATACCCCTTCTTCACCCCCTGAAATCCACCGCAAGCCAGGACCCGACCCCACCACGCTTTCCTCCTCTTGTCATTGTCTCCCCTCCTCCATCATCCCTTCGGCCAGCGCCACATTGCTCCCGCCGTTAATCCCCGCTTCCGGCGCATCCACCAGCCCCCACGGCCCCTTTGCAATAGCCTCCCCACGGAACTTGACCAGCAGTCCAACAGCCATAGGCCCGAGAATCGTGTTTAGCAAAATCGCCCAGATGGCGGTGATGAAACCGTCGGATGATACGTAGGACGTGTTGTTGTATCCTATCTCGACAATGAGCAGGCCGATTTCGCCGCGCGCGACCATGGCCATGCCGAGAAGTAGGGCGGGTGAGAGGGAGGTCGAGTGCACGGTGCGAGAGAGTCCCTTTTTCTCTTGGGGCGCTGGGGACTTGGAGCGGCGGGGACAGGTTGCAAAGGAGGAAATGGGAATCACAATCCCAACAAGGAACTTGGCCACCAGCATGAGCAACGTGTACACGAGGCCCCTCCAGACCGCTCGCCCGGACCAGAGGTCTAGGAAGGGGATTGCGAAGCCGATGGAGGCGAAGAATAGTGGTGCCAACACGTACGTCTGCGTATCGAGACAGTACAGCTCGAATGTATGCACGAACGTCGGGCTTTTGTCTTTCTCTTTCTCGCCTTGCTCGCGGGAGAGCACGACGAACGGGCCCGAGGGATGTTTGCTGGGTAAATACGTGAGAAATGTGCCCGCGAGGAAGGCGCCGAACAGGACCGACGTCCCCGCGAAGGAAGCGATAGCAATAAACGCGGACAGGACAAGGATCATGAGCGTGATGTTGGAGAGGTGGTCCAGCTTCGCGAAATGGTGCTCGACCCAGCCTCTAAACAGCGGCGCGAAGACCCATTTTGCGAGGACCGGCGTGAGGAGCGCCATCGCCGCAGAAGCGACGATGGGTCGGCCGATGAGCCAGCCGAGATTTGGCGCAGGGCTAGAGGAGAGCGTGCCGAGCTGGTGGATGACGCTGCTCATGACCAGCCCGGAGACGTCGTCCATAACAGCCGCGCTGATAAGTACGGCGCCGACGCGGGTTTGCGACAGGTCCACGGACTTCGAGGCCCCGGCTATCACGGCGAAGGTGGTACCCAGGGAGGTTGCGCTGAGGGCGGCGGCGATGATGAAGGTTTCGACTGCGCCGTAGCCGAAGCCTAGGTACAGGAGGAGGTAGCTGAAGCCGATAGGGCAGAGGACGCCGGTTGCAGCAGCGATGAGACTGAGTCCGAAGTTCGCCTTCAGGAGGTCCAGCCGCGTTGACAGGCCGCCCTCGAAGATGATCAGGATGAGCCCGATGTAGCCCAGGTACAGGAATGTCTCTTGCCAGTCATGGTGCAGGATGTTGGCTAAAGGCTGGCCGTAGATGATACCGACTGCAATGGGCCCTATGATTCCCGCGCGGATTATCTTGTTGGAGGCATACTCGGAGATCCAGAGGAAGGTAAAGAAGGAGACTAGGATGAGGATGTCGATGACTAGAGTTCTATATGAGTCAATCACGAAAGTGTCAAGAATCGGGTGGGTGACATACTTCCAGGTTCGTGGTACTGGAGGAAGGGCGCGACCATGATTGTGTGCGTGCCTTGGCTATGCAGCGCAAGTTCTCCACACTGGTGGTTGCTTGAAGCTTTTCTTGGGGGTTTGCATGTGGCGCCGAGAGTTTATAGGAAGCGCGGATACAAGAGCTATGATGACGTAGTATTAGAGATAGACTGGTTTACGGCGTCTGGGGAAAGGCCAAGGACTGGCGTGGTGAGGTTTTCATGGTCCAAGGCTTGGAGGGTCCAGCAGGGCCCATATGGGCCTTGGCTTGTATTCATCGCGGTATCAGTACTCGGGTAGATGCCAATTGTTTCGCATATCGGCAAGGTCGTGCGCATATTTCATAGAGTCAGTGCCCGTTAAGATGGAAGTACCGATGAGTGTACGTTGGAGATACATTCGCTGCATGCGGGCGATGGGCCGACGCTAGGGATGCTGAGATCTATGGTACGTAGAGTGGGTCTTCCACACTTATTTTCCGTCAAAACTCCTTCGTCAAGCCGCACATTACCTATCCATCTTGCAACATCATATTGAAGCCATCGATTTGAACTCGCAGTGGTGCATTCGATGTTCTCGCTGGACGCACTCCAGGAAGGGGAGCTGTTCCAGCCAGAAAGCTATAACCACGTCCCACAACTGGGGTGGAAAACGCTAAAGGCCATTCAACTCACTGCGCATTCATCTGGATGACTAGTACATCCTGTAGGCTCAGTTTTCCTCGCCTAGGAGATGAAATAGTATTCTTTACTTGCTCATCAAAAGGCAAACCGTCAGCTCAAATCGCTTCGGCCGCTGTACCATGCGAATGCTAGGAACTCTATCACTCGGGAAGTAATGAAACCAAGTCCTGTTCACAAGATGTTCAGGCCACTCGACAATCGAACATTCGACCAGTAATGATGCGTAGCGACATACGATGTACGAGTGTGCCACGAACAAAGGAGCGCGGGTAGAACAATACTAAGGTCACGACGGCGAGACCACGAGCTTTCCGAAAATATAGAGCCAGCCACGCAAGTCTGCAGGCGAGCCTTTGAAGTATTCGCCGTTTCTTCTTTCTGCCTCTACAAGCTGTTCTGCTAATCCCCTTCGCATCTGCTCTAATTGTAGCATCAGACTGTCGTTCGCAGTCTACGCAATGGCCGAGAAATCCGTCGCAATCGTAGGCGCAGGGCCTGCCGGCCTCATAGCGGCGCGTAAGCTACAGGCACTCACGCCCTTCAAGTTCACTATCTTCGAGAAGTCGACTCGCGTCGGTGGGCTTTGGGACCGCGAGAGCTTCATTCATCCTAAGATGATGACCAACTTCTGTCGGTTCACTGCCACGTTCTCCGACTTTGCCTGGGAGAGTGTGGATCTTGGACGGCCTGCTCCCGTATATCCACAGGCGTGGATGGTGGAAAAGTATCTGCAGGGATATGGGAGGCTCATTCCGGACGAGTGCTACGAGTTCCAGACGTGTGTCACTAGGACTGAGCGGGAGGGTGAGGGTTGGAAGATTAGTTCGACGAAGGATGGGGTGGAGAAGACGCGGTACTTTGACTACTTGGTCGTCGCGACGGGGTACCTACAGCATCCTAAGGAGCTTAGGTGCGAGATCGAGCCGTCTATCAAGACGAACCCGCTTTTCCCGGTGCCAATCCTCCACAGCACGAAATACCGCACGCTTGAACAAATCGTTCCGTTTAACGAAAGCTCCAACGACGTCCAGCGCACTGTGCTCGTCATAGGGGGCTCACATTCTGGCGCCGATATAGCATCGCTCATCGCACACCAAGCCTCGGATGCTCGATGGGGCCCCAACGGGAACCAAGCCTTTCGCGGCGTCAAGGTCATTCACGTTGGGATGAACGTTCTGCTCCCCATTCCCGGCATGGTGTGGAATAAAGCAGCAACGCACGTCTCTATGCATCCGCTCGAGTTCACGTTATGCGAGCGATCGACCCGTGAGGCTGAACCCCTCACCTTCGCCTTCACTCCAGCCAGTATCCAAGAGAATCAGGTGCTCCTCTTTTACTACAAGGAGATCATCGAAGGCGGTGTCGGAGATCTCGACTTCATGGAGAAACTGCCTGCCAACGTAGCACTAGGCGACCGCTACTACCAATGTATACAAGACGGACGCATCCAACTCATTCGGGGAGTCGTCAAGGGGCTTGAGAAAGGGCAGAATTCCGAAACCATCACTGCCAGGGTAAACGGAAAAGATGGCCAAGACGTCGTCATCCACAACATCACCGCTGTCATCAACGCAACGGGCTTCAACTCCGGAGGCGGCCTCAGTTTCCTTGCCGACGACGTCAAAGAGCAGCTCGAGTTTGACCCTGCGAACACGCGCCTCCCCGCGGTGCTGAACGCCAGCTACATGGCGCAGAACTCCAATGTGCGCGAAATTGCTCTTCTCGGCTTCGTCCCCGTCAACTGGGGCATCATCGAGATGCAGATGCGCGCAGTCGTGAACCGCTGGACCGGGCGCCCCTTCGACGAAGACGCCGAGCACATCGCCGCTCTCGGCGACCACATGCGGTACATCCAAGCCGCCATCCGCGACGAGAAGCGGAAGGAAGAGGTCCCGCAGTTCTTGTTCGGTGACTACCTGGGGCTCATGGAGCAGGCTGCGAGAGAGCTGCGCATGGAGCAGATCTACGGAAAGAACGGCGACTTCAATGGGTTATTCTGCTCCTCGCGCTTCGTCGGGCCCGGCGAGTCGAAGAGCGAGGCGCTCAAGACCATGTACGCGATACACCATCTGCAAGAGGACATCGACCGACGCAATCCTCTCCTGGCGTATGTGGCCTTTACGGGCCTTCTGGGTCGGTGGAGGAGCAAGTCGCCCGCAGACACTGCAGACACGTGCGCGGAGGCTGTATACGAGGTGGAGGCTCATCCTCGATATCCCACTGCGCCAGGGTACGACCTGGAACATGTCATAGTGCTAAAGGATGGTGACGGGAAAGAAAAATCCAGACTGGTCGCACGCTACACTGAAGTCACGTACGAGATTAGTCTTTGGGCGGTGGACACAAGCAAGGGCCCCTGTGAGACCGGGCCGTTGCTCTTCAAGGTTCCTATCGATCGCGACTCCAATGGCGAAGTGACGGCCCCTTTCGGCACTATAAGTTACCATGTAGACTTCAGGGGGAGTAGGCTTGATGGGTTCCGTGTGACGGTGGAGAAAGGATTGGCTATTGAGCAGACATTTGTCTTTGAGAGGCTGTGTGAGCAGGTCATCGCGGATGCTGCTCTCGTGGGACTGAAAGGAGAGGACTCTTCTGTGGCGGAAAAGCTCGGCGTGCAGGCGGATGAGAATGGGGTTGTGAACGATGCACTCCCAACTGCGCCTTAGGCAAGTTTCGCGCTGGCTCAAAGGTAATTGCTGAAGGATAGAGGCTTGCTTGGGGCGCGCAGGGATGCAGTCCAGCAGTGTATAATTGATCTCTTCCGTTTCACTACCTCTTTAAGTTACCGCTTTCATACGGATCGTCTTGCCAGCTATACCGGCCCGGAAGACTGGCGATACAGATCACTTTGAATCTGGGTGTGAACGGCTCGTATACCTTTTTACCTTTGTCAAACAACCACATCCTCCCCGCCGCCCAACCCCTCTCCTCGCCCCGTCCACCGTTTCAGGGTGACATGGTTAGTGACATGGTTGGTGCCGTGCACACGGCTACGTCCCTCGAGTTCATCGTGCCTCTAGCTTTTTAATCCACACAGCTCCGCTCCCCAAGTGGTATGGTTACATCAGGGCGAATGAGTCATGTCGTAACGAAGGGATACGCGTGGGCAGGTAGTCTAGTCCCGGATACCTCTCCCCCTCTGGAAATTTCCCCCTCCTCCTATTTTCCACAAGAAGGTATATTTTGGAAGCAGGCGGGAGTGTGCCCCGTGTTCGGTGTTCGGTTTCGTCACGGACGGGGTACGCGTCTTTTTCATTCCTTTGCGGAGGATAGTTAGTCTCCTTCCCGTGGCTGCATGGCGGATACAGCGCCCCGGAAAAACTACGGTTGTGGGAACAGCAGATGGCGTAATGATGCAATTGGCTGGTTCCATGTATGATCCCGCAAAGCAGATACCGCCCGTGAGAAATCCAGGGTATCTATCATACATACAGTCCCAATACCGATCCGATGCTCCGTCAACGCCAGCCAGACATGCATGCAGCCATATCCCTACCATCCTAGCCCTGCTCAAGTCAATAATACAACAATTAGGAATACAGTCTCTTGCTAGACAGCAAGCAAGCAAGCCCCGCCCACCACCTTACCACGCGTACCCCTCCTCGACCTCGTCCCGATCCTCATCCCATTCCTCATCCCCACTACGCTCCTCGTCTAGGAAATCCGCCTCGTCAAACATTTCTTCGCGGGGCCGCAAGTTGTCAATCCGGCACATAACCGTGTGACAGCGGCCCTGCACGACGGTGGGCTCTTGGTCGTCGAGCTCCGTGTCCTCGGTGTGCTCATCCGCATCTACTTCCTCGTTTTGGTTCTCATTGTCAGATGTCTCGTCGTAGTTGGTCGACGCTTTGGCGCGAGAGCGGAGGCGCTTGGGGTTCCAGGCCTCGTTTCTATTGCTGCGCCTAGACAGGAGCGGGACGTCGCTATCGCTTTCACTCTCGGCAGGGTCGTCAGCGCCATCTTCCACTTTCGGTGGGGCATCCTTTTGGACGTCCTCGGCGGTGATGTCCAGGAGGGAGTCGTTCCTATCGCCGCCCTCGTGCTCAGCTGCTTTCCACTCCCTATACGCTCGCAGCGACGCAAGATGCGGACTAGGCGCCTTCCCGCGCCACGCAAATACTTTCTCGAAACGCGCGGCCCACTTGCGGCGGAAATCTGCGCGGTCCCGCCAATTCATGTCGACCATGGCGAGGATGCGCAACTCCCGCAGATAGGGCAGCTCAGCCGCGGAGTCAATCAAACTTGTAAAGAAGTTTGTGGCAGAGTCTGCGCCCCATTTTCGGAGGTGCTGCATGTCAATTACGCGGAGCGTAGACGGCCAGGTGGGGACTTCGTCGAGGCCGAGGAGCCAGTCGTAGAGCGGCTCATTGTCGGAGGACATGGCGAGGGTAGAGTAGTAGTTTAGGTCCATCTTAAGGACTTCGAGGCGAGGGCAGTCGTGTTTGAGTGAGGTGAGGAAGGAGAGGTCGAGGGATTGGTTGTGATTGAGGACGAGCTCTTCTAGGTGGCGCCCGTGGTCTGAGAGGAAGGCGTGCATGGAGTCAGAGGTGAGGTAGATGCAGTTTGTGATGCTGAGGCTAAGTAGGGCCGGCGGCAACATGGACAGAAGCTTCCCGTTGACCGCGGTGCAGGACTCAAAGGCCAGTGACTGCAGGTTCGGAAGGGATGCCACGGCGGAAGCGAGGAGTTCCTCCGTTGTGGGGTCGGTAGAGTCATCCTTGCGCTTTTCATCGAAGTTGAACTTGACGAAAGTGACATCGCGGAGGCTCTGGAAGGCTTGGTCCGCATGGATGCCCTTTATCCACACAAGACCTTCGGCGCAGTAGGCACTATGCCAGCGCCAGCTCTGCAAGCGCAGCTCGCTCTGCCGCAGAGTCTCAAAAAGTTCGGGGGGATAAGTCCAGCGGCGCGTACGCTTCAGTCCCTCTCGGTACGGCGGGCGGTCTAGCGGGTCGAAGATGTCTATCTCCTTCAGCGTGGTCAGCGACGATACTAGGGCCGACAGGTCGGCCACACTGCTGGTGGAGTCGGTCAAGGCAGACATCTGCGTGGCGTCGAGCTCGAGACGCTTGACCATGACCTTGTACTCCTGACGAGCGTCTGCTGGCGGGGATGTCAGATGGTGGACCAGCTTCCTCCGATTCTGCCGGATTGCGAAGATGGGCGGGTTCCGATACAGCGCCGTCAAAGCTGGCTTCGTGAAGGCTTGACACATTTGCGCCATCTTGATGAGCCAAGCGATCGAAGGCGTGGCATGCATGTTCTCGTCGCGCAACGGATGGGAGGCATAGACGAAGATCTGGAGCAGGACGTGGTATGGCAGTGACGACATGTCTGGCTTGTGCCCATCGGTGGGAATGTGTACGATGGCCGGCTGGGGTGCTGTCGAGTGTTAGGATCCTCGTCAGAACGATCAAGGTTGTACCTACCCTTCTTCTCCTTCAACGGGGCACCAAGGGCACGCCTCCTCGGACCCAGCGTCTTGCCCGAGCCATTCTCAGCGTGCTTGCGAGGAGCAGAGCGCCGCGAAGTCGATTTCGACGGCGGCTTCCTCTGGACAACAAGGTCCTCGGGCTCGTAGTCGGCTTCACCGTCCTCTTCACTCTCTTCGTCGGTGGTCTCCTCCCGGTATGATGTTTTCTGGCTCCCGTTCCGCCCATGTGTGCGCGGGGCTGCTGAGCGAGCTCGTGTGGGAGAGGCAGCGTGAGTGCGCGGGGGTTGACTCGTCGAGGGTTCCGCTTCGGGCTCGACTCGATGCGACGACTGGTGGCGAGTGGACCGTCGCGTAGGTCGCTTTCTTCGTGAGGGACTGTCGCTCTCGGAGCTTGAGAAGTCGTCGTCGCTGCTTGGCTCTCGGTATGAGACATGCGCCCGCTTGCGTTTGCGTGAAGGGTCGGCCGCCATGTTGTCCGGCGCAATCTAGGTGCAGTGGATGGCAGGGAACATCGAGGGTGGCCTTGATGGGCAGTCAGTCGGGGCCGCAGAGGCTACGCGCGGGTGCTAGAGCTAGTCGCGAAGCATCAAAAAAGAACGGCCAGGGTCCATAGAGAGACGACGCTGCGTTCTGGGGGTTGACGTAGAAGATTCAACGCGGGCGACGGTGAAGTCGCGCGCCCATGGTGACGCACTCGGGAGCCTCGGTCCCGAACATCTGCCGGTTCACTCTCACGCCGTGGTCACTGCAGCGCGCTGAGCACTGCATGTCTGCATGAGCAGAGCTGTCCAAAGACGCATTCCATGGCCACGAGGAATGTCACGGTGGCAAATTGCACGCGCTGGTTCCATTCAGCTCCCATGGCGACCTGAGACGCCGCCGCGCCACGACTGCGCCACAGGTGTGACGGGACGCTCAAGGTCGCCTTCAGCAAGCCAGGGCATCGCCCACTCAGTCAGCGGCCCATCCACATTATAAGCGCTCACCGCGGCTCTGCTACCTTGCACCCTCCTTTCGCTCCCGGCGCTCTTCACTTCCGGCACCCTCCACGAACCGCACGCTCGATTGTCTCCTGCACTCCCTCCCAGACGCCAATGTCTGCGCCCACGCCTCCCCGGCCGCCCGTGTCGCCCGACTCTGGCCCAACCGACGCCGCCCTCCCCAAGCTGCCCTCAGGCTGGATCGCTCAATGGGACAACACGTGAGTTCTCCTCTGGCACCGCGCGTCCGGGGCATTCATGGCTGCCCCACCATGCCCGCCGTACCCCGCCATCGCACCAGGTCTGACACCCGTACACAGATCGCGAAAGTATTACTGTGCGTAAATCCTCCCCTCCGCGTCCATCGCAGCCAGGCGGCGTGCCCAGCAGCACTGACACACCCCAGACGTGCAGATCAGCACCGGTGTCTCGCAATGGGACCTCCCAACTAGCGAAGCCCCTATCGGCGGCTCCAACCACGGCACCCCCGCGCAGAACACAAACCCGTACAACAGGCCCGCCGACGGCACCCAGGGCCCGGATGTCGGCGACGGCACAAGAGGCGTGGACGGCCCGACTGGCGACCGCGCTGGCGGCCTCGGGGTGCGTCTTCCTGTGCGCTGTTTCAAGGCGTGTGGCTAACACGCGCAGGGCTTCGCCATGAACGCGCTGATGGGCGGCAACAAGCAGAACAGCGGCCATGGAGGCGGGTCGAACAACCTCGTTGGCCAGCTCGCAAGCGGCCTGCTAGGCGGCGGAAAGCAGTCGCACGGGGGCAGCAGCAGCGGGCACGGCGGCGGATCAAGTGGCCTCGTCGGCCAGCTGGCGAGCGGTCTGCTTGGTGGAGGAAAGCAGAACCATGGCAACAGTCAATCTGGACAGTCCGGCCATTCGAGCTCGAGCGGCGGCGGCCTTGGTGGTCTGCTCGGCGGCGTGCTGGGCGGCGGTTCGGTAAGTCCAAAACACTCCGTGTTGTGCTGCGGGAGACTGTCTGACGCAAACCCAGCACAACAAGCCCTCCGACAGCGGCTACGGCTACAGCCACAACGCCTCCTCGGGCAACACCTACGCCGGCAGCGCCCCGCCGACGTCCTACCAGCCCGGCGGCTCGCACGCCTCGACGCCCGCCCACAACGCGCACGCCTCCCCGCCCCCGGGCCAGTACGGAGCGCACGACCAGCACCAACAGCCCGGCGGCTACGGCCAGCACCAGTCCTCCGGCTACGGTGGCCAACAACACCAGTCCGCATATCCGCCCTCCAGCCAGTCCTACGGCTCCCCCGGTCCAAACCAGCACCAGCAGTCGTCCTACGGCGGGTACGGCGGCGCACCTCCGGGCCAGCAGCACGGCGCGCCTCCGTACGGCCAGCAGGCGGGGTATGGCGGGACCGTGTATCCCCCGCAGCAGCACGGCGCGCCGCAGGGCCAATACGGGCACAACGCGCCGTATGGCGGGCCGCAGAATTACGACCAGCATCAGCATAATCAGTACGGGGGTGCGCCGCAGCAGTACCCGCCACCGCCGCAGCATGGGTATGGCGGGCAGGGTGGACATCAGCCGCCTGCGCCCGGGTGGTAGGTGTAAGGCTGTTTGCTACGTGATGTGAGAACAGGATGGTGGACGGTTCTAGGACAAAATGGGGATATCCTGATCATGATGTTTATGGGCTTGATAGTAGAATACATGCATGCTGAGCTCGCGTGTCTGTCGGATATGACATGCCTGGTTTTCCGAAACGCTCGGACGGTAGATAAGAACACTTCTCTTTTGTGCACCATGATGCTGTGCTGGCGCCAGCAGTCCGAAGGTCCCTGTAAACCGGTCGAGCTGCCGTCATGCCTGTTGGGGTGCCTCTGTGTGGCATTTGGAGACGGTGTTGGGAGATGCGTCCAGAAGTGAATGCGTTTGCTGCATGTAGTCGCGCACGTGGGGTGTCGCGTCTTGATGCCGTTAAGCCAGTCCGTTCCGCGGATGCAGCACCGCCTCGCCGCCCGTCCGCCAACGTACATCCCCTCACTCTCCCCATGCCGCACCACACAATCCCCCGCTCCAAGCCTCCCACCCAGCGCCGCATGCCCCTGAAAGCCGAATCCACGTACGTGTCCATCTGCCTCACCCAAAAAGCTCACTCCCGTCTCCCAGGCCCAGCCGGCCCCCCTTCCCAACAACCCTCCAGCTCACCTTCACCCTCCCCTCCTCCCCCAGCCCCGGCACCAATCCCCCCTCGACACTCCCGACCCACCCCGCCATCCCCGCCTGCAACGCCCTCGCGTCCAGCCCGTGCACTCTGACCCACACATCCCGGCCCTCGCTCTTCAGGACGTCGATTGGCATCCCCGCGCCCGTGAGTCCGAGGTACGCTTGTAGTGGAGGCGTGAGGAGGCTTCGTATGGTGAGGGGGTCGAGATCCTTGGGTCCTGCTGAGGCCGGGTTTGCGGGATTTGTCGGAGGAGGGATGGTGGTGAGGCGGAGATGGAAGTAGGTGTGCTGGGTGCGGATCGTAGAGGTGTGTAGCGTGCCTGGGGAGGCGGTCTTGCGCTTTTTGCTTGGAGGGAGTTGGGAGGTGTCTGGTGCTGTGGATGGGGGTGGTTGTGTAGCTGCAGCTGTGGAGAGCGGGAGGGGCGCCATGGTGGATGTCTGTCCCTTTTTCAAATTGGAAAAGGAGTGTGGGGTGCGAGAGCCCGTGCCGGGTAGGCTACGTGAGGCGAAATGCAATGTTTGACGGAAGTGTTGTTGAGGAGTGGTGACTACGCCGGCTAGTGGGAAGCTGTAGAGCGGGTACTTGCGCTTCGTGTGCGCTTCCAGGAGGTGGCAGAGTGTTGATGGTAGCTTATCAAAGTGTCTGGTTTTGTGTGTAGAGTAATTGGTGAAGCTCGACGCGGATGTTGGTCGGGAGGAACAGATTATAGTGGGGCGAGGATCCGCCCCGCAGACGGTGCACCTTGGCGGCCGTGACGCGACTGCTTATTTTGACGACGCGGATACTGTTTTATAAGACAACACAGCTTGCACATTCATCTCACACCACTGCGAACCAGGCGTCCGTTTGAATTGGACAACTCTTCACGGCGTTGAATACACATTTGAAACATGTAAAGAGATTTTTGCTAGCAGATGTGAACCTCGAAAATGTGCACGTAACACGACCACGCAAGACGGCCGCTCGAGAGGGAGCAGAAAGACTCCTGCCTAACAAGCCATATGTACATCGTTGATAAGTCGTCGGCATCCGTCATCCTAATGCTGGCATCTCACGCTACCAATCGATCATTACTGGGACGCCAATCGTGGTGAAGCGACCAGAACGCTAGAATAAGATCATCGCTCCTGCCGTCGTGACTCGATAATGGAGACACAAAAGTCTTAACAAGTGAGATAAGTCAGGTCGGCCGAAGTGAGGGGTATCAATGTTTGCCGAGAGATCAGGTGATGCTTTTGCACGCCCGTGGGGAATTCCATATACGCCGTAAGAATCAGTCCGACAAAGGAAAAGAGGTCGCGTAATGCATGACTAGGTAGGTCGACAGGCCGAAGGAGCACGAGCGCTGTCTTAGGGCCAGGGCTTAGGAGGCTTCTCCAACGGGTACTGGAAGTCGAAGACCTCTTTCGGGAGGCCGCCGCCTCTAAGGTTCTTGTTTATCATGCGGGTGAACGTCTGGAGGTCGTAGCAAGTGATTAGAAGTACTGCGACTTTGCTACTAATGGTGTCTACGCGGCAAGATATGGTTAGCATGGCTCTTCTCACCACGGAGGACCATGATACGTACTGATGAGTTCCTGGTGCGTCTCCTGGACTCGTCCTTGCTGCTCGATGGCGGACTTCACATCATCTGCACGAAAACTGATCAGCATGTGTATGTTTGGAGTATGGAATGAAATACTCACCCATGGACTCCTGGTGAGTTTCCAGAGTCTGCCCTTGCTCCCCGGTCGTAGACTCGACTGTCAGCATGCGTCTGGCCAAGCTTGCACTCTGATCGTGCAGTGTAAGGACCGAATTGGCTAAGAGCTCCCTCGCCTTGTCGACTTCGCCCAGTTTAGTCTTCCAGTCGTCAATCTTAGATTCCACGTTGTCAACCACAGCCTTGAAGCTGTCGGCCTTGCGGTTCACGTTGCCACATTGCTCTTCCAAACGATCCACTCTGGAACAATAAGTGCCAAAGGTATTTTGGGCAGAGGTTAGACCATCGGTTAGCTCCTTTCGATCAGCAGCCAACGCGGCTTGGACAGCTTTGAGTTCAGTGACCCGCGTTTGAGCTTCAGAATCAATCCTGTTCCGAAGGCTGTTGAGCTCTTCCGGCGTGGCTGGATTTCCTGACGTGCTCCTCTCACGGAGGAGCTGTTGAATAGCATCATAATCGCGTGCGAGGCTGGCCAGTCTTTGGGCAGAATCGGGATTCGTTGCCAGTAAGGTTATAGTGTTAGCGATGCTATCAATTCTTCTCAATTGCGCTTTAACTTGATCCAACTCTCCAAGAAAATTCGGCGCATGTGGATAGTATTGCTGAAACCATTGCAACATGCTCTGGTGCAGGTAGTCGGTCGTGATATTGTCGCACCGGGAAGTCAAACTTTTTAACATGAGGTCCAGTTGCTCGAGCCGGTGCTCCACCGCCGAGTTTTCGGCACGCGTATCTTCACGCACGCTTATCGTAGACTCGTTGTCCCTTGAAAGTGAGGAAAGAGACACAATAGCTGATCCGGTGCGATCAGCGCTGGAAGAGGGCTGCTCGTGGAGGGATTTGACGTCGTCTTGGACCGCCTCTACAGTCTTCTCTAGAGCACTAATTTGAGACGATAACGTGTCCATGCCATCGCAAATTTCTGTTTCAGTGAACTGGACGGCATTTGCAGCTTCTTTCAGAGCATTCTTTGCTGTCTCTTCCACCTTCAGAAGACGGCCCTCAAACTCTTCAAGCATCTCCTTTGTCGCGAATTGCTGATTTGCAGAGGGACCAGAGGCAGTTCGTAATCGATTCAAATCCTTTCGTAAACGCTCAATGTCATGAGAGTTTTCGGACGTTACCCGCTCGAAGTTGATTTCTATGTTAGAAAGGGCGGACGATGTATCCAGGTCCGCGATTTCTGAACGTAACCCTTCCACTGCAGCCGCATTCAATGCTATGTCCTTTCTTAATTGCTCCATCGAAGCATAAGTGGACGAGCCCAACTCCTCCAAGGTGGATTCGCTCTGTTCCACCTCTTGACGAATTTTGGCCATGTCTTCCCCTATATCCCGCTTGATGATATATGTAGATTTGACAATGTCTCCCTCCAATGCGCTCTTTATGGGATTGATATGTAAGGGCACTTGCTGTTCGACGCGCTTATCTACATATGACTTTATTGGCCCAGAAACGTCCAGTTGCTTCTTTAACGATCTGTAGCAAGTCAGTTTATGTATACTGAGTAAACAGAAAGGACTTACTGGTACTGGCTTACGGTCGGTCTGTTCAACAGGTCGCCTTCAATCTTCTGGAACTGCTTCGTACTGCTCTCCTTCTGGGCGTCTAAGCCTGATTCAAGTTCGGAAACTCTCCGGACTAGATTGGACTCCTGCAAAGCTTTCAGATCCTCCTTAAGTGCCTTTATGCTTGCTATAGACTCTCCTCGGACACCTTTCGTCGCGGCCTTCATGCTATTTTCAAGTGTTTTGAGACGATCGTCATTGCTTCCTTCCATGATCTTCACCTCGTCCTTAAGGTGGTCAAGATCAGTTTCAAATACCTGTGTCATAGTACTTTGCTCCTGTATAACCTTGTTGAGACGATCTTTGCTTTTGTCAAGATCAAAGGCATCAAGACGAGCCATGATGGACGTATTATTAGTACCCAATTTATCGAGCTGAGACTTGATAGGTTGGATCTCTTGATCAATCCGATCGATCCGCTCCCAGGGAATTCCTTCGTTTTTGGGGATTGCAGCGAATTTCTTCTCCAGCTCAGCAATCCTATCACCATGAGCCTTGATATCCGACTGGACCGATTTCTTCACACGTGTTTCCATTTGAGATTGAATCTGGGCGGGATCCTGCTGCGCTACCGGCTTGGCGCGGGCGTTGGACTTAGATTGAGCCTCCAATATCTTCATGTTTGTGACAAGTTCATTCACCTGCTTCAACAGACTCGCATCAGCTGGCGCGTTCTGCGTGGCGTTGTGCTTCTCCTCAAGCTCCTTAAGACGCTGTTCAATTTCCAGCCTCTTTTTCTTCTCGGTCTCCAGTTCTACTTCCAGCTGGCTTAGCTTCGCTTTCAGACGTGGATCCGATTCTGCCTGTTCTTGCTGCGGAGTAGCTTTTCCTTGCTTCTGTTCCAGGTGGCTTAGTCGTGCTCTTAGATCCTTTTCCGCTTGCTCACGCTGCGCTGTGTCTTTCCTCTGCTCGAATTGTACTGCATCTATCTGTTCAGTTGCATTTTTCATCAACTTCTGTAGGTCGATCTGTTTGGCCTGAATGGAGGCCAGTGCCACATTCTCCGAACCAACGGCAGGCGCGATCTGTTTCTTCAGAACAGTCTGCCGGATAGAGGCTACTCCGCGCCCGCCTCCGATCGCGGGAACCCGCTTTTGCGACACCATCGATGGAGCAGGTGCTCCACTTACTGGAGTCGTGCTACCGCTACCTTGACCAGAATCTCCATTAGCCATTGAGAGCGGTGACGCGGCATGTATAGAGCTCGCTGAGCCTGCGTGGCCTGTCCCATGCCTGCGAGGATCTCGCGAGGCGTCCACAATAGACATATCCGATGGTCGCCGCACTGGAGACGGCCCCACAGTCGCAACTATGGAGTTTTGTCTCGAGGTGGCAGGACTGGCAGCGTTCGACTGCGCACTACTCGTTAGAACCCAAATCTGATGTTCTGGTACATCAATTCATACCCTGCTTGGCTCTGCTGTTCCATCAGTACGCGCCCGCTTTCCAGCGTTCAAGATGGGTGAATCTGCGGTTCGTTTGACGCGATATGAATCCCTTGCTTCAGCAGCAGATGGAGGATAACGGGGCTTGTCTCCGGGGCCAACGCTTTGACTAATTAGTGGGATGAAGTAGGTTTTCAGCAGCCAGTGAATGTGATGAATTCATGTCTGCCTCTCTCACTAATCAACAGCTTTGCACTACGGTCGATTTGATTTCCGGCATGGTGTCGAAGAAAGTCTGTGATCCGACTGACGCTGTTTCGCGTGGCGCACAGTCGGCTAGAAAGATGGGTTTCTGTATATAAACAGGGAAACATACCTAGAGCTGGGACTTGCAGAAATACAGCGGTTGGGACCACCGTTGCTATTGCTCGTAACGGACATGTCGAGGTGCAGCAGTGGGTACGGCGTACGCGTGTGCTCGTGGCCAGCCATGCCGGCTGAAGTTCAGATGTGAGAGACAACACGTCTGCTGCTTCAGTGCGCTCTGCTCAGCGCACAAGGCGGGAGCAGGGCGATGATTGACAGATCCAGAAGCCGTGCGCAGCGTATTGCGGCAAGAACAACTGAGGGGCCGTTGCTTTTATACTGCCCAAGTCGCGTCCGCGCTACTGCATCACGACAGCCATGATAGGTTTAGACTGTGGATTGGAGTCCCGTAATAGGCTTAGTTGGGTGGGGCGTAGCATGGTCCGTGCAGCAAGCTCCATCGCGAAGTTTCGCTGTGAGCTCTCGCCTGGTCAATTGTCGCGTCTTGAAGCTCATCCAACCGCATTGCGCCGCTCCGTCATCCCACAGCTACCATGGCGCTCGTGAGTAACGCGCTCATCGTCACGTCGACAATCGCTGACCATGACAGCCCATCACCACCATCGCCGAGAGCAAGGAGCTCCGGGGGCTGAACCTCATCGCGGCCCACTCCCACATCCGCGGCCTTGGGGTTGAGCCTGACACGCTCGAGCCGAAATCGTCGTCGCAGGGACTCGTTGGACAGGAGAAGGCGCGTAAGGCTGCGGCTGTGATACTGCAGATGGCAAAGGATGGCAAGATCGCGGGACGCGCAGTGCTCATTGCGGGACCGCCCAGCACAGGAAAGACGGCAATCGCGATGGGCATGTCCCAATCGCTAGGCGCCGACGTGCCTTTCACTATGCTCGCCTCATCGGAGATATTCTCATTGGAAATGTCCAAGACTGAGGCGCTCACGCAGGCATTCCGCAAGTCAATAGGCGTGCGCATAACTGAGGAGAGCGAGGTCATCGAGGGAGAAGTAGTGGAGATCCAGATTGACCGCAGTGTCACGGGAGGCAACAAGCAGGGTAAGCTCACTATCAAGACGACAGACATGGAGACCATCTACGACATGGGCACGAAGATGATTGATGCGATGACCAAGGAGAAGGTCATGGCAGGCGATATCATCTCCATCGACAAGGCATCGGGGAAGATCACAAAGTTGGGGCGATCATACACACGCTCGCGAGACTACGACGCGATGGGCATAGATACCAAATTCGTGCAGTGTCCCGAGGGCGAGCTACAACAACGGAGGGAAGTGGTCCACACTGTCAGTCTGCACGAGATCGATGTGATAAACTCACGGACCCAAGGATTTCTCGCGTTGTTCTCGGGTGACACGGGCGAGATCCGCAGCGAAGTGCGAGATCAAATCAACACCAAAGTCGCAGAGTGGAAAGAGGAAGGCAAGGCTGAGATCGTGCCAGGAGTACTGTTCATTGACGAGGTGCACATGCTGGACATTGAATGCTTCTCCTTTATCAACCGTGCGCTCGAGGACGAGCTTGCACCCATCGTCATCATGGCAAGCAACAGAGGCAACACGCAGATTAGGGGAACAGACTACCGGTCGCCGCATGGTCTGCCTCTAGATTTTCTCGATCGCGTTGTCATCGTCAGTACACACCCGTACAACCGCGAGGAGATGCAACAGATCCTTTCCATACGAGCACAGGAGGAGGAAGTAGACGTCTCACCGGACGCTCTTGCGCTTCTCACTAAGATCGGTCAAGAGACCGGCTTGCGATACGCAAGTAACTTGATCACAACTTCGGACCTCATCCGCACCAAGCGACAAGGATCCGAGGTCACCGTCGACGACGTGCAGCGCAGCTTCGCGCTCTTCTACGACCCAACGAGGAGTGTCAAGGTAAGTACGTTCCTCCGAGTTTGCATTACAGTGCTAACACCATGTGCAGTACGTAGCAGAGTCAGAAAAGCGCCTGATTGGGGACGCTGGTGCGGTGTCTCTCTCCGTGACGAACGGCGCGGGCGCAGACGCGATGGATGTCTCATAGCATCCCTCTTCTTCATTTCACTGTAGGCGTAGCAGGCATTTGGGTTGCGTGAGCGTTCAAGGATAGACATTGAGCCTTGGCAAAAGTCGCTGTATGGTATGTACTAGTAGCGGGCGACGGGGCTGTAGGGCAGGGACAGGGTAGGTTCGATATCATCAATACTGGTCGAGAGTCTGTTTCAAAGCGCATATGCTTAAAAGGTGAAGCGTACTTTTGTTTTGCAGTAATGAATCATCACGATTCGTCAGTTCGACCAGTAGGATCAGTACAGACTACGGTTCATATTGTTGTACGAAGGTACGACCGCTTATCTAAGTTATCTCTCTGCGATCGCGATCGGCGGAGCCATCAACAGACATGGGCGTGGCATTGTACAGTTCGGTTGACGTCGCATTACGCCCACACGCCCTCGGAAAGGCAGCTGTCTTACAGGCAGGACGACGCGGCACGGCTCGGCAGTCGGTGTGAATGAACGGTTTCGAGGACAGTGTTGGAGGCACGCCACAGTGGCAGGATGTGTGGCACAGCTCCCTCGGCGTGATGCCGACAATCCGAAGCCCTGTCAAATGCTATTTCCGGCGATCCCAATGCGTGTGTTGTTTGACAGGTTCCCGCAATACGAACGGCGGGGGACGGTGGGAAATGCAGGTCTTGGACCTTTACAGACAATAGGACGCCCGTGGTGGGTTCGCAGTGTCACGCTAGGGTGGTTCTGCTTGAACACGCTAAGTCCGTCCGCTGACGTGCGGCTGCTTCCTGGCGCTTGGCGGGAAATAAAGAGGCAGACCGGTGCGCCCGTTGCCGTTCTTTCCCCCCGCCAAGGCGCGACTGCATTGTCCGATACTTGGCAGCGACGATCGCTGGACGCGACTGGCAGGAAGGCATGCGACACACGAGACATCGAGGCTGCCTCTCGGGGGCCAAGTACGCGAGTATGGCCATCTGAACGGCAGCAGAATCGCGCATCTTCACCAGAATACGCGGCTGCAAGTGTCTACGGCACCTTGACAGGCCTCGCGAGTGGTTACGTCAGTCCCAGACGCGCAAGACCTTGGACGCGCGTATTGGCAGGGCTGGTCTCCCAGGACACGCACCACGACAAGCCGGCACGAACGGCTCGTCCCAGGCTTGGACAATCTCACAAATCTCCACCCGCGACGCCCAGCGTGCCCGCCGCACACGCGACCCTCTGCCGAAAATAGTCTGGCGCCTCCAAGCTCTTCAGCGCAAATGCATGGCAGAAGGGGGCCTCATCCCCTGTCCACGCGGCGGGACGACGTAGACAAGCGCCTTCTTATGTGCGAGGGCGGGCTCTGTTGCGGACTGATAAGGACCTACGTATACGTCTAATCGCCTGAGGCCTGCTACCTGTGAATACCCATCGCCGCACATTCGGCCACCGCGCCTACCATACCTTCGAGCCTATCTATACGTCACGCCCGTTTACAGGTACACGCACGCAGCCGCCTACCCTACAGGAGCGCCTGCCGAGTTAATAAACCAATCCCCGACACACCCGCCCTGTCCCACTGTATATCCTTGGAGTAGCCCGCCGCGCCACAGCCCGGATTTATGCGCCACTTCCAGACCAGTACACGATATTAATACTTCCTTCACTCGATTGCGAGTCTGCAAGATTCTCCGTTTTGGATATGAGACTTTCAGCATACATCGTCGCCATCGCCGGTGCCGCCCTGCTCGGGCAAACAATCGCCGCGCCTGTCGAGACCCGGGGGGATGTCGCACAGCATGTTGAAGCAACACGGTTAGAGAAGCGCGAGGACATGACTGATGAGCAGAGGGAGGCTTTGAAATACTTCCACGAGCCTGGGTATGCTTGCCACCACGCCAGAGGACTATGGTCGTAGCAGCTTGCGACCGCCCTCCTTGATCTATGTTTTGTGAGCGTCGACTGACAACTCTCAGGGGTGGCAATCAACTAGGGCATTACGACCGCCGCTACTTTAAGGGGATCGTGTCCGACGAAGAACGCACTGAGACGCAGTTGCACATGGTACGCGCGTACCTGGAGTGGTTCCGTGAGAAGGGCCTCGATACGTGGATAGCACACGGGACGCTGCTCGGCTGGTGGTGGAACGGAAAGGTACCTATTTTCAACTGTGACTTCCAAAATGTGACTGACCTGAACGCAGCGCCTACCCTGGGACTGGGACATGGACACCCAGGTGTCAGACTCCACCCTCACCTATCTCGGTGAACACTACAACCAGACGACGCATAAGTACCGATCCGAGGACGGCAAGACCGAGCGCGAGTATCTCATGGACGTCAATCCCATGATCGTGGAGCGAGTGCGAGGCGATGGCATGAACATAATTGATGCAAGGTGGATAGACACTAGCAATGGCTTGTTTATCGACATCACTGGACTTAGCGAGACCCACCCGGACAGTGCCCCGGGCTGGTGGAGCTGCAAGAACTACCACAAGTACCAGACTTCGGACCTCTACCCGATGCGCGAGACTATGTTCGAGGGCGTCGTAGCAAAGGTGCCGTATGCGTACGACAAGATCCTTAAGGACGAGTACCAGGAGAAGGCGCTCATTGTCACTGAGTTTGAAGGGTAAGTCATCGCGTCTCTTCTCTAGTCTGCCATGCTAATGAGTTTAGTCACAAGTGGGACACCCAACAACTGCTGTGGATCAAGACGCCAGAGCAAGCCGAAAAGGATAGGCAAGAGGAAGCTCAGCGAGCAGAAGAACGCAAGAAGCAGGAGGAGGAAGAGAAGAACAGAAAAGAAATTGAGGAGAAGCAGGTGTAGATGACGACGCACATCACGGCCTCACAGGCCAACTTTCGTACTGTTGTTTAAAGGCATGGCGTTGGGATTCGGATTGGCATTTACCTGGCGCAGGCGCATCTTCTGGAAAAGACTTCTGTTCGTTGATGCCGCGCTGCATGACTGCACATCGGATTTCAGATACGAGCATTGATACCCACATCATGTTGAAGGCTTTTTGGCTTTCGGAATATTGTTCACGTGGAACTCAGAATAGAGAGGTCATTGGATACACTCCTTCGAGATATATATATATATATATATATTAGACTTTACTCATACTAATACTGTTTGTGTGGATATCGTTGAAGTGGTTGCGAATAAGCATAAATGATTTCAAGTGAAAACCATTCGATTCGTTGTGGCGTCCGCCAGAAAATCAACTGTTGTACTTCATGACGCCACGTGCTTGGTCTTGGCGCATCTGACAAATGCACGACGGCGACATGCGTGGAAGCTATGTGAACGTCACCGAAGTCCGAGTAGAAACAGTCGCGTTCCGACGTTAATTTGATCCTCACTAACCTCTCTACTCACTACACACTCAACAGCTCATCGTGACCCCAGTAGATGCAGTTCTAGTCGCACCAATGGATACCTCCACACCCGCCGACGACATCACGCTCACGCTCACGCATCACGGCAGCCCCATAACCTTCACCTTCGCGCAAGATGCCACCGTCGCCGATCTCTCAGAACGCGTCGCCTCTGAACTTTCAATACCTGCCTTGAACCAGAAGTTCCTCGTCTCTCCCAAAACCGGCCTCCTGAAGCCGCCGTTCAAAGACGCCACACTCCCGCTATCTTCCTTGCAGGGAAAGAAGATAAACCTTATGGGAAGCACAATCGCCGAGGTCACATCCCTCAACGACTCTATATCCAAAGCCGCTGCGCCGCGCCGCCCAGGCCCAATAAAAGCCGCGACACCCGCGCGAAATCGCGACTGGAAGAAAGTGCAGGAGGAAGCGCAGTACACATTCCACACACTGCGGCCGCTGCCGTATCTCCCGAATCCAGACCGCAGTCTGCGGTTCTTGGAGCGGCTGCGGGATGACGCAGGCATCAAAGCCGCGATGCGGACGCACAAGTTCAGCGTACCGCTGTTGACGGAGATGGATCCCGCCATGCACACCACACATGAGTCGCGAACGCTGGGCTTGAACAGGAACCAGGGCGAAGTCATCGAGCTGCGGTTACGGACGGATGCGTATGATGGGTATAGGGATTACAAGACGATACGCAAGACGCTATGCCATGAGCTAGCGCATAACGTGTGGGGCCCCCACGATAGGAATTTCTGGGAGCTGTGCAAGCAGATTGAACGAGAGGTTGATCGGGACGACTGGACGAGGGGCGGGCATAGTGTCGGGAATCAGGAGTATGCGGAAGGGTATGAGGAAGAGGTGTATGATCATGGGGGGTGGACCGGCGGGGAGTTTGTGCTGGGTGGGAGTGCGGGAGGGGGTGGAGGCGAGACGGTGGTTAATAGTGCGGGAGGGACTGTGCAAGCAGGGAATCTGAGTAGGAGGGAGATATTGGCGAAGGCAGCGGAGGAGCGGATGAAGAGGGCGAGGCAGGCTGAGGAGGGGAGTAGGGGGAGTGGGGAGGCGCCTTCATGAGGAGATGTTATTTCCTGTTCTTGACCCCAGGGATGGTACGCTTACGACGATAGCATACACCACGGCGGTGATGTGTTCAGGGGTCATGGCCGAACTATAATGTAATCTAGCATCACAAGAACAAGCGTCCACGATCACTGCGTTGACGACAAGTACGATGCTAAAATCTGGCAGGTGCGACTGGCTAGCTTAAGCCTCTATGGGCAGTCCCCTTGACCTTAGCAGTCCATCAATCTGGGCCTAGATCTCACTACGACTAGACCACATTATCCCACTATCTTCTCAGGCTGCGTGGGAAAGACAGTACGCACCAATGTTTGTTTGATTGTACTGACATCGGTTTAGAGCTACGAAAATGGACATGCATTGCGCCCACCAGAACAGGCTCGTTCGGTCTTCACGAGACTGGTCAACAAAGGCTTCCACACGCCGATACCTCTCAAATTAGTGACGTCCGTCCTGGATATATTCATAGGGAACTAGCATACTCCTCGGTCGTTGTCGTTCTTTACTATGTCCTCACAAACTGTCTCTTTGAGTCCGGCTCGGCCCATCTTCGTCCACCTCGTTCATACACACAGCTGTAAGCCTTCCCGAGACGAAGTCCAACAAAGACACTTGAAAAGCTACGCATCATGTGGTTCATGTGGCGCAGCTTAAGATCATTGTCGCACTTCCATTGGCCATGCACGCCTTTGCTTTGTTCTTCCTCTGCTTTGTCCATCGCGATGGCAGCGCAGCACAACCACTTCCGGCGCAAATGACAACACAGACAAAGCCTCCACTCAGCAAACGTACACGATGCAAGTTCTTTGTCGGATCGAAAGCATGTCTTCGAGCGACGGGTCCGCCGTACTCGCATTCGTCTCATTTCTGCCGACATTGCAGACGGCATTCGAAATCTTACTTTCTGGGACTTCGTACACCAAACGCGACAATGGCAGACTTTCCACCAGACCTGTCCCCAGAGCAAGCCCCCACAACTAATCTACCATTCACTACAACTAGACCTACGCCTACCCCCGAAGCCCAAGTTACGCCGGCACTCAATGGTTCCCTCTTCTCTCTCGCCCGCGAGCTGACATCGTACTTCCTCGGCCAAACCCTCCACATTCCTACCTTCATATCCGACCACCCATTAAACACCCTCTTTGCAAGCGCCGCGGTCGGCATTGGCGCGAGACTCCTTTACAATGACCATGCTGCGCGCTCTCGCTCCAGAGTTCAGCTCGCCGTCTTCCACATCCTGCGCATCCTCCAGGCAAATCCCTCCTACTGGCACCATGTCTCTGACGAGAGCAACTGGCCCGCCTTCCGACAGCATGTTGTGGAAGAGGTACGGCTCGCCGTGGAGAAGCACCACATCTCCCGCAGTGAGGGGGAGCAGGTGAAGAAGGTGATAGAAAAGAGGCTGATCAATATGCTGTGGGACTACGAAGGAAGTCTGCGCGGGGAGGTGATCAGAAAGAGAAGGAAGTTGTTGGCGGATCAGATGGAGGATAATAAGGCGAAAGAGAGTTATTTAGCAAAGAAAAGAAGAGAGACAAGGAATCCGCTTTGGCCGTCGCAGACGCCCCGTCCGCCGCCGCAACCGCCAGGAGTGGTTGCGGCGAAGAAGCCTCTTCCTAGTTGGGACGACGATATGGATGGCGGTAATGAAGGCGATGATACTGGCGGTGCTGCCCCAGTCGTTGACAGCGCAACGCCGGGAAATCCAGTGGTATACCCAGCGCTTCTTCATTCACACGGTATTGCCGCAACGCCTGCTCCAGTGTCGAGACCACCCAACTCATCGCTGGACGAAGCTGCAGCGCGGGAAGCTGCGATGGCGCCGTTGTATAATCGTTTCAGTAATTCTCCTGCTATTACGGGTACCGTCGGGCTGCCACGGCCGCCGCTGCCGCACGGGTATGATGGTTTAGGGGTGCCCTATGGAGCGCAGCCGCGACCGCAGCCTGGGAGGCCGGACAATGCTGCTGTGAATGCGCGGCGCCCGAATTCCCGGAATAACACAACTTTGGGGTCGAAGCCGTCTTCGAATGTAGCGCTTCCTCCCATGACCAGCAATGCGAATCGTCCGAATGTGCCGAAGGTGGACGCAGTTCAGCCTCCTACGAGCGGTCATCCTGCAACACCCGCTCCATTATCTCGCCTGACTATGTCACAGCCAGCGCCTCCTCCTACGAACGACACCGTTGGAACGTCTGCCTCAACATCGCGGCCGACTTCGAAGGTAGCGCGACCTCCCGCGGCCACCAGTACGAACCATCCTGAGGACGCGCCTGTCATGGTCTCCGTCAGACCCCCGAAAATGACAGTTAGATACAGAGCTGTCCCTTTTAAGCCGATAGTGCCCGATGAAAGGGAGCGAAGACGTCTCATTGGCGACGAAGGAAGGAGGTGGTGGCCGTGTGCGATCTGCGATATGATGGTTGATGTAGCTCCTCTTCCCTGGAAACTACACTTACGCAGTGTTCCGCATTTGGCTAAGGCTTCCTCTACGCAGGAGAAGGAGAAGCAGAAGGAGATTGAGGCTGAGGCAGAAGATGGTGATATTGCGGAGGAGGTGGAGGAGCTGGTGGAGAACGCAACATCGCGACCTCCTTCTCCAAAATGGACATGTCACATATGTGGGAAGAAACTTCTTTTGTCGCAGATGTCCGAACATGAAGCCTATCATAAGAAGAAGGAAGACGAAGCCGCTGCTTCCAAGAAGAGGTTCGAACAGTTTGCATCAGGAAATGCGGTAACAGGCACCCTGAATGCTACTTCCAGCGGCTTCAGCGGATCCGGCAGCATTAGCGGATTCAGCGGCTTCAAGACTACTGCACACCCGTCCGTTACAAAAGCACTGAAAGACGATGAAAATCTCTCCTGGAGATGCCCGCTATGCGACCGCTTGGTTCCCCTTGCAGAGAAGAGCAAGCATCTCATGGAACACCTCAAGGAGGGTGAAACTGGTATCAACGATGATGATATCTGGATAAATTGTCCAGGCTGCGGGCTTTCGATGCATGAAAATGATTTATCAGCTCATTGGCAAGAGGGGTGCGAAGGAAACCTATTGGTGGGTCAGGAAGAGGACCCATATGTACGCTATATATATTGCGGACGATGCAACATGCAGGTTCTCGCAGATGAATGGGATGCCCACGTAGAAAGATATCATCAAGATCCCCCAACGTCAGGCGATGACGATCAAAACAACGGCGACCAAAACGGCGGCGCAAATGGAAACACCAACGCCTTCGGCCAGCTCATCAAGCTGCCCAAGACCAATACGCCCGCGCCTCCGAGCGTGAACGGTCCAACGCCAGTTCCGCCTCCGTCAGCACAGCTCGACGATCTACGCCGGCTCAGCCAGCCCGCGATCGCTGTGTCAACCGAAATCACTGCCATCCCTGATGGCCAGGTGGTCATCATGTCCACCCCTACAACTCCCGCACCAGGTCTCCCCCAGCAGTTGCAGCCCAGATCTGCCGTGCCAGCCAGCGCCTCCGTCTCTACTGATGGCGTAGTCACTGCCACTCCCACACCAAATCCCCAGCACCCCCAACTCTCGCAAAACTCCACGCCAACTCTCCCGCAGTATCCCCATTACCCGCAACTCCCGCACAACGCACTATACCCACACATACGTCCAAGGCCTAGCCTCCTCGAGCGCGAGGAGAGAAAGGCGTGGCACGCGGTGGGCTTAAAGACGGTGGAGCAGTACTGGACCAAGGTTAAAAAAGGTCTGTCGCCGATTATAGAGCTGGAAGAGGAGGACGAGGGGTACACACCTGATTCGGCGAGGCTGGCTAGGCTGGCAAAGCAGGGGAAGATCCCGTGGCCGGCGGGGTTGCTGCCAATGGGAACGGGTGTTGCAGTTAATCGGGAAGTTGAGGAAGAGATTCAACAGGGTAAGTTAGTATCCAAATTTCAGGTGATGCTGAGTTGTGCTGATGGTTGTGCAGATAACACGCCAAACGGAGTCCCAGGAGGAGACATCAATCCCGCTGATTCCTATATCAACAACGACCCTGCAGCGTATCTCGGGGCTACACCTACGCCAGCGCCTAGGCCTCCCCAAGACGTCGACAGTGACGACCCGGACGGTCTCTACAAACCTCCCAGCCCTCGACCCCAACCGAACACCCGCCCACCTCCGACCCAACCCACCCGCATCCGGCGCCCTCCCACGTCCCCACAGGTCGCCGTCCCCCCACGCCGCCAGTCCACATCTACCTCTATTCCCCGTCCCGTCTCCCAACCTCGCCTACAAAGCCCAGCACCGGTGTCGCAACGCCCAGCCGTCAAGCGCCGAAGTTCAGCGGCGTCTGCGACTTCTGCAACTTCCCAATCGAAGATCACGAAGCCTGACGCGAAGACAGCCAATAAAAAGCCACCTGCAAAGGGGCGGACGAGCAGGCAGTCGCCGGTGGGTAGTCAGACTTGGACAGGGATACCGAGTGTACCACCGCCTACGGCTCCGCCTGCGACGCCTGGTGGGAGAAGGAATGGGAGTGTGCCGCCGACGCCGGAGACGAGGAGGAGTGGGAGGGCGAATCGGTTTGAGGGGACGTACAAGGAGTGAATGAGCTAGCTTGGCCGATTACCGATACATGTGTGCCACAATGCTAGATCCGGACCTGAGATGCGGTCCAAGCCGCTGATCCCCAGGCAACCGATATGCAAGGAACCAATTGAGTGAATTAATAAAGGATGTACTGTTAAAAAGTTGCATTTTTCACTTACTCAGCTAGGTATTAATGAGTCAATGTGCTCAGGAAACTATCAACGCTTAATCCGTCTCCTCCCCACTAATCCAAACTATAAATCCCAAGTACACCTACTACGACTTACGGAACGCGAACCAGCGGTCGCGCGGGGGACAACGTCCCGTCGAAAGACTATCTATCCACTCCACCCCCAGCTGCCTCTCGTCGCCTCCCCAAACCGCGGCCGCTATGCTCCACCACCAACACAATCCCATCACGCATTACTACAGTACCCAGCCCTACACCCCTCACACAACTCCGTCAAATGCGGCCTCTTGCTCTGGCCCCGACGCGGCACGCTCTCCACCTTGACCCCACTCCAAATCTTCAGTCGCCGCGCCACCCGCTCCGCATACGAGTCGTCCAGCCGCGGCTTGCTGACGAAGTTGCATTGCTCGCAGCGCTGGTGGTACACCTGTGCGTGGTACTGCTGTCCTGCGTAGAGCAGGATCCGGATGGCGACCATCCCGCTGGCCCAGCTGCGCGAAGGGCACTTGTTGTTGTAGCAGATGAAGACGCCTCGGATGTTGCTGTTCCAGGCTTTGGTCGAGCGCGCGTCTGAGCGGTCCTGCCGGAAGGAGAAGTGCAGGTCGTCGTCTGCGAGATGGAGGGAGACGGCGCCGTGGAGCTCCGGGTGGAGGGAGAATTTGGGGGGCTTTTCCATCTTGGGGGGTTTCTTGGTCTTGGGTGGCATGGTGGTCTGCTTGGACGGTGGTAGCTGCGGATGCTCGGGACGCTTTGGGTGGTTCTGCGGCCGGTGGGTTCGTGACGGCATGCTGGTGGTTTGTCGTTGACAATCGTAGCTGGGGGAGTGCTGAATCTTGCTCGGACGGGGTTGCAACGCAGAGGTGAGGACGCTCCAATGTCGAGTAGATCAGACCTAGACATGATCGACTTTTCACATCATAGTACCCCTCTTTGAACCGCAAGTTTCCCGTTGGGAACAATGCGAGGTAATGCAGTGTATTTCAAGAGAGGACCAATAGCGATGGGGAACCCCAGTTGGCGAGGCGTGGCTCCAATCGGGTGGATACAGGCAAGGATCGGGAGATGCATTCCACACTTCTGGAAGAGGGGTCGAGATAAAGAGTTGCAACATCGTATGACACGTACGTTGAACTTTCAGGGATTTACTTGAGGTTGGAAATTTTTGGGCACGGATAAAGGGCGCTAGAAGCTAGGGCATACCTATATATGCAGCACTACACCAGACTTGCTTGGTGATGGATCGAACCACGCCGTAAAGAACAATAGTCATGGTAGATTACGAAAGGAGTGGATTAATTTGCTATGACAATGAAGAAATACAGCAAGAAAGGAAATCAAGAGGAAGGCGACTGAGCTAAGAACAATCGATGATACCCTGAGATAATGTACTCAAAGAATGTGCGTGGTGTTGAACAATTGGTTGCCCCTGTCCGTAGTGCCACTCCCCGTAAACGTTGTGCACCTAGCAATAGCTGAGTCACGCATGGGGGTCGCAATGATATTGGCCGCATTTTCGCTGGTCGCATGAAAGATCGTGACTCTACCGGAGCGGTCGTGACTACGGAGCAGCGCGCTGATGAGGCCATTACCGGTCATTTCAACCACTGGGAGCTTGGAATTTTCCAGCTGTGACGAAGTAGATCGAGGCAAATACGCCTGGGAAGCGCGAAGTCCACTATTAATTGCCTCCATCAAGCCCAGTCCCATTGTCTGTCTCCGAAGAACGACGTCTCACATATCCTATCCGGGCCTCTGCGAACGCTAGAATAACTCTATGCATCCGCAGGTGGAACAAACAAAGATGGGGAAGTGTTTGGCATAATTTTGGGGCGTGCTGGAATGGTCATGTCTTTCACAAGGCATTGCGTCGCGATCCAGGGATATTGAATGGACCAGGGTATTGAAAATGGGAGTCGCTGCAAGTGCATTCCGGATATGGTTTCGCTCGAAGAGATTGACAACAGGAGAAGCTACAGGTGGATCGCGGATGCAGTTTCGTTCGTCGCTGCCACTCTGAGCAATCGGGATTGGGAATTGTGAAATGAGTTGCTCGACAGCCGCATCAAATACCGCCCACTTCGCAAGTGCTCTCGGATCCTTTTTATTTCACTTCCTTTTGATTGAATCTTCGAAGGCTGCGGGTTTTCGATGTACTAGTATTCAACAGCTAGCCGTGGGTGTCATCCTTTTGCACGTATCTGCTCTCGAGCACTGAACTACTCCAAGAGGGAGTTTATAGGACCTAACGATCTGAGGGCTATCGGCCTAACGTGGCCCGCCTCCAGTTCTCGCAGATACGGCCGCGGTGCTACGCCCTGGCGCGGAATGATACCAACATTCTGCCCACGGTAACAGTCGCAGTGCTGACACCGTGTGTTCAGGATCTCAAAATCTCTCGCAGAGTCTTGTGCAGCAAAGATGGTAACAAAGCTGTCGATGTAGGTTTTGAGAATGGCTGCAACACCAATGGCGAGGCCCGCTGCCTCAGCCGTGCAGCTCACCTAAGCTGGCTACAAGCCGGCCATTTCGTGATTCAATCAAAGAAAAATATAGGAATTGTTATGCATGACTTTTAGTGCCGTGAATTTAATTCTTGTGGGCACGGCACGGGAGACGTTGAATTGGGAAGTGGCGAGGCTGCTGAGATATATTCAGCCTCACAGCGCGTGGGCGCCGTCCAAGCCCCCACCTGCCCGTTTTGGAAGCGTGGCTGAATGATGTTGGATGCTCTGCAAAACATGATAAAGTACGCGTGAAGGAATAACTATGCATCTTTGGGCGAAAAACCCGAGCCTGAGAACATCTAACGGACGGACTTATGAACTTACACTTGTAGAAGAGGAAAGAGGCCCGAGCTACCCTTCGATCAGCGATCACGAATCTGACTAGGGAAGTCGTAGGTATGTACTTATCTCCGAGCTTTGGTACGTCTACATCCTGGCCTTTGTTACAACGCGAGGGTATGGTGTGCCAGCTCCTACTTCAAACGTATTACTCGGCCCTCGGTCGACTCTCGTAGCGAGAATGAGCCGCATAGTTAAACTGTCCGTACTTCACCTCAGGATTTAACCTCTCATGGCAGGAGCGGTGGCTGATCAACGTCCATATGACAACCATACCCCACAGTGCGCGTGCGGGGTGAGGGGAAATAACATGGCGGAGAGAATGCCGTGTCGATCACCCAACCGCACGCGTCGTAACAAAACCGCGCGCAAAGAACATCGCAACAGGATCTCATTGTCGAAGAGTTCATTATTCACATGTAGGTCGTTGAGCCCCTACGGATATTCAACGCCATCAGATCAGAGTCAGTTGAATCATGGGTTTCCTACAGCGTGTCAAGCGCCAGCAGACTCTCGACTCTCCTCAATCTGACGAAACCACCCATCAAGTAAACCCAGATCCCAAATCTGGCCGAGATATCGAATCCACCATCCATACCGAGACCATACCAACCACTTCCTCATCGAAATGGATCCTCTCCCGGTCCGGCGACGGCGACACCGCCATGGCCCTCTTCGCCTCCCCAGCCGACACTCACGAGCCCTACACCGCGGAGGAAGAAAAGAAACTTGTCCGCAAGATCGACTGCATGATCCTGCCTTATCTAGCGGTCTGCTACGCTTTCTTCTACATCGACAAAACGACACTGTCGTACGCTGCTATCTTCGGCATTAGAGAGGACCTGGATCTGCATGGGGATCGGTATAATTGGCTGAGCAGTATATTCTACTTTGGATTTCTGGTGTGGGCGTTCCCGACCAATTTCTTGATGCAGAGATTGCCGGTTGGAAAGTATCTGGGTGCGAATATCTTCTTGTGGGGGGTATTTTTAATGCTGCAAGCTGCTGCCAAGGTAGGAGCACGACAAGGGATATCGTCTCGGATATTTTCTCACACGGCGCTAGAACTTCACGCAACTTGCGGTGCTGAGAGCGATCAGTGGAGCGGCTGAGGCTTGTTCGGATCCTTCGTTTATGCTAATTACGAGCATGTGGTAAGCTATCTTCCTCCTCAATCTGCGTGGCCCTCAGCTCACGTCTCTAGGTACACTCGCAAACAGCAACCCGTCCGTATAGGATTGTGGTACACAGCGAATGGTTTTGGCATCGCTTTGGGCGGCCTGTTGGGCTATGCAATCGGACACATCAAAGGGGCTCTACCGTCATGGAAGTATGAGTTTTTGATCATAGGAGGTAAGTGTGTTCTGTGATGTATCAAGCTTCGTGTTGCTTACGATCAACATAGCGCTATGCTCCGCCTGGGGCATCGTCATGTTCATCTTCCTGCCCGACTCACCCGTGAACGCTCCTCTCCTCACGCCTCGTCAACGTCGCATCGCCGTCGAGCGTCTTCGCTCCAACCAAACGGGCGTCGAAAACAAGCACCTCAAAGGCTACCAAGTCGTCGAAGCCCTCAAGGACCCCAAGACCTGGTTCTTCTTCGTCCTCGGCGCAATCCACAACACGCCCAACGGCGGCATCTCCAACTTCGGCACCATCATCATCAAAGGCTTCGGCTACTCCACCCTCGTCACCACCCTCCTCCAAGTCCCCTACGGCATCCTCATCGCACTCTTCATCCTCTCCTGCGTGTATTTGAACAACCACTTCTCCTCCCAGCAGCGCCAGACCCGCTGCTGGTTTATCCTACTCTACACCCTGCCCAACATCGCCGGCACCTTCGGCCTGCGCTACATCCCGCAGCAACACCACATCGCCCGCCTTTGGTGCTACTACCTCACAGGCGCCTACAATGCGTCTTTCGTGCTCGTGCTCAGTCTCGCCGTCGGCAACACCGCAGGCCACACCAAAAAGGTCGTTACCAATGCGTTCCTCTTCCTGGGGTACTGCGTGGGCAACATTGCGGGCCCGTTCTTCTACAAGGCGAGTCAGAGCCCGACGTACGAGCTGGGGATCTGGAGCATGATTTTCTGCCACCTGGCGGAGTTTGCGATTGTGCTGGCTTTTAGGTGTTATTTGAAGTGGGAGAATGGGAAGAGGGAGAGGGTGTTTGGGGCGCAGGGGGATGTGGATGCGACGGCGTTTGGGGACTTGACGGATTGGGAGAACACGAATTTTAGGTATGTGTACTAGAACTGGACGTGATGAGTGGGGGGCGCGAGTACGTGTGAAGGATAGAAGGGATAGAAAGTAGACAGTCTAGTCACTAGGTACTGTTGTCATGATTGGTACGTAATTCTAGGACGACTCAACGGACTGTCCATGTCTACAATTGCAACTTGTACTATCTTGCGGGTCGCCGCGTTCATGTCTAAACGCGGAGTCGGATGACTGTGTTGGAGTAGTCGAAGTTGAACGTCAGAGACGATATCGTTTCTGTGTCATTGGTGCTGAATCATGCCATACTATTTTATTGATCGTGTGGAGACACGAAAGTGGGTAGCAACACCAAGATCTCTGCTTTCAGGCTTCCTCCAATGCAGCTGTTTTCTGGTCGGCGAGATGACGTTCACTTCGCAGAGTGGTCAAGCGTTCGCAAGTTTAATACACTCATAATTCCTCGTCCTCAGTTTCATCGTCTTCATCGGCAGCGGCTGGTGCGGGCTGCTTAGCCGGGGGTTTGCTTCTCGTGGCAGGTCTTCCAAATGGCAGCTCGCGCCGCGGCGGTGGCGGTCCAACATCTTCATTCGGCGCAGGCGTACTCATCTGAGAGCTGCCCACTGTCACCGACGAGGAGCGAGGCGCTTGAGCGGGCTTTGCTCGTGTTGCGCGTGTCGAGGGGGCTGGAGCTTTGCTGCTGAATCCACCCTCGCCTTCGTCCTCAGTCTCGGTCTCCGATGCGCGGTCTGGAGTAGCTGCTCCACCTTCATCAGAGTCGTCGTCTTGCTCTTCGGCTTTCGCCTGGTCAACCTCCATCTGGTCCTCATCTGAGAGCTGCTCGGGCTCTGGTTCCGGCTCAGGCTCCGGGGCTTTTGCTTTCCGCTTGGATGTGCGGGATGCCGCTGGTTTGCGTGGCTTCGTCTCTTCCCGAGTGGCTTGTACTGTTGTTGCTAGATGTCATATTAGCACCGAAGGAGGTCCGAACGCCAAATCCAAACGCCTCACCAGTGTCTTTGTCGACCTTTGCGGTAGCAAGCAGCCGGTTCTGGTCGCGGATCTTCCGCTTCTTCTCGTTCAGCAGCTCCATGAACTGTTGCAGCATGGCGGTCTCCGTTTCATTTTTGGTCTTGATGAAGTCGTCAAGCTGCGCGTTGAGCTTTGCGATCATAACCTGTTCGCCATGTGCCTGTGTCTTCGAGTCTGCGAGCTCTTTGAGAGTCTGCTTGTGTGCCAATGCTGAGGCTTGCGCCCACTCGAACGGGTTGAACCTACATGGCTCAGTCAGACACAAGCCAATTTACTCATGACGCCGCGATCGGACACAGTGCTCGCAATGTCTCAGTTGCACGTGTCTTATTGATCGCATTCGGTGTTGACAAAGTATCGTGCGTGTGCCAATAGTGCAATCAAGTGGAAACAAGCGTCATCTAGCTCGTGACGAGGATCGGCGGGCGTCACTTACTCAAATTCGTCATCTCTAGGAAGCAGGATCTCCCCCAGATTCATCTGTGTCACGTTAGTTTGATTCGGAAACCGGACACGAGTCACCCCCGAAGCACGCTCGTCTGACTTGCCTTGATGCCCGTGACGTCCTGTTGGATGGTAATCTCGATGTTGTCGCCCTTGAGCGCATACACCATCCGCACGTTTTCGAGCAATTTGGCGTTGTCACCTGCAGGCTGTTTTTGTAACAGGAAATGAGACAGGACTTGTTCCCACTCGTCGGCTGTACCCTTGAACTTGTGCTTCAATTTTGAGATATTGCGATGAGAGACTATATTAAACGTGTCAAAGAAGCAACGAAATGACGGCAATCACATTTTAATCTTACTTTTGGCGACATAGGGACTCTCGCCTTCGCAGCCCACGAGCCGCACGTCGAGCGGGTGTGAGCCCTCCTGCAGCACCTCCACCACCACGACGTCGCCGTCTCCTGCAGCGGGTTCTACGGGCACGATGAAGCGGCCCCGCATCGTGGTGATCCGTCGGTACCAGGCCAGGTCACAGGTGGAAAGTTTGGCCGGCCCAGGGAGGAAGGAGAGGCGTGGCTAATGACGAGGGTGTGGCGCGGCGTCAAACCTGATCCTGACACACACCCTGGGTGAGATCGGGGTGATGCTTGTGATAGCGGAACAGTGCTAGAGGGCGTGGTGGAAAGCCGGCTTGAGCGCCGGCGGGTTTCAGTCGCGCTGAGGGAGAGTCGCAACAGGTCAGACGACAAGGGCCCCGCGAACCTTATATGTCACCGCAACACAGGCGGCGCGGTGTTGTTTAGGTGCAAGGCGCGTTGCTGCCTTCCAGGCGCTCGTGTATTTAGGCGGGCCCGCAGGCAGGCCACGGTCGCGCAGTTGGCCTCTCTGCCGCGGTTCGACTACTTGCCAGGCTGCATAGAGGGTCTGCCCGTTGCGAGGCCGATCATCTGCACCCGCGCCCAGTGCCCTGGGAGAGTTCTTGGTGTCGCGCATCCACGACGCGTGGGCACGGAGCAGCGGCCGGCCGCAGCTTCCCTTTCGCTGACCGCTTGGCCGCTCCTGCCGCCAAGCTCGGTAAACAGGGTCTATCACCACTTCCCAGCCATCGAGCTTCCTGCATCGCAACCCACCAACGCGCGCACACACGACCCACACCCATCCGCAATGGCCGCGAAGGGCTCTTTCGCCCAGCGCATGGCCTCAATGGCGTCGTCCGTCGAGAACTGGGACGACGACGCCGACTTCGACGGCTCCGCCGACCTGTTTACCCACTCCATGTCTACTGTCCAGTCCACGTCGTCCCGCGTCTCCGTCCGCTCCGAATCCAACATGGGCGACGATGACTGGCAGGTGCTGCTCGCCCCCAACGACGAGGCCTCTACCAGGAACGCGATAAACTCTGCAAAGCAAGCCGGCATCCCCATCCCCACGAGCGTGCCGTCGTCGGCCCTTCTCGGTGGCGCGATAAAAAGGCTGGGAAAGAAGAAATCGAGCCGGAAAATTGTTGTCGATGAAGACTGGGCCAACGACCTCGAGCTGCCCACCAACCCCGGCGAGGGCCTCAAGCTGAAGGCACCGATGCCGCGCACGCCGGCAGACGACAACGATGGCTTCGACGACGACGACTGGGGCGAGGGCAGCTTGGGCATCCGCTTTGCAGGCACGAGCAGGCGTGGTCCCCGAAGCTCATCCGTGTCAGCCATGAGCCCTAGCATGGGCAGCATTGTGACCCTCGAAAGCGAAGACGATGAGTTGAACGGCCTGGTGCTGCCCCAAGAACCGCTGGACTTCGCATCCCGGTTGGAGAAGCTTAAGAAGCATGAGATAACCCTGCCTTCTCCCGATACCTCACCCTCGGGATTCACTCTCCCGAAACGCGCACCGCCGCCTACCTCAGCGCCTGTATTGGGCCCCCCAGTGGAGTTCACATCGCCAACTGCACCAGTGTGGTCCTCGCCAATTGCACCCGAGAGAGATGTTAGGCAAGAGCCCGAAGAAGAGACCCCTAAACCTCCAGCTCAGCTTGTAGGTGTCGAGGAAGAAGATGACTTTATGGACGGGCTGGACATTGGTGGTGCACAAGTGCTTGACACGAACAAGCTTACGTTGAACCGCAACGTCAAGATTAAGAAAGCCCCCGCGAAGATTACGCCGCCACCTGCCGCACGTCCGGCCACCACCTTGACCTTCACCGACAAAGACAAGCCCTCCATGTCAAAGATCCCGAGGCCTCTTTCTACCAGCAGTCGCTCACGCCTCACGCCTGTCTACGAGTCAGGTGCTGCGCAAAGCGGAAACAGTCGACAACCGCCCACGACTACAAGCGCTCAGCTCCTACGGGCCAAACGGTCCGCGCCTCTACTCCGGAACAACAACAATGCTCACCCGGCACGTTCATCCGTTCCTTTCCTTCCTGCAGGCGGCTCGACGTCCCAATCTCATCACGTTATGGCGAAATCTTCGTCCCGTGGCCACTTGCGCAGGGACTCAGATCCACGTCGACCCCAATCTCCATCCACGAGGCCGTACTCACGCGGGCCAATGGACACGCCAAGTAGGAATGGCATGCGAAGGGAATTGGGACCATCGGCCCTGCCCCGCCAACCCCAGAAGCTCACTTTCCCCAAGGGCCGAAAGCAGAACTTTGGAGATGGCACCGAGCTTGAAATCTTCGATGACTTGCCCACCTCCGCAACTAAAGAAAAGCAGTTCGAGAAAGCACCACGAAACGTGGCTAGCAACAAAACCCTACGGTCGCAAACAAGTGTTTCTAAGCTTCCCATGCCGGACCGCATGGCTACACCCATGCCGCAAACACCTCGGAGTCCCCCTAAAGTTGATAGTACTCCACGATTTGCTCGCGACACTGCAGCAAGCCGCAATGCTCGTGAACAGCGTCTCACTGACATGCGCACACGAGGCAATGGCCCTGTGCCGCCGAGCCCCTCGATCAATTGGAAGGTGCATGTAGCGGCTAGGAGTCCGCACACCAGTCCGACTGCCCACCGAAAGAAAGGATCCGGGGCAAAGCCACAGCTAATCCGAGGCTTGTTTGAACCAGGTTCACGAAGTAAGCTTGACTTTGCCTGGCCACTGTCTATTCACTAGCTGACAGAATCTAGCTGAGAAAGGTATGATATATAACCCGACCATGCAGCGATGGGAAGGAAACGAAGAAGCTTTGGCTCCTTTCACCCATCCCAATGGGTCTTCTGCCACTTTGAACCTTACGACAGTGAGCACACCAACCTTCTCGCCAATGCACAATCCCTTCGGCCATCCGCATGAGCGCTCGCACTCCATCTCTCATACCGCTTTGTCGAAGATTCAACTCAAGAACGTCTCGTCTCGTGCAGTCAACGTTGTGCCACGGCCGGCGCCCTCACCGCCGCGTCCTGCACTGATCTCGCAGAAGACCATGCCTCGTGGTGTCCAGTATGAAGGTCGCATGGTCTTCGACCCTGTCAAGATGACTTGGCTCAAGGCACCTCGTGATTCCAACGACCCTCGCTCTCCCTCTGTCGCAGACGATGACGAAGAAGACCCTTTCGCAGGGCTAGAGGACCTCAAGGACAACGTGAGCGTTGTCGGTGGGCACGGCGACACTGGCACCGGCGCTACTGGTGTCGAAGACACTTCTTTCGTCGGCGAAGAGTTCGATCTTGGTCCCAGCTTCATTCGTCGACAGCGGGAAGAAGAAGCCATTTGGCGCCGCAAGACCGAGAGCTGGGTCAGCACAATGCGCGACACGGGCGAACACAAGCACGGTTGGAGATGGGAGTTGCGCAGAATCGCCATGCGCGCCTCCGAAGAGAGGTAGTTGCGCCCCTTGCATTTGCGTTGACCTTTTGGAGAGCATGCATTGGATACGCATTGTACAGTCATGAGTTACGACCGCATCGGCCCACTTTGGGCTCCTGGCGCATTATTGGGCGCTCAGCTTGAGCGAAAAGCTATTTGGGCGTTGAGGATTTTCTTATAAGATATCCTGAGTGTTATGTTGGGTGTCTTCTGGCACCTCACTCTAGCGACGCTTTATGATTTATGACTTTCTTGCATACGAGAGTATTCGAGAGGAGCATGTTGCTCTGTATAGAAACGTCGATTTTTTGGTTTGATCATTTCTCTATTTGGCGTTACGGTTTGCTTTTCCGGGTATGGTTGCCTATGCTCAATCTTGCTAATGACTATAGTAGGGATTTTTAATATGATGAGAAATTCTAGCTTCATTGGTTACAATAGCTTCTTGTGATTGAGTTCAAGTTCTGTTGCCTTGATTAATTCTGGTGCCTCGCAGTTGTCGTTGCCTTGAAATGCAGGTACGGCCGTTAGTGGGGCACAAGGGTGGGGTATAAACTTTCGACCCTCGCCCGATGCTGTGTTTACATTGTCCCTCTCAGCTCCCCCTCCGCACACATGTCGCAGTCCAACGATCCAGGCCATTTCTTCCAGACGGAGTGAGTTCCGGATTTACCCCTCCACTACTGATGCTGAAACGACTGTCTAACAATAGCCAGCGCATGGCACGCGGAGACCGCGCGCCGGGCCGCAAAATCTAAGAACGACAAGGGAAACCCCGTCAAGCTGCCCTCCAAAATCCTCGCCGTCACCGCAGACCCGTATGACCGCGCGCTCGTTTACGTCGCAGAAGCGGCGGGAACCGTGAAGCGAATAAGTCCTGAAGTCGGTCAGACCTCCGCCCGTCGCATACACCCACACGACGACACGCCAGCGATGGAGCTGCATGCTAATTCTGGGTGTGCAGGCTGAAGAGAAGAAAGTCATCGCAACGTACACGGGGCCCGAAGCGCCGCTCACATCGCTCGCTATCTCGCACAAGTCGGGCAAGCTGTTTGCAGGGTGCTGGGATAAGACAATCTGGAGCTGGGACGCGAAGAGCAGAAGGCCTGGGCAGCGGTTTCGGGGACATGCCGACTTCGTGAAGACCGTCCTCGTGTTGACACTACAAGGAAAGGAGCTGCTGCTATCTGGCTCGCAAGATGCGACTATTATCGTCTGGGACGCTGTGACCGGCCAGCGGCTGTACACGCTGAAGGGGCATACCCGGGGTATCCTCGCGCTTGCGCTTGACCCGCTGGAATACGATCCTGCGAAGGAAGAGGCGATTGTGTTTAGTGCAGGCAGCGATCGCGAGATCAGAAGATGGAAGGTTGGTATCACTGTGGGGAAGGAGATAAAGGAAGAGCCGTGTCCGATTCTCGCACACGAGACCAGTGTCGACCTCATACACTTCGACTCGGACGGTGATCTGTGGACCGCATCCGCGGATAAGACTGCGAAGTGTCTTTCCCGTGCGCGCAATTGGGACGAGGACTCGGTCTTCGAGCACCCGGACTACACGCGCGATGTGGTGGTTGATGAAGAGGGTGGGTGGGTCGTGACCGCGTGCCGAGATGAGAATGTTCGCGTCTTTGAGAAGGGCAGTGGCAAGCTACATCACGTCTTCGAAGGGCATTTTGAGGAGGTGACTGCGTTGGTGCTGTTGGAGGGGCAAAAGGTCATCAGTGTGAGCATTGATGGGAGTGTGAGGACATGGAGCTTGAAAGCGCAGGATCTGGCGAAGGCAATCAAGGAGGCGGAGGACGAGAAGGAGGGCAAGGTGGAAGAGAAGGTCGAGGAGAAGAAAGAGGGGCTTATGACGTTGGAGGAGGAAGAGGAGCTTGCGGCGTTGCTGGAGGACAGCGACTGATATCTAGATTGGCGTATCCAGAGTCATATCCCGCTCACATTACGCGATACATGATGTATACTCACATGCTGCTGACTGGTGGTTTCGTGAATGCTTACATGTACTGGGAATGTTTCTTTCTACGAAAGACGACTCGGTGTAGCTTCTTCTCTCGTGTTCGCCGATCTATTGGTCGCGAACCATAACATATATCATTGTATCTCAGTTTCGTCGAGTAGAACCAGGCCGTTCAAGATTCCAGGCACTGATGACCGAGGCCCGCATGTCTTGGCGCCTGTTCCCCGCAACCTCCGCACTCCTCCACTCGTTCCCCAACGACCGAGCTCCAGCGAGTCATCACCATGTTGAAACCGAAGCTCCAGCGCACACCCGGAGATACCGAGAACCTCCATAACATCCCGATGTTATTTACGAACCGCTAAGACGCAATCTCCCCTTTCTCGAGCATTACCACACCGCGTCTCACGCCCCGCGCCTCCGCAACCATGGCGACCGACACAATGAACTTCTCCATCCCGCCCGCGCTCCAGCAGTACCTCGCCGACCTAGACGCCTTCATAGAAGCCAAGATCGTACCCTTGCAGAAGAAGGACGACAACGACCGGTTTTTCGATCACCGTCGCGAACACGCACGCACAGACTGGGACAACGGCGGCCTGCCGCGCCCCGAATGGGAAGCTCTCCTGGGCCAATGCCGCCGTCTCGCCGATGAAGCTGGGTTCTACCGACTCTCCCTGCCAAAGCAGTACGGCGGGCGCAGCGCCGAGGACGGCCGCGGGAGCAATCTCTGGATGGCGGTCATACGCGAGCACCTCGCCGCGAAAGGGCTGGGTCTATTCAACGACCTGCAGAATGAGCACTCTGTCGTGGGCAATTTCCCGGATGTGGTGATGGTGATGAATTATGGGAATGCGCAGCAGCGGGAGGAGTTGATTGGGGGACGGTTGAAGGGGAAGGTGAGGATTACGTTTGGGTTGACGGAGCCTGGGCATGGGAGCGATGCGACGCATATGGAGACGAGGGGCAGGCCGGAGAAGAGGAACGGGGTGGATGGGTGGGTGTTGGACGGAAGGAAGAAGTGGCAGACGGGGATGCATGCTGCAACGCATTGCTTTATCTTTGCGCGGACACAGGGGGAGAACGGGCAGGCTAAAGGTATAAGCTGCTTTGTGGTGCCGAGGGAGACGCCTGGTTTGGAAGTGGAGAGTTACGAGTGGTACGCAACCCTATCCCCCCTCTCTTAAAACTGCCATGGTTTCTTGCTGGCGTTCTACTAACACGTCCGCAGGACACTCAACATGCCCACCGACCATGCCACCGTCTCCATCAAAAACGTCTGGGTCCCCTCGACCGCGGTCCTCGGGCCCATCCACAACGGCCTCGGCGTCGCGCAAGCCTTCGTCCACGAAAATCGTATCCGGCAAGCCGCCTCCTCACTCGGCGCAGCCATCTACTGCGTCCAAGAATCCGTCTCATACGCCAACGCCCGCGCCCCCTTCGGCACCCCCCTCTCCCACAATCAAGCCATCCAGTTCCCTCTCGTCGAGCTCGCCACCCAGTGCGAGATGCTGCGCCAACTGATCCGCAAGACCGCCGTCGAGATGGACAGCATGCCGCACGTCGAGGTGGAAAAGCGCATCGGGGATAAGGTCTCCATGTGCAATTACTGGGCTAACAGGCTGTGCTGCGAGGCTGCGGATCGCGCGATACAGGTCCATGGCGGCAATGGGTATAGCAGGCATTGGCCGTTTGAGCATATCTGGCGGCACCATAGGCGGTACCGGATCACGGAAGGGAGCGAGGAGATTCAGATGAGGAAGGTTGCGGCATATTTGTTTGGGTTTGGGGGGCGGAAGAGTTTGGTGGACGCGACGGCCAAGGAGGCGAAGCTGTAGCATGTCCGGTTCGGAAATGGATTTTGCTGGTTTACATGGTGCCTGATGCAGTCTTGGTGATGTTGACCGTGTCCATACTACTCCTGGTGGCGTCGCTCACCTCAAGAGTGCTATGGACCAGTTCCGTAATATCTTGTTCAGCCCGGGCAGTGCGTCTGCCTCAAGCAAAACAGGCAAGAGGAGCACCACCAGCAGGAACCAGATCCCCAGTGCTGCGATCCAAAGAATTGTCCCCTTGTAATCAGGTCTCCATGGAATTCCCGGTAGCGGCTTGGTCGTCCTGCTCTTCGTTTCATCAAGACGTACATCTTTGACAGGGGGCTGCGGTGGCGGTTCTTCTATCCCCCGCTCAGCACCCTCAAAGCGTACAGCATCTCCAGTTGGAGGCGGTGGTGGCAGCGGTTTCACAGCCGGGCCCGTCAGCGGTGGTGGTCGCCTGCGTCGCACTTGCAGTGTCGAGGTGCTGCCAGGTGTATCATCTTTTAGGTCCTCTTTGGAGACACCGCGGAGTGCGTCGTTTGTGTTGTCTTTTGGTGGCACGGGAGGCGGTTCATCTTCTTGGTCGATCGGGGTGTTTGGTGTCATGGTGGTCGTTGGCATGGGACGTGGGGTTGGAAGTTAGATGGGAAGCGGCGTTGCCGTAAGAGGCTAGCGGGGTTGGGGCGCGAAGACGTCGATGCTGGCTGGAGGGGTTGATAGTGCAACAGTAAGTCCAGATGTGATGAACAGAGCAGAGGCTTTAAGATTATATTTTGGTTTTGTAATGGGAGATAAGTTACCCCAAGGTAACGGTTGTCACTGATGGAAACAGTCTCAGACATTGTGTTTCTGAGGAAGATTGGTCGGCGTACAGCGGCTGCGTGTTCAGCATCAAGATCCTCCTGATATGTTCTACCAGATGCGTAGCTCATGTTACTTCACGCCATGGTGCGAGTTCTGGATATGGTGAGTGGCGTTTGTAATGATAGAGGGAGAATCGTGTTTTCAGTCAAGTTCACATATAAAGGTAAGTTCTTGGAGTAGCGAGATATTACAAGGGGTTTCCACTTACCTGGACCAGGTTTGGACCTTGTGGGTATTCATTGATTTGAGCGTGAGGGATGGCGGTACCAAGAGGGTATAATGGATATCCTATACCATACAGTTGTTAAATCCTGCAGAGTTGCTAGTCCTAAAAGGTTGGGGTTGGTTCTCGGGCAAGACAACTGAGGGAAGGGAAGGGGTCTTGATACGATAGTATCTTGCGAAGTGTAACGAGTCAACAATATAGCCTAAGTGTTAATGCTACATCTCTCGTTCACCAACAACATGAACAAGCATAGCCTGCGGAAACCAAGTATCACGAAGAAAATCGGACCTTACACTCTGCATCATAAGCTTTCAACTGGTCCATCTTTAAATCCACCAACTTCTCCATCTCTTCTCTCATCTTATCATTAAGCACATCGTCCCCATCCTTGTGAAGTGCAGCCCAATAGACCGCATCTATGTCGAAACTCTTCCTGATTCCATAGTCGAACCAAAACCTTCCGGTCGCCCAGGAGTCACGCATTCGGACAGAAAGGAGTGGGTTTCTCTCGCTTCCTTCCAAATTCGTCCTCGCCTCCACCCGTTCCAAGGCTCGCAAGAACTGTTCCAGCCTTGGTACGTAGCGGATCATAAAGTTTTCCATGGAGTGGTTTTCAAGCCACATATCTGGACCCAGTAGAAGTAGCCACCAAGGTGGATCGTAAGCAAACTGAGCTGGCATGGTGTTTGTGAATTCGAAGTCCAGTATAGCTGTGATACGGAGAGTGTCCGGGTGCGCAAGCATGTTTGTAGGTTGCAGGTCGTCACAGTAGGGCTTGAAAGGACCGGTATCATCGAGGCAGTAGCGGGAGATTAGCTCCTTGAATCGATGACGTGCGATGAACCGCTTCTTAGCATCCTCTCGGTCATTGGCAAGGTTTCGTTGGGTTCGAAGATGGACAAGATGCTCTTCAGCGAGAGAGTGAAGAAACGCCTTTGCAGACGTGAACGGGGCTGTAGGATATCCGCTTATAGGGTAGTTTGAGACTACAGAGTTTAACTCATTCATGTTGTATGTTAGAGGTCTTTCGCTGGCAATCCATCTATTTGAAGACGGACTCTTTGATATCGCGCCGATTGTAGAAAAATCCAGTCGGGAGAGTTGTAGCATGTAATCGGCAAGTTGCTCGTAGACATAATCCAGTTTCATATCATCCACGTCGGTCGCGAGGATCACCTCATCTTGTTCGGTCTCCGTTGGCTACTTTAAGGTGGTCGCTAGCGAGATACCATCAACATAATCCATGATTATGAATGGACCGAGATGCTGAGGACTGTCTTCAATCATACCCCAACTCACTACCCGAGGTACAGGAATAGTAGTCTTCTCGCTCAGGAATTTTAGGAATTGGACTTCAATACTGACCTTTTCATCCCGGAAAGCTGTGGCTGTGTGGCCTGGTTTGGGGAAGCGAATCACAGCTTTTGGCCCTCCATCGCTAAATCTGATGACGAGACTAAGGCTGAATGAGCCTTTAAGGTAGCCATCAAACTCTCCCGCTGGCTTGCCTTGTCGTCGAGAAGCGACAAAGGCGACAATCTCTTGCTTTGCATCGATGACCTTTGACAACCACGCCCTGAATTCATTGTCCCCGTCCGTTTCGGCTAGCTCATCGAATACAGTCATCTTCTCCGTAAGCCGCAGTCAGGTGCAGAAAATATACTACAGTAAGGAGCAAAAGAAGAGGAATTGTCTAGCCAGAGTACAACGGTGAAGAAGGGGAAGATTATCTGCACCTGTGCAACGAGAGAGATTGGCTCTTTAAGGGCTAGCCTAGATAGGCCATTCCATATGTGGCATAGTGCGATAATGCTAATCAAGACCATTAGCAAATTCGTGATACATTGTAGTGTCTACTACAGTCCAGCGTGGGAACACTCGGCTGGCCTCACCACCATCAAACCACTTGGCTACGCACTACCTGCGTGCAACTCCTAGTTACGTACAGCTTTATTTCGGCTAAGGCTACTATCTTCGACTCAGCCACCTCCTTTAACTATCCATCTCTCGTCGCCCAACCCTCACCTACTCTAACTACTAGTTATGCACTCAAAGCCTTGCAGAAAGGTAAGAGAGTACTGTAGTGTATTACCTATATCTTGCTTTTTGTATACACCCTCAAACATTTATCCAGACCATTGATGAATATGGCTAGGTCCTGGTTGTTCCCTTCGGTGGCAAAACCGGCCTACATCTCTAATGACGAGCTGAGTGACAGCCTAAGTATAGAGTGCAATTTCCGTACCCTCACCGCCGAGCCCATCACTGTGGCCGGGGTCCACACACGATGCGATAACGCTGAGCAGCAAATGCTGAACCGTGATTTGGTACCTTGGCCTTGATTGTCGATATTCCTTCTGCACCAAATCTAAAATCTCTCGCTATAACATGCTAAGCGTGTTGATCGTGCACGCAATGTCAAATGCGGAGACCGTGTGCAAGATTTCGGAGACATAATCCTTCCGTGTGCTGTTACGTTTGGCATGGGGAGAAGGCATCAGGCGTGAGGAAGGGGCTGTAAGTCATCGAGAAGCCTTCCTGGACCTTTGGGAGAATAATGACTGAGAGCTCCTTCCATATGTTGTCAGCACAGACGGCCATAGAGAGGGTAAGTGCACGGATTATCCTGCTTGCTAAGTATAATGCTCCCAGAAACATGAGCTGCAAAATCTTCAGTCATGGGTGCCCTCGTACGCGAATCATGTCAGGGCACGCGTTACCAGACAATGCTGACTATCGACATTTAGGACATCCCTCCGCTCCCGTTCGCCGTAGACGACTACTGGCAGCAAGTCAAACAGCAGCCTTGCGACCAGTTCGCCGTCTTGTGGGCCATCCGCTGGCTCCTCCACATCGGGACCGAGTCGAATCTCGCACGCCAATGGGCAGAAGTCCAGATCATGAGCGATCCCTGGTACTTGGAAGAGGCTATGGACCAATTGGGCTCCTTCGCCTTGGAAGCGGACGAGCGCGACCGCCTCGACGACCCCCACGTCTTCAGTAACTCCGGTCTAGTCACTGTGCTCATGACTCCAGTGGATGAGGACGTGCAGATTCTCCCCAGCGAACCACTTCTGGGCCGAGTCCGATCTCCAACCCGCCGAGATGCGCGAGAAGAACGCTGCCCTTTGGGCTATCCGGTGGCCGGTCCACGTAGACGACCAGGCCAAAGCAAAGTACGACGAGATCAGCGCCCAGATCGCCAACAGCACGTTAAAACCAGCACGAGCTCGCACAGCAGATGGAGTCCCTTGGTCGAGATGCGCTCGCAGAGCTGGAATGCCTTGATCCGCTCCCCTTCGAGAGCTCGTACCTGCTAAGCGCGCTGATGACCGAGATGGATGACGAGGTCGATGTGCTTTCCAAGCAGACGCACAAGTTGTGGATGGACCCGAGCACGGCCATATCTATGGTCGAGGGCAAGATTGTCGGCGTAAGCATAGATGCTCTGATCAGCCACATGGTAGCGATGGGCTTAGCAGAGAAGGAGGAACGGATGGATACAACCAACTAAGGCTAGAGCAGCATCCGAACAGGGCGATGGCATGGCACGGAACGACACATTATCTTAGCTAGACAAGTACTTGGCGCAGCAAGGGACTAATATAGTGGTCGTATGGAGGCCAGGATTAGCAGCAGATGATACCCGGGGGCAACTCGCCCCATCAAAAATCAATTATTGCAGGATTACCAGTAAATGCACAAAAGCTGTCAGATGCCAGACCCATTTTGATCTGTGAACGCCCGCATGAAACGCATTTCGAGCCCATCGTCACTGTCCGCGTCCATACCCATGCCTAAGACTTGAACACCTTCTCCAGCCCCTCGAGCAGCATATCCGCATGCTTCGGCTGGAAGATGAGCATAGGCCGTAACCTCACCGCCCGCTCACCCGATCCACCAATGTTGATTCCGACACCCTTGGCCTTCTTGAGCACCTCGTCCCGCCTCGGGCTGTCCCACGCAATGAACGTGCCCTGCCCCTGTCCACGTAGATTCTGAATCTCGGCAGGATACTTCTCGCTGAGACGCTGCAGACCGTTGTACAGGTAGTCACCTGTGACGGCGGTGTTCTGCACGAGATCGAGTCGCTCGATTTCCTGGATGATGGCGCGGAAGAGGATGGCGCGCGCGGGGTCGCCCATCCACGTGTTGAACTGGCGGTACGGCTTGTTGGGCTTGAGATCGTCGTTGACGAAGTAGTAACCCGCGGTCTGCGCCTTCTTCGAGAAGGTGACCATGTCTGGCGGCGTGGAGAGATTCCAGTGGTGATGCGCCCAGAATTTTCCTGTTGCGCCGACGCCCGTCTGGACTTCGTCCACGATGAATAGCACGTTGTGCTTCTTGGTGATCTCACGCAGGCCTTGGAAGAAAGCGGGGGAGGCGTGGTTGTCGCCGCCTTCGGACTGGATGGGCTCGACGACTACCGCGGCCGGCGGCGAGTGCCACTCCTTGATGAGGCGTTCGGTCTCGGCGAGGCAGCGCTGCTCTTCTGCTTGGTTCTCTGCGGCGTATTGGTCGAGCGGATATTTGAGGTCGGGGAATGGAGCCACGGGCCAGTCGAAAGCGGGGATGTCGAGTTTGTGAATGGGCTTGGAGCGGGTGGTGGACAGACTGCCGAAAAGACGACCGTGGAAGCCTTTCTTGAATGAGAGGATGGAGAGATCGGGTGCGCCGGGGGACTGGTTGGTCAAAGATGAAGTCATTTCAGCCTCGGTGAAGTCGACGTTCGCGCCGCCACGCTCTTGCTGCCGTCGGTACATGAAAGCGGCCTTGTATGCAAGTTCGTTGGCGTCGGAACCAGCCTGTGCTGTGAAGACTTGGTTCAAGCCTTTGGGAGCTACAGCAAGAATGCCGGACTCGAGGATATCGGCCCAATCGTGCTGGGGAAAGTTGCCCAATGCAGGGCGATTGATGATGGCAGAGACCATCTCAGGCGAGCTCGCTGCGAGCTGGAGGGTGGGGTTGTTGTAGCCAACGGGAATAGAAGCAATCTGCGCATACACGTCGAGGAGGACGTTGCCGTCGAGATCGGCAATGCTGCGAATCATTAGGTCCAGCGCCTAAACTCATGAGATGTTGCTTCATACTAGTTGCCGTAGCTCTGGTTGTAGTTGGCCATCATGTTCAAACTCCTGGTGTCGAACACCTTGCCGAGCCTCTCCACGGCAGCCTTGCTCTTTGGCCCAGGGATCTCAGTCCGGATGATTGGGCCTGACGGCTCATCTGGGAACAGAGCAGGGGCGCTGTGATCGGGGGCGACAGCGCTGGCAGAAGCAGAGGCATAGTGTCGCTGGAGAGCAGTTGGCGCGCTTTGAGAAGTCGGTCGAGCGATCGAGCGGGCGAGTGCAGGCCGCGCGCGGCTTGCCGTGCGTACGAGGGAGGCCATTGTTGACCGGCCGGGAGGAGTGCGGCGTTGGGGAAGCTATCCCTAGCGAATCCGGGGTAGAAGTGGTTCCGAAGCTGCAGCACGCGCAATCGTAGAGTAGTTGGAGACTGGTGGTGAGAGGGTAGGAAGAGGGCGGCAGTAAAGTAATATTGTTCTAAAGCTGAGAAGTTGAGGTGGCGTCGGGGCGGCTTTATCGTCGTTGTTCTCGATACCGTTGGAGGATGGGGGAGCTCCATCGAGGCGGGGTTAAGCCGAAGCTTTCCTCGAAGCACTCGGGCCCACGCGATTGTGGAGTACCATCAGGCGCTTCCGCCAACGGGAGAGGAGCCACACGCCCCAAACGCTCTTCTCTCTGCACACGCTAACCCCGCAAAGGCATTCCCAAACAGCTCACTCCGACTACGCCGACTTGCGAACATCGAGGCGGCTCCATGCTGTGTCAAGTGCAAATGTGCGTGCAAGCAGTGTATGAGCATTGCTAACAACATCCGATGCACCTGGTGCACGCCGAAGTGATCAGGACTGCTGGTAATGCATGTGTGTAGCCCGAGTCCGGCCTCAGTACATGCTGCGTGTTCATCCGTTCCTCCATCTGCTGCCAGCATGCTCTGCTTGCTATTACAGCTCCTGCCACGCCCACCACTACACCCTCGTACCTAATGTACGCTCAGATTATCCATGTTAGCTATGCAAGAGAAGAAAATGCTACACATCGCCCACGCTGACGTATCCGCCAAACGCGCGCCACTTTTGTTTGGTCGTCAACCGCAACCATGCAGGACGACAACGCCTGTCCAAACGCCAAAGCAATGGGGGTGTCGCAAAGTAATAAAAGTATCAACACAGAGCAAGAAAGTACATGTCGAAGCACCTCGAGCTGCTTGAAATCAAGATCTGCTCTCCGTGGGAACCGTGTGCTGGTGGTAGCCATTGTGCTCCTTGCTCGGAGGTGTCGCAAGCTGAGTAGGACTGGCGAGATGTCCCAGTGGCTTCGGTCTGGCCCCATTTACGCTATTGTCGCTGGTCGAATGGATCGATACTGGATCGTCTTCCATGGGCGTTAGAGAGGAGCCTTCCCCATTCATAGGCATATCATCTGTAGGTGGCGGAGGTGGAGGAGGAACTGGCTGCGTGTCTGTCCGAGACTTCTTCGGTGAGGCTGGTTCGCCGTCCTCTTCCCTTTTCCTCTTCAACTCGGTTCCAGATGACCCTGCCGGTGACGCCGCGCTGTAACTTCCAAACTGTGGAGTCTCGGGTGTTGCAGTCGCCGCTGGCTTTGTCACGTCGCCGTTCGGTCCGGTGCCGTTATGCGACCCCTTGTCCTTTTCACGCTCTGTCTTCTTCTTCACGGCCTTGTCCATGAAGTCCCTGACATAATTCTTGACTGTCTTTTCGTGTTTCGAACTGATGGGTGCTGTCGGATCTTTCACGCGATTGGCTTTGAAGTCTCCACGAACTAACTTCTTTGTAACCTTGCAACTACTGTCAGATTGTACAAAACAACGGAGCATGCAACTCACCTCTTTGGAAAGCCTCTTGATATCTTCCTTAGGAAGGGTCTTGCTGTAACGGGATGTGGTAGCCATGACATGTTTGGATAGCTAAAACCGTTAGAGGCATTTACCATTGGAGCGCTGAATGCTTACGGTTCCTTCGTAGATCTTTTCCTTCTTCTCTTGCGGCATGTTCAGCCATTTGTCACTCTTGGATATCTTGTCCTTCGTCTCATCCGCAGCGGGCTGTGGTGTCGAAGACGCAGACCCTCGTTTGCCGGTAGAGGCCTCCGCAGTGATGCTCGCGATTAGGTCTTGGAGTAGCTGACCTTCAGACTTGGCTTTGGATGTGGCACTTGGCGGTTGATTTGCTGGCTGCGTGGGACGTGTCCATTGGGTCACACCGGTTGCCGTGTAGAAGTAGACCGGCCCATTCTCAGATTTCGCCTGGAACCATCCTGAAGGAAGAGTATTGAACACTCGCGGTGGACGCGGCGGTGGACGAGGAGGAAGATTGGCCATAGCAGACGGGCCCTTAGGGGCATTGAAACCTCGAGGAGCCGAAGGCGCAGTGGTAGGTGGTTTTAACTCAGGTGATTTTGACCGTGATCTGGAGCGTTCCCGACCCTTCTCTCGGCGTTCGAACTGTGGTTCGACGCGAGCATTCGCTTTCATGCGCGGTATCCGATAACCTAGCTCGAGCTTGCTCCACTCACTGAGCAGCGTGGTGATGGACTCCTTGACACGGTCATCTTCGCATTCATCCCGCAGGTTCTGTACTGTGTCCTCGATTTTCGAATCCTGGATCTTGTTCCGGGTAAGTCGCGGTAGGCCATGGAGGATGTCAAGAATCTGTAAGACGACATTTGGGTCGTCCTTCCAGGTGATGATCGTTGTTTTGAGAATTTCGTAACCGTGCATGCGAATGACACGGTGGCCGACCTCTTTGTCGCCATTGCTTTGCTGAATTCGGTCAAGGAGCTTGACAGCTATCCATTTCTCCGTGCACTGGCGAAGAGCAGCCATGACTTTGGTGACACCGCGTGCATCCAGCGACTTAGGTTTGAGATCGTTGACGTACTCCTCATCATCTTCACTGGCCTTCTTCTTGCGTGGCTTCTTCGCGACGGCGGTTTCCCAGCTGTCTCCGTCGTCAATCCCAAGTGCTTCAATCGTCGCGTGTGACAGCTTCGTGGAGTTGTCAGTCTGTGTCTTGCCTCCAATGAATCCAGAACAATTTGGCTCGCCGCAATAACAGGGTTGAGGATCCGCGCCATAACGATCGACATTGTAGTTGAAGACCAGCTCTTCGCCAGCCTTGATTCTTCTTTCAGCAAAGATGCCCATGCGGAGCTTGTCGCCTACCACCCACTTGTCTACGTAGCAGTTCGGATTACACGAGTGGTTGCAAAAGCGCCCAAGGTTGCCTTTCTTCGTCGCGTCGACGAACTCGCCTTTGGTGAGCGACATAAAGTAGAAGTGCTTGATTCCCTCCTGGTCATACTGTATCATGCGGCGACGGAAGGCGCGCTCCTCGATGACTTCACCAATGTATTCGAAAATAAAGTCTCCCGGCTTCATATCAGCGTTAGCCCGAAGCCCAAATCCCTTTTTCTCTGTTTTGATGACGGTCACGTTGGCGTACTCTTTCCGTTGGAAGCGCTGGTTTTGGCAGTCGCGGCCGCATCCGCAATCACCAACACACTCCATTTTTGTGGCGCGGTTGATACAGTCCGAATCCTCGCCGCAGGCATTGTTGACTCGTTCCTTAGGATCTGCGAGCGGTGTTAGCAGGCAGAGCGCGCAATGTGTGTGGTGGTGATTGGGTTGGTGACTTACCCCACTCCTCGGAACAGTCACACTCCAGCGCATGTTCGGTGGTGCCGATGTGCTTATTGGCATAGGTGCATTCAGACAGAACATCAAAAGTTGCCTTCGCGTCCTGCGTAGAGTCAGGCAGATCGAGGTACAGCGGCGGCGGGCGCGAGGCGATTTTGTGCGACGCGGTGCGCGACAGCTTGGGTGCCTTCCCCGGCTCCATCTTCAAGGTGATCTCGCCACCAAGCACCTCTTCCTGCGTGTTCGGCTCGGGCGTCGAAGTGTCGGAGGGTAGCTGCTTGACTGGGGACTGCGATTTGGATCGAGGCTTGCTGCGAGCGGGCATCAGCAGGGGGTTGGGCGTGCGGACGTCGCCCTCCACCTTCACTCGAGCGGGAGCACCCGCGCTTTCCCCGGAAGGAGAGGCGCCTTCCTCAAGCTTCATGCCGCGCAGCTCGGGCCCCAGCTCAGCAGCCTGGTCGGACTCGCGGTCTGACATGGTGGCAGAAGGGCGCGGTAGATGTGCGTGCGCGGGTTTATCGTGTGCGGAACAGGAGCCTCAAAGAACTTGGGCACGCTAAGAAGGTCCGGGTGCTGGCTACGCGTCGACAACCATGGCCTTGCTTCCGCACAGATGGCCAAAGCACTGCAGCAAACAGACGAATGTGCCCTCCTTGATTTCTTGCGGATCAAACAAAAGTTGACGGGCGCAGGCTTGTCACAGCTTTCGTCTCGAGCCTCTGGGCAGGGAGGCAAATCTTTGCTGTGCAGACAACACAGCGGCTCCAAGCGCACTACAGATCCACGAACAGCGGGACAGACGGTATGTACGGACAGAGTAAAGCGAGGAGGGTATGCGAGGAGGGAAGGTTGCGAGAGCAATGGGAGGGATCTGCTTCCGACATAGAGTTCAGACACAGTTTCGCGACTCGGGTTCGGCGCGGTCGGAGCGCAGTTCGATTCGATTGGCCAGGCGACGTGCGAAACAGTTCGGAGAGGAGGCTGCACAGTGTGTCGAGCAAACTGTTGGCTTGCGCCGCGCAGGAACAGTCGAGGCCGCAGAGGTTGGAGTAGGCTTGTGGAGGTGCTGCGCGATGCTCCCGTCTCGGCTAACTGCCGCTGCTGCTGCACCGGCGTCGGCATGGCCTTGGCCTTGGGGAACAAGGAACATGTTTGAGCGGGAATGTGATAAATATAATTGGCCGCGTGTTTGTCAAAATGTAGGATAACCAAAAAGCATATAGGCCGTTCGCTAGCTGCCGCAACAATGTGCCAGCCGTTGATGGGTTCCTTTGACGAGTTCCCGGGAGGTCCGACGAACAGGTGGAGAGAGCTTGTCACTTGTCAGCCAACAGACGAGTGGCTACAGGACGATGGTTGCACACTCGCTACACGGGTGCCTCGGTGTTTTGTCATTGGGTCGCAAGCTGTTCATCGTGCCATCTAAATCATCTGTTCTGGAAACAGTATCCAGGTTCCTTATCTGCTCTTTGGGTTTGTGCCGTGCCATCCTGATCGGCAACGAACGCAGAGATATCGTGCGTAGTTACATGCAGGACGCCGTATGCATCATACCCTGGAACATCTGAGCAAGCATTCACCTGCGTAGAATGAGCATAGAACTGTAGCCGAGACAGTCGTAGAAGAATACGGCTGCGACACAGCTCGCGCGAGAGGACCCAAACGACATGAACACATGCGCGGTGACGCTGTCCAAGAAAGTCGACTATTCAGAAGTAAACTAGCGAAATGGGTATGTGCATCTCATCTGATAGTCTGTCTGTATGTCTCACCTTGCACTCCAGGTTCTGGCTAGCGACATCCTGTAAAACAGCTCGTATACGCAGGGCACGCTACGCGTACTACACGCCAATGCCTGGCCCTTGCCGCTTATGCCCGGTGCATCTACGTAGCCGTTGCGGTAGGAGGGCCTTCCTGCTTCTGTACGGGTGTTGCAGACGGGGCCCTGGGAATGAGGTGTATCGATGTGTACTCGGGCTTGTACCGACCGTGCTTAGGCGAACCGGCCGACGAGATACGAATCGATACTAGCCTGCATGGGCCAGTGTCTGCATCGAGCGCATTCACTTTGTCAGTCCAACAGAGCAGTTGAGAGAGCGAGGTAATTCTCGAAAAGCAGCGAGCAAGGCCAATCAGATAATTCTGCCCCCGCACCACGTCCGGCATTGCATTCCAGACTGCGCGGGCGTTGTTTTGCGCGCGTGGTGACGTTGGGTGTAGACGTGAAGCGTTCGTGGTCTTTTCGGACGGCTTGCCGCTAGTCAATCTGTAACGATAGTGCAATACAGACATGGCTCAGTTTCATGCGCCATCTGCAGCTACTTGTCTACCGCATTCGAGGCATCTCAACGCCGTCCCGCGCCCAACGACGGATGGGCCCAGGGGCGCTGTACGCAACCCACGGATGAGGTAATCGCCCAAACACACAGCACGATGCCTCGTCGTCCACGGGCGGACGTGGCCCTCGAGGGAGGGCCATTGGTGCTACGTGGCAGCGCGGGTCGCAGCCAGCGCGGCCGTCTGTATAAAGGCCGTCTGTACCTTGCAGCGAGCCTGCGAGCTCTCGTCTTGAGCTCGTAACGTGCGGACAATGTCGACAGCGACCTCGCGGATACCGCCGCGCAAGCCTCGCAATGCGTTCCGCTTCCCCGTGAGATGGGGCCTCTGCCTGCGATGCGCCTGCCGTGAGCCTCTTCTTCGACGTCGACGCTCCACCGCTCCCGCCTGTCCTCTCGTTTTCGGCGGCCTGACTGCGACGCGTTGCAGTGTGCGCAACAGAGCTGCAGGCGCGCCTCCGTCCAGCAGCTCGACGGCTCCAAAAGGCGGCCCTGTGCGCTTTGTAGCAGGCCCGCCGTGGTGTTACAGGCCATGCCGGGGTCCGCGCGCACCACCCATTGGCCGTGGGCCCGCAGGCGTTCTCCCGCGTCCTCCTCGGTGGCGCCGCAGCGACGAACCACCCTCGCAGCAACTGGAAACGCGAGCAGCGGAGCCGGGTGGAGCCCGCTTGACTGCTCCTGGGCGCAGTGGCCAGCACCTGCGGAGCGGCAGAAAGTCTCTCGAAGTTTATCGTCAAATTGCGCTCCTGCAAGTCATCATCCAGGATAATCGGAGCTGCATTAGACTAACTCTCTATAACCCGCGTCTCCATTCTGTCCCTAATTCTGCACCCGTCGCCGTCTCTTCTTCTCCCAGCGGCCAGCCTCATGGTTCCCTTCTGACTCGCTCTGCCTGCTGGCATGAGGTCTCCTTGATACTTTCTGTTTCGTCACTCTCGTTTGACTGATTCCTTCTTACCACTCTCGTTACTGCCCCTACATCTGCCGCCCCCTCGAGATCCGCTTCTCTTACCGCGCGCCTCTGCGCCTACTTTACTTACGGCCTGCTAATCGCTCGTTACCCTATTCGTCTGGTTGCATGTCGCCCAACTCGCGGCGAGTATTTTGTCGACCTCTCCCCGCCCATTGCTGGACGTAGGCACAGCATGGATCCCCACGAACAGCCGTGGTCAGAGCACGAGGTATGTGCCGCAATCCCCAGCCGCCAGTAGCGCCCCCAAGTCGCTGACCACTCCTGCCAGAGGGTAAACCTACTCGCCGAAGTCTTGCTCAAGGCAGGCACCAGTCCCTCGCGCGTGCTCTTTGGCGCCATAAGAGACTCGGGCATCCAGGTCAGGTGGAACGACCTGGTGCTGCCAAATGGTGAGCCGCTGTCCTGTGCTGTCGCCGTCCCCTCAGTTGCTTGGGACGACTTGTGGGCTTCGACTGAACACTGACATTAGACTCGTGTCGTTGCTGACCCACTCACGTAGGCCGCTCACTGGGCTCCTGTCACAGAGCCTTCGATGACCTCGCCGCGCAGGTTCAACCGAGCGAGTATAGACACCCTGTCCCACCGCCTACTGCTCCCATCATCTACCCTGGTAGTCGCGAGGTCCCACAGAAGCGCCCGCACCCCGAGTCGTACACACCGATCCAGCCGCGACCGTCGCAACCCCCGTACATGGGCATAGTTAACCAACATACGTACGGAGCGAACATACCACCCGCGGGTGAACCGGCAAACAAGAAGAAGCGCGGCCGACCACCAAAGGCAGTGACGGAGATGAGGAGACAAGAGGCACAGGCAAAGGGAGAGCCGTACCCCCCACCCCGGAAGTCGAGACCCTCCATAACGTCAAGAGACCCGTCCCAGGCTTCGCCTGGAGGCCCGTTGTCATACGCGCGAACGCCACCAAGCGCTTCGCTAACCGCGCCTACTGGAGCAGCCACACCACAGGGTACACAGCCGCCCGAGCCAAACACAGAATCTTCATCGGGGAAGAAGAAGCAGAAGCCCGCACCACTTGAACTGGGTTCACCCCCTAACTTGTTCAGACCGGCTACGGAGAATCCCAGCTCGGTATTCTCGAACTTCACGCCCAACTCTGCTCCCTTCTCCTCCTCGCCCAAGAAAAGCAGCGACGCACACATTCCCCACGTGCAGTATGGATCCCAGGGCCCTTCACCCCGCCAAAGTCTGGGCTCGGACGTAAGAATGGAGGGAGTCGAAGACACCCAACCCCGAACAACAACACCGCATTCGTTCAAAGACACCGTCGGCATCTGAGCGTTCCTTTTGTCACAAAAGCATTCACGGCGGTATCTGATTTGAGAGCGTTCCGACGACCTTTTCACGCAGTCATGATGACATTCCCATGATACCACTGGATCAATGGAGGGTATGCTGCAGCTTTTACGCATGTCGCATTTTACGAGCACGTTTTTGCGCTGCTTTCTTTTTCGCTGTCTCTTCCATTTATGTGCTTTTGTTCTGATTCTCTGCCAACGTTCTTCTTTTGCACTGCATGCATTACTTCTCACGAAGTCGAGATGTCACGGTCGCATACCTATAATGTCTTCTATTTCTATCTAACGACCTCACGGACACTGTACCAGTTGTTCTTTCCTGCATTTCATTGCGTGTACGATATCTTAAGCTCGCCTTTGATGCCATCAATTTTCCTTTCTTCAAAATACGCAACGGCCTTGTACAAAAGCACTTGTTAGCGAAGCATATAGTAGGACGCAATTACTCTGTACCTCGAGACCCCGATGATCGACCTTCGCGCATATTGCCCAGTCCAGTTCATCCCAGCTACTCATGGCATCCCAGGGTTGAGGTTGTTGCGGCGCGGTTACACGTACACTCGACACTGCACGTCAGTCCGGTCCCGTCCACGCCAACCTATCAAGCCCTCCGGTACCACCAGCGGCGACTGCATGCCTCCCAAAGAGAAAATTCCAGCTCGTTGAGCGCGCCACCCTCTCCCAAGAGCGTCGCTGGTCAGCGGCACGAGCTGGTGAAGATCCGTGCACATGACCTAATGCAGGCACCAGGGGGTCTGCGCGAGGCAAGCGCTAAGCTGCAAACCGGGCACCCCTCGCGTTCTTTCAAACGAAACAATGCACCTAAGCGCCGTTCCGTATTGCCCTACGGCCCTACGACCCGCCCTACGCAAAGCGACGCAAATCTCTCCGATCGAACTGCCCTATTCGGGCGCGCAGGAGCACCGCACTGGCGCGGTGTTTGCGGCTCAGAAAATCATGTTTCAAGCGCACCAACCGCTTGTGGGGGGGACTGCGGTTTGGTCAATGCAGCGCTGCGAAATGCGAAATGCAATGCAGCGCGGACAAGGTCATGGTAGACAGCATTGCAGGGCGCCATGCACCAACGCACGCACCCGTCCTCCGAACGTCCTGCCCTCCAATTCACCGGCGCTTCTCAGCCAACCGAATTAGCCCGCTGCACATGTCACTGTCATGTCGCGGCGACTGCTGAAATCGCACTCACGCCCGGCTAAAGTAGCTCGTCCACCCCGATCGGATGCTACAAGCAAACACAACAGATCCCTCGTGGAGCCGAGTGGGATGGCCCTCCGGAAACAGCTCCGTCCGCGTGTTTCGACTCTCTGTACCACCCTCTCGCCGCTAGCGATTGGCCCTCGATGTTCTTACCACGGTGGGTCTACGGTCTACCCCCCGACTGCTATGTTTAGCTCGGGAGAATATGCGATGGCGACATGGCATGCCTGGGCGATCTCTCGTCTCCCGTGGTTTTATGAAGCCTGAAACAATACATGGCTGGCGCTGGCCACGGACCGGGCGTGTGGACGCTTTTTGCTTTTTGCTTTCTTTTCTTTTTTCCTGGAGTAGAAGGTGGGCAGGGTTCAAGTTCTGTTCTCCGTCCTCCATTCGGGTCATATCCCGTGAAAAGCTTCAGTGTGTACCGAGGGTGCACGTGATGCCCGTCCCGTCTTTTCCACGTCTTCTTTGCTGCTCTTCTGCTCGGGTGTGCTGGTCGTTGATCTCCCGCCCGCTCCCCATGTGACATCCTGCTTTATCCTACCCCATACTTCCCCTCCCCATCCTATAGCACATCCCCCCACCCGCAGCCGCAGAAATTACTCTTCCCATCCACACTCCGCCCCGCCCCGCACCTGCAGATCCAGCTGCTATGATCGCCAGCCCCTATATCACGCCCGGCAAGTCGCCGCGCCGAAGGCGGTCTCGTACGACGTTTGGCGTGGATTGTGGGACGTGAGGTCGTGGTACGGAGGCGATGTCACGGTGGGTGTGGGGACATGGGGCGTGTTTTATAGGGTCGTACGGACGGATTTTGCGGATCATTTGAGGAGATGCTGAGGAGCTGTGGATGAAAACGTGAAAGTTGTGGGCATGTACTTGGTTCCCATGCGGAGTTGGACTTGTGATGATGCCCGCACTGGTCAGATGCCGGAGTACGCAAAAGAGAGGCCTGGAATGACGGTGCGTATGGTAATGCCGTTCGGTTTGAGCGTTTGAGTGCAGGCGGGATCGTGATTTTGAAGTGTGGAAGTGCTTGCCCTATGCGGCTTTTCGGTTCGCGAAGCGCGGTCAAGTCATGCCAGGCGTTGTGATGTGCACTGCGATGTTGCTATATTTAAATGTTCAGTTACAGGCAAGAGAGTGCTTGCTGGATTGGAAAACTTCATTGCTGAACTACCCCAAAGTCATGTCTGGAGTCATGGGGGCGTAGAGTCATGAAACTCCGTTTGGAGCTTCGATGACATGTATGAGAACGTATGCACCCCAAACAGATCTGCCGCCGAAATACATCCATATCATGCCTGGAGATGCGGTGCTCGCGCTCTGTCTGTATGTGCATTCGCAAAAAGGAGAGTTTCTTAGCCCAGATGAGTCTACCACCGAAGTAGAGCGAAGTTATGTTGGGAGTTACGTGCATGGAGCGCATGGGAGGCATTGTGGTATGTGACCGCGAAGTTGTAGCTAACCTCCAGCTTTGCATTGCTCGCTTCTACATGTGCAGTATTGAAGAGTGCCTTACCCACCAACTTCAATGCCGAGGAAAGAGCGTCCGATTCGCCAATGATCGCTATGCTTGAACTGCATGGCTGGTATGACTCAAGTACGCGAAGACGAGGGTTATGGTCAAGCTTAGAGGAAGAATCCCTACCCTTGAGAAGCATTTCATGACTGTCTGTCGCATGTCTGGCCACTGATGGCAGTTCAGTGCCTTTTGCTTATGTTTCAGACTTGTGATGAGGATTGTAAAGCAGTATGTGGTCGGCGTTGGAAGGCAGCGTTTCGGTACCAGTAGGACGGGTTTTTCATAATGGTGCAGTTCTTGCAATATCCAGAATCTCTTGACCATAGCAGTTTTATGCAAGCTGAGGCCCACTGTATTCAATGGAATGCACGCCCTCAGCGCTGAATCGAGCCGCAGACTCCAGGCTTACCTCGAATGTGTTTCTTCATTCTACATATAGAAAAACGGACCGGAAATCTTCCTCACGCTACCCAAGGAACATGGTACGCATGTTAGTGCTATTAACCTGTCCCGTGCAAGAAATGGCTGAAGATTGTTAATCTTAGACATCGGTCGATGGACTACCAGGAGTCATCATCTTTACGTTGCCACTGGATGCAGCTTCCTCCCAACATGGAGATTCGTTTTGGCCCTAAAAATGTGTATTTTAAGGCTGCAATCGGGCCGTGATTCTTTGAATAAGCCATAGTAGCGGTGCTTTTCCTGCAGTGTAACCGTTAGATTTGCTTGATTGTTTGAGCGTTTGAGCGAGGTGGGATATGAGCTGAAGGCAGATTGAACGTTGTTCTACCAGTGTGACTAGCTGAGTTATGCCAGGATGATGCAGGCCGAAGCGAATAATCTGCAGCCCCAACTACAAACCCTCTAGCTGGTCGGTCTCAGGTCTTCATCAGAACCTTGCGCGTCCCTTTCCCATCGCATACTTCCCTAACTAGACATTCAGTCCAGCCATGTCGGTCTGGAGGTCGCTCTTCGATGCCATTGCAACAATTGCCGGAGGCGGCTCGCATGTCTCCGGGCGATCACGTGTGCTAGAGAGGCTCTACAAGGGTTCGGACAGCGGGCCAACCGACTGGATAAGCGTCTCTGGCAGCAAAGATCACAGCTCCATCGTGATAGTTGACATGCCATCTGATTCCGACCAATTCCCAGAAGGTATGGTAGAAACTGGCAAGCAGACACCTTACACACTCCTCAACCTGCCTCCACAATCTGCTGGTTCTTGTGGAGTATGTATGATACAAAACCCTACGGGGACAGACAATCTTTTCAAGGTACAGATCGAGCGGTTAGTGTCTGTGCCTTTCAATACCTTCTACAAGGCCAGAGCCATATCCTTTATGTCAGCAGGGGGACAAAACAATGGATGTTTGGAAGGCGACCAGGTTGGTCACCGGGATTGAATCGTTCCTGACTTCATTGCAGCTAGCGGAGAAAAGCCTCAGCGCGCCCGTCAATTTTCGAGAGCTTCTGGATGAGATGCGAGGTCAAAGCTTGTTGCTGGAAAAGAAAGCTTCTTCTGTCTCAGCGCGCCTAGATAACCGACTGAAGTTTCTTGAGATCGGGCGAAGCTTGTGCGAGTCCGAACGCGTGAAATATTTGAGCTTGCTGGCTGTCATCTTCTTACCATTTTCTCTGGCTTCGATTCTCAGCATGCAGACAAGGTTTGGAGACTTAACTTATCTACTCTATGATTTCTTTGGGGTTATATCTCTCCTGGGTACTATGACGTTCATCCTGCTAGGTATTGTTCGACTACTGCAATCCGCATATGACATGTTGTATAATTGGATGGAGACTCGGCCGCCATCAACCGGGTACCGAAACGCACAAAGATGGCGGGTTGGCAAAAACGCACCCTTCATTACGATATCAGCATTTCTTGCTCCGTGGGTCCTTACTGTGGCGTCGTTCTTGGTTGCTATGATACACAACGTTGGACTAGGCCTCAAGATTCTTGGCTATGGTTTGGGTGGCATGATAGTTCTCTTCATTGCTAATTTCCTTGTGGTTTGGATGGTTCGAAAATAGCTTGGCTATATGTGTAAATCCATGCCAGCGGCCAAACGCAATATTACTGGTGTTGTACTGTCACTCCATGGTCGCTACGCTAGGAATACCGCGGCGCTGGAGCTGTTAAGATGCACGGCTTTACGGCTTCTGAAACGGTTCCATAGCCAACTGCATCTAACTCACCATCAACAATTGTATATTAATATTGATTTATAATATGCAGCGATTGCGTGGCCATCGTGATATAATGAAAGATCGATTTGTTGTAGGTTCTTTCAAATCCAAGTTAATTTAAGATACCCAGTTCCCGTTTTAACGAACGATCAATTACCTGAGGTATCCTACTATGCCACCAGCGTGGCTCACCTATCCTGGTCGTAGCCCTTCACCTATATTCTCCCTACTGCTATTCGCCATGTCTGTTCTTTCAATGACGTCAATGAGCTGGCTTGTATTCGATAAGGAGCCCATGGATCGAAATGAGGGCTGGCGTTTTGTAGATCTAAAAGTTCATAAACCTTCCTCAAATAAGCGATCCTGTGTTTTTTGGTGGATGATCCAGGGCTTAGCCCTTCTAATGGCTATGGTTGCCATAGAAACATACCCGAAGTGACTCACTGATTGCGCCTCTACCAAATTGTGACAGGATAGTTTATAGCCGGGGTTTACATACTCACGCGAGAGCTTACGCCAGATCGAAACCTGGTGTGGACCGCTAGGTGTTCGCGATATTGCTTATTCGAAGTAACCTAAATAGGCTACAGCTGCCTAAACGGGGAGAGGCTGAGCGTCATGCTGGTCATCTTCCGCGACGCAGTTCCCTCCTTCTCACCAATTCGAGGCACAGGGTTTGTTTGCACACGCATGAACGGTGATTGTGATAGCTCAGCAACACAATAGAGGAAGCGGCTCAGCTTCACGAACGGACTCTCTTAGCCTTACAAGCTCTCATTAAATTTGTCCTATCTTTCGCAATTTGCGTCTGCAACGCATGCAGAAAAGCCAGGGGGGAAGTTCCTGGCCTGCCACAGCCACAACGTGATCTTAAAGTGGAGTGTCTTTTCCACACCAACTCAGACATGGTGGCCAAAGGAGACAAAAGCGCAGAACTAGAGCCATACGAGTACGAACCACTTTCTACGCTCAACACAATCCGTATTTTCTGCCTGGAATCTGCAGACGCGGAAAAGGATCCGCTGAGGGGATATCTCATCCATTTCGACCGCTACGAGGAGCTTGCCAAGTCAGATCATCGGCGGAGATATACCGCTGTGTCGTATACGTGGGGCGCACCAGACTTCGCGGAACGCATTGTGATAAGTAAGCCTGGAAGCGAGCAGGAGAGCTACCTGAAGATTACCGCAAGTGTCAGGGTGATGCTTGAGCACTTCCGTACTAAGCGAAAGAAGAAACTGTACCTCTGGATCGACGCGATCTGTCTTAACCAGCACGACGACGCTGAGAAGGCGCAGCAGATTCCGTTAATGGGAGATATCTACCATCAGGCGCACAAGTCATATTTCTGGCTTGGGTTGGAAGACGGCTTCGACGCCGCTAATGTTTTCACGTATTTCCGTCTATTAGCAATCACGGATTCCAGTCCAGACTTGACAGGTAACTTTGGGAAGGATCGTCCAGAAACAAACCTTGCAAACCAGATTCAAGATTTTCTCAAGAGGGGCTGGTTTTTTCGACGCTGGATACTGCAGGAAGCTGGACTGTCTCGCCATGGACTTATGTGGTGTGGTCTTCACACGATCCAGTATGATCTGTTCGTTTTGGCATGCAGAAAATTGCTCAGGAAGGGCATCGATATTAATAGCGACGAGAAGCGACTTCGCGATACATTCGCCATCAAAACCACGGTAGAGATTCACGATCTTGTACAAGGGTCTCGGAAATCACAGGATGTCCTTGATATGATGTGGAAGTTTCACCAGAGTCAGTGCTCAGACGAGAAGGACCGTATTGGTGCCCTTTACGGACTAATCCCCTCGTCTGAGCGACCACTGCTTAACTTGGCAGCTCCATATCTGCGAATCTACGAATTATGTGCCGTTGAACTTGCGAGGAAGTCTTCTGATGGACTCATAGCACATTTGACACATTTTCAACCGATATACCAGACCAAAAGCATTCGAGCACCTTCTTGGATACCAGATTGGTCACGAGAGAGACATGAGCCTCCATTGCCCATTCTCGTGAACAAGCACATGCTCCTGGGGAAGAATTTCTATGGAAAGCTTCGCCAACAACAGTCCATCGATTATTATGAGGACCAGGAATTGTGGAGAAAGTTCCTAAAGCGCGAATGCCAAGATATACTCCAGTGTACAAGGATGTCCACATATTACGACACCAATGGTACCCAAATAGAGGCACAGTCTTCTAGCTCTACAGAATCCCCAGTCTTAAGAATACAGTGGTATCACCCAATCACACACAGATATGGTATGCCTATCTGTGCAGTCATGGCAGTCCGTTCGAAGCCAGAAGGATCCCGGATTCCTACTGATTTTGCTCAAGATCTACAGACTATTGCCCAAACGCTCCTGGGGGACCCTCGTCTAGATCAATTATGCGCGCTCATTGCACGGATCGTCTTCAAGGACCAGGGGTATAAAGAAGAAACACCAAACGTACTGGCATGCTTCACCGACATAGCCAGCAGGACTCTGGAGCTCGAATCCTTGACGAATCAATTCGACACACAACACCTCTCATCAGGACACGTGGTGCAAGCAATGGCAACGTTGTTTTTCAGATACAGCTTGGCACTCATCGAATGGAACTGTGGGAGTCACAATCACATGTACGCAGTCGGACCTTCCACGCTCGAAGTAGGCGATCGCTTGATACCGCTCAACAACTTGCCGTCAGCCTCGGCACAAAAGAGGACCACCTTCATGCCGGCAATTGACGACTCCTTACTTGAACATCTGATGGGTGTCAAATTGCACAATCGAGAACCTGACACCATTACCAGAGCAGCTCAGGCAGAAACCAAGGCAGAGTCCGTGGAAGTAGCCACAAGGCCGCGTGAGATTAAGCCTCTGCGTGCTACGTATGTAGGCATATGCCTCAGTTCCATGCCGGCTCGTCTCCGAAGCTTCAAGAAGAGTGACGGGTCCCTTGTCACTGATGAATTGGAAAAAGGAATGTTGAGGAGGAAGTTTGCGAAGCTCCGGATAGAGGAGTGTAAGCGTGCAGACGAAGAAGAGGGACCTCCGCCTCATGTTATAGACATCGTGTGAAATAGACCCAAGCACCTAGACGAAGCTTCGTTCTGATCGTTACGTGTGGTGTAGACTGGCGGGAGAAACACCAAATGCTTCCATTCACGTACTGAAAACCTCGAATCGTTTCTCAGGACACAGTCAGATGCTCGCAGTGACATACATATGTAACGGCCACTTGTGTTTCTCCTTGTTTCTCGCTTTTTCAAGCAACCATGCACCCCTAACCAGTCGATTCCTTTCTCTTGCCCGACACCTGGTCAAGTCTTGGGTATTTTCTCAAGGTACAGCTTTGGCTCAGTGAGCAGTGGTGATTGCCGTTGCTCTCCCGTCACAGTATCCCTCAATCAATGCTGAAACGCTTGTTGAACGTCGATCTCAACGTCTTTGAAATTGAGCCACAAACCCCAAGACTTGACTTTGCCTTGATGCTAGTCAACAGATCTTTCCTCCTCCTCCTCCTCCTCCTCCTCCTCCTCCTCCTCCTCCTCCTCTTCTTCTTCTTCTTCCTCTTATCCCAACTGAAGGTGTATAGCTTGATCTCAATCTCCCCCAACCACGACGACTTTTGCTTCTGCTTGCGAACGTCTAGGGTCTCATGAACTTTAGAAGGCCATGATGCGGAGTCTAGGTCGCGCGTATGTGAGTCTCTCCGGCGTCATAGACGTTACAAGGCCTTCATGGTCTGGGGTATCCGTGAAGACTGGGCGCCTTTGTATATGTATTACGTTAGCGTGCCATGACCTGGTATGGGAGGTGAGACCTACGGTCTGCGTGGTGAACGTGTCTTTCCGCCCCTCCCCTACCTACGGATCCATCGCCCGCGTTAGACGTCTGCGGGTGCAAAACAGCGACGCAAAGATGTTGCGCAACCAAGGCTCCAATGTGCAGCCTAAATACAACAGCAGTCTCACGATGAATCCACACGTCGGAGAAGCCGTCGCCTCAGCAACTGCGTCACACGTTGTTTAATTTCGATATGATGCATTCATGTTCTCCACAGGCCAACTACGTGGCGCAGATACACGTCCTCTGCTACCATCTCTTCGACGCAAGCCTTGACGCCTCCCTCCTGTTCTATCACCTACCACCCTAGCAAGCAACCAGTCAAAGATACTAGGCCGTAACACACGTATGCCAGAGACGTATCGCACATATCCCCTGTATGCTGCACAGAAACATCCGCTAATCGAGACAAAATATTATAGAGACAAACAAATAGATACGAGGACGTCGCCGAGTGGCCGCCTCGTGGGTATCACCTTGCTAACGGGAGTAGGAACTCGAACCAAACCGGACCGATAGGAGAAACCGAGCCGCCCGTGGAGGGAAAAAGGAAATGTACCGCTTGGAACGCCGGATTCGAGTGTATGTGTGTTGGTGGGTGTACACGTGAGTGGAGCAGCAGCATTTCGTTAGCCGTATGCCGCGTTGCGGCGTCTTCTCTGCGTCCCCAAGCGTTCTCGCAAAGAAAGCCAGATCACTCCGCCCCAGGCCTTTCCAAATTAATCTTTAGTCGATGCCCCACGCCCTCCCTCTCACAATACTCGCCCAAAAACCTCAGCCCAAACCGCACCGCCTGAACCGGGCTAGTATCGTTCTGAATCGGCAAAAAATACGGACCGCTCAGCTTCGTTGCAGCCATCTTTTCCTTGGCCGCCTTCTTATCCCACTCCGCGCCCGCCCACGTTTTGGGATACATCTTCTCGAGCTCCTCCATTGGCAGCGCAACCCGCGCGTCCGCCGTGTGCCGCTGCAGCTTCTGGTAATGATCGGACAGCAGGCCGAGGTTCTCAGTGAGCTGGGCGTGCTGCTTGGTGAGCTCCGCGACGGAGAGCTCGTGAGGGGAGTCGTGGGCTTTAGGGTTGGGCGCGCGGGGCGCGACATGTGTGCAGATGTTTGCGGCGATGACGGCGCCGAGGTAGGAGCGGAAGCCGTCGAGGTGCGTGAAGTCCTTTGTGAGGCGTGCGTATGAGGAGCACAGGGGGAGGAGAGTCTTCCACGTGGATTCGACTTCGGCGGGGCGGCCGCGGAGCAGGAGTGATTGGTCTTGTGCGTGGTAGGCGGCCATGTAGGAGCTGGTGGGGAGGATAAGCCTTGGGACGGAGGTGGGGATGAGGAGACTTACAGGATGCATTCGAGACCAATGACGGCAGCATGCTTTTGGTCTGCCTTGGTGAACTTTGCAGCTTTGTCGCGCTCCAGCTTCTGGCCTTCGTGCTTTAATGACCGCCCCATTTGGTTCAGCTTCATCGATGATTGCTGCAGGAGAGAAATATCCATCTGTTTTTTGCCACCTAAAGGCGGAATAGAGGCATGTGCTTGTGGATCTAGACGAGCACCCGTCGGTGTTGCGCCTGACCTTCCGGGAGTAGAGTGTTGGCTTTCTGTAGAGTTTGTCCGAAGCATGTTCACCGCCTTCAGATCTTTGCGAGGCGTGACGTATGAACCTTGGCTCTTTTGCGCGCTCAGTTTGTTTGATGCAACTGGAGACGAGGTAATTTGGTCTCTGGGTGTGATAGGGCGGTCTTGTTGGGAGGACACCGTGGACGATCTTGGACGCTTGGCTGGTACCGGTGATGCTTGAGCCGAATCGTCTTGCCGTGGCCGCTTCTCCGTGACCTTGATTGCTGGTACGGGTGCCTTGGACGCAGTTGCCGGGTGCTCAGGGCGGCGTGCTGCGACCTTTGGTATCGGCTTGGTTTTCTTCTCGACACTATCTGGGGCCTTACTTTGCGACGCTGATTTCTGTGCTGGCTCATCGCGTTCCTTCCTAGTGGTAAGGGCATCTCGTCTGGGTGGGAGTGCAAGCAGCCTCTTTAGGGTCTCCCGTGACTTCTTGGAGAACTTGAGCTTCACAATGAGGCTCGGCTCATGGTCATCGCTGTGATCGGCGGGCTCATCAATGGGCGACTTTCCGTTCATCGAAGTTGACCGCGCTCGGGAGACATTTTGCGATGCCTCTCCGTCCTTGCTGGTAACAGGCTTCTTCGATGCACTGCGTTCGGGCACGGGCAAGGTTTTATTTCTGTTGTGATCGGACGATGACACTGAAGTATTGGAGTCCGCTCGGCTTCGCGTCTCTATTCGATCGAGCTCCACCTGAATGTTTGGGGGAAGTGTGGGTGAAAGAATGGTAGGAAGGCCGTGCGGGTTGCTCAGCGGCTGCTCTACTGGTGACAACAATGGCGGCAAACCGTGAGGCGTTGAGTCAGAGGGACCAGATTTGTCAATGTTCATCTTGGATTCTGCAGACTCGGACTTTTGTGATGATGGAGCAGAGTCGGCGCGGTCGCGCTTATCAGGTTTCTCAGATAATTTCTTCTCCGGCCTGCAAATCTATCAGCACAGGCCAAACACAAAGCTCGTCCGACATACCGTTTTGATGGCGCCGATTCATTCTTCTCCTGCTCATAGGCCGAAGCTTGCGCGTTTGACAACTTGACTCCGTTTGTTTGGGTAACACTGGGCTTGGTAGGCTGTAGCGCTGGCGATACCTTCTTGGAGCCCGGCGCGCTGGCGCCATTGGCCTGCTTGTTCTTATAGTCCGCAAGGCTGATCTTCTTCTTGGGCCGTTCACTGGAAACAGTGGCCGACTGGGACCTTGGAAGGGGCGCCTCGGGCTCGTCGTCTTCGCCGGGCTGCAGGGTAAAGCAGTCCCGGTACGGTTCGCGGAAGAGATAGGTTCGGTACTGCAAGTACTCCTCCTCGTACTTGAACAAATGTCCCAGCATCCATGCGCGCGCTTCTTGTGAGCTGTGGTATCGATATGGATTGAGCGAGGGCGTCGAGAGTATGTATGGCGTGCGCGGAACAGCAGTCTTGATGCGCTTGAAAATGCCATCTAGCTGGTCCTGGTCTTCTTGGTCCTGGTCTGATAATTGCTTGCGCTTCAGTCCTGTGGTTGGCACCGATGGCTCGAGCGGCCGCTCAGCGCCAGACATGGTGAGAGCGCAAGTGCGGAGAGTTGCGCGGCGTACGCTTTGGGCGCGGGAAGTCTAGTAGAAAGGGGATGCCTAACAATGGGTATGTTCCGGGTATAGAGCGTGGAGGAAGCAATAGGACATGAAGGTGATCGTGTGCGGGCGGGGCCTAAAAGCGCGCGGGGGTTCGTAGGTCGCGGGAGGTCGTCGCGACGTCGGTGAATGCGGCGACAGGCGCGTTAAAGTGAGGGGCAGTGGGAGGAGCAATTGGAGTCTGAATAGCAGCGTCAGCACAACAATCGCATCGCGCTGGTATTATCAGAGCGCAACGCGCTAAGCATACTGACCGTGTATACGTCGGAGCGTCGGTGCAACCTCAGCCTGTGGCCCGCAAAAGGTGATCTGGGCAGGAGCATCCGACCATTCTAGGCTCCTCAATGTGAACCGGGGCAGCAGGGTCGGCGTTTGCAAAAAGTGAGTGCGGCGGCCGCCTACGCGCACGAGAACGAGCTCTGGAGAACGTGCAGCCGGTGACGCTGGACCTGGAGACGCTTGGCGCATCTGATGCATCATTGCTTCTGATTGGCTGGCGCATTTGCTGCCCTCCAGCTCCATCTCTGAACCCTTGCGCTCGCTATAGTGACGTTTCCGCCAGCTTTGTACTGCGCCGGCAGCGGAATCCTACAAAAGTGATGCTATCGCGCAGGCTCTGTACTCCTGGCGGCGTCGTTGTCGCTAGTTGTCCAGGCACACAAGCCATCATCCCACGTCGGCCCGCAGACGATCGTCCCAACACCCTGGCTCGCCTCCCGCTCAACGGCTTCACAGCCGAAGCGCACCCATCCATAAGCAGCCAACAGTCGCACCTTGCAAAACGAGGTGGGCCACGCTCACCGCATTACCACAAAAGCACATACATTGGTCTTCAACAAGTCAGCAACCTGCTCCGATACTGAGTCGCCGATGAGACTTTGATGCATTACACTGGTGATAGAAAGAGTGCGTGGAGTAGGAATGCGTGGGCTCAGTAATGCCTTGTTTAATCAACTGAGTACCTGTAGGGCAAGAAATTCAGTTTGCCATGATTATGCGCGCGAAGAACCCACTGCGCGGTTCTGAAGTGGCCACGAGATACAAAGGTCGGGCAAGAGACATGAAACACTTCGTCCACTAGAAACTACAACATATGTCGCGTAATCTGCACAAAACTTCTCACAGAACATTCGACGCACTGCGCCACTCTCAATTCCATTTCTAGTTTTCTAAAGCAGAAACGCCAGAGCCCAGGGTATATCAGTCTCAGCCAAAGGTAAATCTTCCCGCCTACTCAACGTCTCCCCTCCGACCCCCTGCCACACCACACCACCATCTACGCCTCATACCTCGGCAGCCCCTCCTTCTTCTCCGCCTTCCTCGCCGCCCTCCTCTCCCTCCTATCCAGCTCTTTTGCCACAGCCTTAGCCAACTTCCTCCTCTCCTCCCTCTCCCTCTCCTTCTGAATCTGCTTCATCCCCTTCCCCTTCCACGCCTTGCCAAACTCCTTGCGCCACTTCTGCCCAAACGTCATCATGGCGTCACGCGACTCCTCCGCCTTGCGCTCGTTGGCCTCCGCCTCGTCTTCTGTGTCGTAGAACTCGCTGTCGTCGTCTTGAGCGGTGGGAAGAAGGGATTCCTGTGCTGTAGTGCGCTGGTTGCGTGCGCGGTCCCAGGCTTTGGTGCGTGCGTAGGCGACACTGCCGAGGACGAGGGCGACGACGGAGAGGGGGAAGACGATGAGTACGCCGACCATGACGCAGAGTGCGACGAGATCTTCGTCCATGTTGACGATCGGAAAGTCCGGGTGGCAAATTGCTTTGATCTGGTTTGGGTTGGAGGGTAGGTTCTTAGAGGGAAGAGACAGGTTCGTAGGAGACTGATATAGGAGCGAAAGTCGCCACCAGGGAGTGACAGGTGGAATGCACCCCGGATTGCCGAGGCGTGGCGGTGCAGCGCTAGCGCAAGTGCCAGGGGTGTTGTTGGGCGAGGGCTGCACGTGCAAGCACACTCAAAAGCTCTAGGTATACATTGGATAACGGGCGACACTACTTGTCTGTCATGGAGAGGCATATGGCGCTGAGGTGCGACTGAAGCTCAACCCACCAGTTCTGTATGTATACCGAGCTTAGCCGTTGTCACTTTTGCAGAGTAAACGTGACCCACAGCGCAATTAAACACAGTGCGAACGAGTCCGCGTAGGCCTAATTGAGATTCGAATATAAGGGTTCGTGTCCATGGAGATTATTTTTGTCGCACCTTCAGACATTTCGCACCCATATCACAGGCGCAAAGGCTGGAGAAGTAAACAGCATTTAATACCATACTAGACCTCTCAGAGCACTTGCAAAATGAAATCAGGCCGTAAACTCGTGTCCATAACATACCCATAAACACGCATGAAATCACATGGAGGTATACCTATACACTGGCTCTAAAGCCTTACCATTACTTCCAAGCAGCGAACGACAAGCTGTCAGACATAGCCGCACGGACATTGGGCGCTATTGAAGCCGCAATCGCCGCACTGACTGTTCCGAACAGGCTGGTTGGGCTGGTCGATCTGAATTGGATCGTCGCTCGAAGGGATAGTGCCGCTGCCAGTCCTCTTCGCCGGATAAGACCACTCGTAGTTGTCGAACTTGCTGCCCTTAGGCTCCTGCTCGAAGTATTCTATGCACTTTTCAGGTGTGATCACCTCGTCGATATTCGTAATCGTCTCCTTCCAATCCACCATCTCCGGGTTGGTGTGCACGACAAAGTAGTGGCGGTAATTACGGCGCTCCATCACTACTAGGCCGGAGTAATGATGCGTCATATCCGTATCGGCCTCATGCTGCGAGTGCTCGCGCGCCTCGTAGTACAGGCCCACAGCTTCGGCTAGATCCTGGCGCATGGAGATGACCGGGAAGAAATCGAGACGGCGATTGTCAGCGGGAGGGTTAAAATGCCCGTCAGTCTCGCAATGACCGCTGTCGTGCAGAAGAATATATAGCTTCTCAAGACTAAGGGCAGATTCAGCACATGCCATACTTGGTGATGAGAACGTACCTTATATAAGCTGGGTCTCCTCCTTCAATTTCTGCTTGATGGTTCATGCAGATATCGCCGATCCATTTCATGAGTTCCGGTCGCACTCCAATTCGCCAGAGTAAGATTCCATCGTTGATGTACATACCTGGGACGACATCACTGTCAACGTTCCTGCCTGCTTCAATTTTGGCGAAGAAATGCTCAAAGATAGTCAACGCCAGTTGCGGCTCCTTCATGAATACGTCGTCCGTGATGTATATAATCCCGCCATGTGGGAATACAGCAAACCGGTCGTAAGGTCGCTCTTCTAAGGTTTCAGGATCCCATATGTTATAGTCGGCCACTGGCTGATGGCCAAGTGACCATAAGCGAACCGGACTTCTCAGCACGTCACCGAAACCTGGCAAGCTAGCATAGTCCTCGAAATCGGGAGGGGCGATAATTATACCGCTTCCCCCATCCAGAACCACCTCCCGGAACCCGTTCCAGGCTGCATCAAAGCCCATCCGGCGTGCGCTGAATACTTTCAAGTAATTCAAAGCCAACCACCGTTCGAGTAACAGGGATTGTTCTTTGTATAATTCTGGGTCGTAGAGAATAAGAGCATTTGGGCCTGCCAACACGTCTTCATGCTGGTCTCCGTTACACCTAAGCATTTCGTCCAAGTCAAGAAGCATGGCTTTCTCGATCTGGTGCTTGGAGTAGAGAGCTTGGCTAGCTGACACCGGATCAACTGGCATTGCTTTTTCGGCCATGCGCTTGACGCCAGAAGGTTGATCATTTGACTTTTTGGTGTTGCCATTCTCCTGTTGTATTGTTTTTTTCTCATGATTGTGCTTGACAACATAAGATTTTCCCGCTGACTCAACATCGCTGCGATTCTCTTGTGGCGAAAGGAGACGCGAGTCTTCGGCATGAGCATCCGCATGCCGAGAAGTCCTGCTACCATCTGTTCTCGTGTCTAAGTTTTGCGTTACTGTTTCATGAGCTAGCTCTCCGACAGTCTCGTCCACTTCCATTGAATCGAAACTGTCAACATGCGGCGCAGGAACTGGGTTATGGCGAAACCCTGGTTGATAACCCGGAGGAAAGACCCAGTTTCGGGGAGGGTGCGCGACAATGCCCGTGTAGCGGTGTACAAACTTGCAGTTCTCTTCCGTTTCCTTGCACCTACCTATATTCCAGAAGAAGCAAGTCTTCATATGCGAAGGGATGTCTCTTGCAGGGACACCTGTAGAAACAGGACCAGTAGGCACCGAAAGGCCTTGCAGGACCGGATCAAATCTGGGCGTTTCGTTAGGATCGATCTTCAGCATACCTTGCGTATTGTGGGCCAGATATCCTGTATTTTCGTGTGCGAATTTGCAGTTTTGCGCACTGTTGTCACAACCGCTGAAACCGCGTAGCCAGTAAAAACACGTCTGAGGCGGGTCGTAGAATTTGGGAAAGGCTCCAGCGTTGGCAGGTTTGAGGTTGGGATCGATTGGCTTGAACGGTTCACCAAAAATGTTCCCAAGCATGCCCGTATTTCTGTGAGCAAAGTCGCACTGAGAATACCTCTTCGCGCACCCCTTCGTGTCCATTAGCCAGTGGACACAAGTGATATTGGGATACTTGGGTTCTCCGCCGATCTCTCGCGCCACTTCTCGGGCTTTCGTGCTTCCACATTCAATGTGTGCATCGATTGGCTTTTGCCTAAGCTGGCCGGTGTTCTTGTGGGCATACATGCAATCTGCGTCAGAGTGTCTACATGTGCCCTCGCAAAACCAGGTCCAGCAGGTTTCTGGTTGTTTTCGATACTTGGGCGGTATATTTCCCTTCCAATTCGTAACAGGAAGGAGCTTCCCGTCCGGACCGTGCTCACGGTGGAGAAAATGACAGCCCTCAGCTGTGCACATCAGAGAAGCGACATTAGCAGAGCCTTCGCAAGGGAACAATTCATGGTTGCTGACCTCCGTGGATACATGTGGTGTGCTTCCAATCATAACACGTCATTGGGATTTTACCCTCTTCGTAAGACTGCAATGCAACCGCAATCGTGGGGCTATGGGTCTCGTCTTCTGTCTCAACTTCCATCAAACGGCGTTGTCCTGGCTCGCGGCGTCCGTACGGATCGTTGTGTGAGGGTGCTTCAGACGTAGTATCCGCAGGTTTGGTGGAAATTCCAGCTGGGCGACCATTCACAAATTGCAGGTCGTTGATATCGGGAGTCCCCTCGTCGCGACCACGCTTTTCCGCTACCGATCGATAGTGCAGTGTTCCAAAGTGTTTTCCCTGGGTGTCCCACGCTTTTCTTTGAGGATGCCTTGGCTCGTTGACTATCTTAATGGGGCCTGGATCTCGGGGTCCCTTAGGTACCGAGCGTCCACGGACAGGAACTAGTGGAGACGCGGCGCTAGGACTGGGTTCATCGACTGGAAAGCTGGCCTCGGGAATGTATTTGCGCCTCTGCGGTGGAGACGATGGTTTTGATGGCATTTTAGCATGGGCTCCCAGCGCAGTCCTGCCTGATCGAGACCTCGCTGACCTTCTGACCAAGGGCATGTTGTCAGAGGAATCAGATGATGTTGCTATGGATACATTCTCATCCGACGATGTCGTCTTGGGTACAAATTCATACTCCTCCTCTGAGTCCACAACAGCACGACTCTTCCTCTCGGACGAGACAGCCTGCTTAGCCTTACTCTTAGCTGGCGCCGAGTGATCGAGGGGTGAAAAGGCTGCAGTTTTCGCTTCTTCTTTCTGTTTGAGCGATTTTTTATTTCCCCGCGCTACATTCTGTCCCAGTTGCCTCCGCTTTTGACGCCGCTTCCGCTGCTGCGTATCGGCCTTCTTGACAGCTGCCTCGAATTTTGCTGTGTTTTTTTCGCTGATTCTTTCGATCTCCGCCTCGCCCAGATCTCTGCGCTTGGCATTCCATGTGTCGAGGAGACCACTACCGCAAAAACTGCTGTACAACCATTCGGACCTGGACACTAAGTTAGTGGTCTAGAGTACGCAGATGCCATGACTTGCCTGTGGAGTGGGTAATCAGTAAATTTGGTCAGGTATTGCACCACATCCTGGTTTCCTTCTTCGTGGGTGCGTTGAGCGATGATGTCGTCGACGTCGAAGACAGAGTCAGCGTCATGGCTGCTCGCCTCGCTGTCGTCAAGGGACGACCCAATATCCGAGGTAAATGCGGCAGATTCCCGCGACACTTCCAGTGCGGATTTCTTCATGTTTGCATAGCTCGACCGCGACGCTGAGCAAACGCCACTGTGATTGGCCCAACCTCTAAGGGAAGTGGTCGACGGGTAGCGACACAGCCCGTCAGCTGCCACGCCGCCCGACGAGTGATCCCGAGCGGGCGGGCTGAGTGGAGAGCGCGAAGGCTGCACGAGAATCGAAGGAGTAGTTGTCCTTGTAACGATGTTGCGGTTGCGCAGCTCGAGTCAGTCATGGTAGGGAAGCTGCGATTGCTCAGGGTGTACACACTAGCGCGGTCACGTGCGGCATTCGCCGCCCGCATCTGTCCAATGTCACAGGCCGCCGCATGAGCTCCTCCTGCTTTCAAACGAGGCGAGGCAGCCAAATAACTACAACCCCGACCCCGACGAACCCGCCTGCTCCACCCGTCCTCTACACGCCCGCCCGCGCGCACTTATAACGCATCATCTTTCCTTCCCTCGCTGGTTCTGCCGCACCCCGCGCACGCTCCCCACCGCTACTTGAACCGAACAGCGCACCAGCCTGCACCCACCGCAACTATGGCGAACGACGAGTATGATGTGAGTGCCTGCCAGCTGCCTCGCGCATGGAGTGTGTGCTGACCTTGCCTATAGTTCCTCTTCAAGGGTATGTGCAGCCGCGAGCCCGCATGTCGCTTTTCCTCCTAACCCCCGTAGTGGTCCTGATCGGAGACTCTGGTGTCGGTAAATCCAACCTTTTGAGTCGATTCACCCGCAACGAGTTCAACCTCGACTCCAAGTCGACCATCGGCGTCGAGTTCGCCACACGGTCCATCCAGGTCGACGCGAAGACCATCAAGGCGCAGATTTGGGATACGGCCGGCCAGGAGCGATACCGAGCCATCACATCGGCCTACTACCGGGGCGCTGTCGGTGCGCTCCTTGTCTACGACATCAGCAAGCACCAGACATACGAGAATGTGACTCGGTGGTTGAAGGAGCTCCGCGACCACGCTGACTCTAACATCGTCATCATGTTGGTCGGAAACAAGAGTGATTTGAGGCATCTCCGGGCTGTGCCTACCGAGGAGGCCAAGCAGTTTGCGAGTACGTACCAGTCGCACAACGGCAGCAAAACTTGGTCTAGAAACTGACAGCCGCACCTCCAGGTGAAAACAATCTCTCCTTTATCGAGACCTCCGCCTTGGACGCAAGCAACGTCGAGCTGGCCTTCCAAAACATCCTCACAGAGATCTACCGCATCGTGTCTAGCAAGGCACTTGACCAGGGAGAGAGCAGCCAGAATGTTCTCGGCGCTGGTCCTGGCCAGAAGCTCGAGCTCTCCTCTTCCACGGGCGCAGAAGAGAAGAAGGGAGGATGCTGCTAAACCTTGCTTCCGCACAAATGTGTCCCGCTCTCACGATGCCCACCTCCGCTTCTGCGAGCTTGAGGTGCCGGCAATGATACCAACTCGCGACAATGCTCACGTGTCATACGAACAAAGGTCTGTCGGCGTCTTCGAGGAAGTTCAGGGAAATGTGTCCATGGGTGTTTGCTCCTACTTCCATCACACGTCTGCTTCCATGTGCAAATGTTGTGTGGTTTCTGGGTTACGTTTCTCCTTTCTTAGCTTTCGTTTGCGTTGCATGCGTGCGTGTGGGGGTCTTCTTCTATCTTCGGCGACAGTTATGCGGAGTGCTGCTGTATGATCAATCACAACGGACAGCTAATAACTGGACTATATAATCTTCTGCGGTTTTAATAGAAGTTGCCATCGTAAGATTTCCTCGAGAGCGTGAAGACGTGGAGCTTCCACGAACGTGTCGGTTGCGGCAAGGGGGACGCATTCACAAGTATATTCGCCATCTGTCCATGTGGAATTCAAGTGTGCAACCAAGGTCAGAGGGTAGACGAGGCAGAGACAACCTTTCGATTCAGAGGTGCCTAGTGAAGAGTCGTGATGTTGCACTCGGCCCTGGCGATAAACAAACACAGGTTGTGCCGCGTCTTGGGGAGAACAAGGAAGTAGGTCCGACGATGCACCGCAGGCTGACCTACTCACAATGCACCGGACCGACACGATGGCTGGATGATAATCGCAAGTTACTACCTCTGAAGGTTTACGAGGAACAGCTTCATCAGACACTCAGATGCCCTTCCATATATGTAAATACACAAGTGCACTACCCGACCTCCCTCAAGCGTTTGCAGCGTCTACTCCCCTCCCCCAACCCAAAACACAAGCGCGCCTCGATCCCCTCCCATCCCAACTTATCGCGCCCCTTACCTTGCGCGCCGCTCCTCACGTAAACTCCCCACTAACCCGGAGCATTGTTCCCACGCTTTATCTGCACTCCCGGCTGCAGATAACGCACGCGACAACCGTGCATGGCGCACGCGGCTTCCGCCCTGGAACACGGGGCGCTATCGTCGATAAGGCAGTCCGTAGCGGAGCGTGCCCGGCGAGGATGCGCGCTCTATATCACGGCGCTCGCCCGCTGCCGCGGAACGCACGCCTGCCTTGTGTAACCTCCTCGATCTACGTCTTCAGATCGTTGTTCAGGTGAGTGCGCGCGTGAACGTGGTCTAGAGCCGCACCGTTCGGCTAGCGCTGAAGCTACGGTCGGCTGGTTTCCCCGCGTTTTTGACTCCGAAGAACGGATGTTTCTGACTTTGCGACAGACCGAGACTGCTTGATCAAGAAGAAGTTGCACGAGCATGGCGACTAGTATGGAGATAACGCATAGGAAGGGGAGCGTGAGCGCGAGGAAGGGGAGTGTGGATGGCGCGGCGGAGGCGCAGCTCGCGAAGATGGGGTATCAGTCTGAACTGCCGAGGAATCTGAGCATGCTGAGTGTGCTGGGGCTGTAAGTGTGGTGATCTTCGTTGTCTGGTGCTTGCAAGGCCGCGACGCGAAGTTGGTGAGAGGAGGAAGTGCACAGAACTAACGGCTTATAGATCCTTCGCCATTATGGCTGTTCCCTTCGGTCTCTCGACAACACTGTATATCACTCTCACGGACGGCCAATCTGTTACGATTCTATGGGGATGGGTCCTTGTGTCTATCATTTCACTCTCGATCGCCGCCTCTCTGGCCGAAATCTGCGCTGTCTATCCTACTGCTGGCGGCGTCTACTACTGGTCCGCGATGCTTTCTACGCGTAAATATGCGCCTGTTGCTTCCTGGGTAACTGGATGGCTCACCCTCGTCGGAAACTGGACTGTCACACTCTCCATCAACTTCTCTGGCGGTCAGCTCATTCTTAGTGCAATCAGTCTGTGGGACGAAACCTTTGTACCGAATCAATGGCAGACGATCCTGATGTTTTGGGCCGTCATGCTGGTGTGTATGCTAACGAACATTTTCGGCGCGAAATACTTGGATCTGATCAACAAGATCTGTATCTACTGGACGGGGGCGAGCGTGATTATCATTTTGATCACGCTGCTGACGATGGCGGATACTAAGAGGAGTGGAGATTTTGTGTTTGCACACTATGATGCCTCGGCATCTGGGTGGTGAGTTGCGAATTCTGGAGCCCGGGACCATTGGGCAATGCTAACTTAAACAGGCCCTCTGGATGGGCGTTTTTCGTTGGACTGCTTCAAGCGGCTTACACGTTGACCGGCTACGGCATGGTAGCATCCATGTGCGAAGAGGTGCAGAATCCTGAACGCGAGGTTCCCAAAGCCATCGTGCTGTCCGTCGCCGCGGCAGGCGTCACAGGTGTCATCTACCTGATCCCAATCCTCTTCGTCCTCCCAGACGTCCAGGTACTCCTGGATGTCGCCAACGGGCAACCGATCGGTCTCCTCTTCAAGACCGTCACCGGCTCCGCAGCCGGCGGCTTCGGCCTGCTCTTCCTCATCCTCGGAATCCTCTTCTTCGCCGGCACCGGCGCCCTGACCGCCGCATCTCGCTGCACGTACGCCTTCGCGCGCGACGGCGCCATCCCCGGCTCGCGCCTCTGGAAGCGCGTAGACAAGCGCTTCGACATTCCCCTGTGGGCCCTCGTCCTCTCCACCGTTGTCGACTGCCTCCTCGGCCTCATCTACTTTGGCTCTTCCGCTGCTTTCAACTCCTTCACCGGCGTTGCGACGATCTGCCTCTCTACCTCTTACGGTATGCCGATCCTCATCTCCGTGCTGCGCAAGCGCCGCGCGGTCAAGCACTCTAGCTTCAGTCTCGGACGCTTCGGGTACTTTATCAATATTGCGACCCTGTGCTGGATTTGCCTCGCTGTTGTGCTGTTCTGCATGCCCGTCAGTCTGCCTGTCGAAGCTGCGTCGATGAACTATGCGAGTGTTGTGTTTGCGGGTTTCGCGGCTATTAGTGTCATTTGGTATTTCATCAGGGGAAGGAAGGACTTCAGTGGGCCGCCAGTGCCGGTGGATGTGGCACCGGGCGAGGAAGTGCCGGTCGTGGGTGTAGAAAGAGCCGATTTGGAAGGGGCGAGCCCGGTGGTCGGGAAAGAGACCGAGAAATTGTAGATTCTGGAGCATTGCTGTACTATATGTATACAGGAGGCTGAGAAATGTATATAGAGCTGGTGTATTGATGTACACTCATCTTTTGATATTTACTTATGTTTGAGCATATGCGTGTCCGCAAATTGTCAATTTCGGTGTCTTCAAGTGCCTTTACGAAGCACTACGTAGCCTGATCCAGGAATCTAGTACAAGAGTACAAAGTCAATCCGGTCTACGTCAAATATAGAATCAATGTTGAAGTTGTTGTTCTTGGAGCTGCGAACGGATGGTGCATGAACTGGGTCCCACTTTCCCCGGCGCGCCACAGCGCTAGCCACCGCTAAACTTGCTCCCGCAACCACTTTAGCGACGCGACTTCCCCATCTAACGCGCTCCATGGACGCGTTGTGACTGCAGCGTTGAGTGCTCTCGACCATGGCGCCTTAGTAAGTTCTCGGTCTCACTGACTCTCACTCTCACTTACGTTGGCATTCCTGTGTAGTTTCAACTTACTCGCTTGAACACTGCGAGGGCGCTCTACTTTGTCGCAAAGCAGTGCTCATCATGGGTAGCTCTGCTAAGGCGCCGATCGACCTCACACTCGACTCAGACTCAGACGACGGCCCAGTACAGACCGCGATTGCGCCTTCGAACCCCCTTCAAAAAATAACGGCGCCGTTGCCGTCCAATCTCCCACGAACTTCGTCTTCGTTCGCCGTTCAGCCGCAGGGGGGTCCTGATTATATACCAGTCTTCGCTTCGGCGACACCAGGAGAAGAAGCAAGCGACTTTGCGATCCCCCAAGCGGAAAAGAGAAGGAAGATATCTGGGCCGCCACCCGGGTCTGAACAGTATATACCTGCGGGTTCGCGGCGGAAGAGTGCACCAAAAGAGCGGTTTTATGGGGTGCGGGTTGGGCATGTTCCGGGCGTATACACGGACTATGACGCGGTCAAAGTCCAGATTGTAGGATGCAAAGGCGCCAAACAACAGCGTTTTGATACGAGAGAGGAAGCACAAGCTTTTGTGGATGGAAAGCCGAGTCCAAATCCAAGATCCGCCGAAAATCGCGAATGGTCATCATCTCTGAGCAATGGCGGCGCAGGTCCAGTCACAAACCGAACAAATCGCGCTGGTGGCAAAACAGCACCTTTCGCGACACATCCGACTCCTGGTATACACCCGGGCGGCGGTCGGCCTGCTCCCGCCGCGAAGCTCAGCACAAGTGGGCTGCCCTCGGTGCAGTCCCTGAACACAGCGTTGAAGGCGAGCGGTACGCCTGTGCCATCCGTAAACCACACCGAGTCCTCTCCGCTCCATCGTGAACTGCAACTTGGGAGGCTTTCGGATGTGACGCTTAGCAATGGGGCAAGCAAACCGACAACCAATGGAGTTACCATTGGCCACAGCTCGGCTGATGAGATGATCATAGCCCCGGACGAATCCTTTACCCCTCGGCGAATGACGATCGTTCGACCATATTCTGAAGAATCCACATTCGCCGAGCAAGCCGTACAACCGAACAATGACGTTTCGGCAAACAATAGTCCTTTTATCGAAGATCCTTTGGAGATGCTCTTGGAGGACGACATAATATCCGAATTACTTCAACAATTACCCGCCAACGACAAAGTGGCTTTACTGATGAATGCACACCCAAGAGGTCAACGCGTTGCTCACACCATGCAACAGTTTCCTATCCAAGTAGACCCAGCCCGAACTAAGCAACGATTACCAATCGAAGCCAACCCAACTCGAAAGCCCCGTGGACGGCTGCCTTTACGACATGCCCGAAGTTCCCCGCGAGCGTCGCCGAGTGAGCGTGATAGTGTGCTCTCTGACTCAGACACACCCATCACTGGCAAGCCCGTACAGACTCGTAACCCGGTTGGCGACTTGTCTGTAGGACATCGCGTCGTCGCAACAGATGAGAAGCCATCTACTTCCAAGAAATGGACGGGTGGACTTTCAGAGGCCGAGGCGCATTTGTTGGTCTTCCTCAAAGAAGTCAAAAACCTGAGCTGGCCAGAAATCACAGCGAGATTTCAAGAACACTATCCTGACCGTAAATATGGCACTTTGCAAACAAATTACTCTCAAAAGATCAACCGCCGTGACAGATCACAGGATCCTGCGCATTTAACATTGCCGTCCATGTACGCATCAGAGGCTCACGTAGATTGGGCTAGAGTCTCCGCAAATTTAAGCAGACCAAACAACCAACCAAGACGGAAGCGGGAAGTCGCTGCCTTGCAAGAAGAGCACAAGCCTCGAGCGTGGTCTGCGGCTGCCAATTCGGTGCAAGACCAATTGTCCGATGCGGAGTCAGCAGGAAGGCGTCGCGGGCGTCCGCGACGAGCAGTGCCCGTTCAAAATTACACTTGGCCAAAGAGTAACAGCCAGATTGAGGGAGGTTCATTCGAAGAAGATGATTCGAATCGCACGGATCTTGCAGAGGAAAGGCTTGCTGTGTCTCAGACTCCCGAAAATCTTGTACCTGTTGCACAAAAGGCCATCGCAGTCGAGAACGAACCTTTGTCGGTTGATTTTGACATGGACGATGCCTTCTCCGCTCTTGCTGTACAGGACCGCGAAGCATGCCCAGAGCGACTGCCATATCTCTCCTCTTTGCAACGATCGGTTCTGCACAATGTGCCCAGTGGCTTTGAGTGGGACCAGCTAGTTAGTCGCGACTGGCAAGGCACCCTGATACACGTAGATTTCAATTCGATAGAACTGGATACTGTGGAGAACACGATTACGAGCTTGCTCGGCCCTCAGCGAGATCTACAACCGCAACTTCAACGAAAACGTCTCCGCAGAATATTGAATGGGGTAACAGAGCCCAAACTTCTACAGCTGGCTGGTGTACTGCGATCAAAACTGCGTTCTCGAGGACGACGAAGCATTGATGCTTTTCTCCGAGACGCACAAGAGGATAAGGTTCGTAGCGCTGCCCCTCGCATCGAGAGGCTAGCAGCTTCAAGGCCTAACAAATCTTTTAATTCGGAAGCGAGATTGTCCACGTCCGCTGTGATTCGACGACGGGAACTGGGCCTTCAATCAAACAGAGGTTGGAGCTCAGCAACATCACCGATCTCATATCAGTTAAAAAACAAGGTTCAGGACACTCTCGGACCCGTCTCCTCCTACACCGGCGCCTCCAGCGATGTACATGCTGTTGCTTGGTCTGTCGGCGGGGAATGCTTCGCCGCTGGTGCGATTTGCGTTGACGATCCTCATTCTATGCAGTATAATCGATCAAACAATCTCTTATATGGCGACGTGTCTCGTAACACCATCATCGAGTTGGGAAAACACTACGTCGAGAGGCCAATGACCGAGATGGGCCCGAATTCCACCCATGCAATGTATGCTTCGCAAGATCCAAAACTATTCAAGACAGTCACGTCAGTTGCCTTCTCTCCGAATGGGAAATACATGTTTTCTGGTGGGTGGGACCAGAACGTGTGGATCTGGGAGACGAAATACGACGGCTCGCAACCGATTGATGCTGTTTCCTTGCATCACAAATCAGAAGTGAGCATGATGGCCGTCAATGCTTCGGGCGTCCTTGCAACCGGTACCAGGAAATCGACTGGCAATGCCGTGAAGGTCCTAAGCTTGTGCGAAGATGATTTGACGCAGCCACCTGTCACTCTAAATTTCGCCTCTGAAAAGGCAGCGGCTAGGCCTGACCTGATGATGCTTCCCATGGCGCTCCACTTCTCGCCAAGATATGAGAACCTTCTGCTTGCGGGTTTTGGTGCCAACGCGCGCCAAGATGGACGGGATGCAAATGGAGACATCTGCCTATGGGACATCAACGGAAACAAGCAACTCAACATTTGGGGCGCGGGAAAGAACGTTTTTGATTTGTCATTCCATCCTAGGGAGCGATGGATGGCAGTAGCGACCGTCGCAGGCCAGAACACCAACCGAGGAATGCGTTCGACGGTCCGTGTGTATAGCGAACAGGGTGGCGCTGCGGACGACAAGTTCAGCACGCTCATGGAGCTCGAGTGTCAGGCGCTGGATATCAACGACGTAGTGTGGTGGTAGGTGACCGACATCTATTTAACATAACTCCTTGCTAACTCATTTAGTCCGGGCGATGAATATCTGGTCGCTGCCGGATGCACAAGCGGACGAGCATATGTATGGGATATCCGCAACCCGAATCACTTCGTTCGTGAGCTTGCCCACGGCAGCTCTCTAATGCCTCTCGATGATCGTGAAGATCGAGAGGTCGTGGACACCGGCATCCGTTTTCTCAGTTGGGGTAATAACGCCACACGCCTTTACAGTGGCTCATCTGACGGAGTGGTGAAGGTCTGGAACGTCGCGCGATCGGAGGAAGAGACGTTTGTAAAGGATCTCATCACCGTTGATTCTGGCATCATGTCCGGAGCCTTCAGCCCCGATTACAGCAGACTCGTGTTGGGCGAGGTCAATGGGTCTGTCAACGTCCTCGAAGTTGGCCGGGACGACTGCTCTCTCAAGAACGCATCCAGGATGAATTACGTTCCTTTTATAGACGACGAACCCGACTTTGAGAAACAATTGCCAACACCCACGTCCGCAGCTGCCGACTCCGGAGTCGCCACAGCTAGGGAGCTCTTCGCGACTGGCCAAATGACAATCAAGCCGATGGGTGGCCTTCCTATCAAACAAGCAGTGCAAGGCCCTTCCTACGCTGGACCCTACGATACGAGTGTTGACGCACCCTTCCTTCGCGAACAAGCTTCGGAAATGCAACTTAAGTTTCCTGAAACGTCAGAGTCTCCATGTTCAGCATGCCTTGTCTTCGGATCGGATCCTGTCAAGATTACGAGCGAGGAGATTGGCGACTCTGGCAGGAGCGTGGATCGGATTCCTGAGGAAATACGCTCGCGATGGTTAGCCGGGACAGTAGATCTCAAGATTCCACCCACACAGGTTCCGTGTGCAACGTGCGGACGTGCTGCTCGGCCTTCAGACAGAACCAATCTTGGGGATGGTACACCGCTGCCGGCAAGGTGTGAGCGCTGCAATTTCGCATGTCTGCGATGCGGCGACAACATGACCCTCTCGATGAACATTAAGAATGAGATATGTCATTGTAATGCATGCGGACTGGGATGGCATATTGGGGTCCTGGGCTACGAACCCATGGGAGTAAATTCTGTTAAACGACCACGAAGAATAATATACAACGACATCCCTAAGCTTGATGGCTTCAAGCATGATTTGTACCTCGCGGAACTCGAGACGGGTTCGCCCACAGGTGACGAGGACGCGAGCTTCGGAGACGAAATGAATGCGTTGACGGATTACTACTTCTCCTTGGCAGTCGACCGCCCGCAGTCGCCGCCGCTGCTATGATTCGTCCGCTCGCTTGCCTCTTTTGGGTGGTCTTGTGGTGGTTTGGAGGCGGTGGGGTTAGAATGGCGAAATGAGCATGCCTTGTCGAATGTATAATATTTAGACGATCTTGATGATGCAGATGTATGCAACAATTGATATTTGCTCCCTGGGTGGGAAGCGTTTGTGAAATTCACGCTTGTGTTCTGGCCCATGATACAAGGATCCGTCCATGTTTTTTTGTTTCTATATTTGCGTGATGAAGTCGCGACAAGAAATACGGCTAACTACATCTGCTATCTGCTAAGCTGGTCCAGTGGCCTAGCCGATCCCAACGTCGTCCGAGCGAGGGTACACGTGCACACCTGGGCGCTCGCCGCCTTGGGCACTCGTTGGTCCAGCAGAAGTGGGCTCGCAAGGCCCGCATATCGTCGCTGACCTGGAAGCTCTGCTGCCTACGTGCGTACGCGTTGCGCTCTGGCCGCAATGGGGCTGCGTACTACTTGTGTCATGGGATAATGGGGTATGAGGTGAGACGCGTAGTGGCCAGCTTCAGCTTACATGAACGGAGACATTCCGGAATATTTTTGAGGCCGCAGCGAGTCTTTTGCTTTTTGTTCAATGTTCTGAGCCAGGACTTTTACGTTTAACAAGCCCCAGTTGTCATTCATACAGCGGTCGGAAACCTCCACACATGTCAGCCGAACTGAGTCCCACCGAACTCACCATGTCCTCCACCACACAATCTCCACCCCAACACCAAACTCCCTCCTTCGACCCGGAATACCTCCAATGGCTCATGTCCTCCTTCCCCACCGACGCCGCTACCCCACCCCTCACCACCATCCCCTTAATGCGCCAAAACACCGAGCACATGATCCGCGCTCTCTACGCAAAATGGCCCGCCCAACCCAGCGTCATGCAGACCTCCCACATAGTCACATCCGCAGACGGCACGCTCATCGAAGTCACCCGCTTCAGCCCGCCGCAGGAACCTGGAAAGCAGGAAAACGAAGCAGGACCAGCGATCCTGCATTTCCACGGAGGCGGGCATGTCTCCAACCACGTGGATATGTTTGCGCCCTACCTGTCCGACCTCGTCGTCCGCACCGGAATTCCTGTATTTAGCGTAGAATACCGACTCGCGCCCGAACACGCCTTCCCCGCCGCGCTGGACGACGGCCTCGCAGCGCTGAGGTGGCTGTCTTCCTCCGCTGTCCAGCTCGGCATCGATCCCACCCGCATCTGCCTAATGGGCGAGTCTTCCGGTGGCGGGTTGGCGGCGGGAATTGCGCTGATGGCTAGGGACAAGGCGTTGGAGCCGAGAGTAAAGAGAATGTTGTTGGTATATCCGATGCTAGATGATCGCTCGATCAGCACGAATCCTGCGTGGGACGCGGAGAATCGCGGGGTAAAGTTGCTGACGATGTGCTGGGAGGCGTATCTGGGGCCCAGCGTCAAGGTGGGGGATCCGCAGGCGGAAGTGTCGATTTATGCGGCGCCGGGGAGGGCGGAGAAGTTGGAGGGGTTGCCCGAGGCGTGGGTCGAGGTTGGTGCGCTGGATGAATTTCGGGATGAGTGTGTGGATTTCGCGGGGAGGCTGGAGAAGTGCGAGGTGAGGGTTTGGGACGGCGTGCCGCATGGCTTCGATGCGGCGAGGGAGATTAAGGTTAGTCGGAGAGCGGTGGAGGGTAGGGTGGGTTTTTTAGCGGGACTGTAGGGTGGGCGTGCAGAAGACGATTGTAAGTACAAGGACTTTCACTACATGGGGTGCCTAAGGCGTTTTGTTTCGGATGAGTGTGTTTGATCAGTGTGGGACGGAGACGGATACTTTAATTGATCGAATGCTGCGCAGACTTTTGTGAGATGGAAGAGGGTATTGAAACTACGGATATTGTGTCGTGAAATAACTGATACTGATCCGAATGCATCGTTAATCGTGACTTGCAAGTTGTGGTCGGCCGTAGTTGCAAGTTGCGGTTGGTAGTGAAGGAGAGCTGTTGTTGGTAGTAATGTAAAGTTGAGGTGATGAATGTCTTAAAGTTGAGATGATTGAGATCTGAGAGATTTGATCGATGGCTTTGAAAGTTGACGCTGAAGTGTATTCAACGTCTGAAGAAGACACACTTGAAACACAAAACTCAAGAATGTGTAACACTACTCTGATGGCTTCGAGACTCGAATGAGAAGATGAGATTTTGTTAGCAAGTTTATGGAGCACGACGAAAATGAATATTGGTGAAGATCGAGTGAATTGGTGGTTCGAGTTGCGTGTTCGTAGTGATATCCTGGCTTCGATGAACCTGGAGGCTGCGACCTTGTTATGTATCTAAATTGAGCGACGGTCAGCTTTGATATCGAACATCGAGCATCGTGAGATGACTGACGCCATTGGGAGATATCCAAGGCATGATGTAGAGAAAGTACGTCTGGTCTCAACAGCCGTTCGCTATAGTGCCGAGCTCAAACTGCTAATGTATTAATATGGCCAGCCACGATTTCCGGATCTATTTCCAACAAGACTTTGCACAATGAACAGACCAGTAATGGGTCTCGCGGCGCTGATCTCAGCCTCTGCCAGGCACTGCAATCTGAGAAGAACTGCACTCTAGGCGCAGCACGCGACAAGATTGACGTCGGCATGCAGTTCTAGCCATGAAGTGTCTTTTTGGCCTCCGGACCCTGAACCAGCGCCTTGTCGCAGAGTTTGCTGCGTTGGGCGGTCATTGGCTCCAGCGGCCCGAGATTACCCGACCCCTATCTCCATCTGGGCCTGAGCCTTTTTTCGCGACGGCGCGCGGATCGAGGCCGGAGAAGCCAGCAATGGCAATGGCAATTGCGAAGCTGTGGGTACCCCGTGATTGGATTCGCTTTAGTGAGATATCGAATCCGTGGGAGGGCAGGGTGTGGTTGTTGCGCCAAAAGGTATCCGAGAGTTGTTACGGCAACGAGCAGGGGTGCGCCGCGGCGGTTAGGCCCGTGGCTTGTGATCGAGTTGGAGACGCGGGAGAGCAGTGAGCGAAGGGCAGCTCGGGGTGCAGTGGGAAGCCAAAGGATGGAGATGGAGAACACCGGTCATTCCATCCTCGCCGTGATGCACTGCAAGTGGACGGTACGTGGGTAGCGCACTACTCCGCTGCTACTGCACCCGAAAAACCGCCCTCCCCGAGGTTTCGACAAGCAGCCGGAGAAGCGGTTGACCAAGGCAGACTAGCGCGCCAAGAGGGTGATGGCCCGGGCGCCGAAAGATTTCTGCGTCGCTCCTGCTGGCCTTCAAAAGCTCCCAGACCCTCAACAACTCTCAATCCATCCTCTCTCTATCAAATCTCCTCTCTGCAACCGACAAAATGGCAGCACAGCAGGATAAGTCCTTCATGGGCATGCCCGTGAGTATTCTCCGACGCCTTCGAGCTCCCGACACCTGGCCGCATCCGCATCCCCTAGCCGCACGACAAAGTCACTCCCATCTCAATGGCACCGCGCGAGGTCTCTGAAGCATCGCGATGACAACCTGAGATGGGACTGCGGATTGGGCGATGGACAGGACGGTTGTGGGATGAGCTTCGATAGCTATCGCATTCACGGGCACATTGGCTAACACACGCGCAGGGCTTCGTGGTCGACTTCTTGAGTACGTCTTCATCATCATCGGATCTGCCATCAATATCGGGAACAATTGGACCCGGCATTGATGCGCAACCGATGCAACGACTTTTTCGGCCGGAGTGCGTATACTGACCTCTTATCTAGTGGGTGGTGTCTCCGCCGCCGTCTCGAAGACCGCCGCCGCCCCCATCGAGCGTGTCAAGCTCCTCATCCAGAACCAGGTACGAGATGTCCATGGTATACCAGCTTTTCGGCATCGCCGCTGACAGTGCCCTCTAGGATGAGATGCTTAAGACCGGTCGTCTCGACCGCAAGTACGACGGTATCGTCGAGTGCTTCCGCCGTACTTCCCAGCAGGAGGGTGTCCTCTCGCTGTGGCGCGGTAACACTGCCAACGTCATCCGTTACTTCCCCACCCAGGCGCTCAACTTCGCGTTCCGTGACACCTACAAGTCCATGTTCGCTTTCAAGAAGGAGCGTGATGGTTACGCTAAGTGGATGGCTGGTAACTTGGCCTCCGGTGGTGTAAGTGAATTCACTCAAGAACCTATAGCTCCCATTAACATGTACAGGCTGCCGGTGCCACTTCGCTCCTCTTCGTCTACTCCCTCGACTACGCCCGTACCCGTCTTGCCAACGACGCCAAGAACGCTAAGAAGGGTGGTGACCGCCAGTTCAACGGTCTCGTCGATGTCTACAAGAAGACCCTCGCCTCCGACGGTATTGCCGGTCTCTACCGTGGTTTCATGCCCTCCGTTCTTGGTATAGTCGTTTACCGTGGTCTGTACTTCGGTATGTACGACTCGATCAAGCCCGTTGTTCTCGTTGGTCCTCTTGAGGGTAACTTCTTGGCCTCCTTCTTGCTCGGCTGGACTGTCACCACTGGTGCCGGTATCGCTTCCTACCCTCTGGACACCATCCGTCGTCGTATGATGATGACCTCCGGTGAGGCCGTCAAGTACAAGAACTCCGCCGATGCCGCCCGCCAGATCATCGCCGCCGAGGGTGTTAAGTCGCTCTTCAAGGGTGCTGGTGCCAACATTCTCCGTGGTGTTGCAGGTGCCGGTGTGCTCTCCATCTACGACCAGGCCCAGCTCATCATGTTCGGCAAGAAGTTCAAGGGTGGATCCGGTTAAGCGTCTCGTTCACAACAATCTCCGATACCCTAATCGATCGACGTGGAGGGATGACTTCATCCTGGTGTGAGGTTCGCGGTGGTGGAGGAAGGAGCAACACGATGCCCGTACCCTGGGCAGAAGCTTGTTCCCGGTAACGAAAAGCACGCGTCGGTGGTAATACACCTTGTACTTTACTTTGCCTGGCACATCTTTTTCCCTCTCACGGCATCTTGTATTACATGTCATTTCCCTTTGCTGTAACTTTGCTATCGCTGGTGCTGGGGAAAATAGTGCACTTATAGAAGTTTATGCTGGTTTCTCAATTTGGTCCATTGCTACGTGATGTATTGCTGCGCGGTATTTTCGCTTGCCTGAATCTGTGTTCCAAGTGTTCCCACTCGTACGCGGTTGGATATCTTGTGCGCCCTCACCGCCTCCCACTTGGGAATGCAAATTGTGTTTGCAAACAATTGTTCCCCTGTTCTGCGCTCCTAACATTCCCACTCCTCACTTCTCCCTCACCGCCTTCCAAACTGCCTCTTCGCCCTTCTTCAACGCCTCACCCGCCTTCGCAAGCATATTCCAAGCCTGCGCCCCGACCCCCTCGCTCTCCTGCGTACCCGCCCCACTCACGCCGCCCGTCCCCAGCGACCCTCCCCCCGCTGCATACGGTGAGTTATCAGGCGCCTGTTGATATCCTGGCGGGTGTTCCAAGCTGCGCCTGTTCGGATCCGGGACCGCGCCCCCCACGTGCGGCTGCTGGAACGGCGACGCCTGCGGCACCCCGCCGCCTGTATCGAGCCGCGTTGGGCCGGGCCCGCTCGCTGTCGTCGAGGGCACCGTAGAGCGTCCGGCGAGCTGCGCGGTGGGCGGCGGCGGGATGTTGTACTGCGGTGGAGGGCCTGCGAGACGCGTCTCGGTCGTGAGGTGTGTTGCTGTGTAGCCTGGCTGTGGCGGTGGCGGGGCGTCGCTGGGTGTGTAGATGGTTGAGGATGCGGTGGGAGCGAGGGGACGGGCTCCGGGTTGGGGTGGTGGTGGGAGGGAGGCGTCTGCGGTTGTGGTTGCCGGGACAGAGGCGGGTGTTGTGCGTGTTGGTGGTGGGTTTTGCGGTACGTCGTGCGCGGTTTGAGGGGTCGTGCCGGAGGGTTTGGCAGCCGTTATGGGTTCGTCCTTGTGGAGTTGGATTGGTGGCATGGCTGTTGTGGTGGTGTATGGAGGGTACAGTGCTTGGTGGAGGACAGCTTCGAGGTATAGCGGTGATCGCTGGCTATGAGATACTGGCTGCGGTGTTCGGCCTCTGAGCGTAGGTTGGTGGGCTTATTTCAGATTAGTAGACAGATCTTCAATTATGTTGAGGCTACGAATTTCAGTTCTTTCGGCAATTGCATCCAGTCAGTGGCGTGGAAGTAGCGTTCGGCGTTGCTGCCTGTTCGCGTTGATACTCTGTCTTCTTTGACTATGGCCGTGTTGAGCCGATGATGTCACACCACGTGCCTTCAAATGGACCTCATCTAGCCTCTATCAGCGACGACAGGCATGTCTTACCAACACCTTTCACTACAGCGCAATGAACGAACATGAGATAGCTCCGTGTGCATCTTCAACGTCGCGCGCATGCAACAACGCATTACGGGCAACCGGCTTCGCCATTCCCAGGGCGAAAAAGATAATGGACTTATTCTGTGCAAATAGATGCACTCATCATGACCTTTCTCATGCTGGAAATCAACAAGACAATTTCTAGTACTGAAGAGCGGCGATGACGCTCAGTACGGCCTCCAATACTTTGACGCTCAACTATTCTCAGACCCACGATGAACTCCATATCTGGTACTTCCTGTCCCGAATCTGCGTGGCGCACTTTCCTCATCTTATGTTGCTTATCTTCTACCACTGAAAAGCAAATTTATGGAAATGATAGGCTTTTCATGGTTTTGTGTACACCACGAGCACTTATTCGGCGGACGACTTGTCACTCGATATGCAACCATTGCCCACTCTGGCGTCTTGGACTTCGTACAATCGTATCATCGTACAGCCCAGTACGAGCACTCAATCTTAATGGCGTACCCACTACAGCTTAACGTGGTTCGGTTTCCCGCGCACAAACCGTTCGCGCGATCTTGTGAACAAAAGTTCGCAATGTTTCAAGAACCCCTGCTTCGGCACCCCTGCCAAGAGAGTTGTGGAGAAAACACCACCGACTTGGAGAAACGACGTTTCAAACAGATACGCAAGCGCCCGCCATCAAATAAGCCAAGACAATGGCATCTTACCAGCCTGTCAATATAGGGAAATGACCCGATCCTACGAATCGTCGACCGCCAGCCTCACCTCGAGTGATTGGTGGGAAGACTTCACGAGAGCCCACGCCGCTATTGGTAACACCATCGTGCTGTTTCTGGAACAGCGATCACTTGGGAGCGCGCGGCGTCATGCCGTACATCGGACTGAGATGACGCGATGTGCTCTTCAGGTATAAGACCTTGAACTTGTCAGTGAAAATTGATTCTCCAGCCTACGCTGTCCTTTCGTTCTTTTCAACAAGCTTCCCGGTCCTTCCCTTGTTCTTTTAGTCCCTCTTTTTTCTTCATCAACTCAACGCAATGAGGTTCTCATCTTTCATCCCGCTCGGCCTCTCGGCCCTCGCTCTGGCAGCACCTACACCTACCATCAAGAAGAATGGCATCTTCGCCCGTCAAAACGGAACCGGCTCAACAAACAGCAGTGGCAGCCCCATCGGATATGCCAGCGAGAATGGAGGAACAACTGGTGGAGCTGGCGGCTCCGCTGTCTCTGTTTCCACACTCGCGGAGCTGCAAGCAGCTGTGAAGGGTGACGAGGCCGCTGTCATCACCATTGCTTCCAGCATCAAGGGCAGCGGAGACAACGTGAAGATCGGCTCTAACAAGTCCATTCTTGGCAAGGATAGCTCCGTTGTTCTCGAAAACTTTACCCTCACTGTCAAAGGAGCGAAGAACGTCATCATCCGTAACCTCGCCATCCAGAAGGTTGTCGGCGGCGACGCCATCGCTGTCCAGAAGTCCACGAACGTATGGCTTGATCACCTCGACGTCTCTTCCGACCGCGACCACGACAAGGACTACTACGACGGTCTCATTGACCTGACCCACGCCGCCGACTTCGTAACCGTCTCCAACTCGAAGATCCACGACCACTGGAAGGCCTCGCTCGTTGGTCACTCCGACAGCAACTCCGCTGAGGACACCGGCCATCTCCGCGTCACCTATCACAACAACCACTGGGAGAACATCAACTCTCGCGGCCCGTCGCTCCGCTTCGGAACCGGCCACTTCTTCAACAACTACTACAACGCTGTCTCTGATGGCATCAACGCGCGTCTCGGCGCCCAGGTCCTCGTCGAGAACAACGTCTGGGTCGACAGCAAGAAGCCTCTCTACAGCGTCGACAACGATGCCGGCGCCGTCGCTAGCGGCAACGACTTCGGTGGCGCGGGCAACACCGCTCCCGCTGGTACCCTCAAGTCTGTTCCTTACAAGTACGACCTCATTGAGGCTTCTGCGGTAAAGGCTGCCGTTGTCGGCACCGCTGGTAACACGCTCACTTTCTAGATGAAGTATGTGTATATGGGAAGGGATGAAACCTTGCTGATGAACAGGGGAAGAAACGGGAAGGATTGGAGCTTGTCTGTATATATTATCTTCATATTGTGCATATTCTTTCCTGGACGAATAGAACCATGCTATCTTTGCACACCATTCCATGCGTGTCTCTGTTTTCCCTCAAAGCGTGTATAGATAACCAGGGTTGTGCTCACCAAGCTCCTTCGCCTCTTGTTCCGACAACCCTTCGATCCTCCAGTCCTCCTTGCCGGCGAGCTTCCTGCTGTTCGCGTTCCTGAACCAGAAGTACAGGGTTGTGTAGATGCAGAGCCCCAAACACAACAGCCCAATCGTCGCACCGTACCCCGGAAAGTACGTAGGCGCATAGGCACTGCTGAATAAGAATGGAGCAGATACACCGCTAGCATTACCAATAGTTATTTGCATGCCACTTGCGAAAGCGCGCTTCCCGTACCGTGGATTGTTCAGCGAGATCCAGGAGAAGGCGAGACCGGTCGACGTCCACAGCCCGAAGGCAACGATGAAGCAGCCAGCGAAGCTGACGCCAACGCCTTGGTTGATGATGAGTAGGATGTAACCGACCATGCTGACGAGGTACCCTCCGATGATAAAAATGCCACGTTGCTGGATGCGATCGCTGTACCACGCGCAGAAGAGGTAGACACCGGCGCCGGAAACATAAACGGGCACCGTGAGTGCTTGCACAACCTGCCGTGACCAGCCTCCACCAATGCCGTCGATGATGGTAGGCAGGAAGACGCTGAAGCTGTACAGCATCGTCAACCCTGTGAACTGCCCGATAGCAAACGCATACGTCTTCCAATCCTTCGCACCAGCAATGACATCCTCTCTCGTCAGGACCTGCGCATTCCTCGTCTGGCCCACCTCCGCCTCGCGCAGCAGCACCAGATTCGCCCGATCTTCTTCGGTGAGGAACTTCGCTGTCTCGGGGCTGTTGGGCAGCACAAAGGGGACCACCATGGCGGTCAAAACTGTCGGTACGCCGTTGATCATGATGATCCATCGCCAGCCTGACCAGCCCCGTGCGCCGTCCAATTCACCAATCGCATACGCGACGAGGCCCCCGACCGCGCCGGCGATCGCGGAGGTCCCGTAGAACCACGCATTGCGCAACGACAGGCTCTTCTTGTTGTAAAACATGGAGAGGTAGAGGATGACGCCGGGGAATAGTCCGGCTTCGAAGGCACCCAAGAGCAGACGGCAGGCGACGAGGCCGGCGAAGTTCTGAACGAAGGAAGAGAAGGTGGCGATCATGCCCCAGGCGAAAAGGAGGCCGCCGAGGTATCTGGCCGGCTGGAGCCTCTTGATGATTAAATTTGACGGGGTCTCAAAGAGCTGCAAGGGTTAATGAATGCGTTCCGAAGAGACGGATGTGCTTTACGTACACAGTATGTGACAAAGAGAATGCCGACAGCGATCTGATACTGGCTGCCAACGAGACCGAGATCCTCCTCCAGGTGGTAAAGACGAGCATTTCCAATATTGACTAACGATGTCAGTCACAGCATATTGCTAGGTGTAAGGGAACGCACCTCGATCCATGAAGTTCATCAAGTAGACCCAGCATAGCATGGGGATAATTCGCCAGTCGAGTTTCCTCAGGAGTCGTGCTTCCGTCGCCGCATCGACTTCCGGTATCACAGCATTTTCGAGTTCCACTTTCTCATATTGTTGAGGCGGTGTGACAATTTGATTTTCTGCCTTAGTATGCTCGCTCGATTTTCTGCTGTCGGAAGACATGGCGCTGGGGTCAGAGCGAGGTCGTCTTGAATTTAGGCCCAGGGTTCGATTCGGTTGATTCGAGTGTTGCAAAGATATGGGTGCGGTCAGGCGATCTTCCTGAGCCTTATATACATCAAGGGACGGCGCTATGTACCCCACGGGGTATGCCAAACATGCCATGGCTGCGAAGTCTTGGGGCCAGGATTGGGACACCGCTCGAGCGGAAGGCCCAACCTAAGCCTTGGGATTATGGATGACAACATGGATGTTATCAGCTTGCCAATACGGTACTGCGCTTAACAAAGAGAGAGAGATAGCAACAACTCCGGTGGCTCATCTCGCTTCGGGTAACCGTTGAGTCTACCGTCCACATCTTCCGATTCTGAGGAAACAACAATATTCACCTACATCAGGAGCACATTTGCTCTACTCAAAGAAATTGCTTCTGGAGGACGGATCCAACGAACACGTACTTCTTGCTTAGTATTGATGAAAAGCAATCTTCTTCTCCAGATCGATGGCTTGAAGGTACCCGGCTCCCTGGTCTGGGTCAGGGCGCTGTGCACGCACGTGTACGTATGCAAGGCTAATCCTCGCATGTAGCCATGATCTCGTCGTCGACGCTATAGGTGCTATTATGGTTTCAGCCTTGGATATCGCAGAATCCAAGCAGAGGGGTTGCTGGGTATTGCAATGATGTCCACAGTTCGGCAAGCACTGCCGGTACCCTTGTTCAAGGAAATAGTCGTGATTGGTGCTAGGGGATCGGAAAGTCTGCTTGGCTCTTGGACGGATAATGGTGATTTTGGTACTCGAGCTGCTGTCCAAGACGCCATGACCTTGGTTGACGTAGGGATAGCTTTTAGCGCGCTGTGGCGGTGTCGGGCCGCCGGGATGTTCGATGTTCGCACCGCGGCATCCTTCGCCAACATTCCTATCACAACCTACACATTTGCCAGATTTATTCCAGTGAAATCCTCCAAAGAACCGGCCCAACGATGGTGTTCCACGATGCCTCGGAGCTAGGCGCATTCGTGTCCTGCGAGGCATTTTTAGAGGCATTGGGGTGTTTGCACTACACATCTATTAAATCAGCAACGGCGCTGCGTGCTGAGACGTCTTGCCCGGCCATGAGCTTCGTCCCTCAATGACTCCATAGGCCTTTTGGAACAGAGCCAAAGTCTCTCTCTCTCTCTCTCTCTCTCTCTCTCTCTCTCAGACTCCACTTTTGGTTCTCTGTATCGTGATTTCCTCAGGATCGCAATTCGTTATGCCGCAGGCTCTGCCATGCGTTCAAGTGGCTTCTGCCTGCCTCATGAGACTTATTGCGGCGAGAACCGCGCCCCATTCTGCAGCAGCAGCTCCTATGGCACCACACAAATATGACACCAACTACTGTGGTACAAAAGCGGACTGATTCCGTGAGCTTGTCGCCAGACCTACTTGCGTCAATGTTACATAGGATATCTACGATAACAACGGCAAATTTGGCTGCGAAAAGGCGTCACTGGATTTTCCAGAATGATACCAATGGTTGTGCGGAACATGGCCTCATTATTGACGGCAAGTGTTCAAATTGACACAGTTGCAAACGCGCGACAAGCAGAGTACGCTCACCTCTAAAGAAAGCGTTTTAATGGTTCTGACCGATATGCGAGGGCTCTGATACGGCATCATCGTTGCCGAGCATCTCCTCGACTGCGACCGGTACTACCGTTGGAGGTATTATCGGCGTGGTTGCACCGTTAATCCTTCTCGCAGTCGCTTTGCACTCCTTCCGACACAATTTATGGTGGAGCTGCCTAATATGTGATTGTAAGATTGATTTCTAAATTTCTGGTTCAGCAGGCCAATGTCGTGTTTTGTATTGATCAGAATATTGACGAGGACAACGAATCAAAGCGGTAGCCATTTGTCCACAGGAATACATATTTACAGATTCGAAACTTCCGACGCACCGCATTACACACAAATTTCCCTGCGTCTACAAATTATCTTCAAGAGGGCTTAGGCCCTGTGCAGTTCCAAGCCTCGCCTCATACCAAAAACGAAGCCTTTCCACGTTGGGCCTGTCCAGCATCCAGGGAAGGAAGTTGGTCACGTTAGTGTTCTTCTCCTCGAATATGTTTGGAAAATCAGCCGGAGCATCAGTTCTTACAGTCCACCTTTTCCTAGCAAATTGCCATTCGTCGCTGAGGATGTAGTTATGAAGCAACTTTGCTCCCTCGGGATGAGGAGCGTCTTTCAGGATGGCTGCGGTCTGCGGCCACGTGACAAATGGCGCATCAGTCGGTTGTGAGGCGTTTGTGTTGGGACCATGGGCACCGCCGGTGGCGAAGGCAGCGACGTAGGAGGTGTTTGATAAGGCGAGTTGATCCCCGGGTGTGGCGCTTCCCCGTACCCAGGTTGGGTTCTGCGCAACGAGGGCATCGAACCATTCGACACCTAGCTTCTTGACGCTGAGTGGGTGTTAGTGATTTTGTTGGTTTTCTAAAACAAACACTTACACAAGATCGAAAGCGTACAGAACGGCGTCGTCGTCGTTAGGATAAGTGAGTATGAGCTTGTCCTTCAACTCCGGCAAGAGCGCATCGGAAAAATCGGCGAGGCTGCCATTGTATTTGGCAGTGTTCCAGGAAGTGCTCCAGCCAAATATGGAGTAACCGTAGTAGGCGCCTTCAGGATCCTTAAATTCCGATGCGACGTTGACGAAGTCGCTCGGTTTGTAGTTCAGAAGAGCACCCTCCTTCTTCCAACGAGGGTAATCATGCAGCGTCTGAAGAATGATGCTGTCAACATAGACGTTGTTGTTGGCGATTTGGTCATCGAGACGCCCATCGTGGTATTTGGAGAGATCGACGGTGACGTTGAGGGTAATTCCGGGGAAGCGCTCTTCGAAAGCCTTCTTCAAAACATCTTGCTGATTCTTCTCATCACCTCCATGCCAGAGGGTAACGACGCCTCCCTCCTTTATAGCAGCCTGGTAAATCTCGTCAAGGGTGCGATTTTCGCAGCTCGTGCTGAGCGTAGTGGCTGCGAGAGTTGAAAGGGCGAGTGCAATCGATGAACGCATCTTGGATGGATGAACGCTTGGTGCAGGTGAGAGAGGGATCGAAACAGGGACAACACTTTAAATAGGCGCATCTTTCCATTTAATACAATTGTAATGAACATTTCTCGATCCGCTGATCCAGGAAGGTACACGAGCACCCTGAGCCTCACTTGCACAGTAATACACGGAACTCTTCCGCGCTACCCAAAGGTTCGGATGACGTAAGGAGATATCTAGGGTTTCCTGACAAATGCGCACCACATGCACGCAAACGGCTGCGCGCGACCCTCTAGAACGTAGGTGCGTTCCTGAAAATCGGTCCGATCCACTACAATCTGCTACCCCCTCTAGTTAGTCTCGCTACTTCGCCGGCAACATTCATTTCGGCGTGATGCCGGTGAAATGCTTAACAAGTTTATCTTCACTTACATTGCGGCTTTGTGAGCGCGATCGCGTGCTTGCGCACTACTACCTACCTCCTACTGCAGCCCTCTCATGTTATTGTAAAACTTGGCTGCCATTTGGTCAGCCAGCTTCGATAAAAGATATTCGGGCTTATGTTGTTAGGACTGGGATGATGGCGATGGGCTCTCGAAATGATAATGGCCAACTAAGCCACCGTGTTTCATAGAAAGAGACTGGCTGAAGAAATCGGGAATTTGTTCCTCCGGCAGTACACTGCGTAGACAATGTCATCTGGGTGCATAGTGGCTAACACAAAATACTGGACTTCTGAAACACACTCTACTCGGCGCCTGTTGATGCCCTCGGACGTCTGCGACTCGAGTTACTTGCGCTCTCTACGACGACTGTAGTCTAGGGTGTATTTGGGCTACCGAGGCGTGTCGATTAGATATGCCATGGCGAGGTTGGTGCTGTCGCAGTACTCCTCGAGGAGTTCGATCAGCTTCTGCCGCTCCCGTGCGGCTAGGGAGCCCCCGGGGTTGTCGACGAGGTCCTCAACGTATATCGTGGGCTGTACCAGCATCTTCTTCGCCGTCACCTATTGCTTTCTGGAAAAGCCATAAGGCCTGTCCATGACGTGCGGTACCGGCACGCTGTTGCGGTACTGACATGAGAGGTCTCCTCAGATTAAACAGTGCAGAGTCAAACGTGTTCATGGGGAGTAGCACCTCTCGGCAGATGCGCATAATCTCTATGCTCGCTTGGCCATGAAAAAAGCGTAAATATTGGTGGAGAAGAGTTCTTCCATCGCGCAAGGCCACCGCTTGTACTAGAGTGCTACGTGGCTTTGGGCACCGTAAAATTGTTCTAGCCTCTGAAGGCGTATGGAGCAAGGATGTCTTCGCATAGTAGCAGGGGAAGCAGCAGCAGCTGGTCTTAACCCCTTCGACCTGGATGGGGGGACAGAAGAAACCAACACCGAGGATGAATTTGGAAGGAATAGAGAACAGGAGCTGAGGCTTTGGATTGGCATGAGGGTTCCCGAATCAAGTTTTGGGGGGCCGCGGCCCAACTATGCTGTTGGGCACGAAAGAGGGGCTGCTATGGTGAGATACTTGTCATTCGAAGGCGCCGATGCGAGTATTGCCTCTGCAAGTGGCACTTGTCCAGCGGAGGAATTTGCATGCTTACGATATACTAGCTTCGCTAAAACGGCAGTAGGAAAATCTGGATATGAAGGGTCAGCCTTCAATGATGGATGGTCCGGCAAGCAACAGCTGGAGACAGCGACATTACGGGGGACTTTATATAAGTTAACGACCGTCGTGCTGAACACCGTTATAGCGTGTCCATGAGCCCAGAAGATCTTGAAGGATAGCATGGGGTGAATCGGAAAGCTAAACTGAACTCTCGTGACACTGACACTGTGATGAGCGCATAGGTTTTTGTAGAAATCGCACCAAAGAAGCTTGTCCGAAGCTGGATACCTACCGTTAGGCCAGCTCGTACAAGAGCCGAAGAACCTGGGAGGAAGACCAAAACGGGTCGACAGCGTTTCACAGCAACGCCAATGTACATAGGTCGCCAACATACAAACCGTCGATGATCTTTCGCTCGCGCGCCCTGCACGTTTGGCTTCGCCTGCTTTTGATGTTCGCTCAGTTGATGCAAATCTTTTCCCTGCTACCCCGAAAGCGACGACCGCCGTGAGTAAAGACCTCAAGCAGTAATGCGCGTCTATTTTCAATCATCCCTGCAAACGTGCGTTGTTTAGAACCATGAGCCTTCATAATAGTGTACGAGACCGTGTGATGGTTCGAACAAAACAATAACGATAGGACCCCCAGAGGCGTGAAAGGTACTGTGGGCCCCTACTGCCCAACGGCGCGGCGGAACCTTCTTTGCTGGCTGCATGGACTCAGCGGACTGCAGCGACCTCCTACTATACGTACGGCCTTCGTAATGATTGTCGGAAGTCTCACAGTGAGAGGTACGGGGAACGTGTGGGGCGTAAAACCCTGGGGCGCAGTTCCTCGTCCGCGGCTCTCGCGCGAAAACGAACATCCCAGGTCTGATCGACCTCTGGGTCGGGTGCTCGCCAGTACTAGTAATTCTATTAAGACGACTAACGCTAATGCGTCAGTACACCTACTACAATAGTGCCTTGACAAACATTTGGTCTGATATGTTTGAGCAATAGTGGATGCCCAATGTGCGACCAAACGAACTTCTCGTGCGGATAGCTTCCTTTGATGTAGAGCAAGTCACTGAACCAAGCCTCATCCCATGTCCGAAACTGTAAGCTGGACTTTTCGAGAGAGTTATAAGAGAGCCGCTGTTGATCTCAATGAGTCTTGACCGCGCGCTTTTTATTTATTTCTTTTCTATCGTCCATACGTTCACTGAGCATCTGGCCAACCCAATTCGTCATATTCCTGTTACAGGAGGCTGTGCCTTCACTATTTGTTACAGCCATGCGCGCGCCCAATCTCGCTCTCTTCTTATTGAGTTTACTTATTCTTTACACCGTCTCAGCTCCGGTCGAGGATAATTCTGGCGTTACCAATCTTCTCGAAGCTCCCGTTTTTGTGAAAAGTATCCTTCCTGGTAGATCTAGCAGTGACCATGATCAAGCTAGAGGTCTAATGTCCAAGGAGCAAGACATCGGCCCGGATCTCAAGAAGAGAAGGGGAAGCAGCGGTGGAAGTCGTATACGTGCAAAAAGACCAGCCCGCAAGAGGCCTCAGAAGACGAAGGAGAAGAAGAAGTCTGGTCGTAAGACGAAGCCGGCAGAGAAGAAGCCGGCGCAGAGCAAAAAGAAGTCAGGGTGAGTTGGCACTGCACCTTGCACCATATATGCTTATTGTGTCTTCTCCAGCATAAAAAAGCCAAAGACGCCCGCAAACCGTAACCCATCCACGAAGAAGCCTAAGAAGCAAACAAAAGCATGCAAACCAGCGAAAAGTGCCAAAGGAAAGAATGGCAAGCTTAGCGCACGTGCTGGCGAGCCGGTTGATGCAAGCTGCCCCCCTAAGAAAAAGGTCACCAAAACCCGCAACTACCGAATTGCCGAGAAAGCTGCGAAAAAGGCAGGACATAAGGGAGGTCTAGTATTGGGCGAGTCTTACCTTCTTCGTTTCAAGAGCAAACCCGGACTGGTGAACCATCAGGCACTTATTGTTGGCACCGTACAACGCCGAAAAGCCAATCCCGCCGACGGCGCACTTGATTTCGTGGCTAGTTCGTCAGAGCTCGTCAAACCATTGCGTGTTCCAACGGGTCGAATTGCCAAAGCCAAGCAAGAGTGTCTCAAGCTGCATGGTGCAAAATGCAAGCATCGTGGCATTGAACGAGTATACGATTGCAAACAGACACTGGATCGATGGGGAAAGAAGTCCAAGTTCATCTTCAAGGGGAATGCGAATCCTGAATTTGCCGACCCTAAAAAGTTTGTTCAGGCGGGTAAGATGATGCTACAAGGCTGCGTGTACTACGATAGTAGCGATTGAACACCGGACAATGCTGAGAGATCCCAGGCAAAGCAATCCTCGAGAAGGACACCACGTACGACGTGATCTACAACAATTGTAAGTACATTCAACAAAGTAATGCGTCTCCTACTAACATTGGTCAGGTGGAACGCATGCCAGGAAATTGGAGAATGTTGCTCAGCTCAAGAAGGGACAGAACCCTCTTGTAGATATCGAACTTCAGGACCTTGAGAACTTGACACTTGAAGATTCCGAATAGTAGCCCATCTGACGAAAGTTTCAAACCGGAGTGAAGGTATCGAAGAAGTAATCGTGGCGATGCTTCCTTACCTTACTGTATTAGTTGTGTTATCTACCACTTAGGCAAACTAGCCTCTTATTCTCTTCATGTATATATTTAAGCTCGTCTTGTTCTTCGGTCGAACTTGTTTTATGGGATTCAACTGACTCTCCGACCAGACCATTGTATTCAACGTACAAATCCTGAGCCCAGCGGCCTACAAATTCATCACCGGACGTGCCCCACCTTCCAAGCTATTCGACACTTAGACATGCGAGCCTCATGGTATGCCATTCTTCAAGATGTATGAGGAACCTAGCGGCGTCTCTGGTGACTTTGGAATGGTAAAATCATTGGCCAGATCGATGGTGTAAAGGAGGCGGCTGCGCACCTTCCTGTTTACCCGTTTCGCATCGCTAGTGAGTAATTAATTCAAGGCTGGATGTCCAGTCCTTATACAATCATAGCAGCGGCTCATGCGGTTCCAACGATCGATATCGTCAATTCGAAAGGCCCGATGCGAGCTTTCCGCACCAAGCAAGATCTGGAGAAGGACTGTAGTGACTACCATGTAGCCAGTTTCTGAGAACTCCTTTCGCTCACTTCAAATACCCTCGATGGAGACGGCACTATAGCGCAGTTGTAAGGGAGTATTCATTAACGAGCATTGCGAATATATCCGTGCTAAAGAGAGAAAGGGATGCGTGCTACTCTCGCCGTTTTGATGGAAGTATGTCAAAGTCTGTAGCATATATACTTTTATGATATTCACTTCTATGCGACTAAGTGCAACTTCCTTCCTGTGAATCGAGGCTCTGCATGTGCAGAATGAAACATGTCAAGACTAGATAGCTAATCGTGAAGTTCGCGAAACCAAGGCTAATATATAGTACCCATGAAGGAGAATTGCAGCTGCCAGCATACGTTGTTCTGTCAATTAAGAGTTGCTTAGTCTTGTTAGTTAATCGCGTGGCAATCACAGCATAACACATCGTGATAGGTGGTATAAGACTCAGCAGCATTGCCCGCATCTATTTCTCGCAAGTAAGGATTTGCATCGCGTTCATCGTATCATGGAGGGCTCACGACAGTTCCCTAAGCGTCCGCAGTCTGAGATCAAGCACGCCTCACATCGCGCTCCGACATGTGAACACCGTCGCACACGCAGTACTAGAAGCACGCCAGCTGTAAACTCTGCAGGTCAACCTAGTCGCAAAAATTCTACGCGAGATTCACCTCCTCCACCTTCATTTCCCGCGTACGTTGACACAAGCAAACTAAGCCTGGAAGAGCTCACTCACCCAAGCGGTAGTCCAGTGCTCACACGAGACTTCTTGCTTAACGATGAGGAGCCTAAGTCTTTGGCACTTACCCATAAGCTGGAAGATGAAGACGCAATAACAGCGAAAGAACCCCAAAAGATCTGGAAACCTGCGGAGACCAGAGAGAGGGATCAATATAAGCCCACAAAGGACATGTTGCGTGGTGTCCGAGACCGTGGTGAAGAGCCGACCTTTTCTGTTGCAAGACATGTTGCCAGACCTGGCCATATGGAGGAACACCACCTAAGACCAAAGATCGCCGCCATAGGCAAGGACAGAGATGTTCCAGATCTGCGGCCACGGAAGCATTCCGCTGATGACCACACTAACCGGCAGCAAGAAGCGCACAATACTTCCCAGAGCATTCAGATTAGGAGGAAGTCCCTTCCTGTCAACGCAAGACCACTAGGTTCGACTGCGACGACGCTGGAAGCGACACGAGAATGGCTGAACAATCTTGCAGCTGAAGGAACTAAGAAGTGGAGCAACAAGTCGGTGGTCGACACTAGCGAACGATCAGAAGACAGACTGTCCGCTATAACAGATTCCGTGCCCCACTCGCAGTCTGGGTCTGTGAAGACAGCAGTCTCCTCGCCTGGAAGGCCACGGCCCCTGCCAAGTAAATCCAAGCCCTCACAAAGCAACAAGACATTAGCAAAGAAACCTGCCAGCACCAAGCAATCTCGGAATGTAAGACCAGGAACTCCGGGCCCGACTGCACGACCCACATCCCCGCCTCTTCATCGCAACGTGGCAGAGAACCGTAAGCCCCTGGAGAGGCAAGACCAGGACTCCTGGACGCTCTACAACACTTCCTGCTGGACCGAGAAATCATGCCTCAAAGCTCTACTCAAAGGTCCTGTTCTTGAATTCCGAATCGAGCCACATGGCGAGCCATTCCTCGTCGATGTATCGCAGGAGATGCTCAATTATTTTTGCGGAGAAAAGCAAGTGGATCGCCTCATACACGATTACAGTCTTCAACCGGAACAGAGAAGAGAGGAGGATGGCGAAGCAACAATTCTCGTATTCCCGGAGGGTTTGGTCGATGCTACCGCAGTCATGCGTATCATCCGCTATATGCGCCGTTGCTGCATGCGCACCACAACACTCACCAAGCCGCACTTCCAGCTCCATGCTCCACCGTCTCTAGAAGCAAACATTGACACTATTCGCGCTTGTAATATTTTTGGGTTATATGCTGATGCGCGTCGTCTCCAGTACTTCCTCACCGATAAGAGAATTCCGGGTGGTAAATTAACAATGACGGATGTGGAGACCATCTGGGAGGGATATAACGGTGGGCTAAGGGATAGCGCATATACCGATGCCTTGCTGACGCACCTTGTGTACAACGTTCTAGGATCCGATAGTGTTGACCGTGAGGAAGTCATGGTGCTGCTCGAGCAAGAAGAGTTTGCAGGATTGAGAGAACTTCTTAGCATGGAGTTGGGCATCAAGAAGAGGGCAGCCGAGTCGAGAGATATGTTTCAGATGCGGAAGGAGCAGGAACGCCAGGATAAGGCGAATCAAAAGAATGGGAAGGGCAAGCGGCTGAGCAAGCTAGCGGAGCTCCGGGCAAGTAGAGGGCCGATGGTGCAAGGCCGTTTGCTGAAGGTTTTGAGTTACGATGCGCTGTTGGTACCGGACTTGACGGCTGAACTAAGGTACAAGCCGAGACCGGAACTGGAGAGAAGATCAGTGTCGACTCAAGATCTCATCGACAGAAGTGGTGAGAAAGAGTTGGAATCTACCGGAAGTTTGTATCAAAAGGCTTTGAAAGAGATCAAGGGAACTGTTACAGAGACTAAAGAAATGGATGTGATGCTGGAGGGCCTTTCTGAAGTGGAAGAGGAAATCGTGGTTCTGTCGAAAAATACGCCTGAGAGACCGGCGACACCAACACCTCGCGGTCGAAAGCGTGAGATGGGCATTCTAGAAGATAGGCGAGTCATCGATCTGGAAGGTATCCGCCCAATGGGTTTGCGCACGGAATCTGAGCCTAGCGGGGCAGAAACGAGAGCAACAAGGTACCCGATCGCTGACAACGGCTCTGGCGCGAGACCCTTCGGAAGCCAGGTAAAAGCTATGAGTCCTCATGTGGTCGCATATATCCCAGGTACGCGACCAAACGCCACCGTTCAACCCTTACATTCACAGCGAACGCGTGTGTATGCTACATCGAGCTCGTCAACTGGCTTCGAAAGCCACATTGGAAGAACACGACCAGGATCTTCTGTTACAGGTGTAAGCCATGCCCACTCAACAGCTGGGAATCCGTCTGTCTTGAGATCTCGCACAGATCCATGGTGGGGGACTTTGGGAAATTACCTCCCAATAACGAAAAGGAAGAGTAGGACTAAATTGAAGCAAGTGTGGGATGAGCTAAGGCATTTTATATGAGCAGTCAAATCGTAGGCATTCAACGAGAAAATGGGCACTGCTGTGGTGTCGCTTGAGGGAGGTTTCTTGTTCATTTGAAATCTGTGATGCTGTGCGACGAAACGTCACGTAACCATATAGGATGTCACGTGCATGATCTGGACAACCTCTCAAACCGCCTAGAGTTTGTCTTAGTTGGTAGAACCTCGAGGAGAACCGAGGTGGGTGCAACACGTGGACGTCGGAATACAGGAAGACCGACTGCCGATTGGCCGCCTTCCGCGTGGATCCGCCTCCACGATGACGCCTTGAACGCGCCAACCACGATCCACGCGGTAGACCAGCGCCGTATTAGGCAGTTCCGGAGCGTGGAAAATCCCTGTTCGGTCAGGAATCTATACAATACATTTATAGTACAGAAAAATTCATGCGCTAGAGCCGAGCATTCGGCCCGCAGGAATAGGCCAATAAAAGGAGGTAAAATATAGATTTACCTACGCACGGGAATGTAGTCTGGAGCACCTCGCGTGCGCGTAGATTATAGCCATCCACTCACATGCAAGATGCGGAGGATCCTAAGCAAGGGAAATGGACGTAGGGATTTAGCTGTATATAACGTTATTCTGTTCCGTGGAGCCGAAAACGTACCATGGGTAACGTTTCCGGAGGAACCGCACCCGAGTCAGCCGAAATCTACATAGATTTTGAGCCAGATCTACAAAAACTGACTGAACAGGCTCTGATTCGCGTCCCAGACACAGATAACTCGAATTCATCATTTTTCATTCATCAAAGCGTACATACAGTTATGATTGCCGAGACAAGGGCCGCGTGCCGCCATGCGCTGTCATGTGCTGCTACCTGCTCCGTCGCACACCTGGGCACTGTGTTCCTACAATGTGGAAAGCTTGCTAATCAACCTTGGGCAATGCAGTACGAGAACAACTCCTGAGAAGTTCCACTCTCCTTCAAGCTGTAGCTATTTGTCCAATCATCGCGTGGCCTCGTAGACTAACTCCGTAATGCCTCACTTCCACGTTGTCTCGACAGTTGCAGTCGAGCCTGTCGCTGGGACAGTGTATTTCCTATTGTCACCTGACTCGTAGGTCACCGACCCGCTCGACTCAACCCGGATAAACTTATACTCGAAGCTTGTACCTGCTGGGAGGTTGATGGTTGTGGACCAAAGCGGGTTGGAGGAGGTATACTGAGATGCTGAGAGTGCTACAGCCTTCGACGTGTCCCAGCTGCCGAGCTGGGAGATTGAGCCTGCGATCTTGATAGTCTGACCAACGACGGTTGTGGCCTTTTCGTTGAACTTCACAGCTACCGTACCACTTGTCGGTGTTGAAGCTATCGTCGAGGATGTTTTGCTTGCTGTTGCGGTTGCAGTGGTTGCTTGGGTTGAACTTGATGCCGGGTTCGAGCTTCCTGACCCAACAATAGCGATATCGGCACACGTCAAGTACACCTGCGGCGTCTGGAACGAGTTCCACTTGAAAGAAAGCAGCGTGTGATTAGACTTGTAGTTCGGAATCTTGATCTTCGAGCTAACGGTGTAACCTCCGGCAATGCTCGTGTAGCACGAGTTGAGCGGCGCGTTATCCACACCCCGGCACTTGGTGTCCTGGAAGCCTTTGCAGGTGAACCAGTCGTTCCGCCAGCATGCTTGACCGGACGTGCAATCGGCATTGTAGTCGCACGTTTGGCCAGGCACGTCGGTACATTTGAGCTCTCCGGCCCTAAAGCAGTCCTCGGCGGCCTGCTTCTCTGCGTCCGTAGGCAGGTATGATGGATCGAGGAACTTGTCCACCAGAGCTTGGTCCTGGCAGATTCGGTAAGTGAACATTCCTACTCCGTTGTCAGTCATTGCTCGTAATCAATCCATTCCCTCGTTCTGATTCTGAGTCTGCGGACTGATACCAGCTGGAATACGGCATACACGGTTGGGCATAGGAAGAGGAGCTCTTACCTCCATGGTCACCGTTGTTGTCGAGACACCACTGTACATCGACAACATCGCCAGCATTGTATGTGATTACTGGCTGCGATCCCCAGCGTGGACCGGGCTGGTTGTAATCTACGCTAACTCGTGCGTTATATCCGCAAGGTCCACTGCGACCCACTTGAGCAGCATCAAGATCAGGCCATGCAGTGACCGGTTCCAGGATTGTGCATTCAGGGCAAGTGTCTACTCCAGCCTGTCTATCGATTAGTCTGGTTTGATCTTCTCTGCCATACCAAAATACACACCTGGGCGTTTAGTCCCGTCCGACTCATTGGAGAACTAAGATACCCATGGGCATTCACCGAAGTGGCGAAAGCCAAGAGCTTAATGAGCGAAGAGAGCATGTTGTCGAGATAATCGCTTCAATAAAATGAGATGTAGAAGGCTGGAAGGTCGAGCTCTTGCCATACTGACTGTGAATGCGCAGGACTTATAGAGATTTGTGCTCGGTCATCTTTCCTCTTCAGCTACTCAAGGCATGTGGACGCAGTTTCTCCGGATGTCTATAGTGTTCAAGTCCTGGAATCTCATGTTGTTTTCTCGACTTCGACGACCATTGGCCGAATGTCGGCATTCTCGTTTTGGCGGGGGAAGAGCCCGTTTAGCGGGTGAACACAACGCGAGGAGATGATGATCTCAAACCTCCGCCTTCATGATCGCGAACTCAAACATAACGACCCGAAAACCAGGTTCATTGGGTAAGAGTCGGATTTGCTCCAAAAAGATGTGCTGCAAGCATTTCCTATTGGACAAGAGTCGGAACGGATTGGTTCTTGCAGGACAAAGATCACATCACGAGGAACGCATTGGGTTTTCGAGCGGGCCGCTCCTTAATTAATTTGGGCTATACGCGAGTATGCCATGTGCTCAAGGTCCGCGGCTAAGCCCTGGAGGGGTCTAAAACCGGGATTTTGCTGTCACTAGGCCACCTTCTTCGAATCTTACAGCCTTCTAGCGGTGTAGATGATGTAGCGCCTGCAGTTGCGTGCTGCATTGTGCAAGGGGACTTCCCACTGTGCAGATCTCACGGTGGTGAGAGAGTCTGGGGTCTCCATGCCTCGGCTGTTAGCTTTGCCGATCGCGGCATTTGGATCAAATCCGGGGAAGCGCATCATGCATTACGAAGCTAAATCTTTCTACCAAATATTTGCAGTTGCCTATTTTGGTTACTGGACCGCCAAAGGTACGTGTTCTTCTGGTCAGAAGACAAGTACCGCGATGGACTGTCATTGGTGTCCACATGTTTACTGCGCCTTGCCCGAAACGGGGCACCGCGCCAAGGACCACAATCATACTATGGGAGCCAGTGGTGTTAGTGAAACCAGGCCTCACCCGTGGTAATCGATGACCCCGTGGCCGTCGAACAACTCTATAAAGATGACGAAGAGCCTGTTTGACACGAATTTCAACCTTAGGTCTCCTAGCAGGCCTTATCGTTCTTTTCAGATTCAACGAAGATGTTGTTCTTCAACTTGATCATTGCGTTACTTTTTCAAGCCGTATCCCTCGTCTCTGCAGCAGACACGGCGGCATGGAAGTCTAGAAGCATTTACTTTGTCCTGACAGATCGTATCGCTCGCAGCAGCAGCGATACAGGCGGCTCGTCATGTGGCAATTTAGGTAACTACTGTGGGGGCACTGTGAGTTTACGCACGTACCGGACTCGATGTTGAAATACTTATAATATCTGTAGTTCAAAGGTCTTGAATCAAAGCTCGACTACATCAAGGGTGCTGGCTTCGATGCCGTCTGGATCACACCCGTAGTTGCAAGTGAGTTGATTGACACCAGTGTAAGATTAAGCACTGACGGTAGCTACAGACAGTGCAGGCGGATACCATGGCTACTGGGCCCAAGATCTGTACTCAGTCAACGCGAACCTTGGCACTGCTGACGAGCTTAAGAGCCTCGTCAGCACCGCTCATTCAAAGGTACGGTTGGATATCATGATGGAGAGATGGCCAGAATTCTTACTCATTAACATCACAGGGCATCTACGTTATGGTGGACGTCGTGGCAAACCATATGGGCGAAGGTCCAATTGCCGATAACCGTCCGGAACCGCTGAACCAGCAGTCATCGTACCACACTGCTTGCACTATCGACTACTCGAACCAGAACAGCGTCGAAAACTGCGAGATCGCCGATCTTCCAGACGTCGACACCCAGGACTCCAATATTCGCTCATTATACCAGACTTGGATCAAGTGGTTGGTCAATGAGTACTCTTTTGATGGCGTGCGAATCGACACGGTACGTAGCACATGCCGTTGTTGAGAAATCTAGGATAAGTTGCTCACTCTCGACAGGTGAAACACGTCGAAAAAGATTTCTGGACACCCTTCTCGCAAGCCGCCGGTGTGTACTCGATCGGCGAAGTGTTTGACGGCAGCCCTTCGTACGTTGCGGGCTATGCGAACACCATGCCGGGACTTTTGAACTACCCTGTGTATTATCCTTTGAACAACTTCTACCAACAGAAGGGCTCTTCTCAAGCTCTGGTCGACATGATCAACACAGTCAGCTCGTCTTTCCCAGACCCGGCTGCTCTTGGTACCTTCATCGACAACCATGACAACCCTCGGTGGTTGAATCAAAAGAATGACCAGACCCTGCTCAAAAATGCTCTCGCATTTGTCATACTCTCACGAGGCATCCCGATCGTATACTACGGAACCGAACAAGGTTACTCTGGAGGTGCTGATCCTGCCAACCGTGAAGACCTGTGGCGATCAGGCTTCAACACACAAACAAACCTCTACCAGGCCATCGCAAAGCTCAACAGTGCGCGTAAAGCCGCTGGTGGCCTCGCAGGTGATGATCATGTGCACTTGTATGTTACAAGCCAGGCATACGCGTGGAGCCGCGCCAGCGGCAACCTTGTTGTCCTGACGACAAATGGCGGAGGTAGCTACAACGCACAACACTGCTTCAACACCCAAAAGGCCAACGGGAAATGGACGAACACCTACGGCGATGGGGCGACAGTCACCGCCGACGGTAACGGCCAAGTCTGTGTCCAAGTCACCAACGGCGAGCCTGTCATCCTGGTGGCGAGCGCTAAGGACACGGTTATCTCCCCCACGCCAACTACTATGCAGACTATTTCGACTGCGTGTCCGACGTCTGTGTCAGTGACGTTCACGCACAAAGTGACGACTAGTATCGGTGACACTATTCGCATCACTGGAAATACCACCCAGCTTGGAAATTGGACGCCTTCCAGCGGCCCGGCGCTCTCAGCCTCAAGCTACACGTCCAGCAACCCAATTTGGACGATCTCACTGCCACTGACGCCCGGATCGGGGATACAGTATAAGTTCGTGAAGGTTGCGAGTGGAGGAGCCGTGACGTGGGAGAGCGATCCTAACAGGGAGTACACTGTGCCCAAGTGCCAGAGCAGTGCTTCGGTGGCTAGCTCGTGGCAGTGAGAGGGACTTTTAGACGACTGACGGCCGAATAATGATTGTTGAAGGTACATACGACGTACATACAAGTGAGGCGTGTGTGGTCACCACGTTTTGTATTTGATCGATTTCTACTTTTGGCAAACGAAGAACATTTGAACATGATTAGCGTCCTAAATGAAATCTGTACCACCACAATCCTACACTGATTCCCAAATCTGAGTCGTGTTGCGCATACCCTAGGGTTGAATAGGCCTGCGATGGCTGGCGGTCTCGACCCACACGTTTCTGCCCGGTTCCTCCGGATTTCCCAAGATTCCCAGGTTCCATGGTCTCCACTCTGGCATGTGCAGGCCATCATCACATGACGACCCCTCCCGCTTACCATTGTCACGTCCCAAATACGGAGCTGCGCAGTGCGAGTTGTAAGTTCATCGGCGTAATCTGCAGGGCTGCTGCAACTGACTCGGAGGAATCGTAGCGAGGGGATCGCGATACCTAACCGCGGCGGGGAAGTCGCGACCCGCCCCCGGGTTAGTATGTACGAGTCAACCCTGGCCGTCTTACGAGCTAGATGGATTGTTATTTTGCTTCTACCAACGTCCAGATGGAGTTGCAAGTCCATGTACAGCCGAACAATGGCAAAGTGATGCCGATGGGGCGGCAGTCAATGTCGTGCCGCCAGCCAAGCCAAGCGACAGGGCTGAACTTCCGATCCTAGCATGCGCAAAGAGGAGAAACGCATAGGGCGCCTTTAGGCCATCTCCAACTGTACGACGCCGCTCCAAGATGCATGTGCTGAAGCTGTTTGCCCATATCAAGCCATGCCGGAGCCGTCTTCTCGTCCCCTGCGCTGGATAGAATCCTCGAGCATGGCTTCAGCGGAGAACAGCGGTGAGTGCCAACGGTGTGGACCTCCGAGCGCAGGCTTGAGGCTGATGCGCAACAGATCCAAACTCAACAACACAAGATGAATCGAAAGCGCGAGTGCGGCGACGGCAACGCCAGCGGAAAGGGCCTCCGCAATTGCAGTTCGTCACTGCGACCGATCCCTCCGACTTCAAGGGCGAGAAGGCAAAACGAAGCGTGCGTTCCCAGGCCATGATCCAATACCGATACCAGTCGGCAGCGCAGAAGAAGCAGAAGAAGGAGGGAACCCAAGGCAAAGGCGAGCCTGTGCAGACGGCCGAGCGCGTGGTGCCCGTTCCACGGAACGACGAGCCATACGATGCGGAGGACGACGCTCTCTTGTTGCCCAGGCGCGACTCCCACTCCAGTACCGAAGAGTGGTGGAGCACATCGGAGCACGATGCGGATGGTGGTCCCTTGCGGACGCCATACACTACGGCGCTGGCGTCGACACGCCCCTCTAGCCGCGGCAACAGAGTGATGGCTATACCGCTGAACCAAGCTGCGAAGCGCGTAGTCGAATCGGAGGAAGAAAGAGATGCGATACTGCTTCAACTACTGGCCCGGAGAATGGCAGCTTCATGCATTGGGAGCAGCATGGACCCCTTCCTTGTCATACCCAAGTTCAAAACCTCGGAGCTGGACTCGAACAAACTCGTCCGCAACTGCAATCGCGTCTTTGTGTCAAAGCAAACCCTGGCCAGGTGGGTACCCGCCATGCTTGCTCATCCGCATATCCTCCTTAGTTCAACGATCATGTCATCTACGTGGCGAGACATGCTCGATGGTATGAATGCAGAGAGTAGACGCACTATTCTGGTCAAAGCCGAGATCATCACCTGGATCAATGAGCGCCTTCGGCACGCTGATACCATGTGTCGCGACGATACAATCATGGTCATCATCCATCTACTGATGGGTGAGACCTGGAGTTGCAATGAGAAGACACTTGCGATCCACATGTCAGGCATGGCCCGGCTCATGGCCGCTAGAGGGAAACTGGAGCTGCCTCCCACATTCGACACGGTTGGTCTCGCCACTGCGATCGTGTGTGGCCATGTTCCCATCATTTGCGAATCGGCTCCGCTCCCCCAGTTGTGTCGGTTTCAGGCACCCGATTTCCCTGTCGATCCATCGATGGCGCTGCCCGAGTCCCCGCTCTACAGCCCACGCGAGCAAATGTATTCTGTCGTTACCGACCCTGCATGCTCTAAACATACCTACAATCTACTTTGCGACGTGCGAGACTTGACCGATGTATTCCTCGACTACAATGACAATCTGGCAACGATTGTCGACGAGCATGATCACAACCGACTTCGGACTCTCTCAGTCGACTACGATCTCAAAGTGGCCCAGTTTCGCACCAAATTGGCGTCGATGCCTTCCGCTTACACACCTGGCCTCCCGACTTCGAATGATTGGATATACGAAGCATGTCGCATAACAGCGCTGATATACATGTCAGCACTCATCACGGGCGTTCCATTCTCTCAAGCGGCCGATCCTACGCTAAACGCCGTCGTGCGCGAGGCGGCGTCCATCTCCGATGAGGGTTGGCCCACTAAACGCCTTACAGAGTCGCTCTACGAGGTTGTGGAGCGGACCAACACAGGCGATTCATGGAACAACATGGTGGGCGTGTTCTACTGGGTTTGTGTAGTCGGATCGGCCGCAGCGCGCACGTCCGCCATCATCTCCACGAACTCACGCCCGAGTGTACACAGTGAAGCGTACCCAACGTGGGTGAAGCGCTGCCTGACCATGTTCTCGAGCCGCACCCTCGCGCTCATGATCTTCGAGCATCCTCTGCCTCTACTGGTTACCCAGAAGAAGATGCACAAGATACAAGCGTTGGTTGGCAGGAACGCATCGCATCCACGAGTTTTTCAAGAGTATTCATAAGCTTGTTCAGGCGCTTGTCGAAAAGAAGCATTCGCTCGGCGTTTGTCGGATATAAACCTGGGACGGGGATCCACTGGCGGACCTACACCACCAAAAGAAAAAAAAGCTTTGATCCGTAACGAGTGGGGGATGACAATTTTTGTCTTGCTGAGAAACCAAACTATCACCCAGTACCGGCAGGCTGGTTGATGTCAGGTTTCACTTTCGTGGGAGGGCACTTGTTAGGCCGCTAAAATGCCCCAGCTGGGAGCTGTCAGAAAACCAGCGTAAGATTCAATCATTTTCACCCCGCATGCGGAACCCTCATGCAGGCGATCTGGATACGCTGTCGATGTCTATCTGGTGCGTAGACTACGTCAATGGTTTGCGAGGGTGAAACTTTCTCGCGCGACGGCTCGCGGATGCAAATCAGCGTGAACGACAAGCGCATCCCGAGGACCGCCGCGCAGGTAGGCTTTCTTTGGCAGCGGATGCGGGTCCAGAGCGACCACGCGCCATAGCATGCAGGTCGCATGGACAAAGAGATCGGCCGGCTGACGGGTACTCGGAGTCCGGGCCCACTGGCTTCACGTTGCCGAGTTTTCCAAATGCTACTTTACTCATCGAGGAGTTGACATAGAACAAGGGAGAAGGATGCACGTGTTTCTATGTGCGGACGAACGTGCGGGCTTGGTCGTTGTCGGGTCGCTGTCCTGGCCAACGTGAATGTGCGGCCGTTGTCAGTGCTGAAGGTGTTTCTCATTGTTGTGCTGCTTTGTACAGTTGGCGAGCGGTTTCCTCTTGCCCAATCTATCTTCCAGTAACCATCAGTCATACTTGTCAGCCGTCGCGCCCAATCACTTGATGCCTCCGTCATTAGCAGGCATTTGATCCGTAAGGCCCTTTTGTGGACCGTGGTAGCCTTCTTTCACTACTGCCAGGGTTTTCGGGCGCACATGGTTGCAGGTCGGACTTCGCGCCTTCCTCACGGTCCGATTGGACGTGGCCGACCGGGGTGCACCTCTAGCGAGATCCCAGCGACCATTCACTATATATTCAAATCACGCTCGCCCTCGATGCGTCAGCGGACTATCGCAGTCAGCGTTGTCTCCAGCCTCGTGCTACTCTCCATCATGGTCGTCGTCGCACGCTTTCTGTGGAGCCACAACAAGTCCTCCAAGGACCAACCGGAAACAGTTGGCCAACGGTCTGTGGACCCCGTACAGCAAGAACCCTTTCTCCTATCGCGAGCTCGCTCAGTCAAGTTATTCACGACGCCAAAGAAGGAACGTGGACATTGGGTGCCGACACTCTCGGGAATAGTCAAAGCTGGAGACGAAAACATCATATCCTCTTCACTACTCAACGTTCAGCATGGCACGCCAGGCGAACTCTCCCTTCAAGATGTATACGAAGCCTTTGCGCATGAGCTGCGGAACCGCCCGGTTGCTGAACGCGGGACATACACCTCAGAGATTACCAGATTTCTGGCTTCGACCAAGAAGGTGCAGCGGGCGCCATCGGTCAGTGTTTCACCACCGAGCCGGCCAGAACTATCCAAGCGAGCATCACGAAAGTCGGTCGATGTGATTAGAAACTCAATAGATCTGGGAGAGCTGGGAATCGGCCGGTCACGGTCCGTCAAGAAGTTATCATCGCCAGACTTGATCCCGCTTTCATACGGTCTTCCGTTTGAGGCTGGTGGCCCCGGATCGATACATTCATTCTGGGACCAGGACTTGCAGCACGCCTTGATCTTCCAGGGACATACCGCCGTGCCAGTGACAGGTCACGAACTTGCAGCACTGTCGGTCATCCTAGGAAGCCCTGTGGATATCAGTCTGGATGCTCAGAATGAAAAGTGCGAAAGCTGGGCCAACACGTACAAGGGCGCTTTGGGTATTTCAATCGCAGCGACGGCGACGAGTGACGGATCATACCATATATCACTGACATCAAACAAGCGGAACATCTCCCAACTTGCAGCCAAGGGTTCAAGTTACTCCACCCTCCACGCTAAGCATCTTGCATCGGGCTCGCTGCCATTCGCATCAGATCGCAAAACCATCAATAGCATCTTGATCACTCCTGAAACTCTGGCACACCTGGAAGCAGGAGAGCATCTGCATCTGAAGGCAACCGGTGCGGACACCAAAGGAGCCCAGTTCCTTGCGCGACTTCCCAATGCTCGCGCACCAAACTTTCACACGTTCGCAACTTCGGAGACCACAAATTCCACATCCCGACTCCTTCAAGCGATAGGTGATCTCGCTTTCACAGGCGGTTTTACTCCATTCGCGAGCATCCCCCTCATCCAAACAGTCCATTTTGTCGCTTCTGGCGGAGTTGATCCAGGCCGTCTGCTCCAACGTCTAGACGCCCTCGTCGAGAAAGTCCACCGTCAGGCTCCACACCTCCAGCTCTTCGGTCCCCTCCTAGACGACGCCAACACACATCTTCGCTTCCGCGCCAACGAGAGGCTTGCTAAGCTCGCCACGGGTACTGTCACCGATGAACCACTCGCGGACAAGGTCGCGCGGATGAGCCGCTACATCACACTGCTGGGGCGTCTCATGGCGATCGTCCCAGACATGCGGCCTTCCGACGTTCTTGATGCTGTGAGGGAGGGTCTCAAGTCTGAGATGGAGCGCTCATATGAGGACGCCGTAGCCGCGCACCTCATCGGCAGGACAATCCTTTCGACGCCGCTGTCTTCACGGAGCAAGCGCAACTCTAGCATGCCGCGTAGGGACACCCGTAACAGGTCGAGACACTCGAACAACTCGTCCGGCACTGCCTCGCCTGACGGACCCGCAAGCCTTACCAGCGGTCGGTCAAGCTCTACGTTCCCCGTACACAACCTTGGTCGACAGGTGGAGGATATACTAAAAGGGAGCCTACCGATGGACGTGCAGACTATCATCCACGTCGCGCGGCTAGTGCTTGTAGCGTGGACGTTGAGCGTGGAGGGTGTCGCGTGGGACGAAGGTGAGGTTGGGTTCAGGGTAGTGGACCCGGCGAAGCTGCCTGAGAAGATGTACATGTGGTAGCGGCACGTTTGTTACTTTTTCTTTTGGGCTCCCATTCTGCGGTTGGGCGGGCGTGGCGTTTGGACTTGCTTGAGAGTGCACGGCACGGCTGAGAGATACCATTATCGCGATCACGCACAGCATGTATATCATGACTTTACGATTAGGCTAGGAGGATACGGATACCAAATATGCTACACTTAATATCACTCTTCAAACCACCCATCACGATCTGTCCACCTCGAATCTCGTGAGGTCTCCCACCGCTATTCCCACCCTACGCCGATAACCTAGCATAACAACATATGACCGCCCTCGCAACCCCAAACAAACGACCACCGGGGGCATCGCGCCTACTTCGATAGTGACCACAACGAAAAGCTCCCCTCTATTGGCCTGCCAGCCCATGACGTCTGCGGTCATTTGCGCCGACTCACCCCGCCGATCTCCCGCCGCTGGCCGGTTGGGTCGGCCTCGTCTCTTCTCGGGCTCGGAAGCGCGAGGATTCCATGCCCGAGGACGAGGGCGAGCCCGTAGCCTTCCGGTTTGCGGCAGGTGCGGAAATCCAATAGTCGCGCGCAGGTCTGTGAATGCGGGGTGTGCTACGGGCATTGCGGAGAAAAGGGGTCTGGGTATGGATGTGGCGCGGGAGCTTGAGGTAGCGGGCGTCTAGCTGCTAGTGTGCGTAGTGGGTTCTACGGAGCCTGGAGTACGGGGTATACGCTCCTGCAGGGCTGCAAGTGCGGTGTGGTAGTGGGACGGTCCTGCATATGATGTTTTGTGGGAGTATCACAGACTCGTCGTGGGTGTGTGTAGAAGGGTCTTGGAGTCGATTGGCCAATTGCAGTGTGGGGATGAGAATTGCCCGTCTGCTCACGCCATGCCATGTATCACGAAGAGGAAGTGGCGGTGAGGCGTGGTGTGACATCTACACGGCGTAAGAAAGTTTAGCCTGCGCACCTAGTTCTGCACCGATTTGGATGCAGTAGTCTACGTCTTTGAGTGCACATTCGCAGCTCGGCGACTGAGTCTCGTAACCGGGACGCACTGCATCGAATTGTTCAGGTTGTTGAGCTTGAACCCTCACCCCGCAACTTCACCCACACACTCTACGCGCTCCGTACTTCACGCCATTTCGATGGGTCCGAAAGCTCACACTGCGGCGATCCCATCACTGTCAGACAACCTCTGATGTCCGCCTCAACGTCGACGTCAAATTATACCGGACGCTACGCATGCACGCGGGCGGCACAGTACGTAGGTAGGCGAGACCGCAAACTCACACGCACATGCATATGCATATGCGATGCACCCCTTCCAAGTCCGTGGTCTTAACGTCTGAATCCTTTTCCGATGGGCGCTACCTAGCGCCTGAAAGCTTGATATGCGTACATGCTTGTGCAGTGTCAGAAAACCTGTGGAGATGCGGACGCGACTCTGGGGTACAGTCTTGAATTTTTGAGATCTGGGATAGCTTAGGCGAGGCTGCAGTAGATTTGGGGGCGTATTGGTCAGTGTGAGAGGTGGGGGTAGCTGGCGAAGCCTTCTACTGCGGTGAGGTGTCTAAGTCCTGCCTTGCTGTGGTAGATGCAGCTCTGTATTGTCAGCAAGCCACACTTTCGTGGGGTTCAGCTACCCTGTTGAAAGCCGCGCATATGCGGTTCATCTCGTCGTCGATCGAACACGAGGCACCACAGGTCCACCTCCGCCTTCACTGCATCCTACCCGACCCACCTCCGCCGCCCACCCGCCTCGCCAAGTTGAACTCAGCTGGGAACACCACGCCTGCAGGTATTTCTGGGCAGACGGATCCGCTGAGCTGGGCGAGGCTGCGCTCCAAGTCCGCATTTTCTGACCGCCGCGTTTTCTGACAGGTAGGTCCTACGGACACTGTGGCCTAAGAAAAAGAAGGTAATGTGACGGCATTAATAGCATTTCTTTTCATCAAGCATGCAAATTGCCTCAAAGGGGCAAGTGTACGTAAGGCCACCTAGGCCGTGTGAGATGGGGTGGTGCGGATGCGCATTTGGCAACGCGCGTCAAATCCACCATGCAGCCATGATCGCTTGAGAGTCTCAACCTAGACCTCAACCTCGACCTCAACCTCAACCATCATACGACAGATACTAATACAGCCCTTCAATCACCCATAACCTCCAAACCTCGACAAACGCCTACCCACCCCATCTCCATCCCCTTCCACACCTCCCTCACACGATCCTCCTCGAGCCCATCCCTCTTCCTCTCCCGCCGCTCCACCGCGTCACCCGTCCCATCCGCGATACTAATCCCCTGATTGCGATCCCGACTCCCCATCCGCCTGTGGCTCGCACCACCCGTGGCAGCAGACGTCTTCAGCCCTCTGCCGTCGAGCTCGCCTTTGACCTCCCACCCGCGGCGCACGGGCCCGTGCAGCGTCGCGGGCGTGATGTAGCAGCTGTCCAGCAGCGAGTTCCAGCGGCTGAGATACATGCCCGGGCCGTGGGTTGTGCCTTTGCCTGTGGACCTGGGTTTTGGGGATGGATTGGTGTGCGAGGGCATGATGGTTTGGAGGCGCGATTGGGACGTCTTTTTGAGGGACTGGAGGTGCTTTTCGTGGGCGTCGAGGAGCTTCTTGAGCTCGTTCTGCTTTTCAGATGAGAGGGTGGAGAAGAGGGATTGCAGGGGCAGCGTCATGTTGCCGGCGCCGTGGGCGGTAGGTTCGGCAGACGGGGAGGCGTCAACGCGGAATTCGGCAAGGACGGATTGCGCGTATTCGCGGTATTGGTTTGCTAGGTCGGGCGCGTTCTTACAGATTTGGTGTAGGAATTTGTGGGCGGAGGGCATGTGCTTTCTGAGGAGTTGGACGTAGTCTTCGACTGTGGGGACGTGTGATGCACTGGGATTGTCCTTGATGCTAGCACCGCCGGAAGGGCCAGGCGAGCTTGCGCGACTGCCTGGTCTACTGCTCGTTCCGGTGGCCTTCTTGGGCTTTGACACCTTGATGAGGTCGGTGAGAAATACTTCTGCGTCGTAGACGGTATCGGACAGATCGACGGCTTTGTGGACGGCGCGAATGACGGGATCAAATGCCGCGACGAGGTCTTTCATAGCGGAGGTCAATACGTCGGGCTGGAGTTTGCAGAGAATCTTTGTGAGCTCCTCACGATCACGTATGGAGAGGTAGTTGCTGTAGTACTCCATGGCTACGGCGTGTTGGTGGTCGGTGAGAGAAGCCGGGTCTATGGGCGGATCCGAAGTTTCCAGGATCACGCCAATGATGGACTTGGACTCTGCTAGTGATATGTTGCGGGCGGCATCGTGCCTGTCTTTCGAAGCATAAACATACGTCTTTATCGCTTTGAAGACGTCCTTCTTGGGTGGGTCCCTGCAGTTTTCGAGCTTCTGGGCGCGTTTCTGGAACTCCGACGTGTCCCATGCCATGACGGTGGACATGATCTGCTGCATGAGGTTCATGCCATCGTTCGTGTTGTTGGTAAGACCGATCCAGTTGGTGACGGCGGTTACGGAGAGCTTTGCCAGGACCAGCCGGACCATGCCGTTGATCATGGTTGCCGCGTTGCCTACGCGCAGTGTCTGTCTGACCATCATGTACGGGATGAGGCGGTGCACGTTCTCGAGGAGGCGGAGGAGATACTGGCCGTCGGGCGACATGACGAAGACGTGGTGGAGGAAGGATGCAAGGCTGGGCACGTCAGTATCCCCGCCCAGCGCGACGGGAGAACCAGGGACTCACTTCAGCAGGATGTACTCGTGCGCCGCCTGCACCATGCTAGAGTGCTGCTCGAGCTGGCCCGACTGCGCGACCGTGTCGAACAGTTCATCCAGCAGGTCGCCGTAGATCAGCTCGCGCATCCCGTCGTCCCACGCCTGGTGCACGTCGTCGGGCTTGGTCGCATCGTACTCGCTGCGCTTCTCTCGGCGCTCTCCCGCCGGGTAGCCGCCCAGCATGCCCCTCGCGACGTACTCGAGCAGGCTGCTTATGGCCGTGGCCAGCGCCTTCCTCGCGCCGATGGCTCCCTTGTCGTAGCTCTCGGAGAGCTCGGCATCGCCCAGCTTCTTGACCAGCACGCGCACCTTGTCCTGCCAGAAGTCCCGCCCGACGTTCTTCAGGCCCGGCAGCCGCAGCACAAACTTGTTCAGCATGTTCTGCAGCAGCGGCGACGTCGTCTGCACGCCGTCCGCCTTGCCGAAGGGGAACCCATATTGCTCGATGGCCTGTGGGTATTTGAACGCTTCGATTTCCGCGTAAAGCTGGTGGTGGATCAGGATGTCGAAGAGGGCGTGCGTCTGCGCGGGTGTGAGAGCTGGGTCCGACATTGTCAGGGGAGCATGGCGGAGGACGGCAGCTTGCATCGACGCGTGCCCAGCCGTCGAGTCGCTGATGCTGCGACTGCGGGACGCGTCCGGGGACGTCATTGTGGCTGGTGACGTCTGCCGGTGGCGGTGGCGGTGGCGGTGCGTCGTCGCTAAGCCCTTCTGAGGTTTGCATATAGGTAGTCGGAAGAAATCCTGGTAGTGACATGCGCATCGTTTGTGAGCTTGTTGTCCTCAAACGCTCATCTAATTGACCGTGTCACGTACCAACGCCAACCCGGTGACATCACAATAATGGCAAATAACGAAACTAGAAAGATAACGCTATTTGCGAATCTCATAGTGCTTTGGCACCTGAGAAGAAAAAGACCTCCTTCCAAGGGTAATGCTGTTGAACAGCCATAACTCCTCCCCCAAACTGGGCTCTCTATACACGCCAAAAGTGAGTGTATATCAAGACCTGCTATAGCGCCTGAACCAAGCTCTGAACATGTCATCGCCTATCGCGACCATCCGAATCAGGTCCAAGGCACATTTTTTCAAACAAGATCCACATTCACATAGTCCTCCGCGTCAATCTCCCCTTCCACGCTCGTGAATTTGAGTCCGTTTACCACCCGCGGGCTATCATCAACCACCTCTTCCCGACGGGAATGGATCGCAAGCACCTTCCAAATCACAGGATACAGCTTGCCGTCCAGCCTGCGCACGAATAGCTCCTTCGTGTCACGTCGGAAGACGACAACCATTTCGCTCCAGGGGATGGTATCGAGTGGGTTGAGCGGCTGAGAAGCACCGAAGACTTTGTCGAGGGGATTCGGCGGGAGCGTGTCGACGGGTGCGTGCTGTCCGGCGTCGAAGGTGTCCGCGAAGAAATCTGAGCACTGCTTAGCAAACCAAGATACGAACAGATGGGAGCAGAGATGAGGGTTAGCTCACCTTCAACACTCGGACTCCGCAGCGGATTCCTATCACCACTCCCCGTACCCTCTACAGCCCCACCCACCTCCTGCGTCTTTTCTTTCTGCTGCAGTTTTCTCACCGACACCATCCGCGCTTCTGCCTCCGCCTCCGATCGCTCCCTAACCATCAACACCACCGCCCCCTTCACAACCCAATACATATCCCTCTCCCGACCTACCACCCTATCAATACGATCATCATCCACCAGATCCCCTTGCCTCAACACGGTATACTTTGCCTCCGGTAGTCGCATCGGCGTCTGCACAGCCTTCGTCCCAATGTGAACGTGGGGCTGCATGATGCCGGACTGTGAGCCTGGGTTTCTCGCGGGAGCGAGGGCAGTGAGGGATGAGGGTGGAGATGTCGATGTTGGTGGCTCAGCCGATGGGATGGAGCGCGTGGAGATGGGCAGGACTTGCGTCTCTTGAGGGTAGTACTTGTTGCCAAGGTATGCGCTGTCCGGGTGCAATTTGTATTGTTTTGCGGTGGGGCGCTCTTCGATGTGGTCGAGGGCGGTGGTGAAGACCCATTTGGCGGTGGTCCAGAAGCCCATTGTGTGCTTGCCGAAGGGCTTGCGCTGGTGGGCCAGGATTTGGAAGTGATGCTGTGGGGTGGGTGCTCAGGGCAAGCGTTCAGGAGGGCTTTAGAGGTGGCGGAGCTGGGGTTCGGTGGGGTGGTGCGTGATGAGGCCCTGGGTATTGCAAAAATACAGCGTATGTGAACCGACAGCTCGTGAAAAGGTGCTATCACGATACCAGGGAGTCACGTGCCCCTGACACTGCGGGCCCAGGCCTGCGATGTGAGGTGAAAAGGTCCACACGTGATTGTCACACTGCGCTGGTGTCATGACGCATTTGCGCGGGAAAACTTTGTACATGGGACTTTGTATATAGCTAAGCTAGGAAAGCATGAATATCAACCCGGTTACTTTGCTTGATGTACAGAGTAACAGGTCAACGAAAGACTTGAACGGAAAACATCGACAAGTTAGACTCAAGGCTTCCCCTGTACCCATCTCTCCCATACACGAGCTCGACCATTCCGTAGCGTCTGGTACTTGTCCGTGTCAACGACCTCAAAGTCATCATCCGAGTCTGCAGATTCAACGGACGGATTGTGACTGTTTTTGGGACTGCTTGGCGTTGGGCTGTCGAGAGGAATGTCCTCAAAACTGTGTTTTTCACTGTTTGTTGTTCCGATTCCTGAGTCTATTGTTGGCGCAATCTGCAGTTCGGGCTTTATGGAAACATCTTCATGAGTTACCGTCGATCGTGCAGGTGAATGTGGCGGAGCGAAAGGAAGTGCAGGCGGCGGGACTGGAAGGTTTTCGGCAGTCTGTAGCGTACCCAGCTCAGCAGAGGGCTCCGCGTGTTCATGCGAGATGGGACCCTCGTGAGGAATGTGCTCCGTGGTAACCCGGACATCATCTACAGCCTCATCGGGAGACGACGGATTGCTAGCGTTGATCTCTCTTGCAGGCTCAGAGAGCGCCGCTTGGGCAACTTCAGCGCCCCTACGAGCAGAACTCAATAGCCCTGCATCTTCGATTAGGTTTTTAGCAACATCAGGAGTTCGCACTGCTGAACGATGAGGTGTCGACCGCAAATTACCAAACAGATGGAGCCCTTGCATAGCCTCGACAAGCTCGTGCTCACTTGACGAGGCTGGCAGACTGTCTTGGTCTTGCGAACTTTGCTGAGGTGTGCATGCGTTCTGCTCCACCTGTGCAGCCTCATGAAGCGGCGCAATATTCCGTCCCTCCGTACCGCGCAGTCCAGGCTTCAACGAGAAATAGCCACCTTCCCTATTAGATTGCAACTCTTGAAATATAGGAGACGGTGGGGGCATTTTCAAAGGACCCTGTGTCGGCGATAGACCGGGTATATGCTGTCCAGCTCCCGTGCCTGTCGTCTTGCGCACTACACCGTCGATATACGCCATAGCCTGCTGATACTTAATTTGCGGAGGTTCCGGAGGGTTGCCAATTTGGAGTTCTGGACAGGCCCTCAATTTTCTTCTGCCGCCACGGAAGGGGTTGGATTGGCGCATCGCTCTTGGTTCGCGAGGAGCGTTCGATGGTGGAAATGTCATGGTGTTCACAGCCCTCGAGATTGTGCTCGCACCTGGCCCACGGGAAGCCTGAGGCTGGGGACAGTAAGATGGGAACAAAGGTCGCAATAGATCCAAACCAAATGCGTAGTCCTGGAAGAAAGCTGATGATTCGTGGTCGGTATGGATAGGATGCCGTGGCTTCTGCGCTTGTAGTGATGCGCTTCGGCTTCGACTATTCCGCGACGACCTGCGATGGGCGGGTGATTGCTTACTGGTTTCGTTTGGTGGAGACATCCTATAAACGGTTGATTCTTAGTAAATTGGTCGTGGTCGCACTTATAGGGAGCTAGAGAAGGGGGAGCGTATGCTGATCTTATGGCCATAGGTGCCTTGATGCGTAGACAAAACGCATGTTTCCTCGTCCAGTGAATAATAAAGATTGAATTCGTGGACCTTGAAAAGAGCATGTTTCCGACCATCCATGGTCTATTTTGGTCCAGTCCTCATACCTTATATTCATTCAAGCCACAGGGTGAACCCCGGCCAGTCACAAAAGCTACTGGTGGCGATGCATTGAATGCGGGTTCTTAGGCAGCCTAACTCACCGTGCGCGGTGTTATCAGACATTCTCCGGCGAGTGCTTCCATCTGCGTATGCTTGAACGACTACAGCGTTCCATGGCAACCTCCATTATGTAGTGATGCTGGAATGCCATGTACAATGCGGCGGCGATAATAAAAGGGTCGCCAAATGGAAGAATTACCCAAATTTCTCCGCACTATTCTCGGCTTCGACTTTGCAAGCTTTGAAGGTTTATGCTTTCATTGCTCGCTCTACTTCTCCAGGTAGCGGTAATTATACAGGTCACTGGGGTGGTGACACGAATCTACGTTGGGGTAGTATGTACATGACTATTCCGCAAGCTCTGACTTTCTCGATTGCTGGTATACCTTACTTTGACGTTGAAACCGAAGCTTTCAACAGCAATGCTGATATGGAGCTGTGCACTTGATGGATGCAGCTCAGCGCTTTTTCCCCACTCTACAGGAATCACAACGGCCGCAATACGATCTCGCAAGGAGCTTTTAGATGGGCAACCACAGCAGAAGCGACGAGACGAGCGATCTATATTCGCTTTCAGCTTTTGCCCTACCAGTACACGCTGTTTTGGAAAGCTCACACCGAAGGCGGGACTGTTTTACGGCCACTGTCTTGCAACTTCCCCAATGGAGCTTCTCAAGTCTATTGACAACCAGTTCATGTTGGGACCCAGCATACTTCTCACACCCGTGCTCGCGCCTTTCCTGCGAGAATCGCAGGGCGTCTTCCCCGGTCTTGCAACGGGAACCGCGCTGGTATGACTGATACACCCTAGACGAGGTGCACGCCGTACCCGGCCAAAACGTTACACTTGAAGCCCCACTGGAACATATTCCTGTCTATGTGAGAGGAGGCACGGTAATCGCATACCAGACACCTGCAAACACAACGACACACATGAAGCAGAATCCATGGACTATCATCGCAGCGCTGGACAGCAACCAAGCCGCTTCTGGAGAGTTATTTCTTCACGATGGAGTTACTATCGACCCAGAAGATGCCAAAGTGGTCAATTTAAGTGCTATAGATCCTTATATGATCAGAGATCTCTGACTGGCTAATAGTTCCAATTCTCCGACAATGTATTTTCCATTGCTGTCGAGGGCGATTACGACGGGCACGCGACCCCACTTGAGATGATCGAGATCGTAGGCTGGCACGGCAAGCCTGTGCAAAAAACTCTAGTCGGTTCAGGTGGCCAAAAACCAAATCTCTACGAAGACGCCGAATGCCGTAGTGGGGAAGGAGCCAACAAAGTGAATGTCGACGGCCTCCACGGTATGACGGAAGACGGGACTTTCGCCAGAAACCTCATTATCCAGTTCGAATAGGGCGAATGTCATTGTTCAGTGTACCGCAACCTTTCTATGTACATCTGCCTCGAATTGAACTTGGCGAAAAAGATTATCACTTCTGAATCGATTCAACGTACTTTCGGTGATGGTATTTACTAACTTTGAGACATTAAGCGCATTCCGATAAGCCGCGCAGTACCATCTCGTATTGATCGATGTGCAGACGCATAGAATAGGGTTCATTTTGCGATGGCGCTGCTGAGCTGATTCTTATACGCCTAGCTGAATGGTGATTGGGGGGCGGAACAGCCAACTCCGGTGTCAGCAGCAAGTGACTTCAGCCGCACCGTTCACCCATGGATCCGAAAGGATCGGAAAGAGGTGGGAAGATACCCATCCCACGCTAGTGCGGACATACGCACTAGACAAGCCAATCTATTCCGGTTGTGGTGAATAATTGTGGTGCTCATCCTACATCAGCAAAACACGAACGAGGGAAGCCCGTGCTCTCGTTAAAGCTGCAGTTGGCTGACCACCAACTCCCCCAAGGACACCATCTTGGACTCCCCTGATCTGGCTCGTGGCCAGTCCTATATCACAGCTCTGCCGTATGGGGTATCAGGGGCGGGCTCATTCAATCAGCCGCTCGTTTTTTGCAATATTGCCTTGGTGTTACACCATCTTGGGATTGGGATAAAAGCATTAGACCCCCAGGTTCTCGTATTGTCTCTGGATCTCTTACAGCGGTTGATTTAGCAGATCATCGTCGCATAGGGCGATACCCATCTGACATACATTATCTTTTCTTTCGTGCTTGCCTTCGATTACGCCTAATACTCCATGATGAATTCTTCTGTGTCTGCAATAATTTTGCTCTTGTGCGGGATATTCGGTGGAGTTTGGGGATACACAATTCCACAAGGGCCAGCAGATGCTGTACGTCGAGGTGTAGCAATCAATACCACAAGGGCGGGATTTCTTTATGGACCAGCAGTAGCTGGCGGGCCACTCTACCCAAGTGGGCCCTTAGGCAAGGCAAAGGTGGCGGCAGATATAGGAAATGAACAGCTCGAGACCACACCTAACAGTTTATTGGTGGCGGAGGACACAGCGCGCGCCAGTAGCTCTACGGAGCAGGTAAGTCCGCTCTGAATCCGATCTCAAGGAGACAGTGCTGATTATGTTGTTACAGTATCAAGGCTTAGATACTTTTGAAGAATACCTGCTCTTGTATCAAGGGCAATGGGCTAAAACCTTACCCAAAGGTCCGGCCCCGGGTTTACTCACCAATTACACACAAGATCTCTTCTTCTCAATGGAACGGCTAGCCAATTCCGCCTTTTCCGTGCGACGACTTCCGAGATCCTCGGAGCTCCCCTTCCAGGTGGACTACTCGACCGTTTCCAAAGTTACGGGCTCGTCTCTATCTCTCCAGAAGTTGCTCCAGGACGGTAGACTTTTCTATGCTGACCATCGCGCACAAGCAAGCTGGCCAAGAACGACGAACAAATTTGCAGCGGCTTGCGATGCCTACTTTTACATGTCGAAGAGAGGGCAGTTCCTCCCCCTCGCTATAAGAACCAATGTCGGATCAAACCTCATCTATACACCAATTGATGAAGATGCCGACTGGACACTGGCCAAAATCATGTTCAATGTCAACGACTTCTTCTTTGCGCAGACATGGCATCTTGCAGCAACTCACGAGATCGTACAGATTGCTTGGATGGCAGCGATCCGTACTCTTAGCATCGAGCATCCGATATATGCACTTTTGGATCGATTGACTTACCAGCTCTTCGCTATCCAACCACTAGCGCAAAGCTTCCTGTTCGATAATGGTACAGCTTTTGATACCTTATTCCCCATTACCGGCACTGGAGCGCGCGACTTCGTCACTGAACTCTACTTCAACGGAACCGGTTCATTCAAAGAGGGATATTTTGAGACCGATCTGCAGAAGAGGGGTCTCATCAATGGCGATGGGCCCAAGCTGAAACACTTCCCATACTATGAAAACGCATCTACTATCCACAAGGCGATCCGGAGCTTTATGCGTACCTTTGTCAGGTCGTTCTACAAATCCGATCGTGCTGTTCGTGGCGATCCAGAACTTCAAGCCTGGGCTACTGAAGCTAATGGTCCTGCCAAAGCCATCGATTTTCCTAGCAAGTTCGACAGTGTAGATGAGCTCACTGATGCTCTCACTCACATCGCCCATCTAGTGTCGACAGTCCATCACTCGGTCAACACCAACAATCTGCTCTCCATATCAGCTACGCTGCCCATGCATCCCGCCTCACTTTATAGACCTGTGCCAACTACCAAGGGTATTACTTCGGTCGCACAATATCTACCACCTCTGCAAGCTGCGTTGGCGCAGTTCCAGGTCGATGGACTTTTGTAAGTGAGACCCTTCATAGATACCTCGACACCCTAAAGTTTGTGAAATTTTGCTCACGCATGCTATAGTGCAAGACCACTTATCGCGAACAGCACCCGCTCGCTTTCGTACATGTTCGACAGCCCTACATTTCTTAATGGAACCAACCGTGAAACTCGCACAGCTGCGGCAGAGTTCAAGGAGGCAATGTTCACATTCAGCAAACAGATCCGAAGTCGTACGTTCAACAGAGATGGCCTCAGTCAGGGAGCGCCGTTCATTTGGAGAGCTCTAGATCCAACGGAGGCGCCTTTCTCACTAACGATCTGAGCCCAGGTGATTTGGCTAGCTGGCGTAGAGTAACATTCGCTAGTTGTGTAAGGGAAACACTCATGATCATGCTCCCAATCTTGTCCCACTGTATGCAAAACAATAAGCACATTTTATTCATGTAAGCCGTGTCGGTGCCGTTATAATCATACCGGTGTCATGTAAGCTTTGGGCAATACTCAGTAAGGTGTAGGGAAACCACGAGGGCATACTCTCGCTCAGCGCCTAGCCCGTCGCTCATCCTCTTCGAGGATATCGGCCAGTGTCCAGCCAACCTTACGAGGATCCTTTGGCCCCTTCTTAGAAGCGAAGACGTTTCCGGCCTTTGAAGCCCATCGGTAAATAGTCTTGAGCTTTTTCGTGTTCTCTTCAAACACGCTCTGAGTGCTCTTTTTAGGCTCTGATGGAGCATTCACATCTCCCTCCATCTCATCCTCCGAACGTTGAGCCGTTACCAGTCCTGACGCATCCTCGCCATCCCGCTGCACCTTCACATCAAAGTCGTCGAGCAGGTCCCAATTTTGGTCTTCAAGGGTACACTTCTCTCCGCAAGCAACCTCGGGATAGAGAACCCCGTCAGGCATCTCGGCTTCGCGTCGTGCTTGGGCTGCGTTGACCTTTGCCATCATGAGTGCGTGCTGGTAGTGCGGGTCCGTCTCGCGGCTTCGCTCTTCGTCCGCTTTGACTTGGGCTCGGAGCTTCTCAAGCATGTCCTTAGGGAGGATGGTGGGCTCGCCTGCCGCTTTCCTCGCCTTGAGGTAGTTGTGACAGTACTCGGAAAACTCATCATCGTCCAGGTCGTTGTAGGTAGCGATGTTAGTAGCAGCTTCATCGAGCTTCTTATTTTCATATTCGGTCTCCGTGCTGAAGTCATCACCGGTAGTCCCCTCATTAATCATATTGAGCATCAAGACAGTCTTCGCCTCATTTTCAAGGCGAGGATCGAGTCCTTGAGTAGCACGTGAAGTGTTCAAGATCTCGTCAAACTCGATGCCCTCGATATCAGAATTGTTACTCCAGTCAGACTCGCTCTCATCCTGCTCATGGCCCTCTTCAGCTTCAGGCGTGCTGGAAGTGAGCTCTTCCATGTCTAGATCGGTGGCATGGTCCTGACTGCTGCTGCTGGCACCGATACCTCGGCGCAGCTTGAGTTTTTGAAGTTGAGGATGAGCCTCTAGCTTCGCGACGGGGTGGAGTGTGAACTTCCTAGGTGTATCTGACTGTTCTCTGTTAGATTATATTGCTTTAGGGTTGTAGTTGAGAATGGGTATACCTACCAAAGCTACTAATTGCGGCTCCAGGGTAGTGTCCATGGAGTTGAGTGGCGTGTTCTCCGGAAAATTCTGACAGCTCCCAAGCATAGTCTTCGATCTATTCGTAGCATTGCGCTTTCGAAACTTTCGTCGCTGGATTGCCTCCGCCTTGCTTTGCGGCTTGGTCTCGCCGGACATCTGTTCGAGCATTTCATCGGGGATGTCGTTCCAGTTTGCGTTGGCGGGAGCTGGTCGCTCGTCTGCTGAACCAGATAAACGCGGCATTTTGGCTCCTTCCCGAAGTGACACCGGAAGTGGTGATAGCTCAGGATTGATGCTTTGCTTTTCGATCCAGCTACCTGGCATATCGCTGGTTGCCTCGTCTGAATTTCTTTTCGTGGGCCCTTGTTGCGGCGCGGTCCAGCGTTGCTCGAGCTGAGGATACCGCTCGTCGACATATTTCGTGAAGCTGCCGGGACGCTGGGCCCTCAACGGGAGGTCGTGGCGTAGTTCAGCAAATTGACCAACTAGTGCATCTTTGGAGGTTTCCAAGTGTTCGTGGCCTCGCTCGTGAGCGTCAGGACGATCTTGCGCCATACTTTCCGGAACACCCGGGCAGCTTTCTCGGGAGCTTTTGTGTCAAGGTCCTGAAGACCAAGAGCATCGAGTTGTGCTCCTTTATAAAAATCAACTGGTGCATGCGTTTGTGCCTGTGTCAAATGACTGGCAAGACCTTCAAGTCAGTTTGCTTGATCTGAATCGCAATCATCTTAAACCGGCATGTATGACCATGTATAGAAGTTTAAGTCGCTTTTCGGTCCAATCATTCTCAAGGTACTGGATGTTCTTGTCTGTACGGGTGACTTGCGCTTAGGCCGCTGCCTTCCATGATAATGATCAATCGCGATATCTGTACATCCAGCGTCCGTGACGTTAGCCAAATCAGTTCAAAATTACCTAGAACACCTAGGGGAATCTCTCCAGGCAGGTTTCCCGAGCAAATAAATGATAGCCATCTAATGTCTCATATCGTGCTGGACGATGTTTTGCCAGGTCTTCACATGATATCAATGTAGCCATGGACGTCAACCGGTTGGAACATTCACACCCCGCAACGTAGGCACTATGGTGCTCTTCGATGATACTAGCATTTCCCAATAGTGGCCTGATGTTGATGTCCTCGGAAGGATCGCGTTCGACATGCTTTGATGACCCAACGAACCAGCAGGCGAAATGCCTGCACTACCCACACGAGCTAGCCGATTTCCGTTTCGGACGCTAGTGCCAGGACAGCTATTGGTAGGGTCAACGTGGCAATAGACCAAGCTGCTTGGAAGGCAGCAAGGAGTTCCACACTTGACATCTGTCTTACTGGTGCGAAGTTCCCGAGTCCCGCAGAGCGTGCCTGCCACTGTATCGGCTGCTGTTGCCGTCTAGATCCCTGTCAACGATCTCTTTGACAGTTCTTCGTGGTCCGTCATCTAAACGTCACGAAAATCATCCTTGATCCCAAAAACACAATGTATATGATGCTGGGCCTTGTCGAACACAGTGTGAAACAGATCAGTTTTCATCAAATTTGCCTTCTCATTACCTGAGTATATCAACGCTTAACTGAACCGACGAATATGCCTCAAGATCAGCAACAGCTCCTACGCAAGCACAATGTTATCGGAGATGTGCTACCCTTGGCAACAACACAATTTACGTATGATCTGAAAGTCCAGTTTCGAAACGCTACTCTCGAGACGCCTGGACAGGAACTTGGCCGAGAGGAGACACAGGATGAACCGAAGATCTTCCTGAGCCCTGCAGTATGTTCTATGCCATATGTTTTCCGAAGCAGCAGCACTAAACTAAATTACAAATGCAGCCAAAAGAAAAACGTAGCGATTATGTGCTACTAGTTGTTGACCCGGTAAGCATTGCTAGCTAGATCCAGCACCAATGACTTGTCATGAAGCGAATCATTAGATGCGTCGGTCGGAGATAGATCCCTCTCGTAGTGCGGATCCTGACATATCCTGCAGGACCTCCTGGAAAACAACGACCAAAATTTCGGCCAAGTCCGCCACTGGCTCTCAACCAACATTTCCGTGAAAGAAGATGGCGCGCTCAAGATCCTTTCCTGCTCCCCCAATGACATTTCGCCATACATCGGCCCCGCGCCGCTACCCAACTACGTCTCGGCCAGGCCTCATCGCTATGTTTTCATTCTAGCCCGCCCGTCCTCAAACAGCACGGAACAGTTCTCCGTCACGAAGGAAGATTTGCAGAAGCTGCAGGAACACTACAGGGCGTCGTTCAAGGGCGCACAAGAGGCGGATGTACAGGATTTGAAGGACCGATGGGGCTTTAATGCCCAAAAGTTCTTGGAGATGAAGGGGTTGCAGGTGGAGGCTGCGACCATGATGTTGGTCGGTGGTACTCTGAAGAGTGCGGCTGCGAACATGATGATGTCGGGGCAGGCGATGGTTGACAAGGTAAGCCGTATCCGCGCGACCCGTGAAAGAATTCACTTTACTAACTATGAGTAGGCTTTGGGCAGATGATGAATCAACATCTTTATGAACTCATTGGGCACCGGATTGGACTCAATCACGCTATATAGCAACTATGCAGTGTATCAAGACTACAAGGCTTTCAGAAGCTGTTGCTTCCAAAGTCTTGATTGCTCAAGACGCGGAGACATATTAAACGAGTCGCGGATCTCCCACCAGCCATATGAGGCGCATCATTACCCAGTGTGACTTTGCACTCTCGAATCAGACGTAAAGACCCATATATGCAAACAGGTCAAAGCTCGAAGAACTCAACACAGTGGCATCCAGAGGGGCGCCCCTTAGCTCCCGTAGTCAACCCCACCTCTCTTGTCCGTTGCACCCAAGTTATACTGGAACTGGGTTCCTTGAGCCTTTGATCAAGCATCTTCCTCTAGACTCCAGGTTATTCAACATTCCAGAGACGTGTCATCGCCGCCATGTGCAGAGTCCGTTCTACCTGTCGAGTGGCCACAGTCTTTCTCGTGTGCTTCGACGATGTTGAGTACGACAGATTTCTCGAACTTGGGCCAATCTTTTGCGGCTATCTTTGGCTCCAGGTCGGTCAACGCCACGCCACGTTTCCGAATCTGGACGGGACCTCGCTTCTGCTCGTGGTGTTGAACTCCGGACTAATTATTGCCACCTCGCAAATTGGGCCGCAAGTTAGTCGCATTGAAACCGCCGCCCCACTCTACGGGCATGGACGTCTCGTCACCCCTCGTGTCCATCAAGCCTGCTATCATCTGTTGCGTCCGAAGTGCAGCCCTCTCGCACCACTCCGTTCCAAAGAATGGCCGGAGCTCTTGGCGGTCGTTGTACTCTTTGTCGTGGATGCGATGCAAGAGCTCGGGATGCTGCTCCAAGAATTCAAGCACCTTATCTGCGTCCGGAAGCGCCTTCGTATCTCCGCTCGCGTACTGGTCGAGCTGGTTGCGTAGATCCTCAACCATACGGTAGACATACTTGCTGTCCTTGGGTAGGCAGTTCCAGATGGAGACTATGTTGTCGAAGCCCAACCAACGCTTGAAATGCTTGGTAGCGATGGTATGATCCACGCGGCTAGCGTCACGATGCAGACCGAACGCCGTAAGAGCTCGCGACAAGGATAAGGCAGCGAACGTGTTCTTTGGGACACGGATTGGGCGCATATCTTTCTTCGGCGTGATACATGCTCGGTGCATCCAGGAAATCATAATCTTTACGCCGACGTGATTGGTATAGTGGCGAGGAAAGCGAAGCTCTTGGGCCACGGGAAGACCTTGCCAATTTACGTTGTCTTCTCGCTCCAACGTTCGCAGAAAGCGATTGACAATATTGCGACCGCAGAACAGGACCAGCATCTTCTTCGGAACGGCGACAGCGAACTTATAGTCCGTGTCTTCCTCCACGATGTCGAGCTTCGGCCCAAATACAGAATTCTCCAATCGTGCAGGTTGGAGGTAAGGCAGCAGCGAGTGCAGGGTGTGGTAGGGGCGAATCAGCTCAGGAAAAGGGTACTTGAAGTATTCCCCGTCAGACTGAGCAAAGATTGGCGGATTGGGGCCTGTCATGCCGTGTTGCCCGCTGCCAGCGAAGGGATCGCCGAAATAGCTTGCACGCAGAGTATTGTCGGAGTTGTTCGAATAGTAGCTTTCGTCCGTCTCGTGCCACTTGTCGCCTCCAGTAGCACCATACTCATCCTGGCTATCGTCTGGCGTAATGCTGGATGCTGTCGCCTGTGTACCCATACTCTGCCAGTAAGATTCCAGGGCGGAACCAGGAACCAGCGCGGTTGCAAGGTAGACTGGGGCAACATTGGGGAGCACATGGCTGTACTCAAAGCCATCCGGATGGTGGTAGAAGTATGTCGTCATCCTGGCGCTTGGTTGAGGGCGGGGAATGAGGTATGCGAGAAAGGGGAGGTGATGTTACGGCGGATTTGACTTTAAAGCCAAGAACAGTACCTTTTGCTCGGATCCGTGCGTCTGCGGCTACGTCTGCGGCTCGGAAAAGCTGAGCGTCAAGTGGATGCGTCTTGCGGCGGGCTTTTATGTATTCCGTGTTGTGGATGCGAATAGACTAGCGAAAGAATATTGGTCGAAGGTCGCTTGTGGTGATGAAAACAGTCAAAGTGGTTGACGTGCCATGAAAGTGAAGATGATTGAAGTGTCGTGCGCGCACGAGACTTCACGACAAATCGGGCAGGCACCAACGCGGGTGAATGCATAAATGCCAAGACTTCATCACGTGCAACGGTATTCACTGCGCTCTCAACAACGACCTCGGCGAGACCTCGAGAAATCTGCGAGTTCTATTGAGTATCCCAACAGCTTACCATGCGATTCTGCGTCTTTTGTATCAGTTCTTGCCTTCGTCGTGCGGTGTGCCTACACACCCAGTACGACGTTGCTGCAGTCGAACCGTACCATAGTAGTAGAGCAAACGTATGAGTCACACATCTAGGCAGAAGTGATGGGCCATTTTACAGTCGGCTCGGTCTGTGAGTGGTTTGAAGCATCCTGAGTTGAGGCTGACCTAATCAACTGCTGTTTTACTTACATGAGCGTTGGCGCCTCAGGTGTACGTGTTGCAGCCCTGGGATCAGTGGCGGATGGGATGGAGCTGCGGAACTGGCTGCACTTTTTCTACTCTAAGCTAGTGATAAATGATATGAGTGCTATATGACGTATCAACTACCTGCCATGTGAAACAACATAGAATGCTATGCCTCCGACACTCAATGACTCTGGTGAGGCGAGGAAAAGACTCTGGAAAAGCACGCTAGTAAAGTACAAGGTAAATCCATCTTGTGAGATTCCTGCCGAGGCGCTGCTCCCACCCATAACCCCCTATCTCGAACAACAGCCTTCCAACAAGTTCAGAAGACCTCAAGAGTCACACCTACCTAGCGCTTTAAAATTCCCTTCCACCAGCGTCCAAGCTTTCCAAAGCGCTTCTGCTTGCTTCCAGTGCCCGTGGGATCTACGATCGACAGAGATGGCAGCGGGCTTGCCACCGACGAAGAACGGTCCCCGGAACCGGCACTCTCTATGTGAGGCGCAGGTCGAGCACATCCGGGCGATGCCAATTTTTCTTGTCCCCGCCTACGACTATTCTTTCCAACGGTCCCCATGGTCTCGAGCAACGAGATGATGTTATCCTCTATCTCTTCAGGTGATGGCTTATCTTCTCTATCACCTGCGGCGGTGGCTCCCTCTATCACAACAGGCGAAACTTGCTCTTCGTTCGCACCCGCGGCAGCACCCTTGATCACGCCAGGCAAGGGCTGCCCTTCGCTCCGGCCTGCGGCGGCTGCACCCTGAATATTGCGAAGGGATGTCACGATTTCATCTGCACACTTATTGAAGACTCCGGATGACCACGGATGAACCTGTCCTTCGGCTGCGTTTCCATCGACCCTGTTTCGGCGAAGCATCGACTGAAGCTGTTCTGAACTCCCCAACGTGATTGTATCGTCGGAGTCGCCTCGCCTGCCCCGGAATTGGGAAAGGCTGATGTCTCTCGCATCAAGCAAAAAAGGCCCCTTACCTTCCAGAATCCGTACTGTCTCAGGATGGTGATACGGCGCAATTCGGTGACTTCCGATGGTATCTGGGCTCTCGTGGTATTCTCCAGATGTTTCTGGAGCCGACGTGTTGTTGGACTGTATTTGGAAAATTTCCCTCGAAGAGCCGAACAGGGTTGAGGTTTGACATGTATACTCGGCGGACGATGCCCTTGGATTGGCCAGCGAGACTTTCGGCAAGGCGAAGACAGTCGCGTTGCGGCGCTGTTGCTTGACGCCCTTACCGCTCAGTGAGAGCGAGCGAGTCGGAGGTTGTTGTTCTATCCAATTCAAGATATCGAGGTGCGGTAGTGAGCTTTCCGCTTCCGTCACCCAACTGGTCTCCCGGCTCTGTATATCCGTAGTATCCTCAGACGGCGGAGAAATTTCCAGGCTTTCGCATTCGAGATATTCAAGTATCTTCGTGCACCAGTCTTGGAGTTCTGAGTCTAGAGTCGGAAGCTCCAAAGGCGGTTCACTAGACCATGAGACAGTCTGCCAGGTTGCGTCTCGAGACAGCTCTTGCCGCGAGTTGGGCTGGGGAAGCGCTAGACCAGGTGTTCGTGAGGAGCGTCGATCACTCCATTTGCGGGAGCTGCGGAGACTATGAGGAGTACCCGCAGTTGAGCGGCGAGATAGCTCGGGGTTAGGAGACGTGTTGAAGATCATCCCCCGTGAGCGCGGCAAGCCCCGGCCACGAGGCGCCGTCTTTCATGTTAGCGGGCACTAACAGATCAAGGACTGCTAGGCTTACCGGACGATTCATATCGGATAACAATACGAGGTACTGATATTATGTCAAGACGCTGCGACTTGGCTGCTACCTAGACCTGGTCAAGTAGCCCAAGGTTCGGATAAAGAGCTGTGATATCCGGAAAGAATGTTGGAAGCCCAGGTGGTGTTACGCGAGAATTTACCGGGCTAAGCACAGGTGTATTGAAGAGGAGGCATTATGAAGTATGAGTGTCATGTACTCGCCAATTGGCATCTTCTGTACGCGTCGTGGTGGTGCATTGCGGCCTGTTCTTTCACTGAAGCCTGGAACGCTCCACTACAAGCCTGCTTCGACCAATGCGAAGATATTGCTTTACCATCTAACTCCTCTGGCCTCGCAATAACTTCATCTAGCATACTTCGTTAATGAAGACTTGTCATTGTGCGAGCGACCACTTCAGGTCGATTGTTTAGCCTCTGAGAGATAAGCGCGTAAGTACGGGAACGCAGTTGTCAGGGTGTATAGCATTCTTTTGAGACTTTATACACAAACCGAGCAGATTCACTTTATACCCTCTTTATGGAACACAAGATCCTATCAGTAACGCTTCGCCGCGAGCGACTGGTCTCGTGACGAATACATCCTTCTTCCGAAGAACACACCTCGTCGAGGTATATATCCACCGTTTGGAACTTTCCCATGACATCAAAATTTCACTTCATATGCCCTCAACTAGACATGCCCCCAGGCCCCACAACGTCATCACAAGAGTACAGTCTGTATATAAACTTCTCCAACATCACGTATCCTATCTTGCACAATACACTCGCCCGGACCTCACCCCACCTCCACTAGCCCAGTGCATACAACACCCAACCAAAGACGGCAAGTATACCTGAAGAAATCAACTAACCTCGTTTACAACTCTCAACCCCGCTCCACCATGTCGCCAGACAAGTCCACGCCCTCCACCACCACGGCACCCACCAGCAGTACCTCTCTGGCACCTCGGCCTTCCATCAGCCCCAGCTTAAACCCCGCAAACGCCTCCTCCGCCCATCCCAATCCCCGTCCCCCTTCGATATCCGACCTCGCCGAGCAGCTGTCTGAATCCCGCGTGGACCACCGCCCAAACGCACTCTTGGACGATCTGGTCGCGGCGGTGGGGGAGAAGTGGGCGCCGAACGCTACATCGCGCGAGGAAGAAGCAAGAGAGAAGGAAAATGTATGGCAGCGCAGAATTGCGAATGCAAGGAGAACCAAGGACTTGCGTGGGTGCATGATGGGGCTGCAGATTGAGGGCGGGGAGGAGAAGGACGGAGTGAAGAATGAAGAGAGGAGATGAGCACGGAGTGGACAGTCTGTTTCTTCCTGGTGCATGATCTTGGTTTGCAATATCGCGCGGGGTACGGCGATGAGCTGGTCCGGATGGGAAATACTGTTAAATTTTGGCGCGCAGGAATGTCACAGCATGTTTGATTTCTGTCGGGTGCAAGTCTTCAATTCAACCATGCCATCTCAAGCTAAATAGCAAGCCACCCTGTATATTAAAGATTACCAGAATGCACGTCTTTGATCGCCCTCCCAGCGATAGCGTCGCACCTGTGCGAATGCATGTCTTTGACCGCCTAATAGCGATAGCACGTCATCCTTTTTTAGTTGTATGATAGTGGCGCATGTCTTCGATCGCTCAGCGATAGCATGGCACCTATTCTCCCCAGGTGTTTACGATGCATGTCTTTGATCACCGAGAGGCGATAGCATTGCATCAAGTTTCTCTTTCTCAACCCTGTTTGAATGTACGCGGATGCACGTCTTCAATCAGATCCAGCTGGCCCAATAGCGTTGCACCGCAGCTCCCCGATTCTTGTTTAGTACACGTACGGTATGATCCGGTACGGTACCAACTCGCAGTACCGCTCCCAGTCCTTGCCATACTTTTTCTTACACTTCTCCTCGTCGCGACGCTCGCGGTGGATGAGCAGCACCGCAAAGTACACCATGAAGAAGTACGTGACGATCATGCCCCAGCCCTTTGCCTCGCCAGGAACAACGTACTTCTGGTACGTGTTCTGGAAGAAGACAGCGTCTTTGGAGGTGGCATCGAGCGGATGAGTTGCGGCGTTGCGGATGACGTAGCCGGCAGCCGCGGTGGGCAGGACGTAGGACCACGACATGAACCAGTCGCCGAGGTAGTTGATGTGGCGCGCTGTGCCCCACCAGCCGGTAATCAGGAGCTTGGAGCCGGACGCCGTCTCGATATATTTGAGGTGCTTGACGCGCGGGTCGTCGGGGTTCGTACGGAAGCGGTTTTTCTCGTTATTGACGGAGCGGAAGATGTAGTAGCCGACGGCCTGGACGGCAAAGATGGGGACTAAACCCTTGATGCCAAGTTCCACGGGGTACGTAGCCAGGTAGCGCGCCTGCAGGCTGTATGTGAAGGGCACCCAGACGAGGTCACCGAAGGCAAGCATCAATCCGAAACCATCGCTGATGATGTCGATGGTGGTCAACATGGCGGGTTCCATGTAGTAGCAGTCAAAGACGTAGAAAGCCTGCGCAAATGTGACGAGAATAATGGAGTCAGTGACTTTGCCGAAGTTGCGGTACTGCTGCATGATGAAGGCCAGATCGAGAATCACCCAGCCGAGCATACCAGGGCGGATCTCAGCCCAGGTCTTGATGTCAATCTCGCCAAAGATGGGGAGCGTGATGCGCGGGTTGAGCTCGCGACCAATGAACCAATCGTACAGGATATTACCGCTGTGGCCGCCCATTGCAAGCTCGCGCAGGCTGGGGTCCTTTGGGTGCTGGACGGTGAAGGAGAGAATGTACACATATGTGGCCAAAGCGTACGAGGTCAGGATGTTGGTCGTGAGGAGGCCAACGTAATTGTCTGAGATGAAGGTCCAGACAGGAAATTCAGCGCCCTCAACGGCAGTGCCTGCGGCGAGGATGACCAGTATGAAGATGCCCGAGCTCCATGCTGTGCCTTGTTAGAGAGATCATGTGATTAGACAACAGAAAGTGTCTTACCATTGAATCGGTACTTCAGCCTTCCTCCGGTCCTAAGCTCTGTACCCTCGGGCTCTTCAGCCGGAAGGAAAGCGTACAGGGCTAGGCTGAGGAGGTAGTAGGCGAAGTTCCCGAGGACCGCGTTCCAGGTGATCAAGCCCGAAAATCCAGGCCAACCGACTTCCTTCTTCAGCTGCTCGAAGTCCAGAGTTGATGGATGAAGCAGAGATGGTGCAGGGCATCCTGAGATGTCATTGCACAGAAAGGTGAAGGCATAGCAAAGTATCGGCAAGAAGAAGGAGATGGCAAAAGCACCGGGTCTGAAGGTGGTTAGCATCCGTGTAGAAGACATGTGGTCGCACACTTACGGTCCGAAGAATTCATAGCCGTGCGACTTCTCCGACGGCGGGTCTGTCTTGCGTTTCGACGCCATGTGTGCAAGCTTGGGGATGTTCGAAAATTGTCGGAAAGGGGGTCTCGGCGACGGACTCTGCTCCAATGCAGCAACGATCGCGGAGTATCTCAAACTCGTCACCCGCCGCGATGTCAATAAGCAGCAGGGCACGCGAGCTTATATAGGGAGGATTACGGGTGAAGTTGCGTAGGACGATTCGCAGCCCAGCCGGAGGACGCGGTTCCGTGAGGCCCAGGTAATGACGCGCTCATTTCGCGCTTCCTGGATCGGGCTAGGCGGGCGCTATGCCGGACGTGGGAGCTGCGGACAAGGGTGCGGGAGCATGCAACATGGGCAGACCACAGGTGGCCTGGAGAATCATCGCTCTCGGAATCCTGATGCCTTGCACGTAGCCACGCCCTGTCTTGTCTCGGTTTTTCTTCGCCACGCTCGCTCGCTCGCACACTCCCGCGCACCATGCGGACGTCGTATCTCGCCGCGCTGGTGGCGCTGCTCTGGACAGCAGCCGCCGCGTCCGACAAGAAGCCGCCGAAGCCGTGCACCGCCGTCTCGCCCACCACCGACCGCTTCTTCGACTTGAACCCGCTGCGGCGCGAGGCGCCCGAGGAAGGCAAGAAGAAGAAGGAGGGGGAGGAGGGCAGCTGGCATGCGCGCGGCCACGACTACGGCGCAAACTTCACCATCAACTTCTGCGGGCCCGTGGTCGAGGAGCTGGACAATGTGCAGGATCTGGACAAGGGCCTGTGGAGGAACGTGAGCGCCTTCTACGAGAGGGGCGGGAAGCAGTATGCGCTGGGGTGAGTGCAATCCGAATCGCTTTCGTGGAGGCTTGAGGAGCTATGCGCCTGGAGCTCGTACATCCACATGACACTGCAAGGCATTGAGCGCTGACAATGACGCCCATAGCCTGGAGAGCTACGAGCCCGTCTTCCGCGGCCGCAAGCTGGTCCTAAACTACACGGGCGGCTCGCTCTGCCCCTCGTCTTCGGACCGCCGCTCCCCACACGCCGCGCTCGACCTCTCCGCCCGCGAGATCATCGACGATGACGACGATGACAAGAAGAAAGGCAAGGACAAGGACGACGACGACACACCCAGCAAGAAGAAGCCCTCCTCCGACGGCAAGCGCCGCAAGACCGCCATCATCTCCCTCCTCTGCGAGTCCGACCCGCTCGCCAAGACAGCCTTCTCCTTCGTCGCCGCCGTAGACGACTGCGTCTACTTCTTCGAGGGCCGCTCCAGCGCCGCCTGCGGAGGTGTGCATATTGAAGAGCAGGCGCTTGGTCCCGGCGGCGTGTTTGGCGTCATCATGCTCATCGCCGTGCTGGTCTACTTCGTTGGTGGCTGCGTCTACCAACGCACCGTCATGCACCAGCGCGGCTGGAGACAGCTGCCCAACTACGCCATGTGGGCCGGCATTGCGCGCTTCGTCGCTGTAAGACCTGCCCGATCTTTGCACAACGAAGCCAGGAAAGTGACTAACTGGGCTTAGGACGCCTTCGTCATCCTGACCTCCTCCTGCGCACGCTTCCTCCCCTCTCGTCGAGGCTATAGCCGCGTCTCGCTGGGGCACGACCGAGGCCGCGGCGGCCGGGGGAGAAACGACGACGAGAACCGCCTCATTGACAATCTTGACGAGGAGTGGGACGACTGAGAAGATTTGACCAAGGCTTCTGTTTCTTTTGTAGCAAGCTGGCATTTGCATCTAGACTTGGGTACGCGGCGTTTACTCTCTGGGCTGGACTTGAACCACGGCGCCCGAGTCGAGCGGGACGGATTGGGATGGAAGATTGGGATTCACTCCATACGAAACGTCAGACCTATGAATCTACACTATGCTGAAAATCTAGATATCCATGTTTATTCGCGTCCCGAAGCTAACCCATGCTATGCCTTGAACATCCGCCGAAGCACCAAGCAACCATGTGTGACTACAATACCCAGGTGCATGTTGGAACCTCACAAAGAGCAATGCGGTGTCAAGACCTCTGTCCAGGCGTTGTCTTGTGTCGTCCAAACCTAGTATATCCCATGATCCGCCACCACGAAAATGCTCCGTAAAATGTTCGCTCCAAGAGCCGCTCAGAGAAAGATGCTCCCAGGACTCCACATGTACCGTCATATCCATGCAGAAAATACCATGCCGCTTCAAAGTTGGGGATATCAAGAAGAAGATGCATCGGTGCCGTAACGCCAACACTGTCGCGGTGGAAAGAACACGCTTACCCTTCCCGCCGCTCAAACTACAATGTGCATGCGGGCGCCAGAACCCCCTACAAGACATGGGAAATCAACTCTGCTCCTCGATCTCGTTAAACTTCTCCAAGACGCTGGTAAGCAGGGAGTTCGCCTAGAGCTCCTCGTCGCCGTCGCCGTCCGCCAAGTGGCTCTTTTGAGAAGCCTTGCGGGCAGACGAGGCATCCGCAATCCTGCTCGACTTGCGGGCGCTTGGGGTAGGCGCAGGCGTAGTATCAGCTGGGAGACGAGGTTTTTTGCTGCGATTGCGAGTTGAGGGTGCGGGCGAGGATGCCGTGCTTTCTGTTATCCGACGCTTTTTTCTAGGCCGAAGGGCTCCGGGGGAAGTCACAATGGGCTGGCTGTCGTCTGGTAGAGAGTTTGGAATTTCGTCGTTGGCGGGCGCATGGTCCATGGGCGAATTGGTGGCGCTGTTCTCGGCTTGAATTGGCTGCTCAGCTGCCGTATCTGCGCCCGCTACGGCGTCGTCATCCGCATGCTCGCTGGAGTCGGGTCCTTCTGTCAGGTCTCCTTGCGCAAGGCGCTCAAACTGGGAATGGATCTGTACAAAAGTAAGCATTGAGCGTGTAAAAGACCTATATTGTGGGGCTGCTTACCTGATTCAACTGAGCCATCACTTCGGCCTTCATTGAACGCTTTGGCTGGTTCTCAATTTCCAGTGTCGCCTGCACACCGGCAAGGGCATGCATGTAGTCCCGGTGAATGAGATTACTAATCTCGTCTGCTTTCTTGGACATCTCCGCTTCAAGATCGCGACACATGTTCCTCAATGCCCCTTCAACGTTTTGGGTGGCAGCCTGGAACATAGTCTGGCTGTGTGTCTGTATGAACGTCTCCATATAGTTCTTCATTCGCATAAAGGCTCCTGCGCCAGATTCGATTGCGCATTGATCGTATACCGTCATCATGAAGTTGGCCAGCGTGGGCACGAACTCACGGTTGGCGTCACGTTGTGCCTCCGTCAGCCGAATCTTCAATTGGTCATTTAGGGTTCGGAACATTTGTTCGTAATTGAAGATTGAGCCTTTCAGCATAGCCATGTGAGCAAGGCCGAATCCGTTCAACCGCGCCCGCTCTTCGATTCGAGCGTGGAAGGCATGCAGGACATCACCAGAATTCTTCGTGTAGGCTTCGAAAGCTTGAGGCAAACGCTGCTGGAACGCACTCTCCCACCGTGTTGCTAGTTGGCGAATCAGTGGGTCCAGGAGTTCTTCATTCATATTCCGGAGGCCAACCGTTGCAGATTGGTAAACGCCACCGCGCCGCACGATTGCCTTGTAGGTATTATAGTGTAGACCTCCTAATTCCTTAGGGTGACCCCAGGACTGGGCAATAGTTGGGGCAGATGATATGGCTCGCCTCATAAGCACTTCCATCCGCACAAAAATCTGCTCTTGAAGCTGTTTCGTCATCGATCCCAGGCAAACCTCGACGGCTTTTCCCAGGCCTTTGCGCAAATCCGCAAGTCGTTTGGCGAGATAATGTGCTTGCTCTTGCTTTTTGGCATCAGTCATTTGGGGACCAGTGCCGTCATCAGAGGCCCAAAGAAAAAGAGCCGTGAGAGTTGAACAGAAGCTGGTGAGAAAAGCTCGGCAGTCCCGAATCCTTCCACCCTGAGTTAACTTCATGCAGTGAGATTTGAGCTGAGGAATTTGAGTCTCTTCTTGTGTCTGGAAACCAGGAACAGCCTCATCCTTCTTGAGGCGCCCGCACATCTTTTGATAAGCTCGGCTGCTTACGCAAAACACGGGAAGTGAATCGGCGACTTCATCATAATCGCGGATCTCCTTATCAGGATCAAATGCCTCCTCGTCCGCCTCCATTGCCGCTTCTTGGTCAAGTTCTTTGATGCCAGCCGCAAAGTCTTTTTGAATGGCAGTCTTGGAGTACTCATTTCGCCCCTGAATGCATATAGCCAACTTTCTCGCATTTGCATTTGCGATCTTGCTGCTCAGCTCTCGGAGCTGGGGCTTCAGTGCCTTAATACGAGCTTGCATCTTTTTCACCTCCTTTAGAGGGTCCTTCTTCGCTTGTTTGAGGCTTGCAATCTTCTGTTCAATGTCCTGCATAGTCAACGGCACTTGAGCGGCCACATTATCATCTGTACCCGACTCGTGTTCAGAGTCGCTAGAGTCGTCAATTTCGGACTCAATTTCGGAGTCTTCATCGTCAATCTGCCTTCGCTTTCGGTTCTTCTTGCTCCGTGGTGCATATACCGTCTGAGTCTTAATCTTTTTCTGCAGTTCCTCCCAAATTTCAATCTCGTCCTCAAGTGCTCCAAGGATAGTCCGCTGTTTATCCGTAGTCTTTTGCAGGTTTGCAGATTCATCTCGCATTCGTGAGATCTTCTCCTCTGACTCACATACCTGTTCCTCCAACTCGTAGTAAACCTGATCCAGGTCCAAGCTGTCGACAGCCTCGGTGGCAGAGATATCATCTGTTTTCGAGCAGATGAAAGTGACAGCCGAGTAATTTCCATCGTATTTCAGTTGACGTCTGAATGCACTGCCCATCAAGTTCTTTGCTGCCTTGTCATCCACGGCACGTGTGATGGGGGCAACGATCCACAGCCCACTGCATTGCTGGATGTATCGTTCCGCAACAGCAGCTCGAGCGGCATTGGAATCATGAACACCTGGCAAGTCCACCACCACCGCACCTGTAGACAGAGCTTCCGACTTGGTATACAGTCGGACAACTTTGATCAGAGGCCAGAATTCCATCTGATTCTTCTGCTGTTTCTGATGGTCCTTTTTGCCTGTAACCTTCTCTTTGCTGTCAACGAGTTCCTGTAACTCAGCATAAAAAGGTTTAGCGCGAGGGTGGTAAATTTCCTTTGTGGTTCCAAGGACATTAAGCACTGCAGTCTTCGTCATCAACGTCTCCACCGTATATGATGCCAGCTTTTCTTTCTGTATCGATGGATAGACTGCGTGGAATTTAGCCCACGCAATGCCGGCATCCGTGTTTGGATCGGAAGCCTCTCGTGTCAAAGTCCCGCTCTCGCTGAGGAACTCCTGCATGAGTACCTTCAGATCCTTCTCCCAGTCAGCACGATTAATGAATTCGATTTCCGCGCGGTATCTGTGATCCGGATCATTATCAGAGTTCCACGATATCTCTGTCACAACAGCGGTGCAGGCCCGCATACAGTTGGTCGGAACCAAGCGTTCCTCATCGAGAAGCGCATTGATGACGCTGCTCTTCCCGGCGCCAGTATTGCCCACAACGCCAATGATCGTGCGGCTACGATCAGGTTGCTCCTTCATTTTTTTGATAGTATCGATCCATTGTTGAGCATCCGGGCTGACATCTGCGACTTCTGAGAATGTCTCCTGCAATGTATCCAGGATCTTCATCGATCGGGCTACGCCAGCCTCCAAGAGCTCCACCGTCTCTTGCTTGACCACCTCGCGGATATGATGATTGAGCAACTTCGTACGCTCCCCCGAATCAAGTTCTGGAGAAGCATCGCGGTCGAAGACATCGTCAACATTAAAGTTCTGCGACAACGGTGGATCTTCAGGAGCAAGACTTCCTGCTTGCGAGGAGTGCTCCTTTCTTGGCATCTGAGTTCGTTAATGTTAGCTTAATATTCCAAGCACGAAGATCTCGGACACCGTAGCATGGTTAGTGGCTGGCAGATACAGCGTGTGGCGTTCGATGTGAGGCAAATAAGGTTTGCTTACTTACTATTTGCGGTGACAATATCGACTGCAGTCCGGGTCCTGCATTCGCTTCCAGATCGTTAGTCTCTGTTGCCTGCTCCCCAGCCTCTGCTTGGGCTGCGTACGCCGACACATGAACTGAGGGTTGATGACGGGCCGCAGTCGGTGGCGGGATCCAAAAATCCGGAGTGTTTCCTGGTACAAGCGAGTTCGGTGCATCGCTCAAAGGTGCCGAGGTCACGCGCGTGAAGTGAAGAGGCCTGGCTGATGTTTCGATAGAGTCCGCGGGGGCGTCCTTATCCGCAGACATCGGCGTGGGTAGTGCTGAAGGTGGATGTTGATTGACAACATCAATAGCAGGTGAGGGTGGCTGAATCGGCGTATTTATAGAAGGTGGGCGGAAAGCAAGAGAGGCCTATCTTTCGTAAGTTTTGCACCTCCTCACCTGATCACCTATCTACTTACCGGGCGTACACCCTTCAGCGTGGCAAGTAGAGCAACGACCGGTTTATCAGGCGTTGCTAGGTCCCTTATCGGCGTGTCGGGTGAAAGTAATGCGCCTTCGAACCACAGCTCGACATCGGCGCCGGGTTGTCTCCGTATGTATGCGCTTTGGACCTTAGCTATGGTGACTTTCTGTGCCGGGTTAGTGACTTCTCGCACAAGATGGGAAGCGAGCAAGCCGATATATATCGACGTACACCAGGCGCTTTCATCCAGTTGAAGTCGTCCTTAACAAAGTTCTCCTGGTCTGGATCACGGTCTGCGATGAGGACGCCGACCATTGACTTTTTATCGCCAACTTGCTCTTCTAGAGTCAATGATACTGCTTCCACCTTTCGGCGAAAATCATCCCAGTCGAACATATCGCAGCGTACGGGTGGTCCCGTCAGCTGCGAAGGAATTGTGCTAGCGGAGTGTAACCAGGGTCTGGTTCTACTAATCGGCTGTTTGATTCGCTGAGACCCCGCTGAGAGACACAGTTTTGACCGAACAGGCGGCGCCGCAGGATTACGCCAGGGTCCGGAGTAGTAATGAAAGAATGGAGAAGCGCACGTCCTCAAAAATCCGTAGAGGCCGTAGGCCACTCGGCGGGATGGAAAGCTGGCAGGTGTAGTGCGCCGTCGCGCCGTCGCGCCGTAAAGTGGAGAAACGACGCGTCGCGTATTGTGGACCCACAAAAAGCGCGCTGCCCAGAAGTGCTCGAGGTCACGTGACTATTGAAAGCCCACCATCGACGTATGACTGAAAGGCCAAATTCCAAGCTATATAGTCAAGAATTCACGAAAGACACTAAAGATGTGGCAGTACGTGATCCGGAATAGACTTGCAACTCTCAACGCAACTGCCTGTAGTGGTTTGGCAAGACCTCGAACCCCACCTTGGAAGGGTGATCGGGATGTGTCTCCTCTACCTTCTCGATACTCGCCGACGCAAGTTCACTGTTCTCTCTGGGTATCAAGATGCACCATAATTGTATGTGGCAATTTCATGGCATACATGGTTGTTGACGTTGAATGCGCCGGCTCGTATAAGGTAAGGATTAGCGATTACGACGGAGGGGCTAAGCTGACAATGTCGGCAACCAGCGCGTCTCTCTCACATCCAACCTGCCCTTCACTTGCCAGATTACTGCCCTTCTTTTTCCGCTTTTGATACCCCCTTGTTCTATAGTTATACCCCTCTACTAGCGATTCCTTACAGGCGCTATTCGTGCAGCCCTCGCTTACGCTCCTTCCCCTCGCGCACTCGCTAGGCTCCAGGCCTACCACAGGACGCATAGAACGATTTGTGCTGGGTTCCGCACCATGCCGATTTTCGTTTCATTCGTGATGGGTCCGAAGGACGCTTATTTCTTCAATAGTCCTACACATTGGGCCTGGTGAGTCCCACTCATAGTATTACACTATACCCACGCGTCCTTTTCAGGCTAGCTGCGGATGGATGCACAAGACGATGCAGTCAGCATTGCCTTCCGATATCACCTTGAATCGGTACTCGTTGAGTCGTTCTTATGCTTTACAGGCGCAACCTTCCTCCAGATGTTGAAGCCCTCTTCACAAAACAGCCACCTATTAAAGACGTTGTCGAGTTCGCACTGGGTGAGAACGGCACGTACTTTGTGAGCTATCGAGATCACGACGGAGAGGTATACTGTCGCCACTACAACTTACCCAATCCCCTAACAGAGTATCTGTACTGTGGACACCCGCGCATAATGCGCGACTTGGCCACTCTATCGATCAGCATTGGCCCTTGGGAGTCCTACTACGCACACGACAAAACATCAGCTTCGTGGAGTAATCTTCCATCATCGTTGGAAAAAGCGCTGTTACATCGCCTTGTCAGTCAAGATTCATGGAAAACCATCTGGAAAGAAGAAGGAAGAGAAGCGCCCAGCTTCGTAAGTCTAGGCGCGGACGGGAGTTACTTTATGCGCACGGTCAAAGGGGGCGGAAGTTGGGATCTGAAGGGCAGAGAGAAGGAGGAGGGTCTCAGAGGGACCAATGATTTCCTGGAGAAAACTCCAGACTTTACTGGCGTTGCCGTGGGTGATTCCTTCGTGAAAGGCATCGCTTTCTACTCGCTAATGGGATTAACCAGGGCCTATACCTCTTCCCCCAACACTCAGCATCCTACATCCTCCTCCTCACCTCGGGAAAAGCCTTCTCAAACCTCCCCGAGCACACCTGGGAAGACTACAACAAGATGGCGCCCGCACTCCCTCCACTCATCCAAACGCTGTCCCCCATCCCATGCGTGCCGCAAGCGCGTCCTACTTCGCAAACACGAATGCCCCCGCCGCAGACACACCAACAAATCCAACAGCAGCCGCAGCTCCAACCGCCGCAGGCGGCTGGCTGGGTGCCCAACCCCTCCGCCGGCCACCCCGCAGGTACGTACTTTCGCGGCCACCTTGTGCAACGGGCTGGCGCGGGACCGGTGCCGCCGCCTGTAACATGGCCGTACATCACGGGCCACGCGCCGCTGGGGGCATTTGGCGCGACACAATTCAGTAATCCTTACGATGCACAGGTGGGTACGTTCAGTAACTCGGATGGGTCGGTTGGTGGGTACAACGCTTCGACTTCGGGCGGGGACGCTGGAGGTTCTAGTGGTGGTTCGACGGCCATGAGCAACAGCTAGTCTGCGAGAACAGCACCCTTGAACAGTGTCGTACGCAGGCATTCCGAGGCGTTGGGCGCATTGGAAAGGAGTTTGCAAGTGGGCCGTATATCCTTAGTGGTACTTTTGCAGCGCAAGTTAAACATTGAATCTAATCCTATATCGCGAATGCAGATTACACTTGAAATGCACTATAAAGGCAGGTGACGGTTTTGCCGACAGTGCGCTCCCAGCGTTGGCATATACGAGCTGTCAGCGGAATAGTGTAATAAGCTGAGACATCTTCGCATGGCTAGAGGCAGTTTGACCATTGGTGAAATCTTTGCGATTGAAATCATACATAGGCAGAATACTAGCAGTGTGCCTTCGGCCGTCCGTGGACAGAGCCTCCATTCCAACTCCAGACCCCAGCTATCAAAACAAGTGCAGTGCTGCAAGAGAGCGTTGCTGCATCATACCGTAACCTTATCGTGACACGCAGCTCCCGTCAACACCACATCCCAAGTGGTGTTCGAACATAGAATAATCACACGTGAACGTAGAGCCCTGTGTAGAGTCTATTCCAGACTCCTCAGTGGCTCCAACCCCTCGATATCTCAGTACGCACTTGGTCATGAAAACGAGGAACGCCTACCTGTTTCCTCTTCTGCCCGGCAGCGGAGGTGGCACTTTTGGTTTGCCGTAGGCATCGGTGCCTAAGGCGACCCTGCAGTCGGGGCAATACCAATTGGCACGACGAGCGGGAAGCCCCTCTAGGCCTACACACGCGAAATGGAACCACTCTTTCTCGCACTGGTCATTATTAGCATCAGTTGCACGTAATTTTCTCCACGATCGACTCACATCGTTATCGCAACGGACCATCGACCCTTCGCTAATACCGTCACAGATACAGTATCGCTCCTCATCTTCGTCGATTTCTTCGGCAGGTCCAGACTCCTCCTCGGGCTTCTTCTTCTTTGCGGTCTTGGTGCCTTGTGCCCGTTTCACGTTGGTGACCGTCATCTGACCATCTTCGCCATGCGATATTTCCCCTTTGGGTGGAGCTTTTCTACGAGTGCGCCGAGCGGGAGCTGGAGTTGCGAGCGCAGATTGACTGAAGATGCTGTGACGGCGGGTTTCGCGTACACTTTGGCCCGGCTCGTGAGGCTTGGGTTCCTCGCTCTGAGCCTTAGGAGTGGGTACGTGGCCGCGAGAGGACCTTGGACGGGCACCTTGAGCCGGGGCAGGAGCTTCGGGTAGGGGAGTCGGCGCGTTTTGCTTCTTTGCAGGCGGTGCAGTGGCTGGAGCTGGACTTGACGGCTTCTCTTTTGGTGGTGCGACCGATTCCCTCCTAGGGCGAGAAGATGCCGCTGTCACATTGGACTGCGGAGGTTCCGTATGAGATGCTGCAGCTTCCGTGGAGACTGGAACAGCAGGTGAAGAGTCAGCGGGCGTACCAGGCTGGCTGGCCGATGCCAGTTCCGAGGTGCTGGCATTCTTCGGTGTGCCGGGTCCTGCTGGGGCCAGAGGTACTTGCACAGTGGTTGTCTTGGCCATCTCCGAGAAGGACGCAGGAGTCTTCACTCCGGGCGATGGACCGACAGGCGTCAGTTCCGGAGGTGTTGATGTTCCAGCGTTCGACACTGGAAGAGTTAACCGAAGCTTTTTTGCCTCAGGTGGTTTAGTTGCACTATCTTGCGAGGCCAATGAGGATTCACTGGTCGCCTCGGCCGGTGTCTCAGCAGCTGGCGGCGGGGTTGAATCACGTTTGCGCTTGTTTGAGGGTCTTGTAGCGGATCGCTTTGAGCTGGCAGTACTAAAGCCCAGCTCCAGCTCTTGCATCCAGTCGGCAGCCTTCTTGATCTTCAAGGTGGCGTTTTCCAGTTCCTGTGCATCGTGCAAAGCCTGTCGACGGCGGATATCCCGCTTCGACTGCCTTGTGTCTCTGGTTCCAGATGTATCCTTGGGTGTTATAGCTTCTTCCAAGTCCAAATCTTTGTAAGGCTCGGTTGGGGTAGGCTCCGTGTCGGTTGGCGTGTGCTCGGTGGGAGCCGATATCGGCTGCGCGGATGCGGGTTGGCTTTCTGTGGCGGTGGGAGGGACAATCTGCCGAATGGATGGAGCGGCAGGCTCTTCGTCGAGGAATTCGTCGCCTGTCTCTTCGCAACGTTTCTTCTCCCTGTCGTATGCTTCTTGTCCGCGGCCGCCTGCTTCCAGCTGGCGCTTGATCATTGTCTCACTTGGAGTCCAAACGGCGTTCTTCTTCATCTTCTTCCTCAGAACAGCCATTTCGTATTCGGTGAGCTTGAACCATGGCGCCCACTTGCTGCCAGGTCTGGCGTTATCGGGTGGCGGCGAGAGTCGAGCGAGCGCATTGCTTGTGGAGATGCCTGCGAATGAGCTGTGTACGTTGGTGCCGGAGCCGGGAGCCCGCACGCGCACTTTGTGAGGCCGCGGCGGCTTGTCCTTGTGGTCTTTCAGTCTTTTGGGGGCTATAGCGAGATCAGCGGTGGATCTCACCTCAGAGTCGTCCGAGTCAGAGAAGCTTGCTGTGCGGATGCGCACGCCAGGCAGCGGGACTCTAGACTTCTTGCGGTCGCGTGGACGCGCGGTCGAGCTGCTCCCGAATCGACCATCGAAGTTCAGGCGCGGGTGCGGGGCTCCAAATTTGCTGATCAGCCCTCGCGCGGCCTGGGGCGATACAGGGACTGGAGTTGGGTCGCGGGAAGGCGGCTCTGGTTGCGCCTGCAGCTTTCTCTTGATTATGCCTATGCGATGTTTGTGGCGCTCAGCAACCTCATACAGCCGCGACGCTTCTGCGTACGACGACTCGCGGGCGTAGATGGCCTTGTCGAGGGCCAGAGCAATCTCCTTGCGCAAGACCACGGGGTCTGGGCGCTCGCCGGCAGGCACGGTGGGCAGCTTGCCATACTTGACGGTGAGCTGATGGACCGTCTGGGTGGCGTCGACGTAGGTCTGGTCGAGGTCACCGATGAGGCGCAGCGAGCGCACGAGGTCGGAGGGGAAGAATTCAGTGTAGTCGAGGAAGTCGTTGACAGTGGTCTGCGCGTCTGGGTTCGCGACGGGCGGGGGCGTCGTCTCTTCTGGGGGAGCTGCCTCTTCAGCCATGTTGTCGCAGTCGCATCGCGGGTCGCGCGTCGGTGGAAGGCAGCCAGACGGGCGCGTCAGGCGCTCCAGCCACGCGTCAATAATGTCGAGTGGGAGGGGGAATGGGGTGGACGCGGCAATGGTGATAGATCCGGCGGGCGACGATGGCTGCTGCTGCGTCGTTGCCGTTGCATGGGCGCGCCTTCCCTGAGGGACCGCGCGCTAGGCCGGCTTGGGCGTCCGTAGCGTGATCGCCAGGTACGGGCGCAGTTCGTCGCCTCTTTGCGGCGCCAGTGCGGGGATGCTGGCTGCCATCATCGGAGAATTATGCGTCTGAGTACGCCGTCTTTTGGCGGTTCTGCCTACACGTGCCTTGTACGCCGGTAGCAGACGGCGGGCTTTGCGCCCTCGCCAGCTATCATCCACAGATCTGCTGGAGCGTCTCCATGTTTCTCTACTGCGCGCCCGTTCATGTGCAGTGGCCTGTTCTACATACTCGCCCTGGTGCTAAGCATTCTGGTTGTGCGTCGGTTCGAATGTACTCATTACACATGGGAATCTGAGACGCCTCACCTGCTGCCTCTCATCCTGACCACACGTCTCACAGGTAAATCGTTTCTCATGAATACGATGCTCGTGATTTCTGTTCCTGCGAACTGATGTCTTACCTCCCTTAGCTTGCGCTGTCACCATATTGTCTTGCGTCTCTCGTGAGCACTGTCTCGTACACCATACGCACTCTTGTCTCACACAGGAATCTATCAAATAACGCAAGCGCTCTTGAGCAGAATTTCGCATTGGTAAGCCAAGGTCGCGACTGTCTCACGCTCGAACCGTGCTTCACGTCCGTCCGCCAGCGACGCGCTTTCCCTCTTCTGTGCTCCAGCAAACGCAGACCTTCCTCCCCGTTACATAAAAAGACGTCCACCTTTTCGAGCACCGAATCGTTCAGCCCCGCTCGACAACCGCGTTTGTTTGCGTCACGACGCAGCATGGATCCCAAATTGGCTGCTCGTTTGGAGCGAGTCCGCCTGCTCTCAAAGCAAGATCTCGCAGCGCTGCCCCAAAAGACCCCTACGCCTTCGTCAGAAGCCCCCATGGACAAAAAACCTGCCCCCGGTGGTGGCGTGGCACTTTTCCCCGAAGCTACTGAGTCTGCCGAGAATTCTCCATCATCATCTGCCGGCGAAGTGAGCAAACGAACTCCCTCACTTGACGCAATGGTAGTCACGGAGGAGGAGCTGGAGCCTGCCCATCCCACAAACGGGCAGACTGAGGACATCGAGCGTAGATTCGTGCTGCTCCAGGGCATCGAGAGCTCATATAACTTGGGGTCGACCTCTCAGCTCTCAGCTCTTCCTGCTCACCCACTACCACCCGCAAAGCTCCGGCGAAGCGATCTGGCAGCGTCTCCCGAGAAGTTCATCCCGATCGTCGGACTCTCCAAGTATCCGTACAAGTTCTGCAGCAAAGACTGCATGCAAGTCATTGCCTCGGCTTTCTTCGACCAAGGAAAGTTCTGGGCTCGTGAGTGGGATCTGTAAGTCATCTCCAAGTTCTACATGTGCCGGCATCTTTTCTGGCAGGCCGCCACTGCTGCCTCTTTTACTGACGCTGACACCACTCGTAGGTACTATCTTTGGGACATTGAGGAGTCAAAGCCTCTCATCCTTGTTCACGAGGGCCAGGTTGACGACCTCTTCAAGGAGATCAACACCCATTTCAATTTCGAACTCAAGATCACCAATTCTCACCGTGAAGAAGGGCTTATCCTTCGTTTTCCAGACCACCCTCGTTGCCGTCCACGATATCTTGGCCGATCACACACCAGGGAGGAGTACAGCAGTATGGTGGATCAGGTCCCACACGTCAGCGTTTGTGCGCCTGGCGAGCCGAGTCAACCTTCGCTCGATACGGACACGATCGAAGCTTTTAGGCAGATGATCGAGGATGCGTGGGAGATCACGAAGAACAAGGGCAAGGCTTCAAAAGAGAAGAAGAGGGTAGACCGTTTGAAGAAGCAGAAGGTGTTCACTGATCAACTTAAGCGGGCGCAGCGTTACCTTGGACTCCGCCCGAGTGCGCCCGATGGTATGTATACATTCTGCATTGATCTAGTAGAAATGATTGAATTACCATTTGCTGACTTAATCACAGGACCAGCTGCACCCGCAGCAATCCCCGCTGTCGACATTGCCAGCCCCGCACCCTTTCCACATGATCTATCGGTCGTCTTCGTCTGCGTAGATGTTGAGGCATATGAGAAGGATCACAGCAAGATCACGGAAGTCGGCATTGCGACGCTTGATACCCGGGATATCATGCGTGTAGCTCCAGGAAAAGATGGCAAGGCATGGAGGAAACTAATAAAGGCTCGACACTTCCGCGTCAACGAATATGCTCATTTGGTGAACTCTGATTATGTTGCTGGCTGCCCGGGTAGTTTCTTCTTTGGCGAGTCAGAGTTCATACCACTCAAAGACCTTCCTGCTGCCGTCGCGGTATGCTTCACGCCGCCATTCTGCGCAAATCACGACGGGGGCTCGGATGTTGGAGATAGCGACACGCGCAACCTTATCTTTCTGGGCCATGATACCCTCACGGACGTCAAATATCTCCAGGCTATTGGATTCGATCCGCTGGCTCTTCCCAACCTGCTTGAGGTTCAAGACTCAGCGAATCTATATCGTGTGTGGCAACGTCAAGAACAGATCACGAGTTTGGGAAGGATCTTGGAGGGTTTGAAAATCGACGGTTTTGGGCTCCATAACGCAGGAAATGACGCTGTTTATACGGTGCAGAGCTTCCTAGCCATATGTGTGCGTGAAGCGTCGATTAGGAACACGCCGGAGGTACAACAGATATGGAACGACCGGAAGGAGTCAACGATCGCCTTCGAGCAGGAGGAGCTGAGAAGTGACATCGAAAAGGATGCGAAGGTGTGGGATGACCTTGAGGCCAATAGTGATGGTGGCGATCCTGTTCCCATCGCGCTGAAGAAGTCTGCGACTCCTAAGGCTGAAAAGGCTGCTCCAGCTCAGGTCAACGGCGGAGACCACGATGAGCAAGGCGAAGGCAGCGGTACTTCTGTTTCTGTTAATGTTGGAGGCTGCGACGGATATGGTAGAACCAACGGTGCCCAATCTCACGGTGGCGTGGAATGCAGCGCCGGTATACGCGACAATTCGGATGGCTGGGGTAGCTCGGCGGCATGGTGAAGCACGGTGCTTTCAGGCGAGTTGAGGGATATCACAAAGTGCGTGAACATGGCGTTAGATACCCGGCTTTAATCTGCAGATGCATGTTTCTCGGTCATTGATATCAGGATGGCTGGATGGAGCTCTTTCAGGCTCACTGGGTCAGCACCTTCTTCAGGACTGATCGGTAGACCCAGCCTCAGATTCTGCGCTTTCAATATGAATTTCATCGAGCAAGTGTAATATCAATTTATATGAAGTTCTACACAGCGCTTGCGTTCTTAAGGCAAGCAAATGTGCACCTTGCCATGGTACTTGTCAGCTGCAGAATCGCTGACAAAGCGTTAATCATCCAGGAACCATTCCACGTTCCGACCATGATAATACTAGCGGATACATGGGTAGTGCAGACATCAAAAGAGAATAGAAATCACATACACTCGAAATTCTCGACTAGAACAATGTCTACGACTGTAGAGAAGGAACCGAAGTCGTTTCAACGGACTAATTCATCCCCATCCATCATGCCCAGAGAAGACATCGAAGCGGGCAGTCTCCGCCACCGTACACGGACGCACAGCGAGCAAGCACTTCCGATCGCCTCCCGCGCCTTCGCCGGCCGCATCGGCGGCAACCAGACATTCACCATCTCGCCCGCAGACGCGGATTTCTTGTCCATCACCGCGAAAACGCCCGACGCCGCACCGCTCTTCACTTGGCGCTCGTCGTTCGCGCTCTCTGCCTTTGCGACCCCGGATCTCTGGAAGGAAGCCACCATCGAGGGCGTGGGGACCTGTTTGCAGGTGTACCTCGCGGGGCTGTACGCCGTTGGGTTGTCGTCTTCAGACGCAGGCATAGGCAGGGTGGCAGGTGTCGCGATGGGCAGTGTGGCAAATGTGTTTTTGATTAGTTTGTTTATCTTTGGAGCGGGGCCCGTCAGCGGGGGGCATTTCAATCCGCTCATCACGATGGCTACTTTCATGGCGAAGTTGGCGGCGTTTCCGAGGGCGGTGTTGTATGTGCTTGCGCAGTGTGGGGGCGCGGTGGTGGCTGGGTTTGTGTTGAGGGCGAGTTTTGGGGGGAGGGAGGGGGTAGGGTTTGTGCCGGGATGTTCGGTGGATACGGAGGTGGTGACGGTGGGGGAGGCGTGAGTATACTTGCTTGATCTGGCGAGAGATATGGAGGCTGATTTATTATGGCAGGTATGCGTTTGAGACGATGACGGCGTTTGCATTGCTGTTCATTGCGTTTGGAGTGGGTTTGGATCCGCGGCAGAAGGGGGTTTTTGGACCGGCGCTGTCGCCAATTCTTGTGAGTGATTCCTTCGTGGATCCTGGAATTGAGATGCTGACAGTTCAGGTCGGTCTTGCGCTGGGCTTGTGTACCTTTGCATCAGGCGTCGCAAGGGTTGGATATACTGGGGCGTGTGAGTTCAACGCTTTGCTCGAATTTTAGTTTCATGGACACTGAATGTTGCAGCTTTGAATCCGGCGCGGTGTCTTGGTCTCATGGCCGCTGGTGGTAAGTCCGACTAATGCGAATTTAACGGAGGTACTGCTGATTGAATTAGGGCGGTTCGATTATCATTACATCCATTGGGCGGGTCCGATAACAGCTTCAGTCTTGAACGGGATCATGTATCGCGTGATTCCAATCTACAAGCACTCTAAAATTGAATAATAGATAGATGCCGAGTCGGACTAGTTGAATTATATTGAACCGATGCCATGCATACAGGATGCGGCTTCCACACGCTTCACTGCCAGTCTATACTCATCACAAGTACTGTCCGGAGGGATAACCAGCATTGCAAAATCTTTGGCCAGATGTTGTAAGCGACAAGCGCACAGCCGGCGTGTGTGTACTGAGGTGGCTCGCCCTGCAGCTAAATTTGAAAAGCAGGACATCCAGCGGTGTGATGTGGCGCAATGACTGCTCGGGGTCGCCAAGATTGCAGTGCTGTGCTGAAGTTGCACTCGAATACTATGGTGTGTCAACCCGAGACGGGCGGCGCCAAGACTACCAACCACTAGCGCGCTCGCTTACCGGGCGCGGCAGGCGCGAATATTGCCCACACGCCATAATTCTTCTCTCGAACTCCAGGACACCTTCGATTTCGACACACCCGCCAACCGCCAACATGTCGAACTACGCGAAGATCGCTGCCAACAGCCCGTCCAGGAGCTCGCCCTCCGAGATCGAGGTCGCCATCAACAATGCCCTCGAGGACCTCCAGAACAACATCCCCGACCTGAGGAGCTCCTTGCGCCCTCTCCAGTTCGTGTCCGCTCGCGAGGTAAGATGAAGCAATTACCTCTACAGACACACCTACACCTCCCTCGATGCGCTCTCGCACGCCGAAGCCGTCGCGCACACATACCATACCACACCACACGTTGAACGAAGAGGCGGTGGGCACTGGGCAGCTTTGCTGACACCAGGATTCTTAGATCGAGGTCGGTCACGGACGCAAGGCCATTGTCATCTTCGTCCCCGTTCCCCTTCTCCAGGGCTGGCACAAGGTGCAGCAGCGGTAAGCCTTCTCCCCAGTGATGCGCGACTTCCATGCTAATCTCCTCCAGCCTCACCCGTGAGCTCGAGAAGAAGTTCTCCGACCGCCACGTCCTCCTGGTCGCTTCCCGCCGCATTCTCCCCCGCCCCAAGCGCTCCAACCGCTCGCGCTCCAACCAGACCCAGAAGCGCCCTCGCTCGCGGACTCTCACCGCCGTCCACGACAACATCCTCACCGACCTCGTCTACCCCGTCGAGATTGTCGGCAAGCGCCTGCGCACCAAGGAGGACGGCTCCAAGCTCCTCAAGGTTGTGCTCGACGAGAAGGAGCGCGGCGGCGTCGACTACAGGCTCGACACCTACTCCGAGGTTTACAAGCGCCTCACCGGCAAGACCGTCAACTTCGAGTTCCCCCAGAGCGCGTCCACCGACTACTAGATTGTTGGCGGTGTGTTAGAGCAGGGCTGTGGGCCTTCTTCGTGGGCTAGGAGTACCGGCTTCGGACATGGCATGCGTTATGTGTTCGTAACGAGGCTTCAAAAATGACATGACATGGGGCCCGCATTAGGGCGTTCAGATACCACTTCCAATTGACTTCTTGTGATCACTTCAGTCGTTTTTCGTGCGGACGTTATTGACATGGAAATACATCAGATCCTATGTGTGGTATCTATTGACGGTCTAGTTCTGGGTAATGCCTGAATATGCCCTTGCTATACGGCTTCCTCCGATCACTGTCCAGATACTCCTTCAGCTGCCCATGCTCCGGCACACTAGGGAAAAACGTCTTGAAGATAGTCGGGAACTCGCCCGCCTCCTCCCGCGCTTTCAACTCCTTCGGAAACGCAAACTTCAGCCCGTGTACCACCTGCCACAGCGTTAAGTCGGCGTAGCTACACCCAGTTAGTCAGCACCGCACTCCCACATCCCTTGCTCGTTCAACATGACATACCTGAGTTTATCGCCAACGAGGTACCTTCCCTTCCCCTCTTTGTTCCCCTTCAACACGCGCTCAAAGTACCCAAAGAACTTTGGAATTCTGCTCTCCCGGAAGTCCGTCGCCCTGCGCAGCGACTCCTCCTTCTGATCCTCATAGTACGCGAGTGTAGAAACAGGGTGGTGCGTGTCGTGCGTCTCGTTATTCAGGTCCAGCGCCGTGAGCGCAAGCGCCTGGATCCACGCCTTTTCTGCCGCATCGGCGCCCGCGAGGTCCAGCTTCTCGCCAAGGAAGGCCTGTGCCGCTGGTGTCAGCAATCTCCTCTACTCGTATCTGTTCTGTCACCTCCCCAGCGTGTGCGGTGTACTGCTTACCAGGATCGCGGGCGTCTGGCTCAACACCAACGCCTTGCCGTTCTTGCCCTCGCCGTGGATCCGCAGCGCTGGCGGCGCGAGGGCGGGCGGGTTGCCGTCGGCGTCGTATGTGGCCTTTTCGTCTTTGAGGGCAAGGATCTGGCGGATGCCGCCTTCGACTTGGTTGGAGACGTCGAGGTAGGGCGTCTTTGTGGCTTCAAAGGCGAGGCGGACGAACTCGCCGCGGCCGGCTGGGACAACTTAGCGTGGATATTGGGGCTGAGGAGAGGACTTACGGATGCCGGGCCAGTAGAGGAGTTCGTATTTGTTGGCGTTCGACATGGTGGAGTAGGATGTGTGGGTGAAGAGGCGGAAGGGCTGCACGATTGTAAGTATGTATCTGGATTTCGGCGAGCACAATGGAGGAAGAATGGCTGAAAGAGCTGGGCATCGCATTAATAGCATACTCCTCCAGAGCTACCACTTACATCAATTCTCTGCAAGACCCTCTGCTGCGGAATACCAGTACACAATGCAACAACAATCGCGGACCTTAGACTTCTCGGGAGCATGGACTACAACAGCAACAACAGGATGTCTGCTTCACACCCGTGCCACGCTCACTTATATAGCGCTCCCGCACCATACCACATCACCTTAACGCCGGTGTCCTGCGACACCGTTCTTACTGTTCCTGGCGTCATGGTGGGGCGCGCAGCGAATGCGATGATGCTGAGGGGTACTGGTGCTAGCGGCGGTTGGGACATTGCAGATCCCGAACGCCGCGCCGGGGAATTAGAAAGTTGTGTCGCTCTCGCTCTATGAGCTATACAGTGTTCACGGACATCGCGCGCGGAACTGTGCCGCTGACGCGAGGCTTGGTAATCTGAGCGTTTGGGAGCAGGTTTGCTGCTCGTGTTTGGGTGCGAAGAGCGTCTTGCAGGACTATGGATCGGATATTTGTCAGTCTCGGCGCGAGGGCTGATGCTGCTGTCTACGAGGCTGCATGTCGGAGCTAGAGCTGTGTGGATGCGAGCGGTAAGCCAGTACAAGCATCCAACACGGTTCTCGTCAGATTCGGTATAGGCCGGTTGTTTCCCTCCGGTAAAGGCCTGGCAGCTTTGTATTGGGTATCGGCACGGCGATGTGTCAAATGAACACGGCGTATGTATTGAGATGAGAAGACGGACTTCGCGGTACCATGTACATCAGTGACACAGTATCACATTAAATCACGTATTCACGCTCACATAGGATGACAGGGCTCATTGCGAAGGTATCGTCATGTGTCCATGAGCAAGTCGAAGCAGCCCAAAAAGGGTTCCAGTATGTTCCAGTATAGCCAGACCTTGCTTTTGGCGAAATCCACCTTGATCACCATGCAAAATCTGGAAACTAGACACGCGCAACCCGAAAAACAATCTCCGGTCCTGTAAATTGGTCTATTCGAATCTGCAGCTTTGACTATGAAGCTTTATAGCTCGCGACACTTCAGGATGAAGGTTGAAGATGCTCGTAGATTCATATCAAGCGCGCAGCTAAGCCTTAGGTAACTAGCGCTTCTTCAGCGATTCTTTCGCTTACAGCTCAGCTTGCTGCCTCAAGCACCCAGGGAGATTTGCCTGCTGCCACCCGTGCGCAACATCAACCTCTATACAAATTTCCACGACGTGAGAATCATGGTTAGTCTCAGCGCAATGTCTGACTTCAATACTACGGACTTCGCTGCGCAGATGCGAGGCTTTCAAGCCTCGGACGACGCACGCCAGAAACTCTTTGCGGTAAGCCATTCCCTTCATGATTTAGTCTGCCCCCACCTGATCGCCTTGTAGGATATGCTCGAGAAGTATACTAGCTTGCTCGAAGAGTACAATACTTTGAACAACGACTATGCCTCCGAGAAGGAAATAAGGCGGACCTATCAGCAGTCGGTAATTCAGATGCAGCGCGAGGTCAAGGAGATCAGACGCGAATGGGTGTGTTGTCCATTCCGCCTTGTATGCCACAGCCCCAGCTGACGTTCCACAGCAAGATCACTCATTTGTCCTAGCATTAATTGACGGAGATGGGGTTATCGTAAGTCGCCCTACATGCAATGAAACCCTCTGTTGCCGTCCTCGCTAGCTAACACGTTACAGTTTCAAGACGCGTTGCTGCGAGCAGCCGGGAGCGATGGCGGCTCTGAAGCTGCTTCTAAGCTTCAGCATGCCATACGCGACCACATTACCACCTTATATGGCAACTCTGGAAATTGGCCTATCATGGTACAAATCTATGTCAGCCTCGACAAGCTGGCGCACAAGCTCGCGTCCGTCGGTTTGATCGATAAGCCGTCTGACTTGCGAACGTTTGCACAAGGCTTTTCACTCAATCAGTCCCTTTTTTCTATTGTTGATGTAGGTCATGGTAAGGAACGTGCAGACCACAAGATCAAAGGTACGCGTCTTCTTCCGTCCCATCCAATCACAGATGCTGACGATGTGACAGAAATGCTCCGAACTTTCAGTGATAATCCAACTTGCCGGCATATCATCTTTGGAGGTTGCCATGATGCAGGCTACCTTCTTAACCTTGATCAGTATAAGCACCATGCTCATAAAGCCACACGTATTACGCTTCTTGAGTCGACACCTGCCTGGAGGGGATTCGCTGAGCTGCCCAACTTCCGGCGAATGCGCTTTGACGACGTCTTCAGAAATACAGAGCTGCCAGAGTATGGCTATACCCTGCCTCGTTCCTACGCACCAATTCAGCCCAATATCTCCGCACCAATGCAGCAGTCAGTTTCTGCATCTGTTCAGCCTATCGCTAGGGCGATGACAGAGCCCACTCCACCGCCTGGTTTCACTAACCCTCCCCCCGGCTTCCCGTTTGGCCCACCCGGCTTCCTAGCTAGCAACAGCCCGCGTGATACACCCACTATATCATCACCTGCAACGACTGCATCTTCCCTGGCAGCGACTAACCCTACGCCCGAGCCCACCGACTCCTCGTCCTGGGCCGCTGTCGGTAAGAAGAACGGCGTGTCACCTACTGAGAAAATATCCATCGCACCTAAATCTAAGTCCAAGTCCAACAAGAAATGGGCATACTACAATAAAGAAGAACAGCGCCTGGATGAGCCTCTACCGCCGAAAGATAAGGCTGCGTATGAGGCCATCGAAGCGCGCATGAAACGATCTGGGAAGAACTTGTGCAACCATTGGCACCTCAATAATGGCAAGTGTACCAACGGTGCCAACTGCCACTTCCAGCATGAGCCTAAGCTCTCGCCTGCGGGTTTGATCGCCCTACGGTATAAGACCAGAAGTCTGCCTTGCAAAGACCGCTATTGTCAGAACATCAGCTGCTGTAAGCGTACACGTCTTATTTGACAGTCCGGTTGGCCTGATACTAACAAACACAGACCTGGGCCACCAATGCTCGTTCGAGCGAGACCAAGGCTGGTGCCCGTTCCCTGATACTTGCAACCTGCGATACACGCACGACATGGATAAAGTCAAGGCCACGCGTTGGGACGAGTATGGGGACATGGAGGAATTGTGATGCGACCATTGAGTTTTAGGCAGAAGTCTCCAGAGAGCCTTGAAGCTGCCGGCACATTGAACCGATATTACCTAAGTCAGCATATACCGACCTAAAAAGATACGATGTAGTTATTATACAGCTATAGGTGCGAGAGACTGGGTGGAAAGATAATTTCCTTTTTCTAGAAGAGGCGATCGTTCTGTTGAGCTAGGTTATCAGAACGGAAAAGAGTCAAACGATCAAGATAGAAATGAGAATATGCCATGAGTGAAGCTAACCTCTATCTTCACGCCTACCAATGCAAGGCACCCCCCATTTGCAATGCCAAAAGTCTATCGCATGAGAAATACGATCTGCAAATCTACAACCCCACCCTAATCCACCTTCATATCCTGCACGAATTTCTCCAACACCCCGCGATACGCCTGACTATACTCAATCGCAATCTGGCTCTGATACCAAATAAACCGCGCATTATGATCGCTCACAAGATTATGCGCCAGCTCATGGCAAAACGTGAGAAACCAGCTATCCAGCGCCCTTGCCCTCCCCGCCGGCGTCCCATACTCCTTCTCATGCATCTGCATGAACCACCCAAGGTTGAAGAACAGCGCGCGATTCTGATTAAATGCAATTGTGCGGCTCTGCTTGTCGAGGAAGATGCTGACTGCCGCGGGGTTGACGCCGAACAGCGACGCGAGGCTGAAGATGGCCGGGAGGAAGTGCTGCAGCGAGGGCTGAATGTCCGCCAGGGCCTCGGCGTGGTCGCGCCCGTAGAAGATGTCGACGTGCCTGCCCGAGTAGGGGATGGAGAAGGCTTTGTGCAGATTCTCCCACTGCTCGTCGGTGCAGTAGCCGCCTTTGTCGAGCTCGGTCGGCGGGTCTTGGTGGTGCTTGGAGTTTATGTTTTGGCTATTGATCGGGCGGCAGTCTTTGATGGCGTTTTGGATGTTGTTTTTGGTGACTTGATTGTTTTCCTTGGTGATTTGGCCGACATCGGATGGTGCCGTGGGCGCGTTCTTAAAGCCGAGCTTTTTGGCCCATTGGTTGATGAGACTCTTTTCTGGGGGGCGTAGGGTGTTGTCGTGCGCGTGGTCGGCTTGGCCGGACTCGTCGACGTCGGGGCTGCCGAAGGATCCCGGCATGCCCTTCTCTTTGGGCTTCTCGGGTGTTTCTGGGGGAGCTGGTGTGGTTGGAGGAGCTGGCAGAGCTGGCTTCTCGACAGCGCCTTGCTTGGCTTGCTCAATGGCACGTTGCTGCTCCTCGTACTCACGCTCTAGCTCCTGTTGCCTTGCAATGCGAGCTTCGTGTTCCTTCTTTCGCAGGATGCGTTCGACATTGATACCTTTCTCTTGCAGGCGTCTGAGGGGCTCTGTTAGGATCCGCTCAAGGGCGATGGAGTCGTTTTGTTTCGGCTTCTTGATGAGAATCCGAATTAGCTGGCTGCTGACCTCGTAGACATCGTACTTTGGAGTCACATATAGGATCGTTCCTATGCCGCGTTTCCGACTGAGGAAGGCAGTCCGTCGGAATGACGCCGCTGCTCGATCCGCCAATGAGTAGCGGATTGAGATGTCGGAGACGCATTCAACCTTCATATTCGAGCCAAGCCACTTCGTATCGTGTCGTATGCTCTTGGACGATGCGTCTCGCTCATATTCGTGTAGGAAGAGCCTGGTCCGTTCAAGAATGTCGCTGCGCAAGCGATGAGCTACGCTCTGGTCGCGAGTCAAGTTACCAATGCGCTGCTCTTCGTGTACCTGTTCCGATATCTTTGCCACCCCGAATCGAGCATAAAATTCTTCGAGCACTTCCTCTTGGGGTGCTGCGATGATGTAGTCACGAAACCTAAAGAAGAAGTTGATGTCATCAATGATCACAACCTCGTTGGCACTGTTAAGGGACCATTCACGTGACACGCCCGGCTCGTCAAGGTCATCCAGATTATCATCTTGAGCAGCTGCCAGACTCTTTTTCTCATCTCTTATGTCGCGGTAGCCCAACAGAATACGAGAGCTCACCAATGTCTTGGCCAGCTCTTTGTCCTTCCAGAGAGTATCAGCTTGACCGGCCAATTTGCGAAGAAGATCAAGGTACTTTTCCTGCCCGATCTTGTTTAGAAAGCGGACAGGATTCTGGCACATAAGATAGGCTAGATCAGTGCTGCTTGGCTCGTGTTTCGCTCCAGCCTTCAGGAGAAAATTCGTCGCTTCAGCTCCGTACTGAACATAATCCAAGATACCCTGCCACTCTTGGTCTTGACCGACAAACACTGTCTCAGGAGGGTCGTGGTGGTGCAGCCGCATCTCAGCCTTCCCCGATTGCGCTCTCTTCCGATCTTCAAAGCCGACGGATGCTGGCTCAAGGTAGTACTTCCGGAAAACAGGAACAATGGTCGCCGATGAGATACTGGTCAACAATGGTCGACGTTGATCTAGCTCTGTTGATCTACTGGCGAAGTAGCTGAACTGCATCTCGGCATCAAGCCTTGTCTTTGGTGGCGCCTTAATCAGCCGTTGCACACAGTCTTGGATGTCTGGATTCTGTTGCACACCAAATTTCTCAGCATGTGGCCGTAAATCTGCTCTCAGGATGGCGTATCCCAGGCAGGAAGCGCGTTCATTAGTGTAACATTGAAACGGCCCGACTAGCGTGGGCCACGGGGCCTGCTCTGTGGGCAGAATTGGGAGAGAAAGCGTCGCGAGTGCCCTTGCTTCGGAAGCATAGCCGTGCTTGTAATGGTTCTGTATAAAATAATTCAAAGCCGTAACATAAAGCGGTTTGTCGTTCGCTTGGCCAGCCTTATGCATGATGTTTGCGAGGGCTATAGAGTCAGGCCACTGCTTCAGCCCGAGTGCCAACAACAGCGCGCTTTCGCGGACGCTCTGTCCAAATTCAAACGGGAGCTTGACTTGGATAAGACCCATTGATAATATAGCCTGGTCCGGTGCATAAAGATCTGACGCCTTGAAAAGCTGTCCATGCTGCACTGGAGCTCCTTCTCCAGGCAAGAACGGCGTTTCTTTCAATCGATCCAGGTCTTTCTTCGGCATCTCGTCCAGTACCGAAGCGAAGTATCGAATGAGATCGACATGGTTCCACGAGGCTTTCTCTGATGGTGACTTGGAATCTTGGTTGCGCATGCGATCGAATACCACTGAGAGCTCAACTGTCTTCCTCACACCCAAGGCTGCAAGGAATTTCTCTTTTGAGCCTGGAAATGGTTTTACTGTAGGGAGGTCGTCGAAGAGCTTGACTGTAGGGAAATAGGATGCTTCCGGTTTATGCATGCCTGTTTTGGTTGGCATAATGGTATGCGGGCTCAGAATGTGAACAACTGCCTCCTTGGAGGACCCATCGAGCTGGTCCCAGCATTTTGCGGTGAGACTGAGAACTTGCGTAGCCATCTTCTCCGAAGACTGAAACTCTTGGAGCTGAGGCACTGCTGTCATGTGTCGCAACCAGCGTACCATCGACAATTCAAGCCATCCGAACATTTGAAGCTGCTTAGTGGGTATAGATTTTGAGAAAGCGAAGGGAATCGTGTCCACAGGTACGGGAAGCGTGGGAGAGATCCTGGCCGTGTTGATGTACGTGCTCACGTCGCCTAATGCAAGTATCCTTCCTGAATTCTCGTCGGGACTGGTATCAACGTTTGCCACCGTGATCTCGAAGAGGCTACGAATACCATTCTTATCAATCTCGTTGCTTTCTAGTTTCGCTCCAGACCATTTGAGGAACTCAGCCAGCTCATCTTCCGTCAAAGCTCGGCTCTCAAGCCCCTCTCGGATATCCGCCATGGTCAGTTCAGAAATGAAACCGCGTTGGTGCAGGGCCGCCATAAACGTGTATGTTTTGGTAGCTAGGTCCTGAGGCACCATAGGCACCTCTCCTAAAAAGCTCAAAGTCTCTGCGGGCATTCGTACTAATTTGCTTGCCATGACGCCTTTGGAAGAAAGCATCTCGATGGAGCGCTCCTTGGAACAACTCCAGAAGGCCTCTTCAACCTTTTCTCCCAGTACAGTGGAAGGATGCGAAGCGTTTGACGTAAACTGCTGGAAAACATAAATGGCTCTTTGAATCAAATTGTCCATTGGCTCCTGGCCGTATCGTTTCTGAATGTCGGCCATATCTGAGGCGTACAGAATGCGGCAAGCCAGACCAGCCACGCGGAGTAATTCAATGTTCCATTGAGAAATGTAGCGGGCATTCAAATCCACGTTCTCACGTTCCACCGTGGGAATAAGTGATGGGGCGGAAATGTGTGCGAGGACTCCAGTTGTTTGGGCAGTTGGAAACCCGATGAAGATTCTCCCTGTCTTCGTAGGTAGAACTTCTGAAAACAGTTTCTCGGCCAGATCAGCTGTTTTGCCGGTGCCAGTCGATGACGGAATGGTAGGATCTTGGTACGGTGAAGTTAGAAGGGCAATTCGTGTTTTCCGGGGCGGTGGTTTCTTTGTAGCACGTTCGATCTCTGCTGCAAAACTCTTTGCTACACGTGTATCGACCTCAACGGTGCAGACTTGCAGGAAGATGACCCCAGTCGACTCTCCAGCGATATCATTGGTGTCATGTGAAAGCGTGCCCGATGCTTTCGCTGTAAGTGCAGGTTTGCTCGCTTTCGGTGTTGGCGCAGAGAACTTGGAGAAAAAGCTCTTCAATGCCGTGCCAGCATTTCGCACTTCGGCTTGAACCATCTCAGCAGCTCGTTTCGGTGGATTCTGCGCTGATGCGATCACATTGCTCCACTCTGCATCGATTTGAGAATGCTGCTGAGAAACTTTAGCAACGCGCATGAACCCTCCGTCCGTCTCAGTCTTCAACCCTCTCGGAACCGCTAAGTCCGCGGGTGGAGAGGTTTTCTTGGTGAAAGAAGCAACCTTGTGATTATCGACGTGAAGTTCGAGAGACTGCAAACCCACAAAGGTTAGGCTAGTGGCCAGAAACTGGCATAGAGTTGGCAGGTTTGGGACTTTCGCTGGGTTGTAAGATGGAGAGGACAGATCAGCCTGCCGATAATCCAGGGAAAATGTTGTGTTGTTCGTTCGGTGTTCCTCTGGAACACTTGCGACTTTGGTGGACAATGTGTTTCCCTTCCAGTAGAAAGCCATGGTTTTCTCCCCAGAGACAACAAAAGGCTCATCGCAGTCAGCGAATACGCTGTAGAAGCCTACACCAAATGCACCAATCTTCGTCTCGTCCGGATTCCCATCCGCAATACTCTTTAAGCGACTCCAGTCTGCTGCTGTAAATGGCTGCCCGTTGTTGGTAACAATCAGCCGCTTAAGGGTGTGCTGTTGGATAATGTGTTTCAATAATATGGATTTTTCTGAGCCCTGTGGTGTGGGAACTTCGAGAGACGGGTCGGTCTCATATTTGATGACGACCGTGCTTGCGCCAGCGTCGGAAGCATTCTGAATCAACTCCCGTAAAGTTGTGTGTTCACTGGAGTACCGGGCCAGCACTTTGTCTATGAGAGCCCTGGTGTTTACGGTAACCTCAGAATCCTGGCCATCAGCCATGGTCTGGTTACGCAGCCGCGTAAAATCGACCCCCGCCATCGTGGAAGGTCTGTCTGGTTGTTGATTGAATGTGTCAAGCGCCCAGCTCCATGTATGCAGTCCCTGGGGTGAGAACCAACAATAGATGTATCGGACGTCGAGACCGGAGGGTTAGAGAAATGCTGCGTGAGATAGACAGCTGACGTTGAGTTCTAAGCCTAGGTGGCGAAGCAGGGGAAAGCGACAGAACACAGAAGAACCGACGCTGAGACAACGTCGTCTGAGCATACGACGCCTGTCCAAGCCCACGCTATACAGACCGCAAATGGAAACGAAAAGAAAGCCAGCTGTATTGAATGTGGACAACCAAGTGAATCCTGTTGGTCACCGCCCCGTGTTTGTACCGAGTTTCGCGTGGCGAATCGGGAATAGCGCGGCCAGCCTCCCAGAAGCTTGGCAGTGGGTCAGCGCTTGAACCTCGAATCCTCACGTTGCGTGCAACCACTACACTGTCCAAAATTCAACGAAACATGCCGATACTTGTGCGCCCAGCGACTTCGCTACAATAAAACATAGTTTTCCGGCCGTGACGGCCTTTGGGTCTCCATGTGGCGACGATGGCGGTCGACCCTCTCTCACCCATTGCGCCTGCGCGCATACGGGCTCTCCTCCTGCCCGTCGGCCGTATCAAGCGTTCACGTTTCCTAAACTTTGTCGAGTTTCTGCAGCCACATTGCATGGTGCGCCTTGGAGACATCAGTCCCGATCCTCGGCCAGATAGGAGTACGACCCATTCTTGCAACACGGACACCCACTCAGTCGCTGATCTTGGCATTGCGCAGATATGTTCTCACCCCTAGCATTTCCCAACGGCACCCTTTTATATGACTTGTCGACGTCACTACCACCCCCATCACACTTGTCACTGTCGCCCTTTGAGCAATTTCGCGATCCCCTCTTGATCATCGGCATCGCCGACGCCTCAGAGTATTCGTGGCTCCATCGGTCACGTGCCGATACAGAGACAGAACAGGATACCGCGCAATCGAAAATCACCCTGCAAGACGACAATGGAGACGATCTTCCATCCTCCGTGGACGATCTGCGGGAACAGTTTCCGAGAGCCTATTTACACAGCCTAATGTTGTTTGACTGCGCATCTCAGGATCTACATCCCCGATTACCACAAGAAACATTCCTTGTGCCCCCAGCACCACAAGTCAAGATGACAACGATGAAGACGCTGATGTGTGACCTCACTTCGACATTATTAGCTGAGATGACCACCTTGGCCAAATCGATCCAAGTCTTACCTACTATTTCCTCCCCAGCTTCTCAAACTGGTAATACCGACAACGTACCTAGCTGGGCTAACCCCGACCCTTCATCGTCTCTGTTCTCCCGACGGAATTCGCAAACCCCTGTATTGAGTAGACCTGAATCGCCCATATCGGCGAACCAGAAAGACCTGCACAGAATGTCTATGCCTGTGCTTCCATCTACTTCTGGGGGCTCGCTGTCAACAGAAGATCCTAGAGCGACTTCTCCCGTAACCCAAGGAGCTCGTACCCCTCCAACGACTTTCGATGAGATTTCGGGCCTTGACGCCGCTAATACTCTGCATCGAACAACGAGCAATTCATCAAAACCGAAGGGCACGGGAAGAGATCGCAGCGCGGACCGAGTTTCCATCCATGGGTTCGGTTCTGGTGGTGCTGGTGAGCGGGCCCGAAACAAAGGACGCGGACGTGTAGGTGTGATAATAGGCACATTATACCTATGCGCCGGACAATGGCAGGATGCTTTGAAGGAACTCACCGAGGCAGCCAGCCAAGCACGGACATTCAGTGATCACTTATGGCATGCGAAAGCTTTGGAAAATATTATGGTTTGCCTTTTGCTATTCGCATGGTCAGGCATGGACTTCCAGGTCGGTTCTTTATGCATTCGTTCAGATTTGTATTAACTTTTCATTAGATACCTCAAATTTGTTATCCATCATACGACAAATCATCAGGCACCAAATCCCCCCAACATACGCCTGCTGGCAGTATAGCAGATATTACCTCTCCAACTTCAACAAGGAATTCCACACACGAAGCCGCTCTTGAGAGCCTCAACACCCTGCTTCCCGACTTAGTGAATATGATTCTAAATATCTATACGCGAGCGTCCAATTTTGCCGGAGAGTCTCTGCCACCGCTTGCGTTTTCGGAATGCGTTATACGTTTCTCCAAACTCCTAGCCGCCATGAATCTATCCGCAGGATATTTGGACTATGACGCTCTGCAGCACTTAGTTGAGAACAGTCCATTCCGGCAGAAACCCCGGCTTTCTGTACCACGGCTTGCGGTCAACCCTACAAGGAGTGATATTGCTGCGATGCTTTTCCGCGCGTTACCTGGCCCACCAGAAAGTTCTGGAATGAGCCCTACGGATAGAGTGGTAGTGTTGGCCGGCGTAGCATCTGTGCTATCCTCACTTGAGCTACAAAGAAAGAAGGCCGTTGTGATGAAAGAATTCATCACGTCCCTGATACCGGGCCTGGTGCAAGCTCGAAAGGTCGGCGCAGCAGAAATGGGAGTGCATCCTGCTGCAGGTCTTGCTGCCCTCAACATGGCTGGCGGAAGCAATTCTGGAGCAGGTGCTCTTCATCTAGGAGAAGGGGAAATCGAAAACGGCATCGATGAGTTTCTAGGCCTGCTGGGGCGTGTCTACGGGATACCGGATACAAGAGCTACCTTTAACTCACCTGTGCCTTCACTATCGAATGGCACAAGCGATTATGCGCCCGGTAAACAGAGCCAGGATGCAGTGAAAGAGATCTTACGGATAGCTTCGCTCAGATCGTTCGGAAGCCTTAGCCTGAAGCTGGACGTTCTACGCATGTGTATCAATTTCTGTGAGGCCTTGCCGGACTTCAATGGCGTTCTCCACTTCACCGCTTTGCTTCTGCGGATAGCGGGTCCTGGAACAGCCCCCAGACCAAACAGCACTGATGTCTTTGTGTCGTTACCGCGCGAGGAACAGGTGCGACTGTTCGCCAACATATCCCGCACCGTGGCCCAGGCGAACAAATTGGGTCTCAAGCATGTTGAGACTGATTATTGGGATGACTTCTTGGTTCGCGGTCTGTTCATAATGGAACCACCGGTTCCCATGCGTCTCACCCATCACCGACCTGCAGAATTGAAAGTCATTCCTTCTAAGGAAGGACCCTTCATCCATAACCCCTGGAATAAGAACCCGCAGGCCAATGCTGTCGAGACTGTGCTCGTTGCCAATGAGGAATACAGGTTCATCATTGCTCTGCAAAATCCTTACGACTTTGAGCTCGAAGTCGATTCTCTGCGAATAGCTGCCGAAGGCGCTGAGTTTGTTGCGCATGAGGAATTGTTCATCTTGGGTCCGTATCGAACACAGAAGTTTCCAATCAGCGGTGTTGCTCGTGCAGAAGGAACTCTGAACATCATTGGATGTTATGTCAAGGTCACTGGATGCCGGGAGCGATTGTTTCCAATATTCCCCGATCCTTGGAGGCCCGAAAGAGAACTAAAGATGAAGAAAATTGGGCTCAAAGCTTGCCTCGGGGCTCCAATCTCGCGACCGACTTCAGCCGTTGGCACAGCAGCAGACGTGGGGAAAGCGTCCTCGCCAAAGCCGGAGACGTTGACTTTTAATGTGATTGCTGACCAGCCCGTGGTCGTCATCACTGATGTGTCTCTTCCGCAAGGAGCTGTCATGGTGCTCGAAGGTGAGAGGAGGCGCTTCACCGTCACCGTCAAGAATACTTCCAACACCACTGCCGTCGACTTCGTTCACATTACGTTTCAAGACTCAGCGACGGCAGCCATTCAAGCTGCTATGTCGAATCGCGACCTTCCATCCGCCGAACTCCACGAACTGGAAGTTCAACTGGCCCAATTTCCTTCACTGCGCTGGATAAAGGACGAAGACGAGCAAGTCATCTCTATAAAGCCAGGCCATGAGGCTCAATTTGTAATCGAAGTCGTCGGTCGAACACGCCTTACAGATGCAATCGTCCAGATTGACTATGCCAACCTGGGCAAACGACGCTCCGAGGTCCAAGAAAGATTTTTCACTCGCCAGGTTTCTGTACCTATATCGATCACGGTCAACGCTAGCGTTCAGCTACAGCGCCCTGACATCATACCGCTCTCTGGTGATCTTGCTTGGTCCAGCCACGCGAAGGAGGTGACCCTGCCGAAGAACACGAACGAGAGTTATTTCCAACAGTTCTTACACTATATGAAGTCGCAAGGAAGCAGCGACGAGTATTGCATGCTCTTATTAGACTTACGTAATTCCTGGCCCAACCCTTTGCACATCGCACTCCAGGTTCGAGGACTTTCTGATAGTAACGAGAGCGTCACGGAATCATGGGCTGGAGCTTATACCGTTAACGAAGTCATCCAACCAGGCCACATCAACCGGATCGTAGTCATTCTTCCCAAGATCTACCTCAAGGAGCCTTACGCACGAGTTCCGTCACTTAACCCTGCGAATCAACGACAATTTGTTGTTAGCGCGAGCAAGATCTCACCTGAGATGGAACGCGCAAACCGAGAAGCTTTTTGGTACCGTCATGAGCTGCTGAAGCTTATTCGGGGAACATGGAAAGAAGAGGGCGGTGGAAAAGCAGGTGACATTGAGCTCCGCACCTTGCGCTTTTCCCCACGAATGGTAGAGGCCATCAAGTTAAGCGACCTCAGAATCGAAACAACGGTCGAAACGGACTACCCCTCCGGTGACGACGATAATAAGGTGCGACGCCTTGGTCACGCAAGGTTCGAAGTCTCCGTAGACGATTTCTTGACTCTGAAGACCAAGGTCTACAATCGAAGCCCTGCCCCGATTACACCATTTCTGCGATTGCAGCCGCATCTCGCTAACCTCCCACACAACATCGCGCTCGACCTTGATAAACGCTTCTCATGGACTGGCGTCCTACAGCGCCGTCTGCCAACAATTGAGCCGGGACAATGGGTAGAAACAGAGCTCGGAATTGTTGCCCTTACAAGCGGTGTGTATGAGGTCGGTGCAACGGTCGATGAGGTCAAGCTTCACCAGCCGGCTGGCGAGGTCAAAGGAAACAGGCCGCGAAGTGGGACGGCGACAATCCAGGCTGAAATCTTGGGTGAGCCGAAGCTGCGCTCGTGGCATATAATGGAACCTTGTACAGTTGTAGCGAGAAGGCGGTGACATGCCCAAGTAGAGGTAAGGCGGTATCTCCATTGGTATATAGTGAAATGAATGCATGTCTACGAGCGATGAAATCCAAAGGCACTCAATGGGTCATTATCTTTGGAGCTTAGATCCACTCACGGATACGCCTTCAAGTGTAGCAACACAATCTTCTATGGTATATATTGTAGCCAGCGATGAACTGGCATTCAGCGAGCTCAGACGTGAACAATGGCGATAGATATTCAGGTTATAGTTTCTTGGACTTATAGCGAAGTAAGTTACAGCAGTATGAGGTAGATTCCCAAGGGCTATCGTTTTGGGTCAGCCCGTGTGATATGTCCTCTCAACCTCTCCCAAATTCGTATTAATTTCAGAGTGTCGTCCGAACTCCCTCGTGACGAAGACCTGATCAGGTGGCAGAGGCGAAGGCGGCGTGAGATCGTCGCCAATCGCCGCATGCCAGCGATGGTCATCTTCTGAAAGCATACATGACTGATGATCGGAGGTCGCAGTCCTGGTGAGGCGGCTTAAATGGCTGAGTTGTCGCATCAGAAATTCCGGTACTACCCTAGCAATTAAAGGCTTCAGAGCTGGCAGTGAAGCACACACGATGCCTAGGTTGACCTCTATCGCAGAGAAGTAGGCTGGCGCAGCGCCGTGCCACGAAATGTCCTCTGGGTGCTTGCCGAGTACGATCAATGAATGAAGCCTAAGGATCGATACGATACAGATACTACCGTGGATAAGCACTTGCTATGAAGACCGGTAGGCAAGGGGAGGCAACTCACACCCAGCCCATTGTAAGAATTAGCTGTACGGCAACCTTCTGCTTTGCAGGGATGTGAAGGCGCCAGATAGCTCGCACTGGTAACACAGCTATAAGTAGATCAACAGCAACGTTTAACCCGGCATTGGCATAGTACCACGCGATTACGTTGATGCAGCGTGCGGCTGGCATCTTCTTGGTGTCCCAGAATGCATCAATCGGGACACACTGAAACACCCCAACAAAGACCGACTCCAATGCGAATGCCGCGCTGACACCCATAAGAAATGTGTTTGCGCTCCACACACCACGTGAAAATACGAAGATGCGGCGATATTGTAGTAATATCGAGATTCGGACGAAGAATAGGGCAATGTTGTAGGTGGGGATGCTGCAATAAAGGTACTGTCTCAATCAGTGGTAGATCGGACTTGAAGGACTGCGCAGATCATACTATCAACATCCACTCAGTGGCAGTCTGGTCCATAAACAATTGATGCCGGCCGTTGCCCCATGCAGCTTCTTTGATCTGGAACCCGCCCAGTGCGATGGCTGAGGCCTACATACCCGCATTAGAGTAGTCTAAGGTTGAGGGACATGGTATTTCTCACCATGGCAAAAATTATGAAGACATCTTCTTGTCCGAACATCTTGGTGATCTTGAGGCGCGTAAAGAGGCGGAGGCCGACGGCGATCATGGCAAATATGGTGAAGGAGCTTACGATTATGATTATTTCGAAGCTTCTGTTTTCTTTTGCCAGTTTAGCCTGTTCTTCTGTAGGCAGTTCGGCCATTGCACCAAAAGACCTGTTCTTGGTCGTGAACTGGTCATTCGAGACAGTGGGGGCTGCAATCGTCCTTGGGCCAGTGCCGAGTACAGAATCTGCTGCGTATTCTGAGCTATAGCTGGGATCCTCGGTTCCAAACTCTTGAAATCAAGTTGCGTTATTCGGATGCGCAGAAGACTGTGTTATGAAAGTAGGGTTGCGCGGCGGGCCAGACCGCAATGTCAGCCCGCCTCCAAGTGTATCCAGGGTCGACCTTCACGCATACTAATGACACTTCCGAACCATCCGGAAGGTTTGCAGCGCGTTTTCCGTAGGAGTTTGTTCTGGCAACATTATTGGTCATAAGATGAGGCTGTTCAGCTAAACCCCAGGTTCGGCTCTTGGCGTTGAGCATCGGCTGTCAATATATGTGTTTAAAAACGCGATGTCTGTCGATTGTACAAGATCCCGAACTCAGTGGTCACCAGTCGAAAGACGACTCACCTAGCTCGGATGGAACTCCTGCAGTGATCCAGGTCGAGCGCTAGCTCCACGCTTCAACCCCGCGCGTCGAACCACACTCTAGGTCCGCAACACCTCTTCACATCCCATCCAATGATTCGAGACAGAAGTTAGTCCGATTCCGAGCGAATGACACGCCGTCTGGGAGCGCTGCAATACGTAAAGTTTCTCGGTTCCAGCCGAGATGATTTGGGCTCCAAATGGGGTCAATGTTTGGAGGTTACGGGTTTCTTCCTGACTTGCAGACATACTGTACGCACAGCGCCAACACGATAGCGCCAACACGATATCGACCAAACTCGACAACGGTCCTGCAGCCGAAGCTGAGCGCAGGCCATCGTCTGGCATTTACCGAGATGCAGCCTCACTTGCGACTTTCCTTCCGTTGATCGGCTCTAGTGCGATCTCGATTTTGGTGGATTGAACCTCAAGTCTCGAATCTTTACATCGCTCAACAGACTTTGTTGCGCTCCGAGAGAAAGGGAACATAACGTGCGTTGAGTGAGTCAATTTCTTCCGGGGCGGTGGTGGAAATGACATACACGAGCTGTTGCACCGCTTACGCATGGCTGAGGCATTCGTTTTTCTAACTCATCGATGTCCGCTCCAGGTCGACCTCCGAAGAAAAGGAACGAAAAACTGATCTGCATACTCATATAATCGACTGCCGGACGTTACCGTTGCTCTTGCCTCGTGACGCTCGTATATGCAGCTCTTTCCGAACTCTGCATCCAAGCGACGCAGGTACCCTTGACTTCCTTCACTCCACATTCAGACGCAATTTCTGCCTTCCGTCACCATCCCTGCGCTATCTTCCCCAGAGTAGATGCCGAACCGCTGGCCACGACTCCTCGTCTCGAGCGTGCAGATTGGCAGGCGACACAACACAAGGATCATGTCGTGACACCGCCAGCGCAAGGCTCGCGAGTAGGGCGTCGCACATGTTGCAAAGTCTTCATAAAAAAGCCTCATCGTCTCGCAAGAAGGATGCTATCGAGTAGACATTAAACATCAGTCGTGCTAATCACTGTACAATACCGGATACCCTGCGCGAATGGTACCACCGATCGAGCCGGCGAAGCAAGCAAGCGAACGATATGCATGTCGGTGTGAGACAGGCGCTGCATACTCAAGCCGTGAGCATCCAAGCCTCGACTTACAGCAAGGAGCCTTCCTATCTTGCCACTGCCGCTACGCTGGTTTCATTCGCGCTGTTGATCTTCTTGCTCAGAGTCTACACGCGTATAAGACTACTCCGCTTCTTCGCCATCGATGACTGGCTTATACTGGGGGCTGCCGTAAGTGATTTGAATCGAATACATTGCATTACAGCTGACAAGCATCGTTAGATCGGTTTAGTCGTGGCTCTAGCATCACTGATTCTAATCAACCTGATCAGCAGGTGGGAGGGTTTCGCTAATGGGAACACGGGGAAAGCCATCCTTTCCCTCTGGATATTCGATCTTTTCTCGATTTTCAGCATTACGGCTACGAAAACATCAGCCATCTTCCTTCTCCTTCGTACCGTTAAGAGAACCGTGTACAGGCGGCTCCTGTGCATCACAGCCGCAATCGTCACATCAACAGGTCTCACTTGGTTTTCCAATGTGCTCCTCCAATGCGTACCAGTCGGAGCAGCGTGGGAGCTTGAACGGACGGAAGATGCCAGATGTATGCAGTACAATACCTTCAGCAACATGCTTATTATCTATAATTGTAAGTCTGTGCTCTGTCGATGTGCTAGCACTGACTATACCCAGCGATCGATGCCGCAACAAATCTCACCCTTTCCCTACTTCCCATGTCGGCGCTCTGGAGTTCACACCATGCTGTCCGCAACAAGCTCTTCCTGATAACCCGAGTCACGGTCACAGCTCTCGGCCTCATGTACGTGCCCCCGGAAAACACACCTGCCCAAGCTCACCCATGAACCTAGCTCCACCACCGCCGCCGTCATCAGACTCGCCAACCTATACAATCTGCGCAACACCACGTTCCTATTCACGTAAGGCACCCCACCCCTCCCGTCTCCACAGCACTCCCAGCTGAACAGCCCAACAGCCATGCCGCAACAATATGCATTTGCAGCGTGTAAGTTCCGCCACTCTCCCACTCATCGGTCCTGTTTCTGTGTCATGCGCCGTAGCTACAGATTTTCGTGGTGCAAGATTGCGGCCGGATGCGCGTGTGTCGCAGGTGGTCGCACATGTACCACGGTCGGTTCCACGGCGACCCGTGGGCATGGTAACGGCTTATTATTTTGCCGCTTTGAGGCTGGACCCGTGGGCGGCGGGATATAAGTTTGTTGGGCCTCGTGGACAGGCGCGCTTGTGATCGTCGGCATCAAAAGATTGCGGATGATCTCGTGGGGTTTTGTTTTGCGTTGTTTTGGTCTGCTCATCATCGCTTTCGTTTCTTTTGTCCAGGCATCGCTGTAAACGACGAGCGAAACCACCGCGAAGCACTCCGCTGACGATCAATCTAAGCATTCAAATGGCCGCTGGCATGACAGCAGCTTGTCTGCCCACCCTCAAACCGCTCCTCACCACTGTCTCCGACTTCTTCACCAACCTCTCCCCTAGCCGCTGCTCATCGAAACCCTCAGACCACCACCACGACCAAGATGCAAACTCGCCGCCGCCATCACCCTACCCTCAGTCATACGGCACACCTACCTTCCTCTCCTTGCCGCGCCCGAAGCCCGCGCGCTTCCACGACCACACCTCTGACCTCGACTTCGACCTCTTTGAAGCACCCTCCATAACGCGCTCGCGCGCGCACAGCCGTACCCCGTCCAATCTTACCGTGTTCACCACATTCACGAACTTTACATCCACGTTTACGGTGCCGCCTTTTGACCGGGAGATGCAGGCTGCGCGGCCGCGGACATGCAGTAAGGCAATGAGCGAGGTGGAGAGGCCTGCGGAGCTTGTTGTTGGCGGGGCGAAGAGCGGGTATGCGGTTAGTGTTACGAGCGGGTGTGGGAGCGGGGAGACATGCGAGGGGAGCGAGGAGGAGAAAACCATAAGACGGATTGGGAGTGACGAGAGCTGTGGAGGTGTTGTTGGGGGGATTATGCGGACGACGGAGGTGAGGGTGAGCTGAGTGAGAAGATGTTCTCGAACTAGACAATGTACAGAAAGGCGAGGGGAAAGGAAGGGAAATTGTGTGGCAGTTTCGAAGTGGGAACGCTACTGTTGATTTTGTTACTGGTTTTCGTTTCATGTATATGGTAATCAAATCCATTCACGGTTATGGTCGCGTTGACAGCCCAAACATTTGCTTACCTGACTCATCCCCGATCTATTTTTCTTTCTGTGCGAGTCTCGTGCATTCGATATTCCCCTGCTTGCACTACGCCCTTTCCCGTTAACAGGACGGATACTGTACTCCACATATCATTGCAAAAAAGTACGTGCTCTACCTCAGTGGATGTTAGAATAATGAGACGATTGAGGAGCGTAAGACCACCTAGAGCGTTATAATCTGAAGGAAAATTCTACGCAACCGTAAGCAGCAGGATAACAATAATGCAAACTAAGCATCATAGGGCACAAGCTCAGTAAAAGTTGTTCATCGATTCCACCGCATGTTTGAGGAACAAAATATCTGCGTTAGTGGCCGGATATCACGCTCCCAAGAGTGAATGGTGTATGGAAGGAAGCCAAAGCCACACAAAGATATGACCGTCTCTCCTGACATCATCAAAACGTCCGCGTTCTACATCCCAGATGTTAAACGCACAAACTATGATACTGCTCGGATAGCTTCTACCCTCAAGTGCGGCAATCTTGCCGAGGTTACTTTTGGCCTTGATCGAAACGAATCACGTCGGCACAGATGAAAAGACGCCAGACAACATGGGGCACGCTACACTAATAACTCTAGAGTCAGCAGTTGCAACATGTATTGAGTTGTATCCGCAGAACCTCTGCTCACGGGGACAGAGTGTGGTTTCGCTCAAGCCTTGAGGCTGGCATGTGGATCGAGAAGTCCAGAGTTCGACGTTGCAACGGGGGTGGGCGGCGCAGGTTCGATTAGCAGAGAGGGCCGGTAGAGCTATGTTGACAGTGAGCTGACTTGTCTCGGGATGTCTTGAGCTTGTGAGAGAGTGTCCAAGGATTCAAGCTCCGCTGCAATGTTGGAATAGATTCGACGATGGCGCCAGCGTACAGCTTCAACCGGGGCGAGCGATCCGTGACGACAGCAGTCCAGCGACAACGGACGGACAAGAATTATGTTCTCAGAGATGGTGGACGGATGCGGCATGTCGACTATAAGCTCAGTTGTGTCAAGCTACACTGAGCAAACGGGCTCTAGGCTCGCTGCGGTGATGAACGGACACTTCGATGGCAGCGATTTCACGACGGCGAGGGATCCGCGACAGCAGCAACGGCGTGGCGGCAGGCGGGCGTGGTTGAGAAGGCAGAGCAACCGGCAGCTGTGTTGGTCGCATGCTGCTTGCCACGCGTCTCGTCCGCAGCGACGTTTGAGAGCAATTACCATCGCCCACGAATCAACACTACAAGACAGATGGACATGGGCAAGAAAACTTCTTCCTCAAGTGCTCAGCAACGCCAAAGCAGCTCAATGAAAAAGGTTCGCGTCGGCTGGAGGTAGTGCAAGACCAGCGACACTGTGGTCTCAACTATGAGCAAGCCCAGTGAGAGGAGACCCAGGTACAAAAATAGGAATAATCTTGAATGAGTCCGTAGACTCGTTTCAGAGATTAAACTGAAAAGAACAGATACTACACTTGATCTAAGCCAAAAGGCAAAGAGAGCTAAAGAAGAGAAGAGAGGGACGGAGGTCTCACGCATTATATAGATTTTTTCGCCGAGCCGCTAGCTGGACGCTAGCGCATCACGTGAACGCACAGACAGTCGGTGCCTCGCCGGCTCCAAAGGGCTTAGCGCCCCAGAACAGCACTTTCGCACACACAGCTGGGTGGGTGACCAGCGGACGGCGCGTTGAGGGCGGCCTTAAGAGTCGCGTAGATGGGTTTCTCGAGCGGCAAGCTGTACAGGCACTGCATGCGAAGTCAATCTGGGCGGTCCAAGACACCATCGAACAGCCGTGGTGAATATCAGGTCTTGCTACAGGCTCAAGCAGCTCAAGAGACGGCTACGTGGGCGTGTCTCCAGGCCCGGGCATGGGCTGCTTCAGCGGCACCCTGAACAGGTATCGCAGATGAACCCACATCAGGCGGTACCGCACACAGATTCCTAGTCGATGGCTAAAATTCTGCTACGAGCTCAGGTAGGTTCCATCGGCAGCGTGACGATCTGGTCGTACAAGACCCAGGACAGCACCGAGACCAACCCACGGGTGGGCGAGACATTGATTCGAATGTGACAATCAAAACAAACAGCGAGGGTTTCCCAAGGCAGTATTGACCTGATTCCGTATCCAAGAATTTACGGGCCTCTTGCGATGCTACGTGTTCACGAGCGTGGTTGTCAATATCGCGAGAACAGCTGGGCGACATGCCCGCCACAGCAGCAGCGCCAAACAATGGCCGAGTTCCCCAGTGGCCTTGCTGGCCCGGTGCGCTGCCCAATTTCGAAATACGCGTTGTGTGCTGAGCTTCCCAAGAATCAACAGACGCGAGAAAACAGCCTTCGCACTTTGGTCCTAAATGTACAACGTAGGGTGCCTACGGGAAGCATCCGAGATGCAGCTTCGAAGTGAAATGAATCGGCGGGATATAATGGGAACTGGCTCTCGCTGCAAAGCTGCTGTGCCACACATTCTTCACCACTGATTGCGACTAGCGGTAGGAGCGAACGGACAACTCACGCACTACCTTGGCTAATTTTTCCTCAGCAGCTGACCATCGTCCTAAAAGTGAATCGAGAAAGACACTATGCTGCAGTCGAGCAGTCCGACGCTTCGAGACCGTCGCGTAAAACCGCGGATAGCGCTGCTGGGGCTCGTGGGGCTGCGTGTGCTATGCGATGAGGCCTTGCTCGCCTCACATTTGTGAATCGCAATTTACAATACCACCATCTGCGCCACTTAGGACACCCGACAACTTTCCCGAATGCATGTCCTTACGTCGTAAGTCAATGATGAATAAATATGACCTCCGTCACGATTACCTAGCATACCGACGGTACCACCTTTTAACTTCGTTACCAGAATCAGTCTACAGCTTCAGCCCCAGAGTTATCGAAGTCGAAGCTAAGTTGCTGCTCTTGGAGGTGGCGTCATGGCTCATGGCCCCCGACTGGCATCATCGATCCAAAACGTCCGTAGTCAACAGTCTGCCCAGCCCGGCTTGAACGTCTGTATTTTCAACCTTACTTCAATGAGTATAAGCGTACCCGAAGCCCATTCTAGTAGAGACCAAGCCGCCAGTCTCTCAGCTTGAGTTTGAGCGTTACTCGGGTTGTAGGATAATGTAGCGGAGAGGGAAGAGGTGGAGGTGGTAGATGAGCAGAAGGGATATGCGGGGGTTTGCTCTATATAGGACTTCTCGTGCGCTAGAAGGTCGCTATAGACTAGTACTAGCGTCTACGGCTTTGGAAATGATACCATCCATCATAAATTCGGATTGGATGTTCTCTTCTGTGTTAGTGTGATGTTGGAGTACAACAAGTCGAGTCTTCTTCACCTCAATCTTGGGGTGTCCAGGTAGCTCACGACAGATTAAGATGTGGCTGGCAAGCGGCACCAAGTTATATCGAGTTGCACTGGCAGCACCGAAGCGTCTTACACGTAGCATGTTGCCAGACGCGATATGGCCTCCTAGTACATCACGACAATCATGCGGGCTCGGTCAGTTAAGATGCGTGTATTATCAAGTGCGCTGACAACCATAGGCCTAGATAGACTACTATCGGCTAGATCATACCTTATCTTCTTTGCCGTGAGCTGAGTAACTGCTCGATTCCACCTCTTCTCCCTCGACCACCCCTGTAATCGTCGCGACGCTCTCGTGATCAAAGAACCCCTCATTAGCAGCCATCTCCTCAAAGCGAAGCTCCCTCTCTTCGCCCCCTGGAAGTATCGGTGGCGGCCAGATCAGGCACAGTACAAAGTACACTAGACCGCCCATCAAGAACGATAGGACAAAGCCAAGCTTGTACATATTCTTGCTGGCAGTCGCAACTGAGTCTGGGTCCAGCGACCCAGCAACGCCATGCACGGTAAAAGCAACACCAGCCACCCATGGCGCAAGCATACGCAGATTCCACCCTTTGTAGTACGTGTATGGGGCTTTGGGGGAGTTGACATACAGAGAAGGCACATGGAAGTTTCCTCGTCTCACATACCAATAATCGACAATCATGCAAGCGCAAATCGGCATCAAGAAGACCGTATAAGAGCCCAAGAAGGTGAGGAACGAGGCCGCATTGGCGATGATCTTCCACGGCACAAGCAAAGGTGCGAGGACTGCGCAGAGAATCTGACCTCGAACGATAGTGAGCCATCGAGGGAACAGTCCCGTTAGGTCGGCCCCGACAGGAAGTGAATTGCTTCCCGCATTCGTGATCAGGATGGCCAGCATCATACCGAATGATGCGAACACCACTCCGGCTCGGGCTCCGTGGTTCCAGTACTTGTTAAGAATAGCGTCGTAGAGATCCCACACATTCCAGTAGCTCGCTCCGAGCACGCTTGTCGCCGCCGATGTGGTTGCTGTTCCGAGGAACATGACCAAGACTTTGCTGATCAGGATACCCATGCCCTGGCTCCATGTGACGTCTTTGTAAGAGTGGCCGTACCGAGCAATGTCGGGTTGGTTGATGAGGACAGGCGCGAGTGCACCCATGACCGAGTTGATGGCCTGGATCATCGGCCAGACAAGAGCGGAACCGGATAGGCGAGCTTGCTTGGTCGTGTAATCGAAATTTCCCAGAGTCCCTCCGTTCGCGCTGATCGCCCATCCGAGCACACCAAAGAGAGCAATGGTTGTGTAGACGGCTTTGACGACGAACAGGTGACGAAGCACTTTCGGATGGATGAACATGACAGGCATTTGCACCTTCGGAAGTTAGCGCCGTATCTATAGGATGAATGTCGTGCACTTGCCATCCAAAAGAGGAGGAAACTGAGCAAGTCGCGAGACGTGATCCCAGCGCTGGCTGGAAGGTGGTTCGGAATATTGTAGTAGCCATTGCCGAAGATGCCGCGCATGAAGACCGAAGTAATACGTCCGCCATAGTAGGTTTGCGTAGCAAAGTATACGATGGCGACTATAGCACGGACCAGAATGTACAGGCTGGCACCACGGACTCCTGCCGCGGCACGAACGTATACTAAGGTGTGGAGAACAAAGTCAGTGAAGTGCTCAAAATAATGGGAAATTAGGTGGGATGTGGCTGTTTAAGCTCCGTTTATGACCAGAGTCTGAAGTTCTCAGATAATGATAATAGCAGGAGACAATCACTTTTAACCCCCGGGTTTCGTACCAGGGAATCCGATGAAGTACTTGATGGCGCCACGACTATTTAGCACCACTAAGACAGTCAAGATGGCGCTTCCGATGACTGCGGCAATCATGCCATGCCACCATGCGAGTCCAATGGAGATCAATGTAGCACCAAGATTATAACTACTAGGGCTAAAAGTCATGGTAAGATAGTACGCAAAGTAATGCTGCCATTTCCATCTTCTGTCCTCTGATCCGAGTTAGTTGTTGTCGGAAGACTTTACGCGGCGGCGATGCACTCACCTGGAGGACTTGGAAGCAAGTCCTCGTTGTATCGCAAAGCTCCATCTGATCTCACGATGTTTGACTCGTTGCGAAGCACTTTAGGTGAGCCTATAGCATTGCGAGCTTTACGTAGGAATCCTGACATCGTGTCGATGCGGGGTGTCGCTCAGATCGCGTTGAAGATGTGCTCTGGTCGTCGCACGACCAGAGCGACATATATGCGCAACGACAAGAATCTTGTTAACATCTTTTGGCATGGCGTTCTCCATAGTTTCTTGTGCAGATGAGATAGAGATGATTGTCGTAGGGCTTATCGTGTGTTAGCGTCGGAGCTCCGATGGGCTCACTTCTTTCGCACCAGGTACTGCAGTAGCGCTTGCCGTCCCCGGTCATTCCACCAGCACTTGCGCTCTATTTCGTGCATAGGACCTCCGATTATCACCATCCTACTAGCGATGCCGCATCGTGGGCTGCGTTAGTCTTCGGGCATTCTCCGACGCGCGGCGCGCGGCCGCGGGGGATGTACGAAGAGTCCGAAAAGTACTGGGGACCAGTGGGGCAAACTAGCCGATCACCGCAAAACTTGCGACGAAGGACGACATGCGTATTCTCAGCTTAATTCAGGACATTGTTCCTGGTTGCTATAAACAAAGAGCTCGCAGTTCCTTTGGCCTGGTGCCCGTCCTTCGGTTATGAAAGATCGACAGAAAGCTGCCGAAGCCGCTGTCTTCGACCAGACCGACTTACTCCCGAAGAAAGAGCTTTTGATTGTATTCAGCGCCTTAGCAGTATCGCTATTTATCTGTTTCGTCGACCAGAATGGAATTGGTGTGGCGCTCCCTACGATAGGCCGAGAACTGAATGCTGAGGCCACGGTCAGTTGGGCCGGAACGAGTGCGTTGATTGCGAACACCGTTTTTCAGGTATTGTACGGTCGTATGTCGGACCTGTTTGGTGAGTTCGGTCAAATCCAAATGGATTTACGATATCTGATGTGAGGCTTCAGGGAGAAAAGCTGTATTCATGTCAGCTCTAGGACTCTTGACTATCAGTGACTTGCTCTGCGGACTATCACAAAATGCAACAATGCTTTATGTTTTCCGAGGGCTGGCTGGTGTTGCAAATGGCGGCATCACGTCACTCGCCATGATGATCGTTTCGGACATCGTCACATTGAAAGAGCGAGGAAAATACCAGGGTATTCTAGGCTCCTGCGTTGGGCTCGGAAACATGGTCGGCCCATTTGCCGCCGCAGCGTTCGTACAGCATTCTACATGGAGAGGTCTCTTCTGGGTGATCAGTCCCCTTGCAGCAGTTTGTTGTGCTGTCTGCTACTTCACTCTCCCTGTGCCCAAAGTCGCGTCAAAACCAGACTACCGGGCTCTTTGCAAAAAGATCGACTACTGGGGCATTTTCGCGGGATCTGCGGCGATCATCTTGATACTCATTCCGGTGTCAGGAGGTGGAAGCTACTTTCCTTGGGACTCCGCAATGGTCATTTCGATGCTGGTCGTCGGCGGCTGTTGCATGCTGGCCTTCCTCTTTATTGAGTATCGGGTTGCGTTACTTCCTATGATGCCATGTGAGTCTAATGTCGCTGTGACGGCGAGCCAAGCTAACACAACTAGTGTCCCTGTTCACATCCGCACCGATATGCGTGATGCTCTTACAAAACTTCCTATTTGGCATCGTGTATTATTCACAACTTTACTACCTCCCTTTATTCTTCCAAAACGCACGTGAGATGCCTCCGATTCTCTCCGCCGCTCTGGTACTGCCAATCCCTTGCGCGCAGATGACAGCCTCTATCCTCTCGGGCCAGTACATATCGCGCCGAGAACGTTATGGAGAAGTCATCTGGTCTGGCTTCTTTCTCTGGACCCTTGGGATTGGCCTGACTTGCATGTTCGACCTGAACACGTCTATTGCAGCTATTGTTGTCATCCTTGTGCTGCAAGGTGTAGGCGTTGGTTTTGTCTTCCAACCTACACTTGTCGCTCTGCAAGCACACTGCACAAAGGCTCAACGCGCAGTCGTCATCTCAAACCGCAACTTTCTACGCAGCCTCGGAGGTGCAGTAGGTCTCGCCATATCTGCCGCAGTACTGCAAAATTCGCTCAAGAAAGCATTGCCGTCGGACTTTGTATCGCTTGCGCTCTCTACGTATGCAACACCGAATTTCAAGGCGCTTGGAGCGTCGCCTGCTCAGAAGCACGAGATTTTACTAGCTTATGCGCACGCAAGCCGAACAGTCTTCATTATGAACGTACCTTTCATCGGACTCTGCCTGCTTGGATGTCTGCTGATCAAGGATCGAGGGCTGCAGCGTCCAGATGAAACACAGCAGCCCTTTAAATCAGATGATCTTACTGAGGATCGAGAGGCGAACGAAAGTCAAGAAGAGAAGGGCGTGGTCACGGGTGGGGCTAAAGAGGAAACGTCAAATCCCGGCACATCGACTAGATGAGTATCAATGTCAGGTCGCCGATTAGCATTCTTGATGCATGTACATGTACATTCTCTGATTACTGCATGTCAGAGGGGTTTCATATGATAAGCGCCGATGGTGCTGTAGGACGTTGCTCATTCCCCACGTTCAGGCAACCACGAGCCTTAATCATCTTGCCTCTATCTAACTTATACATCGTAGTAGCTTCCTCCCTGTTATCATGCATCTCTTTGTTCTCCCACTAAATTTACATTAAATAAGCGGCCTTGAGAAGATCAATTTTTAGGATAAGACGGGATACTAACGCAATGCTTTCTTTAGGTACCTTTGGCTGCGACTCACTTTCTTCAGTATGCCAGCCATGACGAAGGGCAGGTCTCTTCAAGATGATACTGATGCAGCTTGGTACGACTTTGGGGCGCTTGCAGTTTCAATCTTATTCTGTTACGATTTGCCCAGAGCTTGCATCACTTGAAGCTACGTGATCCATCCAGTGAGCTCTCTAGCCATATCAAGAGCGCCAGGGTCCGCAAGATCCAAATGATCGAACAAGGAAAAGTCTGCTTGCGATTGAGCAGCGTAGCCGCCCCCCATTTGGCTCTCAGCGTGCTCCGATGCCCCTTGTAAAGCAGCCATAGTAGCTTCCACCAACACGTCAAACGTATCTCTGAAACGTCGGATCCATGGTGCGCGCTCACCCATGATCGATAGCACGCAGCTAGCAGCACGGATGTCGTTGCTTATGCCGATCGTCCATAGCCTGTCTTTTCCACGCCAAAGCACATATAATAAAGTGATACCAGAGACGAACGCCGTGTGCACGGCAATAAAACTGTGTCCGTATTCGGGTGCTTGATGAAATCGCTTGTGAATTTGACATATTTGGCCGGCAGCGATCGCGGCTTTGCGGAAAGGTTCACTACTGGGATCAAGTATCGCGAGGAAGGGCTGTAGCAGAAGTCGGACATTCCTGTAGTAGTGCAGCAAAACGCGGTCATGCTCGCAAGCTTGTAATGTTGGAAGAACATTGTTCCGCCAGGACTCCAGGTCATTCATGAGGCGGTGCATCTTAGGCAGTAGTGCAATAGTTGATTTGTCGACTCGGTAGACTTTGCGCTGTATCCGTGCTTCGAAGATGTGAAGCTGTGCGAGGAGGATGAACTGGCTCATATTGGTTGGTGGGAGAGCTTGTTGTTCTGGAATCGCGCTTGTCAATAGCGTCTCGGGAGAAACGTTGGCCAGCCGGTCGTCATCGTCAATGCTGGCAGGAAGCGGCTGATCGATATCAGAATCTGATAAGCTGACTGGGCGGCCTAGAGTACCGGCGAGAATACTTTCAAGGGAGTAGATAGACCAGAATAGCCGACGCCTTATCTGTGTTTCGAATGCAGGCAGCCCATGGGTGGACGCTGCACGGTGCAAACCGATGTCAGTCACTGTTCGCATTGCAAGGCCAGTCAGATGCCACAGGCCGTTCCGAGACTCGGACCTCAGGTGGTATAGGATGAGCAGAACCGTCGCTTCGAGGTTATGGACTGAGGACGCCTCCCGCACACTTGCTACGTGCTGCATTGCAAAAACGTAGAATTGCTCAGGAGAAGTGTCCCTGTAGTCTTCGGTGAGGCGAAGATTCAAAGCACCGATCGCGTAGACCATATACAGCACGAATAATGTAAATCCATCTGTTTCATACGCCACTGAGGAATATTGCGGCGTACTTCGGTCTGTATTTCTCGTTGCTGGTTTTCCAAGTGTATAGCGGCATCGATGAGCTTCCCATACATCGGAGCGGAAGAGAAAAGGAAACCGTGGGTGTATTCGACTTAGATACGCCTTGATCAGCTTCGCACCTAGTACTTCCGAAGGTGGTTCTGCTTTATTTGATTGGAGTTCCTGCAAGGTTATTCTTCTTGTAGACTGACCGCCTGTGAACCGCGCTTCTGCGCCATCACTGGCGATAGCAGGCACCCAAAGTGCTTTGTTCCAGGCTGTGGCTTGCACCATGCGTCCAAGATCCGTAGCTAGAGCATACCCTGAGGAGGAACCAACGTAAGAGGATGTCTCTGTGTTACCGCTTCCTAGCGAGAGTATACCGACTATATCAGCTACATTTTGCTGGATCTGGGGTGTTCGTGGTCCTGGGGTCTGAACTTGGGATGTTTGTTGACCACGTCCGGCTACCAATCGATGATCAGGAGGAGACGAGTAATTTGCTCCTGGTTCTTGGTCATAGTCTCTTCTCCCTGGATGTTGTTGGCGTTCTACCATTGTAAGGCGTGTCTCCAAATACGCGACCTGGTCTTCGAGTGCACGTGTATACGAGCTTCGTGGTAGGTCCTGTTGTGGTGGCCTACTACAAGTTGCACCCGATTTGGCGCAATTTGAGCATCGTGGATATTCGTTATCACACTAGCCCGAGTGATCAGAAATTGGCCAAGTGAACCCTACAACAGGGATTTTGTGGAACTCTTACTCGTTGCTTTCTCGTTTTGCATCTGTCGCAAGCCGTTCGTTGACGTTTTCGCGGATTCTCCTCGTCCAGGTCTGGTGAATGGGAAGCACACGAACTACCTGTGGTAGCGTTGTTCATCGCTGGCCTTACCTTCTACGAGCCGGGGCTTTGTACGATGGCCAGGACTCAAAGTGGGTGCAACAAGCATTTCTTCCATTACGCATCTTCTCTAGACAAGATGTCATATTATAGAGCAATCGCATCAGTGGGTACAGATTTCTTCGCGATCTTCGGCGATAAGGACGTACAGGGATCTACACCCCAAAGACGGGGGCGACGCTACGCTAGCTTATCGCACTACAATAAGGCCGCCTTTACAGTCTGGAGATGTGTGCTCAGGCGACACTTCAGAAGTTTAGCCGGTAGTCACTAGTTTTGGCAGGTAACATGCATGGTTGTAGGTCACTTTCATACCGATATGACTAATGTATCAAAGGCCAAGTCACTCAAGAAGCCTAACAGAGTGACCCTTCAAAGACGCCTCTGTCAAACTCGGGTACAAATGTGAATACATTGACAAACATTACGTCGGCGCCACTCACAATCACAGAGAGACAGTATTCCTGATATGTGAGTATCTCAATATAAAATGCTCATCGTGTTTACTGCCCTCCAGTCTTGGAGCCGGGGCGGTAAGGAAATGTCGAGCGGTAATGTTTCGCAATGTCTCTTCGTGTTGCGACCCAGACACCTTCCTTTTCTGATATGTATTGCATGAACTTTCGAAGGCCTTCTGAACGTCCAGGCTTGCCAGCAATTCGAGAATGAAGGGGTATCGTCATCATCTTGCCCCCTTCCCGGTAAAGACAATCAAATGTGTCCTTTAAGTACTCAAAGTAAGTGTTTCCGGCACTGCTGACGAAACCAGGGAGCATGTGAAATTTTCCATCGTTGCCTTCGCATTGTTAGTGATCTGAACAGCAGACTATGCACAGTCTGGTTACTCACAGTCGTAGTTATACGGAACCAGAAGCAGGCCTTCCTTCTCCTCGTCGGGTAATTCCTTTTCCCACGGGAGGTCTATCCAGTACGGCGAATCTTCGTTATACACTTCCGAAGTGTAAAGCATCTTATGGCCCATCTCCTTCCACATGATGGGCAGCAGATTTGCCGTATTCGGTGTACCGCGTCCGAAGTACGCGCCCACTAAACTGTCTGTCAGTATATGGCATAACTTGTGGAGGAACGACGTTACCCGGAAATTCCCCTAAATCGTGTCAGTATGTGGTGCTATTGAAGGGACAATCGATATTACCCGTTGCTGCCTCTAACGCTTGGCAAGTCTTCTTGATGTACGCCTTGTCTTCTTCTAAAGAATAATCCCAGATATCGAGCCATCTGTATCCGTGTGCGCCTATCTCATGGCCGTCTCTTACGCATGCTTTGGCAAAGGTAGGATTCCTTTCCATCGCTACGGCAATCGCCCAGAGAGTCATGTTCCATCCAAACTCTTTCATCAGACGATGTATGCGCCATGCACCACAGCGGCTACCATACTCAAAGTCTTGCTCACCGTTCAAGTGACGGTACTCTCTACCGCCACCTGATGGGCCCTTCTCCCAGAGATACTCCTCACTGGTCTTGTCTCCATCGAGAGGATTTCGTTCTCCGCCCTCTTCATAATTTAAAACAAAGGACACGGCAATCCGCGCACCATTTGGCCATTGTGCATCATGTCCAAATTCTCCAAATCCTGACGCACAATTAGCAAGGTGGTCCTAGTTGTCCCGGCTTTTGCACTTCACCTTCAAAGTCACGAGGCAGCTGCAAAGACTCTTCAACGTGGACCATGGTGATAAATCTCTTGAGTCTGGAGGAGCGTAAGATGACTTGAGGCACGATTTGGGTTGAATGTGGGAAGCGCGTCTGGACTCCTTTGGGTGCGTCTTATACGCATACGTAACGACCTCTTGATCCTCATCTTCATCACGCACTCCACACAGACGTTGCCTATCGCCTTCCCTAACAGCAATGACCAAGCACGATTGGGGAATGCCTTATCGGGATGTCGGGCAGTGGAAGTCTACATCCGACAGCCCCACTTACACCCTGCCACTACCAGTACTCCTTATCGCCTATCGCTCCGTCGGACCTCCGAATACACCTCCCGAAAAGGCTCCAATGATGCCTATCCCAGTGCGTCCGAAAACGCAAGGGAGCGACATGGTACGAAAGTGGAATACCGGGGCTACCGTCGGAGAAGCTATTGAGATGCGCGCAACAGCGGCAGTTCGGCGCGACAAGTGATGCCTAGATACAATAGTGCATCGTGGGACAGCCACTTTTTGTTCCAACATTCAAGGTGAAATCACATCTCTCGTACGATTGACAATCATGTCTGTGTTTTCTCTAGACGCTGCGCAAGGTAACCCGGTCACGTCCGAGACCGTGGACAAATTATGCTCGCAACTCGGAGTCAGTATACAGAATTCGGAGAAGGAGGCCTACACCCGCCTGTTGGCAGTCTTCCACGATGCTAGCGAGCAACTGATGGCGATGGATGGTACAGTAGCCCTTTTTTGACGATTTGCTATGCTCTACCAACAGTGAGATGCAGATTACGTCCCGCAAGTCGACCAAGAACGGTTTCCGAGGGAGAATATTCATTTTCCAGAGAAACTTGAGAACTCACACGGTGCCTGGGCATGGAGATGTCGTGTTGTAGACATTCACGCCAAGAGTGGGAAACTTAAGGGAAAGACTTTTGCCATCAAAGACAACGTTGCGGTCAAAGACGTGCCGATGCTCCTCGGAACCAACTTCATCAGGGGGTACATGCCAGATTGCGACGCAACAGTCGTTACACGAATTCTTGAAGCAGGAGGCGAGATCTCAGGCAAGGCCGTTTGTGAGAACATGTGTCACTCAGCCACGAGTCATTCATCCGGTACTGGTGTGGTAGAAAGTCCATTTGCAAAAGGCTACAGCTCGGGTGGTAGCTCGAGTGGTTCGGGTGTGCTCGTCGCCCTCGGTGAAGTCTGGGGTGCGATTGGTGCAGACCAGGGTGGGAGCATCCGCGTCCCAGCAGCCAATTGTGGTATCGTTGGAATGAAACCTACCTTTGGGCTTGTGCCATACACTGGTAGCGGAAGCAATGAGCCAACGAACGATCATCTAGGCCCCATGACTCGAACAGTATTGGATAATGCTCTATTTCTCGAAGCTATTGCTGGTAACGACAACGTTGATGACCGGTCTTTCGCCGCGCCGAGTCCGACCAAGATCCCGCAGTACAGCGCAGTCCAGACCTTGTCAGGCGATAAGCCGCTTTCAGGAAAGAAGTTCGCCATCATTACTGAGTCACTCTCAACACCGGCAACAGATCCTCGCGTTGTCGAAACTTTTAAGGCAGCAGCATCAAGATTCGAAGAGCTTGGCGCGACCATAGAAGAAGTGTCAATACCGATACATGCCAAAGGAGCAGCGATCTGGACGGGCATAAGCAAAGTGGGAGGCTTCCTTGCAAAGACCTCGGGTTCGTTTGGCCGGAGAGGTCACCAGATGCTCAGCCTCAACGCTCTTCTTCATCCAATGGCGCAGGAAAATTGGGATCAAGCCTACGTTTCGACGAAGAACATTTACCTGAACGGTCTGTACGCGGTGCAACATTTTCCATTACTTCTCGCGAAAGCCACGAATCTGTCCCGTCAGCTGCGAGATGCATACGATGCAGCACTCGATTCATACGATCTTCTTCTGACACCGACGCTACCCTACGTTGCTTCCAGCCATGCAGCGCCTGATGCTGCACCCCTTGAGCAAATCAAGAAGCAAGTCGGGCTGACGTCCAACACAGCGCCATTCAACCAGAGCGGCCATCCAGTGTTGGCAATTCCCATTGGATTGTTGCCGGTGGTTGAAGGACCAGGCGTGAAAGACAATATCAAGTTGCCGGTCAGTATGCAGATAATAGGGAAGTGGTGGGACGAGATGGCGATTTACGAGGCGGCTTTTGCATGGGAGAAGTCGAATGATTGGAAAATGATGTGAACAGTGTGCAGTACCGAAAGATAGTCGGTCGGTGCTAGGTCCAAGTATCAATATTTTCTTCAAAAGGTTTTCAAAATGCGTGTCGCAGCATCTCATACTCTCCGGTCATGATGCTGATTTAGACTAGCAGAACCAGCACAAGCGTGCCGTCGCAGAGCTATAGGGGCCCAGCAAAGGGCTAGAAGCAACCTTAGTAGTCGTACATATACTGCTAGGTCTTCTAGATCAATATGCGCAGGATGTGGGAGTGGTAACGCGCTCGTCCCGGCTAGTGGCAAGGTCGTCTGAGCAGCTCTAGTGTTTTCTTCCTCCAGACTTGGTGTCCAGGAACGCCCATAAGTCGCTCCAGCCACGGTTGTGGTTTCCGGAAGAACGCTCCCCACGCTGCAGAACTTATGGCTTTTTTTTGGTCCCAGGAAGAAGCACTCCATAACTTCTTTCGATCGAATAGTATGCTTGCCGGAGAACAACTCACCCGGGTTTCGCCGGGCCATTTCAAGTCGTCCGACACTCCATACTGGTCCAACTGGGGGATTGCAGTCTTCCCCAGGAGTCGGCTCATTCCGTTGACAGTCTCTTATTTTAGTCCTCGCGACAGAGGAAAGCGGAGATGTGAAGGACCCAATCTTGTGCGAAGAAAGGGATGCTTATATCCACGTCGTTCCGCCCGAGCAAGTCCGGATGACGGGCCGCGGGTGGGCGCGACAGCACAGGGCAGTGCGGCGATGAACAACATCATCACAACTCCAGACTCACGACCGCGCGATTGCAACAAAACACACATTCACTGTACAACAGGTCTCATTCCAATCCAATGACCAGACTATCGCACATATACTCCCACGCCTCCTCGACATGGTCGTCTTGCATCGTTCTCAATTCCAACTCCAACTCCAACTCCATTCCCGGACGCGTCCATACTCAGTACTCCGCCAACTTGAGCCTGCGCCCGATATTCCGCTTTATCACGTCGCGCTGGTCGTCGTTTGGCTCCTCGTCCTCCTTTGCCTTGAGCGCGCTCAGCAGCATGCCGGCGTCGAAGAAGCCATCTAGGAAACAGGAAAATCAGCCGTTGAACTTCGGACCAAGGAAAGCGTGTAGCGTAAAGCGGAATGCGCGTGTGTATGTGTATGTGCATGTGCAGAAAGGTGTAGGAAAATGATTTAAACGGGGTATATGTGATGTATGGGTCGTGTATATGGTGTATGACAACAGCATGTAGGAGATGAAAGACATTAAAATACGTCAAGAAGAAAAGGTGTTTGGATACAGCCGCCGTACGACCGCGCGCGTACACTTCCGCGTCCGGAACGTCTTAATCTGCGGACGCCGCGGAGAGCTCGCGTGCACAGTCATGAGCGGCTTGAAGGGGGGTGATTGGGGCGGGGTGAGCGGTGCAGCGGGGCGGAGCGTGATGGGGACAACGGGTCCTACTTTGGGGAACGAGCGAGAAGAAAAGGGAGTCCTACAGCCACCGAGACCATCGTCTTCGCTTTCTGTTGTATCTTCCTCGGGCGGCGCGGTTTGAGGCTTGCCGTCGCTGGTGATGATGCGGCCGCGACTCTTCACCCTTGAGGCCCTCGGTCGATGGTGGTCTTCTGCTTCACGGGCGCGCGAGACTGTCTTATCAGCTGAGGTGCCGCGGCGTTTCAACTGTCGGAGGAGTTTGCGGATTTCGATAAAGTATGCTTCGAGTGCATCGATGAATCGTGAAGTCTGTCTGTGCTTAGATGAGGCGCAAATCGAGATACTGCCGTCCTTGATGATGTATCCAATGCCGAAGCCCTCGCCTGAGGTAGGGCCAAAACCAAACTGCCGTAGCGAAGGGTTACCGCAATTGGATGTGGACAGGATCGTGTTATTGAGCTTGTCCCATCCGTTGTCGGCGAATAAGGCTGGCATTGAGTGTTGAACGGGAGCTGGTGGTGAGCTGCTTATCGAGCCAGTTTCCGAAAGCATGGACGAGCGTTTCGGCGACCCGACAGTGGAGTTGACCGCCTCTGGGCTCGAGGGTCGCGTCGAATCCCAGCCATCGCTACTTGCCATCTCGGCACCGTCTTCATCGATCGCTCGCTGCCAGATGCAGTACAAGGCGTACATGTGTCTGTCGGGACCTTGCGCCTTTGCGCAATCCTTAGTTGTCGCGGTGTGCTTCTGGCAAGCCTTTCGTAGAGCCTCAATTTTAGCGGCAGCCGGGTTCTCACCCCAAAACAGCTTTACAAACTCGGCGGATTCATCGGAGACGGCTCTTATCGCCTCTGTGCGGCCGTGGTAGAAGAACTTGGTCATAGCTGGCTCGTACACGCACTCCATCCTGCCGTAGAGACCATAGTATGCGGCTTGGAATGCCATTTGGACGAAGGCATCCGGGGAGAAGCCCATGGACGTCATGAAGTTTTTGCCGTAGTGTGGAAACTCCAACGTCGCGAACTCGTTTTGCTGGATCAGATCTGCTAGTCGCGTCTCAGCGAAACGCAGCGCGGTGCTGAGCTCTGGCACCATGTCCCATTCCAGCTTGTGAGGAGTTGTCTGAACATCGCCAAAGCTGTCAGGGTCCCGCTTGGCTGGATCGGGGCTGGTAGAGGCCCAAAGACTGGGTGCATTCCCATTGATGGTCCTCGCGAAACGGAGGATGGTGTCTGTGTAGACATCTGACGCGAATCGGAGCACAGTGTGGCCATCAACACCGGTGTGTTCGAAGTTGATACCGGCACTTCCATTCTTGCAGACGATGATCTGAAGCTTATCGTACCAGCGGTTCGTGCAGGTGCCGACCTGCACGCCCTGTTCCACTTTGCTTGAACCGCAGAGCATGTTCATGCAAAGATCTGCACCGGTCTGCGGCTCAGTGTAATCAAGGCATAGAATGAAGAGCGCAGAATCGACAATATTGAGGCAATCCGAGTTGTTCGAGCCTTCTTCCCGATGCAGCACATCTCTCAGGCCTGACCACACCTTGCGGTTCTCGGTACTGAGCACGCCCAGCGCGCCTTTCGCGGCCTCGCGGATGGGTATCTGGGAGGCGTCGTCAACAATGGAGGCCAAATTAAGTGAAATGTCTTTCTCGGTCATGATAAGGTCAGAGTTATCGTCCAGCACATCGAACCAATAGAATTGGCCGTGACAGAGAACGACAACATGCTTAGAGGTGGGGTCCTGACCGATCTGGCAACCGTTCTCGGTGGGTATCCTGGCAGTACCGAATAGCCTCGAGTACTGGTACATGCAAAGAGGTTGGCCGCGGACGGTATCAGGTGGAAGCTCTTCTCTCCGGACTGCGCGTACGAAGGAAAGTGCCGAGACTACTAAGGAAGCTGCACGGGTGACTTGATTGTTGCGAGCCGGGGTGGGATCGTCCTCCAGTAGGAAAAAAGGATTTAGATTGAGCACCACCGGATTGTCAAAATTTAAGTACGAATCGTACCCTAATAACGGAAAGTCAGCAAGTGCTCGCTATCTGCATGGTCTGCTGTGAGATTACACCGGTTTGGAACATGTTGAGATCTTCAGACGGGAATGTGCACGATATGTCGCGAAGACCTGGGATACTCACAAAATTGCTCAATATAATTGGCTTTGCCGTTGGCGTACTTCTTCAACTTGTCCTGTAGTAATGGACCATCTGATTTGATGAAATCTTGTACGGCGTGAATAGTGTCGTGGTGCTCCTTGGGCGTCTGTAGTGGTTTGAGGGCGGCGAGGTACTTCTTGCACGAACTGTCGAGCTCAGGGATGGGGAGCTTGGGCAGCTTGTCTTGGTGGGCGAAGGTGATGCCAGGTCGTGAGTTTGGGATCGTATGATGGCCTAGTGGGTTTCGTGCTTCAGACGGAAAGGAAGCCTGACTCTCCTTTGCGGAAGCTTCGGAACGGACAGAGCCGTTGATCTCAGAGGACGACATGGTAAGGGTGTGTGTTGCCAAAGTGCCGTTGAGCGAGGCAGGTTGGGTAAAGGTGCGGGCTGCCATGGCCGAAGAGGTTAGTTAGGCGTAAAGCGGCGAGATGGAGGTGCTGATGGAGAGTAACCGCAAAGCGGTACGGTAAAAGTAGTGGCAATCCTCGTGACAGTAGGCCGGCATCGAGGTGCTGGGTGTCGGTGGGCAGACCAGACTCGTCGCTGTACGCGGACAGTTGCAGTCTTATATGGGGATGGACGAAAGGGGAAAGTAACAGCGGGATGATGGTCTGAGCAAGGCATGTGAAATACATTTGCGGCCGACTTACTAGTGTAGTAGTTTGGTAAGCCGACGCGGGCTACAGGCGGGCTGTATCCGCAGTCGACGTGATGTCGGGGCTGGCCTGCGGCTGGTCAACGTGATCTCCACTCACCTGTCAGTAGACGCAACGATGTGACTCGCTGTCGGAGGGCGTGAGAATGGGAAAGCGGAAAAGCACAGCCGTCCGTTTGGTCGGGCAGAGCGCGATTAGACAATCTCGGCCAAGAGGATACGGTTACAGCAGTGTGAAGCGCCGAGGTGCTGCGAGCTGGGTGGCGGAGAGCTCTCAGTTGCTGCGGGCGGGCGGAAGTACTACAGTAGGGCAGCCGCTCGAGCAAACGGCGTCCGAGGGCGGGCCAGACGCCGGCTAATTGGGCGCGATGGATGGCTGGGACGAGCAGAGCTGGCGTCACGGGCAGAGAGTCAGTTTCAGAGCGGTGGCAGCGACAATGCGCATGCGGCCATTGTCTGTCTGGCGCGGGGCAGCGGTTCGAGTCGAGCATCACAAGGCTTGGGCAGCGCGGGCTGGCAGGCAGGCCGGCCCCCAAGCACAGCGACCAAGCGAACGTGCGGGGCACTTGCGCTGGGCACGAGTGACGTCCGCGGGGGAAAGGAACAGCAGCGATGCCCAGACGAGACGAGCAACCCGCGCGTTAGTCAGCGCCGTTCGCGTCTACCGTCGCAGCGCCGTTGCTAGCGCCGCGCTCGACCTGGAACTGGGCATCGCAAATCGCGTCTGCCCATGTCTCGCCGCAGAGCCGCTGCGCCCACAGCATGACGCCGGGCCCCGACCACGACCCATGGCGGACCTGCTTCACGTGCTCCCCGACTTCGACACGTCCAAGTTCCAGCACCTGCTGCCCTCGCTCGACAAGGCCCTGGTCTCGACAACCGACCTCGTCACCCTCGCGCCCGCCCATGTAGCAAAGCGCGCCCAGGTCCCCGCCGGCGAGCTGCGCAAGCTGGTCGACGCCCTGGTGCCTGCCCTGCACCGGCACCTCGGATTCGGCGCAGAGGAACCGCGCAGCACCGCCTTTCTGGCTGCTTCTGGCCATGCATCCGCTGCCCTCGCTATAAGCACCCTGGACGACGAGCTCGACCAAGCCCTGCTAGGCGGCATCCGTCCTGGATACCTCGTCGAGGTCACTGGCGAAAGGTACCGCCTTCATATAGCCTATCTGCACCCTTCACGCGCTGACCAGCTCCAGTGGTGCCGGCAAAACGCAGTTGCTCCTTACGCTCTTGCTTGCAGCCCAGCTCCCTGCGCCCCGCGGCCTGTCCAAGTCGGCAGTCTACATCTCGACTGAGGCGCCCCTGGCTACCAATCGCCTCACCCAGCTGCTCGCCGCACACCCACGGCTCGCCTCGCTATCGCCCAAAGAGAAGCCTTCGTTATCGCGCATCCTGAGCATCCAGACGCCCGACCTCGAGTCCCAGGAGCACATACTGCGCTACCAACTACCGGTGGCCATCAAGAAGCACAATGTGGGTCTCGTTGTGCTCGACTCGGTGGCCGCCAACTACCGCGCCGAGTTTGAGAAGCCGGGCGGGAGGGACGGCGCAGCTTCCATGGCCAAGAGAGGCACCCAGCTGGTGCAGCTGGGAGCCCTGCTGCGCGGCCTGGCTCGCACAGAAGGAATCGCGGTAGTCGTCGCGAACCAGGTTGCTGATCGATTCACTCGCCCCGCGAACATTGTTTCCAACCCACCCTCTCGGACTAGTAGTCAGAACCACGCTGGAAACGACCGACAGAATACGCCGCAGTCGCTGGCCAATCAGCGCTCCCACTCAATCCCAGCTTCGCAGGAAGACCGAATCGTGCTGTCGCCGGATCCCTTGGCGCTCGACCATCAGCAATGCTGGTTCACAGGCTGGGGCGATATCCGCGCGGACCCGTCGCATACACTGAAGACGCCGTCGCTCGGCATCATCTGGACGAACCAGATCGCCTGTCGCATTGCCCTGAACAAGCGGCCTGTTATATCGAGCCGACCGTGGGTCATCTCACGCGATCCTCAGGACATTGGAAATGAGGACGATACCCACATCTCCAGGTGGCGCCGATGGTTCAAGGTTGTCTTTGCGCCTTGGGCTCCGCCTTCCGAGGGTCGAGGTGTGGAGTATGAGGTAGCGAGCAGTGGGATTCGTCATGTAGAAAAGGACAAGTAAACAAGTGAATCCAAGTCGTCTATTGCATGCTTCGTGCGTGATGTGGCTTGGAATCTTTAGTTCGCGGAACAGCCCAAGCGAAGTACGATAACCATGCTGTCGAGTGACAACGCTGACTTGAAGAATTGCAACCGCTCATCCACCCCTACCCAACACCTCCCCAACGCCCAACACCCCGGTCTGCCTATACCGCACTATTCGACCCCCTTACTCATCCGCAAACACAAACCTCCCACCCCTCCTCATCGCCTCCAAATACCTCTCCCTCACCTCTACCAACCCCATCTGCACCGCCTTCTCCCGATCCTCCCTCTCCTCCTGCGTACTCGGAAAATCCACGCGCCAAAACCCCGGCGGCGTCTTCCTGCCCTCATACGTCCTCCTATGCTTCCCGTGCTCCTTGGCCATCTGCCGCGTGCGCGCCTGCGTGACAATCTCCTCGCGCTCGGCAGCGTCCATCTGCGTGAGCCCAAAGGACGAGTATGCGTCGCCGAGGTAGTCCTGTAATAAGGCTTCTTCCTGAGAAGAAGAGAGGGGTGGTAGCGCGAGCGCCAACGCGCGGAATGTGGAGCCGCAGCAGGACGGCTTAGTGCAGCCGGGGAGGCAGAGGCGGTCTTCGCGGCGGCGGACGGTGTCGGTGAAGGCGTGCGTATAGCCACCGTTGTACGCCGGGTTGGGCTTGAAGTCTTGGAGGCGGAGCTCGGAGAGAGCTTTGTCGCGGAGGCGGGTGCGCGGAGTGGAAGGCTTGGAGATGGAGGCGTTTGGGGTTTTGCGGGCTTCGAGGGCGGACATGCGCCAAACGGGCCGGCCGTCTGGGACGAGTTCGGGGCGTGGGGCGGCTTCGAGGGCGCCACGTCGGGCTGGTCGAGCGGAAGGGGTGTGGGCGGGATGGTTTGAGGTGGATGGTGGTGTGGGTACGTGTGCAGCCGGTGTTTTTGCTGGTGCCGTCTTGGGCGTTGTGAGCGTGGTCTTCATGGGAAATGGGCCGCTCTTAGCAGCTCTTATGCGCTCATTGAAGTGTGCCCGTGCCAGGTTCGGTGGGAGTCGCTTCTTCCGTTCGTTAGAAGGCGGCGGTTCTTCTCCTAATTCTGCAAGGATATTGAACTCGGCTTCCTTTCGTGCTTCCTCTCTCCTCACGCGCTTATCAGGCGTGGCTTCGTTTGCTCTGCCAGCCACTACGTTGGGATCTATCGGTTGCAGCACTTCTCGAGGCTCTGTGATACCGTGTCCGGGTTCGCTCACGGCTCTGGCGTCCTCCAATGCAACCGTCAGGCGAGGGCTGAGCCCAGCGTCTGACATATGTACGTCTTCCATAGGTTCCGGCTTGACCGGGTTGTCGACGAAAGGAGCGCTGCTCGATCTCTGGCCACGCAGTGTTCCGGTCTTGTTCGAATGTTGGGAGTCTAGCCTTCTCAGTCTCTGACGCCGCGGGGTCATGATAGGATTCGGGCCCAACTCGTCGAGGTCCATGGTCTCTTTGCGTAGAAGCTGATGGGCGGTATCAGGCGGAGGACTACTGTGCAGCTCTGCTTTGACACGCACAGGCTTTGCCGGTGTGCCATCCGAGGAGTCGTCATGAAACACTGTGAACCCTGTCGACGGCTTTCGCTTGCGTTTGAGCGAGCGTTCGGACACAATTTCAGGTTCGTCGTCATCCATCGGGGCATTCGCTCGAGGAGTCATCCCATCCTCCGGCTCCGAAACTTCGGGAACTGTAGTTTGGCTCGAAGTAATCTTTTCTGAGTTAAGCTGGCCTAAAAATGTGGCTCTGTTATTCTTCGGGCCTGAGATGGCGTCTGCATGGCCCGTTGCCACGGGAGGTAAGGGAGACGAACGTCCACCGGGTCTACCGCGGTCCTCAGCATCTTCACGCTCATTTCGTTCATTTACGTCTGCCTCGGCTCGAACATCCTCGTGCACTTCATTGAACAAGTACATCGTAAGTGGAGGCGGTGGGACCGTGGCATCCGAGGGATCAATCATTGGGGCCGGAGAGGAACGATCTTGAGGCATGAGTGATTGCGGTGTACTCATAACGGCTGCTCCTGGGCTTGATGGGATATGTGGCAATGGTGCTGGAGTTTCTATCGCAAGATTACTCTTCGGTTGTACTTTTGGAGCTTTCGGCTCTGACTTCGCCTTCTTCTTCTCGATGTGTCGGTCGCAATACTCTTGCCAGGCTTTCACACTGTCCTTCATCTCTTTGTTCTTCTGCATGACGGATACGTTCTTTCGCTCTAGATACTTAATCCTTTGGACTGCATCATGGTATCGCTTGTTTAGCTCGTCAAGCTTCTCAGTGACCTGGCGATACTCTCCGACCGGAATTGTGGTGTCCTCCGTGCTAGTAGCCAACTCTTCCGCTGACAGGGTGTTGCCGCGAGTTTTTCGCAGTAGAGTCTTGAGTCGCGCATTCTCTTCTACCAGTTGGGCCTTCTCAACCACGCCGTTGCTAATATGATTGTCGAGATATCGGAGTCTATCATCTTCTACATTGGAGGTGAGTATTCGATCTTTCCGCTTTCCTCGAATGACATACTCTTCTTTGACTCGGCATCATGAATTTCAATCCCTGCAGAAATTAGGTCTCGATTATTCGACGTGAACCAAGGACGCGTACGCTTCTTCCACTCCTTCTCCAGATCTGGCGCGATGACCTCATCATAGACACGCGCCCATAGCGCTTTGTTGTTCTCTGCCCATGCGCTAAAGTCCATGCCAGTGGTCATTGTACTGCCGCAGTAGACAGCGTAGTATTCATCGGAATATTAGCGGGATAAGACCCAAGGCGGCGGGGGCGTATTGAGCTGTCTGCCTGGTCCGTGGAATGGACGCGTCGCGCAGTCACGAGAAGCTTGGCACCGCCACCTTGCACGAGCCAGCACCATCCTTACTCCGATACGACTCGTGTGGGGCGAATTCCTGGGAACCCCACGAAACCAGGACACCATGAAGCGGGCGCGAGAGTACGACGGCCATAGCGAGCTACCTGCAAAGGCGCGCAGGCTATCAAAAGTTGACAGGTTTTCCAAGCTGCCGAACGAGTTGCTCATTCGCATCTTGACATTTGTTCCGGTGCCGTCGCTACTTCTATGCCAGAGGTTCGTACATACCTAAACCCAACTGCAATGCCGGATATTTACTGATACAATTTCTAGGCTCTCCAAGAAATTTCAACGTCTCGCCGTTGACTCGGAGCTGTGGAAAGCTGCCTATTACAAGAATTTTGTGTTGCCACGGGCGTCGCGCATACCAGGAATTAGAGATACGACCGCCACTTCAGATCAGCTGCGTTATTCTTCGAGGTTATCCAAATGGCTGGATGACGGGCATCTTGTGAAGAATGGGAGGAAGACAAATTGGAAGCAACAATACCGACTGAGGCATAACTGGGCGCAAGGGCAATGCGCCGTCAGCGAAATCGTGGTTGCTGAACGACCGCCGGAACCACCCTTGCTAGTCATGATGTCGCATGGGACAATCTTCACCGCCGACTCTATTTCAGGTCTTCGTGCATGGAGCACTACCCACGAACGAGACCTTATTGCATCTGCAGCTCTGACCAGCAGCACAGGGGTCCCGCAACTTCCGACATCGATGGCGATAGAGACATCTGACAGTGAAACGGGGAATGAAAGAGTAGTTGTGGGTTTTGACAACGGCGTGTTCATCGTGTATGAACTTCGGAAAGATCAGAGAGCCTTCACGGCTCTCTTTGAGCATGCGCCGTCGACCAATGGGATGCTGTCCGCCTTGGCATATTCGTCGCCCTATCTACTCACCATGACCGAGGATCAGTTGCTCTCTATCTATGTTTTCTTGGACTTTCAAAAACCGAGCGTCCCATTGGACGCGCCGAGATTGCTGTACTCATTAAGATCCCACACAGTATGGCCGCCTGTGTCCCTCTCTATCCGCACAGCGGCGACAAGTGTGACTGCTGCCATCGCCTATGCCTTACCAACCTATCTTTCTGGCTGGACCGTGGGCCTTCAAGAGATGCGATTGTCACTTGATGGTAAACTATTGGAGTCTCGACTGGCAACAGCAGCGGACCAGAATTACCAAACACTTTCTGGACAACGTTCCATGTCCTCACCTTCGACCCGCGCATCGTCGCCTTTTCCAGGCAGATCTCGTGAGCCGACATTGGCTCACATGCCCAGTAACTCTAAACCAACGTCAATGTCATACACACATCCATATCTACTAGTGGCACATCCAGACAATACGCTCTCACTATACCTTGTCAAGTCCAATGCATCTTCGCTCTCGATAGGTCCTGGAAGTCGTCTTTGGGGACACACATCCTCTGTGTCAGGCGCACATGTGGGTATGCGCGGTAAAGCTGTCTCGGTCAGTCGCTTGGGCGATGAACTTAGGGTGTGGGACCTCGAAGGAGGAATGGCGTCCTCTGCAAATCGAAGGCGGTCAAGAAACGGCGAGTTGAGTGTCCGGGTTCAACCTTCAAAAGGTCTCGAGCCGAGTAGTGACAGCGCTGAAGAGAAGGCAACACAGGGAGTGGGCCTTCGATTCGCACTTCAGCAGCGGTTTGATGACTCGGCGGTAAGCAGAGGCTGGGTTGGGTTTGATGAGCAGAACGTGATAGTATTGCGCGAGAAGGGCGAGGGCAGTCAAGCACTCGTAGTCTACGACTTCACGTGAGGACAGGACTACCTAGTTAGAACCAAACTTTTAAGTACTCTTGGCCTACGCATTGTATACCCCGGGATAACACGCTGTACTCCGACTTTTGGCCTAGGTCTGTAGTTTTGGATGCAATCAACGATTCGCACAATCAGAAGTGTGGCCTACGAGATTTGTTGAAATCCTCGTGCAAGTGAACCGCCATCTTGAGCCTCTTCGTATTCCGGCGTTGTTGCACTCGCACAGCAATTCGGGCCGCATTAGCCGGGACGTTGGGTGGCGGGGCATTGGGTTGCACGAGGCTTTCTGCATGTTGCCTAGCCGCATCGGTAACAGCCCTAGGATCTGCATACTGCTGTGAGGGGGCGGGACATTCTGCAAGACAGAGTTTGCGGCAAACAAGAGGAATCGTATCACATATATCTAACAATAATGAGGCAGTTTATAGACCATGGAGCAATCCATTGTCGAATACGTCTATGCGTATCGCCGCTACAAACTGTGTTTGCCGCGGTAAAGCCTGGAGGTTCTTATTCACCGCGTTCCAAGAAACCAGCGCTACTTCCGAACCAGGCTAGCCGAAAAGCTCACTTTTCGACGCACTGTAAATTTCGTCCCCTCTGTCCCCCTCCACCACAAACTACCTCGCGCTTTTACGAATCAATTGGTGGTTCTTCTTCTCAGGCACGAAAGTTAGAGACGTTAGTTGCGACATACACCCTCTCTTTTACTATACCATATACCCCGCCTTTCACAGGTTAGTATGCACGTCGCCGCGTAGTCGCCCATCAGGTACTCACACACGCCAGGTTTACCACATAATCCACCTCAAAATGGAATTCCAAGCTCAATCCGGAGGCGCTGGTGGCCGTGGCTGCTACAACTGTGAGTTGCGCCCTCTTTTCACCCCGCACTTCCTCCCGTCTGTCAGTTTGCATTTGCACTGCGGATTTTTTCTCGCGGACGTCATGGGTTTACGATTCGGCACACGATCCCTTTCGGCAACATCATGTGACACAACCATTTGAACCGAGCGCAGTATCTCGTTTCGCCACGAGCTGCATAGTCGCATTGCGGCGGCGCACAACCCCCGCCATAAGCATTGGCTGATTTAGTAGGCGGCGACCCTGCCCACCGTGCGGCCGACTGCCCCTCCAAGGGCAACCCTACCTGCTACAACTGCGGTGACAAGGGCCACTTGAGCCGCGAGTGCACCGCTCCCCAGGCTGAGAAGAGCTGCTACCGCTGCGGCGAGACCGGCCACATCAGCCGTGAGTGCACAAAGGACGGCGCTGCTCCCATGGGAGGCCAGGGCGGCGGCCAGGAGTGCTACAAGTGCGGCCAGCGGGGTCACATCGCTAGAAACTGCACTCAGGGTGGTGCTCCCGGCGGCTTCGGCGGCGGATACCAGCGTGGAGGATACGGTGGCGGCGCTCAGGGCGGCTATGGCGGTCCCAGGCAGACCACATGCTACTCGTGCGGTGGTTTCGGCCATATGAGCCGTGACTGCACCCAGGGCCAGAAGTGCTACAACTGTCAGTAACAACTTATCCAGACCGCTGGATCATCGAGCTAACACATTACCAGGCGGTGAGGTCGGCCACTTGTCGCGCGACTGCCCCTCCGAGACCACCTCCGAGCGTGTCTGCTACCGCTGCAAGCAGCCCGGCCACGTCCAGAACGCCTGCCCCAACTAGATTCCTGATCGAGTGCTCGGCCCGGAACTGATTCGCATCACGACGACTGTTATGTCCACGACCACTGGATCCGGCGTTTCGTCTAGTTAACGAGCTCGACACATTACGATTTTCTTTCCTTGTACATGTTCTCATTTGACGCGGCTGACACGCCGTCTTTCGACCCTTGCGCACGAAAAAGCATCATTCATCGCCCGGCATAATTTGATACGGTTCTTGACCGGCTGGCCCAATCGTCAAGAGGAAGGTTTGAACGGAAACGTCGTCACGAACTGGAAAGATTTTGCATTGGTGGAAAACGAAATGGGGAGGAACGGATTCTGAAAGCAGAGCTACGTGGAGTGGGTTGATGTTATCTTGATTCAATGCGAATGCTCTCATCGAAGGCAAATGTTTGGTGGGGGCAGACGGTCGGTCACGCAGGAATTGGAATTGAAGATCCTGTCCGCTCATGTTGGATATGGACTCGCGTCACACTTATCGTTCCTATGCACTGGTGATTGTTGTACTAATGAGTGGTTGTTGCGTGGGTTCGTGAACTTCACCTCCAGTACAGGTCAGTCAAAGTGAGAAGCGGGCACCTACGCGCCTTACTTGGCAACTCGACACTCTACTCACACCCGACGCCAACCATGGCTGATCCCGCCCGGGATTGCTTCCTTGCGCACCAGATCAGCGTTATACAAAGCTGCAGCATCTGTCGAGACGACTCAACAACGGCGACCACGTCTTTGGTAATAGCTGTCTGAGGAAGTATATGTTCAATCCGGATCCGACGTGGGTGGGTCTTAGCGGGAAGCAAGGTTTGTGCCCGCTAAGTCTACTCTGTCTTAACTTGCACTGACTTGTATCCGTACTTCAAGTTTGAAATCGAGGTGCCAGGCGCGAACAAGTGCCCGCTGTGCCGCAAGACGTTGTTCGTCCTGAAGAATGAAGGGTATGAGAACGAGACGAGGATTCAGAACCTGAGGTCTACCATGATGACGACCTTAATGCTGTTCAAGTTGACGATGAGGATTCCATATCGGACGACGAAGTCCTGGTTCTTAGGCACAACCGACTTAGAGGATCACCCTTCTGGAAAAGGATGAGACGCAAAAACCACTTTGTGGAGCCCGAGTGCGGTGACAGTGATGCCGTGCCCTCGGACGATGAGGATGAGACTGATGAGATGAGAGTCGATACGGACGATCAAGTGATCGGCCTCACCCGCACCCGCAACGATGAAGAAAGCGATCCCGGCGAAAGAATAAGTCCCGAGTATAGGCGCGCAGAGGAAGTGTTACTACCAAAACGTAAGCCGGTGTTTTGTCTGAGTACTAGGGCAGACGAATATCAATCCAATAACTGCGGTTCTTTGAGTCATTGGCCAGCGTCACGAAGCTTGTTGTTATATCTCACCTCGATATCAACCGTAGTGTGAGCGATTCACATACCGAACTGTCGAGTTGAGCTTCTCTAGGCCGGGATGGCCCACTGGTTCAGCTGACCTTGAGGGGAAATATCTTGCTGTCTAGAATTCAATGCGTAGCATTGTCTACCCTGCCGACTTGCATAGTGGACAGCTGATTCACGTCTTGGATGTGAACATCTGTACGATTGAGCGCGTGTGAATATGAGCTTGATGTGAAAACCACAAACGTTCGCATCTCATGCTTCAAGTGTTGGCTTGAGCATATAGATGCAGAAAACCCTTCCTTGCTAGCACATCATCTATGGACAGCATATTCTAACTCGATAACACATCCCAATCAAGAACACAACTCTCAACCCCGCTCTAACCGGTTCACATACCACACTAGCCATGGACGGCAGCCTTCCCACCCAGGCTGAGTCTCTCGCAGACTTCCATAATAAAATACAGCGTATACCTTACGGCTGCTCCTGCGGTAAACCTTGGGGTAGAAACCCCCCCTACTAGGCTTCTGGGCTGTAATCATGTCTTTGGCGAGGACAGTATCTGGGTTTGGTACGTAAAGTGTTTTTGATACCATCCGCAGCTTGATTGCTGTATCTGGATAACTCCAGCCCAGCTTGGCATTATTTGTTAACCCTCAGTTTTAGGGTCAACACCGGAGATGAAGACGCGCATATGTGCCCAGCATGCCCCAGCGGCTGTTGATCCCAGACATTCTCAAGAGGGAAACGGTGAGGATGGGGAAATGGAGAAGGAAGACGGCTCTTAAACGTCATGTGAACGACCCACTTGCGGAAAGTGTCTGGTTTGTTCTAGCAGAGCGTGACTTCCTACTCAACTGGTGGCACTGTGGGAAGTCCCCGTGCATTTCGATCTTCAAAGTTTGATCCTTTGTATCCCAGAAGTAGACCATCAATTCAAGGATACCCCGCGCTCGTTATAATAGACTAACAATGGGACAGCGTGACAGGTCGCTGACATCGTAACGGTGGCATCGACGGGAGCCGCCATACGAATATGCTATCCATATCAATACAGGATGCCTCCTCCAAACAAATACAATGGCGGAGATTCCTTGTTATAACCTCAAAGTACTCTTTTGCCCCTAGAACCATATTGTCCCAACTCCTGTAAGAATGTCCACAGATTCCTATACTCGACGACTTCTCTTCTATTCATCCACCTCTGCCCCATCCTTCTCCTCATCTGCCGCAAACTTTGCCATCTTCTTCGCCTCGATCTCTTGTCTTTTCTCCTCCGCCCCTTGATTTGCCAGACGGTCCGCCGCTTCATTGCCCGTATTCCCATTATGCGCCTTCACCCACACAATATGCGTCTTCGCTTTCGCCATTTCCCGCTCCCGTATACGAGTAAGTATCGGCTCGATGAGATCTCTGTTCTCGACCGGTCTACCCGCCGAATTCTTCCAGCCTTTTGCTTCCCAACTTTGGAACCACTCGGTCAGGCACTTCATGGAGTAGTGGGAGTCGGTGTAGATGCGGGCTTCGCGGTCGATAGGGACGATATCGATGGCGCGGGCGATGGCCGTGAGCTCGGCGCGTTGATTGGTTTGCCGCTCGCCGGGCAGGGGACCGTGATCGTTTCTGTGGGAATGTTAGCGGTACTGTAGCATCGAGTGAGGGAGAGCCTACCTGGGATCATTGGGTCCGAACCAGATGCCGAAGCCGGCGTATGCACCGAGCTGGCCGTTTCCCTTAGATGCGCCGTCGGTATATACCTCGAGGACGCCCTCGAAGTCGCCGGTGGGCTGGAATTTTCGCAGGCTAAGCTCCTCTTGTGTCTTGTACTCTATCTCAGGGCCATCCGGTCGCCCGTGCTTGATCCTCCTGTCGAAGCCGTCCTCAGCGTCTGGTGGGAGAGGCCCTGTACCAGGTTCGTAGTCGCCATTGGTCGCAGTTGGTACCGCGAAGCCATCGTTCTGTTTCTGTTTCTTCGTGCTCTTCCGCGATTCGACTTCGGACGGTGTTGTTGAGTCGACATGGCCGTTAAGGCTGATTGGCGTGCTGGTAGTGTGTGAGGATGCGCCGCCTTGTTGCGCCTCGCTCACGAAGGCTTGTGCTTCCTCCCACGTGTCAAAGCGCTTTTGTTTGGCGCCCTTAAAGCCGGTGACTTGCTCCAGAACCGCAGGCCAATCCATATACACTCCTGGTGTGTGACCGACCTGCACTCCGTAGTATTTCGATTTTCCAGATTTTTGAGCGCCAACACTCTCGCCTTTCATGAATTCCTCCGCTTCTGTAAGCATAGTGAATTTCTTGAACACGGGGTTCTTGAACCCAGAAGTTTGTTGTTTGGCATCGTCCCAGCTTTGGTATATCCCTGGCGTGAACCCGGCCTTGACAGCGTAGAATGCGGGTGCTGTCCTCTTGTGCTTGGAGCCCGACGAAGCTGACGAACCACCCGCCATTGTGTCTTCGCCTTTTTCTAAGTCGTGCGGAAACGTGATATCGACTATGGGTCGCGCGTCTTCGGAGAAGGAGCGGGTGTACAGTGGGCTAAGGTATGAGACTGTTTGGGGTTTACTTCTCGTGAAATGATATACGTGGCGGGACGAACAATCGCGGGGCTTTGCGGACCTAGAATGTTCAGTCTGATGCCAGGCGGTGGGCTTGCTGAGCGCCGTTGGTGAAGGTGAAGGTGGACGTACCAAAGCGACTCTTGCAGCGCAGCGCAGAGAAGCTGTCGATGAGCAGGAATCCGCTTGAGCAAAGCTCGCATAGGAATGCGAAGATAAAAGAAGAGATGGCGACGCGGGAGGTGCGGGAGGTGGGTTTATCGGACGCGGAGACAAGTGAGGGGTTTACTGGGTTCATGTGGGAGCAACCCAGGGAAGGGCAGAGGAGAGGGGGTGGGTGGGGGGAGCTCCCGGAAACATAGCTTGCGCCCGGGCCAGGGGCACTGTGAGCTGGGGAGCAGCATTGTTTCGACAATCTTGCAATGCAAAAACAATTGGCGTCAGCGAAAGCAGAGTGAATGGTGCGCAAGTGCAGCTATTCACCATGGCTTGTTCGTGGGGCCAACGACGTGAAGGTGAACGTAGGGCGGCATTTCGGGAAAGCGCGACCGGCGCCATCCCGACCAACGATGAACATCTCCACGGCTCGTTCCTCACACCACCTAGCACCCCATAACTACGTACCCCGCGCATCCTGTGGGACTTGGACGTACTGCACTTGCCAACGCCCACTTTGAACACATCCCGCTGTCTACAGTGTCAGAACCATAGGTGTACATATCGACGGCCTGATACGCCTACGTCTACCGAAGTACCGAGGATGTTCGAGGTGCGAAACCTCATGTTGATGCCGCCAAAGACACATACCCTACTAACTTCATAAAGGGACGCCACACTGCAGATAGGTACAATCTGCGGTTGCACCGAGCTCGCTCCGTGGTGCTTTCCGGGCCCGAGCTGGTCGAGATTCGCGCGGCTCAAAGGACCTTCGAGGGAGCCTACATCCGCACGGCATTGGGTCAGTTCTCCTTTGCACTTATTGTGCTCAAGATCTTTACCGCCGAGTTCTACTCGATAGGTGCCTTGTTTGCCGTATATGGCGCGGGCATACTGTTCACAAGCCTGTTTCGTCGCCAGCAAGGTAAAGAAGACAGCAACGTAACCACAAACAGAGATGCTGACAGCGCACAGGCAACAAACAGTTCTTCTCCGAAGTAGGCGAAGATGGACTGCAACGCAAGAAATTCAGGACGAGCGGCAACGTCGTGTCCGTTCTGACTGCGCTTAGCATGGCAGCATACATCTGCCTGATGGTGCTCACCCTGAGGTTGGACACGTAATCTCGAATTACATGCAATGCCCAGAGGATCCCCACCAGCGTGATTCCATTTCGTGCCTCGCGCAAGAGGCAGCACGCTATCGCTCCACAGCGAAGCATCATACCTAGCCTCGTCCTCAAGTCATCTGCCGGTCCTCCAAGCAAACCGACGCTGCGGACTGCCATCTACTTCATGCCTGGATTGTCTGTGAGGTAGCCGTGGCCTCCATCCAGATTGCACGCCAAGGGCTTGGTCGTAGTACCTCTACATTTCTGACGTTGGTCAATCGTGTTAGAAGGGCCGATCCATTGCCAATCCGCTTGAGGAATGCATCGCTGCCGTGCGAGGACGTTCGGAAAAATGGGCGATGACCGATGAGCTCTCAGCAGTCGTGAGAGCACTCGAAACATGGCAGTGTATAGACTCTGCGATTGGGTTTATTGGAGGCTTACACTATACGCCTACGGAGGCCTTTTTGGGCAACCGTAGAGCATGTGCAGGTTAATTGGCCGCGGTTCTGCAGGCGGGGAAGCCGTTCCCCACGTTGTAGGTAACTTGCAACGCATGTCTAACTACAAGGGGTTGCTATTCTCGGCGGCAGTGCTGTATACGCGTGTATAAAAGAGCAATCCGGCCGGACCGGTTCCGGTGGTTTGTCGACAGCGCTGGTGGACAAGCCGTCCCGCGGTCTACCAAAGAGTCATATTTTTTTTCTTGCTGGCGCCCTTAATAGTTCGCCGGAGCGCGCCTGATGCAACGCGCACCTGCCTCCCAACACAGAAGATACGCGCAGTCGCGCCGCACCCCTAGAAACCGACGCACCTCACCTACAACCTCAGCAATCACCTCAGCATCCTAACGCGGACATACGTTTGCCCTACAGTTCATCCGCCAGGCCCACGCGCCGTCGGCGTACCTGGTTAGGTTAGCTCCGTCTGGGCATCTTTAGCCCCGAAGCCTATTGAGCATGGCTGCTCTACCGATTACCATCGCTGCAGGTACACCACATACACAAGAACGCCGCCCCTCGACTGTCACAAATCCGAACGCCCGTCGCACCAGCCAGCACTCCCTCATCGCTCGAAACGTGCTCATGAGCAAGCTCTCGGCTTTCGGAAATGCGAATCTCGACGGCGAACCCCCACGTCCCGCATCTGCGCTGCCCGCGCTGTCCACGGCGGACAAGAGCAAACCTCCTCCCCCCAAAGATGCGGCCAAGGAGGGCTGTCTGAAGCCCCTGCCGTACGTACAAGCCCACCATGGACCGCGACCGGCATTGGCGCCCTTTTCAAAGGATGGCGTTGGTGCCGCATTGAGTGACACGCCTGCACCATCGCAACCAGGAAGCCCGCGAATGTCCGTTTCACCCGGCGCCGTTGCTTGATCGCATCACCCAGCTGACGGAAACAGGCTCGCTGCCATGCGCATGAACTCTGCCGGCTCGACACCACGCATACGTCCTACCACGCTAGACATCCCCGGCCTGACCAAGTCGAAAGTCTCGCCAGACGGCAAGATCGCTCAGCGCGATGTCGGCTCTAAGCTCGTCATTGTCATGGTCGGTCTTCCGGCGCGAGGCAAAAGCTACATCACAAAGAAAATGACTCGCTATTTGAACTGGCTACAGCATGACACCAGGATTTTCAACGTCGGTGAGAAGCGACGTGTGGCAGCACACGGCCACGGCATGCGCGTCTCATCCGCGGGGCTCGAAAGAATTCCCTCCGGCCTTAGACAGGCCGTTGAGAACGGAGATACGCTGCCTCAGATAGCCGCTAAAATTCTGATCAACGGCGAATCCTCGGGTGGTGCATACTCTCCACTAAACTTGCCGAGTCCCGCCGGTGAACGTAACGAGTCAGCTATTGTAGACGACGATTCACAGGAGAAGACATTGTCCCCCGCAAAGACCCCGTCTCCAGCTAAGACGCCACGCGTGGAAGTGAATTCACCTGGGCCCTTAGCACCTACACCAGAGACCAATAGCGATGAAAACGATCCCATGGACCAGTCGGCGAGCTTCTTCGACCCATCCAATAAGAAGGCAGCTCAAATCCGCGAGCAGTGCGCCATGGAAACGCTGGACGACCTGCTCGACTGGGTCGTGAAAGGGAATGGCTCTGTAGGGATTTTCGACGCCACGAACAGCACTCTTCCACGCCGAAAACAGATTATGAAGAAGATTCGCGAGCGAGCTGGAGAGGAACTGAACGTGCTCTTTGTTGAGTCAGTGTGCCAGGACAAAAATCTTCTGGAATCGAACATGCGATTGAAGCTTTCGGGTCCAGACTACGAAGGCAAAGATCCTGTGGCTGCACTGGAGGACTTCAAGAAGCGCGTAGCCATTTACGAGAAGAATTACGTTCCCTTGGGCGATTACGAAGAGGAGAACAATATGTCGTACGTCAAGATGATCGATGTGGGTCGCAAGATGATCTCGCATCAAGTCAAGGGATTTCTCGCAGGACAAGCAGTGTACTACCTACTCAACTTCAATCTGGCGCCACGCATGATATGGATCACCCGACACGGCGAGTCGATGGACAATGTCGCTGGAAAGATTGGAGGTGACTCTGAGCTGAGCGCCAACGGAGAGAAATACGCAAAGGCAATGGCACGGTTCATCGACAAGCAACGCAAGGAATGGGAGATTCACCGAGCCGACAAGATCGCGCACACACACTGGCCTCCGGTGGCAGGAGACCATACACCGCCTAATCCCTACTTCGGAAGCGAGACTGAGCTAAAGAACTTCTGCGTGTGGAGCAGCATGCTTAAGCGAAGCATACAATCAGCTCAATTCTTCTGCGACGAGGATTACGAAGTCAAGCAGATGCGTATGCTAGACGAGCTAAATGCCGGTTACATGGAGGGCCTCACCTACGATGAGATACGTACAAAACACAGAGAAGAGTTCCTGCGCCGAAGATCGGACAAGATTTCCTACCGCTACCCCGGTCCCGGCGGAGAAGGCTACCTCGACGTTATCAACCGAATCCGTCCCGTCATCGTCGAGCTTGAGCGCATGACTGATCACTGCCTGTTGATCACCCATCGCTCGGTCGCTCGCGTATTACTGGCCTACTTCCAGGGCTTGAAGCGCGAGGACGTGGCAGACCTCGATTGTCCCCTTGGGATGCTCTATCAGCTGGAGCCTAAGCCCTACGGTGTAGAGTTCAAAGCCTGGCGGTACAACCCTGATAGGGATGATTTTGACCACCTCCCTGACTACAAGCTTCGACGAGCCGCCCCTCCTGCCATCGATATATAGCGCCTCTCCCTTCGCATTCGACGTCTGCCACCTAGACAGTCGACCTGGACCAGGAAGGTATCCAGGTTCATCTCTGTATTACTACGACCGACCTACCATTTTCTCTCGCTCTGTACTGCATATGCTACCAGCTTTTAATTCTTCCCCAGCCTTATGATTCCCGGGGCCCTTTTTGGTTGCCATTCATGTTTTCTTTCTTTCCTGCATTGCTGGCGTTGAAGAATGTGTTAGACGAGATCATGATTTGGCATTTTGTTATTCCCAGGCTTGGAACTACGATAGACTTTCTCTAGGATACGGACCTTGCACGTGGTACGGATAATGAATGGCTCATAGTCTCCTACTCCCACCATACCACCGTGTGGCACTTGTGTATTTGATCACGGAGACTTGCCGAGTTTGGCTAATTGAAATGACCTGAATTATGATATACTACTTGGGCACATTATAAGCCAATAATGTTGGCGGCTATTTCTACTTCTTCATCATGACTTCCTCAAATCACCAATTACCCTACGACAGGCGCCAACCTCGTCTTCTCCTCGTACTGGTGGAACACTGTCGTGTTCTCCAGCGCCTCGCCCTCAAACACATCAATTTGCGTGCTTGCAAACTTCCTCGCAGGGACCTTCTTCTCAAACAGCAGATCCAGCTCCGCGAACGTACGTCCCTTCGGTTCCGGCAGCCTAAAGTACGTGTAAATGATGCAGAAAAAGCACAGACCTGCCCAGAAGAAGCCGGTGAAGTTCCGCCAGTTCCAGTACTCCGGATTGAGCATGTACGGGGTGACCACGTTAGTCACAATGCCAACGATGTTGTACAGATTGCGGCCCAGGACGACCGTCTTGATCTGCAATCGGCGGGTGGACAGTTCCGCGACGAGCGAGTAGCACACGGTGCCGACGGTGAGCTGGTAAAACATGGCCCACACAATCATGATGGACCCGGTTGCCAGTGCGGCCTTCTCGCGATGCGCATCAGGAACCAGACCGAGGAACCCCATGACGAAGAGCATGGCGCAGAGCCCGCAGAGGCCACCGAGGTACAGCGTGCGTCGCCCGAGTCCAATCTTCATGAGCCACCACGCGCCAAAGACACCAGCCATGTTGATGCCGTACTGGCCCATTGCAAAGTCGTACGAAGTCGACGGCGGAAGCCCAGCCTGCTGTAGAAAGTAAGACGAGTACCCCGAAAACGCGTTCCCGCTAAGATTCTGAATCGCCCAAGCCATGCAGACAATCTCTGTGCGACGCAGGTCCGTGCCGCGGAAGCAGTCGAGGTAGCTGGCGCCCTGGGTGATTTTCTCCTCGAGGGCCGTCGTGTGGACCATCATGGCAATGGTTTCGTCGGCGTTGAAGTCGGTTTCGCGGTCCAAGCTGGTGAGGCGCAGAAGGGACTTTTTGGCGTCGTCGATGCGGCCGCGGCGGACAAGCCACCAGGGGGACTCTGGGGCCAGCCACACGCCGATGAGGAGCGGGACTGGCCACATCCATTGCAGCGCGTAGGGGATGCGGTAGGACCATTCGTCGTCGCGGTCGACCATGGAGCGGATCACGCCGATGCCGATGACTTGGCCTAGACCCCAGCAGAAGTTGACGTATGTGGTAACTGGGAGATGTCAGCCCGAGTTCAGAAATCTTAGTAATGTCGTGAGACGACTTACGGTAACCGCGAAGAGCGACGGGGCAGACCTCGGACGCGTAGGTGATGGTCAATGTCTGGAAGACACCCCACGGGATTCCGCACAGAATCTCGCCAACCAACAAATGCTCGACCGTCTGTGCCGTGAAGAAAATAGACGTAAAGGCAATAATAAGCGTCAGGCAGGTCATGACCGTGTATCTGTATCCAAATCGCTCAGAGACATAGCCATTGATCATCAACCCAATAATCTCTCCACAGGTAACCCCATTCTGCAATCCCGCCTGCCACGGCGCCGAAATCTCATAAGTCCCATCCGCAAGCTGATGCCCATACTTTTTCTTAAACTGCGGAAATCCGAAGAAATTCGACAGGAGGCAAACATCGTAGCCCTCCATGGCAATGCACGTCGAGATGAGCAGCGACCACCCCACCGCCTTTGGATACAGCTTGATGCCCTGCCACAAGCTCATCGCATGCTCTTTCTCCGTCGCGAGCCTCGCATCGTTGATGATCCTGTCCGCAGCCTTCCTATGGTCATTGTCGTCCGGGCCCGTCGCCACCGGCACGTCCTGCGGCAGAATATCCTTCTCAGCCATAGCTCTTTCACGCGCAGTCAGGTCCTGAACACAGGTGGGTGGGGATCCGGTATCCAGGGCAGGGGGGAGCGGGAACCTGGGGAATGAGACATGGTGAGGTTGCACTCGCGCTTTTAAGGTGTTCGCTAATTTCAAAATTTGCGGGGTGAGCGTTCGGGACTGGTCTCGTGCGTACTGTGGAGAGGCTGCTGGGCGGTGAGGGGCGCCTGATTGGGCGAAGGCCGCAAACCACCTTCCTGGTTTTGGGCTAGATCGCTGGGGCCCTAGCGCGTGGTTCGTCGCCGAGGGCTCGGCAGGCGGGATGGTAAAGACGCCGGGTTGCTTTCTTTGACCTCGGGTGCGTGCAAGGAATTGGCGGTGAAGGAGCGTCGTCGGGAATTGTAGGCTGGTGACATTCACAGCAGATGCGCTTTGCCAACCCGACATTGTTTCAGTTCAGTGGTAGGTGCCTCCAATTCGGCAACTCCACGATCGAGTCAAGATGCAAGGGCGATCCATGTAGGTACAGCAGTATTTCCAAGGATTGGATGCTGCATTACTCGTCCTGGAGAAACTTAGGGTACCAGAACTTTTGGCTACACCAAGGAATCATGCCCAGTTGTTTTCTATTCACAATAGCTGTCAAGGGACTTCAACGGGTACCTCTTTGCTGTCCCGCGCCGAGGTTCGTCCACTCAATTTCTCATCCCGCGGGGCTGCATCACAAACGTCCTCACTGTTCCTCTCCACCAAGCGGCCTTTATCTCCATGATGCCCTTGTGTCCCAATCCTCAAGAAAGGCACCAGGCCAACTCCCAAAGCAGCCATGCCCGTTGCAAACCAAAAAGTCGAAACATACGGTTCAATAGGATCGTTCGCGTAATAGCCTGAAGTAGACGGGTTCTGCTGCACGGCGTCGAAGATCGCAGTTGCGATACCAAAGCCAACGGCTTGGGACAGACGAGTGAGCGTCTGCAGGAGCGAGCCGGCGATTGATTGCTTGTCCGGAGGCATTGATGACATGACATACATCTAATGTTGTAAGCTGGAGTCGCAGGAAAGTTCTGGAATTTACCCACGTTGGTGACCACAAATTGAAAGTCGGCGCCGACAACGGTGAGGCATAATCCTGGAAATGAGAAGGCCCAGTAAGAGTTCCCCGACCGCTGTACAGCTATGAGTGTGAAAGAGATGACATAGGCGAACGCGCCGATACCCATCAGGAGCTTGTTGGACACTTTGTGCTGAATAAGAGCTGCTATGACGTTTATGAGCACACCGCAGACGAACATGGGCAGCATGTGTACGCCGGTCATGAGTGCGTTGTACCCCGCGAATCTCTGGAACCAGAGAGAAAGCCAGAAAGTGGCTACGGGGAAGCCAATGAAGCCCAGAGATATGATGGCGAGCAACTACATGAAGGTCAGCGATGTTCGTGAATTGGTGGTTCGGGAAACCTACGAGAGAAAAGTCTCTGTCCTTCCAGATGCGCATATCAATCATCGCGTAAGGATAGCTGATCTCCCAGAAGATGAACGCAACGATGAGGAGCGCACCAAGGATGAGCAAAACAAGAACGTAGGACGTCTTCCACCCATCCGGTGCATCGCCACCAAGACTATGTATGTCAGCCTCTTCTCGAAGATAAGGGAACTAGTGAGCTTACGTCAATGCCGCACAGAACATGCCGATTCCAAGGATCGTCATGAACGTGCCAGGTAGATCCAATCGCTTCAGCGTCTCCCGATTCAACGGGACCTTCTTCGCATGGTCGGAAGGCACAAATATCGCCGCGAGAACGCTAATCACCAGATACACAATGGCCAGCAGCCAGAATGCAGCTCTCCAGCTGAAAAGCTGAGTGGCTAGCCCAGAAAAAATGATGCCAAAGACGAAGCCCAGTGGATTCCCCGCGCTGAAGCATCCAAACGCCTTATTCTTACGCTGTGAAGGCTTATCGTAGATCGTGCCCAGCATGCCCTGAGCAGAGGGCACAGCGGATGCGCTAAAGATGCCTAGGATGCCGCACAAGACGTCCAGTGTGACACCATTCTTCGAAAAACCCGCGCCGAGGCAGATCACTGCGAAAAGGAACATTGAGCCAATGAACATTGTTTTCCGTCCAAAGAGGTCGGCGATACTGCCGAAGAAGAGCAGTAAAGATCCTGAAGATAGACTGGGCGTGGGTCAACTCAAGTACGTCAAGCGGACAGCACAATTACTTACGAAGTCGCTGCATTCATCCACGTAATCTCAGCATTCGACATATTCAAGTCCCTCCCTGCAAAAGTCGAACAAACAGTCACGCTTCCCGACAAGAAAGCCGACATGGCAACCGCCATCGTGACCGAGATCACGAAGAGGACCTCCTGCACCGTCGAGCGAAAGCATTCCGGGCGCGCATTCGGATCCCTGGTTAGCTGCGGACTGGCATCGTCATGCTTTGGCTCCGCGACAGCCATCTTGAAATACTACGGCTGGCCAACAAAGCCTCCGAACTGCGCGCCATAAACATTATATGGGTGTGGTTTGAATGACTCGCGGGGGGAAGGGCAAATGGGGTTAGCTGGAATTCGTCAGCGCGGAATGCGAGCCGCTACCGTACCGTTACCTTTTGCCGTCGGAGAATCCTTCCTCAAGGAGCACGCGTACGCACGAGAGGAACGTGGGGGTGCAAAGGATACGTTCCTCTAACAATGACGAGATCTTAGGCAGTAGCTTGCTGGACCGTGACGTAGTGTTGTTTATTAGTGTCTTCAGCCACAGTGGCCGACAATAGAATCCTTCCAGTGAGTATCCACGATAACTCATCATGTAGCAAGTTTACAGACGGATAACAGAGGGTGTTGAAATGGGATAAGGTGCGCGCTTACGTTCCTATGTTTCATGTTGTTCACTGTGAATGGGATTGTCTTCCTGTTCGAAACGTCTTCAATATCTGCCTTTGCAGCTGACTCTAGTATGTGCCGTTGGTCAGGGAACAGTATCGCAACTCAAGTACATGTATTGCTGGAACGAAAGGCTAACATTGTGTTCTTTGGATTCATCATGTTGTACAGTATAGACACAATATAATGCAGAGGGGTATCATCCAGTCGACATGCACTTCTCAGAGCTTGACCACTTGCCAATTCTTCAAGTCTATCTTCGCCAACACTCCTCCGAGCGGACCTTGCACTTCTCGTCCTTCAACCCACAGTTTCTTGCCTGCCCAATAATCAACGAAGCCATCTGGCCCGGAGATCAAGATCAGACGCGAGCCTTGTCCCTCCGACGGTTCGGTACGTATTCGCTTGACCACATCACCAGGCTTGATGAAGGATCTCTCTTCGTCGACGTAGTACTCTATGTTGAGTCCTCCGCTCGCGGCTTGACTTCGTTCTTTGAGTGCTTCAAGTTCTCGGACGATCAAGCCCTTGCTACCAGTCTTTCGTGTGCCTAGATGCTGACTTTGGTCGGAGTGTTGTCTCAGGCCCAGAAGGCCCTTCCACCACGACGGTTGCTGCCCGCTTGCATCTAGGGCCGCCTCGTCGCCGAAGCCACCCTCGCACTCTTCTCTTCTTCGATTAGCCCACAAAAGATGCATCTTGCTCCCTGGCGACCTGCTCAATGCCTCGGCGACCTGCATCGCGGGCGCTATGCCTGTGCCACCGGCCAAAAATACAACCTCCTTGACGTCTTGAGGCAGCTCATACTCTACAGTAGGTCCTCGCAGCTCTATTGTCGACCCTGCCGGAAGCCGATGCAGGTATGTAGACATCTCCCCTCCCGTCTCCTTTCTTATCAAAAATCGCAAACTGTGCCCGTCTTCATCGTCGACCTCGTCCGGCTTGCTCGGAAGCGGAGTATATGCTCTCGCGATTTGGAGTTGCGGCTGCTTGGCCTGTACGCTCCATACGCCACGTTTCCGGGCTTCCTTGATACTGTCTGGCTCCGGCACACCAAAACCATCGTGCAGAGTGAATATCGCGTTTGTGGAGGATACGGATTGTTTATCGACGAGGATGTAGGGCGCGAAGTCGTGCGGGTGTAATGACGCGTTGAAGGACTCGGGCTTCAATAATCGATACACGGCTACGCCTACGCCGGCTGCGGCACATATGTACAGGGGACGCGGGCCCTTTATGCGAGTAAATCGAGACATGAGGCGATCAATTGCAGAGGGCGAGCCTCAAATGCTAGGGAAGTTCGGAAAGATTTCGAGCATCGGAACAAAAAGTGACCATTCTTGGTTGAGACTAGCTTTTGATGTCGCGCTGCCACGTGACCCAAATGCGTCCTGGGGGATACACGCTTTCGATTTTCCTCGTCGGTTGCACGCCTATTTACAGAACGCTTCAAGCAAGAGTACGAGTCTGATGGCGAAAGATTTCAATCATCGATCTGTCCTCCTCGAATCTTTGAGCAGACCGGCCAGGCTTCGTTGTAACATCTACTTCCTCGTGGGCAGGGCGTTTCTCCGCAACAAGTTTCTGCGATGCAATGACCGTGTGATGCGGCTGCTTTCCTCCCCAGATCCTCACTTACCTGTGGAAGAGACGTTTGCAGAAGCTCAAGGAAATACTCGCAAATGTTGGATCCAGCATTTACCAATATACATCACATCTATGACAGTAGAGGCAGGGCCATTTTCGCTCCGCAGAAACCCAGCCAATTCATATGGCCTCGAATCGACTTGGTGATTATCGGGAAACATATCTGGACGCCAAGTATACTGTCGTCCATGGCGTTTTCTACAAGCTGCATGAGCGATTCAACGACCTTCCTAATGCAGCAATGATCGTGCAAATTACACCACATCTCCACGATGTCGTGATATGCTATGCTACACCCTGCATGCGCGTACATGGGAAAACAGGAAATATAGTGACCACATATAAATACCGAGCTTGTCGTGTTCCACCATGAGACAGAGACTATCCTTCGACGAGCTCCCATAATGCGTCTCAGCAGCATCTTCTCCGCCGCTCTGGCGGCTACCTCAACCCTAGCTTTCCCATCTGCAAAACTCGCAGCATACAAGACAAACTCAACTGTCGGGCCCGAAAAGGGGCATCTTGTCATCGTAGGCGGCAATCTCAAGAGCGAGTCAATCTACCAGCGTATCATATCTCTCGCCGGCGGCCACAATGCCTCCATCATCATTGTTCCCACTGCGGGCGGAGACCCTTCCTACGACCAGAACTTCACGACCGCAGCCGCCTTCCGAGGGCTCGGCGCCACCAACGTTACTGTGCTACATACCTATGACCCCGCCGTTGCCGACACAGACAAGTTCGTCGCGCCTCTCAAGAGCGCTAACGCTGTCTTCTTCGGCGGAGGTCGTCAATGGAGGCTTGTTGATGCATACTATGGCACCAAGACGGAAACAGCTTTCAACGAGGTTCTTGAGCGCGGAGGTGTAATCAGCGGATCCTCCGCTGGTGCTTCTATCATCGGATCGTTCCTTGCTCGTGGTGACACATCTGGTAACGACATCCTCGTCGGGGATCATACCGTTGGCTTCGGATACTTGAAGAACGCCGCGATCGATCAGCATGTACTCGTCAGAAACAGGCACTTTGATATGTTCCAGATCCTCGAGGTGCAGCCTGAACTTCTGGGTATTGCGATCGACGAAGACACCGCTGTGGTTGTGCAGGGAAACGATGCGGAGATCATTGGGAGCACTTATGCTTTGATCTATGATGGAGGATTCTGGTCAAGGGACGGAAGCGGTGGGAAGTATGACTTGCCAGAGAAGAAATTCTACTTTTTAAAGGCGGGCGACAAGTATGATCTGGGGGCAAGGAAGGTCGTTGAGACAGAAACCACGAGTGGAGATGAGCTGTAAGTATGTTTGTAGAACCTCTGGACGCGACTGAAAATGAAGCAACGAACTTTATTCCAAGTCTATCGAGTGGAAACGAAGAGTGATCAAAGAAATGACCTATAGATCCTGCTGAGGCCTCCGAACTCTCGAAACCGCGGATAGGGCTCGGTCGATCGCATAAAATACTACATGGTGGTCTGATCTTATATTTTTTTATCGAGCAGTGTGTTTGCCCGTGCTAATGTTTGCGTTTGCTTCACTAATAGGAGATCTAACGAAAATACACAGTCCTAGGATATCCACTATTAGAACCCCCATTGCGAGGCGAACCACTGCGAGATGTTCCACTGCCAGGTTTGAAAGTCCCATAGCCTAGAGAAGGTGGAGACTTCGCGGATGAAATTGCAAAGTGGTCCCTGAGCCGCTCATGAACGTAGTTCTCCATCTCCTCCCGTTGATGCTTTATATACTGGAAGTTCATATGATTATAGTGGTCCACCTTACCCTCGAACTAGGATCGCACGCGCAATAAGTCTGTCCGCGTTATTCCACTGCCCTGACATTCAAGATCCCGATCGTTCACATGCATCACGTCAGGCGTAATCTGTATATACCGACCAGCATGGGTCATACAATGTTGGAGAGAAGAATTTTCTTCATGCTATGATATAAGACGTAACAATACAATGTCGACTAAGCAATCTGATAGCGAAACTCATTTCTTGAGTTTGTTTCACATATTCTGGAGAACTATTGGTTTTGGCCGTTGATGGTTCAAAGAAGGTGCTGATTTAGGGGCGTAGGATTGTCTCAGGTCCGCCCAAAGACCCCCCAGAATAGTCCCGATTCCGGACTGGACCTCGAAATACTGGAGGTTGAGTGCAGTCTTAAAAGGCGGATCGCACACATTGTGAGTCCACTTGGTGGTCTAAGCCCAGAAGCGCAACCGATTTTTCACTGCACAGGCAGTTGCCTGTAGTGTTGGGACACTGAGAAGCCGTGAAATCATGACAGCCTCAGATCTGTCTCTATAACCATGCCCCTTCTATGAGGTCTAAGCTTTTACTCCCACGCGCAACTCCAATTCAGTTGCGCGTCTTGGTTGCCAACTTCACAGTCAGCACCATGGGCGCTGTCTTGTCGAGCATAAAATCCTACCTTGGTCGCTGTGCTCTTGTCCTTGCCGGAGTAGCGGGTTTTCTATATCTTCTTTACTTTTGGAATAGCTACAACAGGCCCATCAGGCGACCCGAGCCTCAATTCCCCCCTCGGCGGCAACCAATGTCGTTGAAGGACAACTTCGGACATATGAATATCCAGAACGGACCGCTATACGATCCCAAGTCTGGATGTAGAAGTACTGAATCTCCTAACACCCGCGAGTGGCTACCCGGCATGGACATCGATCATGTCTCGAATAATCGACGAAAGGGTTACATCACGATGAAAAATCTTACTCCCCGAGAGGAACAGGAGCGTGACAGATACCGGGCTGCGCAAGAGCGGGTACACTCACACTGCAGCAGTGCGCAAACCATGGACCAGGGCGTTCGATTCGGAGTACCCAGCATGGGGTTTCGCACAGGAGCCCACCAGACCATGGGCGACCGGCCTGCTAGGCTACGAACCTGGGATCATCGATCGAAGAAGGCAGAGCCACCCGATTATCGCAACTCTACAGGTTGGGGTAATGGTCCTGCTTTCAGGGATCTACGAATCGGAGAGCAGAACCAGCCCGCTTGTCCTGTGACCACTTGTCCTGGACAGTCCCCATATCCACCTGGTATGCAAGTTGATAACGATCGATTCGACCACCATATAGGACGGCTACAACTAGTCTATCTCTATTCGCCGCATAGCATTCTTCAGCATTCGCAACCCTACCCACCTGGCATGAAAAACGCCATCCAGAGCGTTGAGCGTGCGTTTGCGAATCTACTGATTGTTAAACAAGAGGCATCCAATTTTGCCACCACCATCAACAACGGAAACCCGCATCTGCCAGGCATGGGATACCGACACGTCTTTCGTCGTGGTAGAGAAGATATGTGAAAAGCAGAGGGCTGGTCTTGGTATGAGACATGGAGGATATGTACGTTTATTATTTTGTGCACTGGACAATCAAAGCGATTTACCATATTCGTGCCACTTGTAGGCCGGTCGAGAAATCTATCCTTCCCTCATTTGATGGCGGAAACCTGATGGTCGCATACGTGAAATATCAAAACGATCAAAGCGAAACTGTGACAGCAATATGAAGTTTTTGTACACCGTAGGATGGCACAGGTGGGTCTTGGAATCTGGTGGACAAGAGTAAGACGAGAAGATACACCCGAAGGAGGTCTTTAATTTGCCTTTTTCCGATACCTGTTGACCACGAACTATTCGGAAAACAAACTCGACAGCTTAGATCAAAAGCGTTTATATGGAATTCGGCTTTACATGATTATTTCAGTGGGCCAAATGACGGTGTTGTGACTCGATTTTGGAGACTGTTGAGTACGCGTTACCTTTGGAAAGTGGGGATAGGAGTGGTGAGCCATTACCAAGAGCGTAAGGGGCTTTCCAACGTCCAGAGCTACGTTAGATCTTACAATGATACTATGAGCGCGTGCCCACACCACGAAAAATCTACAAATTATTGCAGCTTATGTCGGGGATTCTTGAAAGATCATGGGCCGTAATACAAAAGATCCAGAAGCAAGCTTACTGTTATGTGCTCCAATGGCTCAGCCAGTACGAACTGAATGCAGAGTCACGAACTCACTTTTACCTTCAGAGTTTTGCGCTTGTTTGTTGCTGGCTAGCTGGTCATACTTCTTCGATTCAAGAGCTAGCATCAAGATATCTTCACAGATCGTGCAACCTTACACGTTGACCTAGAACCTTGACTATTGTGTAGCACTTTATTTCTGGTCTATATGGCCCTTTTTAACTGAATCACCAACGAAGCATAACCAACACACTGCGAAAATGAATGTCGAGACCGGTACAGTCAGATTCCGCCAATAAGCTAGGATTGTCCGATATCTTGCTTTCCAAGTCATTTCGGCACATTAGTGCTACGTACATATCTGGCGAGAAACGATCCATTCTATTGTCCACCTATCATGACCAAGTCATCAAGTCATCACACCTACTCCATAACGGCCAAAACAAATCCAGTCATCATCGGGTCATGCAACACCGGCCTCATACTCGCCATGACCGGCAAAAAGCTCGCCCTCACCCTCCCATCCTCCCCAATCCTCTCAATCACGCTCCTCTTCTCTACCACCTCTCTGCCCTCCCCAAACACCACCTCCCCATTTAATCATCTTCGGCACAACATCATCCAAAAAAATGCTCCTACCGCCACGCGTCAGCTTAACAGCCCAATCAAAGTGTTCCCACTGGTCGTCGAAGTCCGCATCGATGAAGACGAGATCGAACTTGCGGCCTTCTTCGGCCAGCTTATGGAACACGTCGAGCGCCGGATGAACGCAGCTTGAGCTTTGGCGTCGAACACGGGTTGGAATCGGAAATTTTCGTAGTTGAGGACTTCCTTTAGGCCTGGCGTTTGGGCAATCTTTTGAATGAAATCGGCCATGACGATGTGTGGCACTCGTGAGTTTTGGTAGTGAGAGCGGGCGCAGCCTCCACGATGTACGACAGGAGAGAGTATTTTCAATGGAATTGCAACGAACACTAGAACATGGTTGTGATTAATGGTCCTCGCCATAGTCGTGAGTTATATGAATACTCAAGTTGTTTTCTGGACGCGGAGATTCCACGGAGTACCAAGTCGGCCACATCAGTTGAAACGTTGAAATTCCCGACTCGCATCCGAGCAGCGTCACAAAATATGCTATCTGGATTTGAAGAACGCATGGGACGCTGGCAGTGACTGGCTACCTAGTCAAGCGGATTGGATTTGTTGAAGTGATTGACTTAGTGTCAAAAGTATCAAGGGCAAGGTCGAAGTCCATGTGCATTACATCAGCAGCGATCAAACTCTAAGACGAATACCACTATGAGAGAACAAAATCCAAGCCATGCAAACCGCACCCACAAACTTCAAGTTGTCTCTATAAACAAACCCAGGGCCGGCGACGTCATCTGAAAGAAGCTGAGATCCAGCCCATTCAGTGAGTCAGCCTTGTAACTAACTTGCTGTCCCGCCTCGTATGGCGCACTTGCAATCGTGTACTTGTTCCCTGGTTGTAGTGCAGGCACCGCACCCACAGTCGTTCCGCCGGCAGCCGAACTCGCACTTGTCCTGACAGTTGCTGGCTTGTCAAGAAGCGAGATCGAGATGCCTCCAGGTGAGTTGATTTGCATCGGCGCAATGTAAGTAGGGTCGAAAGCAGGAGGAATAGCGAAAACGAGATTGCACGTGTTGGCAGACGACGGGGCAACATAAAACACGAATAGGGTCGAGCGCGTTGGCGAGACTTGAGCAGTATAAGAGTCCCCAATGACTTTGCTTGGGTCCGACGAGTCGATCGGCACAATTAGATTAGGTGCTATGAATGGAGGCGTAAGGCCTCTGGGTTGATCTAGCTGAGGGAATCCAGGAAACATGGATCCGGGCGTAGACGCAGGACCGTTGATGGCTGGACTTTTGATGGTCGGGGTGTTGACCGCTAACGAGGGTCTGGGCGTGGGCCATACAAAAACACTGCTCATCGGCCGCAGAGTTACTAGGTCTTGTTAGCAAAAATCCGATAGAAACATCAACGCCTACGAGTAGGAAAGATTGAACCGCTAGCACTTGTTTGACTACTTGATGCGGTCGCTGTAGTGCTTCGACTCGTGCTCCAAGTGCTACCGCTCGTTGGTGTTGCCATGCTGTTGCTGCTCGAGGTTGAGGTTTCATTGGAGAACTTCACATACCGTTAGCCCGTGCAATCCAATTGGAGGGTGCAACAGGCTGTGGACTATGTGATGGTAATGCCAATAAAGGTTCCTCAGTCGAAAGTGCAGAGAGCATCGCGTGGACAACCCATGAGACAATGAACAGATTGTACATGAGAAGCAGTAACAGGGGAGATAAGAGGGAGGACAGAAGGAAAGGGGCCGTGTAGCTTACTTTAGGGCAGGACAGGTCGAAGTTGGGGCTGACTGCCTTGAGGTCGCCTCCCGGCTTGATGCCAAAGCTGGGGCTGGGAGTGGTGTACTGGATATCCTGGAGGGTGTAGTAGAAGAGGTTCACATTGCCCTTGATCAAAGAGCAGGAAACGTCCTCCCAGTAGATGCGAGCGTTAGCCTTGCTGGCAACAGCCTGGTTTTGCTTAGGACCAGAGACCGGCCACCCAGTCTCAGTGACCCACACCGGCTTGCCCTTGCCGGCTTTGACGGTTTGCTTATAAGCGTCGTAGAAGGTCGCGTTGGCATTACCAATGCTGTTTGCGTGCTGAGTCTCCCAGTAAGGGTAGGCATCGACTCCGAGGAAGTCAAGAGCACTGACAACGGCGCTGTTACCTACTCCACGTTAGAGTCTGGGAATTGCATGAAATGGGACGAGGACACATACTGGCGTTAACGTAAGCAGTCCATGTATCAACGTGTCCAATAGGCTTGCTAGCCAGACCGGTGCCCTTAATCGCGGTGCGGACCTGGTTGATGTACTTGACCAACTGTGCAGGTTGGACACCGGGATTCTTCTCGCCGTTCGCGATCGCTGTAGGCGTAATACGGTACAGATCTTCGCTGCCAACGGAGATGCCCACAACCAAGTTGGTAAACTTAGTACCGAATTTGGTGATGGCGGTCTTGAGCGCGGAAATCTCGTTGTCAACGATAGTCTGACCAGCCGACGTCCAAATTCCGAGAAGGAGTTGAGTGTTGGTGTCGATAGCAGCCTGTATTGCCGTGATTACATCCTTAGTGGTGCCGTGCTGGATCATGGTGTACAACCGGGCGCTGGTGAACTGGCCGTTTGTGCCGGGAAGAGCCTTGGCCGCCTCGAACTCGTACCGGAAGTCATTGTAGACCTTGGCCTGGTTGTTTCCGAAGAAGGCACCGTAGTTGAAGCCTTTGTACGCCGCTTCGGCGCTTGACAGCAAAGCTGCAGCAGCAATCAACGTCGACGAGAAGCGCATTGTGTTACTGTACAAAAGAGTCCAAGGATAAAAGGCGGAGCGGCAGAAGGGTACAGGGTTGACTCGTAAGCAAGTAATTAAAATTAAAAACTGTACAGAGGGAGGATGGGAAAAGCGGGTGAAGTAGGAGAGAAAAACGAAGGTTGACGCAGAGTCTATAGACAGCGCGATAATCTTTGGGGAGTGACGTGTGAGGCATCTTATATGGAGGAAGCACGGCTTGGGCCAAGGGGGAGCAGCGAATGAGAGGTTGCATAGTAAGGAGAATGCAGGGGCAGGGGCAGGGGCAGGGACTGCCGCGTGGCGTCGCTGCCGCTCTGCCTTTTAGCGGACGGATACGGAAAGTGCCCATAACCAAGGAAATCTACGTTCTCGTTCGTGCATCAAGATGGCAACTCTGACCGATTGTTGAGGGTACAGCAGCAAGCACTCAATACACCAAACACGCACACAAACTCACCTCAAAAACTTATTGGAATACCACGGACACAGGTGGGTACCGTGAATATCGACTGTTGACAATCTTCTGGAAGCCCCGGAAACGGCCACGCCACAAGCTGATCATCGCGCACTGATGGACCCACTGCGATTGGTCTAGAAGGTGGAGCTTTCAATATCCCCAGCACGCTGGTCCATGATCCCCGGTTCCTGGAACTGGCACGAACTGCCAAAAATACATGCTTAGCACGACGCCCGCATGCCAGCACATCTCCAATAGATCGTGTGCTGTAGATACCCGGTGCAGCGTGGTACAACTCACAGCTGACAGCTCCCATGGGTCTGTATTGGACACAGTTGCAAGCGACGCGGGTTGAGCCGAGTGTAAACTCAAACCTCGGACAATCAAAGCGCACCTGTCCTGCCTTTTGTGGACCCCGACGGGATCATGAAGACTCGCCCGGTGTTTGCCCTCCGCAACGGTACGTTGTGACGTCTCGCTGTGGGGATTGAGGCGGTGCAATGCGGGCGTTCATTGATTGTCAGGCCGACTGGATTGAGCGCAGGGAAGAGGATGGTCAAAACTCAGGGGAAGAACATGCACATTCCGAAACATTATTTATGATCTAGGTGCGCCCAGAATTCCGATGAACATGTTGTGAGGGCCGATGCAAATGCAGCCATCGGTGACGTTATCAATTCTTTCGCTTGGACCACGCGCGACGTTTTTCGCTTCTTTCCAGCGCGGGTGAGGCTGCAGCACCAAGAAACCGTACGCTAATCCCCTTCAAGTACACCACGATGCTCTCCAGCAGCGAGAACTGCTACATCTCCTCTGAAGGGGATCGTGTAGCACACCGGCTTCCTTTCCTTTTAAGTCTGCACCTTGAATGCAAGCTCTGCCTCCGTGTTGAACTCGTTTGCGAATTCTTCAAGAATCCTCTTCCTATGTCCCGCCATCGCTTTCCCAGTCTTTGTCTTCATCATATCGGGCAACTTGACCAACTTCTCATCGAAATGCTCAATCGCACCGGCCAGTGGTCTCCCCTTCCCTTTCGCGCCTCCAAACGCAAAGCACCTCCCTACGCCCACAGCACCAATAGCATCCAAACGGTCCGCATCCTGCACAACCGCCAATTCAGGATATCTCTGCAAGACATCAACGACTGACTGGGGATTTTTCACCTCATTGGTATATCCGACGTGCTTCACAATGACCTGAACCTTCGTGGCGAGATCTTCGTCCGCGCCGCGCTCGAGCAGGATCCGTGAGACCTGGTTTTCTACGTCTTCGCCCGGTTTGGCGTATTTATGGTCCCCCACATCGTGTAGCAGAGCAGCGAGGTAGACGACCGATGGATTGAATGAGATTGCTAATTTGCTTTTTCGTTCCTGGGTTAAGATGCGGTGGGCATTGGACAGGACGCGTAGGATGTGGTGGTAGTCGTGTGAGTTGTCGTGACCAGGACCGGACATATAACCGTAAACAAAGGCATTGACGGATGCGAATAGATCCTTATGCTCTTCGGGTATAGGTACAACCGGGAGAGGAACTGAGGCGGCCATGCTTTGATCTCCTCGATGGAGAGTGAAGATTTGAAATATGCTGAGGAGGCGCGCAGAGCAGGTCTCTCTATAGCCAATTATAGTCAAAACGAAGTTGAGTATCGGACTACGGCCTCTACGATGATGTGTATATCGATTGCTGGCGGCGTACCCTGGGTCGAAGTGTGCACTGCGCGACTTCTGGTCTTCAGTATCTTTGCGTATCTTTTGTACGACTTGAAGTTGATGCCTTGTCGTGTTACGGCCGGTTTGCGGTGTCGCTTTGTAATTCATGTCAGTAGCCTTCCCTATACAGACAAAGGCGGGATACGGCCGACGCGCGTGGTCACATGTCGCTGCTCCAGTCCTATTTGGTACACATTTCAGCCCTTCACGGGCCGAATCACCAGAGATGGCAAGACCATAGTGTGAAAAAAAGGGCTCTTTGGGCTGTAGCCTGAAGCATTGACCAGTCTGCATACAAGAAATTCACATACCCGTGTCGGGGAAGCCAGCCAACGCTCTGGTTGATGGTGAGTGTGATTCGGTCGCAGATCCGCGTTGGTTTGTACCTCGGCAGCCGCGCGCGCGAGCATGACGCCCCTCGATAGCGCACCTAGCCCAACCCCAACCATTCCACATCACTACCCATCGCGCAACCAGTGAGTTGTCGCACCCTATCGCGGGTTGTACTTTCAGGATGTACAAGCAGGCGACGCGGAAGACGGGCGAGGTACTGTCGCTGCCTCCGAAATGGCTCGGGATGTATTCCGACTTTATCACCAAGAACAGCAGCGCCGTATCGCAGATTGAATCGGCGCTGCGATCACTCACATACATCATTCCTGGTAGGCCTTCCAATCGTGTGTCTTTGGAAGGTTATGACTAACTGTATCAGGTCGCTTTCGCGAGTCCGAGATTGCGTCCGAATCTCGTAGGTACTCTATTGCGTTGTCGCAAAACATCTGCTAACCGGCGCGCAGTTCACAGCGGCGTCCAGCTCCTCTCGCTCTACCATGACTCCCTTCTCGCGAAAGCTGTTGCTCGGATACCTGGAGCCCAGCGCCAGCAACCAACACCCCACAGCCGCTACACCAAGTTCTGGACAGATCGGTCACCAACGTATCGGCGAATCGCTCTCGTGCTTCAGATGATCCAATACACAGAGCTTCTGTGGGAGATGGCCGCAAAGAGGAAGGGAGAGAAGATGCGGTGGCGCGTCGTGGTGCTTCTGGAGGTCGTCAAAGCTGTGTGTCGTCTCCTCTTGTTGCGATTGACGAACTCGAGACCATTGGTGTCGCCCCCTTTGCCCCAGAGGGAGGTAGATCCGAGTACCCTGGAGGACTCTTCAGCATCGCCGAATGGCATGGATACACCTCCGACGGAGCAAGAGGCGGCTGCAGAGAACTGGATCATGCCACGGACAGGACTATCGATGCCGACCCTGCCAGATGCATCCGATATTTCCAGCTATCTGCTATCCAAGGTACTCACAGCCGACGATATCAAGCCCCCTAAGGCACTATTGCACCGTGTCAGTGGAAAGGGAGAAATTGCTGAGGTCTTGTACATCTTGCGCCCCGTTTTCTATGCCTTGGCCATGCAGCACTTTAGTGGAGACCGGAAGAGTTGGCGTCCGTGGTTGATAGGCGTCGGTTTGGAGTATGGTGCAAGACAGCTTGCTAAGAAAGACTTCCAAGAGAGACTGGCTGGCGGCTTAAGAGGTCTGACTGGACTTGAGAAGGAAGAGTTAAGAAAGCGCGGCTGGTCATTAGGCTGGTGGATGATGCGTGGCGCATTCTACGAGAACATCACCAAGTACGTATTCTTTGTACAGATTCCGCTGCTGCAGCTAATGGTCTCTAGGGCTTGGATACATGCCGTCACACGTAAACTGCAGAACAAGCCGCTCCTAGACATTGTCGGGGGTGTCATTGAGGATTACGAGTTCCTCTGGGACCAGTACTACTTCCCGACCGCCACTCTCTAAACTCTTCAGTTCTTTTTTGTGTTTGTTTAAGCGTTGGATAGCGATGGGAGATAATGGATCGGGCATGTCACAGGATGAACGTTGGGACGGAAGCGCATGATCATCTGAACCCTGGCGTTGTAAGGATAGCAGGACTGCTGGTCTGGTCCTTGGTCTTCCACACTTTCGACTTTGTGTTACAGGCTGTGTATAATATACCATGAATTCGACATTTCACACAGAGACCGAACAGGTTCAAGTAGAGCTTCTCTTGGCATAATGCCATGGCTTATCCATGTAGAATTATGAGAATCACAAGTATTATGGTAGCAGTGGCAGCGTATATCCAAGCGTGTGTCCATGCAGAATATGTTTAACATGAGTTTCCATGTAATATGCTGTTGGAGGCTTTAGGCATCTGCGCACTTTCAACGTTCGTGCCTGGCGATTAAAGTCTTGGCATTACGAGCTCACGCTCGGAGAGCTAGAGCCTCAGCAACAACACACACCAACTCCACCACCCCGCCAAACCCGCCTCCATCACCGTCGCAGGCACCTCTCCACAATCCCGCCTGCTCGAACCGCACATTCTCGCTATGCCCGCCACAACAGCAGAGACGCTGTCGCTCGTGACCCGCAATGTCTCTGTTGCGCCGCTCGTGCTCCTCTCCGCAGCAGATCACTACGGCCGGCAAGCAAAGGGAACCCGGAAACGAGTAGTCGGAGTGCTTCTGGGACAAAATGATGGAAAGAACGTGAGGGTATCGAACAGTTTCGCTGGTGCGTGAGCTGTCACCCCGCTATTCACTTATTCACCGCCGCCGCGCCGAAACCTCTTTCATGCGTGGCGGGCCTTCGCATGCGCATGTTGCTGACCCCTCGCCAGTGCCGTTTGAAGAAGACGAGAAGGACCCGTCGGTATGGTTCCTGGATCACAACTACGTGGAGTCGATGAACGACATGTTCAAGAAGGTCAACGCGCGGGAGAAGCTCATTGGGTGGTATCACACTGGTCCGAAGCTGCGGGCATCGGATTTGGAAATCAACGAGCTGTTCAAGAGATACACACCGAACCCGCTGCTAGTCATCATCGACGTGCAACCGAAAGAGGTGGGCGTACCAACGGATGCATACTTTGCGGTTGAGGAGATCAAGGATGTGAGTGTCACTACACATGTGCGACGGAGATGACATGAAAACATGTTCCAAGCGCCATAGAAAGTGGGAAATGCTAACAGTTGTGTCACAGGACGGCACAACGACCTCCAAAACCTTCGTCCACACGCCTTCGATGATCGAAGCCGAAGAAGCAGAGGAAATCGGTGTCGAGCACCTCCTCCGCGACATTCGCGATGTCGCCGTCGGAACCCTCTCCACACGCATAACCTCACAGCTCCAATCGCTGCAAGGCCTGCACCTGCGGCTGCGCGACATCGGGCAGTACCTACAGAAGGTGCTCGATGGCGATCTCCCGGTCAACCACGCTATTCTCGGCAACCTCCAAGACGTGTTCAACCTGCTTCCCAACCTCTCAACACCAAAGCCATCGCCAGTCAAGGGCGCGACGAACGGCGTAGGACCTGCGAGCGGCGCGGCTGGCGCAGCGGATAACTCGGAGTTGGCTAGGGCGATGAGCATCAAGACAAACGACCAGTTGATGGCGATCTACCTGTCGAGTCTGATCCGCGCAATAACGGCATTCCACGACCTGATCGAGAACAAGATACAGAACAAGCAGCAGGCGGAGGACAAAGAGACGAAGAAGGACGAGGGCAAGGAGGGCGATAAGGACAAGAAGGCGAATGGCGTGAACGGCGATACAAAGGAGGGCGACAAGGAGAAGAGCAAGGAGCCCGAAAAGAAGAAGGGTTGAGATGCGCAAGAGGGGTGAGACGCAGTTGGAACTTGCATGTGCGCATAGGAGTGTATTATACCATCACCCTGGCGGCCCTATCCACGCAATGACGGGTTGCATGTGCCCACGTCGCGGCATAATGGCATGATAGAGAATCTGCATGATTGACGTGAATGAGTTTCGTCACTACATTGGCTGTGAAGGTGAAATGTGCATTTCGTTTATCGCTGGGCCGTGCTGCGTCCGGCCGGGTATCGTTATTGCAGCTCTATGCTCGGCACTTCATCTAGCCCACAGCCCACGGACACCTGAATGCGTCCATAGCAAAATTGTCGGTTCAATCTCCCCATCCAGCCGCCCACCCAGCAGCTTCCTCCACACTAACAGCACGCTCCTCCACGTACCCTCCGAACAGCCCAGCGCACCGTTCCGCAAGCACACAAGCAAGTAAATGCTTACACACCGGCGGTATACCCTCGCCCAGACCGAACCCTCCAAAGCTCCACACTTCGCCTTCTACTTGTATTTCATCATCCGAATCGTACATCGGCACCGGCGGCTCAGGATGCGCCGGCGGGAAAGCAGAGAACGCGAATGCAGGGCACGAGCAGTTCCACGCGGTGGGACGCACTTCGTAGGATGTGAGCGTGTCGAAGGATGTGCTGAAGCGGGAGGAGCGCTGCTGCGCAGAGCGGACGTAATATACCGTGTCCTCCATCGTCGCCTGCTTGGCATCGCGTGGAGTTCCATCCGCTATGTTTTCCGGTAAAGCCGAGTGTGGCGGCGCATCGAGCATCTCGGCGTCGGATGGGTGCGTTGGGCCGAGTCCGTCGGGCGGCGGAGGACGCTGCGTTGGAGCGTCGATGATGCTCCCATCGGTGTTGCTGTTGCCTGGTGCTCCTTCTGTATCTGTTCCTTCGATCTGTCCGCGTAGTCCTTGAGGCGCAGCTGCTTCCGCTTGATCATCGATGTCGCGGCGGGTGCGAAAGCGCGTAACGAGGGAGCGATCGAGGAGGTCCAGCGCAGGCAGCAGCTCGTTCGGAAACGCAACGTGCAGCGCCAGCAGCAGCTTCTTCACTTCTCCACCCGCGCCTTCGAGCATATTCGTGCTCCCATCCCGAGCCTCCCGGCCGGCGGCGCCGTGCTCCCTACCAGCACGCACACCGAGCGCATCAACGAGCTGTGTCACGAACGCGCGAGTAGACTGAAGATGTGACGAGGCCATGCTTCCCCCCTCCGCATGTTGCTGCCAGACGTTGATGGTGGCAATAACGACGGTCGGGTTCGCATGGTGACGGCCCGCGACGGGACGGTTGGAATAAAGTTCCCCAGGTTTGCGGGGACGCGAAGGGTACGAGTTAGCGTACACGCGGTGAGGCCAATGCGCCCTCACGTGACCTGCGATCGTAGATCTCCCACGCTCCGATCTTGACGTCGAGCGCTAGGACGGAAACCGGGGCCGTGAGAGATGCATGTTGATATAATTGTTGCGTGAGCATGAAGTGACCTGGATGGGGCTCGGCTTCGTGATGTAACGAACACCTGACACCAGCTCAAGGTGAGGACATTTCGATGTAATCCTGCTTTTGGCGGGCTTGGGCACTAATTTAGGTGGTCTGTGGTTCGGTCGCGGCCGCATGGCTTGTGGAATCGGATCGTTACGAGGACATACAATTCGCAAGAAGAACATGCTATCTCGTCATGTGCTACTGATAGGCCTGCACGCCGATTGCGTCCTCGACTCTGCTCAATGATATACAATTGCGTCATGTGGGCCTCAATGGCGATGGCCGGCGACCGAAAGAATTAGCCCAGGCGTAGGACCGAACACGGGAACGCACCCGCACGAATGGTCAATGTCGGATATCAGAGGGCTACTAAATCACCTCGAGCCAAGCAATGTCATTCACTTTGAATAGATCATAGTCTCCTGTCCCAATTGTGGCCAAGTTCTGCACATGGGGTCCGTCTGCCGTAGGCTCCAACGCATCCTAAGGCTAGCTTACCCACACAGACTTGTAGTACAAAGCCGTTCAGCAAACGTAAGGCCACGTTTCAACTGCGGTTCACAATGGGTGCGAGATCTCAGTGAGCTTCATCTACCCGAGGATCCTTCGGTCGAATCTAGCCACACCTTCCAAGGTTCTCCTTCTAGCGCGCTCGAGACACTTGCAAGAGCCGTTGCTTTTTGCAGTGGGGCCGGCGCCTACTGTTAGCTTCCAGCACACCGCTTGAAGAGAATGCTGTTGGCATCGTTCTCTAGTCTATGACCGACCCACTTTGGGCACGAGTCGGTCGGGTCCGTGGACGGAGTAGTGGTACTTGCCTGTTGAGGGAATCGCTGAGCCCGTGCTTATTGGACAATGGCTCGCTGCATGATACAGTACGGGTGTCGAGTTGATGCCCGTATTGAGACGGACTCGAGGTGTCAGGCTTTCGGCATTGGCGGGCAAATCGACGATCTCTGTTGACAAAAAAGCTGGGGCGTCTCGGCAGTAGAGAAACGCGACGCGAAGGAGCGCATATTGGGGTTACGGAAGATCTGGTGAGGGGGCGCGAGATGGGAGCACTTGAAGTCCGACGGCACAGTCAGCTTTGCAAAGACAGTGGAAGAGGAATTGGAGGCGTGATGCGCATCGGTGAGGGTCAATTGGCGTGTTTGCTTGGGCAATTGCAGTTCCAATGCCCAATTCCTTGTGGTGCTCAGGAGAGCGTGAGCACAGTGCGACGACATCTCGCATGGGCTCGGTAAGCGGCGGCGTTGGGCAGGCAGCGAACAGGCGCCTAGATTTAGACCGAAATAGTATCCCTGCATGCCTTCATCAAACGACCCCACACTTTGATGGCGGTCGCTCGCGCAGGACGGCGATAACGATAAGACACGCACCCCGCTACCCCTCCACCACCATCACTGCGAGAGATGGTGTGACGAGCGCTCCGCGTGGTGCATCCAGGTGGCTCGTTGGGCAAGGGCATGACTCACGGGACCGCGCCTGTCCGGTCACCCGCAGACTGTCTCGCCGTCCAGCTGAGACTTGTCGCCGCCATCACATGCCAATTGCGCGCTCAATGGCGCACTCTTGCGAGCGTCAGACGGCAATTGGCAGCGAGAACCAATGCGCGCGGCCATGCTGCAGACAGCTTCGCTCCCGCTGCACGGCATGTTTTGCAGGGAGCGTCGAGGGCAGAGGGTCCAGTGGATGCGGCGCGCCCATTGGGGGCGTCGGACCAGGGTATCAATCTCAGGCTCGCCGTGTACTCGCCTTGGGTGTGACTCCCTTCACGACCCGCCGCGTGGCTTGGGGCGATGACTGCGCGGGCTAGGCATCACGAGACCAGGCTGTCCATGGCACGCCCGCCAGGAGGGTGAGAAATGAGCGAGGTGGCGGCTAATCCGGGCTCATGCGAACGAGGTGTCAGGAGTCCGCACGCTCAGTGATCACAAGCCCGCCAATGTCCGCTTCCGTCCGTCGCAGCACTCGACGAGGGCGAGAAGCCATGTTAGAGCCGGTGCGGAGGCTGCGGCGGTCAGGCCAGGCACAGACATGACGAGGGCGGTGTCCCGGGTCCACCCACCGTGGAGAGGGGACGAGAGGGGATGCAGAGATGACGCCGGCTGGTGAGGCACGTAGCCTCGCGGTTAGGTAGCAACGTGGCTCTGCGGATTCGCAGCAGGAGCGGCTGCGCGCACCCAATGGTCCGGCGACAGCGACGCGGGCAGCGCGTGCGGTGCATTGCGCTGCGTCGCGGTGAATTGAGTCGCCAATGCCTTCGTGTAGCGCTGCGTCGAAGGGAGCGATAGAGTGAATGCATCGGTTCGGGAAGGTGTGCCCTGTGCCCTGCGGCGCATGCGCGCCTGCCCTCCAGTAGTGGTGCCGCTAACGCCATTTCGGCGGCCGTGGCAGTCGCGTCCACATCATTCTCCCCAGTTCGATTCACCAGTGATTGTTCAGCGCGGCCGGGAGGAGAGGCCAGCTGATGGGCCTGCTGCGACGACGGGAGGCTGCGCCAGCTGCCACCCTGTGTGCCCTGGTTTCAGTTGCGCTACCGTCTTTGTCGCCCAGACGTCCTTTGACTGCCGCCTGGAGCGCCCTCCCCCATTCATAAACCTGCTCGTCCCCTTCTTCCGAGCGCCTTTCGCACTCCTGATAACTCCGCCTGCTGGCTGCCCGCGTCTTTCGTCCGCCAATTGCTCGTCTGGTTCCGCAGCCTTCCACGCCCGACTGGGTCGCTGCCTTATAAACTGCGGGTGTACCAAGTCGCCACCGCCCACTTGCACTTCTAATCACCGTCTGCACCGGCGATTGAGTCCCAACACCCACACTTCGATTGCTGCCTAGACACATTTATACAGGCGGCCGCCCGCCTTCATTGCTACACACCAATTCACAATTCACTTCACACACAACCCACGCAGCGGCCCTGCTATGGCAAACAATTCACACCACTGGCCCGCGACGCCTTCGCAAGGAATCCCCGTTTCTTCCCTCCTCTCGCCCCCAGAGATGAAGCGCTCCGAGTCATTCGGATCGCTCGCACACTCAAATTCCGCCACGTCGTTTGGGTCGTTCGCCTCTATGGACTCGCAGCAATCCAAGCCGCCTTCAGTGCTTCCCTGGAATACCTTCCCCACAAAATCCAACACCACCGCCACATACGCTCTGGCCTCGCCGCCCATTTCCCCTTACGAGACCTGCATGGAAAACGAAAACACGGACAGAATGGAGGTGGATGGTGTACGAGACCCGCCGCTCTTCCGTCGCAGCGAGACTGTCAGCTCAATTGCCGGCGACGAGCCACTGTTCCCTCAGGAACAGGTGGACACGACCTCTCAAGACCTCATCACGAAGCACATGAACTCCTCCAAATTTGCTGCGCTCAAGCACAAGCCTGCCCGCGAAGACTACGAACTCGCCGTTACCTTCGTTTCGAACGTCCACGACCTATACCGCAAGGACCCCCGGGCTTGGTTCCTGCAAGAGCGAAAGTTTGATGAGCAAATCAGCCAGAAAAGAGCTGGCGTGCACAAGAGGGAGCCGCTGAAGAAGTTGGCACCGGCTCCGTCGTCGAGGTCTCAGGCTAAACTGCCCAAGGTCGGCATCCCACGCCTCCCTCGCTCTCCCCGTGCTCCACGCGTCCAGAAACGCACTCCCAAAGCCCAGGTCTATGACTCCTTCTCCGAAGCGGGTCCCAGCTCGGTCTCCCCGAAACCTGCACGCCCGGCTGGAACTCGTGATGACACAGACTACAACTCGCTCCCGGATTACTCGCCGCCTCTCAGCACGCTCGGCACAGGCAACAGTAGTGCCCTTAAAACGGAGTGGAAAGGCTCTGCTCTCAAGCTCCATGATGATCCCGACCGTCACCTGCTACACGAGGCTGAGATCCCTCTTGCTGGCACACTTCGCCTGTCTTGTGCCACCTATCTTTGCAGCAAACGCCGCATCTTCCAAGCTCGCATTGAAGCCCTGAAGATCGGCAAGGAATTCCGCAAGACTGACGCCCAGCAAGCCTGCAAGATCGATGTCAACAAGGCCTCAAAGCTCTGGGCGGTTTACGACAAGGTTGGCTGGTTTGACCCCAAGTATTTCGTCCGCTTCGTCTAAATACTCCGAAACACGGTCACTCACATCCGCACTCTTCTCCCATACAACCGATTTTGGACTCGCCAACTACTTGGACCTCTCACAATCTACGACTCGCATTGCGTTGCATAAGCAGCCTCGGATATGGACGGCGTCAACTGGGTTTTCCCTTGATTTTGCTTGCGGCATGGGGATGGCAGATGCATTCCCCCTTTCATTATGATTTACGAACGAACAAGTGTTCCCTGTCTTGGGTATAGGCATATTGCATGTATGGGCTGGTTGCCCTCGGTTGGGTTCGGATCTCACTGCGGCGTCAGACTGACCACGCCGCTCTACCATTTTCCTTTTTATGCTTTATGCTGATACCCCTTACACCACAAACTTATGTGTTTCTTTCTTTGTTTCGTCGCGCTGGGGAAGGGCGCTGATCTTGGATGCTCGTGTTGTTCCGTAGCTTCAGACTGCACAACTGATCATTGTCGCCATGGAGCGAATATTGCTCAATTCCCAGCCGTTTGACTCAGAGTGAGTGCTTGTGATGACAGCTGGCACAGTGGCTGGCCGACCATAGAAACGGAAATCCATGAGATGGGCCCTATTGTGAACATACAGGCTGACTTGCTGCACTACAAGTTCACAAATGTATGGTAGAGTCAGTGTATAAAGTTACAGGATGAGGTGCGCGTCTAGCATAAGCATATTTCCATTCTTTGTGCCAGCCACCGTGTGGCATTCGACATGCTCGCAGGAATGCACGGTGGACGAAAATGATTCGTGAACCACAGCAGTGAAGAGTGCACATCATCGGAAGATTACTACAGGCGTTGCGTCCTCTCGTGAGAACATCAAGAGGCCTGCTGTCGCCTTGGTATACACGTAGCCTGAACCCTGGCGTCGGGAATGGCAACGTACAGGGTGTGGCGCGGGCGGTCTAAAAATGGCGGGCGAGGCGTACATCCCCGGCCAAGCTAAGTTCCGCGCGAACAGCTGCGGCGTCCAACGACGAACATCCCCAACCGCGCCCTCAGTCACTCTCCCGCCCACGCTGCGGAACAGCGCGGATCGCCCACCATGTCGCAGACGCAGCAGGTCGAGCATACCGACTCGATATCGAGCCAGGAACCGAACAACGAGACGGCCAAGAAGACCAAGTCCAGAAGGCCCCCGAGTGAGCGGCGACCGTCCGGTGCGCGACGACAAAGGATGCTGACAGCAGTGTAGATACGGCCTTTCGGCAGCAGCGACTGAAAGCATGGCAGTATGTTTGCGCCCGTGAAGCTGCAGCGCGTGAAGCGACGGGCATGGCTGACAGGCTTCCGCAGACCCATTCTCACCCCGAAGACGGTCCTTCCCATTTTCTTCATTGTCGGCATCATATTTGCACCCATCGGCGCGCTGCTGCTGTATGCGAGCTCTCAGGTATGCGCATTCTGAGGCGGCGGAAAGACCTGGCAGGCTGACACCCCGCTAGGTAAAAGAGATCGCGCTCGATTACACAGACTGCCTGACCGACAGCTCGTCGCCCAACACAACACTGCCCATTGGAAGCACCTCGCCTCTAAAGGAAATGCCGGCCGACAAGTACTCGCAGACGTTTAAGACGAAGTTGAACAACGACCCCCCCAGATGGGCACACGCGAAAGAAGCCTACACATGGCCATCAGGAAAGGAGCAGGACACGGACGTCTGCATACTCGAATTCAGCGTACCGGAGGAGATCAAGGGTCCCATCTACTTCTACTATCGCCTGACAAACTTCTACCAGAACCACCGACGCTATGTCAAGAGTTTCGACGTCGATCAACTGAAGGGAGATGCCAAAACGGGTCCACAGATAAAATCTGGCGAGTGTGACCCGCTCGATGTCGCTCCGGACGGTCGACCGTATTATCCCTGTGGCCTGATCGCAAACTCCATGTTCAACGACTCCTACAGCAACCTGACGGCGTTGAACGTGGACGACGTTAAGTTTTACAACTTCACGGAGAAGGGTATATCATGGAGCTCCGAGGGCGATCTCTACGGAGAAACAAAGTATCAGCCGAAAGACGTGGTTCCTCCACCCAATTGGGCAGATCAATATCCTGAGGATGGCTACGATTCCACATCTCTGCCAGACCTCCATACATGGGAGGCTTTCCAAGTCTGGATGAGGACAGCCGGTCTCCCGACTTTTAGCAAGTTGGCTATGAGGAACGACACTGCTCCCTTGTTGAAGGGCAAATACCGGGTGCAGATCTATGACCGTACGCGCCATATCATATCCGTGTCCTAATCTCATCACTAACTCGTAATCAAAGGGTTCCCGGCCTCCAAGTACGGTGGCACTAAGTCAATTCTCATCTCGACCCGCACAGTCGTCGGTGGCAGAAACCCCTTCTTGGGCATTGCTTACGTCGTTGTCGGCGGTCTCTGCATCCTGCTCGGCACCATCTTCACGCTGACCCATCTTGTCAAGCCAAGGTAAGACGCCGAGACATCGGAGAGAATCGAACAAGTAGACTGATTGTGGCAATAGAAAATTGGGTGATCATACTTACTTGTCGTGGAACAACGACCAGCCAAGCACCGCAACAACGACAGGCCGTGCCCGCCCCGGCGAAGGCGCATGATGATCACGGAAGTCCTTCCTAATGTAGATATGGGGCCTGGCATCTCCGATGCAACGCTTTCCTTTTCCTTTTGCAATTGAGTCGCGACCACGGTCCGGGGTATCGGGATGTGTATTTGTACCACAATGGTCTGCGCGTCTGGAGTTAAGGCGTACGTCAGCGACCAATCGAATCGCAGAATTCTTTTACATCACTATGCATCGCTCGAATGATTTCTTTGCATTGAATTGCTCACATGGTTGATACTGTCTGATCTTTAAATCCGCGCAAGACATTCAGCCCATCAGTATAGTGGCGGTGCTTGAGACAAATGTCCCCGCTTCCGTCCACGTTATTGACCTAGCCAGATGTCCAGACAGTGGACCAAATATGCCTAGATGGATATTGTGAGACTCCGGAATCCAGAACGCAGTGAAGAGGAAGATATAAGCTGCGCAAGAATGCCCACAATAAATATCACGACGAGCTCTTCGCAACGCAGCCACAATAAACAACTCTTGACAGCACCTCCAATCCGACGTCATTTGGAATTCGATACTACAAAACTATTCAAACAGTGGGAATTCCGGCTTCGCTATGTTCAAATCCTTCTTCCTTGCCTCCCTGGGGCTCGGACTGCTTGCCGCCGCAACAGAAAATGCAACTTCGCGCCCCAAATCCTTCGACTGCGGCACTGACACTCAACACGCTGATAACCACTTTTTGGATACCCTCAAAGGTCTGCATGAAGGCAATAATGGTGGCAGTCCAGCCCAGCGGGCTAAGCGCAACGAACTTCTCGCCCGCGCAAAAGACAATAGCACCGCCATCACTGTCGATGCCGTCTTCCACATCGTGGCCAAAAAGGACAAGAAGAACGACATCTCAAACGACATGCCTCAAGCCCAAGTCGACGCTCTCAACAAAGCTTACAAAGACTACGGTATCTCATTCAACCTGATCAACGTCACGTGGACCCAAAACGACAAGTGGGCTGTTGGCGAACCGAACGACGACGCTGAGATGAAAAAAGCACTACGCCAGGGCACTTACCGCACCCTCAACCTGTACTTTCAGACAGACCTCAGTGGCGGCGTCCTCGGGCGATGCAGTCTCCCTTCCAACGTGGCGAACGGTAAATCCGACCCTACCGTCTACTGGAACGACGGGTGCAATGTCAACGCAAACACCATGCCTGACGGCAATATGGACGGGTACGACTCCGGTATGACCGCCGTCCACGAGACAGGCCACTGGATGGGCCTCCTGCACACTTTCGAGGGCTACTCGTGCGATGGACCTGGCGACTACATCGACGACACGCCGTATGAAAAGGAAAGCACGGATGGGTGTCCAACGTCCCCAAAGAAGCAGACATGCCCGAACCAGAAGGGAGATGATACCTACGACCCGATTCACAACTACATGGACTACAGCACGGATTCTTGCTACCAGGGGTTCACGCAGTTGCAGAAGGAAAGAATGCATTACATGTACAACCTGTACCGCGATGGAAACTGAGAGGGGAAACGAGAATGGGCCTTGAAAGGCCACTGGGTTGTATTTGATGACTTGGCGCGTGTTATGTTCTACGGATTGCTTGGGTAAATTGCACATACTTAGAGTCGCTCCTTTTGTTGTTGCGCTTTGGATAGATTTACTTGCTGTAGTTACTTATTGTCATGTCTGGCATGTATGAGCTCGCTGTATCTTCCAGACATCCCTTTATCGGGTGGCTCGAAGGATGACTGGTTTGACATGATCGAACTCTTTTTGCTGTGTTTTAATTATGCCAGTGATGAAAAGTGACGGGAAAGATTACCATTGCATTCGGATCCTGCACGTTGAGCGAATATGATACAGCATCACCGAGGACTCTCACGAGTTATTTTGCGGAGACCGATTCCAGAGTGGAAATTACATGTGCACTTCTGTCAATCTCGCCCCGAACACCAGGTTTCCACGAGATCTCCCTTACGCATACGGTTGCGCACACTGACGATCCCTTGATCGGTTGGTAACTTCTCAGATGCATACCATTCTCAATGTGGCGGAATTGATCTTGTACTACGTCAGATATACCGGAAGTGTCACGAGAGCATTCCAGAACGTTGATGCTCGCGTCACTTCCTCTCCGCCTCGCAGGTCGAGATCGTGAGAAACCAAATTAACTTGACCGGACTACTGCCTCCAGTACGGTGACGATGCTCCGGCCTGCTGACGGCCTGCTGACTCTCGAGCCACAGCTTTATGCACCGCATTGGGAGCGATTGTCCTATGTCCGCTCACTCTCGGCGAATGTCGCTTCCCTCCGAGCTGGAACGGCAGCGGCGACAAAAATTATCTCGGTTCGAGAAATGGCTCAATATGTCTCACTTCCACGCATGAATGAAACCTACAATAGCCCGAATCCAAACGGCCTGGCCTTGGACCCGCATCTCCGGCCTGCCGTCTACGGCGTTCCACAACGTACCTGCACGCCATGCCTAGGGAAAGACACGATAGCGCCAGCTCCAGCTCAGGGCTTTGTCTAAGACGCAAGATGTCTAACAGCTGTCAAATTTCGGGAGGCGTTCGTAGGGCTAGACATACGCCCGCTGCGGCCATGACCAACCTCCTCCGCGCGCAATCCTTTGTTTCCGCATGCAGAGGTGTCCGTGCAACCATGGCAGCTGCGTTGGGCAGCCTCGAGGAAAGAAGTATGACCAGATGCGCTTGTAAGTGGTATAAAGAAAAAAATCTTCCATCCAATCTCCGTGTTGAGACAGCCACTACCATCTATCGGACGCGCACCGCACGACGACAGGCTGGGGGTCTTTGGACAAAACACCAGCTTCAATAGACGCGGCACTTGGCGCACTGAACTCTGTCCGTGACATCTCTTGCCACCTTTTCGCTGCATACGAGTCTTGGACGAGACAAGTGGGGAAGCACGAACAAAGACAAAGAAGACAGTACGGAAGCCAGCCACCAACCTTAGCACGCAGCTCTCCACGCCTGCGATTCGAGATCAGACAATCACGCCGCACAGCACCGCACCGAACCCTACACCTACGCCACCTAGCCCCGCAACGGCGCTCCTGTCCCACTAATGCCGGCCGTCTTCCACCGCCGCACTGCCTCGAGCTCCTCCACCGCTACAACCTCCTCTTCCCCGTCTTCGAAACCACCCTCCATATTCCGGTACACACTCATCCTGCTCAAAGCGAGACCCTCGGTTTCCGACATCGACGCTATCAGCGTCTACTCCGAGAGCCGCAGCACCCCGCCCTCGCCGACGGCGCAGCACACGTTGAGGGAGTACTTCCTTGTCGTGCACAACGAAGAGCGCGGGGACGAAAGAGAAAGAGTCGAGACCCCTCCGCCGCCGTACGAGCCCAGGGTTCTGCCGGGATATGGAGAAGATGCAGGGCCAAGAGTATGAGCAGCACTCGGCGGGTCGACCGGCGCTGAGGTGGAGAGAAAAGATGGATGTGCTCGCGATGAGGCTGGTGGAGTCGTGGGCGAGGATCGGTATTTTGATTCTCTGTACGATGCTGGTTGCGCTTGGGGTTCTGATTGTGAGACCGAGGGCCCAGGGTAACCGGATGCCTGACGAATCCCATCAACATGTTAGGGAGCAGCGGGAACGGGCGGACAGCGCGCTGGGGATGCTGTCCGAGGTGGACGTGGGTGCTGCCGCCGGGACTTTCAAGGATGCGGAGATGGGCGGAAAGACGGGGAGGCGGAGTGGGAGAGGGGAGAGGGAGGATGGTCTGGACGTGGAGGATACCTGTGTCGTGCAATAAGAGTGTTGATGAGCCTAGTCCAACAGCATCTATACCTCTTTCTCTTGTAATGTATGCTTATGATGTGTGGCAATGCATTTCAATCGTACGATTTCGCCGTGTCTTGACAAGGTTGTTCCTTCTCGTTGATACTATTCGCTGTCTGGAAACTCTCATTGTCCATGCAGTGATGTCGGAAGTCGAGGTAGAGCGCGGTGTAGTCGCTAGCCTCCGACTAGTGAACCACACTCTCGAGGAAAACTACCTGCGGTAATTAGGTTAGCTCTACGTTCGGAGCCGATGCGTTGTACGCCGACAGAAACAGTTAGCAAATCCATCAACGAAAACCGCGAGACTCACTGTGGAAATCCCAATACAGTTCTACTATACGTGAGCTGTCATACGACACAGCTGAATACACGCCAAAAAGTTCGATTTCGCGTCCGCCATTGATACAATATGGTATACACTACATTTTCCTACACCCTCACACCCACTCCCTCGGGTTCTTCAGCACCTCCAGCAGCCTCTCTTCCCTGCTCCCCTTCTCCGGCTCGTGCATGTACTGCCACCTCGCCGTAAGCGGCAAGCTCATCAGGATACTCTCCACCCGCGAGCCAGGTGTATTCAGCCCAAACGCCGTTCCCCGATCATGCACAAGGTTGAACTCGACATAGCGCCCTCTCCTGAGTTGCTGCCACCGCTTCTGCTCCTCAGTAAACGGCATGTCCTTCCTCTTATTGATGATGGGGATATAGCTCGGCAAGAAGGCGCCCAAGCAGTCCTGCACGAAGGAGAAAAGCTGCTCCTGGTCCTTCTCCGTCTCGTCGAGGTCGTCGAAGAAGATGCCGCCGACGCCGCGCGTCTCGCCGCGGTGCTTGTTGTTGAAGTACTCGTCGCACCACTTCTTGAAGCGCGGGTAGTAGCTCTTGTCGTGCTTGTCGCAGGCCGCCTTGATGGTGCCGTGGAAATGGATCGCGTCTTCGTCGTAGAGGTACGACGGCGTGAGGTCGCACCCGCCGCCGTACCACCACGCGTTGGTGTTGCCGTGGTCGTCGGCCGTCTCGAAGTAGCGGTAGTTGAGGTGCACGGTGGGCGCGTTGGGGTTTTTCGGGTGCAGGACCATGCTTAGGCCGCTGGCGAAGAACTCGAGGGACTCAACGGTTGGGTCGAGGGCCTTGTGGTTCGCGCGCATCTTTGCGATGGCTGGTTTGGGGAGACGTCCGTACACGACTGAGATGTTTACGCCGGCTTTTTCGAAGACGTTGCCATCCTGCAGCACGCAGCTTATGCCTCCGCCGCCCTCTGGCCGCTGCCATGAATCTGCAACGAACTTTTTGCCATCGACCTTCTCGAGCTCAGCGACAATCTCTTTCTGATGTTGTTTTATGAACTGTTCCATGCGCAGGCGCATTGGCGATTGCTCGTTGATGCCGTTCTCGCGCTTCAGTATAGAGTCTTTCTCGGCGATGGATGGCGGCTCGGTTTCGTAGATGGACGTGTCTGTCCACTGATCTTGAAGTTAGCCTTCCGAAAGATACTGCAGGGCAGCGGGCGCACCATGGAGTATACTATGGCCCCAATGAAGGGCAGCATGAGCAGTCGTATCCGGTTTGGCCATTTGCTGGGCTTGGGGTTCCGCCATTCCTCCAATGGATCTGGCTTTGGTTTGGGGGCCCCATCTGACATGCATCTTCGCGCGAAGGCGCTCTGTCTCGATGTAAAGAAGGTCGGATGCAGTGCGCGCTTAGATGCGCCGATCTGAGGGAGCTCGAGAGCTCGAAAAGCGCGGCATGATGGGCGGAAAGGCGGCATTGTGGGAGCGCCTGCGGGATTGAGGAGGGAATGAAGGCTATGATGCGACCATGGAAGGCAGGAGCGAGGTGGTCGCCTTCTTAAAAGTGAGGACTATCCGTTTTGGGTGCCGTGGTCAGAGAAACGGCAAAAGCTGTCGATCTCACACCACGGTCGGCGCATAGAGCTGCTGGCTACCGAGGGGCGCCGAATCACGTGCTTATCGATAGCTTGGGGCGGGTGCGCACGCCGCATTGTAGCTTTACATGTCTCCCATACCCAGGGGCTCCTAAATGGCACAGTGTCGCGCCAAGAAGCTTCTCGTCTGTTTCGGGACAACACATGCTCTCCAGAGTCTGGAGTTGTGGCCTGGGGTGAGACAGGCGCTGGCGCCTCTCCAAACGCGAGATGCAGATGCTGGCTACATCGACGCAGAACGTACATGGCTGTAGCAGTGAAGTCGATGACTCAACAGGCCAGGAGGCCAGCAGGTCACGAGCAGCTGGAGCAAGTGACTTCGCTCGGGGTTCGGGGGCTGGTGCGACGGGCACACAGCCATGCTCGCGGCAAGAGTCACCCAGTTCGGTTGAAACAAAGGGCGGTGCAGTGCAGTGCTCTGTGAAGCACGGAAGTCAAGTGCGCTAGGCCCTTATCCTCTGTGTCTCGGTCAAGGTGAAGGCAGGCGCGAGGATGAGTGCGTGGTGACTAATGAGGTAGTGACCACCTGCGCCCCGCTCCCGCCTCTTGCTGCCTACATAACGCCGTTCACCGCTCGCCGCCCTGGCCTCTCTCTTCAACCCACCTTTACCGCCCGTTTCGCCCAACGACCCGCCCGCCCGCACATATAAGACCTTCGCGCCCCTGCATGTCCGAGAAAGCACACACATCAACCTCAGCCACCGATACCACCAAGATGCGCTCCAAGTTCAAGGACGAGCACCCCTTCGAGAAGCGTAAGGCTGAGGCCGAGCGCATCCGCCAGAAGTACAACGACCGCATTCCCGTACGTCGCTCGATCCCCCGCCGCGCGGTCGCACAGCAGCTAACAGGCGCAGGTCATCTGCGAGAAGGTCGAGAAGTCGGACATCGCGACCATCGACAAGAAGAAGTACCTCGTCCCCGCAGACCTCACAGTTGGCCAGTTCGTCTACGTGATCCGCAAGAGGATCAAGCTTTCTCCGGAGAAGGCCATCTTCATCTTTGTCGACGAGGTGCTTCCCCCGACCGCCGCGCTCATGTCCTCTATATACGAGGAGCACAAGGACGAGGACGGCTTCCTGTACATCACGTAAGTCTCTCGCGCCTCAACAACTGGAAGTGCCACGTTGCTAAATGCAAACAGCTACTCGGGTGAGAACACCTTCGGCGAATCGTCTTGAGCGTCTACATCGATCCCATCAGCTTTTCCTGCGTTCATCTCATGGTTCACGATGGCGGTGTGAGGGCGTTCTTGGTTTTACGACGGGCATGTTTTATATATCATTTGGAAATGACTAGGGAAGGAGGCTGCGGGAGAAACGCCGCGCCCAGCTCTCATCAAGCCCCACTGGGTGCGCTTCCCTCCGTCTCAACGCAGGGTATGCGAGCAAATGAAGCTGGTTATCTCAGTGGTGTCCCAGCTCGTCTCTCTTGTGTTGACTCCCTGTGTTGACTGTAGCACATCTCTGCTTCCTATAGTACGAATAACAGGGCCTGATCCGAGAACCACGACCGCTGAACATCCCGTGAATGCCCTCAATCATGTATGAACCCACCAAGCTACTTAGGTACCTTCTGATCACTCAGCGTGACATGCGGCTCATCTGGCGCCTGAAACGATGACGCCATCGACCGAACCTGACCAAGCAAGTCACCTGTGCGTCCGCCACGGCACACGCGGCGACGGACGCACCAGAAGACCATGTGTCGGAGCGCGAGCGTGTTCCAGCTGTCTCAGCGCGCCCAAGCAGTACCTGTCACGTACCTGCGCGGCGCGCGGCGGGCAGATCGTGGGGTAGCTGGGCTGGCTGGCTAGCAGCCGAGGCGCTCGGAGCACAGCCCTACGCGTGGGACGGGCGTGTGTGAACGTGGAGACGAACGGGCGGCCGCGCGCAGCACCGACAAGCTTTACATACTGCGAATTAAGCTTCGGACATCAATCACAGCTGCTACGCAACACTTGACTACCGCGCGCCATGGCATATCAGTACATCATCTCGCGGTCCGTCCTCGCTCCCGCCTCTCGCCGTGTTGCAAGCAAGACCGTGCTAATCCCCACCGCAGCACCCTCGACCCCATCTTCGCCGTGTCCATCGGGCTCGCCGCCGCCGCGACGCGCATCAACCGCGAGGAGAAGGACAAGGGGCGCAGCACGGCGCAGACGGTCGATGTGTTCAAGCGGAGAGTAGCGTTGTGGTGGGACGGCGGCGCGAAGAATTGAACGGGTTGAGCTGTGGAGCTAAGAAAGATTCAACAAGCATGTGTTGTACAGGGGGAGGAGTATGTGATACCCACGTCGCAGGTGGAGCAGAGGCTCGTTGGGGCTTAGGGGGATGGCTTAGTTGAAGATGCTCTTTGCATCATGAGTTCAGGATGAACTTGAGATGGAAGAGATGCTTTTGCACCAATTGTATGGGAGCACAACGCCTAAAGAAATACAGCCTCTGGATACGCGTTGAGAACTACACGGCGGGCTAACTGTGGGATGCGACGTTCGTTCCAACAGCGACGATCAAGTCAAGTGTGCCTTTGCGGTCAAGACCTGGGCAGATAGGGCTGTGTATGGTGGAAGACAACAATATATTGACTATCCTTGACCTTGTATCCCCCATGTCTTTCTTTGTTTTACAGGTACCTTATTTTGGGCCATTGATCCCTACAACACATTAAAGAATTGCTAAGAGAGTTCGCAACGCACCTTCACCCAAACTCATGTTAACTTTTGCCCCTCAAGCCCAGCTTCAAGTCACTGCAAGTAGCCGTTGGCCTTCAGCCATTCCCGCACAACACCTTCATCGCGATTTCTGTACTTGGCGTGACTTCGGATGGTGTCATCGATGACATCCAGGCCCTTGTCGTAGCCCCGGTTGTCCTTGCCCTTGAAGAACGCTGCGATCTCATCCGCAACCTTCTCATCTGCGAACTTGTTCAGACCGAAACGCAGGAAGCGCTCGAGTACAACCAAATTGCCCGCAAGCGTCGGGTAAATCTTGCTGTCCCAGTTATTTCGGACGAAATTCCACACTTCGGGGCGAGCCTTGGCATTGTTGGCGAGGACGATCGTACCGCTGTGCTTGTCCTGCATCGCAACCTTGTCCGAGAAGATGAAATCGAGGACCTTGTTGGCAAGTTCTGGTGTCTGTACATGACCTAGCGAACGCAGGCAGATCTCCTTACCGTCAATAGATGACGTGGTGAGGAACTCGTTCTTGATAGCCTCGAAAGCGGACTCTCCTCGTTCTTTGACCGCGACGGCAAAGACGGTCCTGCGGAGCGACGGGTTGATGGCCGACTTATCTTCACCAGAGATGTACAGATCAAATCGGCGCAAAGCCTCGTCTACAGTAGCTTTGTGGCCAAGCAGACCGGCAGTGAGGGTAAGCTGAGCCCGAAGCTGACCCACGAGGTAGCTCTCGCCTTCTGGGAACTCCCAACCAACCTTCTCGGTGGCTGGCCCAATCAGCTCGAGCTCGAATTTCTTTAGTGCATCGCTGATGTCTGGCGAACTGGAGAATGTGTTACGAACGGTGCCAATGTTGTTGATAATTTGAGCCCACACCCTATGAGAGTCAGTTTGTTTCCGACTGAATATAGATATTGTACTTACAAGTACTCTTGCTCATCCTGGAATCGCTTGACAAGAGCCAGCAAGCCTGCTGTCGAGCCGTAACCGGCAACAGCGTTGGCGTAGGCATCTCCGATGATGCCAATTTTGTCCTCAACAGTGAGGTGCTTGCGGTCTTCACCGAGCTTCTCGAGGCGTGCAGGTGGGTAGTTGGTCCGATAGAAGCCGGTAAGGTTCTTATTAACCTGGTAGTAAGAGTCATTGACATCGCGGATGGTACCTTCCTTCTCAGTCAAGGCAGTGGTCTTGTGTGTTGACGCTGCAGTGATGGAGTCACCAGTTTGCAGGCCCAACGGAATCCACCACACAGTCTCGTCCTCCTCTGGCTTAGCGTCACCAGCCAGTAGGAAACGCTGCTGACGAAGGCCGATCTGTCCAGGCTCCTCGGCGACAGTCACAACAGGGAAGCCAATCTTGCGGACCCAGTTGTCCATGAAGCTGTTAACGTCCTGACCGGAAGCCTTGCTTAGAGCAGACCAGAGGTCGTTCGTGGTCGCGTTCGAGTATTGATGCTTCTTGAGATAGTCTGCCACTCCCTGCAGGAAAACCTTTTCGCCGAGGTGAGAGCTCAACATGCGGATAACTGAACTACCCTTCAGGTAGCTGATGTGATCAAAGATCTGGTCGACCTCCGGGCCATCCCTGACAGGTACCTCAATAGCATGAGACGTTCGCAGTGCATCGAGCTGGAAGGCTGTTTGGACAGATTCAGTCTATATTTCAAAGGTTAGCATTGCGAGAATTGAAGGTACCTGCAGACTTGCGACGTACAACGAACTGTCCCCATACATTCCAGTCTATAGACGAGTTAGTATTGCCAAGTGTCTTTAGTCAAAGGTGTCGAACGCCGCTTACCGGGATAAAGGTGGTCTATGGCGAACCAGCCCACCCAGGTAGCAAATCCCTCATTCAACCAAAGCTCGCTCCACCAGTCCATGGTGACCAAGTTGCCAAACCACTGGTGAGCAAGCTCATGTGCCACAACGTAAGCAACACGGTTTCGGTAGCTGTCTGCGGAGGTCTTGGGATCGAAGAGTACAGCGGTTGTGCTACGATACGTTAGTCAATGTCTCACTGTGGATGTGATCGACAAACCGGTAAGTGATGAGGCCCCAGTTCTCCATAGCGCCGTGTGACTAGAAAGCAATGGTCAGTTAGACATTTGATGAGAGTGGAAAGAGTACGTATAATTGCCTAACAAGGACGTCAAAGCACTGCACGTAGGCATGTTCACGCTGGGACGACTTACGAATTCATGAACAGCAAGTAAGTCAACCTTAGGCAAAGGATAGTCAACTTGGAATGTCTGAGATAAGTTTTAGTAGGTTACAATCCGACAGGGTATTGTGTCGTTACCTCAGAGAAGTAGTCAACAATTTTGTGGCAGTTCTCTAACGCGAAGCGTCCCTGTTCCTTGAGTCCACGGGTAGTGTAAACCCTCACAGGGAGATTCTTGCCGTTGTACTGTCGCTTTGTAAACGCCTCGACGTATTCAAAGTCTCCGATGGCCCATGCAAGAAGATATGTCGACATCACAGGGGTAGGCTCGAACACCACAGTGTGGAATCCGTCCCTCTTGCTTGGTTTGGTTTCCTTTTCAGGCATGTTGCTTAGCGCAGTGAGGTCCTTGGGAACTTCGAGCGAAACGGTGAAGGTCGCCTTGAGGTTGGGCTCGTCGAAACAAGGGAAGGCTCGACGTGCATCGCATGATTCGAACTGGGTGCTGAACATGTAGTGGAACTCGTCATCTTTAGCGACAGAAGCGGGCACGTCGCCCTGTGGCTTGTATTTGGAGCGGTAGAAGCCAGCCATAATCTGTGGCGCGTCAGCAGACGTCGAACAATCGAAATGTATAATCCTACGTTGTTGATGGTTCCCTCGAACTTCAGTGTCAGCGTAGCCTCTCCCGAGTATTGTATCTTCTCTCCAAAGTCCAGAGTCACGCGATGGCGCTTCTCCTCGTATGAGATGTTCTTCACCTCGTGGCTTCCTGTCGATGTCTTGAGCTCGGCGCTATTGACCTTGAGCTGATGGGTGTTAAGTACAAGGTCATTAAAGCCATCGTCCTTGTTGATGTTCGTTGTGATCGCGACCGTTCCTTGGTAGGTAAACTTGCCGCCGAACTCAATGTCGTGGATGGATATGTCGTAGTGAGAGGGTTTGGCCCTAGTAACAGAGTCAGTGCTATTCAAAGCCAATTCCATCTGATCATAGAAGAGAGGGTTGGCCAGCTCTCCACATTGGTCTTTGACCTAGAATTGAGCTCACTCACCAAGAGGGCAAAACATCTCTATCAGAGGCCATAGCTACGAAGCTACTGCTGGCCTCACTTGAGCAGTATCTGATACTAGTACTGACCGCGGACTGGACGGTCGCAATGCGCGCAGGCGTGAAGGTCGGACGAGTACGAGTCGCAGAATGCACGCGAGCTTTTGCTTTGATAAAGCTTGTAGACGCTGTACAAGTCGACAGGTAATAAGGGGTCGGACGTGCGAAAAGTTGCTGCTTCCAGAGCGCGGGGCGAGAACAACGTCTCGAGATGTGAGGGAGGGTCGCCAGCTTGGTGGAGGGGTCGGAATGGGTGCGGAGCAAAAACGCGGAATTAGATAATGATGGGGATAGTTCAAGGAAGGTGCAGCTTGCGCGCGTTCGCCGGTTGGCTGCAGCTTGCCCCGCCGGAAGGAGCCACCCCGCGTTAAACCACAATAGGGAACTAGTCAATAGAGCAATATCATGAGCTGATTTAATGGCTGGGTCCGGTGAAAACTGTGTAGGTCATATCACGCGTAGCTGGAGCGTTTATGAGCGCATAGATGCGGCGTGTATCGGTAAGTCGAGCGACTACCAACATCTTCGATCCACCATCGTCATCCGCGGTACGAGCAATAGCAAAACATTTTCAGATCTTTGTTTCGCAATCGTGCGTATTGCTTGTTTCCAAATTTCCGAACAATTTCGAAGGAGCCTTGTAACTAAGATCAACCAATTCATTATGAGTCGCAACGACTCAACGTTTTGGGCAGCATCATGTGCTATTCTACTTTCATGTACTGATCAAGAAATTCGGCGCGTATGGTCATTGCCTACACATTGCCTTGTCTAACGCCAGGTAAATGCCCCAAATCGAAACCTGAGCGCCGTGGCATGCAATCGAATGACGCTGATTGCAACCACCTGCGCCGCACCCTAATCAACGCCGCACTCTCCACTGGGTATAGTGGTCGTTGAGACCTTTATCATTTATACATGCGCTGGATAGCAAACAGTATTCATATTCGAACCAAGATATCCAGGCACTCGATCTTCCACTCTTTCTTGCCCACCAAGCCTTTCACCCACTCGTAGTTCCCTGAACCGCTCGCTCCTACCGCATCTGCCGTCTTGTTGCGCACGCTGTCCATCGCTCCCTTCAACAATGCCTGGGCCGTGTTGTTTGCGGCCTGCGCAAGCACTCCCGCAGTCTCGAAGATGGTGTCCCGGAACGGACTCGTACCGTTGAGCGCGAACTCCGCACTTTCGGTCGAAAGCGGCGCTTCAAACCAAGGGGTATGAAAGTCGAAGAGCGCTACCACGAGAATGAAGAGGAGGAGCGAACAGTATACACAGGGACGGTTAAGGAAGTAGGTTGCGGAGATAAACAGGACGAGGTAGACCGGCGAGGCATTGGTACGCAGCCTGCATGGTCCAGTTAGTATGCGTGTTTCGGTAAACGGGATAATCGAGCATAGGAGGGCGTACAAGAAGAAGAGAACGGGTATCCAGCTCCGTAGACAGAACATGGTGGTCTCGCGAGCGTGAAAGATACGCGGGAACGGGCTGATGCCGCGGGCGACGGTCGAGGAATCGCGACTCGGCGGGGCGGACAGGCAGATCGTGCGTTCCGACTTGAGAATAACGAGCGTAGAGTATATGGATATTTGCGGGAGGTGAGAGGATGAGAGGCGAAGCTGTGCCCAAGCAGTTGGTCGTGGATTTGGCACCAAGACTAGAAGCGGCTCTCGGGTGACGCCGCGTGCAGCCCAGGCAGGTGCGGCGTTCTTCCACGTGATCCTCGCGGGCTTACAAATTTAATCTTACTCCGACGCTCATTCGCAACATTGACTAATGCGCATTCAAGGGTTTCTATTGAACGCTCAGATAACCGCCAGACTGTTCGGGGGAAGAGACTATTAGTATCTGACTTTGTGGGTAAATCAACTTATGTACATCAGCATGCCACATTCTCCGGAGAATATGTCCACCATGCAAAAGCCGTCCGTATATTCTAGCGAGGTCGACAATGTCGCAGTCATGCAGATTCTCATGAATAGTATATACAATAGAAGTGAAAACAACTCTCCAACTATCACAGACCATCGAACCCGCCACTAGCCAGCCAATCGAAGTCACGACATCTAGAACTCGCGCGGGTGCTCACGGCCGAGGCCGAAGATGCTCTTCCTGACGAAAGAAACGAACCTCTTTGCAGAGGCAGAGTACACGGCTGGGCCTGGAATCTTGTAGCTGGAAGCATCGCTGTAGATGTTGACCTTGATGCCTGCGTCATCCTCGGTGTACAACTTGTTGGCAGCCGTGGCAGTCGGGCTAGTGGAGCCTCCACCAGTGACCTCGATGTTGATGCACTTGGGATAGTTTTGGGCGCCGTTCTCTTGCCCTGCCGAATGCAGAGCGATTATTTCGTGGCGCAGAACGTACTGGCCATCCGCAATGTCAGAAGGGATCGTGACAGTCCAGGTCTGATTATTTGCGATGAGCTTGTCAGTAGCCCACTGGTCGCTTTCGTAACCGGCTTCGTCGATCTTGAAGAACTGCAGGTCGGTGGACTTGGCGGAGGTTGCATCGTCGACCTTGGCGAGATAGTCAAGGACGGGACCCTTGTGCGATTCTGGCCAGGTGGTCCACTGTATGTCGATCTTGCTGCCTGCCTTGACGGAGGCAACCTTTCCTCCGGCGGTGGCGTCTTTGTGGCAAGCAATCTTGGTAGCGTCGCCATACATAGAAGGCTCAACGAACCCATTGTCCAGGCACTCAGGGCAGGACCATTCGATGACCTCCGGCGCAGGGCTCTGGTATTGGAAGCTCGGGTCGTAAGCCGTGTAAGGAGTACCATCAACCGTAATGGCGTTTAAGTGGCCATGGGCTGACACAGAGGATGCCAATGCTCCAACAAGAGCGGCAACTTGAATCTTTGAAGAAGACATTGCCAACGGATTCGATACTTAGCAGGAATCGTGGTAGTGAAGGATAACTTAAGCTTCGAATTCAATGAAGAGTGTGGAAGAATGACTTCAGTCGATGAAGCGAGTTGGAACGAATAGAAGTGTCGAAAGGAATGTAAGTGAATGACTTGCAAGACGCTATGAGAGAAAGCTGTACCGTTGACTTTGCGCCTTATATACCACGAATCAAATTACTGATAATGACATGTCGATCAGTCTAGAGCATGTCAAACAAGTACTTCCAATGCCCACGGTCATTTGCTTGTCTCACCCAGGCTCCACAAGAGTTACCTGACGCTGTGGAGAACGACCCACTATCCGCGGTCATGACCAGTTCTTGACGAATGCCTGTCCCATAGTCAGGTTAGAAAGACGACTCGACTATCATGTCATCGACCTAGAATATCGAAAAACACGGCCAAGGGCAGTTTCAAAGTCAATGTGGATTGCCGATCCGAACAGGTTCCTTGGTATTTACAGGTCCAGCAGCGAGTTGCGACGAGTCTAAACTACATCGTGATGCTCTCAAAAATATGGTGCTGTTGATCTGTAGCACAAGAGGTGCATGGCGAGGATGACCGCCCTCTATTGGACTTAGTGTGCACACGCGTCTCCCGTCAACTCAACCATCCTACTCCTGCAGCATCAACGCATTTTCCACTCTATGTCCGGAGGTTTCATCCTCCCCAGTCTTCTTTCATTTACTTCCTGCAAGAAAAGCCACACGGTCACCGTTTGCGTCACGCGTTTCGTTCTATTCGTCTAGGCTTGTTTCACGAACACCCGCGAGTGGGTCAACTTAATATCGACCACGCAGTCGGAGCTCAGAGACTGGATAGTTGTGCACGCAAAAAACTTCCACCGAAATCATTTATGGATACTTCGACCACCAGAAGGGCTGGTTTGTGATGCTCTCCTCAGAGCTTTCTGCAGTTTCATCGCGAATGAGGTCGGGTATCTACGTCATTGTGTCCCCTTCCAACATTGGGCTTGACCACAGAACCGTGCCTGAAACACAATACTATCCGCTTCACTAATCAACTGAAGCCTTTCAACGGAACTAGACCAGTTCTGTCCGTTTTGGTGGTACACTCAAACTTCTGCACTCGGCGCTGCGTAATTCAGAGATCCCTTGGTATTTATCAAGTCGGATGCATCGATCGCTATCGTGTCACGCGTCAAATCTGCATCTGTCGGCAGCGAAGAGAATCGAAGCAATGCCATCGTCTTGCACCACTGTAGCAAGCACCAATGCTATATGACACCTCTCTCTATTCTCATGTTATCAGATCTTCCCGACTGTTTCGTAACTGCAATTGATTACGGTCCATCGTCTGTTAGCAATTATAGTTGAGAAGCTCAGTACCGTACGTAAGTGAAGGTAGGATTTGGTTGGGATTCTTGCTTGATCTCCTGTGGGTTAGTACCATATCTACACAGGTAACCTAGCCATTCATTCGTCGTAGGCCTTTATCGCGCAACCATACCCATCTCACTACTTTGTGAGTTCTCTGGGCCAGGCGATGTTGAGTATCCGCAGTCTATCGTTAAAGGTGGGCAATCTTACTTAGAGACAGGTCAACCTGCGCAGGGTTGCCTATATAAGTGAAGCAACTCGTAAATATAACAAATGAATAAACAGCCTGGAGTTTACAGGATTATCCTTGGGAAACCCCCATCGACAAGACGTAAGTTGGGTACATCAAAGATACTACACATGGATAAACCGTACACAAACGAGTCTACCATCGAAACAGTTTGCACAGCCGTCATATATCATGTTGCTACCTACATGATCATTAGCATCTTCGTTGCTTTTGCTTTCACATTAGCTATAACACTCGTCGACTGCATATTGTCCCGGTCTGTAATCGAATTCGTTGCAAGGATCCTCGTTGGGCGTACGGTTGTGTGTTTCTTAGTAGAGGTTTGGTAGTGGCTCTCTCCGACCAACAAGGGGATGTTGATATACAGCTGGAGCTCTTGGAAAACGTGGGGCTGGCCCAGTAACGAAGACAGTGAAAAGTATTGTCGCGGAAAGCATGGTACTTTGCAGGATCTCGATTCATTTTAAGAACCGAGAACATGGAGTGGGGAAACATCAACACGCGGAAACAACCCTATGATCCGCCGCCTCAAGAGTCTCAGTCATGGGAGACCAACTGCCATTGGCCCTTCATTTCCACCGGCCTGTTACTCTCTTGTCGACCCTCGGAGGCCAATACGGGAACCTGGCGACCCGTCACTACAGTCAGTAAGAAAAAGATACACTCTCACTTCTGTATAAAGGTCGCGCTTCGAAGTGATTCCAGAAGACGTACCAAATTCAATCAGAGGAACTTTGAATCAGCGCACTGGTTCGCTATCACGACCACATCCGAAGCCGATCCAGCTGATCCTTCCTCTTCTTAATCGTCTCCGGGTCTCCTTCTGTTGTCATAAGGTCTGGTCGTCGAGGCGGCGTCTGATATTTGAGGACGCTTACGGTATTTGCGTCGGGTTCGATGAGCATATTGGGGTTCTGCTGAGGTCTAAAATGAGGTGCCAGAGACGAAGTCGTCTTCCGTGTCGCGATGTGCACATTCTCAAGGCGGTTTGCGAGCTTTGCCGCTTCTTGCTTATTTTGTACATCGTTCGGACTATCTTCGTCGCCAGCGGCCGTTGGCTTGTCGCTATCGCAGGCGCCATATCCGCTATGATTAGCATTGTCATCTTTGATACGAGCGAAGGCCTTGTTAACTACCATCTTCCACGCGTTGAGGAGGATATGGAAGCGGCCCACGCAAAGAGAGAGTATGAGAGCGATGGCGGCGACGGCGACATACTGGCCAACCGGATCGAGGACGAAATATTCAAGCCAAGTGCCAGTGGCGAGCTCGGTGATGCAGGATTGTATTGCGTTCCACGTTTTCTCGATGAAGAGCTCAAAAGCGAATTTGTCGCGGAATGCACCGCGCATGACTGAGTGTGGAGCTTGTAGCTGGTGGTGGAAGCTGAATTTGAGTCTGTCCAGGTGGTGGAAACGCATTTTAAGAAGAGAATCTGGGCCAGCGCCGCCGTGAAAATAACCTCACTCGAGAAGGTTGTTCTTGAAAGGAAATCAATTCTGCCTTTGCCAACTCAGTTGCTCAATGGTGATAGGTCCACGTGTTCCACGTGCAAGTCTCCTCACCTTCAGATGTGTACAAGCACAAAAGAACCCCCAAATGGTCCCTATGGTTGTCAAGAAGTGGTGTTGCAGCCCACAATAGATGCTCAAGCCACTGCTTCAGCGCTATTGCATTAGCTGCGGGTTCCCGAATCTCTCTAATCTGCTAACAAACGATTCATACAGAGCCAAGGATGCACTTCAGGTCTCATATTTCATTGCTTTATTTCTATGTCAGCCTGAAAAACCTGCACAGACTTGCACGTATGTGCAAAGAGAATCGGGCGTGGCTCAGTCTAGCGTTTAAGTCACTATGATCTTAGATTTCTGTCTGGCCGTATTAGTCAATGGTCTTGGTCCAGAGTGATTGCGCATGCTTTTCCAGGCGGCTTGCTAGATTATTTAGCAGACAGTTGATGGGGCGTTGTGTAGCTGAGAACATGCTGACGGAACAAACACACGAACACAAATACATGATAATGAGTGCACGCCTCAGGGATATTAAGCCTCCTGGGAGCCCTTACTCCCGCCGTATTGCAAGTTTTGAACCGCATGTGACTCTTGTTCCAAGTCATTGATCAATCTTTTCAAGCCAGTCTTCATTGGCTGCAGTTGTTCCATTGTGACTGTTCCTTCTGCTAGTGCCGATTCGAAGCCCTTGTCCCAATTCGCTAGGGACCCACGAAGACAGCTGACACTCGCTTGTGGGTCGTAACTCCGGTTATGTTTCGGCTCTATATTCAGCGAAGATAAGAAGGCGCTCACATCAAAGCTTTCGCCGTGACGAGATTTCTCTTCTTCTATGTCCTCCAAAATGATCCTCTGCAGTCTTATCAAATTCATTGTCGACGAAAGAAGTGTGGGATTGCGTTCACTATCTGTGCCGGCCTTCGGTCCAGGTGATGCCAGTCCTAGAGTCTGAATTCTTTCGTTGATCTGAAATGCGATGTATTCAGCTTCCCGAGTCATGGTATCCACAGTGTTGCCTGAAGGTCGGGGATTTGATCGTGCTGCCAACTTCCAGTCTATGCGAGGCTCGTCTATCCCTGCATATAGTAAAACGGGGTAGATAGGCTGTGGTAGCCAGCTCACGGGAGTCTTTTCCGGGAAGGGGCTCAAGGTTGATGTCCCCGAGATTCCCGCACGGCGCAGAAAGAGCCGTATAAATAATGTCGTCTGATAAAATGGCTTCCCTAGGAAAATGTGGTCCAGTTTTCCAAGGAAGTCAGGGCTGTTTGCCAGCTGCATCAAGTCGTCGTCCTTCTTTTGTTCCGCTTTGCACATCTCATTTTGTGCTTTCATACTGCGGGAGCGATTTAAGATCGCGTGCGCTGCACCCTGTGATCCCAGAATTGCCCCCGCAAGAGTAATTCCGGCATATCCCACGAATCGTTGCCAGGGTGGGAGCATGCCCAAAGGGCTCACTTTGATACGCAAAGCCAGGGCGCTGAGCCCGCCCAAAATGGCGCCGTCATCGGCGGTGAATCCATTGCTACGTGCACATAATCTGCTAGGCGATGTCGACACCTGCACGTCTTTCTTGACAAGGATTTCGCGCGTTATTCGAGTGTCGACTATGGCACAGGTACCGACAGCCAGCATTGACAAAGCACCAAATCTGAAGGTCCACGCTCCCGGACGAGCGCGACGAAACAATCGTAAAACGGGAGCGGAGAATAGTGCACCTACTATCGCAAAGCCGCCAGCTGCATCAAGAATGCCAGTCGAAAGCCAGTTTTGATTGGGTGGCCTCCACCCAAGCTCCTCATCTGCTGCTATTATAGCGTTAGAAACTTGTTCACGACTTTGATTCAACTGTCATACCCCTGAGGCCTGGAAAGAGGCGAATCACCATGGCTTCGTCGCAAAGTGAACTGCGCTTTGCACACACAGTCCTGACAAAATTCACAACTGTACACGTGCAGAGTCGCGACGCGAAGTTTATACTGTAGGTACCAATGGTACGATATGTGCACGGACCAATCGTCGGGCCGAACCTTGCCCAAATTCGTTCTTCCGTCGCACATCACCGCCATCAAACGATCAATCCCAAATTCCACCTGCCAACTTCTCCAGTAAAACTATAAAAATCGCAACAATGTTCCGCCGTTTCTTCACCTCTCAAGAGCTCAAGAACACCGGCTCTCTCGCGCGTGACCTGCTCGCGAGCGAGCGCACCTTTTTGGCCTGGACTCGCACCGGTCTTGGCTTTATAGCCTTGGGAGTTGCCTTAGAGAAAGTCGAAGCTTTTGCGGCCATCTCCCCGACTCTACTGCATCTAGAGGATAGCAGAACCAAGTTGGCGGCAGGGGTTCTGGTTGGAAGCGGCAGCTTGTGCGTCGCTCACGGCACGGCCAGGTACTTTGGCGTGATGAAACAGTTGGAAAGAGGCGTGTTTAGACCAAACGTGGCCGGCATCACCATGATGGCTACGATGAGCATCGGGATCGCAGTTGCAGGGACGTTGCTAGTATTGGAGAATGAAGATACCAAGAAGAGAAGAAAGAATATCGACCTGCAGAGTGGATGAACGGTGCCCACGACTAGTACCAGACGGTCCATCATGATCATCCAATCAAGGAAGGGCGATACCTAGCCATCTTAGACGCAACCGCTCGGTTTCGGTGTAGCCGGTGTTGATTGGCAACATGCATAGGGTGTGAAGAAGTGTGCCACTTGCATCCTGTGGACATTGAACGTAGATTAAACAGTCAGTGGTGAGTACACCAAACCAATTCAAGTCTGCAAAATGAGCAGAGTATAGCACTAAAAGTTCCAATCCTTCATTATAATCGTTAGCCTAAGCCAGAATCTTCGAAGCCACAGCTGGAACTCATCAGGCCGAAAGCCCGATCGGAAACAAACTACTACATACCAATCATCCAAGTAACATTATCACTGGATGATTTTGAAGCTCGGGGGATGCTTGCATAGCTCCATTATCTGCGGCTGGATCAAAACGGCTTGTTGGATCTAGCAGCATGGCTCTGTGGGAGCACTGGTATCAAGGTCTGGCTGAGGTATGCGGGCGCTTTTCCCAGGACAGTGCAGTCGAGTCGTGATCCCACTCCAGCCTCAAGAGGCTCCGAGTTCATGGGAAGAGAGCAAGCCACCTCAGGAGTAGGGAAAGCTTTGGTATGCATGTTTGTGCTGAGCGCCTTTGAAATGGGGGCGAGTGCTACTGGAGGGGTGGCGAGAGTCGCTTTATGAGTGTATCCGGAAGTTCTGGAAGATGCAGATGACACAAGACTGGCATCCTTGGGCGGCACGTTGATGTTAGGGTCTCCTGGATCCTGAGGCTTCAGCAGTATTCCTTTGCGACCGGCCTCAGCTATCGCTTGAACCCAGGCCTCGGCTAGCTTCTCATAATCTTTGTCATTTGGAAGCGTTCCATCAACCAATTCCTCTGCTTTGATGACCGGGTGTAGGTCAGCAAGTATGATTCGCGCTTGCCTCTCCTGCAAGCTCTTCACCAAGGTTTCGTACTGAGGGTTGACTATTTTACGGATGCGCTCATCTGCGCCAGCTTTGGCGTTGAATATATATGAGTGTCAAGAGGATGATAATGACATCTGGAATCTCGCCAAAAAGAAACTCGATCAGCTTATACATGCGCTCGCCGATCTTGTCAATGGGGTACTCGGAAGCTTCACGGATAACATCGTTAGTGCCGGCGCTATCCTAATGTTAGAGATATCTCCGTCGACAACGAGGGGACACCTACTTGATCAGTGTAAGATTTGGCTTGAAGGCTACATCATTCCTGGCAAACAGAGCGACTTGATCGACTCGCGCCCCTGGGTGGCCTTCATTTTCCTGTCAAATAATATCAGGCCTGCCCACGCCAGCGCGCATCAGGGAGCAAGAAAAGAAGCTTACATTATCCGACATCTTCCCGCTGTGCACGGTGCCCACCATATCAACAATCGTGCTTCGCTGCTCGAGAAACTCGCGAAGATGTTCGCGGTACCCGTTGCCATCAGTTGAGTCCTAGCCCCAGGTAATGGAGGCAGCAAGAGGTAAAATGCGCAAAGGGAAATGCGGATGGTGTGGAACGATGAAGTTGTTGCCAATTGAGTCGTGAGCGTCGCGTAGGTGTCGCGCCCACCGAAGCGAGAAGAAGCGGAATTGCAATCGCGTGGACATATATCGCCGACCACATGGTGTATAGTATCAGTATTTGATAGCAGAAAGCCTATAGTTCGGCGGTGGACGCGAATATGAGCAAGTGCCGGGAGCACTAGAGTGGATGGTGGGAAGGAACGCTGAATGGCCGAGGGAAGTTACGTCAAACGCAACATTGAAGCCTCGCCTGGGCCGTTGCTGTGGCTTAGGCGGTCATAAATTAATCTTCACTCTCCATGCTAACAAATTGAAAAAATGGTGGGAGTTATGCCGCTGATCTGACTGACTATTCCGGCCGAGTGAGGCCAGGGATAGTCTACCGTGAAGCTACCCATGTGCCCACGAAATATGGACAACGCTCAGGTAAGCCAGTCTACCATGAAAGAGAATCCCCACTTTGCTCCGTCAATCCGCGGGCAACAGTAAACTCTTCGAGAGATTTTGCGGTCACTTCTCCTGCGCTTGCACGCGCTCACGTGGAAGATCCACCATCTGAGCTAGGCAATACGCAGCCTTTCACCCAAGATTGTCGTAAGAAATGGATTTGGATTGTGCAAGATCCTCGAGTTATGCTGACATGAAATTCACGAAAGGCAAGGAGCATCCTCAATAAATCAAATCGATTGAGCTACCTAGAGCTGCATTGAGAACTTTAAGAATTCAGACACCGTCTATGCGAGTATCTAGCCAATTCCAAGTTGTAAATGTAAGGCTTATGTCACGCTGAGAATTTGTCCAGGCCAGTCGTCCGCTGGATTCGTATTAGCATTGGGACGCACCCGGTAGCGCACCAGACACATTCCGCTCTTCATCTCATCACCTGGGAATGGCGTAGTGTACATACTACGACTTTTCCATTCAACGCATCACCGCTTCTCGGTCTTCCGCGTGGATCGTACCCTCATACAACACAGGTACGGACACATGCGCAAGATGCGCAGCCAGAGCCTCCAACTGCTCATGTGCGACCATCGCATATTCCAGGACCGGTAATATCGTCTTTATGTCCTTCTACAGGCGACGATCCCGGAACTTGTTCTCCTTCCGCAACTTCACCGCGTTCGCGACAACGCACTTCTACACTGGATCGTTGCTGTAATTCTGCCAGCCTTGTTTAGGTGCCTCCGCACCGACGTGAGACATGACATTCGCCAAACCCAGGAAATAACAGGACTGGATTGTGTCCCTGCTGTCCACCTGGTACATGGTGACGACGATGCCGTTGCAGATGCGCTTGCGGAGGGCACCGAGGTAGTTGTTGACGCCGAGGACGCAGCCTGCCTCGTAGATGTTCATTGCATCGTACAGAGTCTCGATTTGCACTGGCTCCTCGAAGACTTGGATAAGCTTACGAGCTCCGAACGCCAATTGAGGATATTCGGAGCCGGCAACCGATTTGATGGAGATGTCGCGGATGAAGTCGAGTGCGACGTTCATGCCAATCGGCTTGCATGACAGGAAATTTCACGTCCTGCAACGTGTGTATTCAAGTCGCGCTTGAGTATGCTGTCGTGCCCATAGCAGGATCGATGCACGTTCGTGTTCATACCTTCAGGTGCAAGAAGTGGAGAGCCTGTATAGACAAGGATTGTACTTCTTCTCAGGCTTCGCCTCCGGTTCCTTCTGGACCTGCTCCATCCCAGGTATGAGTGCCTTAGCATTCTCTGGCTTCATTGTGCCGGTGGTGGAGTTGACCTCATCTCCAAGTGGGCATCGAGGGATTCGTTGAGGATGGAAGTCTTGGCCTCCTTCGGCAGTATGAGGGTAGCCAAATTCATGGCCAGGGCGCTCTTGTGGGTCATTTCGATCGCCGATACGGGTAGCAGGCGCTTTTTTTATGCCTGCTCTGTTGGGTCGGGGGGGGGGGGGGGGGTTGCGCGCTTGGGCATGACATGTTAACCTTGTGGTGGTTTTCTTTCTAAAACTTATGGGCGTTAACGTTCAGGGTTAACCAACAATGGCTTTGAGTGGCTGCGTGGGGAGAATGGAGCAGTCTTGCTGGGGAGTTTTGTATAGAGGTGGTATCGAGCTAGATTCGTGCATATAGCGCTAATGGTTTTACCCACAATGTTGATAGTGAGGGCCAACCGACCATGGCGCTTTCAGGTAAAACATGACTTGTGACCTTAAAGTAGATCGCATGTGAGACTCGTTCACAGAATTTCATTATCCACCCTGGTACACGTGCTGGGGTCCGGAGCTCGTTCCATAGCCTGTATTCAACTAGAACTTCCATATGGGGATGATGGAGCTCACTGATCAAAAACCCATGACAACCGGCCATCTCCTTCGCTTGAGCACAAACATAGGGGCTCCTTAACTTTATCCCGCGCTGAGATTGTATGTTCGCCACAAGCTACATGTGTATGTCAAACTGATGCGTGTTTGCGCAACATGGTAAGCCTTCTCAACCAAGACTCATCTTGATAATTGAGCCGCCCCAGCTTGACCAGAGCTCTGGATCACCGTTGGAATCCTCCATGAACCGGAGACACCTGATGCTGACCTTGTCGATACTTGGTTGCGGGATCTCCCTCAATAGCTTGCCCGTCCACATGTTGTAGATCTTGATAGCTGCTGATGAGTTGATATCCTGAGCAGCTGCGATAAGCCCGAGGTCAGGTTGCACGGCCATATCTAGATAGTGATCATCGGCATTGTCGTATGGAAAGCTCAGTATAGGCTGGGACCTGTTCACCATTGTCAGCATGCAATTTGTTAGAGGAAACCGTGGTTCCGAACGACGAAAATAGCCATGTAGAGCATCAATGCTTCAATACTAGGGTTTATGCAACTCCACCAATACATACCAATTGTGGGCGACCGTAAATTTCATCTTCTTCCGCTTCTGGCGATTTCCCGTGCCAGGATATTGATCGTTAAAGAACTTGTCATTGTAGTGTCCTTGCGCATGCCTTGAAAACGTATCTCGCGAGCGAATGTCATATACAAAAAGACCATCCTGCAAGCCCGCGCATACAAGCCGTGTTGGGTCATCGGCTCGCTTCAGCTTTGTGATTGGGAACGGGTTTGTCAGGATGTGAGAGTGGCCCTTTGAGCGGGTGTCATAGAGAAGAATCTTGCCACTACGCTCTCCAAGTACAACCGTAGTCGGAGATAACCAATCAAGCGCTAACATATCGGATCCACTTTGTAACGCGGTTGAAGAATTCCAATCGCCGGCCGGAGAGCGTTCGAAAAGCATCATAGATGAAGCTGCGGCTACGGCAAGGCTCTCTGTACCCGATTGCGGTACACTATCCGGACTAGATGAGAATGGTGGAGCTGCCGCACCCCAGATCGTTGAGCAGTTCTTTGGAGTAAATTGTTGATTCACGTATGGTCCATCGACGTCCGGATCTGACTTATTGAAGGGTTAGTAAAAATGTGCATAGTAGCCGTTCCAATGGCTGGGCCATGCACGGGCTAAATCACTTTCAATGGAGTTGATCTGGGTGCCCTGACAAGGTACTTACCAAATACACCGTAGGAGCTCTATCGGATCCATACGTTGTCGCAGCTAGCGCTCCAGAGCTTGGCAAATAGGTCAACGATGATATGGAAGATGTGAGCCTTGCAAGCATATCCCAGTCTTCGAAAGAGTACTCGTTCAAGCTTTCAGCGAAGGAGGAGCCGAAAGGCATTCCGTCTGGTAAAGACACATCTTCCATATCTTGATCGATATCGGGCCCCGGAATTGGGATGCTACTGGGTGGATTTCGTCGGCGACGCCTTATCGCGTTGTCCCCGTGGACAGCATAGATGGTTTTAGTATGCGGGTCGCGATCGAAGAAGCGGATAACGCCATGCACTGGTTGCTCAACGACCTAAGCACGAACGCGTCAGTACGTAATACTTCAGCCGCAGTTTAGGAAGCTGAGAGTAGGTAAAGACGTGGCTAGGATCAAATGCCAGTACATACTGTCTTCATTTTCTCTATCCCGGCCACGCAAGCACTGGGCCAGATGCCATGTGTATAGTACGTTTTCCGTCGGCCACCGATCTCTCTATCTAGGCCAGCCAATTGCAGGCCCCAATTTTTTCGAGTATGTGGCCGCACAACAGTCTCCCGGTCTCTCTTCTCTTGTTGCTTTCGAGCGACTTTCTCAGCCGCAGCTTTCTTCTGCTCTTTTCGGACATTTTGAAGGGTGTATTTTGCTTGCGATGGTGGCGCGGAATGAGTTGTCGTGATTTTGAAGTATTTTCCCTTCTCAGCGTCGAAGTAGTAGCCTGGGATCACCCTTGGCTGAGACATTATCGAAAGACTGGTACCATGAGGATGGTGCCCTCGTCCGCTTAAAATAGTGTTCGAGGCTACCCGCCGTATCTTCCTCCAAATGCTTTGGAGACCAAGTGCATGCGAAAGTATGATGCTATGTCCGAGTGCGCTCGGTGATTGCACGTGACAAGATCGATAGCAGTTGCACTCGAGGTGGATGTCCAATGAACGAAGCGCAACTGATCGTCCTAGCTAGGCCATATTGGCTTAAGAGTGATCAGCAGAAAACCAGGAAGATTAGTACAGCGAGACGGTGGGAGGTGTCGAGTGTTGTTTCTCTGCTCGAGGTTGTAGTTGTTCGAAAGCAGTTCTGAACACCAGAGAGTTTACGCGAGTCAGGAAGCAAACGCGTCTTATCGATAAGGCTGGCACAGCGTCATCCCCCGGCATGACGCCTCGCCGCCACCGATCAGGCATCATTCTTACGAACTTGTCCGCCTTTTTGTACATATGTAGTATATCGCATAGCATTTTTGCCTCCATTGTTTCATCATCCTGCGTGCATTGGACTCTTTAGACTGCCCTTTGGCTCATGCTTTCACGACTCCCAGCAGCCCGCAAGCTCCCAAGTTTAAGCTCCAGACGATCAATCGCGACATCTATGCGCCTGGACCAAATCATGGCGCACCTCAATGGCTCTTCGAACGGCACGAACGGCGTTGATGGAAATTCAAGACCAGCCGGATCATACACTCTACAGTCTCTCCCTAAATCCAACGTCTTTACCTCGAACCTACCGCCTGACCCCGCCTTCCCCACGCCTGCGAAATCACACTCCGCACCGCGCGAAACACTTGGTCCTCGCCTTGTGAAGGAAGCTTTGTACACCTTCGTCCGCCCCGAACCTACACAAGAGCCAGAACTATTGGCTGTAAGCTCCCGTGCGCTACAAGACATTGGCCTGAAGGAGGAGGAAGCGCAAAGCGAGGAGTTTAAGGAGGTGGTCGCAGGGAACAAGATCTTGACATGGGATGAGAAAACCAACGCAGAGGAAGGAGGCATATACCCCTGGGCGCAGTGTTATGGCGGATACCAGTTCGGACAATGGGCAGGCCAGCTTGGCGATGGACGAGCAATCTCGCTGTTCGAAACCACGAACGAAAAGACAGGCACACGATACGAGATCCAGCTGAAGGGCGCAGGAAAGACACCATACTCCCGGTTCGCAGACGGCAAGGCGGTACTACGATCTTCGATTCGCGAATTCGTCGTCAGCGAGTATCTCAATGCTATTGGGATTCCGACGACCCGAGCTCTATCCCTTACACACTGCAAGGGAAGCAAAGTCTTCAGAGAAAGAATGGAACCAGGCGCGATCGTGGCGCGCTTTGCGCAGTCCTGGATCCGCTTCGGCACCTTCGATCTCGCTCGCATGCGTGGCGACCGCAAGCTACTCCGGGAGCTGGCAGATTACACCGCCGAGCACGTCTACGGAGGCTGGGACAAGCTCCCCTCCAAAGTGCCCTCAGGTGACCCCAAATCCAAACATTCTTCCACTTTCACCGGCATCCCGAAGGACACCGTCGAGGGCGAAGGCCTAGAACAAGAGAACCGCTACACCCGCCTCTACCGCGCTATCCTCCGCCGCAACGCAGAGACTGTCGCAAAGTGGCAAGCTTACGGCTTCATGAACGGCGTTCTCAACACGGATAACACGTCCATCCTGGGACTGTCGATCGATTTTGGACCCTTCGCTTTCTTGGACACGTTCGATCCTACGTACACACCGAACCACGACGACCATATGCTGCGCTATTCGTACCGGAACCAACCTACAATCATATGGTGGAACCTCGTGCGGCTAGGCGAAGCACTCGGCGAGCTGATGGGCGCGGGATCGAACGTCGACGATGCGGTCTTCATCTCCGACGGCGTAAAAGAAGAGGATGCGGACGAGCTTGTCAAGCGCGCAGAAGGCATCATTGAGAATTGCGGCGAGGAATACAAGGCCGTCTTCCTGTCACACTACAAAGAGCTCATGACTGCCCGGCTCGGCCTGACTTCGCAGAAGGAGTCCGACTTTGAGGAGCTCTTCTCGGAGTTGCTGGACTTTTTGGAGGCGCACGAACTCGATTTCCACCACGCTTTTAGGAAGCTGAGCTACTTCACGCTGAGCGAACTGGAGACGGAGCAATCGAGGAAGGATGTTGCCGGCCGCTTCTTCCGCTTTAACGAGGCACCGGCCCAGGACGCAGAGTCGCGCTCGCGCATCGCAAGGTGGCTGGAAAAGTGGGCGGCGAGAGTTAAGGAAGACAATCCCAATGACGAGGAAAGGCAAAAGGCCATGCTTGCTGTTAACCCTAAGGTACGTAATTAACTTCGAACTCTCTTGGACAGCTTGAACGATGGCTAACGTGACGTAGTTTGTACCCCGTTCCTGGGTTCTCGACGAAGTAATCGACCGTGTGGAGAAGAAGGGCGAGCGTGATATCCTCCCTGCTATCATGAAATTAAACCTTGATCCATTCAATGAGAACTGGGGCTGGAACGAGTCGGAAGAAGAGCGCTTCTGCGGCGATGTACCGAAGTACAAGGGCATGATGCAGTGTAGCTGCAGCTCATAGAGCATCAAACCGTATACAGCCGAACGGATAAAACAACTAAAGATACCATGTCACGAATACCAAAGCTTTGAACATATTCCAATGCTGGTACACGTATGTATAAATGTAGCTCAAAAGCTAATCTACACCTCCAACAAGATACTCTCCTACCTCCAGATTTACCCCACGCCCAAGTGACCGCGCATACTCCCACCCAAAATTGACTCTCCACTTCGCGGCCGGGTCCAGCACATCTGAAGACCCCACGCCGCCCGTCCTTACCAGCAGTCGCATACTCGTCAGCGTGGCAATCTGCGTGTACAAGTCTGCAACCTGGGGTACTGACTCGACCAACAAACTGCGGAAGATCGCCAGCAGTCTGTCCAGAGAAAAGGGCGAAGGCGTCAAAAGATGCCGGGAGATCTTGCGGTGCTTCGATTTCGTGACGCCTGCCGTCACCGAGGGTGCTCTTCTCTTGTTCTTTCGCTTATCTGTGTGCTTCATGAAATATGTGACGTCTGTACGAGAGGGATTGTAGCTGGCGAGATAGGCAGCAATGAGGAGATGCGTGGTATAATACGGTAGATCATGCGCGATCGTTCTGGTCTTCCTCCTCGTGCTGGGTGTCATGGGCACCACGCTACCATTGGTCCCGTTAATATTCGCACCCAGATTGCTGTTCCCCGCGATGATCCTATCCAGTACGCTGTCCTCGACCTGGAACAAAGCCCTCCTGTTCACCATGAGGCGCGAATAGTCGCGCGTGCCGAACGTGCCTTGGACGATAGGCTCGACGAACGGACGCCATAGGCGCATCGCGGCCAGACGAAAGCTGACGAAGTCGCGTCCAGTGTGTCTGCTCAGCGCGTCGTATACAGTCGCTATGAATCGTCCCCAAAGCCAGGCATCGTCTTCGGCGGCGAGATCGGGCGTATAGTCAGGAAATTGTTCTTCGTTCGGTGGCTGTAAGAAGATCTTCGGAGGGCTCTTTCCCAGAATTGTAAGAAGGGAATTACGATTGTACGTCGGGAAGTGAAGATGTGGTGTTCCGGGGCGGTGGAGCTCAAGCGGTATAGGTAGCGTGGTGATCAGGATGATTGAGAGATTGGGTATCTAGTTATACTGTCAGTATCAGAGAGGAACAAAACATGATCTGAGCATACGCTTTCCCCAAACCGTGCCAGCGCAGGCAACAGCGTGTATGGCGCTTCCCTCTGCTTGTCGATGCCGTCGAGCACCAAGACGAACTTCCCTCTTCCCTCCAGCATTCGACCAAGAGCCACAATCAGACTGCTCAGGTTTTCCGTCCTTGAGTATGGTCGACGGTCTATCGTCTCATCGTAGTATCCGTCCAACGCATCCAGACAGGATGCAACGGTGCGTTCTAGTAGATGTCGTCCTGTTATGCACTCTCTCGAATTGGCAAAGGCATAGGGGAGCGAGGAGAGTTCGAGGTATGAGCGGATTATGGACGACTTTCCAGTCGCGGTGAGGCCGTGAGCGACAAGGAGCGAGGGCGATGGTAGATGTGCCTGCGGGTGTTAGCAATCGCTCAGTAGATGGGATCAGTCGTCGCCAACATTGTAGAGCGCCGCCAGTTGCTGAATCTGCGATTCGCGACAAGGGTATTCGGAATTGAGCTGTTCAAGAATCTCGTCGGGTAGCATATTGCGGTGCTTCTCCGTGCTGAGTCTGGGTTGCGGTCAACCGAGATTCGCTGGTCAGCGGAAGACGCGCTGCAAACTGACGCGCCGCGCTGGCACGTGCGCTCGACTTCACCAACACAGTCAGCTCCTCGCGGTAACATGAACAACGACGACGATAGAGTGTGACATTCAGGTACCAGATACTCATACTTCTGGCAGCCCTTAACTCAAGCTCACGATCGCGGAACCCAGGCTGCAGCGAAGGTTTATGAAGTCAACATCAGTATTGCTGCTGGTCCTAACGTAAACTAAAGTACTTTATGACGCAAGGACATGTTTCTGCACCAGTTGAAAATTCCGCCTCGCACCCGAGTCCTCTGATTAGGTACATGAATCATACCATCGTAACATGCTGAACGCCTACGCAATGCTGTTGGTATCCAATTGAAGGCAGTCCCCCATCCCGAAAGCAGTCCCTAAACGTGCACAGTGTCCGCAATGCTTGCATCCGAGTCGGCGGCTCCCGGGCATTCCCACGCCAGGAACTTCCAGTTGAGCTCGCTCGGTCGCCAAAAGATGCCATGCTGCAGACCTTTCCCGGGATTGAGGGGATTTCCAGCAGTATCGGCGGTCATTCCTCCTGTCAGCGGCATACGCTTACTGAAAATGCAGCGCTTGAATCGCGAGTGTAGAATAGCCATGGAGCACATGACGCAGGGCTCATGCGTTAAATAGATGTCCAAGTCCACACACAGGTAGCCGCTGGCTGGGATATTGTCTTTGTCGTAGGGCGCCTTTTCGGCCTCTGTCAGAGGAACATCGCAGAACAAGGAGCGGTCCAGCAGAGTAGGGTTCGTACCAGCCATTCGCAGTCGCTTCTTGGCTACCATGGCAATGGCACGCTGGACGCAGTGGGCCATGACATTTCCAGGACCAGTATGAGCTTCAGCGTCTCCATGAGGTGACCGCCAACGGCAGTCGCCTGCCACGGCGATCACCTCGGACGTTCCACGCGTGCGGTCTATGACGACGCAGCCAACCTTCTCGCCGATTCCAAGCTGCGATATCTCAGCAGCAGCAGTGGAGGCAAGCGCGAGCCAGCTGCTGGATTCGGGCTCAATCTCAACCGTATTGCGAGCGACCAGGCTTGGGTGGGGTCCATAGGGGTTCGTGTTCTTGTACGCGATGGGCCAGTACTGCTCGCTCCACTGGGTTGCTTGTTCGGCCGATGTTGGTGCCAAAGCCGGGACGGTCACATACAACAGCTTCGCTTGTATGTTCATGACGCTGAATGGGGGATTCTTGCGAAGTATGGCGACCAGGTCGGCAGGCTTGAAACATCGGGTCGGGCAAAGCAGAAAGAAGCGCACTGTGTCCTCAGCTTTAGCACAAGACTCATCGTCCGACGGTGGAAGAGGGGTAAATAAAGATGCGGGGGAGGGCTCGTCATCGCCGTTGCTGCAGATACCTCTTTGGAGCCTCGCGGGCGGGTAGAACTGCTTTTGCAGATGTGCCGGAAGGTATTTGAACTGGACCACGCGGCGAAGGTGAGATATCTCGGCGGCTTTGAAGTCGGGAGCGGCATCTTGGATCGCGCTGAATGCCATTAGCATAGCTCTTTTGGACTGTGTATGCGGCGTGTGGCATGTTCACTCACTCTTTCACGGCATTGGCGAAACGGGCGGGGATCTCCACGACATAGGCGGTGTGTGTCTCCAAGCTGGCTCGCACTTCGTCCTTGGTCCTCAGCGGGACGAGTTGCCCGACGGCTGGGGCGGCTGGGGCGGTGTCGGCAGCCATTGCGAGCTCAAGGTAAGTCCTGATAGTGGAAGCCGTATAGAATGTGCAGTGCTTAGGTGCGCGCACGACGCGTGAACAAGGGCAAAGGTGGGTTCAGGGCGACAGAGGATGCTCCTGTTTTGGGTTCGTCTGCCAGTCGCCTTCCTTGTGGTGCATGGTGGGTGCTGCTGTCCGAAGCCAGTTGTTGGTTCCTGCCGTTGGTGAAATTTTGAGCTGTCGAGCTGTCGGAACTGTGTAGGAAAGGAAAGCGCGACCGTTCCGAGCCTTGGCGCTGGCTCCCAGGCGACCCCACGGATGGATGCCCTTCAACCCCAACCTTCCCCCGCATGAGCCACCGAGTCATGGTCGCCGGAAACCTTCATCCTCCAATGGCCGTGTCGTCTCCTGCCGATGAAACCAGCTTAATGGGTCGACTATCGCAACTGCCGATTTGCGCCAGTCGCTTTCCTGCAAGGCGCCGCCAGCATGTGCCGTCTGGGGTCATCTGGGATACGATCAGCATTCACTCAAAACCCGATTGTGCTCATGTAGATCGTCAAGTTTCAATCGTCACTCTCTGTTGTTGTGTTGATTGCATTCTCCCACCAAGATGGATCCGAAGAGTGAGGTAAACAACGTCGAAGATGCAACTCCACATGCGCCCAAGTCCCGCCACGTGAACGCGCGTGTGGTTCCAATGCAGCAAGAAGCACAAGAGGACCTCGTCCATATTGATCTCACCTGGCGATCATGGATGGTCGTCTTCGTGAGCTGCTTCGCGTGCGTTGTTCTTTCTCTTCCCAAAGTGAGAGGTACTTACTCAATTTAGAATCATGGCGCAAGTTTACGTCGTGGTGGCTGCCGGAAGTGTGATAGCTTTCATCGTTCGCGACTTGGGACAGCCTGCTATCTCAGGTTGGATCATCCAGGTACGTGCTTGCCGCGCGTACAAAACTTCCAAAGCGACTCAACTGGGATAGGGCCCTCTCCTGATGCAGACCGTGCTGTCCCCGCTTGTCGGTCGGCTTTCTGACGTCCTCGACCGTAAACTATTTGCTTCGATACCTCCTCTGATCGCAGTCGCCGGTAGTATCATATGTGCCAAAGCAACATCCATGCAGATGCTAATTGGTGGTGGAATTCTTGTTGGAATCACACTAGCGACGATTTCCATCGTGCAGTCAATACCTTCGGAAATTCTTCCCCTGAAATATCGTGCACTGGCGAATGGCTTTGCCTTCCTAGGTGGTGCTGTCGGAGGTCTAGTAGGAGGGCTAGGCGCTGGTGCAGTCACTAACGTGAACCCGGCAGGCTGGCGTAACATCTTCTGGATCATGGCCGGCTTACATGGAGCTACATCTTTGGGCTTTTTCGCCTTCTACTGGCCCAAGAAACGCACCGAGTATCCACGCATGAGCTTTAAGGAGTATGTCTGGGCTTGTGATCCGATCGGCAGTGTCCTGTTCATCTCAGGCGCGACGCTCATGCTACTGGCACTCAACTGGGCAGGGGGCGCTTACCACTGGAGCGACCCACACGTGTGTGCCAACCTGGTCGTGGGAATTGTCTTGGTTTTGGCGTTCTGCGTCTACGGTAAGTCTGACTCCAAATCCCTTCCAGATCCGTATACTAACAATCGCCTCCAGAATGGAAGGGAAGAACTGACGGCATGGTCGCCCACGTGTTCTTCAGCACCGGGCCTAATTTCTGGCTAGCCACATTTGCTTTTGCTGTGGAGGGGTGAGTCCGATGACTTCTTGGCTGCTTCCAGAGCAGGTGCTGACTGGTCTCTCCAGATGGATCTTCTATTCTGCAGTAAATTCGGTAACGCCGCAAATAATCCTGAACCTCGGATTTGAAACAAACGCTTGGGACATTGCTGTTCGACAGCTGTCGTATCAGATCCCATCCTTGACATTCTCTCTGGTTGTAACATGGTGGGCAACGCGTTTCAAGGACCTGAGTAAGTATAACTTCCAAACGAAATTTCTTCATCCAAGCTCATGTGTCTTCGCAGAATCCCCTTTGGTCTTCACGTACGTCGTCTTCCTCATCACCACCATTTGTTACGCAAATATCCGTCCTTCATGGAACGTACCGCAACTCGTCTTTGCAGTCCTCGCCGGCATCGGAACATCAGGCCCGCTCACTCTGCTGGTCGCCTGCATCCAGTTTACAGCGCCACATGCCTTTCTCTCGACAGCTACTGGTCTTGCTTTCTCTGCACGCGCTATTGGGGGTGCCTTTGGCTCCGCCGTCATCAATGCTATAATCAACGGACGCCTTAACTCGCATTATGCGTCTGACGTCGGTTCTGCCGCGACTACTGCCGGTCTTCCTACATCTTCTCTCCCAGCCCTGCTGGAAGGCATGGAGGCTGGGTCATTCGCGGATGTACCAGGTGTGAATGACATGATTATCAGGGCGGCTTTGGAGGCGAGCCACTGGTCGTACGCGAGGGCATACAGACTGGGATGGTGGAGCGTCGTCCCTTTTGTCGCGCTAGCAATCGCAAGTGTGGCTTGTATGTCCGGTGTGAAAGACCTCATGACAGAGCATGTCGAGGCCACTGTTGAACGAGACGTCGTGGATGATCAGGGGAAGGAGAAAGGCTTAGAAGGGAAGTGAAGACACGCTGATCAAGTAGCTTTTGATGGTTCAGGGAGGCTTGTGATATGTTAGGTCCATACAATGCAACTGTGGTGTACAATCAAGGTTGATCTATCTGGCGTCTGAGATGGCTGAATTTCTCTACTAGCCGATATCGTGCTATCACCTTCCACAACCCGTCGTTAGTAAAACCACCACAAACATTCATGATATCATTTTACAAGACCTGCTGTTCTCTCGCCATACGGGAGCCATGTCGTGAATTCACTTAGCCGGAGCGGCGGCTCTTGAGACATGCGCCCTTCGAACGAGCACCCTGACCCACAATGATCCGCTGTCCGTTCCAAGCTCTCCATCCTTATCAGTCCTTGCCCCTACTCATTCTCATCGACCCCATTGTCCTGTGTGACTGGTACGCCAGACGATGACGACTTCCTCGACGTGGAAGATGACAGAGAAGACGAAGATGCATGGGCATTTACATTGATGCCGCCGTCTTCTGTTACGGAATTTCCAACATCGTCCGTCTCCACGAGCATCGCAGCACGAACTCGCCTAACATCATCCTGGTCCTCTCTGACTCCCGGGCTTGCTTACGACGATTCATAGAAGCCCCAGAAGAGCTCGTCTTCAGCACTGAGTCATGTGGGGAAGAACATCCTGAAGTAATCGGGCCTTGTGTGACTTCGGCGTTAACAATGGGCAGGTGCGGACGGACGAAAGTAACAAGGAGTGTTGAGAACGGAGCTCTTAACACCAAAATGGTTCATCAGGTTTGAGCGATTCGACTTGGTCGATTGATGTTTTGAGTGACGTTAACGTCCAACAAGGCTGCGCATGCCGCAAGTACACTGGTGGTCGAATCAAGCCCACCAAGAACAACACAAGCCTACAATTCCTTGCGGATTATGAACGAATAGGCCAACCAAATGGCCAGACGTAACTTATTGTGCAATAAAGGGCGGTTTTAGCTACAGCACGATGAAACCGGCTGTGCACAAAATCGTATATGAGGCTGCGTCCCTCTGTACCGGTAGCGCCAATCAAACGAATGCCAAGGATGGAGCTGAGAGAAAGCAGACAAGTTCAACTATCATACAACCAGCATTCCTGCTATGCGTTGAAGACCCCAGACTGTTCTTCAGGCACCGTTTCCGAATCATGGCGACCTTCGAATACTTCCCACTTGATATCTCACGCCGCGAAATTCGCCTCTTGGTTGTCCAGCCTGCTGTAGCCGAACTCAGAGACAGCCCGTTGGAGGTCGCTCTCATCAAGTCTCGACTGAATTCTGAGAAGAAGGAACAACTATCGGGGAGTGGTCAGGGAGATTCTCTCAAATATATGGCGCTCTCTTATACATGGGGTGATCCTGAACCAACATTTTCCATTCTTCTCGAGGGCATGGACTTCAGAATCCGAGAGAATTTGTACGAAGCCTTGTTACACTTTCGGCCCACCAGAGGAAAACTGGTCATTTGGATTGATGCAGTATGCATCAATCAAGAAGACGAGCAAGAACGCGAATCGCAAGTCGCCATGATGCGTGATATCTACAAAGAAGCCGAAGGGGTTTGGGCGTGGCTTGGGCCAGGAGATGCATCGAGATCCCGAGCCGCATTCGCGTTCCTTTCAGACCTAGCACACCGGGAGTACAGCGATGTAAGAGGGGGTTACCGTCGTCACAACATTGTGCGACCCGAAACAATTGAATGGATCCATTCTGAGCCGATAACTGATACCTACCTCGCACAATGGCTAGAACTAGCTAATGTCCTCGAATCACCTTGGTTTTCGCGTATGTGGATCATACAGGAAGTCGTGATGGGTAAAACAGTGACCGTTGTGTGTGGTTCCCAAGCGACTCTGTTCGATGAAGTCATGTACTATGGGGGCCAGTTCATCAAGAAGTATCTACCTGAGGTCCAATTCAGGACTTCCACTGCTCGTCGTTATTGTCATTTTATTGAAGAATTTAATGAGAAAGTGGCAAACCTGTTCGTGGCAGCTGGACGCATAGCTGAAATTGGTCGCGCGCGAGCGCTCCGCCTAGGACATGACCCAAATGTGAGTCCACCAAGTAGTCAAACGGGCCCCGCAGTCTACTCCAAGGCCCTCTACAGGTGCTGACACAATTTGAACAGGCATCCATGTTTCTCCCAAAGACTGTCTATCAGGTAGTTCGTCATTACAGTCACTTCAACGTCACCGAACCACGTGATAAAGTCTACGCGTTGCTGGGAATCCTCGAGGACTACGGGAACGATATAAAGTGCCCAAAGATCAGCTATTCGATTCCATTGACCAGCCTCTATTGGGAAATCATCAAATCCCACATCGAGCACACTAGAAGCCTCGATTTCCTAAGCGATGCCGTGGGACTGGACAGATCGGTTGGAACGCCAACCTGGATGCCGCAGTGGGATGGGAAAACTGCAGATGCGCGCCGAGCAACAAGTATTCTCTCATTAGAGTTGGCACCAGCGATTCAGTACAGGGCAATGGCCAACACACTGCCACTGGTTTCCTTCCATCCACGACTCAAGGCAATACGTGCTGTTGGAGTATTCGGTGCGGTCGTCCGTGAGGTTGGCGATTTGGCCACTCTACCAGACTCTAGTCAGCCTACTGGAAGTTCAGAGTCCGATTACGCTCGAGTATTGGAGCATGGGAGTCGTGTAGCCCATCAGTGGGTTTCGATGCTGAATCTCAATGACGTATTCAGCCAATTTCCATTTCAACTCAACCTCGATGACGAGGACTCGGTTCCAGAGGAGAAGAGAGGCGACGCCTATACGTTTGCGAGCATGATGTATATGATCGATGACATTTACAAGTATACTGACGATGACCTATATGCGCTGTTCGAGAAAAGCGTGGAAACCCAACAGAGCCCTTATCTGGGTGTCAAGTCAGCGGCGACTCATTTTTCCGCTCGACAGCTAGCTACGACCAGCCAACGAAGACTTTTCATCTCCCGTGGCAGAAACTTTGGCCTCGGTCCTAAAGACATGCGATCCGGTGATGTGATTGTATTTCTCTACGGCTGCAGGGTCCCAATGGTGCTCAGGCCAGTGGCTGGGCTTCAAATGTGGAGAATCGTTGGAGAAGCGTATTGTCCGTATGAGATGAATGGTCAGATCCTCGACCCTGAACTTGTTGCTAGACGTGCCGCTGCTGGTCTTCCTGACATACTATTTTGGATAGTGTAGTTGAAAACTAAGGATCAAACTCGACTTTCCGATCTCTGCTAAGATACTCCTAGAGGCCTTTGTATCTCCATCGGGGGATTATCATCTCATTAACGTTAAAGTGCTTGATGTGGCAACATCCGTGACAATGCGGCGCAAGGACGTGTCTCTGCGATGGCGCTACCTCTTGTAAGGACCACAAGACATCGACCAAAGATTCCAAACGGACGGGCGTATGGAAATGCCGCCAAACACGAAGCCAACGCCGCGTGGAAGGTGGCATGCTATATCGTGAAGACTAGCCAGCCCAGGGTGGTGCCGATAACTTTGTACCCGGTCCCGGTACCCCACCAGTCATAGGAGGTCACACCATGATCAGCAAATCTTCCAGTTCGAGGGCTTCGTTGTCGGTATTGCGAATGATGAAGACGTGACGCTGGCCATCGCTGCGCACAACGCATACACCTTGTGCCCTGATCCTTTGGCGCGCGCAGTGAACTTCTCAGCGTGCAAGCCAGAGATTTCTGCTGGATGAAGGGTCAAATCGGCGCCATAGAGAACCAGAACCGTGATCGTCACAAATTCGCGTCCGAAATCGTAAACGAGGGCTGTCGCGGCGGCGGCCACCAAGTACGGGGCGAGGTATGTGATGTCGACTATGCCGTAAAGGACGCCCAATTTGACCGGCTTATCAGCATCATAGATCATCATCGTAGATCAGCATCGTAGATCAGAATAATGAGTCGGTTGACGTGGGTGAGACGTGGGTGACAGCCGAGTTCTTTAAGTCCCGTACCATCCATGTAGTCCAGAATATGTACCTTTAATTTGCAAACATTACCGTCAAATCAAACAAAAAACATAATTGGCTTTTCCTGAGCCGGGTTTCAAAGTGGCCTTTAGTTTTTGCCAATTTTAATAACTTCGGACGGAGGTTGAAGAATTGCGTCTGTTCGAACAACGCAGGTGTCGTTGTTTGTTTCCCCCTCAGCTCGAATCGAGAAGGGCCCCCAAGAATCTACATATACTTGATTTTCACCAATTGAGCAGTCACCAACTTCTGATCTCGTCTTTCCTCGCTAGTGCGTTCCCCTACTCCATCGCGACATCAGAAGACATTCGTGAGAGTGAACAACCCAAACCAACGACTAGTCGTGCTCTATAGACATTCCATGGACATTAAATGATACCAAGAGCTTGATTCAGGTATGTGCGTGAACATGGATAAGATGTTACGCTACGTCTGACCCAAACCTAGTTAAACTTCGCCGTGATCTCCATAGCCTCCAACCCTTAGCTTCACCTCCTCCCCGTCAGTAGCAGCGTCAGCGGCTCAGAACTACTCGGAGAGATGCTCGACCTTGCCAGCAATACGACCTGTTCCACCGACGTCAGCCTGTGCCTCCTTGCACTCGTCACAAATGCACTTATCGTGCTCCTCCGAGGCCTCGACGGACCTCTCCAGTTCCTGCAAATCCTCGAGCTGTTCAATCTCCTACCAACAATCAGCGCGACGTCTTATTCGCAAATTGTGATCATATCTTGCCCCAAGAATACAACCACTCTCCTCCCCCTTCACCTTCCCTACAATCTCCCCAGCCATATCACCCAAACCCTCCTTCCCATACTTCACATGCGCCTCAATCAGCACTCTCAGCTTCTCCTTCGAGCTCAACTCGTAGAATTCATTCGGGAGCCTCTCAACCGCCTCATCAGGAAGCTCCTGCAGCAGCCCTTTAGTCGTGTTCTCCAAGAACGGGCGGTTCTGGCTCTGCTTCTCTCGCGCTGCGGCCTCTTCCTGCGCGTTGGCTTTCTTCTGCCCAGCCTCCTTGCGCGCCTGCTTGAGGCGGGATAGCGAGGGCGAGCCCTTGCCCGCGGCGAGGATGGGCTTGTAGTTGGAGGTCTTGAGGCGGGCGGAGTGCTTCGCGGTGGCGGAGGGGGCGGCGAAGACTGCGCCGTTCTTGGCGGCTTGGGCTTTGGCGATGAGAGCGGCGCGCATGAGGGGGAGCTTGGGCTTGTCTGCCTTTGTGGGCGCGAAGTTGGCGGCGATGGTGGCCTGTGGGTTAGAGGTGTTAGTATTGTGTCTTTTAATCATGCGCATGACGTGACGGCGCGGGGACCTGCTGTAAGATGGCGAATTAGTACGGACCTCGTCCGCTGTGAGAGCGGTGGTAGCGTTAGTGGTCGAGCTGTCGTCGCCGAGGGAGAGAGTCTTGATGCTGGGAACGGCGTCGGACGAGATGACGGTCGAAGCCTCGCTGAAGCTGCGATTGCGGACAGGGCCAGGCGTGCGGGGGTCGCTGTATCTTTATCAGCAGATGTAGAGCGATATGCTCGGAAGGTTCTGTACTTGACGATGGTCGCGTTTGCGGAGTCAGTGACGCCGTCCTTCATGTTTCCCTGCTGCTCCATTGTGTAAGGATGTGCGCGTGTAAGGTATGCCGGTAAACAGAATCTTGCGAGAATACAACGGCGAGAGGACAAGTAGTGCTGAGAAGATTCTAATAGCGACGGCCCGTGTTGTGGGGTAGTTGAAGCTGTGCAAACGCTCTCGCGAAGGCACGTGACGGGATTGATACCGGGCTGTTCCCGCGGGTACCGTCGATGAACGAGGGTCTGGCTACTTCTAACGAGGTCAGGGGGACCAAAATCGCCGAAGACTTCAACAAAAAGGTTTGGGTGCTGTGTTAGATCTTAAGGTCGGCAATACCATGCTTGTTCACATCTCTGGTGCTTCCAGGCGTTGCTTTCGCATGTCAACTTCCAAAGCTTCGGCGTCTTACCAGCGAGGAGGAAAAAGCAAGTGAACTTATACGATAATGAGGACAAAAGACTGCACACATGATCATTTCTCGTCAAGCTTATCACTGAACTTCCACCATATAACCCTTTCTAGTCAGAATTGTGATGTTCCTTCTTCATTCTGCTAAAGTCTTCTCCACGACTCTCAATATCTCCATCAATTCTTCATCTTGCATTGGCTTACCCATTACCTGTACATGCGCTGGTAGACCTTCGAAAGTCTTCGGTTCATCTGTCCACTGTCAACCCTCATTCTCCCAACCTCATCTCAGCATCACGTACATGGTGGTTCATAAGCAGCATCTCGCTTGAAGAACTGTCGATCCAGTTCCTCCTCAGCCCTTAAATGCGGTAAAATGCCCGATGGGTACTACACCACACATTAGATCTTTTATAACTCGCAGTCTTTGCGAAAGAAAAGCGGAACTCACATTCAGCAGATTTTGTAAAACGGTAAACGGGGTCAACCCATACGTATCATGCGCGACCGCTGTTGCCGAATTCCCCGGCATCAGCACCGCATCCAGCTCATTCTCCACCATCACTTTATGCCACGCATGCAGAATCTTGAACCGCTCGAGGTTCATATCCCACAGCCCATCTAAGCTTGGCTCGAACTCGCGGAGCTCCTTCACCATGGTTCTGCCTATGCTAGGTACCAATGGCTCGCCCGCTTGCTGCAGGTACGACATCGGCGTCTTCCTTGGATCGAGCAGGAAGAACTTCCAGGCCAGGATTGCGGAGTCCCATATGTCGGGCACTTTATCGTCCAGCAGGATAATCTGGTGACCTTTGCTTTTCAGCTTGGTAGTGCAAGAATGCAGCCCTCGCGCGATGGGAGGGTGCAGCGGCCTCTTGGGGATCCCGCGGATGAGACCGAAGCGGAGGGGCCGAGTGGGAAGCTGGACACTGCGCCACGGCACGCCCAAGACGTTCTCGTCGAAAACCCAGGTGTTGCTGTTGCAGATTGTCCGCATGGTGAGCTCAGCATCGCGGATCGAATGGCCAATGGGTCCGATTACCGGGATTATAGAGCCGGGGCTGCCCAGGCGTCCGGGAGGTACACCGCCTCCAAAGGGAACTCTTCCTGCACTTGGCTTGAAGCTGGTAAGGCCGCAGCATAGCGCTGGGATCCGGCATGAGCCAGCTACGTCGGTCGCTAGGCCTAGGACTGAACCACGCATGGCGAGGAGGGCGCCTTCGCCACCTGTGGAGCCGCCAGCTGTCAAGGAGAGATTGTGAGGGTTCAGCGTGCGCCCGAAGACGTTGTTGTGAGAGTCGGCGGTCATCATGGTTTGCGGGAGATTGGTTTTGCAGTAGTATACTGCTCCATTATCGGATAATAGAGTGACAAGATTAGAGTCCGAGGTTGCTGGTGGCCGTGATAGGAAAGAGATGTAGCCGATTGTGGCTTGTGTGCCTCTGACGTTGAAGGAATCCTAAATTCGAATGTTAGTGTTTGAGCATCATGTTGATGATCTGTGCCCGTGGTTCAGGGGTATGACAAAGAGTGGGTATTACCTTTAGACTGATAGGAAGGCCATGTAGTGGGCCCATGGGCCGACCATTCTTCCTGAGATAGTCATCGCATTCCCTTGCTCTTGCTATGGCTTCCTCGAAGAAGATTTCTGTGAGACAGTTGACACATTGTTGCGCAATTGCCGCTCTCTTGCAAAAGGCAGTGGTGACCTCAACGCTCGTTGCCTTCCCACTCGTCATCAGCTCAACCAGTGCAGCTATCCAAAGTCAACATCATATGATAGTATACTCCAACATTGAGGAAACCGGTAACAATACTTACTCGCATCGTGATTGGAGGTAAGGTCAAGTTCACGGGGCGTCAACAGACCACACGTGGCTGGCACATCGATCACAGAGATAGCGGATGTTTCAGCAAACTGCGATGTTAATGACTCAGATAGCCTCCATTTCTCCGGTATCTTCTTGAAATTGGCTTCTCTCTTCGAGGCAGCAAGGCCCTGCCAATCGGCGATGGGCATTTCCGACATGGTGGCAGGAGTTACCACGGAACGATGAACGCTAAGTTGCGCCAATTAAAGATGCTAGCAGCATATGAAAGTATATTTAGTATAAGAAGGAAGAAGATTTGAAGGAAGATGCATCGATGAGGGTCGGGATAAGCAGCTTTGGGGACCCGGAATCAGTTCCGAGTCGGATCCCGAGATACCGCGTTGGGTGCGACATATTAGCAACGTCAAAGCACATGGACCTTTTAGGGTCCGTCTAGAAGAGGACTTGCTATTTATGTCTATTGGATTGCGTCAATGGCATGGACATGCACATCAGCAAGCTGCTTTCAGAAGACCTTGCTTCATACCCAGGATCCTGACATCGCATCCGAAGTGGCGTGTGAACGGTGAAAAGATGATCCATCATAGCTCAAGTTCAAAATACTTGATAAGGAAACTACTCCAAGGTACAGGTATAGGTCTAGTGTAGGCCTCTGGATAGGTATATCGCAAGTCCCGCGGCTTTCTCGCATTCCGCTGCCTTTGCGGTTGGCCTGCTCGAAAAACATCCGTCGAGTTTCCAGCAGTCATTTAGTAGTTCGTATACGGCGTGCGATCCGCATTCACACTCAGTCTCGCCGCCTCTCATGCTTGTCGTACGGCGATCGGCTCCTGCGGCGTCTGTGTCGCTCCCGTGAACGTGACCGTGGGCGCTCTTCATCTCCAGGTCGCTCCCTACGCCTCTCGTGCCGATCTTCATAGCGTTTGGGCTCACGACTTCTCGACCGATGGCGTCTCTTGCCACCATCGCGATCCCTGTCTCTTCTTCGATCGCGGGACCTTGAGCGATCGCGTCGCTTCTCCTTCCGGTCTCGCGACCTGCTTCGTGACCTATGCCTCCTCTTCCTGTCGGGCTCATCATCATCCCTGTGCCTCCGTGATCGCTCCTTCCTTTCCTTCGTCTTGTCTCCCTCATCGCTGTCCTTTGTCTTCTCCTCCAGCGCCTTCTCGACATCGGCCTCATGCGCTTTCTCGCCAAGTGGCGTCAGGTTTGCATTGGTAGACGCGCGCTCCGGGACGGGGAGGCCCATGGCGCGGAGCATGGCATCTTCTTCGGCTTCCTTGATTTTGCGCTTCTCTTCTGCGAGCTTCTCGGCGGCCGACATTTCGCCCTCCTTGTCCTGGTCGCCTTTTGCATACCAGTTCAGATCGCGTCCTTGTTGCCAGCGGCCTACGGGGGCCATGAGCGAGTGGCCCAGGTAGTTCTCGCGCTGGGCATCTGCCTTGACATCTTCCCACTTGAAGTCGGCGCGGCCGCCGCTGCAAAGATGTCAGCCATCGATTGACCGATAGGCAAGTTTACACATACCGACTCCCTTCTTTTCGCACAGTCTGTAAGAGATCCATGGTGGCGCTGTTGGGTGGTGAGAGCTGAGGGAATGAGTGCGGAGCAAACGCGGAGGTGCCCAAAAAGCAGGCAACCAGCGCTCACCGGGAGCTTTGGCCACTCTCCCCGCAACTTTCGATATTGGCGACTTGGAACAAGGCTCCACGCCATCACTCGTTCTCCCAGCGCTCTCTCCAAAAGGCCGTCGCCACATACACAAGAGCGGATTCTTCATTGACAAGCCGCTTTAAGACCCTACAAACAACCTTGCGCAGCCACCCTCACTGACACTCCTCCCGCGATACACTCCCCACCGCGCGCGCCATGGCACCCCAGCCCGCGCCCGAAGACGAGTGGCAATTCGACCGCCCCGACCTCCTGCCGACCCTCTCCGCAGCCGGCACGCTCAATTCCAACACGATCCTCTGGTACTTCTACAACTCGCCGTGGTTCGACCAGGGCTCCAACAACAACAGCCTGCTCCGCCAAGTCGGCGGCACGCCCCAGCAGGAGCTTCTCTTCAACAACCGGGTGGCCTTCGAGGAGCGCATGCGCACAGACTACCCGTACGGCACGCAGTATGTCGTTGCGTACGAGCCGAAGAACGAGGGCGAGCCGTGGGTGATCCAGCGGCAGGAGAAGAGCGTGGACCAGGAGACGGGCAGGACGGCGAAGACCGAGGTCACGGCGACGTACTACACGCAGGGCACGCGCATCTTCATGGCGAAGAGCCTGCTCGACGTGCTGCAGACGCGCCTGCTGAGCGTGAGCACGCAGCTGCAGGACCTCATGGAGCTGTCCCAGGGCCTGTCGCACTTCAGCCCCGCGACGGGACACACATACGTGCCGCCGTCGTTCGACCTCGCAAAGGCCAGCAGCGCGAGCCGCGGCGGCAGTCGCGCAGGCAGCCGTACTGGCAGCCCCGTCCCAGACCAGTCGTCGCAGTCGCAGTCGCAGACGCAGCCCGGCGCGCAGCCCACCGCCGCGGACCCCTTCGAGACCTTCTCCGACGCCTTCTTCCTGCGCTCGCTCGACCGCACAGAAGCCTACTTCGAGGAGTACGTCGACGAGAACCCGCTGCAGGGCGAGCCGGGCTCCTTCGTGCTCACCCACAGCTGGCGCAACACGGTGACGCGGCGGGAAGAGGACAAGAAGCGCGCCGAGCAGGCCGCCGCGCAACAAGCTGCCGCCGCGCAGGCAGCCGCGCAGCCCACCCAGCTGTCCATCTCCACGTCCCAGACCCAGAGCGGCCTCCAGTCCTCCACCTCGACCCCCAAACCCGCGACTCCCGCCACCGAGTCCTTCTCTCGCAAGGCCAGCATAGCGTCACAGCCGAAGCCGGGCAAGGAGAAGCGCCGAAAGTCAAAGGGTCCCGGCAGCCTCGCAAGTCCGGTCACACCCACGGGTCCGCAGATATAGCTTGCGAGCCTCTAGGGCTTCACGTGTGTCTGCCGCCTTGGCCGTCTCCGCGCGCGTTCCGTGGCGGGTGCATCTCTCCACCGGGCGTCTGTCGAGGTGGCGTGGATGCAGACGGCGGAGACACAAAGGACGGTGGTGGAGTGCCGCTCGCGTGACACGTCTGTTCGGATTCCGTTGTTTTGATTAAGTGATACCCCCTCTGCAGAGCTCATTGGCGCTCCCTCTACTGCGCATATTCCACCCAAACACGTACACGCGCATGCACATGCGCATGCAAGTACGCTGCTGCACGACGCTGGCCAGCCAAACACTTCCTTTCTCTTCCCCTCCGCTTCCACGGTATGCCACGGCGTGCGTGGTGGCTGGCAACACAGCATGCAGCGGACTCGAGACTGAGTCCGCCCCTTGCTTTGCTTCCTAGATACTATACTGTACATAGACTGTACCAATACCAAAACTGTTTCCCGCATATGCAGGCGGCCAGCCTAGCTTGCGCCTGCGTCTGCGCCAAAGCTAGACCAGCCCCGCCCACGAGACCTCGCCCCTGTGCTTGTAAGTTCCGCGTGTACCTAGGTGGCTGGTGGGTATGGCATGCTATAGCACGCCATGCCCGCGCCTCACCATGCGCACGCGGCTGTCAAAGTCGAGTAGTGAACGCATAGTGAGAGGCAGTCGCTGTTAGTGGCATAGCCAGGTGGGCTGCGAGTACACTATTGTCCATAGCTTCTATTGAAGGGGGCTGGCATCTGAGTCACGCGCGTCAAAGTCAGAACCGCCGCGGATAGGCACCACAGTATGAGTTAACTCGTTGTTGATCGTTCTTGTTCAATTGCCAATCTCCTCGTGCGTGACCTGCAAATTTCGGGTCGAGTCGGCAGGTGGGAGCGCTGGCATTCGCAGCCATGGCCGTTGCCAGATCCCGTCTTCCTCCTCGCAATGTTAGCCAACTTCACATCGAATTCGCACAAGACAGTTGCTGAGTGGGTAAATCCCGGAGCACCACCGCCGCATGGCAGTGGCGCTCCCGACGGATACGAGTCTTGACTATCTAATCATCCCTTGCGCGAAGCGAAATCGCGAAAACAATACAAACGCCCTTCCCGTCATATCTGATATCAGTTTGTTTCATCCCAATCCAACCCCTTCCATATGCAGTTTGCGATGCACCCAAGCAGTAACAAAGGAGAGATACCAAAGAGTAGCTTCTTAAAATGATACAATGTGCCAGAGTACAGACCATCTGGGTACTGAGGCGAGAAGCAGAGAAGAGAGACAGGAGTGAAAGGGTAATGCGGGTATCGGTTTGGTTTCTGAGAGAGGAGAGGAGAGTAAGGAAATGGTATCTCTAGCGCCACAAACTCGTGTATGGTGGAAGCACCATGCATCCTAAGAGTCCTCCTGGAATATGGTTGTTGAAAGGGAGTTTTCTGGTTGGTCTCGAAAAAAGAAAAAGAAAAAAAAATCAAGGGATGAAAAGTGTCAAGACTACAAGTGGAGGTCATTCCAACCTCCAACCCACTCAAGGTCCCCAATGTCGTCATGCAAAGGTGCATGGTTACGACGCCAGTCTTTGCTCAGACTCCAGGGGTCAATGTCCTTGCTTTTGGGCTTTGAGAAGAGATCAGCGTTCTCAGGCTGCGGGCTGGGGCCCCAGTGAATAGGGCGCCTCCAGCTTCCGGTCCGGCTTCGCTTCCGGGCGGAGTTCGGAGTCGGTTGCTGTTGCTTGATGGTCTTCGCAGGCGTTTTCACAGGCTTCTGAGGAGTGTGCTGCGGTGACTGCGGAGCACGCCTACGATCGCCAAGAGCAGCCCATTTGTCTGCCGTGGTGCGCTTGGAAGGTGGAGAGTAGCGTGCAGGAGCCGTGTTGTGCTCTTCGAAGATGAAGCCGGTCTGCTCACTGACATGGCTAGTGGACATTTGGTTCGGTTTGGGGGAGCGGCTCCTGCTGTTGTTGACCATAGCAGGGTTCTTGAGCTCAGACAGACCACCGCGCGGAGTCGAGACGCCAGAACCAGCCTCAGACTGGACAAACGACTTCTCCTTCTTAGGCGTGAAGCTATTCTCGATTTCCTCGATAGTGATATCGTCGTCTTCTTCGTCCCATAGATCGCTCCAGCTCTTGGAGATAACGTCTCGCTTCTTGCCGAACACTGACGCCATGCTGTTAAAGGCCTTGGTTGGAAGCGAGGCAGCAATTGGCATGGGCTTAGATCGTGCAATGTTCATAGGCGCCGCAGCGGGAATGTCGAGAGGCTTGAACGAAAGACCCAAGCCGGAATCAATAGACAGACCGAGACCCGAATCGGCGAAGGAACCGGCAGGGTTGGCAGGCTTGACATCGTAGTAAGAGCGACCACCATGACCAGCATAGAGATCATCCGGGTAAATCTCAGTATCCGGAATAACCGACAGCTGACGGATGGGCTGAGGCGGTGACATGGCTAGAGCCTTGGCCCAAGGAAAGGATCCACCCTGCTCGAGCTGAGGAGTCGAGATAGAGGGCGTGCGAAGGGGCTCACGGTTGGCGCTGGCAACAACGGGGTCGACAAGCTCCTCAGTGCAGAAGTCGTCGAGGGTCTCGTCGTCGATAGTGAAGCTAATAACACGATCGAGGGCTTCCTTAACACGGGACAGATCACGCTTCTCAGGGTCAATAGCGAGACAGTGGATAAGAACCTCAAAGGTGTCCTGGGACATGTTGGGGAAGACATCGAAGAGGCTCTGACGGTCGAGAGCAAAATCGGCATACAAAGGATCCGAGGCCGAGGGCACAGCGAAGGGGTTGCGCGAGAACAAGACGTTCAACAAGCAGATACCGATGGCCCAGATATCTGCCTTGGCGGTGGAGTAGCCAGCGTTGGTGGGGTCATACTGCTCAGGTGCCATGTAGCGATCGCTACCAACGGCGACCTCCCAGGACCAGGCATCGGTAGTAGCAAGGCCAAAATCACCAAGCTTCATCAAGCCAGACTGTGTCAGGAAGATGTTTTCCGGCTTGATGTCGCGATGATAAATGCCCTTGGAATGCATGGATTCGACAGCACTGACCAGCTGATGCATGAAGTCGCGCACATGCTCAGTCTCCAAAGGCCCCTTGTCGAGACGGATGGCTTCGTAGAGGTCGCCATTGGCACAGAACTCGAGGACAAGGTAGACGTGGTTGGTGGTCTCGAATGATTGAAGGAGGTTGACGATGTTAGGGTGGGAACCGAGACGGAGGTGGATGCCAAGCTCCTCTGAGCGCTCGTCGACGGCGAAGGCGGTGGGGCAGTTGACAGCAGCAGTCGACTTGGTGATGACCTTGATGGCAACGAGCTCATCGGTTACGAGGTCCTTGGCCTGGAAGACCATGCCGAAGGAGCCATGGTTGAGGGGCGATATAGTTTCATATCGTCCATTGAGCACAACACCCTCGTGAAGCTGGTCGCGCATACACTCCATAGGGGTGACTCGTTGAACGTTGAAGCAGGGGTTGCCGAGGGAATCCAAAGGTATACCCGGTGGCAGAGCGCGTAAGGTCGGTTGAGCACGCGAGGAGATGGAACGCTGACGTAAGATGTCGTGATCGAACAAAAGGGTTGACGGCCGTCGAACCCACGAAGCGATGATCTATTGCACTTTTAGGTGTCGCAAGCTTCGGTGAAGATAGGAATAAATGGTTTTATGATGGTCTGATCCGGAATGGCGTAAAGAGCACAGAAGAAATGTCGTCAAGTAAACAGGCTGCAGGCTGCAGTAGGTGGGCCCAAGAGGAACTGGTAACAGAAAAGCCGTCGGGGATATGCACAGGGGTCCGTAGGCTGCAAAGACAAGGAAAGTCTCAAGAGAGTGTGGTGCTCATTGGCTGTATTAATTTTGTATGGATAACCCGAGTCAACGAGCGGTTGGAAAGAAAGGCAGGTCGGAGGTCCTAGACGTCCGGATAATGGCAAGAACAAGAGGGTCGCTGCGTGAGATGGAGATGGAGAGAGTCGTAAACACGTGGAGGCGTAGGTGTAGACAGGTGCGGGTGTCTAGGGCGGACGGAGTCGTTGGCTCCGAGTCAGCGGCAAGACTCGGCCGATGGCTAGCAAAGGACTCGAGGACGAGGATGCTAGGATAGGCGGCTTTCACTGGCAGCAGACGACGACGATGTTGGCATCAAACGTCTGGCCACGAAGCTTGGGGGTGGATCTCGAGGCCGAGACTGGTGTGGCGAGCGGAGGTCGGGGGCGCAGGGCGAGCAGTGAAGTTGTCGGTGATGGCCCGGAGCTGCTGCCGCTGTCACATCAAAAGCCAGCTGCGGTCGATGGTCCGTTGAATGGTTGCGGCGGTGTTGTGCGGATGAGTCGTGATGGGGAGACGGAGCGAAGTCGGGGGCGGTGTCGTGTCGAGCTGAGCGAAGCAGGCGCGGGTTGCGAGGGTAACGAAGGCGGAATGGGCGAGCAGAGGTATTAGGGAGGCGGACGGTGTGGCGGAATGTAGGAGTTGGAGGGACGCTTCGCAAAACAACGACGACGGAGGGAGCTGTGGTACTCTATCACATAACAACTTGCTTCGGTGAGAGATGAGCGGCAGAGCTGGGCAGGGAAGGGGGCCTATATGACTGATACGAGGAGCATGACCAAGTGCGCCTTCCCCGATGCGACTAGCAGCGCGCTAAGGACACCCTGGCAGGCAGCCTGCAGCGAGAAGCTTCCAGTGGCCGGAGGACTCCCTCGTCCGGCTGTGCCAGCGCGTCTGCTCCACCCGGCCCTTTCCACGCATGGTGGCTCCACCTGTCTTCCGGGCGCACGCTGTCCTTGTCGAGCGTCGCTGTTGACGCATCCCGAGGCCATGACGCTGCCCTAGGGGCTGGACGCTCGCGGTCGCACTTGGCCAAGGGCGGCGGCGCACCGCATCGGACGACCCAGAACTGGGCACGGCACCGTGTCCCAGCCAAACCTATGCGGCGATCCGTCGAGAACTGCCTCTTTGTGCCAAAACCTGCCACATTTCATACCCTTGTCCATACGACATCACCAGGTCGTCGCTGATTGGTCTGCCTTTGCGTGCTTCCGCTGATCGCAGCGCTCCTCAACCCTTCCGCAGTGCCGTTGTCGTTCATCTATCGAGAGCTCATAACCTCATTTCCACGGCGTCGGCTCTTGGAGAGCGCTGTCGCAGCCGTCTTCGGTAGCCGCGTGCCTCAGGGCCTGCCTGGATGAGCCCCTCCCACTGAGCCCCCATGTGTTTCAACGAGCTGCCGCTCGGAAACCCTGTGGTGAACCCACCGAGCACGGCCGGCGGGTGCTCGCCGCGACGTCTTGGACCTGGGAAAGCTCTCATGCTGTCTCCCACTCAGGCCCCAATCGCTTCGAGCATCGAAGCCTCAGTGCAATGGGTTGCGCGGAAATTACAAAGTCGGTGTACAACCGCCCACGCGAATAGCATCGTGGCAACGTGGAAGACGAATCCTCTCGCTGTCTGGGCCCTGCACTCGCTGTCCGGCTCCGGAAAGGCGCCCACTGGACTTCGCTCCGTAGCGTGCCGCCATTCCGTATCCAAGGTCGCGAGTGGTCCAACCCCAGGCACGCTACATTTATCCTGCATCGTGCGCTGTTGGCGCTGCATCGTGCATGACCTCGCCACAAAGCCTCACAGGTACTCGAGGGCAATCCGAAGGCTAATGCGGGAAACGCATGCAAGTCTCCACCTTGCCCCCTGGATTTGAGGGCGGTGAGAAGCGACAACGAGAAAAGGTCGAGACAACAAACTGGATTCGGCTGTTGTCTAACCCATAGCTCACTGAACACATGCATAGCTTTGCGATCTGAAAAGTGGATTGCTGGTGTGGAGCTGCGGTCCGCCTCTGCAGCAGCGGGGGCTGTCAAGACGCAATGGGAATCTGATGCCCATCCAGCTTCAGGAAGTGTGTTTGTTTATTTACTTCGGGATCAATTGGTATATCGTGTGAGACTGCGGACTTGAGTCGGGCACGCGAGCAGTCCGCTGCGCCTGTCCGACGGCACTGCCAGCCCAGCATTGCGACAAGTTGTTCATGCGCCGCGCACACTGGTTGCTGCCCACGGCGAGTTTGCGATGACTGTCCACTGTGAAAATTTTCTCTTGCACGTTGATTTCTACAACTTCACATTCGTGTCTTGTTACCGGGCGGTGCCCTGTCCTGCTAGCCTATAACATATTGACCGCCTTGGTGATTGTATTTGCACAGTTCTCAACGCAAAGTATCGAGCCAACCACAGTGTGTCACGGTACACCATCCGTCCGAGGTGCTTGTATTTTTTGAAAATTCTCCACTCACCGCCTCTCACCGCTATCTCGAATCAACAACAGCCCTGCGACGACAATGTCTCACGCAAATATCGACTCGGTGCGGTGGGAAGACTCCCAGGTTGTTCTGCTCGATATTGGTGAGTGCAAATTGTCCGCCCCCGCCAGCTGCTCACGGCAGTTTCGCTGGCGGCGCAGCCCCATCTAGCCGCCGACGACATTCTCGGGCTCGGTCCAGCCAGCAGCTTTCGCGATGCACGACAGTCACGCTCAAGCACACGCGCCTTTCATCGCGTGTCCGCTGGGTTGTGTTCGGGGGCTGCACCCCAGTTTGACGCCACCATGCCCAGCCATCTTGGGGTCTCGAACCACCAGAACATGCACGCAACCGTTACGCAAGACAACACTGACGCTGCTGTGTAACGCTTGCAGAGGGAACCATTTCTAGCATATCCTTCGTCAAAGACGTCCTGGTAAGCCGTCTCTCCTTTTCCTGTGTTAGTCATTAGTCCTTGTCGTCGCAACGAGGTCGTTTCCCCGCAGTCGAGAGCGCGTGTGATCACTGGCTCCAAATGGGCCGCTGTCCAGCCTTCTGGACCTCCCTCGGATACCTTCAAGCCACTCATTTCCCTTCTGGATGCTGTTCTGTCCTTTTCGGATTCCATCACGATCTCTAAGCTTCCATGATACATCACGCGACATGTCTCCCGGACAGACACGATGTCCGCCTACCCTAGGGCCAGCTACTCACGATGACAGTATCCGTATGCGGTCGACCGTCTCGCGAAGCTTTCTCGCGACTCGTGGCACGATCCGGGCTTACAGGACCTAATTGCGGGGTTCCCTGAAGAGACGAGACCGAATGCCGAGACGCTGCTCGCTCATGTGCAGGACCTGACGCGTAGGGACATCAAAGCCGTGTACTTGAAGCAATTACAAGGTAGGCACATTCCTAGGTCCTGTTATCGGATCGGTTCAGCCGTTATCGCAAGCACATCCCCAATCTTCAGTAGTCGTGACCCTTTACTATTTCGGGGGTTTCCTAGCGATCATCGCCACGTCAGGTCCGCGATCTACGCCTCATGTTAGTGGATATCGGTCTTAGGTCATTCGGACCGTCGCAAGTAGCGGACCTTGCGATAATCCACTTCGCTATCATAGCACTCTGGAGAAGAGCTGCGTTGTTGCGTCACGCTGGCCTGGCCTCGCTGTTCTTGTTGACTTACCGCAATTATACCGACCGCGCTTGCGACGACCAAGTTTCATCGCAATTGCCTGGCAGGGGTCCCAATTACAACGCCGACTCCCGAGTGTCGCTTTACATTCCAATCTGACCACGTGGGCAGGCAAGCTGTGGAAGACTGGTTATGAGGATGGCGACCTCGTCACTCCTCTTTTCGACGATGTGATACCAACACTGGAGAGCTGGAAGAGCGCAGGCAAAACACTTGCTATCTTCAGCTCCGGCAGCGTCCAAGCCCAGCTGCAGTTCTTCTCTTTCGTCCGAGATGGTACAACGACACGCGACCTGAAGCCTCTCTTCAAAGCCCATTTCGATCCCACTATCGCCGGCTCGAAACTCGAGAAGGACTCATACGAGAAGATCTGTAGCAATATGGGCCAGAAGGGTGCCCAAGTGACTTTCCTTACTGATAACATCAAAGGTACGTATCCATCTCACTTGACGTCGTTGGCCATCGTCCCACAATTTCCTTACTACTCTATTCTATTCTCCGATTACGCGCGGATGTTCTACGCGCCCTACCCTGGGCGATTCGCTACGTGTCTACCTGAAACGTCTCCGATCAAGCACCCGCCCCAGCTCCACGGCGCAGCAGCTCCGCCTCTATTAATATGATCCTTCCAACAACGGCATCCCAACATCAATCAGCTCATCAATGCACACCCGCTCTGTATCGGAGCCGGTGTGTCAAACCACCCCATTGCGTCACGGCGCACGGCCATTAATTTACATAAACAAGCCAAGAGTCCCTGCTCCGCGTCTGCTTTGCAGATCGTTTCGTTTCATTGAATCGCCCAATCACATTCAATACCTGCGTTATTCCAAGTAAACAGCTCGCTGACATGCAGATATACAGAAGCAGAAGCTGCGAAGGACGCTGGCGTGTACGCGGTCCTCGTGGATCGACCCGGCAACGCACCGTTGGCTGAGCAGGATAGGCAGCGCTTTCCCGTTATCAAGCAGTTGACGGATCTGCCGTAATTCCGAACGGTCCCTCCAGATCGGCGCGCAACGTCATAACAACGGTTCAAGTGACATACGTTGCCGGGACACTCTACATGAACGCTGCTGCAACAACGGCGTCCACACGCAAGGCTCGTGGGAAGGGGCTGTGGCATGCGGTAAGTGGTGTACCTAGATCAAGATAGAAAGTCCTTCTCGTGGTGTTGGGGGGCTGAAGGAATGAGACTGCAGATGAAGTACGTGCCAACACTCACCACCAACAACCGCCAACGCAGGAGTGCATACAGATGACACGCGACACGTTCCTATGCAGTGACGTATCAGCCTTGGCCACGCCGGCCTGCTTACCTTTTTACGTAAGCTACCACGCCCCATGCTCTTCATACACATGCCAGGTGCAAATAAACAGCAGCACGTGATCATTGACCATTTCTAACCCACCACAACCACTGCCCGCGACACGCGCCGTTGTTCTCGCAACGTGTATTGCAATCTGCGGCGCTCTTCGCAAGAAGCGTGATCGTCTGGTGATCGGTCGTCGTGGGGCAGGTGGGGTAGCAAGAGTGGTTCTTGTTGCGAAACGGGAGCTGCTTCACATGGAGGGGCAGTCGGCTGGGTGGTGTGGACGTCAGGTATCCACTGTCCACTGTATACAATGCGGCTGCTGGTTGACGTGGCTGGCTTGTTTGGTGTGGGTGGGTGGAGACAGACTGGTGTGTTCGATGGCGTCCTGAGGGTGCACTAAGGAGATAGATAAGGAGCAGTGGAGATTTGGGAATGGTTTGCTGTTCCTGCGCTGAGAAGTGTACGAATTGGCGTATACGTGATGCCCGTGTGGAATTGAGATACTTCTTGTCCTAAGGTAGGTAATGCGTAAGCTACTTGTACGCAGCCTTTGGTCTTGCGTACTGGAGAAAGATCTTGCCAATTGGCTACATGCTGATGAACGTCTCTTGCCCAAGGCTTAGATTCGTTTCTGTATGTGATGCGTTAAGGTCGGTGTGCTCTTTTAACCTTGCTTTCATCTATTTTGAGTGGGTACAGTGTTCCCCACGATACAATACCGCATCCAAATTCAAGCTCACACTCCCTTTCTCCTGAGGTCCACGTTAGGATCGGAAACCTCTTTCTGCATTCAAAACAGTGCTGAGAAGCCAGCCTTCACTCAATCTCAACAGTAAACGTCCCATCAACCTTAACCTCCACTCCCACATCCTGGGGCTCGTAGTCCCATTCACTTTTCTGCATCCTTCCGCCATTCGCCTTTCCAAGGTGCAATTTGGGTTTCGTAAACTTTGTGTACTGAAAGCTCTCCTTCACCAACACTGCTCTGACCTTGCTTTGTGCCTCTTCCTCGGTCAGCCCACCAAAGACCTCCGCATAATCTCTAGCCTTACGGATCGCATGCTTCGCTGCCTCTTTCCGTGCCTGCGCTTCCATAGTAGCTCTAGTAGCTGGCGTAAGTATCCACTCTAGACAGTTGATCTTGACATTCTCCATGGCGCCGATTGTCGTTGCGAGACGTGCAAGCAGTGCGAAGTCGCGGAACTCGATAATCAAATCCGCGGATGCATATGTGCTTTTATGGGAAGAGCTCTTGGAAAACGACATAGAGGTGTCGCGACCTTGCGAAGTTTCGAACGATTTCAGGGAGTAGTGCGAGATCGGGGCGTTGTCCTCCGCCTTAGTCGAGCCGGTGGTGGCAGTTTGATGACAGTATGGTGCGATCGCATCGAGTAAGGAATTTATAATTGAGACAACGCTGGTCTCGGCCTCCGGAATGGTAGGAAAGCATTTTGTTTGCGTGTGCAGGGTGAGGATACTGCGTTCCGCAGGATGACGGTTGGTTCCGGTGCCTGCTACGTGGATATCGAATGGAGCCATTCCTGGTCAATTTTTATCAGATATTGATTCTCGTCCGTTGTTGATGGTTGGGCGTTGTTTTCTTATTCCTGAGACAGTGGAAGGCTACTTCGCTGCATTTGAAGGGTGCGCGCATCTGGGACATGTGGCTGCCTTGTCGCTGCCTAAAGTAAGCGTAAGACGGATTGTTCTTGCTCAAAGATTCAACACCAACCATCACGTTTCATTCACCGTCTAACGCCATTGTTCACAAGACGAACAAGTTTTCCCCACATAAATCCTTCTCATATGCCGTACTATACGCGTATCCCCGAGAGAGCTAGAAGGACACCGAACATGGACCTGCTAACATTAATACTCTAGAGGAACCCGCACAGAGCTTTTTGGTGCGTAGGGATACGCACTTCAGCTCTCAAATACACATATGACACTGCAGATGATCGAGACGATTAAGCTTCTGCTTACAGTATATGTGGATAGGTTGTAGACGCCAACATAGACGCCACCTTAGAGGGTATGACACGCAGTCACTATACATACTCGAAATCTTTGTGATTCCCTAAGAACTAGTATCACAGTTATACATAGTGTTTAGGAAACGCCATTCTCGCACAATATAAACCCCAGAGATACATCCTCGTCCTAATCCTTGCCCGTCGATCTAGCTGTTGTCACTCTACACTGGACTTGAGAGCTGTGAGAATCCAGGGTAAACTATTACATGATAGTTTAAGTTTTATAATAGTATCATATCGCGGGTTTCTACTGGATGAGGTGTGCTCGAGAGATCCAGTGCTGGTAGTCGTAGAACTCCTCTTTAATGCGATGCCGTGAGCGGTTCACGCTCAATCTCGATAAATCCGTATCTGACTGTTCATATTTCATTGTTGCTTCTTGTTCTTGTCGTATGAAATTCGCCTGGTCTCCGTCGTCAGTGAATCTGATCGGCTTCAATACACCATCTGAACCATCAGGCGGTGAGATGCCCCCAGAGGAGATCGGTTCTGCAGGTGACGGTACTCTCCTGTCTAAGCACCTGAACGTTGATGGACATAGGCTGCAATGGTATGAAGGATACGTTTGATATTTCTTCCCAGGCCATCGCAGTGTACTTAGTCTGATGTGGTCGATGGTAGCTTTTCTTGAAAGAGAAGGGTTTTTCCAATTCTTCTTATTGTCTGACATCAACAGCTAGTTGATTCACCGAGGCTCCGATCATTGTCCCACGCTAGCTGACCTCTGCGTCTTACTGCCGTTCGCTTTGCATTAGAGCATGCTGGCACATCAGATGGCGTAGTCGGGTCTTGATAGCAACCAGACGTATCCTTCACGAGTCATTCATCCCTAAATTCGCATTGAAACCTATCTCGAATACGTCCGCAGTACCATTCTTCTTGAAAGCGCGGAGTGCGGTGGGCCGATAAATGTAGAGTCCATCACGCTACGTTCTATACCAATACAAAATTCGGTAATCTTGTAGTCCTTCTCCGTGTCTCTATACCATTCCTCGTCTAGTCTGAGGTAACCTGCTCTTTCCAGACGTAGCAGTACGTTATCCCTTCGATCCTCATGTCGCAACTTTTCTTCCATTTTCATTGTCTCTACTCGCATCAGGAACCCGTGAAGGATCAGAAATGATCGAGGCAACAGTAAACCTACCGCACACGATCATTAATGGTGAATTCCTCTCAACGTTGCCCCTTGGAAGTGACGAACTGCTCGATCTTGCATCGGGGGGTACCTTGTGTGTTGGTTTGTGTAGTGGCATCTTGCCCCGCTCGCAGCAGCGGTCCGGTGAGGAACAGGAATGATTGAAGCAAGAGTGCACTGGAAGCTAAGTTTCGCGCACTGGAGCAGCGTGCTCGATAACCACGCGTAGTATCGTTTGTCCAGCCCTTGGATGAAGTGGGTAAGGGCTAAACGAAATTGATATGTGAGTGATAGGCTCTGATTCCAATATCGAGAATGTGGCTAGTAGAATAAGGGACCATTTTAATGCGAGCGACCTCGTCGTTCAAATGTCATAGACAATCTATTGGTGCATATTGGATGGCATCCGACATCGACGAGCCTGGATCATCCTCCAGCTGTTTGCGTGTGCGTTATCACAACACCTGGAAAGTAGTCTGAGTACACTGTCATACTCCACGAGGAGTAATGTGTAATGACAATCCTGGCCTGTTGTTGTCTGGGTCGGATGTCGAATAATTGCACAGTATCCCATCCAGATATATGTTTGCTTACCGACTCCATGTTCCCGGAAAGATAGTCATACCACATCTTTAATGAGCGGTGCATACAGAATCTGCGTAGCTGCGCTGCGTTCGCGTTTCTCAATGGAAACAATTACCGGAGTAGACACCTGTTTGTGACTTGGAAGGGATTACCAGCCATAGCAGTTGTGGTAAATGTACAGCCGTACAGTCGTCCAAACATGAGGTCATTCGGAAGTTTATCAGGGGCCCCGAAACCTCTGTCTTGATGTGCATCTGATCCTGCCGTACCGACGGCGCAATGCGGAGACCGAAAGTTCCGAGCTTTGATCCAACACTAGCATTCCTTACCAGACGCAGTAAGGCTACCGCAAACCTTCTTTTAAGCTGGCTTGTAATCTTTTCCATCCTTCAAGATATGCATAACCATCACATTGCATTTTTCTGATCCATTTCGTACATGTGGATTATGATGTTCCGAGGCTCAACTTCAGCAATACAGTAATCAGGCAGTATTTGATTGGAAAAGCGCGGATGACGACCGTCGCTTTCCTGAATCACATTCTAAAAAAATAAAAAAACAATAAAAAAAAAACAATGGTCATTCAACACGTTTTAAGTTCCACGCGTGTCTTCGGTTTTCGAAAGGCCCGGGGTGTCCCAGTTCCGCGGAGAGGCCATCGAGGCAAGTCAATGCGTATGTGAACGCCGAATTGAATCTCAGTTTTCCTCCAGGCAATTGATCCTACTCTTTGAATGAGAAAACCGAGCCACCATATACCCTGTTGATAATTCTTCAGAGGATTCTCGACGCGTATTATGCTTACGCCCCGTTCGGTTTCTAGAGCCTTAGTCCGTCCGTATATCTTTAGACCCTGATTGGTCTTGTCGTCTATGCACTCATTGGGAGCATTGACAAATACCAATTCCGCAATTTTGCGAATTACCAAAGGGCTTTGTAATTGGGTATATCGAGTATTATTTCTTGTTTCGTTTTAGGATGCGCCGTTGGAGGATTGTCCCAGGGCTGTGCTCCAGGGCAGACTCTACACTGACGTTCTGCTTTGCGTTAGATTCCAAGCTCGGCGAATATCTGCCGCTGACGCACTTCGTGATTTGTTCCATTTCTCTTGGCCTCTTCTGGGGGCCACGTTTTCTGCCCTGGCATAGTATTCTCGCGCGAGACTCCCTCGTGAACCGACCCAATGATTGCAAACTCCGCTCTTCCAACGGTCGCCGTGTATATATCCGGAGCCGTGAATGTAAACTCCGGGCCCGTCCGTAAAGGGAATCGAATGACTGTTCATCCAAATCCGAGCATTGTAGCCTGGATCACTATCAGTGCTCGACCCAGGATTGATCCAAACCTAACGTTTTTCGTACGATACTACTCCTGGTGAACGTACGTGGTGAAACTTGACGTTGACTCTGCCTCAAGACTACCCAATGACTAAGTGGACGACACGGATCGCTGGCAAACCAAGAGTGCAGTGCCACAATGCTGTGGTACGGAATGACCAAGCGCGGATACTCTTCCGCTTTGAGATTTGAGTTTGATCTTTGTACGAGGCATGCAGCAGCATAAATAAGAACGGTTGAAGTCCGCTCGCAGTATACAATTCACCGAAGGTAGACATCAATACATCGTATTTAAGCCTGCTATCACGCGATACATGTCTTGTCAATTCAGCCGATCCGAGAAAGAGATACTCCTTCGTGCCGACATGAAGTTCTTCGCTATGATTGGAGTGTTTATGGCCTCAGTGGCTGCGGCGACACCAGACCCGGCTCTTCAAGCAGAAATCGCAGCCAACCGAGCCAGAGGTGTTTGCGGTCCTATGCCTCCAGTAAGTCATGCCTACGAATTCTTGAAGGTTTCACTTGGGCGTTGCAATGCCCGTCCTTCGTTTGTAGAGCTTCTTTACGAGGGGGAAGGTTGCATTCACTGACGAATTCTAGTGCCGCCCGTGCAATACGGAAGCCGACGGATGTTGCTGCGATGGTTAGAAATGTGGCGTTTGAGTTGCGACAGATTCAGACACACAGGTGGAGATGATCTACTTGGAAACGTTCGCACTCGCTTATATGGACGTCTGTCATGTACCCAGCAGCTAGATCAGGCGCATCCTTATCATGACTACTGATTCGCTCTCTCCATCTCCCATTTCCGTACTGTAGTGATTTGCGCGTGAAAGGTTAAATGGTGATCGCAACACTACCTACCCATTTAGCGTTCGCCCATCGGAATTCTCCTCTCCAACCCTACTGCTTATCACCTGTCTTCTCCAACCCCGCTTTACCCCCCTTCACCTTCTCATCACCGCCAATTCCGGTCTTCCTAGTAGGCTCTGCCTGATAATCCGGCTGTTTCGCCGGATGGTCGTCTCCGCTCTTGCGCTCTTCCGATGAAGCACTTGACTGCTGATCCGTATTCGGCGTATCACTCCTCACATTGGCGCTGATCGAATCAGGTTGGTTGGCCTGTAGGTTGGAGCCCATACGCTTCTCATCGGCATGGAGCGGGGACGTGGTGAAGGAGCGCTTAAAGGGGCGGAACCGAGACACCAAGAAGGTGGTGTTAGAGATGCGGAGAGGCATGGTGGTATGCGGTCGATCTTCCTCCAGGTTTGCGGTCCTTTGAACTGTATTATTGTAGAATTAAAGCGATAAGCTATCTGAAATATGTGTTATAATTTCTGAGGTATCTATAAAGATGTCAAAGTTGTTGTGACGAGTGCACATTGATATAACAGTGATGTCACTGTTTGACTAGTAACTTTGCGACGGAACATGCAGCCGTGCTCTTCATAAATGCGTCATTGTCGAAAAATAATAACATGATATGTGCACATCTTCTGATCAGTATGATAGCTCGTACGAGCTTTTATTTGGCGTAAAATGCCAGGTACACCTCAGTGTACTAAATTTCCTTAGTGCGACTGGGAGAACATCATCTGTGGAACCGTACGTGGTTGAAGTCGCGCTCTTATAGCGAGTAAATATACGTGTCTGGCGTCAACAAATTCTTGAGCTCGTACATGCCAAAATATCTTTCGTCCTCGACGAACAACACCAGAGATACCAGAAGAACGCCTCGCTACCCATGATCCATGGTATCATACCGGCGAAACAACAATCCGTGAATTTTTGTCTCAGCATGCTGACCCACAATAAACGCCGTTATAATGCATAACATATCGTGAGACTCCTACTACATGACGTCGATATCGCCGTCCGCGTCAGGTGCTTCGCCTCTCAAGGCAGGAGGTAACTTGTCGCGAATCGCCTCGAATGCGATTTGACAATTATGTGCATCCTCAAGCAAACCGTTGCGCTGAAAGGTATCGATACACGCACCCCAAGCAACTGCCCGCCATAGAACAGGGCCTTGGCTGCTGACGTTCCTCGCTGCTCGAGCGCATTTGATCGGCTGCTCTCCCACCTGATTCGCGAAGAATTTACTGGCCATGTAGTTCAAGCACATAGAGACGAATTGAGCGTTCCCAAGTCTCTGTGCCCTATTCGTAGTCGTGTGTATTAGCGTCTTATGGCCCTTGATTGACTCTTCCTGTGTGATGGCCTGGATGATACGGAACGCGCAGTCGATGTACTGGTTGGGATGATTGAGGCATAGCGGCTGAAGCTGCGCATAGAGAATCTGCGCCAGGTAATGCTGAGGGTGTGAAGGATCCCGGATGATGAGCATCCTGTTCATCGCTGCTAGCAGAGCAATGTCCGTATTAAAATTGGTACCGGACTCTACACCTGGTAGATTCAACTCGGAGCCGGAATAGATGGCTATGGCTGAGTCGAGCATTCCATTAGCTTGGTCCACCATGCCGGATAGGTAGGACAAGGCACGAGCGTATGTTTCCAATCCCTTAAACGGACGTTCGGAAGCGCGCTCTCGAAGCATCGACACCGCTAATTGAGCGGTTGACTTGTCCTCGTGATAACACGCGGCAATGCCGAGGGTATATTTGATATGCCAATCGAGCACCTTGATCCAGTTCCTCTGTCCCAGTGATTTTGGCACGGAAACCGCGACCGTAGAGGACCGTTGAAGAGCAGCTTGGGTGAGAGCGTGGCCCTCTTGGAGGTATTTAGTGCCCTTCTCCTTCGTCACAACCACCAAACCGCTAAGATAGTAGGCCAGCATCCCGAAATCGCTTCGCGGTAACCACGCAAAGACCAATTCATCCCGGCCATCGTCGGCTTTGCGGAAGACGCCCCCAGTGGAGAATGTCAAATTCGGAGCCGAGCTTCTCTCGATCAAGACGGAGAAAGCCCCATTGTCAGGTTTGACGTTCTGGTCCACTTTACTCTGCAAAGCTGTGAGTTTTTCTTGGCTTGGCTGCCCTTGCTGGATGCTGCACGCGACGTCGATGTAATCGATTAAGATGGTTATCGAACCCAGCTGTTTGACTGAGAGCTCAAGTTGAAGACTCCTCGCCGAGGCAATTGCTCGTTGAGCTTGTTCAAGACGATCCGAAGCGCTCGACCGCAAGTGAATCATCGCTTCCAAGGCACAACAAGTGACGTAGATGGCTTTGTCTCCTTTCGGCTCAGCGTGAGCGGCTATCGCATGTAACTGCTGAAGCGCCGATGATGTTTCCGGCCGGCCAGGAACTTGAAGGGCAAGGGACACTTTTAAGAATCGAAAAGCGTACACCCAGACAATCTGTTTGAAGGTCTCGGCTTCCGAGATCGGTTGGTCCAGCATTTTGAGAGCTGCGCGGTGATTGCTTTTGAATTGGTAGCGGGCTTGTAGATGCAACATAGCGTACTTGAGATCGATCAGCTTACTCCGGTTGCAAAGCGTAATCTGGTAGATATTAGCTCAGCGTGTTACCTTCGATCTACTGAACCTACCCCTTTCGCCAAGATCTCCTCAATGTCTTGAGTGTTGTCCGTTTCCTCAACTAGCAGGCTTGCATATCTCAGCCTCAAGATTGCCTCATCCCGTGGCGTCTGGTTGTACTTCTTCAGAACAGTCTCCATACACCCCATCGCGGTCGCCATGAGCCTGTAGTATTGATCCAGATCAGCAGGCTTCAGTGTCATAGCGACAGTAGATCCCAGACTCCTCGCCGCGCCGATATACTCTTCTGCTGCGGAGAGGATGAGGACCATGAGGTCAGCCGGAAGCGGCCTCGCAGGCGCATGCTGTGATCTCGTAGGTGTCTGCAACTGCGTAGAAGGCTTGGTTTTTATGACGACTTGTGGATGAGATCGGACCTGAGAGGACGACTGGGTTATCGAGGGACTCCGTGACTGGGCAGTCGGCGTGCGTGCGTGGGCCGGTGTTCCTTGAGGCTGCAGCGGTGCGCGATACTGGTTCTGGTTCTGTATGGGAGTATCGACCGGCCGTTGTTGTGACCTTGGAGTGTTCTCTTGAAACGACTGCGGCCTGTGCGAAGGCTTCGCTGGGGTTTGCGCCCGCTGCTGCTGCGCTCGACGATCAACGGCCGCTCCGCCGTCTGCGCGCTGAACGGGCCTTTGCGCATCCCCGTACCCATGCACCTGAGGTTGCCGCATTTGCTGGTTCTGCGGCTGCGGCATCGCATTTGGATTTCGCTGGGGTATGTGGACTTGCGGTTGCATGTATCGTTGTTGCGGTGCGGTTTGCGGGGGCGACTGCTGGCCTGGGCGAGGTGGGATGGCAATTCTCGGATGCGCCTGCCCTTGTTGCGAAGCAGGAAAGCCCGGCTGCATTGGTGGTGGTTGCGTCCCATATGGCATGCTGTATCCGTTGGGCGCATACCCGTTTGGTTGCGAGGAAGGCACGTACTGGCCGTTTGAGTAGCCCTGGCGGGCCTGTGGCGGCCAGTTGTAACGTGGATCCATGATTGACGTTTCTCCGTCTCTTGCCGTTGATCGGTGATCGAGGATGCCTGCGTGGCTGCTATGACTTCAACATGGCTGCGTGTGCGTTTTCGTGGCAGTCGCGATTCCGCGATGCGGTCGAGGCAGGTGGACGCGGCGTGACTGGCGCGTTTGACGCGCGCCTAAGGCAACGAATTATCCTCCAGAGCCGAACCGAGGCCGCCTGCCACAGCGTGCTCTTTGACACCGCTTGTTCTTATTCCTACTGTTGACTTCTTGTGCAGGCCTATAGTGTTCGCCCAGAAGGTAGAGATAGACGGTGTCTTTTGTTTGGGTCGGAGTGTTGAGTCCATCGTCGAGGATCTAAAGCCCCTATTGAGCGTTCGAAGCGGTCAGTCAGCTACGGGAACCAGGGTCAACCTCAAAGAGCAAGAAACGGGATTGAAGGCGTACGTTGCAAATCAACGCAGAGAAAACAAGATGGCCTTCCTCTTTGGTCACGCCAAAACTTCCTACACCCACCACCAAAGTTCCATATCGCTCCCCACCAAATCCGGCTCCAAGACCTCTTTTGCCGACCTAATAAAGTCTGCCACTCCACCATGTCGCCTCAACCCTTTCCTATTCAACGGTCACCTCCAGACAATGTGGACAGCTGTAAAGGACGACGGGCCACCCGTGTACTACAAGCGCAAGATCTACGAATCAACTCACTCAGTCTACCCTGGCCAGTTCACTGTTGACTTCGTCGTTTCGAAGGACGAGGGATTGGCAAGCAAGAATGACGAGACTCTGCCCGAGAGGACAACTTTCTATTCCGAAAATGAATGGACCGATGTTGGGAGTCAAGATACAAAGCCAATGTTGGTGTGCTTGCATGGCTTGAGTGGTGGCTCCCATGAGGTTTACCTGCGGCAGTGCGTGGCACCCGTCACGTCGACAGGATGGGAAGCTTGTGTGGTCAATGGGAGAGGATGTGCAATGTCGAAGATCACGACACCAAGATTGTTCAATGCGAGGGCGACATGGGATGTGAGACAGCTGGTTGATCATCTGAGGGAGCTGTTCCCAAATCGTCCCCTTTACGCCGTCGGATTTTCTTTGGGCGCGAACATCCTGACGAACTATGTGGCTGAAGAGGGTGAAGGTTGCGTATTGAAAGCCGCGGTTGCATGCTCAAACCCCTGGAATCTCGAGATCGCCAATGTAGCACTGCAACGAAGCTGGTTAGGACTAGAGGTCTACAGCTCAGTCATGGGAGGCAACTTGAGGAGGTTGTATGAACTACACCGCACTGAGCTTCTCAAAGCTGAAGAGCTCGACGATGAGAAGATCATGAAGTGCAAGTATTTGCACGAATTCGATAGGTTAGTAATGTTGTGAAAGGGTGTGTTGAAGATGAGCCGGGATACTGATGTTTGTCACAGAGCGGTTCAAGCACCAAGCTGGGGATATCCAACAGAAACTGCATATTATCGCGATGCACAGTCAGCTGATGCAGTTGTTGCTATCAAAATTCCGTTCCTCGCTATCAACGCGGAAGACGATCCGGTAAATTCCTTTGCCATTTTCGTCGCCCTGAGACCCCAACTAACCGCCAGCAGATTTCCAGCATGGAGGCGATACCCTACGAAGAGTTCAAACAGAACCCATATACTGTCCTTTGCTGCACCAATTGGGGTGGACACTTGAGTTGGTTCCAGTTTGGAGGTAGAAGATGGTTTGCGGACGCTGTCGTGGCGTTCCTCACTAAGCTGCATGAGGAGGTCGATGTGGATGAATTGCCAGCAGGCAAGAAAGTGGAGGCGAATGACAAGGTGCCGACGAAGAAGTATCCCATTTTCGACCCGTGTAACAGGAGGTTGGTATTGCCGCCAAAATAGATTGTGGGCGACGCAAAATCGCTTTTGCTGGGTATCGATTGCGAAATAGACATAGAAGAACGAATAGATCATGAGGTTCTTGATTCCTTCAGCCGAACGACACCCTCTTCTTCTTGCCCTTGGTGGCCTTCTTTGGCGTCTCGTCATCCACATCGTCAAGCTTCGCCATCTCCTTCGCCAGCTCAGGATTCCTGCTCTTCCTCTTCTTCTTCAATCCCTTCTTTGTCTCTTCAAACTTGCTCGCCTTGTCCTCCGCCCTAGCCTCCATCTCCTTCCTCTTGGCCTCCCGCACCTCCTCCAGTTGTCGCGCGCGCATGATCTTACTCTCGACGTCCTTGTCCTTCTCTGCGTTCACTATGCTCATGATCGCCATCATACTCGCGGAATCGTCGACGAAGGTTTTGCCTTTCTTCTGGCCCTTAGGCTTGGCGATGCCGGCGGGGATTATGCCATTGAGCTTAGGCAGATCCAATTCTGACTCTTTGTAGACGCGCTTCTTCCGCTTGCCGTTGACCACTTTCGATTTCGTTTTTTGGACGCCACCGGGTTTGGCGAGGGCGAGAGACTTCTGTCGCTTCTTCGAGATGCCTTCGGGTGCAGGGCCTGCTTTTGCTTTCTTCGCAGGGCCGCCAGATTTTGAGCCGCCCGATTTGCCACCTTTGGATTTCGTTCCTTTAACTGACTTGATTGGCGCCATGCTGTCGGTGGTGGAGAGAATTGCACGCGTGCGAAATAGGTACAGTACAAGTGCGCAAGTGCTCGAACTTTTTTGGCGGAGAAGTTCCAGTCGGCATTTGCTATTGCCGATGGGAGCTTGGCAGGCGCGACCGACTGACGAAGCCTAGCCCAGCCTCACAGGCGCATGCGCAGCTCCAACATCAGATCGACCTCACAGCTTGCGCCCAGCTGCACAAGAACGACACACGACGACCGCACACACGAACGGTAGTATATCTGAGGCACAATGTCTTCGCACCGCCTGTTTCGCTTTCCCAAGCCGGCTTGGTTGAATAGCGCCAACACGAGGACCGCAGGCGTCTACGCAGCCGGAGCTCTGGTACGCAATACCAGCGCATGCATGTGAAGACACATCGCTGATAGATATGATCTGCAGTTCTCCCTCGGCTTCTTCCTCCTGATCGATGTCGCCTCCTGGTCAAAGTCCCCTATGAACCCCTCCGACCCAGCCGTGCACGTAACCTTCGTGGATTGGATACCCGGGATCTGCTCGGCGCTAGGAATGCTCGTCATCAATTCGATCGACAAGTCTCGTCTGTCTGCAGACTCATTCTCCTATTCCGGGAATGGCGTTGCGTGGAAGGCGAGATTGGTCTTGTTCTTGGGCTTTGCGCTGCTAGCGGGTGGGCTGGCGGGAAGTGTGGTAGTTTTGGTGCTCAAGTACATTGTGGCAGAATACGTATGGCCAACTATCTGGATGGGCGTGGGCAATGTCGTTGCGAACGGGTTGGTGATGCTTAGGTGCGTAAAGCTCCGGCCCGATACTGGTTTTGATTTGGACGACATGCTAACGAATAGCAGCTCTGCTGTGCTTTGGGTGGCCCAGAATATGGAAGATGAGTACACCTACAACCTAGCGCTCTGAACTGGTGGCGATCGTTCAGGGAGGGATTCAAATAGCAGTTGATCTGTATGGGGAAGCGACGAGTTCGTGATGGATATCTCAGAGCCCGTAGTGGGTTGCTGGCATTTGAAATCTACATTGCATGTTGTGTCATTAGCTCGGCGTTGGAAGTCTTTTAGAGACCATGTGGGACATTTTGCAATCGAGTGTTGCATGAAGATGTGGTTCTTATATGAAATACATTAGGCACTTAACATGAGCGATATGAACAAGGACTGTCCGATCAATGCAACATAGACAAGATAGTTTACATGAACGCTCAAGATGTTGGAAACCCATGCACAGCCGCCAATCCATGGCGCTACCTCGCTTCCCTATCAAGCATCTTGTGAACGGCAGGCTGCTCTGATGCGAGAAGCAGTCGGAGGAGTAATGCAGCGCTTCACTCGCCATCTTCTACTCTGTGGCATCCTCTTCATTCATCGTTCCGGCCTTGTAGTCAGAATTCTTGATCTTCCTGGAAGAACAGCGTGAAACTAATGATCGTTCCGTAGATCAGCAGTCCGCCCACGACTGACATGGCTGCGGCTCCTGCTTGGATAGTGGCGGAATGGTACAGTAGGGCTGGGAGCGCTATCATGTCTGTTAGCAAAGCCAATCCCGCAATGTAAACGTAGGGCTGTGTCGTGAGATCACAAAATCCGCCCGGAAGACGTACCGATACCCATAACAACAAAAAATCCAGTCAAGAACCTCCCAAAGTCTACAACGCCACTCCCCGCGCTTTCCATAAAGTCATCTGGATTCGCCGCGCGCCCGCATATCCAGTTCGGCAATGGTGCGATCACGTACGTCGCTACGACGAGAAGCGTGAGGTAGTTGTGGAAGAGCGCAGCGCTCAATATCACAAGCAGGAAGCCGATAGCAAGGACCTGTTGCACGCCTGTTAGCTCGTAGGGACAGTGAAGCGCATGCGACAAGGCAGTCGTACGAAGGAGAGTCCTATGATAGTCTTGATGCCGGCCATGGCGGGAGCCGGAGCGGTATATGAGAAGAGATTGCGCTAGGGGTCCGTCCGAGGTTTGGTCTCATGCGACGGCGATAGAGGAGCGTGAGGAGACCTGGAGATGCTGGAAGCTAGCCTGCTGAGCTGCGGTTGCGTAGCGCTTGCCTGTGAGGCTGGACGTGCACGGGCGCTGTCTTGGCGGGAAGCTACGATGGAGCTTCGTAACATGGGCGCTGCCTACCCTTCCCCGCCAACCGTTTCTAAACCTCTGCAACACCTCGATCGACGCTTCAAGGTCTCCGGCTGAAAGCGACACGCGCGGCCTCTTGACTGCGACGACAACAACTCCTCGAAGCCACACGGAACTAACAACACACAACCCGCGCCTCCATCATGTTCAGAAACAACTACGACAACGACTCGGTGACGTTCTCGCCTCAGGGTCGCATCTTCCAGGTCGAATACGCATCAGAAGCCGTCAAGCAGGGTTCAGTCGTGGTGGGCGTAGTCAGCAAGACACATGCTGTGCTTGCGGCGATCAAGGTACACCTCGCACCTTCTCGGTTGGGGATGCACAGGTGCTAATCCAATGCAGAGAAATGCAGAAGAGCTCTCGTCGTACCAGAAGAAGATCATCCCGATAGACTCGCACTTCGGTATCGCACTTGCCGGTCTTGCTTCAGATGCCCGCGTCCTCTCGAACTTCATGAAGCAGCAATCCCTCTCCTCACGCTTGACGTACGACCGCGCAATCCCTCTTTCTGAGATCACCTCTCGCATTGCGGATCGCGCACAGATCAACACTCAGCAGTACGGTCGAAGGCCATACGGTGTCGGCTTGCTGATTGCTGGTGTGGACGCAAAGGGACCGCATCTGTTTGAGTTCCAGCCGAGCGGTGTCACGCAAGAGATGATTGCTTGCGGTATTGGAGCTAGGAGTCAAATGGCGAGGACGTACCTGGAGAGGCATCTGGATGAGTTTGAGGGATCAAGCCGCGAGGACTTGATCAAGCATGCGTTGCGGGCTCTGAAGGAGTCGCTATCCCAGGACAAGGAGCTCACCGTGGATAATACCAGCGTGGGTATTGGGGGCATTGGGGAAGACTTCAAGCACTTCGAGGGCCAGGACATCGCAGAGTGGCTGGATGCAACGTTCGAGAACCGGGAGGGCGGGGCTGAAGAGGGCGGAGAGGCCATGGAGACGGATTCATGAAGGATCTCGGTAGTTGGAGTTACTCTTCAATAGGTAATGCCAGCGCCGAAAGAACCAAAACTATCCCCTCGCTGTAGGTTAGTTCTCCAAAGTGAGCTCGGCTGGCAGATTAGACTGACACCCGGAGACACTATGGCTGATGAATAGATGCTCGATCTCAATGACCTCTACGAACGCACAAACTCCATGTCTGATTCTATAGTGTCGCACGCGAACCCCAACATGCCTTGCGCTGTATGTACATGTACCAGTACTTCAAAATGAATAAGTACGAGCATCCACCGAATGCAGGCGATTCACGGTCTAGTCCGCAAATCCACAAACTCGGGTAATATATACTCGTACGATGTATGTGTGATTAGAGAATAGAGTGATAGAGCGGCCTTGCTCAGTTGCATCCCGAAGCCCAGAACGATGAATGCACAAGTCGGAACACGTGACGTTAATTCCGCCGAGCCGCATCCGCGATCTTTCAAGCTCCGTCCAACACCCTTCAACAACCACAACCTCGCCTTCCTACGACCCCACCCCCCGAAACCACAACTTCGACCATCACAATGGCATTCGCGTGGAAAGCCGCCGGCCTCTCGTACGCTCTCTGATCCTTGCAGGCCGCGAAAAAGTCGCTATTGTACCCGGTTCTGACCTTTTGAACAGCTACAACCGCTACATTGCGGTCGCATCCCGCGCCGTCCGCCGCTCTCTCAAGGAGGACAAGAGGATCGCTGCCGAGCGACGAGGCGAGAGTGAGCTCAGGTTCGCTAAGTGGTCGGTACGTACACGAGCATGCAATGGCGAAGTAATACTGGTTGACGCAAATTAGAACGGCAAGCAGGGCGAGGCCAAGAACTTGAACGAGGCCAACGCTGCCATGGCTGAGGCCGCTGCGACATCCTCTTAGATTCGAAGTCAAGGAGCAATGGCTGGATGATGGCATACAGAGGTGAGGGACACCTGTCGGAGGCTGCGATGGAGGGTGAAAGTGTATATTCTGTACTATCAACGCGGGTCTCGTGGAGGAAATTCTAGAAAACCAATGCACGACAATATCTGAGCCTCAATTACACTCTCGGGCTAATACCACCTGTGACTTGATGCTGCTGCTGCAATTGTAGGCTTTTGCTCGTAGCTCTACTACAGAGCTTGTTCTGAGGTAAAGTGTACCCCAGCACGCTGTCACACTACCTGACTCCCCCATCGGAATCAACTCCACCCAACCAAAGCGCAACCGCACATCATGGCCGATCCATCTCTCCTCCACAACGACGCGACCGCACGCGACGCTGATACGTTGACAGCTTCTAATGGCACAGGTTCGTTGCATGCACACTGTTGCACCTCGTTCTTATGTATTGACGAGGCTTTAGGCCCCGCCTTTGCATCTGCAGATAGCTCGAGATTTGCACAAACGAGCTTACCACTACGACAGGCACCTAGGCGTGGTGCGCCGCCTCAGATTCATGATGTGACGGAGAAGTTCACGAGGGCTTGTCAGGGTAAGTGTTTGGGCTATTTTGGATGTTCCGACTTTCGGAATGCCTTCATGCGACAAGGCTGCGTGTGCTGCCCTGCACGTGAAATGACCCACCCTGGCATGTATACCTGCAGCCGAGAGTCTTTACTGACGCCGTTCCCCAGCCCTCGATGTTGGTCAGCTCGTTAAAGATGAGTACTTCACACTCTTCGAATCTATCGGAGCTATTGAGGTATGGGCTGGTCCAGCAATCACCATCTCCCAAGTCTGACCATGGGTGCAGATCATGGACCCCAAGATGGACAGTGGTTTCCTCCAACCGGGCGAAACTCTGGAAGACGACTTTGATCCGCTTGCCCCCCTCTTACCGCAGGAACTGATTGGCATCATGGACCAGCTTCTGAGCTACGAAATGGCCTGGCATACAGGCTATCCACTCTCCCAGACGCTGTTCACTTCGGTCTATATTGACAGGCTACTTTGGCCAGAACCCAAGACAATTCCCCAGGCGCAATTTTATCGCGGCGACATCTCGGATGACAAGCGGCCGGGCACGTTGCTGGACGTGCTGAGAGCGTATTGTTTAGCTCTTATCAAGGGGTGTGACTATGTGATAGCAAAGATTATGGCGAGGGACTACTTTGAAGAAGAGGACTTTGCCACGCACACGTATAACCGCGTATTATTCGTGCAGGTACCAATAGACGTATTCTTGCGCGAGTTGGATGCAAGCGTAGAGATGGTTGAGGAGTAAGTCGGACCCCGCACCATGCGAAAGGCCGATTGTATATGTACTGACTATGGTGTAGCCGCGACCTTGAAATTGATGGCGGCATTCGATCAGCTATCATAGCCAGACTTCAATTCAGGAAGTCCTTCTTATGCGCTCTGGATCCTGAGTGCCCACTGGAGATCTTGTCCAACTTTTGGCCGCCCGTCCTTCCATACATCGATCAGGTCAACGATACGCATACGTTGGGCAAGACAGTGCCCGGGTCTTTTAGCACCAAGATACAGCGGCGACTCGCATCAACCGTACCACCTCGGCCAATAGTACAGGTCGAGTTCAACGACGCTTTGCAGACGCTGAAGCAACTATGTGCCGATTGTGAGGAAGCAACTCGCTTCAAAGACTTGCCAACAGACCCACTGGAATACCAATCCTTCTTATGGACGTTCGCTTCTCGCCAGCCAGCACCTCTCACATACTCCCGGTCATACCTCTCGAATATCCTCTTCGATCCCTATATTCTGAACGCACCTGTATCGTTGCCTCTCGAAGATATCAAGTCGTTCGTCTTCCACGAGTCTCCCGTCTTGGATCCTTCTAACTGGGCGCTATCCCCACCCCGCAATCCACTTATACCCAAACCACCTCGGTTACAGTTCGCCCTCTTGATCGATGAGTATGTGGAGCGAGTTGGACAACCCTATCTTGACTTATGGGTAGCCCTGGGCCAGAACAGGTGCCGCCTGCGCCGAATGCTCACACACGTGATTTCAGCTTGGGACATATTACAACAAGATGCGGTGTTTGTCGACACTGATCTTATCGCCTGCGCCTTCCAGCTCAATATTTCGGAGGAAGTCATGGACGGTCCGCTCCAGACGTGGGTATACATCAAGAAGCTATGGATGATTGAAAGGGTTATTATCCTGGGCTTTGAACAGGATATATACCTGCCCGACGAGCATTCTGGGATGTACTACTTCCTGTCGCTCATGGCGACCAAGCGGAAAGGCGCATTGCAGCGCTGTGTAGAGCACAACAACGACCGCACTGTGCAATTTCTCAAGGGTTCGCGCTTCGAAGACGCTCAGAACACGAGTGACAAACTATCCTTCATCGACTCCGAACTCCAGCAGGCCACAGGCATCAGCGCATTCGCAAAAGCTCTTTACGGCATCTACACAATTGCGAGCTACCTCCGCCTTCTGCCCTCTCCCAATCGGCCGTTCTCCACCGAAAAGCTGCGCTACGAGCTCCGTATGAAATCCTTCCTTTCACTCCAACCTCCCGAGGTTCCGCCCTTCGAAGAGTTCCAAGCCGCACTTCAGCCATACGGAACTATCTCCGACCCTTTGCCGTCGCTCTACGATGATCTGAAGCAAGCCGATTCCAAAGTTTGGAGCGAGATTGATGCTTCGCTGAAGGCTGCTAAGGACGCCTTCGCGAAAGTCAAGAGATATGGTGCTAAAGAGTCCAAGGCGGGTGGCGTGGAGCAAGCGTGGAACAAGGAGACACAGGGCATGCTGGCGAGTTGCATCGCGTTGGGCGTCGCCATCGCGGGGCTCAAGAACGCGGTGAAAGACATTGAGCCTAGTAGCGGGGTTCAAGTCAAGGTCGAGATCCCGCCGGCTGGGGCAGACAAAAGGTATGTTGAGGGGTGGATCGTACCGAAGATTGTAAAGGAGTAGGTGGCTGCTGCAGGTGGGTTTTAAGGGAAAATAGTATGCCCGTCCCTGGAAACACGATAGCATGTGCACGTAATCTTGATCGTGGAGCGCAAGCCTCCACTGAAGCTTCCAATCGTGTACCTGTTGTGAAGACTGCAGATGGGTATCATAACCGTGACCAAACGCCGAATCCCTGTCGCACCTCGAAACCATTTCCCCATTGACTTGGGTCCGACGACATCCTCCTCCCCATCCTACCTCTCTTTCTACCCTTTGAACTTCCTCAAACACCCCTCCCTCACCTTCCTCACACTCCTCGCACTCACACCCCGCTCGCCAGACCGCTTCGACGCGATCCCCGCTTCCTTGAGAACCCTGTATGCACGTCAGTCAGCGCTGCATTCCTCTTCGTTTCCCTTCCTGCATTCATTCGATCCTCCATTCCACACAACCGCAAGCAACGCCCTTCACCGCATAACATCTTCCTAACTGGGACCCACTCACTCCTGCATGAACAGCGCGTATTTCAGGAATATAAGAATGTCGGCGTTCTTGGAGAGTGGGCGGTTCGCGTGCGCTTTGACGATCTTCTTGACGGTGCCGCGGGGATAGAGGGTTTGTGGCATTGTGAGCGGTGGATGCGGAGAGTCGGTAGAGAGGTTTTCGGGACTGCGCGAGCGGGCGCTTGCGTTCGCGGTGGCAATCAAGAGCTTGAAGGAAGGAAGTGAGGCTCGGGATTTGGACGTGCGTTAGTCGCGGGGGGTGTGGTTCGGGTTGGACGCGATGATGGTTGGTGGTCTGAGCGCCGATGCGCGCTTGCACGTGAAGCAGCACCGACAGGAATGCGGTAGATGCACGGGCGGCTGTTGTGAGCGAGATAATTAACGGTAGGTCAAGATCTATGAAATGTTCGCTCTCATGTACAAAGTGCAAGGTCGGATCATCTTCTCTCCAGAAATCTACACTTGAAGAGAAGGCGCAGATGCCATGTTCGACATCAGAGCAGGTAACAAATGAGAAATCTTCATATAAGACACTTCTATCTGGGACTAATCACAGGTAATGTTACATCAAGCCCCTGACCAAGCAACGCTTCACACCACCACCACATCCTACTTATATTGTATTTACACCTTGAGGCCAAGGTCCTCAGCGAACGGCAGCACGTGGAGGTCACCGACGGCTGATACTGATGCCTTCTGCTCGAGTAATGACTTGGCGGCCTAGGATTCATTGTCAGTATTCTGCATATAAGCCACGAATGGGTAGATGAACTTACCGACTTGACAGCTTCCTCTGTGACGCCATCGATAGCCTTGGCAACCTCGTCGATCTGGTACGACTGGTTGTTGCTGATGAGACCGGAGCCAGTGTAGACGAGGCCAGCGGTGGTGTCCTGGCCGTACTCAAGCTCGGTGAACTTGGCAGCAGCCTTGGCCTTCTGGAAGAGCTCCTGGGGAATATCGCCGGCAGCAATCTTCTGGATGAGCTCGACGGTGGTCTTGGCGGTCTGCGCAACGTATTCGGCGTTACCAGTAATGGCAGTGTAGAGGAGGCCAGCGTCAGAGTAAATGGCGCTCGTGGTCTTGACAGAGGTAGAGGGCGAGGCCTTTGCGTTGCCGAGCAGCGAGAAGCCGGAAGACCACTTGATGCTCGACTGGCCACCGAGCAGCGACGCGAGAACGGCAATCTCAGGCTTGTAGAACTTGCCGGAGGGAGAGCTCGATCCGGGGAAAGCAACGACGAAGGCATTGGCGCTGGCGTGGGCAATGCGCTCCTCACCTCCATGGTACTTGGTCTGCTCGGTGCCAGTGGTGACCTGCTCGATAGGCGAGGCGGGGAGGCCGTCGAAGAACTCGTTTGTCCACTTGCTCAGGTCGCTGTGCTCAGCACCGTTGGCAACGAGGGCAACGTTGGGCTTGGCGTAGGCGACCTTGGAGTACCACTCAACGGTGTCGGCCTCGAGGTACTTGGTGTAGGGGTGGGACGACGAGGAGGCGATGGGGTTGCCGAGGCCGCGGTGGAAGGCAAGGCCGTGTACGGAGTTGATGGCCATGTCGAGCGGGTTGGCGAGGAAGCGCTTGTGGGAGAACTGGAGCATGGGGAGGACCTCCTCGAAGTAGACGTGGGCTGTCTCGGTTAGCACTGTGGTCCATGTCTGCGGTTCCTTGTTGCCTACGCTGGTACTTGGTGGATGAGGCGATCTCGCCGAAGAGCTCGACGTAGTAGGGCAGGTCGTCGCGGAGGAACTTGGCCTCGAGGACCAGGGCCTCGCGGGTGTGGTAGGCGGAGAGCTGAGCTCCCAGGAGCTCGGATTCGCGGACAATGCGCAGCGTTGACCGTCTGTCGGTGCTCTGGAGGGCAATTGGGCATTAGCAGAGCTCGACACAGCTCGGAGGGCCCTCAATGGCGTACCCGGAATGCAAAGTGCTGCAGGGCCTCGGTCAGGCCGGGCAGCGGCTGGTATCGCGTACCGGCCTTGGCCACGAGGGCCAGCGTCGTAGTCGCGCCGGCGTAGTCTCTGCTCGCGAACTTGACGCCCTTTGCGTCGCCGGCCTGGTACTGGAAGGAGCCTGAGGCGGGAGCTGCGAGGCCGCGGCGCTGCGAGGGCCGGACGGCCTGGCGCGCCGCTCTCTGGGCGCCCCGGCAGGCGGTCGATCGAGAGAACATGGTGAAGCGGACGCCGAGCTACGGGGCTGCGATCGATGTGTGGGGAGGCGGCAATGGATGGGATGGGCAGGCCAAGGGCGACGATTGTGAAGCCGTGAGGAAACTGAAGGGGTGACATAAGCCGCGTGTGATTGGCTGCGCCGGGCCCTCACCACGATTCTCCCCGCCGCGCTCACTTTTTGTGCAAGCTCCCGCGCCCAGCCAGAGCCTCCAGACCCATCCCGACTGCACTCACACCCCAATGCCTCCCCGGTAGCCCTTCTGATACCTAGATATCTGGCAAATATCTAGGCGACATGTCGTACACTCAGCGCGAGACTCCGGTAAGCTGCCGCCACGTGCGCGCCGGATGATTCACCAATGACCAACATGCGACCAGATTCTTGCGGAGCTCTGCACCTTTCTTGTCGAGGACATGTATGGTGAGCTTGCAGCGGTACGGCAGCCCCAACGCGCGCGCCTATTCCCAGGACGAAAACTCTGCGCGCCCTACAGAACCCAGTTTCGACGGCGCTTTCGTCCTGCGGTGCCCAAGGTGCGGGTGCAAAGTCACTGTGAGTTCAGCCAGGAACCACTGAGCGAGAAAGAACTGCTTTCTCACTTGGCTGGAGCATACCGTATCCTGGCTTGACTCGCACTCGCTCTGCAACTGCACCTTGGGGTGCGGTGCTTCTTTTTCCCAGTCGAGCGCGCACATCTGACTCTGCATAGCGCGTCTTCTCAGTCCTCGCGCGCTTTGGCCGGCAGCGCCGCGTCGAGATTTCCAAGGCTTCCTACCTCAGTTCGAGCCAGATCAGCCTTGGTCTAGTCATCTTGACTCAGCAGCACCTCGTCTTCCACTCGCCCTCGACCGAGGCCACCGTCTTCTACGATATTGACTGGCAACAGTCGTATGCGCTCGTCCGGCACGCAAAGATCGCCCATTTCGTAGAGGAGCGCTTCAACAAGAAGTCTGCGAACGTCATCTCGAACCTGCTTACATTGGGACACACCTCGCTGGCAGATTTGCGAGATGCATACTTCCAACCGTCACAGCAAGAAGAGGGGGCAGTGAATGGCAAGAAGCCGAATGGGATAAAAGCCAATGGAGACACGACCATCAATGGCCAAACTTCCTTGGTGAACGGGACGGAGCATGATGACCACGATGACGAGACGCTAGCATCCCCGGAAGAGCTCTATGGCATCATCCAAACCCTCATGGAACACGGCTGGGTTATCCAGGTTGCAGAGGCGCAGTACCTGTCTGCTGAAGACATGCACAACATTGCGCGGCAGCAAGCTCTCAACGACCAATGGGGCGGTTCCGTTCCCACTGGCACCAAAGACAAGGACCGCCTTGCACAGCTTATCATGGCGAACAAGCGTCGCACTCGCGATGCATGGCTGGAAGTACCAAACTTTTCATCTAGAAAACGAAAGGCCAATGAGTCCGACTATGGCTCCAGCAAGCGCACGAAACTTAACGGAGAGGGTCAATACGGCAGTGCTGGCAGTTATCATCACTCCCCCGAGGACGACTTGGTCATTCGCGTTAACCCAGAGAAGGCAGCTGTGGCAATGCGCAATGAATATCTCGTGTCTCTGGTCGAGCAGCGCATCAGCTACACCACTGCCCGCGTCTACGAGATATTACTACGATCGCTAGAAAAGAATATACCTCGTTGCTTTGAGGAACACCCAGACCCGCCACCTGCGAACATAGAAGACCAGCCACAATGGGAGCCCAATCCCGATCACGTAGTCAACACCAAGGACATTGCCCAGCGGGCCAAGATACTTGGGTTGGACATCTGCAACGGGCTGGATCCGGCCGCCGTCGCTCGCGTAACCAAAACCACGTCGAATGACAAAGGTGTGCTTGCGCAGCCTGTGGATCATTCGTCATTGAGTTTTCATGAGCGCTCAGAGATTGTCGAGGCCCACCTCCGCCTGCTCGTGGATCACCCTTTGCATTTCGTTAATTGGCATGCACGCGGTCAATACAGAGTTGACTTTGATCTGATGGCAAAAAGCTTGATTCAGCAGGAGATTGAAAACACCGTACTAGCGAGGAAAAGCACCGTGGCAATGAAGCTTCTCCGCGCACTTAAAAAGAAGGGGAAGCTGGATGAGCGCCAATTGTGCAATACTATGATGGCTTCCGCCAACGACATTCGAGGCATCGTAAACGATCTTACTGTCCAAGGTTTTGTGCAGACGCAGGAGATTCCCAAAGTCGACAGGCGAGAGGCAAAATTGTCCTTGCATCTTATCTGGTATGACATGCAGCGTGCTCGCGAAAAACTTCTGCACGATACCTACAAAGGCCAAGTCAGGATTCTGCAACGTATCGCCTTTGAGCGGGAAAAGATCCAGGAACTGCTGACCAAGGCGAACCGTACCGACGTAGCTGGCAACGAAACCAAGTACCTCAAGCAGACCGAGCTTGACGACCTGAAGAAGTGGAAAGAAGTGCAGGAGAAGTTGTTACTGCAGCTTGCCAGGCAGGATGACCTTGTCGCGGTTCTGCGGGACTATTGTGGACCTTTGCTCACCGCGTGAGACCTTTTTCTTACCCCAGACCACGCAACACAGCGGTCCCGACACTTGAAAACATGTTCCTTCATTGCCTCCGTGGTGGGCGTGTATCATTATTCCGAGATGGGCGGCGTTCTGAATGTGTGGCTGCACATTGCGACATTTGAATTTTTCTACGAAAAGCATCAGGTGCAGGAAATATACCCAAGCATGGACGGAGTTGTACCTCTCTCTTGTGTAGCTTTAGCAGATAGGGGTAGTCACTCTGTACAGAATTCACATTTGGTCCGACATGAACATCTTGCCCATCTGGTGGACCCGTCAGTCCTGGCGACAGTTGCCTATGGGTACCCTCGGCACAGGCTTGTTTTCACCATCGAACTTCACTTCGTGATGGGTTAATTCAGATGAAGGTTGCCTACAGCCACCTTCGGCACACGCCCTTCCGCAAAAACACCCTTCATCTTTTAACCAAAGCACAGAGCAAAGAGCCTTGACTCGCTTCTAGTAAGTTTCTTGGCAGCCTCTCGCCAGCGGTCTATAAGAATTTCCGCTTCCGCTGCTCTCTGCTCTTATCAATCGCTCGACACCTCACGCCTTGTAACAACACCTTGTGACTACCTCAGATACCACATGAATTAGCAGCAGCAACCGTCAATATGCGCTTCTCTAACATTATTTTCACTCTGGTTTCGGCGGCCACCATTCTCGCTGCACCTGCACCTGAGCAGGACGAGTCTCTTAGCGACTCTGTCCTCGTAAGTGACGAGTCTTGCGCTCTTCTGGCCTATGTAGAGGAAGGATATATACCAAAAAAACCCAGGTCTGCACCTACACCGAGCAGTATTTCAAGGGCGAGTTGGTCAAGATCAGGGCCACCAGGGCTGTGGACGATTATCCAGACCAGGACGGTGGCACTGCTGTCTGCTCCAGCGTGAAGTATGTATCTCGCATTGCCTGCAGTACATATACATGTTCTCTGGATGAAGAGGCAGAATGTTATTGCTAACGCTTAGTGGATAGGCCTAACTTCGCGTCCTCAATTTCTTTGGCCAACTTGCAGCATCCCGGTTGGGACGGTTTGCGCCCGTCTGCCTGCAAGCTCTACTCGCAAGTCGCTGCTCCTTGCCATCGCGTTCCAATATAGAGAATATATATTGACAAATGCACGGTGAGGATAACTGTTAGGGCGACTCTGTCGAGGTTCGGCAGGCTACCTAGATGGATATCAACAAGCTCGCCGACCTAGGCAGCTACGGCTTCGACAAGCGAACTCTCCACGATCTATACCTTCTCGATATTATCCAGCTCCATGCCCTCCGCAGTCTGGAAACTACCTCTTCTGCGACTCGCGCCCTCTGCATTCCGCCTACCCTCTTCCACAATACTCTCATGTCTCGATAATCGCCTTCCACTCCGCTCACCCCTCTCCGCCTCATCGAACACATCGCTCGTCTCCTCCTCTATAACCTCCCCATGATTCCCGCCCACACTCTCCATCGTAAACGGACTCGCCGTCGGCGCATCCAAAATCCGCAGCTCCGCCTCGGTAAACCACCTCGGCATGCCCCACGTGCGCATGGGGATATACAGCAAGATAAACACAGGGAACCCAATCGCCGCAATCGTCTGCGTAATCGCAAACGTCGCGCCGAACCCGACCAGCTCCAGCGCGACGAACACCCAGATGGCACTGCGCCGCTCGATGCGCATCAGCGGGTCCGACCGCGCAGTGAGGTGCCTGTCGCGCGCGAGGAACAGCATCTTGAGCGTGATGCCGTTGCCCTCGAGCGCCTGGATGCCCATGACGAAGAACAGGCCTGCGAGAACAGCCTGTGGGATGAGGTGCAGGACGATGAGCAAGGGCCCGGTCATAGTGCCGAGCGTGAGCAGGCCCTGCGCAAGGTTCGAGACGCGCTGCTCGACGACGTGGTCGACAACGCGGCGCGTATAGCCCTTGTTGGCTTCGTCGTCCGCGTCAGAGACGGTGCGCGTGACACAGAGGGAAGTTGTGTGGAAGGGGGCTTGGGGGATGAGGCCGTTGGGGAAGGGGATTCCCAGGAGGCCCGCGACGCCAGTGGTGAGGCCGAGCAGGAAGAGGTCCCAATGGAAGCCGGCGGGTTTGCGTAGTGGGAACTCGGTGCCTTGAGCGATGAGAGAGGACACGTTGTGGTCGAACCAGAAGAGGATGGTTAGGAGAACTGCGAACGGAATTGCTAGGAATATGTCCCCGACGCTGATTTCCCAGAAATGTATGAACCAGCCACGGTCCGTGGTCGGGAAGAAAGCCTTGCTCGTTGGCAGCTTGAGCAGCTCGATGTTCGCCATCTTGCCAATGTGCACAAAGCCGGTGAAGAACACGACAGTCAGAGGCGTCCCGTAATCCTCAACGAACTTACGGATATGGCGCTGGAAGAGGGAGGAGGTTCCCAGAATGCCGCATATGTATGCTACGACTGTAACAAGCAGCGCTATGGAGATGGAGAGGTAGGCTGAGGCGTCGGATATCTCCCACTGGCGAGTAAGGACCTGGATTCCCTTCTGCAGGTAGATGAAAGCCACGTAGAATCCGAAGATGTCACAGGAGAAGCGAGTCACATAGCGGAGTGCGTTGCACGAGTTCGTGATGGCAAGGATCCAGTGGAATATCAGGGACCATCTGCGAGATGTCAGCCGAACTCCATCTTGTAACGAGGTGTAAGAGAAAGCTTACATGCCAATCCATGCCATGAAGGCAAAGTAATTAGTGCCTCGCGGTGTTATGATGTCGTAGACGGTGTAGTTGAATACGGTTATAGGACCTTTAAGGTAATGAGTTGGCGATTCCTAGTGGATATCCATGGCTCACCTGTCACTCCCACAATGACCAACGGCTGGCACGCGGCTAGAGAGAAGACGACGGATGCGAGCACTGACGACAACAAGACCTCATTGACACCAAAACTTTGGTCTGTTTTGGCAAACATGTCCAAACTGAAGGCCAAGGCCGGGAGGATGCTGCACAACCGTCAGTCCACTATGGCCATGCATAAGGCGGCCGCCAGAACCTATTCCGATGTCGATGGCGTAGTTTCGGACCGGTGTTCACGTCTCCAAATAGGGATTGTAGTCACAATGCATTGATCCGTAGACATACTTGGCAAAATACATATACACGGTCGCAGGGACAACGCGATAGTCCCACGCATCTCTGAAGTCGCTCCAGTAGAACGGCGCTCTTCTCCGGATGTCATTATACATGCCAGCGAAAACTTTTGTCTTCCACCATGCATCTTTTTTCTTGCTCCCGCGCGGAGTTGGGCGACTCCGGCCTTGCTCGCTTTTCGGCGATGCAAATGGCACACGGTTTTGCCGTCTCTTTTTGGGTTGGTTTGCAGATGCGCCACTTTCTGTGGGGACGGTCAAGGCTTCTGACGGTGCCATGGTGGAGGAAGAAGAAGAAGAAGAAGAAGACGAAGAAAGAGCAAGGAACTTGTTGTCAATCGAACGTGGTAGCGGCCATCGGAGAACTAATACACCTTGCGGCGGTGAGATCGAGACAAAAATTACCGTCTAATCCACGGCAATGCATGCGCGCGCTAGGATCTTTTGGTGTGGCGATCGAGCCTTCCCCAGAACGGTCGTCTTGGCATGCGTCATGTCGGCCTTCCGCAAGTGCCAAGGCGAGTGAGAAGGAAAGGGTCTAAGAGCTTGAGATGTATCGTGGTGCTGAAGGACATCTATGTTGCCCATACGGTTGCTGCATGTCTAGACTCGCATTGTTGTACGTGGGTACGAGCTATGGAAGTCCTAGGGCTCCATGTGCCCTCCCGATCCGGTCTAGTATCGATCAACATCAACCTAACTCCGATGGAGATATTTCTGCCCGAGCATACGAATTAGGGTGAACGTTGTGGGTAATTCCCGGTTTTCCTCTATCTTGCCTTTCGCTGCAGATTGCTGCCAAATTTGCGAAAGTACAGTATGGCCTAACACCACTTGGCCAAGCGAGCGGATAGAGTGGCCTCTCATATCAATTCTCAACATTATACGACATTGGTATAGACACGTAGTATTGATTGCAGAGTTTATAAGAAATTTAATGACTTGGACGCCGGTATAGAACTATAAGCGCCTGCTTTGCTTTCAGTAATATTAACTGAGAAACGCTTACCCGTGTTCCAGTGCCATGCCATGGAGCACCCACCCGGATTTATAATAGAAGGAAATAAGACGTCACTTTGAAATGGGCTTAAGCGGAAGTTGCTGCAAGCGAATAAACAGAAGCCTCGCTCAGGCTCTGTAATACCCCGTCGCCCACGACCCTAAACCATCACGAGTCAGCATGGCCAGCTAGTAAGGTAAAGATTCGGCTCATACGTACTGTATCAGCCGCGTTTCGCATCTAGAGCTTGCTCATGGTTCTCCCTTCGGTAGTATTCTTGCATCGAATTCTTGAAACTGGCCGACTTGCCGTAGGCATGCCTGCTGTCCTATTGCAATTGCCGAGCCAGCTCCTCAGACTCGTCCACTGTCGCGTTCACCGGTCCTATGGTTGATCATCGGCACTGCTTCTTCGCTTCCTTGACGATCCGGTGGTACCATGGCATATAGTCCATGTGCAATAATTCGTCCAACACGTTGTCAGCGTGGCGCAATGACGTTTCCTCGCACTCCCCCCGGGAAGAGTCGGTATTAGAAGATGAACTCTTCACTCAGAATAAGTGGGACTACGCAATAGTTGAGTCCTTGAAAAGTGAGCGGCACTTCTCGGCCATCTGACAGCGTCATCATGCTATCAGCCTAGCCCACAGTGTGTTTCCGCTCTCCATATGGAAAGGTTATCCACACGCGATACTTGTCTCCGGTCCTGATATCGAGCTCGCTCTGTACGACCCAGTCGTAATCTATTGGCACTGGTGTCCAGTAGCGTGTTCTCGAACTTCCTTCCAACTAGACCCCCAGTAGATCCAGTGCACACACGTCCATTGTACATGCACGTCCGTTGTATCAACGAGCTTGAAAGCCATTCTTGGTGTCGGGCGAGGAAAGACACACGCCCTGAATCGGTGGAAGAAACGTGTCAGAGTCGAAGTTGCTTCCAAACAAGGCCGTCCAAGCAGGACATTAAAGGGGAAGTTGCGAGCGACGCGTGCGATAGTCATCACGCACGGTTCCGGGTATCATATGAGAGATGTCTCTAATTTCACCGTTCCGTGAGAGAGTAGAGTACTCTTGTCACCCGGGACCACGGAACTAGGGTCATCATGTATATCCCATCCACGTGTGCGCGCAAATGCTTCTTCCACAACATTCGTATTCGATCTAATATCGTCAAAGGCATTCAAATTCTTCCTATTGACGTTCATATGAGCCCGGATCGCCTTGAAGCCCTAGTCATGCTACCGGACTTCTGGCTCAAGATGTGGATGTAGATGCCGTGTTTTCATCCAGGAAGACGGCACTGCCTAGCAAAACGATGGGCTATTTTGCGGGATCCCAATTCTTGTCCGAGTAGCCATCATATATACCGGCGCGACTCTGTGGAACTTGCGCCTTCACTACCAACTATGTCATGAAAGTCTACAGTGGAAACTACACCTCTTCACACTGCGTATCTACATGTCAACACAGGCTCAGGAGAAGCCAGGTTGATGGCATGATACACAACGTCTCGATGGCAAACCAATGCTATCTACATTAATGGCAGCTGACGAGGATGCTGCAATCTTTCGTAAGTTTACGCAACTCGGGGCCAGAAATTTGCCACATCTACAAAGTCTTTTGAACAAGCTTGAGCAAAAGTTACTAACGTAGGCGAAAATTCACATGGGTCATCTTGTCCTGATCATATGGTGTTCCCTAGACAATGTTACAAGCGAGCCGAGCTCCATGAAGAGACTACACTTGTAATACACCAATATCGTACGAGCAACACAGAACTTAGTGTCATCTCCACGAGCTAACGCACATCGAGATCAGGCATTGATTGATGAAAATCAAGTCCGATCGCCCCTCAAGCCATCAAATAGCGCACTGGCTCCATTCAAGCGGTAGTTCGTCTGCGTGAAGGAACATCTTGATCGGGAACGACAAGAAAGTGCTTCAGAAGGACTACGATCTCTTTGCCCTCAGTGCTCCTTTGGAAGACGATCGCTTGAGTAGATTGGTGCGGTATACCTGCGTTTATTGCCTCAGTATAATTCCCTTTGATGCGCCGATCGACAAGTTTACTTGACCATATTACAGTCGCGCAAGATTCGACCACTAGGCACTACCCTTAAATCTTCTACTTCCGACCACGACTTGTACAGAACCTCAGCTATACCATCACCGCCATTTTATGCGGCATGCTCCTTGTCGGCGCGATGGTCTGCCTCTCCATCCTTGACGAGCACGCTTAGAAGCTCAGAATCGGACTCGTAGCAACATTCACATTCCTGTTCGCGGCCTTTGTGGCATTGTTGACAAACACGAGAAGAGCAGAGGTCTTTGGCAGCACGGTAGCGTATGCGGTGGTCTTAGTCGTGTATGTAAGTGCTGGGCTGGGAGCAGGTGGTAAAAACGACGGGAGACGCAGCACACCAGGCATCGACACAGTGCAAATGTGATATCTAAGCATTTCATTATCTTGCTACGGAACTCTCGACGCCTAACCAGCCAAGCTGATGCTAATAGACTTGGCCTGCAAGTATGCCATGAGACCTTCTTTCCCTAATTCTCTCCCAGAACCGCTCTGCTTGTATCCACCAAAAGGCGAACCCATAGACGGCAAAAATGGCGCGTTGACGCCCACAGTGCCAGCCTTGATCTTGGACGCTACTCGAATGGCGCGTGCCGTGTTTCCAGTATAGACGGTTGCTATCACATGTTAGCCGCTTCACTTCCAGCCTCAAATTGAGACCTTGCGGTCCTGCAATTGCTTACCAGAGAGTCCATAGCTAGTATCATTTGCCAGCTTCACAGCCTCCTCCTCAGTCTCAAACGTCAGCACACTCAGCACTGGCCCGAAGATCTCCTCTTTGTAAATTCTTGCATCCCTGGCTGGATTCAAGAAGATCGTAGGCTGCACGAAGGATCCTTTGTCGCCCTTGCGCTCGCCACCAACAAGCAGCTTCGCTTCGGACTTGCCAGTCTCGATGTACCCCAGAACACGCTCCAACTGAGCCTTGTCAGCGAGAGGACCGATGAAAGTATTAGGAGAGTTCGGGTCGCCGACGGCGCCGTCAAGACTTTGGAAGCGTGCCTTGAGGCCGTCGATGAATTTGTCCGCGATGGACTTCTGGACGAAGAGGCGCGAGGCAGCGATGCAGACTTGGGAAGAGTTGAATAGGAAACCCTGCGAGTTCCTAGTGGCATGTTAGAGCTTGTCCATAGCGGTTGGAGATGCTTGCGTACCCTGTCAACGCACTCTCGATATCTGCGTCCTCGAAAACGAGAGAAGGCGATTTGCCGCCCAGCTCTAGAGTTACCTTCTTCATATTACTCTTGGCCGCTGCATCGATGATCTTGCGTCCGCTAGGCCCACTGCCAGTGAACGAGATCTTGTCGATGTCCATGTGGGACGCGAGGAGAGCGCCAGTTACGCCGTCTCCGGAGATGATGTTGAAAACACCAGCAGGGAATCCAGCCTCCTTCACTAGTCGAGCGAGGACAAGCACACTGAACGGTGATTTCTCTGAGGTCTTGTAGAGGACCGTGTTACCAGCAGCCAGCGCCGGGGCTACCTTCCAAGACAGCGTTCTTATCTTCTGGTTAGCCCCCAGGCCACGATGATTCCTCGTTTAGCGTCTACTTACGAGATGGTAACGTTCCAAGGGCCAATGCCAGCGCATACGCCGATCGGCTCATACTGCACAATGTTGAGTCTGTCGCCCTCTGCAGGGAATGCCTGGCCCTCAATTTTGTCCGCCCAACCTGCGTAGTATCTGAATGTTTGTGCTGTAGCAGGAACGATGAACCCACCAGCCACCGTAGCTGGCTGGCCCATCGCCTTGACCTCCGCCTTGACAAGTTCTGCGTTGTTGGCATCTATGAGGTCGGCGAACTTGTTCAGCAAAGCTGCACGCTTGGCAGCAGGCGTGGCGGCCCATGGCTCGAAGGCTGCGCGGGCAGCAGCGACTGCGGCATCGACTTCGGTTTCGCGAGCGCAGTTGATCTTACCCACGGACTCATCAGTGGCTGGATTGAACACCTCGTAGGTGGCGGATGAAGAGCCTTCGACAAACTGGTCATGCACATTAGCAACATCTAAGAAGAGGTACATCAGCTGCGCATACCTCGTTGTTGATGAAGTGGGAGTAATCGACCATGTTGCCTGTCGTGTCTACTTCTTCCTTAGTATCACAAGTGGCGGGACAAAGACGGAGTTAGTGGAGTCTCACGGCGCAGTTGCACCACCCTTCTTATATGCCGCAAGCTTCATATGCGTAGCATTGGTTGGCTTCTGACGAGCGTGCTTTGGCGCACACACATCACATGCTCTGCTTTGGTAAGTTTCTCGACAGGCCTACCACTGCCCGCGAGACTAATTTCGGGCTCAATTAGTCTTATCTCGGTACTATAAGTAATCAATCGTTCCACCCACACACTCCAAGTGCACCGCACGTTACCGTAAGCTATGTCTGTGGGGCAATAGCGCAGGTACTTCCGCCATCTGTAGGGCGGTCTGTTAGGTTTACCCCCGCCCTGGAGGATCTTGTCTAGTCGCGGAATTATAGGGTCTGCCCCGCCCAGCCCAACGAATTACACATGTAGCGCCCTTTTCCCTTGCATTCGGCGACGGACCCACTATCTAAACCTTCATCATGCTGTGTAGTTGAAGTGAAACACGATTTGCACTGCAGTGGTGTGGCATGTAAGAGCAAGGTTACCCACCTGCTCGCTTGATACCCTGCAATGGGCGCATCTCTAGAGGCTGACGACAGCGGCAGAATGTGAGTAATCGCCCATTATAGCGTTGACGTCCCTGACGATGCATGTCGGGGTAGTTGTGTGGAAGCCGTGTGTTACCATACCTCGTAGCTGGATTCGACAAGTGGATGACTGATGCTACGAGAAGACCAATACACCAGAGCTCAAATGTTCAACATGCCAGATGGTTGATCTCATCCATCTTGAGGACCGTTGCACAAGCGCTGACAGAAGCCGTCACTGCTGATCGATCATGGTGGACAAAATCCCACGGAACCCCTACCCGATTCACCTTTGTAAAAGTAGACTAAGTCGTACTCCAAGCATTGTCCTAAATGGGAGAGTTCCAGTGCTTGGCGCATGGCAGCTGCCCTAAGGCAAGCGTAGTGGAACTCCACTATTACGAGTACAATTGAATCTCCCACAGGAGACGGACGAACTTCAGCGACCCCGACCCTCCGTCGGATTCATGCTGTGTTTCGGAGCGTACGCGAAGCAATAGATCAGGATAAAGGCGAGCGGAATTCAAGCGGCAGGCGTTATGACTGCGGAATGTTTCCGATGGTCGAGCAGACACAAATGGTTACGTTGAGAGGTCAAACGTGGTGCGGAATGCGGGGCCCAAGTCGGCAAGGAACCCACAAGCACGATTGCCTGATGACTAAGGGGATGACGGGCGCGACTTCTACACCACACATTTGCTTGCATCTGAGCCCTTCATACAATGTCGAGTACCCTCTCCCAATGGACATTGTGTCATGCTTATTTCGTAAAGATACAGATTCAGCTACTTAGGTCGTTACTTCCGTTCATAAACGCAGTGCTGGCGATTGCAGTATCGAGTTCGTCAGCCACAGCTGTTAGATGAATTCCCGATAAACCTGCACTTTCTGGCACGTCGGGTTCTGCGGCACACCCTTAATACCGATCTTCCAAATCAATGTGTAGTAAAGATAGCTCCAACGCGTCAAACAGATATACCAGTTCTCTATCTTCTGCGGCGGGTCCAACTGCACCGGCGGAGTCACCGTATCATCTCGGTATCTCCCGATGTACATGCTTCCGTCGCTGCTGAACGATATGGATGAGGCGGTGTCGTTTCCAGGGTAAAATATCGGAGTAGCGACATCGCTGAGAAGATCCGAGCTAAACTGCATGCCCGAGGGTACGATTTCGCCGCCATTGACAGTAAGATTCCAGAGAAGCAGGCCGTCTGGGTCTCCATCGATACCTGGGGATGGGGGATCGAGCTGCGTCGCATGGTAGAAAGTGTCGTAGGAGAAGGAAGAATTGGCGTGCGTATTGCCAGTGGGGCAGAGTCCTTCGATCGCAGCGCCTTGATGACATGTTCCCAGGGCTGTAACTTTGTCAAATAATACGCTCTTGAGAGGGTAAGCAATTATAATAAAAACGTACTAGTGCCATCCCAAGTGGCATTATCGGACTTGATGAAGAGGCGGAAAGGCTTCGAATTTTGGTCATATTGAGCTAAGGCACTGCTCGCAAGAGTTGCGAGGACAAGAGTGGACTTCATGTTATCGACTGCAAGACTATTTGTCACAGAGGGTGGCTCGCGTCCAGATGGCCCAATGTCGGCTGATTGTACGAGAGCAATGGGGCGAAAATAGGTGGTCGCCGTAGATTGTACTGCGCGGAGGTCGGTGACGAGAAAACAGATAAGAGAGAAGAATTGACGATATATGTATTCCTTCTTAAAGATCCATCGCGAGGGGAAACTGCGAGGGCGATGTTGATGACGTCTCGCAGGAGCTAGTCCTTGCAGCTTCCGCCGCAACAAGCTACCACGGTTACTTGCATTGGCGGCGGACAACATCGCTACCATTATAAGGCTGGTCGGTCTCAGCATTAGGAGATTCTACCAGATTGCAGCCGTGCACAAGAGCATGCTACATCAGTAGACTTGCTTGGATGATTTAAGTTTGTACGGAGTACAGCTGACCCATTTCATCGCGCACACGGCAGTGCTAGGCGAAAAGTAACCGTGAGTTCACTTGAACTGGCTGCAGCCTCTGTGGAGGTATTTGCCCCTCACAAATTTGGGGCGATGCAATGCGGATGATCAAAGCACCATGTTCTAGGCGAAGCTGCATGCGGGGTTGACAAAGTACCTCCGATTAGACCCTGAACCAGACATCACGCGAGGCACATCAGTGGTCATCGAAGCTGTGATGGGAAGGGAATCACAGACATTTGTTTCAATGCAGGTACCCAATGGCAACCGTCCAGGAGGATATTCGTTCGTAACGCTGTCGGAGAAACGGTGAAACATCATCGTTCCCAACGACTGCTTGGTACGACGAAGTTGTACCTCTGTTGCACAGAGACCGGCCGGCAGGTCCCATGTCACTGGAGATTCGGGTTCCACCACCAGTAATAGTACAAGAACAATCTGGAAAGTACATGTTTGAGCGGTGTTTAGTGCAGTATGTGCACTAACAGGCAGCATACTACTTCCTTGGAAAGTCTATCTACGCTGAGAAAAGGGCTGTGTAACGGAACACAGGTTTCTGAGCTCGTGCAGGTTTCTGAGATCGTGGATCCCCATGGCTTTGCACGCTCTTCATACATTGGAGCCGCCCGGGCAAATCGCTAGGTTCAGTGACAGTATTTATCACACTTGCGACCACATTCAGCGACCTACGCCTGCACCGAGATTCGATGTAACGATTCGATTCCAAAAATTGGTATATTTGCGCTATACAACAGGCAAATGTAAGAGCTATGTACATAATAGGGCGCTCGCGTTGCACCTGTGACCTGACATTGGTATCCGAATGTCCAATGCATCCCTTCCTGTAACGCCGACTTATGCAACGGCGCCTTTTATGTCGATAAATACTTAAGAGAAATCTGTGATAAGTGATTGAGAGGTTCAAAGTCAATTGAAGCTCATCATGAGTCCGGCGCCAGCAAGCGCGGCACCAGCAGCGTGCCATGGCATTGGAGTCACGGCAGGCGATCCGAGCCCACTCGATGATCCGCCACCGATTGATCCTGTGACCGAAGGACCGCCAATGCGGCCACCGCCGCCTTGTACATTGAGGGAAGAGACAGCGTTGGGCACACCTGTAGCGCTGGGTATCTATTGTCACAGTCAGTATCTGCAAAATACATCCATGTCCGTTAGAAATTATTGAACTTACGCCAGTTGATCCAGATTGTATTTCTTGGATATTTGATTCCGTAGAATTGAACACGGTTTGTGCAAGGCCAATCTTGTTGTTTTCAAGGTCATATACGACGTAGGCGGATCGTAAAAAGGTGTCTCCAAGAACGGAGATTGAGTCGCCAGAGGGACCAATGCCTAGAATGCAAATGGGCTGGCCACGCTGGTAACCCATTACCAGTACAAGCTCATTCAGTGGAACCGAAATGGTAGGCCCATCGGAAGAGAAGGTGAATTCCAATGATCCCTCCTGGTTGGCGAGATCGCAGTTGCAGATAGCTGCGCCCTGTGTGGAGTCATATGTTGCGTCATATTTGGTGTACAACGCTTGGGCAACGTTGTCGGGAAGATATATGAGAGACGATCCGGAGTCGAGAAGCACTGCGACATTCTCGTTGTCGAAGATGGAACCCTTGTTGCCATTTTCGCCCATAGCGGTCAACGCGATAATGAATTCTGCGTATGTGTTCGCCTCAGTGATGATGGGAAGCGTGCTGAGTGTTCCATTGAACTTGCCCGTATCAACGCCGCCAAAGAGGATGCTGCCGGTGGATGCGTCCAAGTCGTTCAGGTACAGAGAATAGGCGTTGGTGTTGATCGTCTTGTCATCAACCAACTTCTGGGGGAAATTGGGGTACGGATCTAGACCAGCACGGTTGACCTGGACCTCGTTGACCTGGTAGCCAATACCCAAGATGCCTTCGTACGAGCTCGAAGTGTATCCGATGCCGAACTGCAAGTCTTTTACTGTCAAATCCGGATTGCTCAAGTGGAATGTGTCTGTGGCGTAGTCGCCCGAAGCGCCCGAGCCGTCCACGTAGGATATATTAAAGACGCTGTTCACATATGTATATGTAGACGAATCGTTGGCGCTGTAAGTGCCTGCGGTACTGCAAGGCTCGCTGATGCTTGAGCATAGGCGGGAGTTGGCGGCGTTTACCCAGAGGTCGCTGCTGCCCGTGTCGACGTGGAGCCGGACGTTTTGTGCTGGCGTGCCCAGGCTGGCATTCATGAAATATAGCGTCTCGAGGTTGTCCAGCGTCACTTCGACCGTGTCTCGCCTCCGTAACCGGTCGTGCTCGATAGGGTTTACATCGCGGCGACTGATATCGAGCTTGACCACCTTTGGGTTCTGCGACAGTCAGCCTCTGCTGGTTAGGCACGCCTCCTCATGCGCGCATTGCGAGGCTCAACGGAGCTGCCAAGGCGGGCGATGCGGGAGGATCAAGAACATGGGGAAGCCAAGAGGCGCTTACCTCACGCTGCACAAGCCGGAAGGCCGACGTCGACGTCACCAGCTGCGCGGCCAGCGCCAGCATTGAGCCCTTCATTGTCGAGCGGCGATAAGGAGGATGGATGTCTGAGCGACTGCCTCGTATATACAACGTTGCTGGGGGCGGCTCGGCGGGATCAACCTGATGCTCGGCGGGTTAGAGATGCGCGGCCGGACTGGTATGCAACGCCCAGTAAGCGTACCTGCGACGACGGACCAGACGCAATGGACTCTTTTCAAACGGCGCACAAAGTAAACGCAACGGGCAATTGACCAGGAGTAAGCGGAGCAATCACTGGACAGGTGGGCAAGGAAGGCATTCGGAGTCCACGCAGCTTACCCACGTCTTATGATGGGTCGGCTGCGGCGAAAATAGCGATGACGCGTATAAGCACGTCGCTTTGGTTTTGACGCCGGGATCCAGCGGCACTGACTACGCATGCCCGCCTGTTTGGCCCTGGCGCCGGCGGGCTTTGTCGTTTTCGTGCGTGCAGGCTTGCGTGGCGCGGTGGCGGTGCGCTGGCCGTCGACTTGATCTGTTCCACCTTGGGACGACAGAAAGGAAAGGTGCTGGTATTTCAAATCGATCATACTCAACACACCGATGGCGCTACACATGGCAACCTATACCCGGGTGCGTACGACTGCACACACGTACCCGACAGCAGCACTACTTCACCCTGGCTGCGTAACGTGCGAGTGGGGATGCAAGCTCCTTGTGGTGAGCCTGTAGTGTGATTAGGTGCGGGCAGAGACAGCACAAAAAGGCCTCTTGTCTTGTCTTGGTGCACGACGGCATGACCCGCCAACACGCCTTCCCAGACGCCATGCCAGCCGGTCGGTGATGGCTAGGCGAGCTGAGTGCTTCGGGCCTTGTTTTTGTCTGCGCGGATTTTCGGCAAGGCCGTGTTCAAGTACGAGTCTGTTCAGGCCCCAGAGCGCCGTGATCCAGGAACAGGCAAATGAGCTGCACACGCTCCAAAGGCCGTCAGATTGTGATCTCCACGGGCGGGTGGGCCGCGAGGCGCGGGCGCAGTGGTGAATTTGTGCATGAGATTTGGAAACCGTATTATCGTAAGAAGCGGAAAGGAGTGAGGTCGAAACGCAGACAGAGCAAGGTCGAAACATGCTGTACAGGGTCCTCCAGCTTGCTGGATCTTGGGAATGAGGCTCTGCTCGCGTTTGAAGAATGCATGTCACGTGAAGAGTCGTGGACTTTGGGGGAATATGACTAAGCCCCTTCCACGCGAAGACGCGACGGCTACGCGTCGCCCCACGGCAACTTCTAAAACGTTCACCAACATGGCCAAAGCAGAGTCCTCCAAGGCAGCTGCCAGCAACGGGATCAAGGCCAACCCCAATGCACAAGGGGGAGCCAACTATGAGTTGCCATGGTAAGTCTGCTGCCCTGTGTTCTTCACAAGTTGCAAGCTGAGAAGGTGTAGGGTGGAGAAATACCGGCCCGTGTATCTCGACGATGTCGTCGGCAACACAGAGACAATCGAGCGCCTCAAGATCATTGCGAAGGACGGCAACATGCCGCACGTCATAATATCGGGAATGCCCGGCATTGGGAAAACGACCTCGATCCTTTGTCTTGCGCGCCAGCTTCTCGGTGATGCGTATAAGGAGGCCGTACTTGAGCTCAATGCTTCCGACGAGCGCGGTATAGACGTTGTCAGGAACAGAATAAAGGGGTTCGCGCAGAAGAAGGTGACGCTGCCTCCGGGCAGGCAAAAACTAGTCATCTTGGACGAGGCGGATAGCATGACGAGCGGAGCTCAACAGGCGCTACGACGGACAATGGAGATCTACAGCAGCACCACGCGATTCGCTTTTGCTTGCAACCAGTCGAACAAGATCATCGAACCGCTGCAGTCCCGCTGCGCTATCCTCAGATACGCCCGCCTCACAGATGCGCAAATCGTGCGCCGGCTTATGCAGGTCTGTGAGGCCGAACAGGTGCAATTTTCCGACGACGGTGTTGCTGCGCTCGTTTTCTCAGCCGAGGGGGACATGCGACAAGCCATAAACAACCTACAATCGACTCATGCTGGGTTCGGATTCGTAAACGGTGACAACGTGTTCAGGGTGGTTGACAGCCCGCATCCGATCAAGGTTCAAGCCATGATCAAGGCATGCCACGAATGCAGGGTGGATGATGCTCTTACAACCTTGAAGGAACTCTGGGACCTGGGGTACAGCTGTCACGACATTATCAGCACCATGTTCAAAGTCACGAAAACTATTGACAGCTTGAGCGAGCACGCGAAATTGGAGTTTATCAAGGTACGTGTACCGGCTAACGTAACTTGGGCTGGTCTAATTATGCGCAGGAGATTGGCTTCACGCATATGCGTATCCTCGAAGGCGTTCAAACACTCCTCCAGCTCTCGGGCTGCATCGCACGTCTCTGCAAGATCAACATGCAACCGCAGCTTTTCGCCCTCCCTTCAAAATGAACGAATCTTGCATTGCATTTAGCATGGTGTTTAGGCGTCAGTGGCATATGCATGTACATGGTGATTTTGGGCGGTTCTGGCCATACGCTCATGCGAATTGCGACCGAGATCGGGTAGTATATATCCGGCACATACCATAACGTACGAGTTGTGTATGATTTTCGACGGAATCGTCATGACGATGAAAGATAATTTATCCCTTTTACTCGCGATGTTCTTTGGGCATGCTTGCAGATTCTGTAACAAATCTGCTGTTACTCGTGACGGTCGGTTATGCTTTGCTGCAAGCCGCGTGGCAGTTAATGGTGTCGTTTGTCGATCTAGGATAGGCAATCATGTGCACCCTATGGGCAAACTCTCCAGGTATATGTCAGGGTTATACGTACCCATTGCCGACCAGCGAATCATCGCAGCATAACCGAAAATGCAAAGCATACTCTCAACGGCCCGAAAATTTCATCTAACCTCTCGAAAGAGGAATCTAACCCAATTCTTCGAGACGCCCTTGATGAGATCAACAACATCATGCACACGGCACGGGCAGAAGGCAGATTCAAAGAGAGACAACGTTAGGCGCACGAACTGCTGCATCACGCAGAGAAGGACCTCAGAGCCACATACATCTCCAGGATCCTCAATACCATCTACCATCTCCGCTCTGCCTTGATGGGCACCAATCCCTTTCACACGCGTCCACAACAACTTTGCTGCCGCATCCGCAACCACAATTCGCAGTTCATTATTTATGAGGTCAACGAAGGCCGTGAAAAGACAGGCAAAAAGGAAAACCAAGGAGAGAGCTAAGCAAAGCAAGCACGACAGGAAGTAATCACTTTACATGCATATGCTATATTCATTCAACCAATGCTCGTGCCACTTCTTCCCATCCTGATCTAACCCTTTGCCCGCCCCTGGTCACAACAAGTCCGACTTCAGTGCCTGCCACCAGCCAGTATTTGCTTGCCGCCTCGGCGGCTGTGACAACAACGTTTCCTCAGGACTCTACCATGTCATGACGCCCGGTAGACGTATTGAGAGCTTCTTGCGGCGACGCTCGATCGGACTTAGGCCGAGATCCTTGAAGTGGGCGCGCTGTGCGACAAGAATGTCCGGTTTCATCATACAGACGGGCTACAGGCAGACAATTGTTGCGGTTGCGGCGCAGTTTGGCGGAAAGCCGGTCCCGGTTCGAGCCATCGCCGACGTTGGCAGTATCTTTCTCGGCAGTGTTCTCGAATGCATGGGTCTCTTCAGTCTGGTGCGAATATGAGTCGACTGGTATCTTTTTCATCGACATCCACTTACATAGTACGGACTGATACAGCAGACCATTCACTCAATCAGGAACAACGATTCCGCACCTGCGACGAATCCCACATCGAACCAAGCTGGTTTATTGCTTGTTGATGTCATAGCACATGATCTAGCGATTGGAAGGATGGAGCTGCAGCGACGAGATAAAAATGGGTTTACACTGCACTTTCAGGCAGGCCTAGCAGTAATAAGTGAAGGTAAAGGCACAGTTGAAAGTTTGGAAAGAACATGTGATCGTACATATGCCGGGCCTACATGCAATGCGCTAAGCGTGTGGGTGGGAAGCCGCGAAGAAAAATCCATGGAAGGAGCATACAGTGAAATACATTGAATATCAGCGACATTTGTAACGCATCGCAACGTACGAAAGTTGTTTCCAGATCTACCAAGACCCGAGCTGCTGCAAAACTAGGCGGGCGGCTTGCCTGCCTCCTCCGTCGTCTGCGTCGCTCGTGACCCTGCACCTGCTCTCTTGCTCTTGAAATGCTTCCCTATGTATCCTCTTGAGCCCCATAGATGGAATGGATCAACTGCTCCAGCGAGAACGTTCCGTTTGTTCAACTTCTTTTCAGCTCGCAGACGTTCCAATTCTTCGCCGCTCATGTCCCAAAACTGTGTCTTCTCGTCACGCCCAGTAAAGAGACCCCAGACATCAAACGGATCGAACACTGTCACGATCCAAGGTCTGTCGTCTGCCCAGCCTGGGCCACGGCGTTCTGTAACCCCATCTCTATCAAGGAACACGGAGTTTGATCGAGGCAAACGCTTGCCGGGATGAAAAACATTCAGGAGAGCCGTATTGAGAAACATGATGATGGCTTCGAAGATCCAGAAGAAGACCTCATTCTTGTATATGGTACTGTCCCAGCCCTCGGTGTATTCGACCAGGCGGTATATACATCTGATTGTTACGATGGTGGCAGATACGTACAGCACGTAGAGTACGATTCGTAAATCTCGGGACAGTAACTTTGCCTTGTTGGCGCGCATGTGGAATTGGGCAGCGAGAAGACCGAAAGAGCCGAAGAGTGCTACTTGGAGGGAGAGTGATGCGGTTACGAGATTTGCTCCCAACTTGCGTTGTTTCGGTGTCATGGACGAGTTTGCCATCCGCCACGCGCCTTGTCCGATCAGTATCTCACAAACTGCATCGAGACCAACGAAAGTTGTGGCAACGCGTCCTGGATGCATTGGTGCGAGATATGGGATGTAGTATAGGATCCGCGACAGGATGAAATAGTTGATAAGCGCGTAAACGGGTGGACCGGACATGATGAGTACAGTGGAAGCGATGAGATATGTGAGATTTTCGGGATGGTATGCCCCAAGCTCGCGAATGATGAATCCGGCGATCATCAATGCTGCTGCCCATGGAAGTAAGATTGTCGTTCGCCAGGACCCGTGTCTGATCGTCTGCCATGTGTGGATGACGCCGGAGGTGAAGAAGAGTACGATGAAAACGATCGGAGCCGCTTTATTTGGCGCATAGTACCAAATACTCCCAGGCGCTGTGTACATTAGCTAGAGTGCTTGTATGAATTTAAGACTTACAGTAATCTCCCATGCCCATCTTGGATCACGAGGTAGTCGACGAGTGTGTTTACTGTGGCGGTGTTGGGTTTGCAATGGCGAATATAGTAATAAAATTTGTATCAACGAAGCTTGTTTGTGCGTCGGCACGTCTCAGGCAGCCCCAGGATATATAGCAACGGAATACGAAATAAGGCTTACTCCGTCAGTTGCAAGAAGATAGTGGAACTTGTACAGAAAGCTTGAGTTGCGTAGAGCCCGTGCATGTGTTGCGAGGCATAAACATATCGAAGGAGAATGGAAGCACTAAACTTGCCCAACCTCCTGACGCGTAAGTAGTAATACGAGCAATGCGAGCTCGCAAGATTCCACGAGGCGTGAAACGCGAACACGCCTGGTACCACAAAACCATCAGGCAGCCCGCGAGGCATTTTTCGATGCGACCATTGATTCGTTGTAGCTAATTGGATGGCTGTACGATCAAGGTAATGATTTGCAAGACCTGCGCTCTTCTCTATAAAGAGAGCCTTGTGGCGATCGTTCACCGGAATCCAGAAAGAGCGTTGACAGTGCGGGGCGGAGGCACCGCTAGCGCATTTAGGTAATTTTCGCATCAAAGTACCTGCTATGGCTCAAGCTCATTCCAAAATAATGCGGTATGAACTCGCGAATCATAGCAACATATTTTTAATGATGTCGAGCGCCATGATTATGGACCAATTACCCGTTCCCAGAACCTTTGTAGTGGAAGCATCCGGTTCGTGTTGCTCGTACGTGTGACGACCTGGTTCTACTTTTCGATGTTGCCGTAGTGCAGCAATGCATACCTATGATGGTTCAGTTCTAGAGCATTGGTCTCATGATCTGTTCTTAATCTTTAGGAACCATTCGACCGTGGCATGCACAAGTAAGACGCTGCCTTCTCCTCTACGACCGATATCGAGCTGATAGAAGCGTTGTGAGTGGGTGAACGAAGAGCCACTATGGCTTAGGCTTGTAGTGACCCTAGCTGCGGTCAATGCTTTTACCATACGTATGGTATTCAGCATCTGGGTAATTGCCCGACCCTGGCAACGACAATGGAGAAGGTGACTGCCTAAAGCCTCTCGCTTCGCTGCCAGGATGTAGGGATGATTCCGACGATGAAAGGGGAACATGGTCGGTGCGGGGCGGGTCCACTCGCCTTAAGTAACACGTGACTTGCTAGTCTGAATTAGGGAAAGCGTAGTATTAGCGCTCTCAGGAAACACCGCCATTGAGTTGTCCCGCATCTTTGCTACCACGCGAGGTTAGACAAACTTCCCCAGACTATCGAAATAAGGAACCGGACCTGTTCTCTTTGGTGAGCGCGGTTGATGAACACCCTTGGAAATGGTGCGCCAGCTGTGGGTGCCGCAGAGGTTGCTCCTAGGCAAAAGCAATTTGAACCAGCGATGATGGATGGGTTGTCCAGCTCCAAGGTCACGGGTACGCCAGCCGATTTCGAATGAATCTCAGGACATACTGATCTTCCTGCAGTGGAGTATCACGATCCGTCCGGTCTCTTCCCGTTGGTTCAGGAGCAGCTTGTCGCACGCCTCCCCCTGAAAAATCTCCACTGGAAAGCATCAACCCGACCACTGCGGTCGATTGACTCGTTGCATGTAGACTTGGTACCGAGTGCAGATACCGCATCGCAGGCGGAGATAGCTGCATCTACACCAACTTCGACCACTACGGACCAAGGTAAAGGAGTTTCCAAAGAGCGACGCCATCAAATTCCAGGTCTTCGCCAGACTCCGTACCTTAAAGTGTACATTCTCAGATGCGATGATTCTGATACTTACAAATCTACTGCACGGAAGCAGGTTAGGGAGTGGGTGAAGACACATACACCGCCATCACAGAGTAGCTCTTCCGCAAGTAAGCAAGAGAACCATGACGCTTTTGAATGGATGATCGTCCATGTGGTCCTGCCCGACACTCCTGCAGCTAGTCAACCTCGTGGCTCGGCAACTTCGGCCAGCGGCGAAAAAGAAAAGAGCAACCTTGCTTCTCGGTTCACTAAAGGAACCACAACTCTACTGGAGAAGTTACGCGCTGACTTCGACACTACATCAAAGTCTGCTCCTGAGCGGGTTGCCCAGGTGCGGCTACCGAAGGACTCTGTCCCACCTCATATGCTCCCTCAGACGCCGGTGACAAGCCCACCCATTACTGAGGGGCCCCAAGAGCAGGAAAGAGCATGGAATGACATAATAGTCAAGTTCAAACAATTGATTCTCCGATCCTTTGATCTTCGTGTTGGGCAATACGAGGACGATATTCGCGAAAAGGACTCTCAGCGCTCGCTACCGGGCTGGAACTTTTGCACGTTCTTCATACTGAAGGAGGGCCTTGCAAGGGGCTTTGAAAGCGTTGGCTTGGTGGAGGACGCACTACTTGGCTACGATGAACTGTCCATCGGGCTTGATACTGTGATTCGCGAGCAGGCTATGGAAGGTAGCACTGCTCAGGGTGGCGTTATCAGCGACCACTCCGATGATCTATACGACCAGGCCTCAGCATTGTTAGAACTCTCGCATAACGGTGCCAACAAGGAAAACGAACAACCGCCGCAATTTCACGATGATTCTCCAATCAATGCAAACAAAAAAGATTACCGAGGCCAAATTCTTTCTAACAAGATCTCAATTTTCGACTTCCGCACCTATATCTTCGCACGTCAAATGTCGTTGTTGCTGCGTCTGGGTAATTCTCAGTCGGTGCGATCTGATCTAGCGGCTAAACTACAACCACGCATCGGTGCGAGTGTACCTCAACGGTCTGTGGATGATAGTAATGTTGGCATGAAAACAGAAAGCTCGTCTGCTGATGCCGAGGATTTGTTCTCTCTGGCCGAGCTGTGCTCGCGAGCCTTGAACTTCATAACATTTGCGGGACGACTATTGCGAACTGACCTTTTGAATGGTGCGAAAGCACATGAAACTACGTTCCCCGAACAATTTCTGGACAACCTTGTCAGATCCTGGACGTTTTCCGCGCTGGAACAAATCCTACGGGAGACGACAACATATTCGCTTCCATTCACCAGATTCTTCAGCGAAGCGGGTAATCGATCTTCTAGCAAGACTTTACCATTCGGGAAGAATGCGAAAGAGCAAAAAATTGCCATGTCGGAGCCGAAGTCGATGATACATCCGTCCCGGTCATCATCACTGAACCATGGTCGACCACAGTCTGTGGACACTCCGTATGCGCAAGCTCCCTCGAGTGCGCAGACAATATTCGAGAACGGACAGTATCAAGACCGATCCACGCCCCATCAGGAAGGCAGCTTGCCGCAGATTAAGAATGGACAGCAGGAACTGGCCGGTGCTAGGGCCCAATTGTTAGCTATTCAGAGGCGTATTCTGGAGCGTGTAGGAAAGGCTCTGGGTTGGAACGTCGGATGGGCTGCCGTTCTCGCAACAGTGGAACCGAAAGAAGAATTCAATAATGTGGACTTGGATGATCAGAATTCTGCCTCCAACGAGAAGGATAGCTCAGACGAGGAAGACGCGCAACCCGAAGAGCCCATCTCCGAAGAATCTATCGCTGGATTAGCAGCACCTGCGCTCAGAAACGCAGCATCAGGCTTAGACAGGTTTCGTCAGTCCTATGAGGCTCTAAGTGACCTGATTGTGAAGCATTACATGGCTGCAGGCCAGACGAAGGCTGGTGAAAGCGTGCTTGGCGACTTAGCCGCCTTGCGCTTCGAACTTGGCGATTTTGCGGCCGCTGCTATGTATTTTGGACGCATGGCTTCGACTTTTGGAGAGTCTGGTTGGAACACCGTTGAGACGACCATGCTCAAGGTGTATGCCCGCTGCTTGAAGAAACTGAATCGCAAAGACGAGTTTGTACGAACTCTCTTGGAAGTGCTGGCCAAGTCAGCTGCGAGCAAGAGATCCATGCGAGCCCACAAGTCAGGAGCAAGCTCGACAGAAGCTTTCCAGACACCGAAAGATTGGTTTAATGATGACCAAGTCAACACTGCTGGCATATTTTCAGAACTGGTCGACTACTCGCAGCAGTTGCCTTATGACGTAAATGTTCAAATGGCGAAATACTTCAACGACATTGTTGTAGAGCCATATGTACGTCATTTTGATGGAAAAGATGGATTTCAGCTGCGACTTCAATTCAGAAATCTTCTAGAGGATGAAGTTGAGTTTGACATGGCCAAGATTCGGCTTATAGATGCCGTCTCAGCGCAAGGCAAAGACATATGGTTGCAAAGCACAGAAGCTGCACATGTTGCGAAAGGCGTGTGTCGAGTATGGCTAAGCTCAAATGTGCGTTATATTTCGTCTAGTACTACTCATCCCACTAATTTGAGCAGGTCAATACCACGGGCGCGTATATTGTCGACAAGATTATCCTGCAAACGAAGCGAATCGCTTTCGTTCACGAGCCTTTCACCAAAGCTGAGGCAACCACACCTCTGGGCATCATCACCTCCGTCTCCGCCACTTCTCTCAAGTCTGCAAAGAAGAATCGCGTGTTGTGTTTTCCGCGCACTGAAGCTTTCGAAGCCTGGCTTTTCCTCTCGCATTTCATACATATCGACAAGCCTAGGCATATCGAAGTCACATGCTCGAGCGGATGGAACGAGATACAGCGGACTGAGATACGCCTGAAGTCGGCATCCGCCGGTCTACGCCTGCGCACGGCCAATGCAACCACAACATCAGGGGACGCGCAGATTGTGGAAAAACCCAGTCCGGGTGTCCTTCGCACTGGAGGACTTGCCGCGAATTCCACTGTGACCTTCCAGATTCCTTACGAGACCGAGACAATGCTGCCTGACCTCACGATTAAGATGGAAATTGACTATTATACTGAAAACGGCCAGTTTCAGTACCACTCGTCATTCACGATTCCAGTCGAGCTACCTCTGGATGTCAACGTTCACGATCACTTCAAGAACGCTTCTCTCTTCTCGAAATTCAACATCAAGACTGCAAGCCAGGTACCGTTGGAGATTACAGATGTGTCACTTGAAGGTTCAGATGAATACGATGTCGTTGCACCGAAGAAAACGGAAGGTCCCTTCCAGGTGTTTCCAAAACAGCCTGTTGCTGTCACCTACAAAGTCACCAAGAAAGGTGTTGAGGCTGGTGGCCGTAGAAAGAGCCAGGTTACTAACAATGGAAGCCTTGCCCTTTCCGTGGAATACCGTTGCCTAGATGAAGAGGTCATAGACCGAACGCGCGCTTTCTTTGGGAGTGCGGTAGAGAACGGCCCAGTCCGTCGCCTGGCCCGCCTTTTGATCAACACCTTCACAGAGCGGCTTAGACATCGGGTTTTACCCCCTCAATTCGAAAGAGTTGCCCTGCTGCAGCAGGTTGACATGGGTTCATTCGAGGACATGGGCTGGGAGGAGTGCATCGAAAGCCTACCGCAGACAGTGCGAGAGGACACTCGCAGCTGGCTACAGAAGTGGCATCAGGTAGGCCATGCCGCAAGACCCTTTGGCAGATTCTGTCGCTAACCGTATTATTAGAATCACAAATCGGTCCTTCTACCAAAGACGACGGACTCGGAAACCACTGTTCCCGGTGCTGCTCCGCCCTCTCCTAACCCATCTCGGCGCATGATAATAACAGTCTCAATACCACAAACACACATCCTGCACACAGCGTCTCTCTCGCTGGCATCAGCGGATTCCTCATCGTCACACGGCTCGACCATCGCCGTGGTGGGCCAGCCTCTCATGGCCGAACTCAGCATCAAGCACACCCGCCGCTGGTGCACTCAAAGTAGCCTTTTGTCAGCAGCCAATCTTTCGAAGCCCGACGACGCGATCGATTTCATCTACACGCTGGAAGCGAACCCTGACACGTGGCTGGTGGCCGGGCAGCGGCGGGCTCACTTCACAGCCAAGGAGGATGACGAGCAGCAGTTCTCCGTCATGCTGATACCATTACGACCCGGGACGGCACTTGTTCCGAACGTCGAGATCCGTGCAAAGATCGCACCCAAGAGCGAAGATGACAAGAAGAAGGACGGAACGGGAGAAGAGGAGGCGCTCAACTGTGAAACCGACTACTTGACGTATGGGGAGTGTGTCGTGGTGGTGCCCGACGTGAAGAGCAGTACCGTGGGAGTCGGAGACATGAGCTCGGCTCGGAGCGCTGTATGGCTCGAGGCGGAGAGCAGGTAGACTCACACACGACAATCCCGATCACGTAGCATGGTGGGCACCGCCAGAGTAATTACTGATGCATCTAGAACCGATAGCAATGAAGGGCACGTGATGTAGGCTGGCATGCGTTGCTGTGTTGTCGCGGCAGCGGGGCGGCGCCGCGCGGAGCCAATCAACGGCGCCGACAGCGGTGGATGCCAACGGGCGGACAGCACGCACCGACAGCCGATTGGCCGCTCGCCCAGACCCTTGTTGATCTGGCGCGCGTGTGCTCGCTGCCGGACATGTTAGACGCGTCGCGGCCCGTCCCTCGCAGCTCCCAACATCGCACCCACTCTTGCTCCCATTCCGCCCGCCCTTGCAGCATCGGCAGGCGCACGCCCTGCAATTGCACACGCTCGCCGCAACCCCCGCGCAATGCCGAAGAAAGCCAAGCAGCCCGCCGCCGACAACATGGCCAAGTCCAGGTTCTACGAGCACATGAGCACCTCGAGCATCCGCCCGCCGCCAGACGAGCTGTGGAAAGACCTGGATCTCGGCCCCCTGATTGACCGCTTCAATGCCGAGTGCCTCGCAACCATGCCCGCTCCTGCCTGGTCCGTCGCCGACGACATGGCAGCGGCAGCAGCGCCCGCCGCCGTCACACAGAAGCGACCCGCGCCTGCGTCACGCACGCCGTCGGCGACCACCACCAGCCGCCACTCTGCAACCCGCACTGCACTAGAGCCGACAAGTGCGAACGAGGGCCCGTTCAGTCGCCTCTCCCGAGCGCTGACGTCCTGGTTCAACGGAGCCAGCTCGCTGGGCAAGCGCAAGGCAGGCAGCGAGACGGCAGAAAAGGCCGCCCCCGACACGGCCGCAGTCGACCGCAGGAAGGAGGTCGAGGAGGCTTATCGGGTCGCCAAAGAGCATGGCCTCTTGCCCACCCCCAAGGTCTTCGTGCGGCCTGCGCTTGCCGCGCACAGGGCCAGGGCGATGAACAGTGCGTCCCCTGCCCTCCACATTCACGGAAGCACTCACGCTAATCTCCCAACGTTAGGCTCTCCTGCCGCATCTGCCTCGACTAGCTTCGTAACCGCCAATTCTCCCGCTGTGCCCTCGTTGGCTGCATCTACCTCTACCTACGTAACGGCCACCTATGCTTCCACACCCGTTCCTGCCACGCCCACACCCAATGGCTTCACACTCGCTACTACTCCACGCACACCTGCCCTCTACAAAACCCCTTCGAAGCGCGACCTCAACAAGCAAAGAAAACTCAGCAAGCGCGTCTCCGATCTCGAGCACAAACTCCAGGAAGCCCGGAAGGAACTGTCACTCGCTCTCGGTCCACACAATCTACATCCTGTCCCGCCGCTTCCTGTGCTACCAACAAATCTCCCACCAACACCTACCATGTCCCCGCATGAAGCGCCAAGTGCAACGCCTCTTGATTTCAAGATTGTCAAGAAGCGCAAAACAACTCGCGAGGGCGACCACGATGGTGAATACCAGCCCATCGCTACCGACACTGAAACCGAGACCGATTTCTCTCTTGCACAGACATCCGACTCTGATGCACAATCCACGCAGCGTTCCAGGACCACGCCTTCAAAGAAGCTGGTCAAGAAGAAATCCTTCACTCTGAAAAAGAGATCCACTTCCGGCAAAAGTGCCGAGAAAGAGCACATCGTCACCGTTGTGCCAGACGGTCTTGCAGTACCTCCGATTCCTGATATCCCCAACGGGGTGAAGGGCAAGAGAGCTGCAGTAAGTGACGATGGTTATGGGGGATTGGAACATGAAATGTTCTGAGATGCTGGCTTTGCCTCCCAGTCCAAGTGCTTTTTCGCTCGACACGGCCAGCTCATGACATTAAGCGGTTACCTTCATTACCTTTTAGCATAGCGATAAGGCGTTGAGTCCATTCTGGACCTGTTTTGGCGAGTTTTGGGTTTGCTGTTCTTATTCTGTTCTTGTATAGACTTCTTGTTTGTGGAAAAGGCGTTGAGTTATCCAGAGCTCATTCTGAGATTGCTTTTGTGTTTGCGGCGTTGACATTGGATGGTAATGAGCTGATGAAGCAACGGATTTCTTTGCTCATTTATTCTCTAATGTATGAATGGCTGAGTGCTACCAGGCTATCTCGTGATTCAATCCCATCTTTTCTTGACGTAACTCGCCTGGTGACCACCAGGCAACGCAGTGACCCATCCATCAATATCCTCGTCCACCCTCCGTTCGATAGTGCACTTGTTCATGGCCGCGACATCCTGTGTCTTCAACGTGGGACAGTTTACATAGCAGGGACTATCCATGGCTCGTTGCAGAGCGTCGTCTTTCCAGCCAAACATGTAGTCGCCATGATTGCCGTAGCCAGTGCTACCGACTGATTAGCCAAGCTCTCGAGCAACGGACAGCTTCCAATACTAGGTCAAAGCTGAGCCGCTGCATTGCTCCTCCTGGGCTAACACAGCATCCGCAAACTTTTGCCCAAGCACTGCAAGAAGGGACTCTCAACTTACGCATCGCCAAAGCTCCAAACAAACGGCTGGCTACCATCGGTCGGCCAGTCGTCTCTGTTGTTGAACGGCGCAGTGTCCCACACGACCTCGTAGAAGAGCTGGGGCACGCGCACGGGGTGCGTAGCTGGGCACGGTCCTCCGGATTCAAAGCTTCCTGTCTCGGGGTACGACCTAGCGGATGTAAGTCGAGTGGGTTCGGATCCCAGGGAAATGCCTGCGCTTACATGTGTGCCATGTGGTCAGGCGAGTCTAGATTCTTGCCATCCCAGCATCTGTTCGTCGTCAGCATGGCCCTGGGAAGAGTACGTTGGAGAGGCTTGCGTTGGAAACCGCACGGCAGTCATGATCCCAGCAGGGCAGGGCTCGGACGGGAAGTCGAGAATCTGAGGATCGCGAGTGCCGATGGTCTGCAAGCAGGTGAAGGTGAGTTGGCGGAAGCGTTCGGCCTCCTCTTTCGTTTTCGCGTTGACGTCGCCAATGAACATGCGAAAGCCCTATACGGGTTTGTCAGTGCTGAACACTATGCGGAGGTAGCAACATACTGGTGTGAACGCAGTAACCTTTGAGACCTGGTTGAAGTTGTAGAGCCCATCTTGCATGTAGTACACGGTCATTCCTCCATTCACACCGTCGAAACCGGCATTGGGCTTCTGTGTGACGCGCTTGTAGGTCCCGTTCTTCGCTTTAAAGTACAACGTAGCGGTCCAGTAGTTTGAGAAGTCTTCACTAAAGGAACAAGAAGTGCAAGTGCTCTCTCCAGGCATGTCTTTTGTCGGATCCATGGTCGTGTTGAATGAATTCCCACCCAAGATTTGATGGAGGTGCGGTGAGGGCGCCATGCCTGGCGTCACCAGCGGGTCGAGCCGATCGATGACCAGTTGAGCACATTGGAATCGTAGGAGAGCATGTGTAGGCACGCAAAGCGCCAGGAAAACAGCATTCGAGCGCTTCATGTTCCCGTAGCCTTTTCGCGCTGAGCGGCAGACTGGACTGGGTCAAAAAAGTACAGGGACTTGGAGGTAGAACTGTTGGACAATTCGAAGGCGTTGACTATCTATGTGATCCGTCGGTTTCTCTTGCGTTAGTTGGGGTTGGCAATCTTTGAGCGAGTCGGAAGCGGCGGTATATCTCAAAATCTGAGGTTCATTTCGGGCATAGCTTTGGTCCGTACATCCGCATCGCTTGTCTTTGTACTCCTATTGAGGTTGGGGTACATCTCCTTTCGCAAGCTGTTGTTCAGCCGATTTCAACTCATGGGTGGGTGCCCCACCTCTTGAGCTGGCTGCTGGCATCATTTTACGGCGAAGGAAAAGAAGAGCCAATGTGGGGCGAAATGGATGGCCTATAGTCGAATGGTATTTGTAGCCAAGGCTTCTTTTCCAATTGCTCAAGTTGGTGGTATCTGTTCCATATCAATTTTATCCAGATTGGATAGAGCTTACGCGAAGCTCGGCGTGGTCCGAGAAACGGAAACACTGCACGAAACCTCCATTGAACCGGGTAGCGCTGGCTGAACAGTATCGAGGCCTTGGTCAAAGTGGGAGTCCCACATTGTACCTTGCATTCACTGGGGCTATCGGAGATTGACCAACACCAAATAGTCGAATAGTTAGGAGTCACCTCGCGCTCTTCTCAACCCTTGAAACTCGTTGGTTTCCCTGCCTCTTCGAAACACGCTCGTTGCAATGAAGGTCTATATCCTCTTGGGTGCTTTGCATTGGGCGCTGGTCACTCGTGCGGCATATGACAGAAACCGAGGTGGTGCTGTTCTGAAAGCGCCAGCTGATGATGCTTTCAGAACAGTAAGTGGTACATTCACCGTACCAGCCAACTTGACGGGAGATAATCGCCTCTCCATATGGGTCGGAATTGGCGACAGTTTGACACAAACATATGTAGTTGGCGGCGGTGTGTCGTTCAACAAAACGGTATCGACGTGGTCAGCTTTCTTCCCAGGCGCCCCCACAGACGCCACTGCAGAAGTTCCGGTATGTGATAACAGAATCAATTGTCGACATTATATCTACACCGAAACCTGCGCAACTACAGATGGTCAACAGCTGATATGCTACGTCAGGCCGCCATCGGAGACAACATGACTATCACGATTAATGTCGACGCAGGAGCAGCCGGTTTGGTCACCATAGAGAACCTGACGCAAAACAAAAAGACCACGCAGACGGCGTCTGCACCGCCCAGCGCTGCGCCAACCGCTTTGACGGCTCTTGTAGCAGACTGGTGGGTTCAGGCATACCAAGTCGTGCCCGGCGAGCTCGTCAAGGTGCCCGAATTCGGCACGGTGTCGTTCACGGGCATATCTGCTATCACACAAAAGGGCATTACTGTTCCTTTCTCCGGGGCAGGTGCATATGAGATCCAAGGCACTAGGTATGTAACCCGGCGGTAGCATGTAGGGTCGACCTGACAATGAAAAGTGGCGAGATGTGGTCGAACACTACCATCTCGAGCAGTGGTATCTTGGTGCGAAGGCGCAATGGACCCGGTTGCGATGCCAGCGATCCTTGCGGGAACCAATGATGGTGGAACGAGACGAAGTGTGCATGGAGGGGTGAATGTTCTGGCATAGAGCTTATCGATGACATCAACGCCAAAAATGAATGAAACGCAGTAGAATGACGCCCAAAGCTGGTTGTAATCGTAGCAATGCCTGCGGTGTCGGTCCCATGCGTAGAGCAGCGTGGTGTCTTCTGCTGTAGACGTGGGAGGACAACGACGGTGGTGATGGCGCGGCTGGCTCGTGCGGCCCCGCGTTTCTGCCGCCAAACGCGTCGACGCGGTGCGAATGCCAGCTGCAAGCCGCCCGCCACGATGCGCTTCAAAGCCCAGATCCACAACATACACACCTTCACGAGTAAGCAGGCGAGCATTCCACACTGGCCACGGAAACGACGACCGGACTGACTGGCGCAGAGCTGACGGCATCGCTCAACTCGCTGGGTCCGCTCGCCTGGCTCAAGCTCAGCGATGAGCAGGTGTGCTTCACCATCATTCCCGAGCAAGGCACCCAGGTGTGGGCGTGAGTTGTGATGCTGCATTGTTCTTGAGACGGCAGCTGCTGACCGTCCGCAGTGTCCTCTCCATTGTAAGCTCGCCCGCGCTTCCCCGCCGTGCCACCTAACGCCGAGGAGGATACCATCTTCGATACATATGCCGTCCAATCCGCCGCCAACAATGTCATCAATCTCGAAGTGCCTCTAGGGCCGCTCAATCGTGCTCTCAAGTCCGCCTTGAACGCGACCTCGGCCCAGATCCGCCTGACGAAGAAGGACAACATACCTCTCCTGGCCCTCACCATTGCCACAACCTCGTCCAACAACGCGTACTCGGCGTTCCCCACTAGCGGAAGCCGCGACGATGACACCATGTTCGATGCCCAGTCTGGCGGGAGCAGAGAAACCGTCATCACCCAAGAGGTGCCCGTACGAGTACTTGCGCCCGACACCGTGTCGGGCCTCCACGAACCCCAGACTCGCGAACCGGACGTCCATATCATTCTGCCTCCGTTGATGCAGCTCAAAAGCATAAGTGATCGGTTCACCAAGCTGGCCCTAGCAGGAGCTAGGACAAGCTCAGGAGCTGCGGCGACCAGGACAAGACTCGACATGGCCGCCAACATGCACGGCTGTCTCAGGATGAGCATCAAGACCGACGCTATGAGCATATCCTCTGTCTGGACCGATCTCGCAAACCCAGAGCTGGACCCTAGTCAGGTAGCCAACGGCGACATCGGCATCGCAGAACACCCGAGTACGCGTATGAAGCTGCTGGGTAGTGCAGATGGCCGCAGCGAAGAAGGCTGGGCGTCGGTGAGGATAGACGGTAAGGACTGGGCCAAAGTCATGAGTGTTGGGCGGCTGGGCGGGAGGGTCATTGCTTGTGAGTACACATCAACAACATGTCCATGCATTCCAAGAACCAGCAAGCTAACCCGAACAGGTTTCTGTCATGAACATGCACTGATTCTGTACGTCTATCTGCCAACTGATGGTGGTGAAGATGAATCGGTTTTGACGGTACCACCTCACTCTCCAAACGTCGAAGCCAGGACTGTCGCTAACGACACCTCAGTATTACATTAGTTCATACAGCGCCTAGCTGTCGGATCGAGTTACCAACACGCGCCTTACGATTTACGAAATAGATATCAGCTCACACAAGCCCCATAAGTTACGTAGTCTCACTCACGCACTCTGCGAATCAAATGATTGTAACACTCTGCGTATCATGCAGCACAATCGATTCATGCATGCTCGCTCCTTCGCCACGAAGCATGGTAGCTTCTGGTTCGCATACCCCCAGTCCCAGACGTGTGTATATCTGTTTTGATTCATCCTTGCAGTCCAAGACAAGAAACATCGCTTGTCGGCCCCCTTCTTCCATTCGGACTCCCATCCAAAAGCAGTACACTACCTTGATCGATTGTTTCGTGCCCAGGTAGTCTTCTTGGTTGATACAGAAGGGTAACTCTTCGTCCATGTCTTCATTCTCAGGAAGATGGTAGAACTCGTCGTCTCCATGCGCTCGTTGGGACCAGCGTGGGTACACTGTTCTCCACTCACGGTTCAATTCATCTTCGTCTGGTTCGTAGTCCAACTCTACGTCGTACACTCCTTTCCTACCGGGTGCAAAGACTGTAGATCGGAGGCCTTTGGAAGTAGAGAGGATACGCAGCTTGGCCACAGCAAGTTTTCCATGCAGAGTGATGGTCCCTCCCCAAAGCTTCATAAACTCCATGTCACGGTCCTGTCGAAACGATACGTGCTCAACAATCGGCGGGAAGCTAGGGGCATGTCCCACATACCGCGATGTTGGATAAGTCACTGGTCCAGTCACCGACAACCAGGACCAAGACGGCCCTTCAGACGGCTCAGCTGGACGTGCTCTCTCTTGCCTGGCACAGGCTCGCTGCCATGTCAGACCAGTGAGAAGACTCTCCTCCCAGAGGCCCGCCAGGTACGCCTTATTGCTCAACCCACGTCGGAATTGCTTTGCGACGCCCGCAATGGCAGCAACTCGGTCCGATGCAAACGTCAGATCCAAAGCAGTGTACTCTTCGATGAGTTGGACCCACCGAGCGTGCAGGCCGTGCCCGATATCACCATCGGCCACCAAACACATGGCGTGCTGGGGTTTGATGGGATGTCCAATTGGATTGCGACTTCCGCTTGGCTGATAGTATCCACAGTGACAGTGAATCCTCTCGTTGCATTCCCATATCAAGTCAACGGAGCCAAAGTGTACAATGCGTGGCGAGAGCAGTCGTTCCTGGTACACCCATCCACGTTTCAGAAGAGGAAGTCTGTCAGATGCCCAATGCCCCGGGCTGTCGTGCTCTGTGTCTTGCCGAACATACACGATGGGTGAATCGTCGCTGGCACGTGCGACCAGCTGCCTAATTTTCTCCTCATTTCCATCCACTACAATTTTCGTCTTGCCGTCAGTTACGCAGCCTCGAAGGGAAGGCGAAGGCTCGACAAAACAACCTGCGCGTCCGCCGTCGGCAACAGTCGCCTGCATGTCGATGATATGAAGTTAACGACACACTCAATCGTTTATGTATAGGGAGGCAACATACCGCTAGTGTAACAGCTGCGTGTTCGTAAATCCCCGCCATCTTGCCCGATTGCTCGAACCAGTCCTCCTTACTGTCCTGGATGATACATAGAGAGTCGATCCAGATAAATTCAATACCGAGTTTACGGGCAGAAACGATCGCGTCCTGGAATGTTTTCGGCAATTTGGACCAGTCGATGTTCTTTTGGAATAAATTGAGATTATCTTTCAGTAGGCGCAGTGGTTGCTCGTCGCCCCAACGGTGACTCAAGGCGACGTACGGTAGCTTCTCATTGCTTGTTTCGTACAATCTCACATCGGATTCGTACCAATTCTCTGTCGCAATGATGGAGTCGGCTTGACCAATTCTGATGACACGGTCAGGAAGTGTTCCGTCCTTGTGCAGATTACACTTTTTGTGTGATTCTTTGCACTCTTTGATCTTGTCCGTTACCCAGGCAATGGCAACGTCAGAGCCTGTGTTCACAACCCCTGGAACAAGAATTTCTTTGTACTGAGTCGTGCTGCTATCTGGCTTGACTTAGAGAAGCGCATATGAGGCCATTGCACATGTTCATACCAGCCAGACTGCGCATAACAAAGTTGGCATAACTCCTCACTTTCAGCCTGTTTTTGGGATGTTCCGCCTTCCAGTTCACGGTAAGGCAAATACTTCCGCGGGGAGCCCATGGCACCACTGCAATATAATCGGCGAGAGGTATGATGTAAAAGCTCTCAACGGTATCCAAGTCCACCTCATCGAGAATGCAGTGGATGACATGACAATACTTGCAGGTGCGGGCTGACTCTTCAAGATCTGTTACTGGACGTTCGATCCTCTCAACCTCACCTCTCGCAGCGAAAGTGAGAGCTTGGTGACAAATCTTGCAGGCCATCATGATTGATGGCTGCAAACAAACCGGGAGGGTGGTTGGATGGCTATTGATAGTGGTCGTTACCGAAGCCTGGTGGCCATGGCGGGGTGTTGCGGAAGCAGACATGCGCGGCCCCCAACCACCACATCAACACCAATGCCTCCCCTTTCGCCGTCACTAGTTCCGCTCAGAATTGAGCCTATCCACGAACAAGCAGAGAGAGCGAAAATGTTCCCCAAGTTTCGTCGGCAAGGCGCATTTCGCACTTTTCAGCCACTTGGGGGCATTGCCAGGGGCCAAACCCGGTGACGCGAAGTAACGATGGGGCCAGGGGAGTAGCTAGCAGGCGCACCCATTCGCGTCGCTACATTGGCTCTTGACGATTCGAGTTGCGCAGTTCGGCCTCCTACCAACCAACCAGTGCACATGCACGCCCTACCACTGGCATCTATCGCAAACGCCCATCAAGTATTATTAAAACCTCACTGACCTATCAAAAGCCCCTAATCTACCCCTCCCCAAATTGGAATGCTTCCAGAAGGTCGGCGGTCAGCAGCTGACAGCCAAGGGCGCCTGGCGGTCCCCCAAAGGGCGCAAGGCCGAAAGGCCAATCTCATACATTATTGAGCACGGCCGTCCACGGCATTGCAAGAGGCTGGGGTGCGTTCGTGGAGGGTAGGTGGAGGCTATGAATGAGACAGATGGAGCGTGCGGCCACGTTTTGACATGCAGGGAGTGCGACGGTGCGTGCTCTGTAATGGGGATGCCACGTGTAGGAGGTGTGCCAGGCAACTGGATTGAAGGGAGGGCCAAATGTCGGCAAATGTGGGCGAATTGAGCCAGGAATCCATGAAGAGCGTTCTGGGTGTCCACGCGTTCAGTCTCAGTCCCGGGTGGAGACATACATTGCTCGAAACACCGCGCCGTGGCAGCAGTGCGCTGCGTCACCATATGCGCCCTTTTTCTTGCGAACATGATGCCGGCCTCATCCAGGCAACTCGAAGCTAGCGATAGTGATTCGCGAACCGGTCAAACGCCTTGAGCGACTCGCGTCGCAAGAGCACCATCGTTCAGGTAGTTACTAAGCTTCATGAGCTGCGCCGTTACTTCACTGCACGATTGCGCAGTCAGACGGCTGCCTATCTCTCGCCTGTTACCAGGAGTACGGACACCGGACCCCGAGCGGCTGCAAGTTGGTGGTTGCTTGGGTCGTAGGGCTGTGGCTGGCTGCTGACTGTGTCTTAGAATCCTCGACCATCGTTCATCCCACTTGGATGTCTAGAAATAACCGGCATTGTGGTACAAGGGCTCGTGGTCAGGAGTTGCGGTCCGTTGAACTGTTTGCGTGGCTTTGTGGCTCTTGTTGCTGTGGCTAACCCACTTTGCGTATGCAGCATGAGCCTTGGAGTTGAGGCGTGCAGCGTTTTGCCTTGCTCATGCCTCAGGCAATGGGACTTACCTCTGTTACGGGAGTTACGTCGTAGTCAACAGGACTTCTGATCCTAAAGGGGCTTGTTCAGTACCTCGTTGCACATGCTTCACGTCTTGCATTACAGGGACACGGACGTATGAAGTCAGAGGTAGAGATAGAGGCCTGACTGTGCACACTATCACTCACGTTTGAAACACTAGAAGAGTAGTGGTACAAGTGTCATGCTTGGAACAAATACTGCGGCTGCGCCAACGGCGTGTAACAGGAGGCGCTTGTGCTGGACGATGAGAGGGAGGCCTAAAACGTTCGACTTTGGGGAGGCGGAGTGGGCAAGGCTGGAGAAGTAGTTTGAAACATGACAATGACGACGATGTGGGTTGCGACGAGCCGTTGCAGTGCTATGAAATGAGAACCGAGCACTGGTATTCAACCCTACTCAAGGAACGGATCATGTAGTCAGGTGCATTGCGGCGTGATTGCGCGCAATAGGAAGAAGAACGGCATCATGTGTGTATATTTTCGTGATAATCTCAAAAGTTGCTCTGGAAAATAATGTACTAGTTCGTTGTGTCTTGGAAAGCTACACCTTGTAAAAAGGCTTATTCGTAGCTGTATTGCTCGGAGTATATCATGGTCAGAATTATTGTGTTGGTCATGGACTGTGCCGCCGTCATAGATGCAAATTCGATACGGGTGTTTACTCGAAGACGAGATTTGACTTCAAGATGCTCGATGTAAAAGTTCATGGGAACTCAAAGATCTTGCGACTTCAATTCTTTTGTCTTTAGTGCATCTTGACTACCTACCGCTTCAATGGAACGCCTAGCTACCCAGACCGGATACTGGTAGCTTCCACAACTTCATTCGTCCGGCATCTCGTTACAAGGCCACCTAGTCTCCTATCACTGAGAAGAATGGACCCTTGCTCGCAAAGACACGCTCAGATGAGTATACCGCAGGCTCCGAGCCTTGCGCGCCTACGTGGCAAGCATATCCCTTCACGCCATTTTCCACGGCTCGTTCAAGATTACACGCTACTTCAACTGTCCATAGCATATCAGCCCTTACGCCGTAGTCTTCGGCTACTCCTACTGGAGGACCGATGCCGTTCCCAAAGCGACAAAAACCTCGCAGATCGGCGGCACTACAGCGCCGATCTTCAGCCTTGCACAGCACCCGCGGGTACGTCTGACGGACGAGGCTCCGTATAGCCGTGCCTGTGACGCAGAGCGGGCGCCGAGTGCCGACCCGGGGGCTCCGCGCTTTTGCGCATCGTTGCTTCGTGGGTCGATATCCTGCGGGAAAGGGAAGCGTCACGAGGCCATGCGCATGCGCTTTTTCTTTTCTTTACGCTGTGAAATATTGCGAAAATGGTTGAGTGATCCAGTGGGCGCTTTTGGGAGATTGCTGGGATGCAAGGGTGAGAGATGCAGGGTCTGCGGGAGAGTGTGGAGAGATGCGATAGGGCGTCTCGTCTAGAGAGGGTGCTGGTGCAGTGTGAGGACACGAGGCGCGTGATAGATGGCGCGTTGCCATCGCTACCGGTGAGGCGCATTCCTCGTGATTGCATTATCTGCTTGGGGGACGAGCGCGGGTTACGCTGCACGTTGGACTCGTTCGTTGCCTCTTCGACTCATTCCTGCGTCGTATCGAGGGTTGACTCAGAACGCGCATGCTGGCAACGCCTGCGGTCTTTTAGAAGGAAAGGCCAACGACGAGAATGTTCCCTTGTGCGACTTTGCACTCCATGCTCGCATTCGTCTTCTCGCTTTGTCCTGCATTGCAACTACCCCAAGCAGCGTTGGTGCAGGAGGTAACCGGCCGCGCCACAGCCGTGGTGCACGCAGGCGGAAGCTCCAGGCGGGGACGGTGGATCGAACACCTGTTCGCGAAGGAACCAACCGCCTCGGCAAGGCTAAGTCTAGTGCTGGACCCCGCCCCAGAAGGCATACGACCTCGTACCCGCAGGCACGTCGGCGCATCCGACTCGCTCCGGCCAACGCAACGAAAGCTGCATGCGCGCTATCTGGATGGAAGAGAGAAAAAGCAAAGCACCGGGGGAGGGCCGTGAAGGACATTGGAGGGATTGCGGCATTGAGGATGCGAGCAAGGCGAAAGGCGCTGGCGCGAGGTGACGAGGATACGATGACGGCTTGCAGGTCAAGTGTTTCCGATTAATGATAGTATGCAAGATGAGTGGGCTTCGCATGATGCCGTCGTGGGTTTTTGTGATTTGATGTTATTGTTGATGTAGTCAGTGATGATTTCAAAGACGTGAGCTCGGGCTATCTGACAGACGTGATGACCACGGTGCATGGTGGGAGATCCAAAGCGGAATGCGGTTGGACCCCAAAATAACCCTCATCCACACCACATCTTTCGCAAATTGCAGCTAATAGGCACTTTCCGCGTTAGCCACATGGACCAACCCCAGCCCAAATTGCTGGCGCCCACAAATCAGAGCATTTCAGCTAAAGGTGGTGCGCCAATCGATGCCGCTTGACTTGAACTGGAAAATGGCTGAGATATTTGCGGCGGCACAGCCAACCTTGGAAGCGTCAGCCCTACAAGTGTATTGACCCCGGTCTAAGCGCGGCTATCGCGTCTACTAGCCTCGGAGTAGGGCCTTATTTTAGGATTTGGTGTGGTAGCGCAAGCTGAGGTGGCGATTGGGATGTGTCATGAGTTACTTGGTTCCTGCAGATGAAGCCTTGGTACAGTACCAGGCTGTGGAAGCCAAAGCGCGGCGCCGGAGGCATTCAATGGCGCCATGGGCCACGAGGGGATTGGCTGGACAGCGGTATCCTGTGCCTTGATCGAGGTAGCATCATCGGCGCAGGCCTCCGGCTGTGGAGCAGACGTGTTTCGAAACATTTACCTGCAACACCCTGCTCGTCGCATCGATTCGTTTCAGCCTTGCTTTTCCCAAGCACTGCGATATCGAATCGATAAACCACTGCCTCGGGCTCTCGTCTTCACGAGAATGCAGCATACATTTGCGCAACGCAGGGAAATGCGCTGTGTTTCGTCTCGATGCGGACAGTTTCCTTGCTCTCGGAGTCGACAGGCACCCAAAGATAGACTTGATCGATACACCGTCCACTGTGTCGGAACGGGGAATATGCGCAAGGCTCGTGGCATGGGGTTGCACGAACGAGGCTCAATTCCGACGGCGGGACGATCTGGTACCGATTGCGCTCTGCAGACGTAATACTCGTGGTCAATATGATGTGAGGGCGACTTGGTAAATTTCCGCAGTTCTCTATCCCAGAGTGAGGGTTGATGATGCGGGCCCCCATCGTTGCTCGCGCCCACGCCTATGGAATCCAAGGATTAAAGACTCCGTATCTGCCCCCGTCGCAGCATCGGTGCTTAATTGACATGCGGAAGTTTATTGGATTGTGGTTGGAATGAGCCCGTGCACTCGGATGCGCTCAACTCGGACACATAACGTGAAGCCAAGGGTATGGGTTCGCATTCGCTGCCTGCTTGTTCGCACGAAGAGTCCTCCCATACGCCTTTGTGCCGGTGAAGCGCAAATGCCACGCGTCGGTGCTTGTTCTTCAGCTGTTGTTTCGTTCATCGTGTGGAATGCTGCGCAAAGAAGCAGGAACATGGCTAGCCTGTGTCCTAGCAGGGCCACCTTCCCATTCTTGTACAATGTGCTGTTGAAACGAACTGCGCACTGGCGAAGCGGCGGGCGTTGACAGCTGAGGTGCTCCACTGGCGCCTTCAACTTGGCTGCTGAGGAGGCTCCTACGCATCGCTACTGGCCAGCTGCGTTTCGTCTCATTCTAACAGTGTACTCAGGTACAAACGTCCCGCAGCCGTTCGGATGGCTTGGGCGAGGCGTGCTTGGTGCCGTGCTCTTTTGGGAGCTCCGCCATGCGCTGCATTCCACTGTTGGCTGAAACTGCAACTCGAGCATCGTAATTCGCCGAGCTGTGGCATGTCGCGGAGGTTGTGTTCCTGGCAGCCCGCTGCAACCTCGCACTGTGCTAGTCGACCGACATCATTGCACGCGCTGCGCACATGTTCGGATCCCCTGGGCGGCGTAACCCCCCTGCGTCCCCGGCTTCCATCGCGATCTTGACAAATGCGTCGCACGGCGATAATTGGAATCATCGCCAGTGCTCTCGAATGCGCGCTTTCGTCTAGAGACTGGGTCGCTGCCGCAGTGAGTGTAGTGCGCAACGCCGATCAACGGCGCGCCTGTGGCCCGTTTGTGACGAAACAAAGGAAACGATGGCAAAGCCAGTGTAACGGGCGGGATGGCTGAACGCCGCCCATCTCAGCGGTCCCTATTCGCGGTTCCTGCGGGTGCTGATGCGTGGACGATGCGTGGGAATGACTGTACTCGCATGTGCGCGTGCAGCGAATCACCATGGCCAGCGCGCTTGCGGAGTGAATCGAGGGCGGCCACCCCGGCTCGAGTCGACACCCCACGCATTTCCGACCCGTTCGCGATGCCATCTCGAGCGTATTCGTGTACGCGTCGGGTGGTGTCTGCCTGGTGGTCTGGTGGCCCCTCTGCTGCCACCCTTTCACCAGCCGCCAGCGGCGACCCTCATGGCCGGCCAGTCTCCCACCAGACATGTCCGCTCGACGCTGGTTCAGGGACGATGCAGCCGATCCCCATGCGGCATGCGCTCTCAGGGCCCGGTGCTGCGACGGCCATCAGCGCGCAGGCGGCGGGCGACTGTGCGGCTCCCACATCCCTGCCCGTACACTGCCACGGCCCCATCCCTGCCGCTGCCACGCTCTCGCACCCAGGAATAGTCGTGAGCATCAGTGCACCCAAGTCCACCACCACGGCCATTTTCTCTTCCCACTAACCCAGCTCTGCGCAACGGCAGCCAAGCCCCTGCCCGAGCGCCCGTCGAGGTGCGTGCAGTGTGGCAGGGGCCAGGGTCGTTGATGACTAGATGCCTGAGCGTGGCTTGCCAGCCCGCGAACCCATCCTTGGTTCTTCCCGCCCGTCCATGTAGCTTGTGTATAAAAGAAGCCTGGCAGGGCACATGGGGTCCAAGGCAGCTCAGTTTCAGTCACAAGCGTGATCCAGACGCCTCTTTCTTACCTAGTCTTCCGTCTCCAGTTGAGCGTTGCGTTTATAATCGCCTTCGAGTCTGTCTTTCAGTCATCACATCCAACTTCTCGACACTTCCACTGCACACTACATATACATACACGAGGTCGTCACGCTTACCAACACCCTCCAAATACCATCTTCATCAATATCAAGAGCATCTTCGCCACCAGCTCCCATCCGAATCCACTTTACAACTTTCACACTTTTCACACCTCCACATACCATCTCAATAACATCATCGCATCAATGGGCCGTGGTGGATACAACTAAAGCTTCGACGCAGCTTTTGGATTCTCTGAGTGAACTACTCCCGAGGCCACCACCAAGCCGATTCTACAACCTCAACTTCACGCCCAACCATCCAAACCCGACACCATCCAGCACAATCTTCACAATGGCCGGACGGGGTGGCTACAACTAAGCCTTCAGCGGCGAACGCTACTCGCACCATACTACAAATCTCGAAGCATACTTCAACGCCCACACCACTCAACCATGGCTTATCACCGGCCTGCGCGGGCCAGCAAGACGCTCCGCAAGAAGCGCGTCGAACGATGGCGCTAGAAGCACCACCTCTCAGCGCATCCCATTGTTGCCGCTTGGCTTCAATCGTGTATACTACTCTCCTATCTGTATCTCCTTGTTCACCACTTGTACTTGTATTGTCGGCATAGCGAGCATTTCGATCGGGGTACGCGTTTGTTTCTGGTCTGCTTTGTAGAGTTTCCTCGACATTTGAGCGTGGGAGTTAGGATATAACGGAATTACACGGCAACGGTATGATGGATAACGGGTCATGGATTTACGGGCTACGGTCGAACGGTTCGACGTACGAAAGCATCGGGACGGCGTTTTCATAGACGGGGGAATCTCGCTCTTCAGTGAGCAGCGCTGGCGGCTATTTGGGATTCCTTAGATTCATTTCGGCATCTTCTGCTATGCAATTCAAGACTTCATTTCTTCCTTCAAGCTCGTTCTTGTTGATTGCTTCTTGGTCTCCTCTGTTGGTCGGCAGGCTGTGCCAGGACCGGTATATATACCCCGGTGGTAGCTTCGTGAAACTCACTCATTCGATTCGTCCAAAGGCGTGCGCCAATGCTGTCATTCGGAAGTACGTTTTGAGAGATAAGAAGATCGCGTGCATTTCATTTGCCAACGCAGAACCTGGTGTTGTAACAGACGTTAGCTTTTGGTGACCCTCGTCAATGATCATGCCCAAGCATACGGCAACGGCACGCGAAATGTGGAGCCGAGAGTCCTTCAAGCAGAGCGGGGACTGAGTCAGTGCCTGCGCCGCAGCATCACCCACAAGTGTCTCACGTCGAACGTCATCCACTATGACTGAAGTGGCTTGGTCGCACGTGCGACTTTGCAAAGTAGAAGTCAGGCGTACTTGGGGCGAGAAGCGAGGCTGCCAATATTGACAGGAAGACATCGCGGTCTCTTGTTGGTCGATTGACTAGGCTTTGTGATAGTAACTGTGGGTGGTATACTGGAGAACTGGCCATTGATGTCCGAGATAGGAGACGGGAAGACTTACTTTTCGAACACAACGCCTAGGACTTCTTCCACGTCACCGCCTTCGCCGCGTCCAGTGATTCTGGCCAGTGTGTCAGCAGCAAGACGGAGCGACTCTGCAGCAACCACAATGTCAATTGAGTCGGACTCTTCGTAGTCCTCTGCAGTCTGGTCTTGCAAAGGATTCTGCACGGTAGCCAAAAACGATCCAAGATGGGACAGGCATTCCGACAGCAAGGCCCGCTGCCGCTCGGTTGCGCCTAGTGACTCCTGCCAGATTGATGGGTCAGGATCTGCTTCAGGGACGAGTGCAGCTGTCATCTCGGCAAATGTACCCAGCAAGCCTTGCAAAAAGACCTGTATGTGGCCTGGATCATTAGAAACTTCACGGGTTAATTCTTCTGCATCCCGACACGAGACAAGGAAGATCTTCTCAGTTGGTATACCGAGGGAAGCATGAAGTTTGGTTTTCCAGCTGTCCGCCAGCCGTCGATCGTCCAACCGGTCTACTTTGTTGATGGCGACGACAACGTTGACACCGAGCTCAACGCACTGCTTTGTGGTTTCGGCGACTTCAGGGTCCATGTCGGCGGTGACGTCTTGGACGACTATCAGGACATCGGACTGCAGAGCACGCTGTTTGGCTCGCTTGATTCCTTCTTGCTCAACGGGTCCCACGGCTTCTGCACCCACCAGACCAGCTTTTCTCAAGCCAGCCATGTCGCCAATCTTAACAAGCCAGCCACCCAGATCGACTCCAACTTCGACGATATCCCTCGTTGTCCCCGCCTCTTGGGAAACGATTGCAGCTTCGCGACCAACGATGCGATTGAGCAGGCTGCTCTTCCCCGCATTCGGTGCCCCCAAGAGTGCCACGCTGATGCCGCTGCGCAAAAGCTCACCCCGAACAGCATTGGCCACATGAGCCTCGATCAGCGTGGATAGGCTTTGAATCTGGCGTGCCACGGATGCGCAAAGCGTCGCAGGAGACTCGTCGAAATGCTGGTCTTCTGAAAAGTCGATCAGGGCCTCCAGCTCTCCACGCGCATATAGCAAAAGCTTGCGCCACTGCTCATAGCGCGCAGCAAGCGTTGATGTGGTGCCACGCACCGAGAGCACACGCTGCTGCTCAGTCGTCGCAGAAAGGGTCTCGCCAAGCGACTCGATCTGCGGGAGGTCCATGCGGTTGTTTGCAAAGGCACGGCGAGTGAACTCGCCAGGCTCGGCGTACCTGATGCTGCCGATGGCCTTGTTCGTGGCCGTCGCTGGTTCGGCACATTGTGGTATAGCAGCCAGCACCGCGCGTACTATTGCAGGTCCGCCATGCACATGCAACTCGAGTACGTCCTCCCCAGTGACGGTGTGGGGCGCAGGGAAGTATAGGACGAGGGCACCGGAGTCAAGCACGGTGGATGTCGCCGCCGGCGCGTTCGGAGAGTATAGCTTCCGCAGTGCCGCATAGCGCGGCTCAGGCAGCGGCTTATGCGGGCAAAGATGCTGATAGACCTGACCGACTAGTCAGGAGAGGCAATGCGATGGCTACGGGCCCAATGTGTTCATACCCGCTTGCATGCCGGCCCAGAGACGCGGATCACAGCAATGGCTGCTCTTCCAGAGGCGGTCGAAAGGGCGTATATAGTCGGCTCTGCTGTGCTCGGATGGGAGGATTGGGAGGGCCGTCGATACGACTGGCTCAGGGAGCGCCGCGTTTTGTTGGTAAAGGCATTGCGGTGAGAGCGTGCCGTCTCAGTCGCGCAAGTGCCGCGGTAACGCAAGGCAATGGGGCAGCTTTGCCGTACTACGTGGATAGCCCGTGGCGAGAGGACAATGGCTCTCATCACGGGGACGACTCTGCGATGTCATTTTGGTGTTGCGCGGTTGCGTAGCTGGAGCTGGCGGATTCCCCACCGCGCTTGGGCCCACCTGCCGCTACTAGCGCGACAAGATTTCGAAATTCTGTCTCGCCCGCAGGCGCTCCCACGACAGCCCCGGTCCTCCAGCACACTGCAATTCTCTCGTGCCCCCCTCAGCCTGCACATCATGGCTTCCGACGATCTTGTATGGAGTGTCATCGGCACCGATTTCTGCAGCTTCAAGCTCAAGACCACAAAAGACCAAGTTTTCTGGTGTGCACTCGCTCTCGTGCCGGACATCTGGAATATGCTAACCAAGACAAGTCGCAACGAGCACAACGTGTCTGGTTTCTGTTCGCGACAGTTCTGCCCTTTGGTACGCTTGGACACCGCCAACCACCCTCGCTGCGCCCGCAACTAACACGAATGCGCAGGCCAACTCGAGATATGCGACCATCCGGGCCGACCCAAAGACCCAGAACTTGTACCTGTACATAAAAGAAGCAGAGCGGTCGCGTACGTGGTCCCATACCCGGCCGGCGAGAACGCGCTAATACAGTTAGACCTTCCCTCAAAGTGGTGGGAGCGGATAAAATTGCCTGCAAACTACACGAAAGCCCTCGAGCTCGTCGATTCCCACTTGCAGTACTTCCCGAAAGTGATCCAACACAAGAACAAGCAACGCTTGACCAGGTAGGGCAAACGTCAAAGGCTCAAACGCCGCGCTAACATTCCAACTCCAGGCTTACTCAGGTCAACCTCCGCATTAAGAAGCTCGCGAAGGAAGAGGAACGTCTTGGAGAGAGGCTAGTGCCACGACTCGCTCCCAAGGTCCGTCGCAGGGAAGAAGGTCGAGAGCGCAAGGCACTCGCAGCCGCCAAGGTCGAGCGTGCCATCGAGCGCGTTCTTATCGACCGCCTGAGGAGTGGTGCGTACGGCGACCGCCCGCTCAACGTCGAGCCCAACGTATGGAAGCGCGTCATGAAGGGTCTGGAGAAGGAAGGCGCGCAGCGGGACGAAGACCTGGACGATGGTATCGAGGATGAAGACGAGGTCGAGAACGAATACGAGATGGAGAACGGCGCGGCTGAAGTCGAATATGTGAGCGATATTGAGGGCGAGTCTGACGATGATCTCGAGGACTTCGAAGACTGGGTCGGCGGTGACAGTCCGGACGAGGCTTCCGACGATGATGAGAACGATGAAGATGAGGAGGGCAGTGCGAGCGACGACGATGACGACGAGTCAGCAGACGACACAGAGGCACTCAAGAGGACCCTCGCGAATCTCAAGCGAAAGCGACCCGCTGGCCCAGCGCCAAAGCCGAAGAAGAAGCCGGCCAAGGACGGAAAAGGCCCACGTCGCGAAATCGAATACGAGATCGAGAGAGAGCCTGCCACACGGGAGTTGCTGCACGCATAGACATAAAGTGGGGCGTTTGTCGGCATGTTCATGGCGTTCGATGCTTGTAGAAGTCGGAATATACCACGGGGGCTTTCTCATACCTGGCCCAGTTTCTGTTGATCTTGAGCAATCAGATACTGCATGTATCACTTGTTTGTTCTATTTTGTGATAGACCCAACAGCTCTTCATAGCCGACTCTCATCGTTTATCGATTCCTTGCTGGGTATGCTCGCACAGTCGTTTTCAAAATCGTCTACACTGCGAATTCTGCCAATTTACCGAGGAAAGCAAATACTGGTCGACGATACATACGCATTCGTACGATTATCTTATTGTCTATTTAGTGTTATGACTCTGCTTCCACTGCATGCTCTTGTAACATCTATCCTGGGTTGATTCTTTGTAGCGCATGTTCCCTGGTCTTTCCAGCTTGGCTGATCGTCACATTCTTGTGCACGTCTGTGCAAGACTATGTTACGATCGAGATCGTGCACTCTCCTGGATCAAAGATACCAATTTTATGAGCGATATCTTCCGATGCTCCGAAATCTATTTACTTCATATTTGTTCTCACTGATCACAGTTGTTGTTTTAGGAGAAGTTGCGCCCAAGGGTGACGTCAACTTGCGTCAACTAGTCACTGGCGTACCACATGCCCTGGAGCATCTCTCAACTTAGAGGCCATCCTCCCACAACACCCAACATGAAACAATCAGCTTCCTTCGACGTGATCGGAACATGTTTCGACTTCACCGCACCCATCGAAGCCATCCACTCGCGTCTCGGTCCCAAACTTGCCACCGCCAAAACCGATCCCAAGACACTGTTCTTCAGCTGGTTCTATGCCGCGCAGCGCGACTTCACATATGTGTCCCTTGCCGGGGCGTATAAACCCATCGCTGAGATCTTGCGGTTGACATTCAAGCGTGCATGCCGTATCGTGGACCTTCCTGCCGACGCAGTAAGCGACGAGGATGTCGCTGCTATCATGAAAGCCTTCAAAGGCATGGGCCCGCGCGAGGGATTGAAGAAGTGTTTCGATGGTTTGAGAGAAGCAGGGTGGGATGTCTATGCTGTTACAAACGGGGGTGTTGAGACGAGTTTGGCGTACTATCACAACGCTGGGATCGACCTGGATGAGAACCACCTCCTATCCTGTGATGCTTTGCAGGTCGCGAAGCCAGATGTAAAGGTGTATGAGAATGCGCAGAACCATCTTTCGAAGCAGGGCCTGGGCACGAAAGACGATCGGCGGAGGTGGTTTGTTGCTGCGCATGCGTGGGACCTGATCGCGGCGAGGCAGGCGGGATTCAAGACGGCGTATCTGGACTTTGAGGAACATGATCCAGTGACGGAAGTGTTTGGGGAGTTTGACTTGTACGCAGCGAGTATGGATGAGCTTTTGGCGAAGCTGCAAAGCGTGTCATAGGGAAGCCTGCTGGTACTCAGTAGGGTCTACATACTTCAGCCATAGCCAACTCTCTGGTCACTGCGCTTCGATTGTAAGGAAGCCTGGTAGATCTTAGTGAGGTTGCGTCCTGCGGAGATAGGTGTTATAGTTGCCGTCACAGCGTTATCAATGACAAGTCAATCCAAGAGTAATCGATAATGCTTTAAATGCTTCAAAAACAGAAAAGTTTGGTGCTGCAGATCAATCGCAGGGTAGCCCGGTAGTGCTCAATTAGGGTGATAAAATATCAGTATGTTAGATCACGACAGAACTGGAATCGTCCGTTCTGACCTAAGATCGGCTTTACAGAAGCCGGTAAAGGCTAAATTTTGGAATCGAAGAACTACACTGTTGCGCGGTGAACCAAAAGCGGACCTGTCTGGGTTGCCACTGCCGTGCTGCCGGAGCTATTTTGTGGCTTAGCTTGAGGCTATGCGCCAAGTGCACGGACCAGCGAGGCTGTCTTGCTGTTGCACTCAGGTGGGAAGTACGTTTATATAGCAGCGCTCCATCTTCAATTACGATCCCTACAGTTGCAAATCCTGAAAGATGCCGGACCGCTCGAACCATCATACCCGAGACATTTTCGTCTCTGTGCCTGCGAAGGTATCTTGGACGAGCGGCGATGTCGTTCGCGGGTCGGTAAGAGTCAAGGCCACTTCTAGGCCTCTGAGAGTATGTGTTTGCGCTTTATCCTACAATACCGACAAGCGAACTTTCATCACTAAAGCATTACATCGCAGGTAAACATAACTTTTCGGGGCCGGACGAAGTGTGCAATCACTCGTTCAAACGGGCAAAGCTCGACCACCTACAAGGAGAAACCAGAGTTCTTTAGCCGTACGCTGGAGCTCTATTCTTCGCCTACTAGTGGACAGAGTTACGACATCATCTGTGCCCTACGTGGCGTTACTGAGGACGGCAGAGTTGAGCTGCCGTTCGAGTTTACTTGGCCCGAGCGAACCGAAATTTTGCCCGGTTCCAAATGGCTCCAAACCCCTTTTTTTGAGCACGAACATGGAGGACCCCTACCACCCACTTACTACCGAGGCGGGTCGAACAACCAACTTGTGGAATACTTCTTAGAAGCGAGACTCTACACTGGTGGGAGGTACGACGCGTCGCAAGAAGTCAGATGTCCCCTCACATACCGGCCATCTCCGCCCATACCAGATCCTGTCCCTCTCGTACCAAAGGTCAATACTATATACTCTCTCGGTGGCATAACCACTCGCACACATCGATTGCACCCTGAATACGACCCGGATGAAGGCTGGCGTGCGAGGATCAAGCATAGTTGGAACAAGGATAAAGCCACAACGCCTTACGTCAGGTATAAGATCGACGTTTCCTGTCCCAGCGTGATTACTGCCGGCCAGCCTATCATCCTATCTCTCTCGCTCAACCATCTTGAGCGTTCCAAAGAAATTCCTGATCCTCCCCCTGTTCATCTACGTCGGATCAGTGTCAGATTATCTAGCCATCTGAGGGTCCGTATACCTTCCCGTTCGCTTTTTGGCTCCAGCGACATGAATGACAACCACAACGACAAGCACATCTTCTTAGATAAGAGCTTCAATAGTGGTGAGGGACTCCTGATCTTTGACGGCATGGATGCAATTACAGCCAAAGTACCGGTGCTACTTGCCCCAGCTTTCAAGACCTACGGTCTGGAATTGACTCACAAACTTAAAGTGGAGCTCTGGGGTGAATGTGCGAGGGAGAAGTTCCGTTTCACGCCAGTGCAGGGGCCCATCTTGATCTTAGGTCACAGGAGTACTCCGGTTGATGACCTGTCTCCACCTGGTCCCCCACCCATACTCAACGCGAAAGGTGCTGACGGTGCCGCCGAGGCGCCTCCAGCTGTGGAAGAAGATACTGCGCCGCCCCCGTACCAGGTACTAGATAAGACCTAGGGGTTTCGTTTCGGTGCGTAGTGTTGCCTTTACAGATTGACTTCCTCTTCCTATCCATAGATATCCCTACTCCGTATATTATTGCTAGCAATCAATTTTGAAGTGCCAGTTATCGACCCCAGCATTGTATATGATTGACACAGTTACTTCATTATCACAACATTGTTGAACAAAGCCATGTACCTTTTTTAATATCATAGGGTTACATTGTGTGCTACTAAATTCTTGACCTATATCAGAGCCGTTACTACATGCTCTTTGGGAGCTATATCCAGTACAATCTCCAAAGTCAATGCCTACCCCAGGCTCCACGATGGGGAGCAGTCAAATCTCGATTCACGTAGAGTTCACCCAGCAGGTCTGTGGTGCACTTGAATCAGTCATATCTCGAACGGGTTTCGCAGGTCAGCCTGAAGCAATCGTAGATCAGGGTAGGTCAGCCCCAGTATCTTCTGCAAACGCTACTACCAAGGAGTACGACGTTAGGGACACAGAAAGTGTTTTCCGCAACGATGACAAAAGTTTTAGCGACTTCAAGACTGCGAGTGCATCCAGCGACGACGAATCTTGGGTCTACATCAATTGCAACCGCTCCGGAACCATGGAAAGTGGCATGGCAGACCTAGCTACGTATGTAGACAAACCTGCCTTCGAGACATTCGCAGACTCCGACAGCGCAAGTCCGCTACCAACCTCGCCTATCTCGAGGGGCTATCTACGCTCTACTCAACACCTCGAGGCATTCATGCACCCGACGGACTTCGCCACTGAGTCCAGTACGCTTGGCGACCTACTGTCGTTCGAGTCGGCGACTTACAGTGACTATGCGCCACTTGTGGATCCTGACTCTGGAGCTCCGTCCTCTGCTCAAGCTCGCCATGGTACGTCGGCAGAGCGTATGTGGAGCTTGGGTAAGACGGCGTTGGCAAGGTTTGCATCGGCACGCCAGGGCGCTGGAAAACAAGCGAAGCAAACTTGGAGGTTTTCGTCGACAGGGAGAACGAGGAGCTTGCGCACGTAGTGGAGACTGCTAGAAAGGTACCGATGGTGGTGTGCACTGAGGCGGCTCCGCAACATGATAGCCACTCTAAGCCAACTAGTCAAGTCAATACATCTGCAATTGTAGCTCCACATGATGCTTCCCATCATGAGAAGCATCACAGGACAGAGAGTTGGATGGACGAGCAGAGACAGGCTTGGTGTACATAGTTCTCGTGCTGCTGCTGCATATTCCTTTCCAGATACTATATCTCAATATACAGCGTTTCGTGTCGCACTTGACAACACAATTCAAGGAAATCAACTCGTCATTTTGCGTTTCAGTCGAGTACACACACCAGTTACCGTGAATGAACAAGTCCATCAAACATACTCATAACACAGCAGCCCACCTTGCGTATCCATAACATCTGCAATTGTCGCATTCGGCAACATTCCGAACGAAGTGAGCACGTGCCCCAACGTAGTAACATCGCCAGGATCACCGTCGCTCTTCGCGAAGTCTGAGGATGTAACCCCGGCAGCAGAGGACGTTTGTGGGGGGAATGGCAATCCGGGAAACCCTGGACAGCCTCCAAATCCAGGGCCTGTTCCATTTCCAGGAAAGCCAGGGATAGTCCCATTGCCAGGAAAGCCAGGAAAGGATCCATTACCAGGAAGTCCAGGAAATGACCCATTGCCAGGAAATCCGGGAAAAGACCCATTGCCAGGAAATCCGGGAAAACCAGGGAAGCCTCCGAGGATTCCTTTGTTCGTGCCAGAGATGTCGGTGAGTCGAGCAGACAGGTTGAGGTTTTGCCATTCCCACCACAGCTTGTCGAGATATGTATGGTGAAGATAGAAGAGCGGGTCGCCAGGGCTTGAGTACAAGTTCGTCATCTGCAAGTATGTTACTGTGCGCCCTATCAACTGGATTGTGATTTGCCTACCTGTCCACCAACACCACCGTGGCCGGCACCGTGCGGGGCATTCTCCAAGCATGGCCAAAACGTGGAATAGTTGCCCGAAGCCATGCACTGATCCACGTTCTTCGCAGCCGCCTGCGCACTCGCGCACTCGTCGATCTTTCGATCAATGCAGTGGTCCGAAACCTGTTGAAATGGACCAATGGCGTTGACATAGTCCATGAAAGGCCCGTCGGTAATGCAATTTTTCGGCCCTGTGCCATTGCCCCCGAAACCGGCGACTGGGTCCAGTACGACAGAAGAAGAGAAATTGCCAGCGTCGAGAGGCTCGTCCCAGTAGGGTTGAGCGCCAGTATAGTTGCAGTCTGTTCGGAGGATGTGTTCATGGGCGTGCATGAGGTACCGGTGGAATGGCAGGAACGCGCCTACAAAGTGGACGGTTTCTGTCGCGAGTACATGCAACTTTTGAAACTCGTCGAAGCGGGTGCGAGGCCCTTTGAGACCCAGCTTCGCTGGTAGCTTCATGAGGCATTTCTCGGCGTCGATGTATGCAAGCTTCTCATCGCGTGTGAGAGTGTGCCTATATCAACACGTCAACGCGTCGGGGCAAGAGACACGAGGGTGTGAGGAGGACCAACCAAGCTTTTCTTTGGGATTTGATCGTGCATGCTTTCACAGTCGTAGATTTTATCGCTGCAGCTTCGGCGATCAGTGGCAATGCCAACGTCCATGCCAGGAACTTCATGGTAACACCTGGGGCGTCTTTCACGACTTTCAAAAGGTGCCATCGGTATATGTATGAACATCCACTTCGCCCGACATCTAATTCAACCGTCTTTCCAGGAGTCTTCCAGGAGTCTTAATTACTGCCATGGGTGTATGGGTTTCTGCGCTTGTGCCCGTAACGAGATGCAGAGTGCAATTTGCACAGAGAAGCCTGTCCGAGCTCTCTTCCCGGAGGTCATGGAAAGCTGCGTCGAATGAAGTGTTGCGGGCACGTACGTACAACGCGCGTTCGTTGGACGGGAGCAATATGCACAGATTAGCGACTGCAAGAAATTTGCCGCTTTCGATACCGGCTTCGTGTCGCAACTCGGGACCAGCCTCGATGAGTCAGCTGATTTTCCGCGTTCGTTGTGAGCGCCACCTCATGAATGATTCAGCTAATACTTAAGAAGTAACGGCCTAAGGAAGGAGCTGCATCCTTCTATGGAGTGCGGAGGCGTTCAATATATCAACTTTTATTTAAGCATCTGTGACAAACACATGACTATGCATCCTCGCCAGCAACCCCCCTGATCCAGGATACTGTCTCATCTACATGGCTCAAGAACGGACTGTGCGAGCTCTTTAGCCTCTCGGTCCGGAGCTCACCTCCCATGTTCTTCACCATCGCCGTCATAGCTTCTTGTCCAGCAACCGGTATCGCCAGGTCATCCTCACAAATAAGGTAGTATGTCGGAATCTGCTTCCAAGACTCTCCCGTGGCCTTTGCCACGAATGAGTGTACTGAGTGTGTGCGGCTCACTTTCTCGAACCACTGCGCGCGATGGGAATCCGGAAGGTCGTTGTACAATATGTCTCCGGCCGAGTCGGTGAGGCGTGCGAAGTGTTCACCCTAAGTTTCTGTTAGCAATGATGCTCGCTCCGTATGTACCACAGTGAGCGTGAAATGTTAGCTTGCCTCGATAGTCCACCATGTTGGAGGCGGGCCTTGGATTGATTCGGTCAGGCTTAAACCCTCGGGCGCCAGGAAGGCGCACATGTATCCGCACCTGACCACACCGCCTTCTTTGCCCTTTTCTTCTCTTTCTTTCTTGCTGTACCCTACCAATGCGGAGCCGACTACAATACCCGACCAGGAATGGCAAACAACAATGACGTCATTTCCAGACCCAATGGCTTTGTCTACTATGGCCCGGGCAACTGCGATGTCGGCTGAGAGGTCCTTTGGTGGATCTTTGTCGGTGACAGAGGGTAATTGGGTCGTATGTACCGTATAGCCAGCTGCTTCTAGCTTCGGGATGATGAGTGAGTAGCATGTAGGAAGGTGCCACGCTCCCGGGAAGAGTACGATTTGGGGTTGGGACATTTTGCATTTACAATAGGTAAGAGTGTAAGCCAGTGATGGGTGGGGACATGAGATCTGCACGGAGACGGGTGGGTAGAATGTGTGAATGGTGGTCAACTGTAAAATGAATGCGAGAAACCAGGCTTATATGTCCAACTCAGCACCGGCGTGTATCAATTGAGAAGCTTGAGGTATCATCCTGGCATGTGGGAAGCCAGAAGGCACGACCGCTCCATCGCCTCGTTGCATTATCCGTGGGAGGGCTAGTTTCTTAGGGCGTACCAGGGAGCTTGCCATCGTCGGTACACTAGCGTTCTAGTCCTGTAAGCACGACGCAGCCCGTACTACTCTCACACTGTGACGAATCTGTGGAGCGGTCGGTCTGAGTGTATTGCCAAGAGCTTATGGAGGACGTGGAGGGTTAGCCTTGCGCTGGAGCGGAGGGTTAGGGCGTCCGGTTGACATGGGGCGTAGAGAGAGTAGTGGGCCTCTGCGCTCTTCCCGTCGCTCTTTGGAGTAAGGCCCACCTGAAGAACACTGTGGGGTTGACTGGTCCGTGCTGTTAAGTCACGATGCAGCATACGGATCAATGCACCGTTAAGTGACATAGAACACGGAAGGATCAATGGAGTGTAATAGGCATGTATTCCACTAGTGCCTAAAGCGCGACGTGAAGAATAGGCCAAGACCGCAAGCTCAAGCAGAATTGCGACGGGCAATGATAGATGATTCCTTGCGAACAAGGAGGGCGTATTGCCAGGTGTCGATTTGCATGCTGCAACCAGGTCTCCGTGGTATTCTGGTGTAATGCCCGCCAACTCTCTACGGTTGGCCAAGAAATGCAAGCGTACTCCCAGCCTAGGGACTGTGTCTTCAGGTTCAACACGGGAGTCGGACGCCTGTCTTGGTGATGTGAGATATGCAAACGTCGGCCCTCGTTAAGCCCGACCCGTCCGGTTTATCGACCTGCCGGGAAACGATGCTACAAGAAACGCCACCAGATGAAGAAAATTATGATGAAGCCGAGAGCACCAAAGGGGCCGTACTGTGCAGGGTCAGGACAAGCGAATGGTTGGACATGGGTGGACTCACCTGCTTCAGCAGCAGCTCCCAGTTGATGCGCACGGCGGCTTTCCTGTATTTCCGGCTGTCTTCGCGCAGCCGGCTCGACATGTCGCCCATGCGCTCCAGGCTGTCGCCGCGGTACAGCAGGTCCTCGATGTTCTTGGTCATGACCTTGGTCACGTCCTTGAGCTCGCTGTTCAGCTTGTCGAGGTTCTGGGTGGCGCGCGTGTCCTGGTACGTCTCCTTTGTCTGCTGTATGTACTTGTCGAAGCCGTTGAGGGCGTACGGGCGCAGGGTGGGGCTGCTGTAGGCATCGGGCTTGTAGTTGTTCTCGAACTCGGTCTGCAGGTCGGACAGGTAGGTGAAGGCGAGCTTGCGGGGGTAGGCGCGGTTGCAGATGCAGAGGAAGGCGAGGTCGCCGCGGTCGTTTAATGAATAGCTGTGGGCGGCGGGTCAGCAGCGTCTCGCGAGCGCACTCGGCGCGGGGGCGCGGGGGCGGACTGGTATGTGTATTTGCCGCTCTCGATGCTGCCCTGGGGCTCGGAATTGCGGTTCAGGCGGCGCTGGACGAGCTTGGCCTTGTTGATGACCTCGTTCAGTTCGGGGTCTAACTGAGATGCGTGAGCGTGCGCGTGCGCGTGCGCGGCGGGCGCTGCCTACCTCTCTGGTCTCGAGCGACGCGCAGAGCACCAGGCCTGCCATGACCGTCAGTCTAGTCCTGCGTGCGCGGCGCGGTTGCTGGGCTGTGACGTACTGCCCTCGAGGCGCGACACCACCGTGTGCTCAATCATTGCGGATGCGCACCGCTCCGGCTAGTTTTCTGGGGGATGGAACAATGTGAGCGCGAGAGTAAAGACGGCTGCGGCCTGCGAGGCGGCCCAAGTGCGCTGCAGAGAGGCTACGTGTCGGTTGTGCAGCGTCGTCGGCGTGGCTGCGAAGCTCCAGGCGCAGTGTGCCCACGTACATGCACTCCAAAACCCCCACGCACGGGCCGCCCAGTGTTTATCGTATCCGCACGCCAGCAACGCCGCAGTGTGCGGATCAAGACATGGCAAGCTGGAGCCTGACTGTCCCGCAAGTGGCTTCCCGAGAGTAAAGCGCTCATTTGCTTCGTCGCTGCGGTCTTCGTTGGCACCGCCGTGGCACAGCTCGGAAAAGATTCTGGGCAGTACCGGTAGGCCGCATCCTTCACGACCATACCTACTCACCACATCGCTCAACGCTACACCATTCGCGCCTGGTGCCATGGACCGCAATCGGGCAATGTCTGCTGATCCGACCATCGCGTTCTGTCAAAGTTAGCGTTCGTCGCCGAGCCTCACTCCATTCCGAAGCCGTTCGTGCACATTCTCAGCATTGCAGCGACTCATATCATTTCAAGTTGGCGCAGTCTTCCACATGTTTCCCATGTCGTGAAGCCTCCTCTAGTCTCGAGTGCGATTGCTGGATCAACTCGCGTCTCCGCCTGTTATACTCGGGCAACTTGCTACCAGAACACCACTACACGACCAGACGTCGACACACTTGCTCCGGCCACCATGTCCCTTCCTGTACGGTATGTAAATTCGATTTTCTATTTGACCCTTCGAATCACGGCCGCTCCTCAACTTAGCGTTCCTTCCCTTTCGGTCGTGCATCCTAGCTCAATTTGTTCGCGTCTGGCGCGTCTTTCACTTCACGCTCCACGCGCTATTGTCCGTCCATTGAGGAATGCTATACGTCTCAGCCCAGTCGTTCAATTTCACCCGTGCCCTCTGAGCTATACTTCAGCGGGTCTACTATGGCGTTCTTCCGCACATTCCTGTTGTGCACATTCAACCATTCACTCGACAACATCTCTAGCACGGATGCGCACAATAGGACTCGGCACACGCTTCTCCGTCGCAAACTTACGTGTATAGGTCTCCTACTGTCAAGGAACCCTCTCTAGAACCTCCACTTCCGGTCGACTCGTCTCACGACGCATCCACAGCAACCATTGCTCCAATTTCCTCGAATCAAACTCAGCAATCTCTCAAAACGACACCAATCAGGTACAAATCAGCAAACATGTCTGACAAGATTGACTCTTCTCCTCTGTCTCTGGCTGAGTCCATCCCCACACCTCCCGGTGCTGCAACCCCGGGTGCGATCCCATCAATCAGCACTGAGCCTGTCTCCGCTTCCAACGGCACCGGTGCTCCTTCTCCTTCTGGCTCAGTTGCCTCGTCTACCTCTATCGAGAGCAAGAAGCGCGCTCACGCCGAGGTCGAGGATCGTCAGACTACTATGACCTCAGCCAAGCGCGTCAAGAAGGCGGCTGCGAGCGCTGGTACGAAGCCTGCGCGAAAAGGTGCACCTCCCGCACCTCGTGTCGGCACCCGCTCCAGTGGTCGCGCCCGGAAGGCTCCTGAGCGATTCGAAAACCTCGCTTCGCCACCAAAGCCGGCTACCACGACAGCTCGCAAGCCCGGAGGCAGGGTGTTCGAGCCCGTCTACATCACCACCAACGCCAATAGCCGCCTCAAGAAAATCGACCTCTTTCACATGCTCCTTAAAGCCAACGCTTGGACCTGCCTCACCTCCGAGCAGAAGCTTGATATCCTCGCCCTGCTCCCGCTCAATCCCATCAACGTCAAGCTCGCCAATGACCTTCGTAAGTAAACCCAGGGGTGCACAGTGGTTGTACCATCTTGTCTTGAATCACACTGACTTTGTATCCGTACCTCAGGTGCTGGTACCGCTGCTGAGGATGCTCGCCCTCGAGAAGTTAGCCTCAACTTCAATTTGTTCCGCACCGACGTGGCCAAGTTCAAGGAGGATCTTTCAAATGGCCATCTCGGCAAGACATGGCAGGCGTCTGCTGAGCAGGCCATCAAAGATCGCGCTGCGGGCGCCTTCGACGACTGGAAGGAGCAAGAGGCTGAGTTGTGGTGGGGTCAGAACTGATCGCAACAGTTGAAGTGCTACGATATCAAGATGTGACGAGTTATTGAGGATGCAGGCATTCTCTTATGCATATCGTTTTCGTACTTGTGGCACGTGCGGTTTGTCATGCGACAGCGATGTATCGGTTGGTGTACGGCGACAGCGAAACCGCTTACGTCGCATGTGGCATTTGCTTTTTGGGAGCCCGGCGTTACGGAATAGACCTGTACCTCGATACAGTCGCATCAGCATTATATTTCTCTGCGTACGATACAATCAGGCGACTTTGCACGTCTTAGCCTGGTAGCTCTGAGCATAACATAATTTCCTGCAAGTCGATGAATTTCAGACGGCGCTGGCTACCTGTGTTTTGTATGTATCTCAGGCATCATTGTGCTTCAACAAGATTTATATTCACACTATCTCGTAGTATCCATGTCATCGTGTAGCGATGTCAGTGTCGATTCCTCGGAAGCAGTTGCGTTTGGAGCAGATTGAGGAAATGGAGCTCCTGTCTACCTTCCCCAGGCCACCACCAGGGCCTCGGTCACCAGCAAGACTATCGTTACAAAGCCCAGGACTTACACCACGGCCATCAAACTATGGATTCGTTCCTACTACGACAGCAAAGGGCGATACAGATGCCAATTCCCTGTACGATGAACCTGAACCGCTGCCGCCGCCGAGTGCCCAGCCTGCTCAGGATATCTTACCTAGCCTTCCAACGCCCTCAAAGCATGATCCAGAGCTTCAAATAGTACTCGACCACCCTTCCAGAGTGTATGCACCGGGAGAGACGATCACTGGCTACATTATTGGCTGGTCAATCGCTGAGGAGCATGTTCGAATCATCTTGTCGGGGCAAATCACCACAACGCTCCAAGCACCAAAAGCAATATACACGAACCATACACCGCTGGTCTTGCAAACCAAAGATCTGGATCGCGACTTGCAAAGCTCTATGCCGCGGTTTGAACTCAGTATTCTACACGTATGCGATCTTCCCCACGACTTGAACGACTTAACGCAAGCCCATGAGTTGAGACACAAGTACTGGACAACGAAGTGGCCTGCGCAAAACCCCTTTGAGAACGATGCAGGCCACCCGCTACCGCCATCCATGTACATGGGCCCGCGCAGCGCATCTAGGCTGTCCAATGCTTATGGTTCTGTATCGACAGCCTACACATTGATCGCTGTTCGCTCCATACGGGATCGAAGTACAAATGCTCTTGTCACAAACGCACACTTTCAACTTCCCATCACGCTCACCACCCGACGTCTTCCAATATCCAAGATCAATCTCTTGGAAGGCGAAAAGCACCACATGACCTCGAACCTCTCAATCCAAACAGCAGCCCTAACAAAAGAGCGTAAGCTCCGTTTGCGCGAACAACTCTGCGATGCGTTCAACACGTCAGCGCCGACATTCTACTTCAGCATCAAAGGCATCGCACCACGTTTGTCTGTGCCAGGTGCCAACATCAAGATCAGTGTAACGGTGGAGGTTCTGGCCCCGCCACCCGGAAAGCTGTACAATTTCCCAATCCCAGACATCACAGTCGCAAGTATGAAGTTTCTTGTGCGATCGTATACGGGCATCCGCACGTTCGGATCCGAATCGGTGCAGACCACATCAGCTGTCAATGCCTCGGGAATACCCTGTAGGAAGGAAACGTTCAAAGAGACCGCGTTTGCGCAAACGCAAACGCCCACCAATGCCACCTTCATCCCACAAAAAGGGAGATTCGATGGTCAGGTGTGCATAGCAACCATCGCGTTGCCTAAAGAGGTGCTTCCAAGTTTCAAGACGTACAGCGCGTGGAGAGGATATCGTCTGGAGTGTGCGCTCAGGTTGAAAGTTGCGGGGAAGGACGCAGAGGCCAAGTTCGCAACTGACCTCGATGTTGTCGCAGGAGGAGGGACCAATTTCGAGCGTACAAGGGTCCCTACAGATGAAGGTATGAGCAGGCAAACAGTAGATACGATTGTGGGGGCTTATATGGTCCGGTAGCCGCCGGCGCTGCTGCAAATACGACTACGCTGTGTTATCCGAAAGCAAATGATGTAGCTATATTTGAGTAACATGCATTTGATGTGCTATCTCTTCTCCAACACTTCGTCATATTTACAAGAAGTGCTGCGCAATGCCTTGGCGGAGTGTTTTTGCTCCCCGCGTGTTTTCCCTATACTCAGCACCGCATGGCGACTGGCGTTAGGCCTGCCACCCATGTCCGATGTAGGCTAATGTGTAACAAGAAGTGTTATTTGCATATGGCTATGCATCCTCATGAGACGCGGCAGCTACGAAAACAACCTCGAGGCACCAAATTGAACGCTCGCGACGGCTATGCATTGTCAGGTTCGGCGCTCCAGAAGACCCAAGCCAGCACGGCGGCCGCCTTCAGCGCAGCAGCGGTCCACAGCGCGCCGGCGAGCCCAATGGAGCTGTGCGCCCACACGCCGCCGAGCATGGCGCCAATGAGCAGCAATATGGGTGCAGCTACCCTCCTGTTCCTCTCCACGTTGCTCACAGCGATGAGGTTCGGGTCGGAGAAGAGATCGCAGTAGTTGCTCGTGAGCACCACGCTCGTCAGCCCGCCGTACTGGAGCACCCTCGATGTGACGGCCTGGCCGCTCGATTGGAAGGCGACGACGGCGAGGGGCACGAGGACCTGCCAGTGCAGATGGTCCTTGTCGTCGACCTCGTCATGGCCGTAGGTGACAACGAGCGCGGCGAGGACGATCAGCAGCATTTGGAGCGTGTACGAGGCGACGAGAACCCAGCGCTTGCGGGGCGAGAGGAATCGGTGGAAGCGTGCAAAGAAGAAGGAGCCGAGGCAGAACGAGGTGATGGAGGTGAGTGCCTTGACCCAGCGGATGCCTTCAGAGGGGGCGACGAGACCGAGACCCAGGTACACCGTGTTGCCTTGCCATTGTCGTCAGAATACCAGTTGAATCGCACGGCGTCGCGACGGCCCAATTGGCCATGACGAAGCATAATGTAGCTCACCAGTCTGCATGCTCACAAAGGAGCCCCAGATGAAGACGGCCGAGCTGTCGAGCAGCCCCGTGATCACATAGCAAAACAGCAACACGAGATCCGCCCAGTTCTTGCTCACATTCGCCCCAAAGTGCTTCTTCAGCTTCGTCCCGAGGCCGGCGGCGTGCGCATTCTTTGCAGGCCCAGGCCCTCCCAGCAGCGGGGTTTCCTCGTCGGTGCGTCGGTCCCGGTGGTTTTGCGCGTTGCTGTTCATTTCTGTGGCTGCCGTGTTCCGTGTTGTTGTGGATGGGCCTTTTACAGGGCCTGTCGGCGCCAGAAGTGGCTCCGAGGCGTCGCGTTGCTGGCCGTGCCTCTAGCGCGACATGTCGGCACGGCGGCAAATGTAGGCTATCTCGGCGTCGGCGACAGAGTTGCTGCTCTGGTGCGTGCTGACCAGTGTTTGAGAGCGGAGCAGGCGCATCCACGAGTCAAACATGGCAGCCGGGCGCGTCGCAAAGGGAAGGCTCGGATATGTCGTCATGCTGAAGGGGACGCGGGCGGGGCACGGCGGGCGACATAAAGCAGGGCGGCTGCAGCGTCGTTTTATAAAGACGTACGGGGACTTTCGACTTTGGACTTGAAGCCAATTGAATCACACGCCATGCATCTCTCGTCGTATCTTGCCTTGCTGGGCGCCTGCGGTGGTGCCTGGGCAGCTCCCGTGGAGCAGGCACCGCTAGCCGGGAACGGAGCACCACGAGTCTTCCGCGCAAAGACACCCTACACACCAGACCATCGCGATCCGTATGATCGCAAGGTCGACTCAATTGGCGACAAGCTGAATCCGCTGCCATGGGTGAGCCCAGTTCCACCACTTATTACGATCGACTGCTGATGTTGACACAGAGAAACGGCGATGGAGCAACCATGCTGGGCCCGCAGAACAAGGAGCGACAGCGCCAAAACCCAGATCTGATTCGGCCCCCTAGCACCGACCATGGCAACATGAAGAACATGAGGTGGTCCTTTGCAGACTCGCATGTTCGCATTGAAGAAGGCGGCTGGACCCGTCAAACCACCATTCGCGAGCTTCCCACCAGTGTTGAGCTGGCTGGTGTCAACATGCGTCTTGACGAGGGTGTCATTCGTGAGCTGCATTGGCACAAGGAAGCCGAGTGGGCATACGTTCTCGAGGGCAAGGTCCGCATCACTGCTCTCGACACAGAAGGTGGCAGTTTTGTCGACGATCTCGAGAAGGGCGATCTGTGGTACTTCCCCTCTGGCCACCCCCATTCGCTGCAAGGTCTCGCTCCTAACGGCACCGAATTCCTACTCATCTTCGATGATGGCAACTTTAATGAGGAGTCGACCTTCCTCCTGACCGACTGGGTGGCTCGCACGCCCAAGAGCGTGCTTGCTGAGAACTTCCGCGTGCACCCCGAAGTATTCAATGCCATCCCGCAGAAGGAAAAGTACATCTTCCAGGGCCGCCAAGTAGGTTCCATCGACAAAGAGATTCCCAATGGCCCGGGCTACAAGAAGTCAAAGCTGCAATTCACCCACAAGATGCTGGCACAGGAGCCAAAGAACACCACCGGAGGTAGGGTTCGCATCACCGACTCCACCAACTTCCCTCTTTCCAAAACCGTCGCTGCAGCGCATCTTGACATCGAGCCTGGCGCAATCCGAGAGATGCACTGGCATCCCAGTGCGGACGAATGGAGCTATTTCATCAAGGGTCGCGCTCGTGTAACCATCTTCGCTGGAGAGGGTAACGCAAGGACCTTCGACTATCAGGCTGGAGACGTTGGCATCGTTCCCAAGAACATGGGTCATTTCATTGAGAACCTGAGCGACGACGAACCTCTTGAGGTACTCGAGATTTTCCGCGCCTCAAAATTCCAGGACTTTTCGCTGTTCCAATGGCTCGGCGAGACGCCCAAGAAGATGGTTGTGGACCACCTCTTCGCAACGGACAAGAAGTCTGGCGAGAAGTTTTTGAAAGCTATCGAGGACGCCGAGGAGGACCCCATCAAGGATACGGATACGAGTGGCTGGGACGATGAACAAGACAAGGAAGAGTTGTGAGAGTAGTCGAACTACTTACTGCATTTCGCCCTCGCATTGCGACGTGCGAGGCGTTTTTGAAGTTTTCTTTTGGTTGACAGGATGTGGTTAAGATGATCTGGAGCAGCTTAACTCACAACTTAGCGCAGCTACTATTGGTCGTGGCACTTTTCGTTGCTTGCAAAATCACATAACGTGAACAATCCTCCGCAAGTCTGACTTGTCTCCTTATTATATCGGTTCGCGTTTTCTTCGACGCCCGATGGCAGATACCCACCCACACAATTGAACTCGATGTCGGTTGTCACGGTACACTGGCCGCCGAGTACTGTCCAGATATACTATTTCCTTTTGTTTATTTACAGTGTTCACGAGTTCTCGATTGATACGATGATAAAATATTGGAAGATGATGTGTTAAAATTGATAGGAAGCTAAAGTGGCTGTAACCGAATATGACAATGTACAACTCGCGCAGTGCTTCCAGTATCCTTCGAACAATAGCACAAACGACTCTAACAACTAGCTATCTAACCACGGGCCAAAGTGAGGCCATAGGCAGACAGGATCTCGTTGACGGGCTGGAAGTAGGTGGTTCCGCCGCTGGTGCAGTCGCCAGAGCCTCCAGAGGTGACACCCTGGGCCTGGGAGCCAGAGTACCAGGAACCTCCAGAGTCACCGGGCTCGGCGCAGACATTGGTCTGAGTGAGACCAGTGACACTTCCCTGGGAGTACCTCACGGTCGCGCCCAGAGCACGGACAGAGCCGCAGAAGACACCAGTAGTGGATCCAGAGCGGCAAATGCTGCCTCCAACGGCAGTAGCAGTGCTTCCCGAAATCGCGATAGAACCACCGCTGTAGTTGTTGACGGTGCCAGAGTAGGTGTTTCCGCTAGTACCACGGATGTAGCTGTAGTCACCGCTTCCTGGGAAGACTGAGCCAGCAAAAGTTCCAATGGTGGTACCGCTGGTGGTGGAGGCAGTGTTACCAGTTGTACCGCAGTGACCAGCAGAGACGAAACCACCGGTGACTGAGAAGCCGACGGAGCATCGAGCGCTTCGGTTGATCAGGTAGGCATCGCCTCCACGGACCGTGACAAAGGTGGTCGGCATCGAGTCAACGACCTTGACCTCGAATTCAGATTCGACAAGGCCGACCTGCTTGGCCAGATCCGCTGCCTGGGAGGTGCTGCCGGAAAGTGCCTCCAAAATGAGCTTGTTGGCGGCGACATCGACGTAGTACGAAGCGATGCCAGACTCCTCGCGCTTGCGACCAAGTGTTGCGTCGATGTCCAGCTTGTCAAGAGCCGCCTTGGCCTCCTGAAGCTTGGAGAGATCGTTGGAAACGACCACGGGCGTGGCGCCGGCAGCGCTCACCTCGGAGGTCAAGGCCTCGTCAGTGACAGCGACGTTGAGCTCGCCGTCAACGAGCCAGGCGCCACCGAAAGAGCTGCCAGTAGACGTCTTCAGCTGCTCGATGATCTCAGTAGCCTTGAGCTCCCGAGCAACACGAACGTGGGCCTGCTCAGCATCCAGTCCCAAGTCGCGCTTCATCGCTGCCAGGATCTCGGGGTGGAGGGCGTTGGCGGCCTGGGTAGGCGCACCGTAGACGATGGGCAGGAAGACTGCCAGAGCAGCGAGGAACTTGGTGATTGAGGCCATGGCTGATATTCTGAAGACGACACGCGAGAGAATGGACGTTGATGTTGATGAGGCGAATTGGTCGCAAATGAGTCTGCGATACCATTGCAAACTGGACAGAATACTGCTACATATTTATACTTGTTCCAGCTTCTGTTCGAGACGATAGGTCACCTGCATCACGATCTCGTCGTCTCTGTCCAAGACAGCACCTTACAGTGTAGTAAACATTGCCAAGTCTCTCTTTCCCAATCCGACGTAAGATGTAGTCGCATAGATCCAACAATATCGGAAATGTAATCCTCAAAGGGCATTTGACAAGACTTTGACCCTACGATGTTATTCGGTATCGATACGGTAGTTCTTGATAGACATCTTGGTAGTCGGGATGCACCCTGTCGCGATGTAATTTATATCAATCTAATAGGAAGGAGGCAGGGATACGACAGGGGTTAAATAGTCGAGGGTGGTCATATCATGCCCCAGCCCTAGGCGATAACCCCGCACGAACGTATCGTAGATAGAGAAGCCCACACACACCTTTACCATTCTACTCTCAAATCAGCATCCAATTAACTTCAGGTCACGTGGTAACGAGCCGGAATCAGCGTTCAAGTAGGCAGGACCTTTGTCGCTTGTAATATACAACAAACATATAGCAGATAGGATCTCGGAGGCAACTGACAGACACGGAAGGTGCCACCCGAACCAGCAGCCTCGATTAACAATACCCTTCAAGCCTCTCTACGCCTGGGGTTTTAGGCCTACTACTGCAGATATACCCTTATCGCACAGCATGGGTGAACGTCGGTTTGGATACGAAAGACTTGAACTTTCACGGTCTTGTATATGTCCCAACACTGGCATCAGCTCTGCTACGCTGCTCCAATGTATCGGCTGCCCTAGGTATCAAGTAAACCTTGAAGCTGGATTAGGAGTGAAGGAGTTGGTCACTTGACGGCTCGACGTGCTCGCAGCTAAGCCCATAAGTCGAGTAGTGGGTATTCGTGATTTGGTGTTCGATCATGTTACGACTTTCTCATTTTGGGCATGATCTACACGGTGCTAGTCACGTATATGGGCTTTCTCGGGGCCGGGATGCGAGGGCAGTTCTTCGGCCATGCGTCCTTGCGTCGATCGCGCTGCCGCCTCCGCAAAATCAAGGCGCTTAAGGTGTTTCATAAGACCATGTTGCTGCATTCTCAACCTATAAAGTCGTCGACTGGTGGAAAATGTGTAGAACATGGCTTAAAACGATCAGAATAGGCAGGTCACGATGGCTCGGCGCGATATGGCAACATTTTAATGCTGCGAACCTTACGGGCGCCTTCGGGAGTACCTTTGTGGTCTCCTTCCTGATCGGAGGTGATCTTCGAACGACCGATGAGCATACCTAGGCTACTCTATCAGGCACCCCGTTTGCATCGCATTTGAAGCCAACTCGTGGATAGTTTGACTGTGTAGCTCTCTGCGTTATAAAATTTGTCTCCCCGACTCCATAAGTTCATTCTAGACTGTTAGTCCTCGTGGAGACACTCGACAACACCCCTACGGGCGCGGGGTGTGGTGAAGTAGTTCGCTGAAATATACTAAAGAAATTCGCATGGGACATTACCTGGCCATCTGGAAAGACGTGGAAATAAGCATAGATACAGGAATGTTGGGAAGCATCTCTCCGGCATGCAGAAGTACCCACACTCGTACGGAAGCTGCGCATTACCCCTACGTATAGGTAGGCACGATCATCCTCATTAGCAATTTATCACTCTGACACCACGCTTTGCCCTATACTTTACAACAGAGGCAAAGTCTTATGTGTGCGAAGTCTTTCTACGCATCGGCACGACATAGTCATGTATCATTGCCGCCTTCTCAAAGGTCCAAACTTCAGACGATATCGTTCGTATAAAAAGTCCTACTCTCTAGGGAGAAACACAGCACTGACAGAGCGACGCGCACCATGTATGTAGAGTATGGCAGGACTCCATTAACCGCCAAATGACGAGCTTGAAGCCCTAATCTCTTGCTACCCCTCGAGAAGATCGGCAAAGATGTGGCACTACGGCAGTATTGGAACATTGAGTCGAATCGCGTGGACCAGAAATTTGCAACTGTGAGACCCAGGTGGCTAAACGCAGGTGTATTTGCTTATGACAACGACAAAGTGTTCGCGGAGCCACTGACATCTCGAGAAGTATTAGAAAGAGCGCATACCGCGTGGGGATGCCTAAGCTAGACATGGCTGAGACTCTCGCGCAAAGATGGCGTTCGTTGTGAAGCTTTCGGCACTCGACGATACGCATTTCAGGTGGCAAAGCATCCTGCTAGCGGACTTGACCTGATGCTGCAAGATTACGATGCGTATGAGAGGGCACATACGATTGGGCGCCTCTTCGCTTCCTTTTCTGCACTTTACGTTGCTCACCGGTTTATGACCCAATCAGTCAGCAGCACCTGCGATCTCCCCGGCTATCTCCGCAATTGCACACGCTATGGTGGGTTTTTGTGAGAAACTACACCGTAGACGTTTCTCTCTGTGATTTTCCGTAGAAAACGTCTAAGAGTCTCATCATCATGAGCGCGACCGAGATTGTTCATATTGCCGTCCAGAATTATTCGCATTACCGAAGTTTTCCAGGTGGCTTCTTTCTCCAACCTCATGCCTTGCAGGATCGAGGAACACCAGGGCACTTATCAGTGGTACTGCTGCCGATGCCGGCCGAGTTGAAGAAAACATCTTCGCTTGTCCTTTCTTCAAGAACAACCCGCACCGGTGGAAGAACTTTCAGTGTTGTACGCGACCCTACGAATTATCTCGGCTGAGGTAGGTGTGTTTGCTCCTGCACAAGAATCACTTGAACGCCTGCTTACTAAAGATAGACAGCACCTGGGTAGTACAGTGGCACCTCACGGCAGTCGTTCTCGACTTTGTGTGTCTGTAAGTACTGCGCATATGCAAAACACGTCAAACATCTTGCGCATTCGTAAAATTTGTGCGGCCTGCCAGGTCCAGTCAGCGGAGGGCGTCGGGCACAGGCTATCTGAGTAACTAAATAAACAGTCTCGAGGCCCCAGGCTCAGCAACGTATCATGAAGAGAGTGTAGTTTAATGGGAGGAATGGTGCATTACCTTGTTCGGCACAGCGGAGCCCATACCTTCACATAGTAGGTCGGTCACATCGGAACAGATATTGCATCCGTTGATACTTTAGCGCTCGAAGACGCAGACTTCAGTCGCGGCTGCAACCCTAGCCTCCAGGAAACATACCGAAATCGAGGTTGAACTTTCACGACTATTCATGTAAGTCACAAAAGAAAGGCACTCGACCGTCACTGGGAGAGAAAAAAAAAAAAAAAAAAAAAAAAAGTGAAAAAACGACTTATCAGCGAGGATGTAATAGAGCGAGTAGAGGCCGCTCGCTGTCAGCTGAACTCAACCAAAAGAAAGCATAGTGTCTGTAAGGGGTCAGAACACGCATGGGCTGCTCGTCGACGCATAACCCGAACAACAACTATTGGCAACATTTTCAACAGGCTTATCTATACTGTCGATCCCAGATCCTGGATATGGCTCGCGCAACCCATGCTCCGAGTCACAGTCATCAATGATCTTCCGCAGGGACTGGCCGATGCCAGAGGACAGCTTCTTACCCACGATGGCTGACGCATCTGATGCATTACTTCCTTTCAACTGATTTCGAATTCTGGACCATGTCCGAAGAGTTCGAGTGGTCAGTCAGGAGAATTTTGAAGTTTTGCCTGGCTACTCATTTGGCCTTAGCATGCTTCATGTCTCGCAATTGAGTTCAACAGGAGAATGGCCAACACGCACCGCTACGGGGCCCGGTCAAGCCTTGTCCAAGTTGTCTGAGGTTGTGTTGATTAGGCCGAAGGAGCATCCGGACCCACAACTTCCCCACCTAAGTCATATCCGCCTTATTGTCGGTCGCCTTCGAGGAGCTTAAATGCAATAACATAGACCGATGCTTCCAGCCTCATCAGCAAGACACTGTCGCGCAGCTTATGTCGAAAAGTGCAAAACTTCAAACGTACAGCCATGCAAAGTTTCACCTATGAGCCTCGGTGCTTGCGACTCGATCTACATGCTGCATCGGGACCGCACTGCGTCATCTGCGGCGCCTTCTCGGAGGACTCGCATCTAGTGCCACACCCCATACCTTCCCCGGACACCCCCAGTGCTGTTTTCCGATGGCCGTACTTGCGCTGAGATGCGCCGGATGCCCCAGTCGGGCAATCCGGGATGAGTTTTCGACGTGCCACTTTTTTCGGCAAATGAGCAGCTAGTATTTGGCGGGAGTTACTGCACCCCGCATAGCGGCTCAACCGTCTAACGTCCAACGTCATCGCTGAACATCCCAGCACAAAGGGCAGCTAGTCGATCGTTGTTGCTCGTGTTATAGTAGCTTACTCGCGGTCGCCATCATGGAAGGCTCACATAAATGCGCGGAGGTCCACTCTTCTGTTGAGACCAGTATCGCTCTCGCCTCCGGTCCTTGTTGATCCTTCATAGTTAGGCGCATCTCTACTGCATTTCTTTTCCTTGGGTAGACGATTGTTCATAGTTTGGACCCAACATGAAAAAATTCTACGGCCTTACGGGTACAAAGCTCAACATTGCCATTGCAGTCATTGCAGGCACTGATTTTGCGCTTTTCGGCTATGGTGCGTGGGCAGTATTAGATATCCATCAGAAAGTTAATCTATCGCAGATCAAGGTGTGATGGGCGGTTTGCTCACGCTGGGGTCTTTTCTCAAGCACTGTGAGTACTACCATGAGCATGTGTTGGCTTCGCTAACATATGTATCCAGTTCCAGAAATCGATACTGCTCATCCACCGACCGGGACTACTGCAAGCTACACTTCCACCATCCAAGGCATCACAGTCGGCGCATATACACTTGGCTGCTTCTTCGGCGCTGTGGCAACAATATGGCTTGGCAATATGCTTGGACGCAAGCGCACTATTTTCGTCGGAAGTGCAATCATGGTTGTCGGGGCAATCTTACAAACTTCCTCGTTCGGCCTGCCGCAACTCATAGTAGGACGTTGGATAACAGGATTTGGTAACGGCATGAATACATCAACGTAAGATTATCGCGCCATTGCTCCTGACAGTGAAACTAATTGCACGATAGAGTACCAACTTGGCAAGCCGAGACCAGTAAGTCCCATCGCCGAGGACAAATGGTCATGATCGAAGTATGCGTATTAGTTTCCAACAGTTTTCGCAGCGTTAATTGATTCGCAGGGATCATTGATTGTGTTCGGCGTCATGCTCAGCTACTGGATCGACCTTGGATTCTCTTTCCTGGAGCCAAGTACCATTTCTTGGCGATTCCCCATTGCGTTCCAGATCATTCTCGCTCTATTCATTCTAGCATTGATCCCCGGTTTACCTGAGTCGCCTCGTTGGCTCGTCCTCAAGGGCCGAGATGACGATGCTTTGCAAGTGCTGTGCGCCCTCAGCGACCTGCCTCCGGAGGACAAAAAGATTCAGAGCGAATTCCAGGCTGTCAAAGATACTGTCTTTGAGATGCAGAAGGGCGGTTTCAGAGACTGTTTTAGGATGAATAAAAACCGCAACTTTCATCGCACAGCTTTGGCTTATGTCAACCAGATGTTCCAGCAAATCTCGGGGGTGAGCCACTCCGAACCATACTAAATACATCACAACTGACTGGTTCCAGATTAACATCATAACGTACTACGCTGCGACGATTTTCGAGCAAAACATTGGCCTGTCGCCCTTTCTGAGTCGTCTGTTAGCTGCGTGCAATGGTACGGAATACTGGATGGCATCTTGGATTGCCATTTTCACGATCGAAAAATTCGGTCGACGAACATTGATGATCTTCGGAGCAGCAGGTATGTCCGTGAGTATGTGCGTCCTGGCTGGCACTACCAGCAAAGTCAGCGATAGCATGGGTATTGCTGCCGTACGTATTGCACGCTCCTCGCCATTATTCTTCCGCTAACAGCTCTTTCAGGCTGTGTTCCTCTTTGTCTTTAACTCATTCTTCGCCATCGGTTGGCTGGGGATGACATGGCTCTATCCTGCAGAAATCACCCCTCTGAGCATCCGTGCTCCAGCAAACGCCATCTCCACCACGGCAAATTGGATCTTCAACTTCATGGTAGTCATGGTCACGCCTCCTGCATTCGCAAACATTGGATACCAGACATACATCATCTTCGCCGTAATCAATGCTTTCATAGTTCCTTGCGTTTATTTCTTCTTTCCGGAGACTGCATACCGTTCTTTGGAGGAGATGGACGAGATCTTCCACAAAACGACGAATCCCTTCAATGTGGTCAAGATTGCAAAGCAGATGCCGCATCGGTACGACAAGCATGGCGAGTTGCTCATCAGTTACGAGGAGACCGAGGAGGCACAAATGTATGCTGAGAGAAGGAGAAGTAGCGTTGTAGCGGCGGAGGCAAGGAGGGCGAGTTTTGCGGCGGTGAATGGGGAAAAGGAAGACGAGGTGGAACACCGAGAGTAGAATACGCCATGTCGGCGGAAAAGCGATCACTGGAGGCATCGGAAACGGCCAATATATCATTGACGGACTCAAAAGTTGGCAAGGTTATCCTGAAATCTATCTGAGTTCCCTGGTCAGGGACTGGTTGTCACGCTTGACCAAGACCTTGCCCAGACCATACCGAGCTCCACCAGTGACTAGTACCGTTCATCTTGAATCCACACGATTTGTTTGGTCGCGCTTCATTCTATTCTGGTACTGATGGGTCGCAGAAAAGCTTTAAGCAAAGCCAGTCGTGATTCTGTACAGATTTTGCCCACGTAACAAGCACGCAAGCAACACCAACATGGTCGATTATCCACGTCGCTGATCGTCTCGTTCCTGCTGCATCACCTCGATCATGTTATGTCCGGGAACGGGTACATCTGGAGTAGCCCAACATTTGTCCGCCTCCTCGGTGAATTGCTCTCCCTTTCCGTGGGCTATTTCATGGATCCACTGCTTCTCGCGCGATGACAGGGGATGATGTCTCCACGGACACCTTATTCCCATTTCGCACATATACGGGGTGCGGAAGGTACAATAACACAAGCCGAAGTCGTAATGCAGCACGGATCCGTAGGCAGATGGGTTGACCTTGCCGTCGCCATTGCGGAAGACTGGCAAGTGTCGGTTGTAGGGCGTGTTGCGGCGCTTCGCGGCATGGTTATCGGCGATGTAGTTGGTATAGGCGCGAAGAGGGTATGCAGTCTCGGGGACGTTGGTGCTGCTAATACGCCGCTCACGCACAAAGACAGGCGTGAGTGAGCGTTGCCGGTGGGGGTGCGTACGCGCAGCACGCGGTCTGCTGTACTCGTACTCGTCGTACTCCTGGTGGGCCGGGTAGGTCTGAGACAGGTCACAGCGTCTGGAGCTATGCAGGGATGGTGAGCGCCAACGGGGGCTCGATGACCGCCTGCTGCGATAACGTCCTTCATCGGCGTGACCAGCTGGTGGTGATGGACCAGCGAGTCGCGAACCTTCACGTCCGCGCCTCTCTCGTCGCGACGCCCGGCTCCGGCCGCTCTGCGGGGAGCGCTCGCGGTATTGCGCTCGCTCCGGCCTCGAGTCAGAGTAGTCTAGGTACTCAGGTGACGGGGATGGCTGCCGGTCTCGATTCCCGGCGTCAGGGCAGGACGAGGCTGGGCGGCGCGCGCGTCGCTGGTAACGACGATGGCCATGCTCGTCTGTGATGGTGTCAGACTCTGCGCTCCCAGCTGCGGCCCCTCGGCGGACTTACCAGCATCGGACTGCTGCGGTCCCTCTGGCGGCGTCCCAGACGGCGGCGGGTTGAGCGGCCGATAGGGTCCAGCCTGATCCCAATCTTCTATCGAGTGGTCGACTGGCGCTGGCATGCTGGGCGATGTGGCGGGAGTGCGTGTGGTACCTGCCGTGCGTGGAAGAGGTGGACAGAAGGAGCGTTGACAGAAAGAGAAAGAGCCATCCGCCCGCTCTAAAGAGCACGCGACTCGACGGTGCCAAGAGCTCTCACTTTCAACTGTGGTGAAGTGAGCGTGCTGTTAGCCTACGCACGGCCAAAGGCCTTCACCAAAGTCTGAAAGAACACAGAGGAGAAGATCCCAAGTTGACATGACCACTAAGCGTCTGTGCCTTGGTCCAGCACTAACACCCATAGAGCAGCCAGTGTTAACAAACATCGAAACGGCTGAGACAACTGTACTCAGGACTTCTGGAAGGTTCCCCAACTGAAAACACCCCCCATTAAGAAACTCGAGACTACTTACAAGCTTTCCATCCTCACCAGGCTTGTCATTCGTGGGCGCGATGACTATTCGACGGTACGATGTCAGTTGAAGGGCGCTGTTGTCAGAAAAATTGAGAACCAGATGCAATGCCGAAACCCTCTTCATCAATCGAAGAGGCGACGATCGCACCACAGCGCAACTCTTTTCCGCCTCGGGTATAGAGACCTCAATCTTCTCCGTTCCTTCACTCTGGTCCAGTTACAAATCAACAACTTCCCACGAGCGATCTGTTTGAACTGCACCTGAGGCCCAAGTCACTGATATCCATTCACGACTATGACAGGTGAATGGTTAACCTGGCTGAAATTGCTGGTCAATGTCCACTGCATGGGTGCTTCAGCGCATCTGTGAAAATCATTCCTCCTTCCAACACCACACGGTGGCTCCCGCGTTCATCAACATTTGCCTGTTCGTCCCAATAACTTCATCTCCGCAATCTCCCAAGTGGTTATTTCCAACATATCCATGCACCACTGTCGTCCTGGTTAGGTAAGATGTAGATGCGAAATTCCGCGCGAAGGTGAGCTATCTACATTGAGACGCTGTAGCAGCAGTTTGATACCTTCGCTCGGGGGAGTACCATCACCGACCGCCTCCATGCCAAAAATGGGGGAGCGCGCGTTGATAAGTGACCGGAAGGGCTCGGGTATTGACTGGCAAATCGGTAGGGTCTACCCACAATTAGGGAGATGTTGGGTTGGGGTGGTTAGAGCTTAGGTTATGGTTAAGGTAGGGTATTTAAAACTTAGATAGTAATTTAGTATACCTATATATTTAGATTATATTATAA